TCCCACTTGGACTACTGCCATGCGCTCTACTTGGGGCTGCCTTGGAAGGTGACCCAGAAACTGCAACTAATCCAGAATGCGTCAGCCAGACTGGGGACTGGGAGTGGAGACTATATAACCCCAGTCCTGAAAGACCTACGTTGGCTCCCAGGACATTTCCGGGCACAATTCAAAATGTTGGTGCTGACCTTGAAAGCCCTAAATGGCCCAGTATCCCTGAAGGAGCGTCTCCACCCCGGAAACTGGGGTCCTTCTCCCAAGGGTCTTCTGGCGGTTCCCTCAATGCAAGAAGAGAGGTTACAGGGAACCAGGCAGAGGGCCTTCTCAATGGTGGCTCCCACCCTGTGGAACTCCCTCCCACAAGATGTCAAGGAGATAAAGAATTTTGCATACGCTAGATAATAAATATAAACGCAACAGTAATAATGGGAGGTAGAATTAAAGATGCCATGCGTTGCAAGGGAATATGGGGAAAGGGAAAACTGTATAAATACTTGACGAATGTGTGTATATAATTTGTCATGTTAAAATTGAAGGACACATGAGGTGTCTTATTGATAATACCTACAGTATTTGAATATGTAATGTATATGCAAAAAAAAATATTAAAAAATAAAGTGGTTTTTTAAAATAACAATAATAAATAACTGCAACCAGGAAGGCAGAGAAGCAGAAACTGGGGAGGGAAAAATATTTCCTGGGTCGCTTTGCATCTTGGCAGAGATACCAAGCAGGGCGGATCTGGAACCAGGCCAAAGCAACGGGAGTCAGGCAGGTATTTTCTGGCACAGGTTATCTGCAGGCAGCATTCCACGGCTTTTTCTCAGTTCAGGGAGGTGGGAAACTCGGTCACCTTATGCATCACCCTCTCCTTTGCGAAATAAAAATAACTGAGCAATGAAACAATGGGGTTCTGAGTCGCATTGTGCTCAGAGGAGACCCATTGAGGGCTGTGTGTATATATATTCAGGTTCATCGTTGTTGTTGTTTAGTTGTTTAGTCGTGTCCGCCTCTTCATGACCCCCTGGACCAGAGCACGCCAGGCCCTCCTGTCTTCCACTGCCTCCTGCAGTTTGGTCAGACTCATGTTCGTAGCTTCGAGAACACTGTCCCACCATCTTGTCCTCGGTCGTCCCCTTCTCCTTGTGCCCTCCATCTTTCCCAACATCAGGGTCTTTTCCAGGGAGTCTTCTCTTCTCATGAGGTGGCCAAAGTCTTGGAGCCTCAGCTTCAGGATCTGTCCTTCCAGTGAGCACTCAGGGCTGATTTCCTTCAGAATGGAGAGGTTGGATCTTCTTGCAGTCCATGGGACTCTCAAGAGTCTCCTCCAGCACCAGAATTCAAAAGCATCCATTCTTCGGCGATCAGCCTTCTTTGTGGTCCAGCTCTCACTTCTATACATCACTACTGGGAAAACCATGGCTTTGACTATACGGACCTTTGTCGGCAAGGTGATGTCTCTGCTTTTTAAGATGCTGTATATACCCTATATAGGGACACGGGTGGTGCTGTGGGTTAAACCACTGAGCCTCTTGGGCTTGCCAATCAGAAGGTCGGCGGTTTGAATCCCCGCAATGACGGGGTGAGCTCCCGTTGCTCGGTCCCTGCTCCTGCCCACCTAGCAGTTCAAAAGCACCTCAAAGTGCAAGTAGATAAATAGGTACCGCTCCGGCGGGAAGGTAAACGTCGTTTCCGTGCGCTGCTCTGCTTCGCCAGAAGCGGCTTAGTCCTGCTGGCCACATGACCCGGAAGCTGTACGCCGGCTCCCTCGGCCAATAAAGCGAGATGAGCGCTGCAACCCCAGAGTCGGCCACGACTGGACCTAATGGTCAGGGGTCCCTTTACCTTTATATACCCTACATATAGAAAGGAGCAAAGCAGTGATATTTAGGGAGCAGGCGGGGCCCATGACTTACACCCCAGGAACCTACACAACACAAAACACGGTTGCTGGATGTAGGTTTTATTTTATTCATTTTTTCTCTTATATTTTGGAATTGTACATCCAGTATTTTTTCCCCCTTTAATTTTTGGGGGACCCCAAGAGAGTGGGGCCCTAATCTATAGCCTGTTGAGCTTCTACGTGAATCCGGCACTGGCTCAGCAAATGAGTGTCTTGGGAGGGAGGCAAGGAAACACGCTCTTTGCACCCGCAGCCAAAGCCTTCAAACTGGCCAGGCCAGGGAATGACTTCTAGTCTCCATGCGGCGACTGGTCTGGTCTGGCGCCAGCAAGATCCCATAAATGCCCAGCCCCAGAGGAGCCGGCCGGACCAAACTGCTCCCCAAACTTGCTGGACCTGTTCTGGCCTCCCTTGATCCTGCCTCCTCCATCAAACAAAGAAACCCCTTTTATTTGCATTTCCGGGGAATGATCCACAAATAGCTTTTGACCGTCTAACTGCCGCTAAGATCATAGGAGCTAAAAAAAATTCCGCATATCTCCTGAAATTTGTGCATAAATACAGCATCTCCTACTATATCCGAATGGGCTGGGGAAATTTGCTCCCTAGGAACTGCGATGAAGCTAACTCTGCATACAGAGCAGTGTGAAAATGTAATTATTCTTATTATTTTGGGTAATGTTTTGGAACAACCCCAAAAACAGCGACCATTTGTTGTGGACAAAGGACAACTGGACATAGAAAGGGCCCCGTTACCTTCAGGAGCTGAGGGCCGCATCTAACCTGAATCTGGCCCTGGCTGAGACCCAAAGGGGCTCCCCAGGGTGCTGTGGGAAAAGGCAAAGGAAGGAAAGGAAGGGGCAATTCAATGGAGTGCACCTCCGAGGGTGAGGCCAAACCAAAGCGAGCTCCCCGGGGTGCAAGCCTGGGCAGGGTGCCAGGGGGTCCTGGGCTGCCCAGATGACAAGACCCCCCTCCACCTCGCTGATATGGGCCAAAGGAAAGCAGAGGTTCCTGCGCTGCAAGGGGTTGGGCTAGATGACCGTGGGGTCCCAAATCGACTCTTTTCCGATTCTATGACGTTTGGCAACTGCCGGTGTTGCCGGAAGCAGGCGTCCCAGGCGCCCCCCAGCTCTGCTCCCCTGGCACGCGAGAAAACCTCCATGCCACCAATAAGGGCCAAAATTCGTCCCACGGAGAAGGCAGCGGCGGCCTAGTGGTTAGAGCGTCAGTGCAGGACCCGGATTCAAATCCCCCCTCAGCTGGGAATGAATGAATGAATGAACCTTTATTCATCGGCCAACAACAATACAATATGCGAAGAACAGAAATAAAAAGTCAATTAGATAAAATACATTTCGGGGAAACACCTGCGCTGCCAGAGACTGGCACCTTCTGCAAGCCCAGCAGCTGCCAAGCCCCGAAGGCCTGTTTACGGGATTATTTGGGGCTGCCCAAGGAGATGGGTTTTATGGGCGCATGCCAAGCCGGCCCGGCCCGGATCCTCGCACGTCCCGAGCATTTTACGAGCCCGTGCGGCTGTGGCACGGGGAGGGAAACCCATTGCCAGGAGGGCATCCCTTACGGGCACGTGGCAGCTGTTTATATTTATATTTATTAGTAGCTTGCATCATATACTCACACCTCTTATTATTTCATGTTGTAGCAAGTTTCCTGGGAAAGGTGGCTCCGCGATGGATAGACTAGGGTTCCCAGAATTTTTTTTTGGGGGGGGGGACGACAATACTGGGAATTGTAGTATTGTTCAGGGCGCTGGGAGCTGCACAGCCGTAAAAGCGTCCCCATAGCGTTCAAATCGTTGCAACGAATTCCTGTAATTTATGATATTTGTGATGATCAGATCACGTTTGTAGGACTAGAAGAAGTTCTGTGAGGAGTAATTTAAGAAAGATTGTAAAAATGGAAAGGAAGAAACGATTTGTGAGAAAAGGTAAAGGCGATATTAAGTTAAGAATTGCCGGAGAAATAATCAAGACGGAAGGCTATCAGAGATGCGGAAGGAAGTCCAAACAAGGACATATGTAGAATAATTTGTGTGGTATGTCTTAAAAAATTTTGTGTGCTAAAAATTAATAAAAAATAGTATATATTAAAAAAGCCTCGTTTTCGCCTCATCCCGCGATCTCTCCAATTCCTCTGGCTGTTTTGGAGCTCCGTTCTCGGCTTTTGTGGCTCTCTGTTTGCTTTTTCTCTTTCTGTCCATGCATGGAAAGGGGTTCCTGCCAACTTTTCAATCTCTGTGCCCTCGTGGCGCCTGTCAAGTGAGGACAACGCCGGAAGGAATGGACTCTGATCCCCGGAAGCTTGCGCCATTCGTCTCGCTGCGACATGAGCCAAAAGAGCAAAAGGACCGGACCTGGAACCACAGAACAAAAAGGGCACCCCAGTGGTCATCCAGCCCAACCCCTTGCAAAGCTGTCAACAAAACCAGTCAGCTGCTTAGTCCAGAGCAAGCAGGTGGCCTTTGGTCCCTATAATCTTCCTGGCTCTTCCATCTTTTTGATTTTCCATATATTTTTCTTCTTCTTTTTAAATTCTTTCCAGATATAACGTCATCTTGAAGATCTGGGATGAGATGCCCCCGACTGAAGCCAGGATAATGGCGCTTAGGCCAATTCCTGTGGAAAACAGCCAACAACATATAAAGTCCTGCACAGATTTTATAGATAAATGCTGTGCTTTTTTCTGGGGGTGTGGTATGCAGAGGTACGCAGACCCCTAAACATTTTGTGAATCTTTGTCCTTTTGTCCATTTACTGTCTTTCTTTTTCCGGATCTGAACTGCAAAATGGTGATTTTCTCGAGTCAAAATGAGAGTGTACACCTTAACGTTTTTTAAAGGAAAAAAAACACTGGATAAATGAAACTAATTTAATAGATAATTCTGATGCCAGGCTGATGTTTGCACAAAAGGCGATAAACGGCTTCACAATACGAGGGGAGTTCTCTTGGTTTCGTTTCTGGCCAGCAGTTGCAGCAAAGAACCACAGAATGGCAGAGCTGGAAGGGGTCCCCAGAGGTCATCCATCCCAACCCGCCGCAAGGCAGCCATCTCGGCTCAAGCAGCCCGCTCTTTCCCCGCCTTATATCTATTTTTCCTCCTTCCAATCAACCTTTCTTTTCCCTTTTCCGCCCTCTTGAACGCCCTAGAGCTTTCCCTCCGCTCGCGTCCTCTTTTGGCCCCTCCGGCTGCCCGTCCACTGCCGCGCAAGGCCTGCTGGGGCTTGTAGTTCCCCGCCTCCTCCAGGGCGGCGCGTGATTGGACGGCTTCAGGCGCGGGCCAACCCGGAAGCGTTGCCATGGCGGCGGGAGCGGAGGGCCTGCTGGGCGCGCTGGTGGCGCTGCTGGAGACGCACCGGGGCAGAGACCGCGCGGTGAGGAGGGAAGGGGCTGCCTGTCTGTCAAGAGAGGCGGGGCGGGGCTTCAGGGCAGTGGGCGGGGCCTGGACAGCAGGCAGCCTGTCTGTCAGGAGCAGCGGGGCTGGGCTAAATGGAGGGGGGAGGAGTCTGGTATGGGCGTGGCTTAATGTAATGGGCGTGGCCTGGAAAGCAGGCAGCCTGTCTGTCAAGAGCAGCGGGGCTGGGCTAAATGGAGGGGGGAGGAGTCTGGTATGGGCGTGGCTTAATGGTAGTGGGCGTGGCCTGGAAAGCAGGATGGGCTGTCTCTTAAAAGCAGTGAGGCGGGGCTTAATTGGAGTGGGAGGGGTCTGGTATGGGCGTGGCTTAATGTAATGGGCGTGGCCTGGAAAGCAGGCAGCCTGTCTGTCAAGAGCAGCGGGGCTGGGCTAAATGGAGGGGGGAGGAGTCTGGTATGGGCGTGGCTTAATGTAATGGGCGTGGCCTGGAAAGCAGGCTGCCTGTCTGTCAAGAGCAGCGGGGCTGGGCTAAATGGAGGGGGGAGGAGTCTGGTATGGGCGTGGCTTAATGTAATGGGCGTGGCCTGGAAAGCAGGCAGCCTGTCTGTCAAGAGCAGTGGGGCTGGGCTAAATGGAGGGGGAGGAGTCTGGTATGGGCGTGGCTTGGTGGGTAGTGGGCGTGGCCTGGAAAGCAGGCTGGGCTGTCTCTTAAAAGCAGTGAGGCGGGGCTTAATTGGAGTGGGAGGAGTCTGGTATGGGCGTGGCTTAATGTAATGGGCGTGGCCTGGAAAGCAGGCAGCCTGTCTGTCAAGAGCCGTGGGGCTGGGCTAAATGGAGGGGGGAGGAGTCTGGTATGGGCGTGGCTTAATGGAGGTGGGCGTGGCCTGGAAAGCAAGTGGGCTGTCTCTTAAAAGCAGTGAGGCGGGGCTTAATTGGAGTGGGAGGAGTCCGATATGGGCGTGGCCAGGAAAGCAGGTGGGGCTCCCTGTTAAGAGCAGTTGGGCGGGGCTTAACAGAGGTGGGAGGAGCCTGATACAGGCGGGGCTTAAGGGGTAGTGGGCAGGGCTTGATGAAGGATGAGACAGTTAAGAGACAGGGCGTGACTTAATAAAGGCAGGGGCGTGGCCTAGTGGTTAGTGGGCGTGGCCTGGAAAGCAGACTAGATTTTCAGAATCACCTAATGAGAAAAGCGATGCTCCTTTTCTTAGAAATAAATCAAGATCCCAGGCCTCATGGTTCAGATTTAACTTGTGTCGAGTCGTACCGCCGATCCGGCCGCCAGTGTTACGTGCTCTGACTGGCAGCTGTTCCCCCCTGCTTCCTAACGGAGCATAGAGAAAACCTGAAATTGTCGTAATGTCCGAAAGCGGGCAGAGGCATTAAAAAAAAAACACAGTTTCCTCGTCCAACTTTAAATTTTGACCTTGTGCCTCGCCTGCTAAAAATAAATGAATGCGATCGTTGTTAATAAATAAATGCCATTGTTCCTTTCTTATCTCGCAGCGGCCTTAAAAAAAGAAACGCAAGCGACACATTTTGTTCTATTTAAAACCGAAGCAAACTGGATGGAGGAAGGGGAAACCCAAATTTCTGGCCTCCCATGCCTTCCTCCTCCAGATTTGCAAAAGATGTTGGCTAAACATAAGTGAACCTTCCAGGAAAGTGTGGGGCCACAAAGGGATCTCTGCAAGCTGCCTGGATCGGTAGATTTATTCGGACCAGGGTTTCCCCGCAAATTTGGGTTTATTTTGTTTGGAATTGGGCGGCGGAAATGAGATGAACCTATGCAAAGTTTGTGCCCTGCAGGGGTTGGGCTGGATGACCCCCGGGTCCCTTTCGGCCCCATAGTTCAGCGATGCCAGCATTTGAAAAGTCTGGACCAGGCTCATCCAGACGGAAAGGTTTTTTGGCAGGAGCAAAAGCGCCTTGCCTGGCACCATCCATTGGCAGGGAGTTCCAACGGGTCACAAAGGAAAAGGTCGATTCCTTACAAAGTGCAGAACGGGGGTCCGGATCGAAGCCGGTTTCTGGAAGAAAAACGATAAAATAATTGCTATGGAGGTGATTTTGTAATAGATGGGAGATGGGAGGGGGAAAGGGTTTGGAGAAGTCAGTTTAGGAAGACGTTATGTGAATACTTGATTTGAGTTTAAATCCGTGGCGTTTTGGAAATCTAATAAATAAATTTTATTCAATTTTTTTAAGAAGAAGCTGAGTTCGTCCGTCCGCCGTAGGCGGGGACCTAAAAGTCACCCACTCCAAAAAAAACCACCCCAATGCAGGAATCGCAGTGAGCAAAACAATATTGTCTCGCTTACTTTTCCATAAGCGTAGCGCCCATTAACGGACAGCTGAATCCCCAATGGGTTTTGACCTTTTCCTTGGAGGTTTCGAAGCAGAGCTTGTCCTAGATGCTTTTGCCGAGATTCCTGCATTGCAGGGGGTCAGACTGGATGACCCCTAGGGGTCCCCTTCCGACTCTAGGATCGTTTAAACCCGTCTTTTATTCCCAATCGTGATGCTTTTTGAATAACAACCCCCCGGCGACAATGGAAGCAGCGTATCCGTGTTCCAAAGCGCAGAGGTAACCGCGATCTCCTCTCCCTCCCTTCCGCCAGGTCCGCACCCTCGGTTATGGCTGCCAGCTGGCAGGGGGGGCCTTGGCCGCCAGGAGCCACCCCACGGAGTCCCCGCTCGGCCAGAGCCTCCTGGCGATATCAGCTCAGCTCAGCCACTGCCGGACGGTCCTCCGTCTCTTCGATGACCTCTCCATGCTCGCCTACAGCTGCCAGTACGGCCTGGGGCCGAAGGTGGGTCACCCTGGGGCAGGGAGGTGTTGGAGGGCCTGAATTTGAGGAAGGATGCCCAGCCTGAAACCCAGGAGAGCTGCCAGCCAGTGCGGGCGACACTGAGCTAGCCGTGGTTTTCCTCCCCGGCAGCGGGTTGGGATGGATGACCTCTGGGGATCCCGACTTGGCACAAGCGCTGTGCTCGGAAACACCAGGAACTGGCTTCGTTTTTGTGGGAAGCACAACTCAGGGGTCAAAAAACAGATTCCCGCATTGCCAGGGGTTGGGATGGATGACCCTTGGGGTCCCTCCCAGCTGTACGATTCTCCAGCTGGCCCGATTCAGCTGCCGCTGCAGGGCTCTCAGCGTTAAAAGGGGGGCGGAGGAATGGCTGGGGAAGGCTGTCAAACTACAAAAGCGATGCTGTCCCTCCCCTGTCGGAGGCAGTATACTGGGGAGAGTCGAAGCTGTGGCACAGCTGGCCTGTTTATATATATATATTATTAATAATTTTCAATTACAACCCAGTGGTAGCCTCGTTATAACAACGCCAAATTGCAATGCAGCTGTCAATACCAATCTTACGAATGCAGTCAACGTTTTGGAACGTTTTGCCTCCTGAAGGCCAGAAACCCGGAAGCGACCACTCTGGTTTCTGAACCATTTTCAGAAGCTGAATGTGCCACGCAGCTTCCCTACTGTATTGAGGCTTTCGGTTTTCGGTTTTCAAACGGTCTCCCGGAATGGATTACTGTACCAAATTAAACAATTTAGGTGGGCCCCCCCTGCATGCTAGAATGGATGGTTTTCTTTATACCTGCATTCCTAAAATCTTATTGGTTTCCATTACATTCCAATCAAGATGATAATCCCATATACGACAGCTGCAATAACTTCTATCCGTGTTAATAACTTCTATTCGAACACGAACAGCTGGCCTGTTAATCATAATAATAATAGATTTTTATTATTTGTACCCCTGCCCACCTGACTGGGTTTCCCCAGCCACACTGCTCCACCCATCGCCTATCAGAGGGATATTTTCGGACAGCAAAAACACACCCGCCCTCTGGCCCCGCAGAGATCCTGCCCACGCCGGTTCTCCCTGCTTCCTAGAAGGAGCAAAGTGACTTTCCCCATGTGATTTCAGAGCAAACACTCCTCTTTTTTTTGGTTGCGCAAACACAGGAGGAGCACGGGACCGAAGTATGCGTCACACAAACAAGGTGTTTGCAGCTGCAGAAGGCATGGGGTGCCTGGCGCCCTTTGACCGCCCGTGGCGCGAGGGGGGTAGCTGGAGGGCGAACCTTCGCCCCCACCCAGGAAGAGCGGCAAGGGGTGGCCGGCACCCAAGGGCGAGGAACCCCATCTAGGCGATGCCACCAATTCCTGGAAGTGGCGAAGACTCACAGGGGCGGCAGGGCGCTCTGCCCGCGCTCAGAGGCACCAAATGCCTCTGAACTGCTGGGAGTCGCAAGAGGGGACAGGTTGAATCCTGACAAGACAGAAGGGGTGGGCAGGTGTGGGGGACTCCCTGGTCCTGAATGGGGCGACTGTGCCCCCGAAGGACCAGGTGCGCAGCCTGGGAGTCATTTTGGACTCACCGCTGTCCATGGAGGCGCAGGTCAGTTCTGTGTCCAGGGCAGCTCCATCTGGGACGCAGGATGAGACCCTCCCTGCCCACAGACTGTCTGGCCAGAGCGGTGCATGCTCTGGTTATCTCCCGCTTGGGCTCGAAGCTGCGACAGCAGCCCCGATCCTGGGAATGGCTTTGTCTGTCTGTCTGAACTGGGCGAGGGGAGCCAAGGGGTCTCGAACCCAAAGGGAGTTAGGGGCTTCACCTGCAGGCAAAGACAGGGTCTGAAGCGGACCAAGAAGGGGGGCCAATGGTCAAGAAGGCTGGTTTTGCCCAGGCCAGAGAGGGAAGTGGGGGGCCGGTGGGGCTCATCCGCCTGGGAAGGGACCCCATCGGGGAGAAGGGAATAGGCTCAGGGGGAACCGTACCCAAATCCAGAGCGGAGTCCCCAAGGCAGTTGGGTGACACCTTCTGGCAACCCTTGCAGCCAAGAAAAGAAAAATAGAGTTGGGACCCCCGCGGTCATCTAGCCCAACCCCCTACGATGCAGGGATCTCTGGTTTCCTTTGGCCCCCTGTCAGCAAGGGGGTCTTGTCGTCTGGGCAGCCCAGGACCCCCAGACCAGGCTTGGGCTCCGCGGAGGTCAATTCGCTTTGGCTTCACCCCCAGAAGCGCGCTCCGCTGTTTCCCCGAGACAGGCAGGTGCCCACAATGGGGACTAGCGCCTTGCGTCATGGTATCTCCAGGGAAGACGTCCAAAGTCTGCTGCCGGCCCGTGTGGGCAGCGCTGACCGAGGTGGACCCTGGTCTTCCTCGCGAAGGACCCAACCTTCTCCCCCTTTCCCAGGAGGAGGACCCCGCCGTCCGCTGGCTCTCGGTGGCCAGCAACGTGGCGGACCAGCTCTACTACCCCTGCGAACACCTGGCGTGGGCAGCGGACGCCAAGGTCATCCGGGGCGACTCTGGGAAATGGTGGGTGCTCAGCACCTTGCTCTGGGCAACCTCCCTGCTGCTGGGAATCGCGCGGTAAGGAACGCCGGGGGGGGGGAGAAGGGACCCCGGGCGCAACAGCTCCTTGCCTCCAACTGGCTGGTGGAGGCTTGCAAGCTGTGGGTTCGAGGGGGTTGGGCTAGATGACCCTTGGGTCCCTTTTGTAAAAGGCTCATTTTCGACCCTCTCAATTCCAGATCCCTGAGGATCTTGTGCCAGCTGAGAAGGCGGCGGCCGAAGCAGGCCAGGTAGGAGCTGTTTCTCACGGCAAATATTTCGGAAGCGGCCCCCTATTCCTGCGGCAGGCCAGAGGCCCCCCTCCCTCCGTCCTGGTTATGGGATAGGTAAAGGTAAAGGGACCCCTGACCATTAGGTCCATTCGTGGCCGACTCCGGGGTTGCGGCGCTCATCTCACTTTACTGGCCAAGTACAGCTTCCGGGTCATGTGGCCGGCAGGACTAAGCCGCTTCTGGCGAACCAGAGCAGCGCATGGAAATGCCGTTTACCTTCGCGCCGGAGCGGTACCTATTTATCTACTTGCACTTTGAGGTGCTTTCCAACTGCTAGGTGGGCAGGCGCTGGGACTGAACGACGGGAGCTCACCCCATCATTGCGGGGATTCAAACCACCGACTTTCTGATCGGCAAGCCCTAGGCTCTGTGGTTTAACCCACAGCGCCACCTGCATCCCGGTTATGGGATACCCCCCCCAAAAAAACCACACACTGTCTTCTGCTCAGTCCAGGCTAACCTTAAGCCCCTTAAGTCCAGCTCCACACTTCCATGCTTTGGAGGGTCTGGTCTGGATGTGCTTTGGGGGACCCTTTCCAACTGATCCTCCTTCCCTCCGTCTCCCCGCAGCAAGGACTCCCTTCGGACGATGAGGGTGCGAGCCCGGGCCGAAGCCCTGACCGTCGCCGGCAACCTGGCGGACCTCTGCAATGCCGTCCACTGGCTCCCCCCGGGGGTGCTGTGGGCAGGGAGGTTCCCCCCGTGGCTCGTGGGGCTGCTGGGGACGACGTCGTCCCTCATCGGAGTCTACCAGACCTACGTGGGGGGAGCCGCGTGAGAGGAAGCTGTGTGAGATCAGACAGGCCCCTCAAAATTCCTGCCAGTGCCATGAAACGGGGAGCCAGATTCCTTCGCGGCGCTTTCTGCCCTCGGAAACCCAGAGCCTGCCCCCCCATGGCCATGGGGCAAAAAGAGCCCCTCGCAGGCATGGATCAAAGCCCGTCCAGTGCACACCGTGTAAACCGGTCGCGGGCAAGCTAATAAAACGCAGAGAGGAAGTATCCTGCAAACCGGGGTCAGCAGGTAGCCTCCTTTATTGCTTGCGACCCCCGTGAACGCCTCCCCCCTTGACCCACGGATCCTGCACGGGTTGGGGGGCTTGCTTTGCAAGCCAGGCACGGGCTCCGACTCCGGACGCAGCAAAGAGGTCCTTCGGTCATGATTCCGTCTCCCCCAAAGACCGCCCCTGTACCCTTAAGTTCTCTTGTTCCTGCACTCTTAATCCCTAGAACCGGGACAGGATTAGGGGTTTGGGGGTCCCCCCTTCAGCCAGTGGGGAGTTCCAGAGGGTCTGCAGCCTCTTCCCTGAGGGGGGGGGGAATTCCTTGGCTGCGATTCCTTCCTGCTCAAGTCGTAGCAACCAGGCAAAAGGCAATATATATCTATATTTATTCATTTATTTATGCACGGGCCACCTCTCGCACTCAAGGGGGTCTCAAGGGGGCGTACACATAGTAAACAAATAAATATTCAAAACACAGAGCAATTTTTCCCCCTGGGGGGGCAGCGGCGACAGAGGGAAATGTTTGCCTTTTGGGGAACTTTCTCCCCCTGACCCCAGTTGGCGAGTCGCCTGTCCTTGGCTGCATGTGGACTGTGCCTGCCCACCCCCACCCCCCGTGAAAGGCAGCGGGGGGAGGGGGGCCTTTAAATTGCCACTGGTCCCGTCCCCGAAGGGAGCTCCCCCGAGGGAGAAATCTAATAGGCAAGCAGAGCATGGACAGGTCAGCGATTTGCTGCAGAGAGAGGGCTTCCCTTTCAAGAAACGCGGAGGAAATACGCAGTTATTACAAGAAACGGCCCCACCTCAATGGAAAGCAGTCGGGAGCCTCTTGCGACAGGGGGGCTCGCCCTTCCAATGCCCCCCGAGGACCGAGTGCAGAAGCCGCAACTTTTGAGAGAACGCAGGTATCTGGGGAGGAACAAAGAGCCCATCTCGCATCGCTGCGAGGCTGCAATCCAAAACTCCCCCCCAAAATGTTAAGAAAAGCAACCTTTAGGAGGTGAGCATTTGCAGGAAACAGGGGAAGAGAGTGCTGGGGCAAATAAAAAAATCTATGGGGGGGGGGATTCCTGCAAAGGAAGCGGATGAGCATTTGGCGGCGAGGGGAGCGTTGGGTCGGACGCAGAACACGCCGGCCTGCGAGAAGCCAGATTTGGGGGGGAAACACAAGAGTCGTTTGCCACAAAGCCGGACGCCCCTGCGTGGCTCCCGGCAGATTAAGGAAGGCACCCCTTTGCCCAAGACAAAGGGGCATCGCTGCAAAGTTTCTCTGTGCCCGCCGAGGCCTGTCTTCGGAGGAAGCGGGGTCCACCACTTTGAGCTGGCACCTCTGTTGGCAAAGTCGGCTCTCTCTCGCCCCGCTGTGGAAAGTGCTTAAAAAACGATAGCGGTGCCACTGCCCCGGAGAGAGAGCGAGGCGGGTGAAATCGGGGCATCCGTGCGCAGCCGAATGACTGTCCGGAGAAAGACGCCTTCTCCCCCCAAAAACGCAGCGTCCTCGCTGTTTTCTGGCCTCTGTCCTGGCAAGCGAAAGGGGCCCGGTCCCTCGGAGGCTGGGTGGCTGGCGCGCGTCAGAAGAAAATGACGTCCTCCTTGGCCAGATCGTCCGGGGTTGGCGGGAGGGCGTGGACGCTGTTGGGCTTGAAGAGGTTGGCGGCAGGGGGCAGGGGGTCCGGGTGGGCGCCCTCAGCAGGCGGCTCTGCGGGGAGAAGAGGGAGAGTGGGCCACGGGGCGCATGGCGGGCTGGACGGGGCCCCCTCTCTCGCCCACTGCCCGACTTACCTGGCAGGAAGGCCACGTTCTGGCTGTGGGGAAAGACGGGGCTCATGGAGTTGCGGCTGCGGGAGGGAGGCTCGTCCTTGCCGGCCGACCGGGGAAGGAGCTGCCTCAGGTCAACCGACGCTGGAAGGAGAAATAATAATAATAATAATTTATTATTTATACCCCGCCCATCTGGCTGAGTTTCCCCAGCCACTCTGGGCGGCTCCCAATCAAGTATTAAAAACAATACAGTGTTAAATGTTAAAAACTTCCCTAAACAGAGCTGCCTTCAGACGTCTTTTGAAGATAGGATAGCTACTTATTTCCTTCACATCTGGTGGGAGGGTGCTCCACAGGGTGGGTGCCACTACCGAGAAGGCCCTCTGCCTGGTTCCCTGTAGCCTCACTTCTCACAATGAGGGAACCGCCAGAAGGCCCTCGGCGCTGGATCTCAGTGTCCGGGCTGAACGATGGGGGTGGAGACGCTCCTTCAGGTATACTGGACTGAGGCCGTTTAGGGCTTTCAAGGTCAGCACCAACACTTTGAATTGTGCTCGGAAAGGTCCTGGGAGCCAATGTAGGTCTCAGGACTGGTGTTCTATGTTCTCCACTCCCAGTCCCCAGTCTAGCTGCCGCATTCTGGATTAGTTGTAGTTTCCCAGTCACCTTCCAAGGGAGCCCCACGTAGAGCGCATTGCAGTAGTCCAAGCGGGAGATAACCAGAGCATGCACCACTCTGGCCAGACAGTCTGCGGGCAGGGAGGGTCTCATCCTGCGTATCAGATGGAGCTGGCAGACAGCTGCCCTGGACACAGAATTAACCTGCGCCTCCATGGACAGTATGAGTCCAAAATGACTCACAGAAAGGAGATCCTCAGAGAAAATTATGGCGGGTCCTTGGAGCTTCCTTGGGTTCCTGGATTGCAGGGGGCAGGGGCAAGAGAGGACCCCTGGAGTCCTGCCAACGCTGACTCCATTAACAGACGCCAGGGGAAACGCCTGCATTCTGGGACTGCGGAACGTCGGCAGGTTTTGTGGGGTTCCAATTAGGTTCTATAAAAAGGGCGTTTCTATGAGACCCATGCAGCAAAAACCATACAGTGGGACCTTGGTTCTCAAACGCTGAAAACCTGGAAGTGTTCCAGTTTGCGAACTTTTTTTGCAAGCCGAATGTGCTCCGTTTTGAGTGTTACGCTGAGGTCTGTCTGTTTTTGCTATTTCATTTGTTTTTGCAGCTCTTTTTGTTTTGTTTTTGTGATTGTGTGAACTTAGTTTAGCTACTGATTGATTGATTGTGTGACTGCAGTACAGTGGTACCTCGGGTTAAGAACTTAATTCGTTCCGGAGGTCCGTTCTTAACCTGAAACTGTTCTTAACCTGAAGCACCACTTTAGCTAATGGGGCCTCCCGCTGCCGCCGCGCAATTTCTGTTCTCATCCTGAAGAAAAGTTCTTAACCCGAGGTACTATTTCTGGGTTAGCGGAGTCTGTGACCTGAAGCATCTGTAACCTGAGGTACCACTGTACATTGTTTATTGCTTTCATTTTATGGATCAGTAGTCTCATTAGATAGTAAAATTGATGTTAAATTCTTGTTTTAGGGGTTGATTTTAAAAGTCTGGAACAGATTAATCCAATTTGCATGACTTCCTATGGGAAAGCAGCGTGCCTTGGTTTTGGAACGCTTTGCTTTTGGGACCGGTTAAGTTTGAGAACCAAGGCACCACTGTATTATAACCCTCATTTTGCATCTTCATTCACCCTGTGTGCTTACAATGCTGCATGTTCATCCTGGGGCGGCAACCTCCGCCCCCTGCGGCCCCCGCGCCACTCACCCGAGCTCTCCGTCCGGTGGGAGGCCTTGGCGGAGCCCTTGCCCGCCTTCTCCTTGCTGCCCTTGGTGAAGGCGGCCAGCTTGGTGGGGATCTGCTGCTGGACGGCTGCCGGCTTCTGGATCTGGTTGGTGGCGCTCAGGAGGTGGAGGGGCACCTCGGTCTTGAGGGGCAGCACCGGGCGGACCCCCTCCAGGGCGGGCGAGGCGGCGCTGTCTCGGCGGGCCAGCTCCGCCCTCTCCAGGTAGTCCGTTGCGGAGACGACGCTCCCTCGCCCGCCCGGCTTGCCCTCCAGGCCTTCTCCGTTGAAGCTGGCAGAGTGGCTCAAGGGACCCTGCAGAAACAACGAAAAGGATGAGGCTGGATCCTCCCAGACGGCGGTCCCTCGGGTTAAGTACTTAATTCGTTCTGGAGGCGATTTCCATTTCATCCACACAACAACCCTGTGAGGTAGGATAGGCTAAGCCTGTGGTTCCCAATGGGGGGCAATTTGATTTTTAAGGGGGGCCATTTGAGAATGAGTTACAGTCGTATCTTGGTTCTCAAACAGATTGCGTTCCGGGAGTCTGTTCGACTTCCGAAACTGTTCAAAAACCAAGACACGGCTACCGATTGGCTGCAGGAGCATCGTACAGCCAATCAGAAGCTGCGCCGGATTTCTGGCTCCCAAAAATTGTTTGAAAACCAGAACACTCACTTCCGGTTTTCGATCATTCGGGAGCCGAAATGTGCAAGTTCCAAGACGTTTGGCAACCAAGGTACGACTGTACAGTGGTACCTCGGGTTAAGTACTTAATTCGTTCCGGAGGTCCGTACTTAACCTGAAACTGTTCTTAACCTGAAGCACCACTTTAGCTAATGGGGCCTCCTGCTGCCGCCGAAGCACGATTTCTGTTCTCAACCTGAAGCAAAGTTCTTAACCTGAAGCACTATTTCTGGGTTAGCGAAGTCTGTAACCTGAAGCGTATGTAACCCGAGGTACCACTGTATTTCACTTCTCGCCCCCTTTCTAGAAAGCGACTTGCCGATATGAAGGTCCCCGCCTCCCTCTCCTCTCCAGGGCTTTCTCCCCAAGCGATCGGAGACGGCGCGCAGCCAACCTCTCCTCTGGCCTTCTCCTGCCTCTCCTGATTCTGGGAAGTTCAGTCCCCACGGGGGTCGGAGGCCAGCAATACATCCCACCATTCAACTCCTTAGGAGCAAGAATATCTGCACAGACCTGGGCTACCTTTGAAGCTGACCCAGAAACTGCAACTAATCCAGAATGCAGCAGCTAGACTGGGGACTGCGAGCGGCCGCCGAGACCACATAACACTGGTCTTGAAAGACCTATACTAGCTCCCAGGACGTTTTCAAGCACAAGTCAAAGGGTTGGTGCTGACCTTGAAAGCCCTAAATGGCCCAGTAGACCTGAAGGAGCGTCTCCACCCCGGACACCGGGGTCCATCTCCCAAGGGCCTTCTGGCGGTTCCCTCCCTGCGAGATTACAGGGAACCAGCCAGAGGGCCTTCTTGGTGGTGGCGCCTGCCCTGTGGAACGCCCTCCCGTCAGATGTCAAGGAAATAAGCAGCTATCTTATCTTTAAAAGACATCTGAAGGCAGCCCTGTTTAGGGAAGCTTTTAATGTGTGGTGTTTTTATCGTGTTTTTAATATTTTGTTGGGAGCTGCCCAGAGTGGCTGGGGAAACCCAGCCAGATGAGCAGGGTCTAAATAATAAATTATAATAATATTATTACAGTGGCACCTTGGGTTAAGAACTTAATTTGTTCTGGAGGTCCGTTCTTAGCCTGAAACTGTTCTTAATCTGAGGTACTTTAGCTAATGGGGCCTCCTGCTACCGCCGGAGCACGATTTCTGTTCTCATCCTGAAGCAAAGTTCTTAACCCAAGGTACTATTTCTGGGTTAGCAGAGTCTGTAACCTGAAGCATCTGTAACCTGAAGCGTCTGTAACCCAAGCTAAAAGGTAAAGGGACCCCTGACCCTTAGGTCCAGTCGTGACCGACTCTGGGGTTGCGGCGCTCATCTCGCTTTACTGGCCAAGGGAGCCGGCGTACAGCTTCCGGGTCATGTGGCCAGCAGGACAAAGCCGCTTCTGGCGAACCAGAGCAGCGCATGGAAACGCCGTTTACCTTCCTGCTGGAGCGGTACCTATTTATCTACTTGTACTTTGACATGCTTTTGAACTGCTAGGTGGGCAGGAGCCGGGACCGAGCAACGGGAGCTCACCCCGTCATTGCGGGGATTCAAACCGCCGACCTTCTGATCAGCAAGTCCTAGGCTCTGTGGTTTAACCCACAGTGCCACCTGTGTCCCACTAACCCGAGGTACCACTGTATTATTATTCCTGCCCCCCTGCCCAATTCCTCCGCATCCATCCGGTCTGCTGTGCTTTGTGCCCCTGCCATGGTCGGCAGCAGTCTCACCCACCCACCCACCCAGGAGCCTGCGCTCACCTGCCCTGCCTCCGGAGGCGAGAAGGCGCTGGTGCTCTGCTTCTTCAGCCTCCGCTGCTGCTCCAGCCGCTCCTTCTCCCTCTCGACGGCCCGCTGGGCCTCGCGCAGGCGCTCCAGGTCGTGCTGGTAGGCCTCTCGCTGGCGCTCCAGCTCCTGGCGCTCCTGGCCCAGCCGCTCCTTCAGCTGGCGGGCCTCCTCCTCCCGCAGGCGCAGCCGGGCCTCCGCCGCCTCCGCCTCCCTGCGCTGGCGCTCCCGCTCTCGCTCCCAGCGCCGCTGCTCCGCCTTCAGCTGGCCCTGCAGCTTCTGGACGTGGGCCAGCTCCTCCCGCTGCTTCTCAAAGTTGCGCTGGCGCTCCTGCTCCAGCAGAAGGTTGCCCCGCGTCGACTGCAGGCGGAACTGGCGCTCCCGGTCCAGCAGGGCACTCCGCTGGACCTCCAGGTAGCTGTCTTGCTGGGCCAGGACGGCCTGCCGGGGGGAGAAAGGGGTGAGTGAGAAGGAAGGAAGGAAGAGGGACTCGCCAAAGCAGAACACAAGAGACGGAGAGGAAAGCCGGGGGCCTCGATGTCAGGGACTGGCTGGATGATGATGATAAGCTAGGGAAACCCAGCCTGATATAAAGGGATATAAATAATAATATTATAATTATTATTTCAGCTGTCTTGCTGGGCCAGGACGGCTTGCCGGGGGCAGAAAGGGGTGAGTGAGGAAGGAAGGAGGGGAAATTTTCTGGCAAAGTGTGTTTAAGGAGATACAGTGGTACCTCAGTTTTCGAGCATCTCGGAAGCCAAACATTTCGGGGAAAGCCAGCCAGATGGGCGGGGTATAAATAATAACATTATAATTATTATTTCAGCTGTCATGCCGGGCCATGACGGCCTGCCAGGGGGAGAAAGGGGTGAGTGAGAAAGAAAGAAAGAAAGAAAGAAAGAAAGAAAGAAAGAAAGGGACTCGCCAAAGCAGAGCGCAAGAGACGGAGACGAAAGCCAGGGGCCTCGATGTCAGGGACTGGCTGGATGATGATGATGATAATAATAATAATAAATTTTATTTATACCCCGCCCTCCCCAGCCAAGACCAGGCTCAGGGCGGCTAACACCAGATATAAAACAATTGATTGAAATACAACTTTAAAAACCAAGATTAAAATACAACATTAAAATGCAGCCTCATTTCAGCAGAAACTCAAAAACTTTTTTGGGGATGAAAACGTCAAGTCTTCACCAAGGCTAACTATCCAGACTGGTCCCACGTGGGCCAGAAAAAAGCCAGGGAAGTCCCCAAGTAGGAGTTCCATCACAGAAGGAAAAAGGAATGATGATGATAAGCTGGGGAAACCCAGCCAGATGGGCAGGGTATAAATAATAATATTATAATTATTATTTCAGCTGTTTTGTTGGGCCATGACGGCCTGCCAGGGGGAGAAAGGGGTGAGTGAGAAAGAAAGAAAGAAATTTTCTGGCAAAGTGTGTTTAAGGAGATACAGTGGTACCTCGGTTTTCGAGCTTCTCGGAAGCCAAACATTTCGGTTTTCGAATCATGAAAACCCAGAATTGCTTCCATTTTCAAATGTGCCTCAGAAGTCAAACGGCTTCCACTGAGGTTCTTTCCCCCTTCAATTTTCTCAATGGAAATCACAGACGGCCCTTTGCGACTCAGTTTTCAAATGTTTTGGAAGCTGAATGGTCTTCCGGAATGGATTGCGTTCGAAAACCGAGGTCCGACTGTGACAGAAATCACTGGGTCAAAGCTGACCGAGGTAGCGTTATTATCGATTTACGGTGGGGCGGAGGGTTCGCAGGCTAGGAAGGACTGGCTCACAAATTCATTGACAGCGGCACAAATTATGATAGCTAGGAAGCGGAAGGGGCAAGCCGAATATAAAATGGGAGAATGGTATAAAGAGGTGTGGGATATGGCTATTAATGATAAATTAACGTGTGCCGTTAAGGTAAGACGGGGAGCATGCAGGAGAAATGATTTCAAGGAGATAAGGATGGTGTTTGTAGAATCTGTGCTGTTAAAATGGAAAGGGGTCAAACCATCGCAAGAGGTGTTGAACGGAGTAGAAGAGAGAGGGTCCCTCGGGACTCCGCGAAGACAGAGGGAGGCGTCTGACGCACAGAAAACAGTCAAGAGGGGGCAGGAGGGGGTATCCTTCTCCGTGGGTTTCTAGCTGCAGGGCCTTGTTTCACTCTGCTAAGTGTGCTCCCTGTGACCCCGTCTGCTGCCCTAAATCTGGGGGGCGCAGAGGGAAAAGTAGGGGTCCCCTTACCTGGAGGCTGAGAAGCAACTGGGAGAGGGTCTGTATCCTTTGGACGAGCTGAGGGAGGAAACAAAAGGCTGTCAAGAAGTGCTGGGCAAGCCCCGAATTTTAACATCGCAATAGATCACCAGCTAAAGATTGCAATATACAGTGGAACGGCTTGGCTCCCAAATGGCGCAAACCCGGAAGTGGGCATTCCGGTTTGTGAACGTTTTTTTGGAAGCCGAACGTCCGGCGCGGCCGTCAGCTATCATTTCCGGGCGCCTGCAGCAATCAGAAACTGCGCCTCAGTTTCTGAACCGTTTTGGGAGTCAAACGGACTCCCGGAACGGATTAAGTTTGAGAAGCAAGACACCACTGTACCAATAGATCACGATGTCTGAATCAAGGATGGAGCTACGGGGAAGCACGGTTTTCCCTGTATTGAGATTTTTGTCGGCGACTGCTCTCGCGATTCGCTGCCCCCTGCAAGGCTGAGCCAGCAGAGTTAACAAGGGCTGCAGGAATCGAGAGAAAACACGGCTGGCTTCCCGGTTTTTCCCGCATTGTGATTTTTGCACATCACACAAACACCGCGATATATTGCCAGGTCAAAAATTACGAAACCGGTATCACAATATGGACTTCAAACGGGTTTGGGGCGATCTGTCTTTCAAGGGAAAAATCTCCTTGTTGGTTCAGGCCCACCAGAGCTTCCCTCTCTTCGCCCAGACCCCAAACCGCTCTGCACATGCCCTTGCGCTAGGAAGCCCCAAGGGCAGGAGGGAGCGCCCAGGATCCTGCCCGTGTGCTTACCTCCGACTCTGTTTCCAGGGAGCCGCTGGGACGTTCCTGCCTTACAGTGTCACCCTGCAGAAAGGCAGAAGGAGAGGGGGCATTTTAATTTTTTAAAAAAAACCAGCTTGTTTTACACTTCGTTCCCAAACATCGACCTCTTCCGGCCTCTGGTCCCCCCTAGTTGTGACTTGCCAAGGGTGCCTGCCCCCCCCACCCCCTTACCAATCGCGGCCCTTCCTCTCCTCCGGCCGTGGGGGGGTCCTCCGGGTTGGTAGGGGGGGCTCGGCGGTCCCGCAGGCGCTGCTCCCCGCCGTAAACCTTCCTCTTGAAACTGCCCACTGGGGAAGAGAAGGCAGGGGTGGGGTGAGAGGGGGCGCCCCGCTTTGAATGGCGAGGCAAGGGTGCTGTGAAAGGAGCGTGTTGGTCGGTAGCCGCACCGTTGGCAAAAACACAATCTGCCCAGGAGCGCCAGGCCTGATGAGCACAGCAACTCATCTCTGGCAGCTCTCGAAATCAGTGGCCAAGTCTGGAAATCCTTGCCTGCCCTCAGCTGCCCAAGTCCCCTTCCCTCTCTCCAGGGATTTCCCCAAGTAATTGGAGACTATGTCTGCGGGCAGCCAACCTCTCCCCCGCGCTTTTCATGCCTCTCTTGGTTCTGGAAGACCAGCAGAGAGGGAGCTTGTCGCAGAAGGGGGAAACCCCTGTGACTTCATCTCTGCCTCTTGGCTTCCCTCCTCTCCTGCTTCAGCTCCTGCCTCCGATTCTGGACTGCTCTCTGCCACAGAATCTCCCCGCTCACAAAGCCCTGTTCCCTCTTCAGCTTCCCCCAACTCCTCTGCCCGGTCTTCTCCCTCGGACCACTCATTGTCGCCCCATTCCCCAGGCTCTGAGCCTTCTTCCCTTGGGGGTTCCCCAGCTAGTGCCCCCCACCATTCCTCTGCCTCTCCATGACAGCTGCCTGTCCCCTCCTCTTTTGCCTTTCCCCAGCAATCCACGACTGTGCCTATGTGCAGACAATCTCTTCTCCACCCTTTAAATGCCTCTCCTAGTTCTGGGAGCCAGTAGTGATGTATGGAAGTTGAGAGCTGGACCATCAAGAAGGCTGATCGCCGAAGAATGGATGCTTTTGAATTCTGGTGCTGGAGGAGACTCTGGAGAGTCCCATGGACTGCAAGAAGATCCAACCTCTCCATTCGGAAGGAAATCAGCCCTGAGTGCTCACTGGAAGGACAGATCCTGAAGCTGAGGCTCCAAGACTTTGGCCACCTCATGAGAAGAGAAGACTCCCTGGAAAAGACCCTGATGTTGGGAAAGATGGAGGGCACAAGGAGAAGGGGACGACGGAGGGCGAGATGGTGGGACAGTGTTCTCGAAGCTACCAGCATGAGTTTGACCAAACTGCGGGAGGCAGTGGAAGATAGGAGGGCCTGGCGTGCTCTGGTCCAGGGGGGCACAAAGAGGCAGACACGACTAAACAACAAAGTTCTGGGAGACGAGGGGAGAAGGGAGCTTGTCTCCAGGAGTGGGGAGACCTCTGTGACTTCATCTCTTCTGCCTCTGATTCTCGACTTCTCTCTACCACAGAATCTCCCCGCTCACGAAGCCCTGTTGCCTCTTCCGCTTCCAACATCTTCTCCTCCCAGGCTTCCCCCACCCCCACTTCCTGGGCTCTGGGCCTCCCTCCCATGGGGGTTCCCCTGGGGATTCCCTAGCTGGTTCCTCCCACCATCCCTCTGCCTCCAACCAGCCCATGACAATTAAGCCTTTCTCTCCCCCCCCCACTTACTTTTGGCCACGCTGGCCGTGGCGCTGTCATACCCCCCAAAGGTCTCCGCGCGCCTCAGCAGGCTCGACCCGCCGGTGGTGTCCTCGGAGCGGGCGGGGGCCGCGGACCCCCCTAGCTGGGTGAAGATCAGGCTCTGTAGGCCTTCCACTGCAAACGCAATAATAGGTTTCGGTGGGGAGGCGGAGGAGAGGAGGCCAGCGCCCGGCCGAGCCTTTGCCCGCCGGGCGCTCCCCAGGCACCTGGGAGTTGCAGTCTCGCGAGCGCGGCACCCACCTTCCGCCACCGCCTTCTTGAGGATCGCCTCCCCCTGAAGGCTCTCCGGGGAGTCCGCCCTGCCGATGAGCCGGGGCCGGGAGCCGGGCGCCGGGTCCTCAAAGCCGTTCATCTCCGCCATCTCTAGGTAGATCTGCTGCTTGTCGCTTAGGCTCTGCAAGATCTGCTCGTCCTTTTGGCTCAGGCGGTCTAGAGGCGGGAGGCAGAGTTCAGGGCAGCACAGCACCCAGGGGTGGGGGCAGCCAACCCAAGGACAACAGGAAAACAGAGAGCGTAGGGCCGCCTCCCCTTCCCGGGGAGACAGAGTGGCAAATTCTCCCTTCTGGGCAGAATTCCCTTCTCCTTGCAGCCCCTGAAGAGCTCGGACGTAGGAATCAGGCCAGGCCCCTGCTAAAGGGTCAGCTAGCCCAAGCCTCCCTACCTTGGAATTCCTTCAGCTGCACTGCCCTCGCCTCGGCCTGCCTCCGCTCCTCTTCAGGGTCACCGAGAAGCTCCTCCTCCTCGTCAGGGCAGCTGAGCGGACAAGACAGAAGCGCCCCCAAGAAACTCTTTAGGACGGCTTTGTTTCCTCAGACCTGCATTGGCTCCCAGGACGTTTCCAAGCACAATTCAAAGGGTTGGGGCTGGCCTTGAAAGCCCTAAATGGCCTCAAAGGCCCAATAAACCTGAAGGAGCATCTCCACCCTGGACCACAGCTGTCAACATTTTCCTTTTTCTAAGGGAAATTCCCTTATTCCTCACAAGAAAAGGGAAAAGTGGACAGCTATGCCCCGGACAGCGGGGTCCCTCTCCCAAAGGTCTCCTGGCGGTACCCTCATTGCAAGAAGTGAGGCTACAGGGAACCAAGCAGAGGGCCTTCTCAGTGGTGGCACCCTCCCACCAGATGTCAAGGAAATAAACAACCACCTGGCTTTTAGAAGACATCTGAGGGCAGCCCTGAATTCTGTTTTTAGTCCTCTGTTGGGAGTCGTGCAGAGTGGCTGGGGAAACCCAGTCAGATGTGCGGGGTACAAATAATAAGTCAGGGCCAGGGAGCTCCCCCCCGCTCACCTCTCCACCGCCCGGCGGATCTGTGCCATCCAGAAATTCCTCTCCTCCTTGGAGGCGGTGTGAATCTCGTACATCTCCGGCCCCTTGAGGGAAGCGCTGATCAGAAACATGGCCTTCTCTTCGTTGGCCACTTCCCGGACGATCAGCTTCTGCAGAGAGATCACCGGCGGCTTTGCGTCCTGCAGAGCAACAACAACAACAATTTTATTATTTATATCCTGCCCATCTGGCGAGAGGTGCAGTCACCATCATGACATCACAGGGCAGCAAAGGCCTCTGGGAAAAACCCTGTAAGAATCTTTCGCAGGCAACCTCTGCAAGCCTCAAAACACCCTTTTACACACCTGCTGAAAATCCCTCTTTCCAAATTTTCAATGCCTAATGTTTTACAATTTTGTGTTTGTTGTAAGTCGCCCAGAGTGGCTGGGGAAACCCAGCCAGATGGGCGGTGTAGCAATAATAAAATTATTATTATTACTACTACTACTACTACTATACTACTATTATTATTATTATTTCTGAAGTGTCCTTAGAAGAGGGAGCCCAGGAGACTCCTGTGCCTTGTATGGCACTTAGAAGATTATTTCATGTCACTCTTCTAAGGAATACGTCAGACAGAAGAACACAAGAGAAGATTAAGAAATTAAAAATCAACGTACTATGGCACTGACAAAATAGGATTTGTATTTTGTACATACTGGGCTTGATGGTCAACCAAATGAGCTACACTTTAATATATTATGTCACCTTGTTGATTTTGACACTATGAGAAGCTGCATCTAAATCTTGAGAAGCAGATTCCGCTAAACAGCTTTGCAATCGTTATCATACAGCCTATTACGTTCACGTGCTTTAGCAATTGGGATTTACGTAATATAATAATACATTTTATTTATACCCTGCCCTCCCCAGCCAAGGCTCAGGGCGGCTACCGCCAAATATAAAAACAATTGATTGAAATGCAGCTTAAAAAACAAGATTAAAATAAAACATTAAAATGCAGCCTCATTTCAGTGGAAACTCAATCAAAAACCTTTTTGGGGATAAAAACGTCAAGTCTTCACCAAGGCTAACTATCCAGACTGGTCCAGAAAAAAGCGAGGGAAATCCCAAAATAGGAGTTCCAACACACAAGGAGAAAGGAAAAAAGAAAGAGGGGGAGGGAATTAAAACTGATTCCAAGCCAAAGGCCAGGCGGAACAACTCTGTCTTACAGGCCCTGCGGAAAGAAATCAGATCCTGCATAGCCCTGGTCTCATGAGGCAGAGAGTTCCGCCAGGCCGGAGCCAGAGTTGAAAAGGCCCTGGCTCTGATTGAAGCCAATCTAACCTCCTTCGGGCCTGGGACCTCTAGGGTGTTGCTATTTATGGACCTTGAGGCTCTCCGTGGGGCAGACCGGGAGAGGCGGTCCCGTAGGTACGAGGGTCCTAGGCCGTGAAGGGCTTTAAAGGTCAAAAGCAGCACCTTAAATCTGACCCTGCAGTCCACCGGGAGCCAGTGCAGCTGGAAAAGCACTGGGTGAATATGCTCCCATGGCAGAGACCCCCTGAGGAGCCTCGCTGCAGCATTCTGCACCCGCTGGAGTTTCTGGGACAGCTTCAAGGGCAGCTTCAAGGGTAGAGCGCATTACAGTAGTCGAGCCTGGAGCTGACCGTCACATGGATCACTGTCGCATTCTGGTGGGTTTGATTTTGTATGGCACCTGGCTATTGTGGGGTGAGCCAGCGGCCGGCGACTCTGGGGCTCCGCGTTTGCTGTGCCATGTGTGCCTCCCGCCCAGCCTTGCCAAGAAGCAGCAGATGATAATAATAATAAAAAAATATATATACCCCGCCTTCCCTAGGCTGAGGGCGGCTAACACCAATAAAATCACAGATACTGCGCATAGTGGCACTGCTCATCTGCGGGGCTGCCAACTGCCTCCTCCCTCCCTCCTTCCCCACACTGTAAGATAATCGGGTTATCGCGAGGTTTAGCTGGCGATATATATGGGGAAGCAGGTATCGCCCGGCCCCGGTGCCCAGCGGTGCTCTGTGGCCACGTACCACAGAGGCAAATGTGTACTTCTGGTCTTTCTCCTGCAGCAGCAGCAGCACGTCGGTCAGCAGCACGGCCAGGATCTCTGCCAAAAAAGTCGACAGAAACGGGAGTGAGACCAAGACGCTTTGGCAGAGATGGGGGGGAAATCTGTGAGTGGTTTGAAAAATCATCGCACCCATGCAAGTTCATTAAGCGGGGTCAACTTAAAAGCAAACCGTCAAAATGTGCTTTACGGGGAAACTAATTAATAATGGGGACGCGGGTGGCGCTCTGGCAGGAAGGTAAACGGCGTTTCCGTGCGCTGCTCTGGTTCGCCAGAAGCGGCTTAGTCCTGCTGGCCACATGACCCAGAAGCTGTAGGCCGGCTCCCTCGGCCAGTAAAGCGAGATGAGCGCCACAACCCCAGAGTCGGCCACGACTGGACCTAATGGTCGGGGGTCGCTTTACCTTTACCTTAATTAATAATGAAGAATATGCGGCGTTAGATATAATGCATGAAACCGCAAAAGGGGCCGGGTGGGAGTCAAAATGTTTTGTGTGTTTTTTCGAACACTGGATTTGTGTCATGTGTTTTTAAAAATTACTTTAAAAAATTAAGAAATGAGGGTTCTCTCAGGGTCCCTTCCGACTCTAAGCAGGCCTGAGCAGCCTTGCTGGAAAAGATCTTGCGAATAAAAGAGAGTGGTTTGTCGCTGGCTGACTCCCGGCACCCGGGGAGGCTGCACTAAAAAAGGTAAAGGGACCCCTGACCATTAGGTCCAGTCGTGGCCGACTCTGGGGTTGTAGCACGCATCTCGCTTTACTGGCCGAGGGAGCCGGCGTATAGCTTCCGGGTCATGTGGCCAGCATGACTAAGCCGCTTCTGGCAAACCAGAGCAGCGCACGGAAACGCTGTTTACCTTCCCGCCAGAGCGGTACCTGTTTATCTACTTGCACTTTGACGTGCTTTCGAACTGCTAGGTTGGCAGGAGCAGGGACCGAGCAACGGGAGCTCATCCTGTCGTCGCGGGGATTCAAACTGCCAACCTTCTGATCAGCAAGTCCTAGGCTCAGTGGTTTAACCCACAGCGCCACCCGCGTCCTGCTTGCCTGCAAATCCCGTCCTCTGTCCCAGCAAACTCTGGGGGGAAGCAGCAAGGACCCACCTTTGAGGCGCCCGGAGGCGGCCTTCCAGCACAGAACGCCATCCACCAGGAGCCGCCTTTGGAGCATGTCCTCCTTGCGGAAGACCAGGCCGTTCTTGAACTTCCCCGAAGACTTCACCTCCATCTTGGTCGCCATCTCGCGCAGGCGCTGCCCCTTCTCGTTCTCGTTGACCTTGGCGTCGACGGCCGTGATGACCTCCTTGATCAGCACCAGCGCCCGCGTCAGATCCTCGTACTCCTGGGTACCGGCTGCGGGGAAGAAACCAGGGGAGGAAGGAGGAGGAAGGAATTAGCTCCTCGTTCTAAGGTAGGCGGGGGCTCTGTCCATTCAGGGACTGCGAGAAGCTAAGGAGAGCTTGGCTGCAGGATTAGGCCATCGGGGGCCTTTCTGGGCTGGCATCCTGTCCTCAAAGTGGGCAAACGGAGCCCCTCCCAAAGGGAAGCCCCCAAGCTTCTAGGGATTTTCTATTTAAGTTACGTTATAGTCCAAAGGCTATTCATCAGGAAATAAGGATTTGTTTTAAGTTTTTCATGTGTGCTAAAACTCAGTCTAAGTTTTATTTTTTTATTGTTTAACCCCATCAGTTAACAAACAAGGATAGATATGCTACAATGTCATTGTTTTAGTTAAATAAATTGTTTAAATTGTTATGAAGGAAATGACTGTTTTTCTCCTTCCAATAAAACACAGCAGAAAAAGTTGTCCAAGTATAAACAGTTAACTTATTAAACCTCACGATAATTTCATAATTATCTGTCTTATGTATTGCTACCAGCAGAACCAAATCAGTAATTCTTGACATGGCTGTAAAAACTACTCTGGAAATTTATTATTCCAAAACCGAAACCTTCATCTGGTTGTAAATATTAAGATTATACACGCGATAATGAGTCTTTCTGTAAAATAAACGTGATTTTAATCAAGCCTTACTGACTAGTGATTTAAATCAATTTAATTTAAATCAAATGCACCCTGGTGGAAACCTTGCGACTTTTGTAGTTTCCAGGACCCAGGGGGAGGAGTCAAAGCCATTGCTCCACCCACTTTCCCCTTTAGCCACACCCACCACTTAAATGCAGGGGGGCCCCCAACAAGGCAGCCCCCCTGAGGCTGGAAAGGGTTCTCCCCACACCCGAATGGGCCTCAAAGTTCAGTCGAGAGGGGGAAAGGGATCGAGCCATCGAGCTGGGAGAGACCTTTAGAGGTCCTCTATCCCATCCCACCACCCCCGCAAGCCGCACCTTCCGTGTTCTGAATGATGCGCTCCACCAGGACGGGGTATTTCATGATGCGCTGCGTCACCAGCAGGTTGCACTCCTGGACCCCGAGCCGCCGCACGATGGAAGAGTTGCTGATTCTCTAGAGGGCAAGGGAGACGAGAGATCTGGGCGGGGAGGGCTACGCCTTGCAGGAACGGCTTTGCGGCCCCCAACCTGGCCAATTCGGACCCCCAAATCTTGCTCTCCCGAGATAGACTGCCACTGAATGCAAAGGCTTGGTTATATACACACACAGAGTGGAACCTGGGTTCTCAAACTTAATCTGTTCCGGGAGTCCATTCGACTCCCGGAACGGTTCGAAAACCAAGTCGCAGCTTCTTCCTGCAGCCAATCAGAAGCCGCGTTGGACGTTCGGCTTCCGAAAAACGTTCACAAACTGGAACACTCACTTCCAGGTTTGCGGCATTCGGGAGCCGATTTGTTCAGGAGCCAAGCCGTTCGGGAACCTAGGCCCCCCTGTAATTTCCTTTTATTCTTTTATTTATATGCTCCTTTTTTTCTTCCAAGGTTCTCCTCCTCTCCCTCCCCTTTCCCATCCTCACAACATCCCTGCAAGGAGCGTCAGGGCCAAGTGGGGATTCGAACCCAGGTCTCCCAAGGTCGTAATCTGTTCTTCACTGTTATGCCCCGCTGGCTGAAGGTCCCCCCCCCCCAGCTCTCCTTTCCTGGCCCCCTTACCTTGATCAGGTTCTGGAACTTCTTGCTCTGTTGCAGGAGCTCTTTGTAGTGGGCGACCGCCTCTCCGTGGCTGCTGCAGAAGACACCGTACTTCTCCTTGACCAGCTCGCCCGTCTCCCCCGAGAACTGGAAACCGGGGAGGAGGGGGGGAAAAGGGGGGGCGATTGCATCTCAGGACCGCAATACCTCTTGTCATATGAACCCACCCAGACCCTGAGATCTTATTCCGGGGTCCTCCTTCGTGTGCCTCCTACTTGAGAGGCACGGAGGGTGGCGAAACGAGAGCGGGGCCTTCTCTGCAGTGGCTCCCTGTCTGTGGAATGCTCTCCCCAGGGAAGTTCACTATACATCTTTAGGCGCCAGGCAAAAATGTTCCTTTTTAACCAGGCCTTTGAAAGTGGACGTTGAAAGGGGATGCGGGTGGCGCTGTGGGTTAAACAACAGAGCCTAGGACTTGCCTCCCATCCAAGTACTAACGAGGCCTGACCCTGCTTAGCTTCCAAGATCAGACGAGATCGGGCGTGTTCAGGGTAGTATGGCCCTAGACCAGAGCCTAGGACTTGCCGATCGGAAGGTCGGCGGTTCGAATCCCCGCAATGACTGGGTGAGCTCCCGTTGCTCGGTCCCTGCTCCTGCCAACCTAGCAGTTTGAAAGCACGTCAAAGGGCAAGTAGATAAATAGGTACCGCTCCGGCGGGAAGGTAAAGGGCGTTTCCGTGTGCTGCTCTGGTTCACCAGAAGCGGCTTAGTCATGCTGGCCACATGACCCGGAAGCTGTACGCCGGCTCCCTCGGCCAGTAAAGCAAGATGAGCGCCGCAACCCCAGAGTCGGCCACGACTGGACCTAACGGTCAGGGGTCCCTTTACCTTTACCTTTGGTTGACATCCTATGCCCTTTTAAAATGTTTTTTTAAACTTGGGGGTGGGCTATTGGGTTGTTGTTCCGCGGGTGGGGGGTGGAGGGAGAGGGCCCCCCCGGGACCCACCTGCTGCACCAGGAGGGCCCCGATCCTCCGGACGACGTAGTTCCTCTCGCTGCCTTCCTCCAGCGCCTCCTGCCGCAGCTCCTTCAGCCTCGAGAGGAAGGCTCCGTGCAGCTCCAGCAGCTCGTCCGCGCAGGGGAAGAGGCGGAGGATGGTGGCCTGGCCAAACTGCAGCTCCTCCCGCATGGCTCGCGAGTAGACCTTCAGCATGATCTTCAGCGTCCGGACGTGGTGCATCTCGGTCTGCATCAGCTCTGCAGGGGGGAGCACATCTGCCCCCGTTGAGTCCCGACTTTGCATCCCTCCCGACTCCCCAAAAACTGTACATTTATTTACACCCCGCCACGTGTGAATGTAATTCCCGGTTTCCTGGCACACCCTCCAACATTACACCGAATATTCCTTGTTTATTTGATTTAATCTGACTGGTGTTAAGTACCATCTCCAAACTAACTTATAGTAATTTCCTTTTATTCTTATAGACGGCAGTTTCAAAGCACTATTCTCCCCTATTTCCCCCAAGCTTTGACTACCGTATTTTTTGCTCTATAAGACTCACTTTTCCCCTCCTGAAAAGTAAGGGGAAATGTGTGTGCATCTTATGGAGCGAATGCAGGCTGCGCAGCTATCCCAGAAGCCAGAACAGTGAGAGGGATGGCTGCTTTCACTGCGCAGAGATCCCTCTTGCTGTTCTGGCTTCTGAGATTCAGAATATTTTTTTTCTTGTTTTCCTCCTCAAAAACTAGGTACGTCTTGTGGTCTGGTGCATCTTATAGAGCAAAAAATATGGTATCTATCTGCCCTGTTGTCTCCTTTTCCCATGCTTCTTTTAACTGATCTTTTTTATCCTCAAAATTTTTATTCATTTTATAGCACAAATAAACAATACACACAGAAATACAAACAATACAAACAACTTCTTGTCTTTTCCTTATTTTTTCTAAACATTGTTAGGTGAGCTTCCCCAAGAGCAAATCTTCTGGATCCTCTTATTTCTACTAACATTCTATCAATTTCACCTTTTCCCCCCTTTTATAACTGTATTAGGCGGCTCCATTTGTGTGAATGGGGACCTGCCCTCCCAGCTAGCTTGGAGGTCCGGAGTGGGGGTCCTGCCTGCCAGCTGCCTCCTCGTGTCTGTTGTTCCCCTTGCAGAACTCCGCCCAGGCAGGCAGAGGGAAGAGACAAAGCTGGGACTCCTCCCTGCCTCTGGCGCCCCCTGCTGTCGGGCTCCCTGCTTCCCCCCCATCCGAGCGCAAGGGGCCCCGGCCAGAGCCGCCGCAGAGAAGGCCCCGCGGAGGCGATTCTGGGCTCCTCACCGTAGATGACGTCTTGCCTCTTGGCGACCTCCCTCTCCTGCTGCTTGGCGTAGGCTGGCTCCACCGCGAGGCTCCACGACGGGGCCTCAAACTCCCGGGCGTCCGTCTCCAGCTCGTTCCGCAAGGAGGCGTACTGAGCATCTGCGGGGAGGAAGAGGATGCTGCAGACAAAGTGCTCGACGGGCGGTTTCTCCCCACCGTCCAACACAGAACTCTGGCCACGAAAAGGCCTTTTCACGGCCGGAAAGCGAAAGCCTGCTAATTCTGCCGCTCGCTTGTCTCTAACTGTGGCTCCTGCATTGTAGGGGGATGGACTAGATGATATTTAGGGGCATCTTCCTGACTACACAATTCTGATTCTCCACGCACAAACACACACACGCTCTCTCTCTCGCACACAACATCCCCTGTCCCAGCGCACTGAGTGCCACCACAACCCCCACCCCTACGGCACAGGATTCGGCCCCCACTTACCTTCCACAAAGACCGATTCCGCCGTGGAGGGGGCCACGGAGACCACGTCCTCGGAGGCCGCTTTCGGCTTCAGGAAACCCGAATCCCCCTCGTCCATCTCTGCCCCCGTGAGCCTGAACAGGGGAAAAGGCAGAGCTGGCGTCAGAGGAGCTGCCACCCCCCTTGTCGGACCGCCTAGCCGGGTGTCACACGGTATGGGGGGGCCCCCTCACACCTTTGGGAACGGGACGGCGGAGGTCATGAAAGATGAAGAAGAAGGATTGTAGAGTCGGAGGGTCATCGAGTCCAACCCCCTAAATTTTTGAGCCTAGGGGGCTCGGACCCACAACCCTGAGATGAAGAGTCACATGCTCCACTAACTGTAAGAACTGGGGGAGAGCGGGGGGGGGGGGGCAAAAGCAGCATCGAGGATCTAAAAACACTGAGTCTATGGAGAACATTCAGCGCTGCAAAAAGCAAACAAACAACAACTCTGAAAGCAGGTAAAACCACACGCCTCCCTCTGTCACTGGAGGCTTCAAGCAGGTCCAGAGCTCAATGCCTTAAGGCACGTTTGCTGGATCTGGCCAATGTCTGCTCCAGCATCCTGTTCTCACAGTGGCCAGCCAGAAGCCTCACTGGGAAACCGGCAATCAGGATTCGAACCCAAGAGTCCTCTCCTGTGGTTTCCAGCAAGCAGAACTCAACAGCATGGCTGCCTCAGACGGTGGAGGCAGAGGCAGAGCTGTCCTGGGCTAGGACAGGACAGCCCCCTCCTCTTGCCCCCCTCCCCGCCTCTTGTGGAAGGGAGTTCCGCAGATTAACTCCACGCCGATCAAGGGAGAGCTGCCTTTTACCTGTTGCAGGGGACAAGGGAAAAAAGCTTTCCCTCTGGCCAGCTCCTTTTCTCTAAATTAAAAATTAAGAAAAGCTCTCTGGGGCTGCAAGGGGGTGGGACGGGACCCTGTAAGCCCGTCTCGGCCCAGCAGAAAGATTTACAAAAACAGGACGGAGAAACCTGCGTGCTGAGATTTGCTTGCATGTCGAGAACAGATTTTGCTGTGTGCCAATGAGTTTTGAAGAGCTGGCGTTTCGGTTATGTAATAAACCTCCTTTCGCTGCCTCCTCGCTCTCTCCAGTGGCAATACCTCTGCGCACCCTCCTTGCTGTCCCCAACGGCAAACTCGGGCTGATCCCTGCCCTCACCCACCCCTCTCCCTCGCAAATTCTTGCAAATTCCAGCCCCCCGGAAATCTCACTCCCCACACTCAAGGGCTGGCCCACATCCTGCCGGCATCGGGAGACGTTTGCCAGCCCAAAGGGAGAGCCGTTCCTTCTCTAGGAAAGCGGAGCAGAGGGAGACCAAGACCTCCCCGAGAAACAGACCCACACCAGCTCAATGGGAAGCAGCCCTGAATCGGACGAGGGGCGCTGGATTCCCCCTCTCTGGAACAGAGAAAAGGATGCACAACTTGAGATTCTGACATGGATTAGGACCTCTGAGCGCTTTCTATACGATTTGGAGTTCTTCTATTGCACGTGCATTTTCAAGGCGACTCTCATCTTGAGCCAGGGAAAAATCTTGAACTAGACTCAACAACCAGATACAGCTGATATCCTTCAACCGGGCTCTGTAGTTGTAACCCCCGTGCAACTGGACTCAGCCTACGTGCCTGTCGGACAGTTTTGCTTCCCATCTGATCTCCACCTGTTGTTCTAAATGTTCTCTCTGTTACCCCGAGGGTGCTCTAGTCCAACCCATGAAATGCAGGAATCAGAGCTAAAGAATCATACAGTTGTTCAGTTGGAAGGGATCCCCAAGGGCCATCCAGCCCAACCCCAGCAGCGCAAGGATCTTTTTGCCCTACGTGGGACTCGAACCCACGGACCTGGGATTAAGAGCCGCGTGCTGAGTGAAGAAATAAAACCAAGGAAGGAAGGATTTCATATGGACAGCAGCCTCGTGCTATAAACACCAGACTGCAATCTCCTGATGCTGTCCCCCCCCCAAATGAGCCAGAAATATTGCAATTTAAAATCATGCTTGCATCTGCTACAAGTCTGGGGTTTGGGGGGGAGCGTCTCCCTGCCTTTGGGGGTCCTTTAGACCCATGTTTTTCTGCAAAAGGGAGGCTAACCAGGTTGGGATAGCAGGCTTGCTGGGTTTTGAATGCCTTATGTAGATTTCAATTTCGTTGTTCTGCGTGATGATCGTATCGCAGGAGGAGAGAAAGACAGGAGGGCTGTGCCAAAGGAGGGGGCGCTCTTTCTCGCTGCCTCCCCCCACCCCCGGAGCCCCCAGGGCAGACTCACCCGGGCTTAGCGGCAGCCCTGACGGAAGCTGCGTCGGCCAGCGGCGTGGGCGAGCTCCCCCTCTGCGTGATCGTCATCCCGAGGGCGCCGCCATCCGGGCCCAGGAGGGATCCGTGCGGGTGCTCCCGGAAGGCGGAGGCTACGGAGGCAAAGGCAGAGTTGGGGCTCAGGAAGCGGGCGGCGAAGGGCGGCCCGGCCGCCCGCAGGAGCCCCCGTCCGTCCGAGTGGGGCCGGAGGACGGAGAGGATCCGGGAGGTCAGCAGCTCGTTCTCCAGGAAGACGCTCTCGTTCCAGCGGTTGGAGAAGGAGCCGCAGAAGAGCAGCTCGGAGGGCGCGGCGCCGGCGCCGCTGCCACCCTTGGACGTGGCATTGCCCATGCCTGCAAAGCGGCACTGTGGCCCGGGGGGCACGACACGCTTTTATGCCGCCAGGCCAGCCCTTCTAGAAGTGTCCAGAGAGGCAAGCGCGGCCGCTCAGCAGCAGGGGGCGTATTGGCGGAATCAGCAGGCAAGTCTGGAGGGGAGGAAATTGGGCCCCCACTGCGTGCTCTGGAAATTGCTAAGTCCCTCGTTTAGCGGCCGGAGCCCGCAATTATTTGCACCTCAGCTCCCAAAGGGAGAACATGCTCCCATGTGTCAAAGCAAAGAATTATCTTACAACTGCGAGGGAGGGAGGGAAGGGGGGAAGAAATGGTGAGTGGCTCACGGCCGCCGCACCAAACTGAGACTCTGAGGAGCTGGAAGACGAGCCGAGTCGGCAAACGGACAAGGCGCATTTGCCCTCCGTGGCGTTTGATGCACAAAACGGCCCAGTGTAAAATAAATATAATTAGGGGGAGGCCGTGTTTCATCGGCTGGAGACATTGGCAATTAAGGGGGGGGGAGGAATCGAATTAAGAATTGCACACTGCTGTGGCCAAGGAAAGGAGGAGGGAAGACACACAAACACACACACACAGCCAGGAGGGGAAGCGTCAGAAACTCAAAATATATAAGCTGGCTGCCGAACAGCCCCTTAAACCAGGGTGGCAGTTGCCAAAACGGAAAGGCCAGGTGCCATTTTTGGGCAAGACGGCTCTAAAGTCCTATTTTCCAAAGGATGGACTGACTGGGATGGATTCTCACCTGGCTAGTTCAGAGGACTACCTTGAACCGGGTTAAGAGCTCTGATAACTAAAAGGAAACTCTCTCAATCCTGGGACAGTCCACCGATATATTGGTCTATTCCAGGCTTCCTCCAACTCGGTCCTCCAGATGTTTGGAGGCTACAATTCCCATCATCCCTGACCACTGGTCCTGCTAGCTAGGGATCATGGGAGTTGTAGGCCAAAAACATCTGGAGGGCCGAGGCTGAGGAAGCCTGGTCTATTCTGATATCCTTCCCAACGGCAAGCGGCAAACAATCCGCTATAACGTCGTTTGCTGCTCCTGCTTGGGATACCCAGAGGAAGCATTTGGGTCCCCAAATTTCATTCCCGTTGTGCAGATGAAACACCAGGGATAGAATTGAACAGGATGGGGTCTGGGCGTGTGGAAACAGGAATGACCCAAGGATTGCCAGACGGAGACGTCAGCGGGTCGCAAGAGGTTCAAAGCCAGGTGCAAAATGTGCTGGGGGATTTTCGAATGGGGAGGTAGACCTGGCTCCGAAACCTTGGGGAGCTGCTGCCGAGTCCAAGCTCAACAGACCAAGGACCTAACTTGGAATTGCAAGGACTTTGGGGGGTGGGTTTGCGTCATTCATAAGGCAAGCACCGCAGCTGAGCAAAGAAGCGATGCCCTTGCCTGCAGACTCCCAGCTGAAGCCCTGAGAACAGCTGCTGCCAGACAGTGCTGGCGGCACTGAGGATATCGGGCTTCTGGGAATAATATTAAGAAGACAGCAAGGCTGGCCGGCCTCTCCCCATGGGGGTCTGTTTACTCCTGACAAGCCTGTTTTGCTGGAACGGAGCTCTAGGGAAACTGCAAGCGGCAGGAGGAGAAAAACCTTTCCCAGGATGCAACCTTGCTTCAGTCGCCCAGCGCGGAAGAACAGGCCGTTCTCATCCGCACTGCAGCCTGCAGGTGCTATGGGGAAAGCGGCAGGCAGCATGCGGTGCGGATCAGGCCAGGGAAGAAGCTCTGCCAATCTTTTCTCCCAAACCAGACGCTGGGAAGATCAACGCAGGTTTTATCTGCACGTGGGGAGCTTACGTTTTTGGGCGAAAAAACCGGAAGGAGGAAAGCAGCTTTAAGTAGCCAAAGGGAAGGGCTTGCTCATGTAGTGCAAGATCGGAACTGCGGAACGCACTGCTGCAGGAGGCCACGGCGGACACTGACCTTAGACGGCTTGCAAAGAGACAAATCCATGGAGGAGAGGGCTGTCGAAGGCCTCCGGCCACAGCGGCTCGGCTTCTGAAACCTGGTTTCTGCGAACCACAGGAGGACAGAGGGTTCTCGCACTTGAATCCGGCTTTCGGGTTTCCCATTGAGTCATCCGGTTGGCCACTGTGAGGAGGCTGGGCTGGTTCGATGCTGCGGCAGCCGGACTCGGCTCGAGCTTTTATAGAGCCTCCAGCTCCGGGCGCAGTCTACCTCGATTTCTGGGTTCTTGGGGGTATTTCTCCGCCGTGAGACGAGGAAGCTGGCCTGGAGGGGCCTGATAAGGTAGGCTCTTCCCACATCCGTCACAGAAACGATTCTCGCCGCGCAGGCCCACGGCTGGCGAAACGAAGTCGTGCCCCCAGGTGCTTCCATCCCCCATTCCAAGCTGAAAGCCATGCAAACTCCACAGCCCTGGAGCCGTCCAATGGATGCCCCCCTCCATCTCATTTTCTGCCCTCCGCTGGCTTGGGGGCGCCACGAGGCGAGTGGGAGAACCGCCGGCCCCCAAAATGGTTTCTCGTCCGGACGGCTCTCCCCCCTCCAAGTCCCCCTCCTGCCCCCCACAAGCCAGGCTCCCCGAAAGGCAAGCCGTTTTCTGAGTTCAATTAGCACAGCCTGCAGGCTGCCGAGGAAAGACATTGATTCCCTGGCCGCTTCTCCCAACAGACCAGACTGCGCACCGCAGAGATGCTTCACCCGCTAGGCAGAGAGGAAAAAGGCCCGTTCTCCCCCCCCCCAACCCGCCTCCAATCTCTTACCCAGCTCCTTCTTCTTCTTTTTTAGCCCCACTCAGTGCCGGGAGCCAAGAAAACCGGCACAATTTAACACGCATGCACAAACAGCCAACCTGGTAATATATAGATAGATATCTATTTTCCCCCGTTTCACAGCTGCCAAGCAAGCGATCGATGGGGGGAAAAACAGCTTATCGATTTTTCTCAGGGCTCTGTGATATTTTTCGTTCCCTTATTTTTGTCGAGGTTTCACAATGAGGTGAGATGAAGGGGGGGGGGAAGAAGCATGAAAAGGCGCACATGGGGCGATTTTAGGCCACTCCGGAGCGTTCTAGAGCTTTCCCGAGCGGGAAAAAGGGGGAGCCACTTTCTGGGCTGCCGAGCGCCCCCCACTTTTGTAGCGTTCGATCGGGCCAATGGTCCATCTAGTAGCGTTCCTGACCAGTTGCCTATTATGGGAAACCCGCAAGCAGGATGTGAGCACAAGAGCTTTCTCTCTACTGGTTCCAGTGGTTTCCAGAAACTGAGATTCAGAAGCATTCTGAACCATCATAGCCCAATTCTCCTCCACCAAGTTGTCCAGTCTCTTTTTAAAAAGTCGGTGGCCGTCACTGTGGCAGGTAGTTCCACAGTCTACCCATGCGCTGCAGGCAATATTTCCTCCTGCCGGTTCCGGGTCTTCTGACATTCGGGTGCCCGCGAGCTCCTGTGCCCACTTGCTATGCGCCAGGTGTGATTTTACTTCAACCAGGTGGCCTCTTCCTTGCCTCTCCTCTGAACTGACAAGGCCCAAACGCCACCGCCTTTCCTCCTAGGGGGAAAAGCCACAGCCCCGTCTGCAAGCAAAGTCAGAGCCGCGGAAACAGATTATTTGGGGGTACGAACCTGGGCTGTAGCTCCGGAGCGAACTGGGTGGAGAGCTGGGAGGGCGGAGGAACGAATCTCTTTGCTGCAAGATAGAAAAGGGGAGGGAAGGAAGAAGAGAAACAACACAATGATAACAGGAAGCGGGGCTTGAAGGGCTTCGCTGTGGCAAGATATCGTGAATTGTGACGTTTGCGCGCTATGCAAATATCACAATACAGTAGTACCTTGGATTCCGAACGCCTTGCGGGTCGAATGTTTCGACTCCCGAATGCCGCAAACTTAAAAGGGAGTGTTCTGGTTTGCGAACGTTATTTGAAAGACGAACGTCCGACGCGGCTTCTGATTGGCTGCGGGGGCTTCCTGCAGCCAATCGGAAGCCGCACCTCGGTTTCTGAAAGTTTTAGAAGTTGAACGGACTTCCGGAACGGGTTCCGTTCGACTTCCAAGGTACCACTGTTTGGGGAAAAGCATTAAGCTGGCCAAGGCTTCTCTTGACTCTTGCCGCTCCTGTTAACTCAGCAAACTCAGCGAATTGCAATAATAATAATAATAATAATAATAATAATAATAATAATAATTTATTTATACCCCACCCATCTGGCTGGGTTTCCCCAGCCACTCTGGGCAGCTCCCAACAGAATATTAATAATGATGATTATGATAAAAAAGCGATAAAACATCAGACGTTAAAAACTTCCCTAAACAAGAACAGGCAAGGCAAAAATCAGGGTGTGGGGAAAACCGCGAAGCCAGCCGATGCCTTTGCATAGCCCTGCCCTTATTTCAGATGTCATGCTCTCTTCTCTCTATATCGCAATGTTTAGCTGGCGATGAAGGGAAGCCAAGAGCTCTTTCTGTGTCTCCCCGCCTTCCCCCGGCCCGAGATCGAAAAGGAGGAAGGTGGCTTACCTTGGGCTTGGCCCCACTGCATTCAGGCAAGAGGGTCTTGCAGTTTTTGTGGACGTTTACTGCGCAATCTGAGGAGGGGGAAGAAGAAAAAGAAGCATGGGTCTTCCTTCTCGCCAGGCCGATCCCACAAGTCGCAAGCCGACGCCAAGTGCCCCAGAGATGACTTTGAGCACATGCAGCGCTCAGACGGACCTGCAGAAAGCCCTGTGGTTCACCTGTGGAACTCCCTGTCGCAGGAGGGAACAGCAACTGCCAAAATGTCCCAGGAGAAAGGGACTTTTCTTTTAAGTTCTCAAAACTCTTCACACAGCTCAAGGTCCTCTGAACTAGCCAGATCTTTAAATGAGAATCAATCACAGCAAGTCCATCCTTTGAAAAATAAAGACTTTTTAATAAATAAACGGCAACTAGACATTCCATTGGTTTATGGAGCCATTTGACGCCTGGCTTATAAATCTGAGTTTCTGATTGCTGGGATAGCTCAGTGGAGCACGCGACTCTTCATCTCGGGGTTGTGGGTTCGAGCACATGGGGAGCAAAATATTTCTGCATTGCCGTGGGTTGGGCTAGATGACCCTCAGGATCCCTTCCCACTCCAGAAAGCTATGATTCTATGATCCCATGCTAATAATAATAATATTTATTGTTCATAAAAAGGGAGAGGGGTGCTGCTGTGGTCTAAACCACTGAGCCTCTTGGGCTTGCCGATCAGAAGGTCGGCGGTTTGAATCCCCACGACGGAGTGAGCTCCCGTTGCTCTGTCCCAGATGCTGCCAACCTAGCAGTTCGAAAGCATACCAGTGCAAGTAGATAAATAGGTACCACTGTGGCAGGAAGGTGAATGGCGTTTCCGTGAGCTCTGGCTTCCGTCACGGTGTCCCGTTGCCCCAGAAACGGCTTAGTCCTGCCGGCCACATGACCCGGAAAAGCTGTCTGTGGACAAACGCCGGCTCCCTTGGCCTGAAAGCGAGATGAGCGCCGCAACCCCATAGTTGCCTTGGACTGGACTTAACTGCCCACAGGGCCTTGACCTTTTAAAAAATTATTTATACCCCGCTGGGTTTCCCCGGTCACCCTGGGCAGCCCCAACAGAGTATTAAAAACACGATCAAACATCAAATGCTGAAAACATTGAAAGCTAGGCCACGGGTCCATCATCCAGGCCTGTGGTCAGTCTGGCTCTCAGGCTGAGATGCCAAATCCTTAGGTCTGAAGGTGGCAGAGGATGACCCTGGGAACCTCCAGAGACAGTTTGGCTGCTCCAACAAGGTTCCTCGGATAAGGAGGCTCTTTGCTTAAAACACACCCACCCACCCCCGAAGGGGGGGGGAATATGGCAGCACACAGAGCTGCGTCCACAGCAAATGCCCCCCCTCTGAAAGCGAGGGGGGGCTTTGCAAGCTCTTGCTGAACTGGCAACCGCCAGTTTTGTTGCTGCCTTCGTCCTGCCGCTGCCGGAAGCACAGAAGACGCCCGGAATCGGAGGCTGCCGTCTCCAAGACAAGCTGAACCGGCTTAAGCAATTCACGCAAGACAGAGGCCGGTGGGAAGGGGGTGGGGAGCCCACAGCAGGGTGTTCCCAGTCTGACCCTTCTACAAACTGGGTGGGGCAACCGCCCCACATGCGAATGAGGGCAGCGAACGTTCGGAGCTGCTTAGAAAGCAGGGGGGGGGGGAGTAGTCGCCATCTGCTTCAAAGGCCCCCAAATAACAACCCCAAATGCCAGAGGTGCGTAGTCAGGGGGTAACTGGCTTTGCAAACCCATGGGCACCGGGGAATTAAGCCTCCTTGGGAGATAAAAACAGAAATTCCATGTGTGCCTGGGCACTCGGGGAACAAGGAAACAGGAGCCTTCTGTTCATCCCCAAGCCAGTTCGCCTGGAGAAGATCTCCGCTCGCCACAGGGGAGCGGCTGCTTATGAGCCTGGCGGCAGCGCTTATAGCCCAAAAGGCCACGTAGTCCGACCCCCTGCAATGCCGGAAACCTTTGCCCAACGGGGCGCTCGAACTCGCAACCCTGAGAATTAAAGAGTCGCATGCTCTACCGACCGAGCAGGCCAGATGTTTTTCACTTTTCACTTTTCATCCATTATAACTGCTCTGTTTTATACGCATTGCTAAAAGGGGATGGGGTCTAGAAAGAGCGAGGGGGAGGCAGGTGAGAGCCACTGAGCTAATCTCTAAATGGCCCCCGCTCCACAAAAAGGCATCTCTTTCTACCTGCAAAGGTTCCTTCGCCTCCTTCCAAAGCCAACAGTCCCAAGGTGAAAGACGTTTCAGCCTCAAAACCAGCTGTATCGGAACGGGTTTTTTTTTTAAATCAGCAAGGAAAGGGTGAAGGAAACCAGGAACTCCCGTGCCTAGGATGACCTCACCCCGAAAGGTATTCTGAGCATCTAGGAAGTGGGAAAGGGCAAAAATAAACAAAAACCGAACAGGCCGGACTCCAGAGATCCCCTCCTGCTGCCTTGTTTAAAAACACAGACTCCTGCGGGGGCTTTCGGGGGCGAAATACAGGGAGGATTAATGGAGTGCGGTTAGTGGCTTGGGGTGAGGAGGGGACCGCTCCCAGCGCACGTGTCCGGACAGGTGGGGCAAAGAAAGCGAGACCCAGCTGAGGCCTGCAGGTGCAGAAGGGACCCTCTGCAAGGCAGAAGTCTCAGCTGAGGAATCCTTGGCCCCAATATCTGTCTGAAAACCTCCAACTGAGGAGAGTTCAACTACTGGGGGAGTCCAGCCCCCCGTCGAAACCCTTCTTAACACTCAGAAACAGCTTCCTGCTACAGTGGGACCTCGGTTTTCCAACGTAATCCGTTCCGGAAGACCGTTCGGCTTCCAAAACATTCGAAAACTGAAAGCGGAAGCCTCAACACAACAGGGAAACTCAAACCGGAAGCCGCGTTTGGCTTCCGGAAACCGTTTGGAAACCGAATCATTTACTTCCGGGTTTCACTGTATTTGGTTGCAAGCTCCTTGTCACGGAACCCACTGGTTTGAATTCTCCCCTCTGGAGCGGTAAAAATAAAATATATATAAATGTGACAGCCCTTCTGATATTTGAAGATGGCTGTTGCATCTGTCCTCTTCTCCCAGGCTAAGCACGCTCCTTCAACTGCTGCTCATAAGGCTTGGTTTCTGTTGTTGTTTAGTCGTTTAGTCGTGTCCGACTCTTCGTGACCCTCTGGACCAGAGCATGCCAGGCCCTCCTGTCTTCCACTGCCTCCCTCATGCTGGTAGCTTCGAGAACACTGTCCCACCATCTCGTCCTCTGTCGTCCCCTTCTTCTTGTGCCCTCCATCTTTCCCAACATCAGGGTCTTTTCCAGGGAGTCTTCTCTTCTCATGAGGTGGCCAAAGTCTTGGAGCCTCAGCTTCAGGATCTGTCCTTCCAGTGAGCACTCAGGGCTGATTTCCTTCCGAATGGATAGGTTCGATCTTCTTGCAGTCCATGGGACTCTCCAGAGTCTCCTCCAGCACCAGAATTCAAAAGCATCCATTCTTCGGCGATCAGCCTTCTTTATGGTCCAGCTCTCACTTCCATACATCACTACTGGGGAAATCATGGCTTTAACTATACGGATTGGTTTCTACTAGGGCAATATCTGGTTTTCAACATCACGATGCATCATCAGCTAAGCATATACCAATCTATTTCCCCCGGACTTTAAACTGGTTTTGGGCGATATATCGATATCTGGCCCTGCCTAATTCCCCTTGACCTGGACGCTAGACTTCCGTGGATGCAGCCAGGAACTGCACCGGCCTTGCTTGCTGCTGCATCACAGGGCTAAGCATGGAGTTCAGGACCATCTGGAGGGAACAACATGAGCTGCTGGTTAAGGCTCCTCTGGCCATGCCTTGCTTGCAAAAGAAAACTCCAAGAGCCGGGAAAATGCGCAGCCAGATATACACAGCAGGAAGGTCTTTCCTCGAGTGTGGCGCTGGTAACGCCAAGGTTTTGGGTTTGATCCGCACAGTCTCCCTTCCACCTTGACAATTCCATCCTCCTCTTCCACTTTATCATTATTATAACCATTATGTTTACTTTGATAAAAAATAATGCATGCAATACATTAGGAGTTTTGCTGGGGATGTCAATGAGACAATAAGGATGATAAATGGCATTATCACAAATAAACAAAATTTCGCATTTTGCCACATGCATGCACAGTGTTCGTACGGCCCCTGGGGCCAGGGACCTAATCTTTACGCTGCTTAATAAAGCACCCTGCATTCTAATGAAAACGAGAAGGTATTAAGAATTTAGATTTTAGCAGAGAAGGGTGACCAAGATGACCAGGGGTCTGGAAGCCAAGCCTTATGGAGAACAGTTGAAGGAGCTGGGGATGTTTCGGCTGGAACAGAGGAGGCTGAGAGGAGAGGCTTCTCTTCAACATCCGCGCAAACTCTGTATAGCTCTCGGACCCCCAGCACGGCCCTCCCAGACCTGCCAAGCCCTTCCTGGGATTCTTCCAACCCCTTGGCATATAAACAGTGAGGCAGGCTGTGTTTAGGGAAAGGGATTAACAGACCCCCAAATTTCCCTGCCAGAGGGAGGTGGCGAAGGGAGGGTGACCGCGGACAGGAATTTATCTATTTGCTGATGATCTGAGAGTTAATTTTATTGCGTACTGTTATATTTTAACAGATTACTGAATATTGCTTTATTTGATACAAGCCGTTCTGTTTTGAAGTTCTGCTTCCTTATGACTTTTTGTAGTGGAGGAGATTATTTATTAGAAGGTGTGTGTTCGGCGTATATTTTGTTGCCCTAAACCGCCTTGTGTGTAGTCGTACCTTGGTTGTCGTACCTTGGTACTCATCCGTTTTGGCTCTCGAACACTGCAAGCCCACAAAATAAGAGGATTCCAGTCCTCCTGGCAATTATTATTATTATTATCCCCCTTTAAGGTCCACTGGCAGGTTAGAGCCATTTTAAAACGCAGCTTTAAAAAGTGTTCTTGTAGGGTGGCTCCTAATGTGTCAAAAGTCCAAGTTAAAAGAGGTGTGTCTTAAACACACAAAGGAAACTATATAATTAAGGCGTTGGGTGAACCTGCAGGGAACGGTATTGTCATGACAAATGAAACTAGTTTCGGGCCTAACTGTAAAACTGATAAATTGATGCTTTCCTTTAACCTATTACAATTGTTATATTGTAGTACTGTCATGCCAATAATGTACCACATTGTCTCCAAAATTAAAACTGTAGAAATAATCTAAATCTGATGCCTAGAGCGCTCAGTTGGTTTTTGTAACTATACAACTTTTAGAAGACATTTCTAATGTTTGATTTTTCATTATGCTTTTTTATTTGTTGGAAGCCACCCAGAGTGGCTGGGGCGAACCAGCCAGATAGGCGAGGTGCAAATAATAAAATTATTATTATTACTATGGCAGGTGGTTTGGGCTGGTATTTGCAGAAGCCTCTGGGTGGCACGGCCCTCAGCCACAAACTCGATGCACCAGCGAGGACTTTAGACTTCAGAGCAGAACTGCAAATTGTCCGCTGCGTTTGTCCTTCGCCAGGTCGGCGTTCGCTCCCTTCTTCCCCTTCACCCAAAACGCTTTTGGTCAAAACATCCGTTGAAAGGTAACCAGAAGCGGCTGGAGGGAATCGATCAGAGGCAAGATGCCAAACCACACCTACGGAAGCTGCTGTCGGGAGAGGCGGCTGCCTCAGGCAACCCAGCCAGCGGCCAAAGACAGTGGGAGGGTCCTTCACGCAGCCCGTTGTTAAACGGTGGAACTCCCTCCCACTGGTTGCTGCAAACGACAGAAGGGGAGTTGATCTTGCATTCGAATCCTGCTCTGGGGCATCTGGTCAGTCACTGTGAGAACAGGATGCTGGACTAGATGGGCCCTCTTGGGACGGATCCGGCACCAAACAGATGCCCCAAAGGGAAGAAGCAAACAGGATCTGAGCGACATGGTAGCGGCTCTCCCCACCTGTGACTCCCAGGCAACTGGCCTTATTCAGACATGTTCGCCGCACACATCTTGCAGGATCTCCTCCATCCTGGGTGCTCTGAGGGTCCCCCATGTTGGAGGGGTTGCCAGGGATCCCCTTTCTCTGTCCCAGGGGGAAGAGGGGGCTGGACGCCACTAGGACCCAGTGCCCTCTTGCCATGCTCTGCGGGCGCAAGTCCTGAGGACAGCAAAGGGGGGGCAGGCCTCTCCAGGCATCACAGGAGCCCCTTCCTCCCTTTCCGGAGGGGTGGGGCTTGCACTCTGGATTTGAACCAGGGACCGACGTCCTTCCACCTGGCCAGAGACCTTCCTCCAGCATCCCCATCCCAACAAACATGCTCTGGGGTCCGGAGGCCCCATGGTGATGGAGTGGGCAGTTTCTTCTTGCTACAGTGGCTCCCCAATCCTTGTTTTAGACGCATGAGGTCTAGGAACTTGACTTTCCCCATCTGAGAGGGCCATAGGCTCCCCATCCTCATTTTAGATACAAGAGGACTAGAAACTTGATTTTCTGCAAGAGGACTAGGAACTTGACTTTCTGCATCTGGGAAAGCCATAGGCTTTCCAATCCTCATTTTTGATGCATGAGGACTAGGAACTTGGCTTTCCTCATCTGGGAGGGCCACAGGCTCCCCCTCCTCATTTCAGATGTAAGAGGACTAGGAACTTGTTTCCGCAAGAGGACTAGGATCTTGACTTCCCACCTCTGTGAGAGCAACAGTCTCCCCCATCCTCGTTTTAAGCACAAAAGGACTAGGAACCTTCCCCATCTGGGAGGGCCATAGGCTTCCCCTCCTCGTTTTAGATACAAGAGGACTAGGATCTTGACTTTCCCCATCTGGGAGAGCCATAGGCTCCCCCTTGTTTTAGATGCAGGAGGACTAGGAACCTGTTTCCTCAAGAGGACTAGGAACTTGACTTTCCCCATAGGCTTTCCCCTCCCCGTTTTAAACGCATGAGGACTAGCAACTTGACGTTCAAGACACCCAGCTCACAGAATAACACCCCCCCCCTCGTTTTGGGGGCGCGCATCGCTTGGCATAACAGCTTGACTACCACTGACCTCTGACGTCATCAGAAGGGGCCAGACGTCATCGGGAGGGGCCCGGCCGTTCAGGCCCGCGTCGCCTACCCGGCTCTCTCTCAGCGGGCGCTCCTTCTGCCGCCCCGAGGAAGCCCGACCGGCGCAGCCTCTTCTTCTTCTTCTTCTTCCTCCTCCTCCTCCTCCTCGCTAAGCCACTTCCCCCTCGGCCCTCCATCTCGCGAGACTTCCCCACCCATTCCCGCAGGCTCTCGCGAGGCGCGTCTCCCCTCAGGCCACGGAGAGCATCTCTAGGTCGGCCACGCCCCCCCACCCGAGATCTCGCGAGATCCCACGGCTAGCCTTTCGAAAGCTCCCGCGGCTCGGTAAAGAGAAGCGGAGGAGGCGCTCAAGGTATCGCGAGACTTCGCCGCTGCTGCTCCTCCCGCGACGGTTGGTCGCTATGGCAACCGCGTCGGCCTTTCGAGGTCTTATATTTTTGGCGGGCAAAATGCGTGGAAAATAATGCCGGCAAATCACATAATAATATCGTGATAAAACAACACACGCTCCTTTTTCTCGCTACTTTATAGGGTTTTTACATTCCCCCCTTCATTTTATTTTATTCTAATTAATTTGCATTTTTTTTCGTCAGTGCAAAATAAAGGGGGGGGAAGAATACGTTTCATTTATTTATTTGTGTTTCAATTTCAATTTATTTCACTTTCATTTATTTGTATTTTATTTGTAGTTTCCGCCGACTATTTATTTATTTATTTATTGAATATATATATATATCTACACACACACACACACACACACACACACACACACACACATATTCAATTTTTATTTATTATTTCCGCACATCGCCCCTTTGTAAAGCTGCTTTAGAGACACCGGAGGATTAAGCGGTACATAAAACAGCTTGAATTAAGTGTAAATCCGTGGCTGTGATAATTTAATTCAGTATTTAATATTAAAGTTAAAGGCAGTTTGACAGGCTGCCTCTGAGACGCTAAAGAAAGCTGAGGTGATTTTAAAGCAGGGTTGCGAATTTCCCTCAGTGTTGTCGTTTTATCTCCTCACAAAACGCTTTAAGGGATTTTTTTTAAATTATCATTTTTAACAATCAGGCCGTGTCTAAATTTTATGAAATTTATATATTAAAAAAACACCCCACACAGAGCTTGGTTTTAACGAAGGAGGAGGAGAATGCAGACGTGTTTTATATCCATTTAATATACGCAAAATAATTTTTAACCACACAAAATTCAAATTTTATTACATTGATTAAGTTTAAAGGCAGTTTGACAGGCTGCCTTTGAGGAAAAAAGAAAAGCTGAGGTGATTTTAAAGAAGGATTGCGAATTTCCCTCAGCGTCGTCGTTTTATCTCCTCACAAAATGCTCTAAGGGATTTTTTATTATCATTTTTAACAATCGGGCCGTGTCTAAATTTTATTTTATACATATATATAACACCACAAACAGAGCTTGGTTTTAACGAAGGAGGAGAATGCAGACGTGTTTTAGATCCATTTAATATAGGCGAAATTATTTTTAACCACACAAAATTCAAATTTTATTACATTGATTAAGTTTAAAGGCGGTTTGACAGGCTGCCTTTGAGGAAAAAAGAAAAGCTGAGGTAATTTTAATGTTTTAGTGTTTTAACATTAAAATCACCTCAGCTTTAAAGTCAAACCACCTTTAAACTTAATGTAATAAAATTTGAATTGAATGTTCGCCTTCGGCTGGCGTCTTTCTCCAGCAAAGTCCTGAGGAAATAAATTAGCATTTTAGCAGATCCATCTAAATTCTACTCAGAAATTAATAGTCATGATCTTTCATTGCTCTGAGTATAAAACCTATTTACCCTCGGATTTAAATTAAATTCTACGAGGTTTGGTGTTTTATGCTTGAACTGTTCGGTTCACAAAGTCTGATCAAACGTTAAAAAGCCACTCAATTTAAAAAATAAATAAATGTCTGGCTTGGCTAACAAATATTTGATTTTTCTATTAATTTTTTAATCAGTATTAATAATTGTATTATAAATTGGTATTGCTATAATGATATTATTGGATGGTAATTGAAAACTACTAAGGTTTTTTAATTTTATTATTATTAATTTTATTTTTAAATATTTTTAAATTAGATATTACAATTCAACACATTTAACATATAAAAGAGAAAAATAAAACACAACTCCCCCACTCTGTGACTTCCCTCAGTTTCTTCTGGTTCTTTAACTATTTGCTACTTCTGCTGAATTTTTGTCTTATTTTTCATCTTTAAACTTAATGCTCTTCTTACCATTTTATACCCAATTTTCTTCAAATTACATCTTGCATTTAATTCATTTCCATATTGTTATTTCTTAACATTTTCTTAGTTGTAAGTTTTTACAATAATAATAATAAAAATTTAAATTTTATTTAAATCACTGTTAATTCGCATTCAAAATATTACAGCCATTGGTTTCATTAAGCTGTTTCAAATTGTTTCCAATGCTGCAGCCTTCGGGCAAACAAACAAATAATATTATTTATGTGTCGCAATGTTGGGGGGTTGGACTAGATGACCCACAGGGGTCCCTTTCTCCCAATCCTATTCCAATTCTGCGATAGAATTCTGCGCTCAATCATTCCATTTATTTCCTCTTATTTGTCTCCCTAGCTGCCGTTCCCACGCCTAGAAGTCGCCCGGATGAAGCACAGATACCAACAGAAAGGCTTTAAGATGTGGATTCATGGTGGATGGTAAGTAGGGTGAATAAAAATCAACGATTTTTTAAAATAATAATTTTAAAATCAGTTTTTTTCTGGGTTAAATCAGGGGGTTTTTCTTTTAAATCGGATTTCAAAAATAAAATGCTTTTGGAGGAAAAATCTTTCTATTTAAGTTACATTATAGACCAAAGGCTATTCATCAGGAAATGAGGATTTGTTTAAAGTTTTTCATGTGCGCTAAAACTCAGCCTAAGCTTTTTTTTTAAAAAAAAATCCATTTAACCACATCAGTTAACAAACATGGATACATATGCTATAATATTATTGTTTTAGTTAAATAAACTGTTTGAATTGTTACTAAGGAAATAAAGTACAGCAGAAAAGTTGTCCAAATATGAACAGTTAACTTATTAAACCTCACCACAGTTTCATAATTATCTTTCAATGTATTTCTAATAGTATAACCAAATCTGTAATTTTTGATATAACTGTAAAAACTACTCTGAAAATTTATTATTCCAAAAATGAAACCTGAAAATGAAACCTGAAAATGAAACCTGAAAATGAAACCTGCATCTGCTATTAAGATTATACCAGCAAGGCGGAGTCTTTCTGTAAAAAAAGTGATTTAAATCAACTTTTACTGACTAGTGATTTAAATCAACTCTTACTAATGCTTTAAATCGTGAATCAAATCAAATCCACCCAGATGGTAAGGCAATATTTCAACGGCTGCCGGCTCCGTTAACCCTGAAATTTCGGGCAGAATTCTGCGCGTGTTTTGTGCTAAAAACCTTGCATTTCATGAGCCTCCCCTCCAAATGGAGAAATTGGCGCAGCAAATCGGGGTCACAAGTTAATTAATGCCGGTCCTATGATGGACTCCAAACAGGCGGCAAATTTTTGTGCCCGTTTTGTACTGCCAACCCCACATTATGTGCCGCCTCCCCACCAAAAACAGAGCGATCGACACTCAAACTGGGACCACAAGCAAATGGCTCCCAAACCCAACCTGGCTCCAAACCGGTGCCAGGGTTGTGTGTGCTGGGTTTGGCGCTGTTTTGTGCCGCTTTCCGTGCCACCCCGCAAAATCGATACCCAAACCGAACCTGTTTCCGATTGGCTGCAAAACTCGCAGCTTTGTCCGAAAGCAATTCTGCCCGTGGCTGGGAATCGCATGCGAAGAGGGAGAGGAGTTTGTAGGGAGCAGGTGCCAAGCCAGGGTGCAACGGTGCCCGGGACCCACCCACCCCGCCAAGCAGGCGTGCGTGGGCCAGGGGAGCCCCCGGTGACCTCGGGGGGCCGCTACTCACTCAAGCACTGCAGCCCCGCTTTGTTCAGCAGGCTCTTGCCGCAGAGGGAGCAGCAGGCGGCGGCCGAGAAGGCGCCCGGCGTCAGCTCATGCCCATGCAGTGCCCGCGGCCGCTCCTTCACCTCCACCGCCTCCTTCTCACGGCCTTTGATCTTACCCTGAAAAGAAGAGCGGAGAATTCAGACCGTGGGAACCACCCGGGACAAACGAAGGCAAGCTCAGGTCCAGGGGCCGGAGGTGGCCCTCCCCACCTCTCAGCCTGCCCCCCACCTGCCCGCCGTCTTGCTTACAACCGGTCAAGGAGGTGACCCTCCTCCTCCAGCTCATTGCTGCCCCTTGCAGAACTCAAGAAGGGGGGGGCAAAGCTAGAACTAGTTGGCTCCACCTCTCGTTGCTTCACAAGCTCCAATGGGAACCAACCGCCACTGCCCTTTGGGAAAGTCTTAGCTCCACCTCTTGTTGTTTCTAGCTCCACCTCCCTTCAGGGCTCCTTGCTTTCCCAGTGGGCACCTGCCACCACTGCCTTTCAGGAAAGCCTTAGCTCCGCCTCTCCTTGTCTCTGGCTCCGCCTCCTTCATGGGCACCAACCGCCACTGCCCTTTGGGAAAGCCTTAGCTCCGCCTCTCCCTGCCTCTGGCTCCGCCTCCTTTCTGGGACCAGTCGCCACTGCCCTTGGGGGAAGCCTTAGCTCCGCCTCTCCCTGCCTCTGGCTCCGCCTCCTTTCTGGGACCAGTCGCCACTGCCCTTGGGGGAAGCCTTAGCTCCGCCTCTCCCTGCCTCTGGCTCCTTTCCAGGCTCCCTGCTTCCCACCCCGCAAATCTCCCGTGGGACCCACCTCCACTGTTTGGGGGTGGAGCAGGAGAGAGCTCTCCCTCCTGAGCCAACCAGCAAAGACCTCCCAAACTTCCCCCCAGCTCTGCCCCTCACCTTCTCCTTCTGCCACGATCCAGTGACCCGGTTGCGGAGGTTGCTCAAGCGGCGCCTCACCTTGGTCCCTCTCTCGGCCTTGTCGCTCTTCCCGCTGTCTTCAGTCCTGGGTTAGGAAAGAAAGAGCAGAGGGTGGTTCAGGGGGCTCGTGTGAGCTTTATTAAATTAATTCCTTACACCTTTGGAGCACGCTACCCCACCCCACCCCGCAAGAGTGGCTCACTCACTCGTTAGACAGGAACTCGAACCAGGTCAGGTTCTGCGGGGCTTCGCCATTGCCTTCGGGGGCGCACAGCCCGTGCTTCGCCCTGGAATGGGAGCCAGGCGTGGAGATATGTCAGGAGGAGGGTGTGTGGCTCCTCTGAGCTGAGCGTCAAAATAGTGGCTACGAAACAGAGATGCTTCAGGGAGCAGGCTCAGCCCAGGGGCTCAGAATCTGGGGCCTTCTGCATTTTCCAGCCACCCCCCTGTCCCACTCTGAGATGATGATTCATTCCCACAACCCCCAAGACTCACCCGTGGTACTGAGTCAGCTCCTTCAGCACCTGTTGCACCATCAGCCTGTTGTTGAGAGAAGGGATAATGTCAGAGACAAAGGGGGGGCGGTCTGAGGCGAGAATTGATGCCCGTGTCATGTCCATCTGCCCCCCTCCCCGCCTTTGTCAGGGGTGCAGCTATGTCCACAGCCCTGGATCTTTTCCTGGGACCCATGGGCAGCTCAGCTGGTAGACCACGAGACCCTTCATCTCAGGGTCGTGGGTTCAAGTGCAAAAGAAGATCCCTGCATTGCAGGGCGTTGTACTAAATGACCCCCATGGTCCCTTTTCAACCCTGCAATTCTATGGTGTAAATAAAATACATCAGGCCAATTTTCCCGGCGGGAGATTCCTCACAGCTCCGTTTCAAACGGACCTGGGTCCTTGCGGGAGGGGGCTCTCCAGTTCTGCCCTACTCAGTGCTTCAGAGCAGACGGTGGTGGAAGTGTTTGGGGGGCACCCTCAGAGTCTGTGGGGTGTGTGAACTGGGGGCAAAGGGCAGAGGCCACTTACACTTGCTCCGGGGCTACCTGCTCCTTTTCAATCAGCTCCAGCACCGGGGGCGCGATCCCTGAAATGCAACACCAGAAGCAGCAACATTTATTCACTGTACTTTCCCATGTATATTTGGGGGGGGGACACACAAATTTAAGAAAATGGGGGGAGATGGCATAGAGTTGTTGAGCTTTATGGGGGGTGTTGCTGAAAATCACTCACCCGCACGTGTTAAAAAATCCGCCTCTCGTCTGTCCCCTTGCCAGCAGAAGCTGCCAATAGCACGCCCAATAGCTGCTGACAGCCGCGGCAGCAGCCAATTAATTATCCACCCTATGCACTATCCATGTATAAGATGACCCCCACTTTTTAGCTTAGTTTTTAAAGAAAAAAACCTAGTCTTGTACATGGAAAAGTACGGTACTTATTATTTGAAAAGATGGATAAATTGATCACATTGTAAAATGATCAGCCTTTGTGTTTTGAAAAAACAAAACCACAACAGCCCCACATCCTGATTTGTCTGCATGAAAGTTTGTGGCGGAGCGGGGGAGGCATATGGATTACATGAGGTCTCGCGCTTCTTGAGCATCCGTTCCGACTTACTTGCACAGGGAAGTTAAAACGACACGGCATCAGAGCAACGTGCCATCACCCCCACATTTTCCTGTGCAACTTCTTGGCAAAAGAGAAAGGGAGGCTGATATATTTTTGGGGTGGGATAGGTGCGGGAATGGGGTTATTGCGCCAGATGGCCAAAGCAGCTTTGATCAAGCAAGCCAAATTTGCCGCTGTGTGATTTGCATCCCCATCCACAAACACGGTTTGGTGTTTTCATACTGCAAACTTCCCTATGGTCCTTGGATAGAGGTGCGTTATATAAATAAAATGAATGAAATGAAATAGCGGCAGTCTCCAGAAGGGCCCAAGAATTCCAGCTCAAGGCCTATAGACTCCCTTGGATGGTTTCGCCGTAGGGAGAAGCCTGAGAGAACCTCTCTTCCAAAAACAACTTCTAAGGAAAAACGGAGAGTTCCCTTTCTTTGGGTCTGGACCCATCAGCCTGCATAAATGAGTCCCACCAAATTTGGGGCAGGACAAGAAGCCCCCTCCCCCTCCTGTCACTGTGCCTGCATGCAATAAAGACCATGTCCCACAAGGACCACTGACCCATGGTGACCGGAAGCGAGACCTCCAGGCTGCGGGACATGCGCAAGGAGGAGGCGCCATCGCAGGGGGCCGGCACAGACTTGGACCTCAACCGCTTCCCTCCACCACTGCTGAAACCCTGGGAAAAGCAAAGGAAGAGGAGGAGGAAGGAAGGAAGGAAGGAAGGAGATTCTGTTAGCATGAAGGGCCCCATAGGGCTTTGAATCCTATTCCAAAACCATCCCCGAACCACAAATCTGGTTGAATCCCTTTCCATGGAAAACTTCATGCTGCAAAATAGTATTATTATTAATTATTATTCTTATTTAATACCCGGAACCTCGTCTCGTACGCCAGATAAGTCTCTGCGTTATCGCTACCACCTAAGGCGACTCACGTCTTTGCCAGGCTTCTGGATGAGGCCCAGGTCCAGGCGCAAGGGCTCGATCTCCACTTTGATCACTGTGCTGCTGCTGCTGCTGCCGCCGACGCCGCTCCAAGCTGCTAGTCCTGCTAGAGGCGCGTGTGGTGGATCGGGAGGCGGCTTCTCCTTTTCGTCCTCCTCCTGCTCCGCGTCGCTTCCCATTTCGGAGGCGTCCAGGCTGAACCTGGTTGTTTTGGGGAAGGAAGGAGAGGTTTGGCGGCTGTGCGTCACAACGAGGGAAACTGCAGTTAGGAGTCACCGATATCCTCCTTGGGTTCGTCTCATCGTCTGTTTCTGAAGCCATCCTAGTCAGAGGTTCCCTGGGGGAAGTGACGAGTCCTGACTCTCCCCACCCCTTACAGCTCCTTGCTCAAGTTTCCCCATCAAAATTTCAGACTCGACAGCCAGGGAGGCAAAGCCCTCTTTGAGGGATGAGGGATGGGGGAGGAATCCGACCCGGTTCACATTTAAAGCCGGGATGATCAAATCCACTCTTTCCAGAACACTGTGAGCACCGAAATGCAGGACTCCCTCCACAGTCCACACTCCTCTGAAACCTGCGAGGCCGTTTTCCAAGCAGAGAACCTTTTGTGGAAAACGGGCATATTGGAGAGGGAAGCTGGCATGGAAATGAATATGTTGTTAATGGAAAATAATACACAACAATGCATTAGAGGAGGAGGGATATCTTGCAAATAACGTATACAGTCACCAAAGAAAGTGCGCATTGGCAGAATTTGCCCTAAAATGAGGATTTATAAAGAAATGCAGGGAGCTTGACAGAAACTGGCAGAAGGAAATGTACGGATACTTCTACCCCTTTGTGCTCACTGGTGAGGGCTGGTCAGATGTGGGGCAGGGAGGTGTTCCAGCCCCCTTGCAAAAATAAAATAAAAATCATCTGTGCTCAAGTTTGGCTCAGGTTGCCACCAGTGTTGCCCCGTCTGCCAGGCCTCAGACACAAGCAGCGCAGCTCCTGCCCCTTTTCGACAAGAGAGCCCTGCCAAGATCGCCAACGGAGATTGTTTCCCCCACCCCCACCCTGCCCTGGCACCTTATATGGAGGGGAGAGTTAAAAATAGCCCCTCTCTCGCCTGGCCGATCAATAGTGCCCCTTCGGAGCCGCAGGGGAGGGACATCTCCCCGCGAGAGATCTGCTCAGCCGCAGCCTTAAAAAGGGTGGCCGCCTGGCATCAGTTCCGTAGCCCCGCGGAACAAAATGTATTTTTAATTCTCCTTTGCAGGCCCTGCCAACGTTTCCACTCTGCAGAAGTGGCAGGGCAGGTTTTAAAGCCCAAAAGCTGTCTCTGTCTCTGTCGCTGGTGCTTGGCACCCTAAATGAGATGGCTTTTGAGCGGCGTCACTTCGGGAATGAGAAACAGGAGCCAAGCAGGCTTTGCGAGGCCTGGGGTCACCGGAGCAAACGGGGGGCACTTGGCAGAATATGCAGGCCGTCGCCCAAGGCAGCTGACTCAAGGGCACATGCCGTGGCAAGGCAAGAGCTGAGTAGTGGCATAGGCAGGGGTGGTCAGGTGGTGTCGGAGAGGCTGCAGGATCAGGCCAGGGGCCCCTCTAGCCCAGCAGCCTGTCCTCACAATAGCTGACCAGATGCCCCCATTCCCAGCTAAAGCGCAAGAGCAACTCTCCCCTCCAGCTGATATTCAGAGCCTTCCTGGCTAGCGGCCATCACTAGCCCTCTCCTCCTCCAGGAATTTGTCCCATCCTTTTTAAAAATCCATCCAAGTTGCTGGCCTTCCTTGCCTCCTGCGGCAGGGAATTCCGTGGTTTGGCTCCGCGCTGCATGAAGAAGAACCTTCCAAAATTCACCTTCACAAGTGTTCTGAGAGAGGGAACAAAGGCTGTACCGGAGGTTGAACAGGTTGCCCGCCCAGCACGCAGGCCCAGGAGTGCGGCACAAAAACCTCTCCTCTCCACTCCGAGGACAGATACAAGGAAGTCAGGCAGATGGACCAACAGTAGAGGAGGAGGAGAGCAGGCCTGACTCCAATGGCTGCGGAGGAAGTCGCTGGCGGAGTGTAAAAGGCGCCAAAAGCAAACTTTTGAGTTTCCTGTCTCTCTCAGCTTCGGAGGCGTCATTACAGCTCCTTGCTTAAGGAGCCCAGGTACACCTCTGAGAGGGAGGAGACGGACCTGCCTCCACTTTCTGCATGCCTCGCATAATTTTATAAACTCCTGCCATGTCGCCTTTTCTCAGGTGGCTTTAAGAGGAAGGGACGCGTTCGTGGCAGTCGCTCTGCCTTCCGCAGTTAATGCTTCTGGATAACAAACTCTGGAAACCACAGGAGGGGAGGTTTCACAGAGGCTCTCCTGGCCTCCTTGCGGGCTTCGTGTCAAGGCATCGGGTTGACTGCTGTGATGATGCGCAGGGTGGGTCAATGCCCTTCTTATGCTCACAGATGGGGAGATAAGAGGGGCTCGGCCGCCATCAGGGATCCCCATTTCCCAGCTGCAGGCTCAGCACCCCACCAGGATGCAGCAGCTGTCCAGCCTTCCCTCCTCCTTCACGTCAACTGCCTTAGGTTAAAAGAGTCGAGCCCAGAAAGGGCCAAACCGCCTCCCAGGGTCGTGGGTCTGATCCCCACGTCGGGCAAAAGATCCCTGCACTGCCCAGGATGAGAAGGTGCTCGCGGTTCCTTTCCAACTCTGCAATTCTGTGGTTCCCCACGTTTTTCCTTCTCCACCAGAAGGAAGCCTGGATGAGGGCTTGCTTGTACCAGCCTGGCTGCGAGGCCAGGGAGACGGGGCTGTAGACCCACTGACACAGAGCAGACCCATTGACTTCCATGGAGAGATGACTAACTTAGGCCCATTAACTTCAGCGGGCCTGTTTCCAAGTAGAGGCGAAACCATGGGAGGAGGAGGCTTCTTCCCGCCCCCCTTCCACTGTTTATTTTTTGTCTGAGTGGAGCTATTTTCCCACAACCGCACAGCGTCCGCGAGGCTCTTCAGGGTGATGAGAAGCAGCATCTTGACAGCAGGTCAGAGAGAGTTGGGGAGAGAGAGAGAAAGAACAGAGACCGTCTCCTTTGTCAAGGCTGCCCCAGAAAATCTCATGGAAGAAAGAAACACCCGACAGAGCCAAAGGCTCGGCCCAGGCAAGCCTGTTCATCTGAACACACGCAGAGTGTGTCCCTGAGCAGAAGGCTCCAGTAGGGGTGGCTTTCCCCCAACTTCCGACCCGCTGAATGGCTCCTTCAGGCCTCACTATAGAGGATAATTTCACACTTGGGGAGCCACTACCAAAAAGGCCCTGTTGCAAGTCAAGGCCAACTGGGCTGCCCCTGGCGGTGCCACCCCCAGCAAGGCCTCACCAGCCGGTATGGAGAAGGGGTTCTTTGGCATGACCCTAGCCAGACTCACCTGCGCTGGCCGTCCGTCGGAGACAAGGGGGCCTCCCAGCTGTGCCTCCGAGAGGTGGACATGGACCGGGCCAAAATGGGAAATGCTTCCGTGCCCTCCAGGGCAGCTCCCGACTCTTCCCCGGAGAAGGCCCCCCGGCCCCCGGCTCCGCACGAGCAGGCACAGTCGGCATCCAGGTAGTGAGGTGTCGCGTCCAAGCTGGCCTGCCCCTCAGGGCCACAGGGGCAAGGAGCCTGGGGAAGCACCCCACCGTGGCCCCTGGGCCTCTCAGCCAATGTGCAACAGCCAGCGGCTCCCCGGGATGTCCGTTCGAGGGAGAAGGCCACTGCGGAAGCCGCACCACCAGCCACAGCAGCCTCCATGGGCGGCCAGGAGAGTCCCAAGTCCTTGTAATACTCTGAGCCCTGCAGAGCCGAGTCTATCGAGAGGAGGTCCTCCGCACTGCTGTGGATCGTGCCCGGGGAGGCGTCCTGTTCTGGAGAGGAGGCATCCTCCTGCCGAGAGAGAGGGAGGGAGGGGTCAGAGTGGCCTACCTCGCAGGGGTGCTGTGAGGGTGCTGCCACCCTCAAGCTCCCTGGAGGGATAGAAAGGCAACAGAGACTGGGGCACAGTAAATATTATATTTATTACATTTATTTGCCACCTTCTTCACTTGGGAGTTCCCCAGCTAGTGCCTCTCACTATTCCTCTGCCTGCAACCAGTCCATGATGCTGACTGCGGGCTGCTTTCTGCCCCCTCGCTCTGCCCTCCGTCCAGACAAATGAGAGACATCCCTGGAGCCCAGAGGCACATCTCAGACAGGCAGAAACTCTCAAGGAGGGCTGGCAAGAGACATGGCCTGGAGGGGAGGCCGACGGGTCCGGCAGAGGGGGTTTCAAGGACCACATCCTGCTCCCAGGCCCAAGGCTCCTCACCCAGGCAACGCAGCCCACTGCTGGGACGGATCCCATGGTGCTTCCTTACCCTCTCTTCCGCCATGCTGCCAAAGAAGACCTCATCCTCCGCGGTCAAGGACGGGGACAAGGTGTCTGGGCTGCTGCAACCCGAGGCCGGGGTGGTCCGGCTGCCGGGGAAATCCTGTGCTGCCGGCTTGCACTCAGACCCTGAAGAGGAAGGAGGGAGTTAAGTGCGGCCCCCATGAAAAAGCATCTCCCACGTCCAACCGAGCAAGGAGTTTGTGTCCTCCATCCGGGCCAGAAAGAGACATTCTCGATGTTCAAGGGCACTTTCCAACCGGACAGAAACACTCCAGAAAGATGGGGAAAGGGTGTGTGGGCCAGAAAGAGGAACCCGGGGGCCGCATTCAGTCCCTGCAACTGAGATTTGCCACCCCTGGATTAAGAAAAGCATGGCAGTTCATACATCCCACAAAGTGTGCTTGCAAACTCCACGTCACAAAGATTAAGACTCCAGAACCTTTGTTCCAGACCGTCTCTCCCTCTACATATTTTTTTCTTTCTGAGCTTCAACTGTACTCCATTGCTGTGCCAAGCAGGCATAACTGGAGGCAGGGCCGAGGGCCACCTTTTCTGCTGCAGAGGGGCCGCTTCCCAGTGCCAGCCTCTTCCCTACACGCCCTCCTCTCTGTCCGGCTTCCTCCCCACCTAGCGAGCCTCCAAGGGGCTCTATTGCTTTCCCACTTGCAGGGAACCTTCCGGCCGTCCTCTTCCCCTCTGCCCACCCGAGAGGAGGGGCAAACAGCTCTTGTCTGAACTGAGACCTTTGGAGAAACACAGTGCAGCACTAACTGTAGGCAGAACCTGAGCCCTTCTCCCCTACTATCCGTTGTCAGTAGCCATTGACAGCCCTCCCCCCCCCCCCGTGACTCGCAGTAGAGAGGAAACAGAAGTGGGGGCAAGAAGAACCACCCCGGAACTCTTGCAGCGTGGGAAGTTGTTGGATTTCAGCAGGAAGGTACGGGGCATGAGATCCACCATGAATTTGCCCTCTTCTCTTTAGAGTTTCCTGTGGTAGGGAGTTCCACAGCTCAGCTCTGTTCACAGAAGAGCAGCTGTGCTTGCAACTGCTGCTGTTTCAAGTGAGAGGTGGGGAGAAGAGAAACACCCGGATGTTTTGCAGCCCCAGATGTGCTGTCCTAGGCTCACCCAGGCCCTCTCTAGCATTGATCCATAAACCTGAACCTCCCCCCACCCCACCACCCGAGAGATGGGAGATGCTCCAGCCTCAACACTCGATAAATCAGGCCCTGTGGGCTCCAGGACATGCCGTGCGCAGGAGGGGCAGCTGCTTCAAGGGGAGAGGAAGCGCCCGAGGCTTCAGGGAGACCATTTTAGGCAATGTGCGGGCTGCCATGGATGAGAACACCAGGCGCTCTCGTTGGCTCGTTCTCACACGCAGCACCAACAACAGACACAAGCCCCTCTGCGCATCTGGTCTGCTTGGCAATCCCCAGTTAGTACCATGGAGAGAGGCAGTGAAGGAGCACCAGAGGCAGGAGGGGATGGGGAGACCCCCCTCCTCCATCAAGGAAGGCCAGACAGTTCACCTCTGGCCTCACCCGTCCCTCCAGACCAGGTGGAGGAAGGAGCTGTCAAACTCCAGCTTTTTTCTTTTCCACATTTCTGCAGCAAAATCCTTGTGAAGATGCATTAGCATTTTAGTGCTAAATTCTCCCAATAAGCACCTTTTTTTTGGGCAAACCGTTTTGTAGAATCACAGGACTGTAGAGTTGAAAGGGAGCCGCCAAGGGTCATTGGGTCCAACCCCTGGCAAGGCAGGATTCACAGCTAAAGCATCCTTTGACAGGTGGCCACCCCAACCTCTGTTTAAAAACTCCAAGAAGCAGACCCCACCACCTTCCGAGGGAGCCTGTTCCACTTTTGAATGGCTCTAGGAGACACCATCACCGAGAAGACCCTCTGCCTGGTTCCCTGTAGCTTCACTTTTTGCAATGAGAGAACCGCCAGAAGGCCCTTGGAGCTGGACCCCGGTGTCCAGGGTGGAGACGCTCCTTCAGGGATACAGGGCTGAGGCCGTTTAGGACTTTCAAGGTCAGCACCAACACTTTGAATTGTGCTCGGAAAAGCACTGGGAGCCAGTGAAGATCCTTCAGGACCGGTGTTGTGTGGTCCCAGTGGCCGCTCCCAGTCACCAGTCTGGCAGCCATGTTCTGGATTAGCTGTTGTTTCCGAGTCACCTTCAAGGATAGCCCCATGTAGAGCACATGGCAGTAGTCCAAGCGGGAGATAACCAGAATACGTACCACTCTGGCCAGACAGGGAGCAGGCAGGTAGGGTCTCAAATGGAGCTGGCAGACAGCCGCCCTGGACACAGAATTGACCTGCACCTCCATGGACAGCTGTGAGTCCATAATGACCCCCAGGCTGCACACCTCATCCTTTAGGGGCACAGTTACCCCATTCAGGACCAGCGAATCCCCCACCCACCCCCTGTTCCCCATAAGCAGTACTTCTGTATTGTTAGGATTCAACCTCAATCCATTAAGTTGCCATCCATCCTTCAATTGCCTCCACCGGACCTTCACCGCCTTCACTGGTTCCAATTTACAAGAGATGTAGAGCTGTGTATTATCCGCATACTGATGAACACCCAACCCAAACCCCCTGATGATCTCTCCTAGTGGCTCCATAGAGATGTTAAAAAACATGGGGGAGAGGATGGAGCCCTGAAGCACCTCATAAGTGAGAACCCAGGGGTCTGAACACTTATCTTCTGACACCACTTTCTGGACACGGTCCAGGAGGAAGGAGCGGACCCACTGCACTACAGTGCCCACCCTGGTCCTTGCTCCAGACTGCCGTTGTTTCTCAAGAGGGAGTCAGGAAGAAACCAGAACCTTGGAGCTGCACATTTCCAGCAGATTGTGGCAGCAGATCTGCTCTGTTTAAAAACGGGTGAGCACAAAGAGAAGCAAAGCCTTTGCAGCTGAGAAAGCGACAGGGAAGTAAATGCATCGAAAAGCGTCCGGGGGATCGACAGGAAGAGCTCTAGGCAGCCTGCAAGGCAGTCAGGATGAAATGCTCTGGTGACACCTCCCGCAAGCCAGCCACAGCCTGCAGGGCATTAGGATGGAGGGCAGGTAATAAAAGGCAACGTTGGTAAAAATAAGGACAACAACAAATGCTGGATCAAGACCAGACACGGGAGGAGACCCTTACTGGATCTTTTGCTTCACAGGCCAGCAGCAAGCTCGGGTTGTGCAATCAGGGGTGACGTGGGGACGCCTTGCGCAGCGAAAACCCACTTCCTCCAAAGGTCCTTCGGAGCGTGGGGGTTGTGACAAGGAGGGCGGTGGGGAAGTTACTCCGGGGCATCGCTTGCCTTGCAGCAGCCACCGCCCCATCATCTCGCCTCTCCGTTGCGTCCTCTAAGTTCCCCATAAACAAATGGGAGGCAGGGGAACGCTCCTTAAATGAGTGGACATCACCCTGCAAACAAAACCTGTTCAGCAGCCTATTCAACAGAAGTGCGCACCCCCCCCCCCCAATAAGGCAACCCTTCCCACCCAGCTTTCAGTACCATGTTGTCCAGGGCCGGATTTAGGTTGGATGAGGCCCTAAGCTCCTGAAGGTATATGTCCAGCTGTCCTTTGTCAACAACAAATTGTCACTGTTCTTTGTGTTGAATATATGCTATATGGTCATTTACGGACCTAATAGGTATCTCAAGCCATTTGCACATGTTGCTGTGCAACCAGTCCATGCAGAATGTCGGCACCCTATATATAGAAAGAAGCAAAGCAGGGATATTTAGGGAGCAAGCTAGCAGGCGGGGCCCATGACTCACATCCTTGGAGCCTACACAACACAAAACACTGTTGCTGTAGGTAGGGTTTTTTTTTTTAATCTTAACATTTTGGAAATGTACATCCAGTCTTTCTTCTCCCTTTAAATTTTTTTGGGGGGGCCCTAAGAGAGTGGGGCCCTATGCTAGAGCTTGTTGAGCTTATATGTAAATCCGGCACTGGTGTTGTCTCCTGCAAATGTTTTGGGGCTCCTGCACTTGGCTCTGTCCTTCCTCCGTGTTTTGAGGTGTCTGAACGCCACTTGCTGGGAACTTCAGAAGGGGGAGAGATGCTCTCACGCTCGGGTCCTGCTTCTGGGCTTCATCCCTTTGGGGCCTCTGGGCGGCCACTGCGAGGATGGATGGGGGGGCATTTGGCCTGATCCCGCGGGCTCTTCTGACTCTCATTCCCTGTCGCTGCTGACTTCCTGAAACTTACCACACCACAAGAGCTCCAGTTAACCTGAATTTAATTTTGTGCCCCACTTCCTTTGCTGTGTAGCACAAGAGTTGACCCCTCCCCGGATAGCAATAGGGTGGCAACCTTGGGGAAGCAAACTCACAAAGCGGAACAGCTGTGTGGACGGCCCACAGATCTTGCATCAGTGAGACACTGCAGAATGCAGAGGATCTGGAGGGGAGAGAAGAAGGAGGGAGGCACAAGGGGTGTCTGCCCACCTCCCCTCTCAATGGGGAGTTCTGCCTCTTTCCCAGATTCCTGCCACCTTGTCCCTGGGCTGCAAAGCTCTCCCAGCGCAGAGCCCTTCGGAGCCCTTCGCCTCCCGAGATGTGGCCTGCACACCCAGGAAAACAACACCCTCCCCAGGCCCGCTCGTTGGTTTACTTCGGTTTATGAGTCACTTCCCATAAAAGACATCCCAAAGCAATTAGCAATAAAAATCCTTAACAACAGATGCATCTATATCAACAGTATAAAACCGGGCATAAAAACAACCTGAAGCAGACAGAAACCAGGACGAGAGCCTCAGCTTTTGAAGCCTTCTTGGAAAAAGGACAGTCTCAAAAGTGCAGAAGGGGATCCTCAGCACACGCACCCCGAGGCAGAATGTGGCCCTCCAAGGCTCTCTGTGCGGCCCCAGGATAGGGAATGCAGCCCACAGACTGGAAATGGGCCCATTCTCCTCCTGTCCACAACCCGATTCAGCAATGGCTGGGGATGGGTGTGCGTGCTCAGGTCAGCGTTCGAATTCAGCCAGGAGCCCCAGTGAACAACGTTCAGCCCCTCTCCCCAGCCTGGCCTTCCTTCATAGGTCTGTTGTGAGAATAAAACTAATGGGGGGGAGAGGCCCCTTTGGAGGAAAGTGTGGGGTGCGAATCTATCAGGGCACCCTTAGCCTCTCTAGAGAAGCTGGGTGCGTGAATCGAGAAGGCGAAAGGGACAGGCCAGATGGTTTCTCCCTGAAGGAGCTGCGGTCCTCAGGCCACCAGCCCCACCCAGCTGTGTACTGTCCACACCGGCTGGCAGCAGCTCTCCAGTCTAGCCCTACCCAGAGAGGATTGAACCCAGGAGAAGCATGCGGCTGAGACATGGTCCTCCCCTTTACAATGAAGCAAGTTCTCATGACTCCGAGCAAAAGTCTGCATTAAATGCAGGAAGTCAGCAAACTCGAACCTGTGGCTTCAAGTGACAAGGAAGGAGATTCCAACTAAACATCAGGAAGGACTTTCTGACAGTCAGAGCTGTTGGACGGGGGAACGGTCTCCCTCGAGAGGTTGTGGGTTGGACGGTCATCTGTCGTGGATGCATTAACTGAGATTCCTGCATTGCAGAGGGTCTCTACAATTCTGTGATTCTGATTCCTCCACGGAGCCTCCATGGGCAGAGCCAGCCTACCTTAGAACAGTGGAGAACCAGAGTGGGAAGAGGCTGTTGCTCTCAGGCCCTGGCTTATGGGGGCTTCCCTTTGGGGGCATGTGAGGACAGGCTGCTGGACTAGGCGGGGGGCCCCGTGGCCTGATCCAGCCGCAGGGCTTTTTGGAAAGGTATTAGAGAAATTTGCAGAGGATAAGACTGGCTATGGCGGTCGGAATCGCAAGCAGTGAGAGTTGCTGCTGCTGCGCTCAGTCCTCCTTGGGGACATTCTTCCCCTGGGGACTCACGTCTGGCCATCACGAGGACAGCAGGCCAGACCCCATGGGCCCCCTTTGGCATGACAAACATCCTGCTTCAAGACGCTTCCGATGTTCTTAATAAGCTCCTGGGGACATGAAACAGATCCTGCAAATTGCCCATCTCCAGCGGTGAACCATAAAAGGCTATGGCTGCAGCACGGAAGCAGAACAGCCTCTGCCCCAGCTCTCCAGGATTTTGGGCAGGGGACACCCGTGAAAAAGGTGCTGGTTTAAATAGGGCCCTGGGGAGCTGCCTTCTGTGGAGTCAGAGCCTTGGTCTGCCCTGACTGGCAGCAGAGGGTCAGGCAGGGGGTGGAGATGCCGCCATCAGAGCCTGAGCCTGGGACCTTCTTCCTCTTGCCAGCCAGCGATGGGCCTTTCCTTGGAGGTTTCAGCCCCGCGGCAGCGACAAAAGGATCGGTTCGCTCAGGAACAGAGGAAGCTGCCCTGAACCGGTGCCAGAGCGCAGGGCCGCCAACACTGACTGGCAGCACCGGGGCTCTCCAGGGAGAGAGTCTTGAGCTACAACACCTCCCTTTGCAAAAGACAGAGTCAAGATTTGGGGGCGTCAGAGTAAAACGGGGTCCAGGAAAAGGAGTTGAGGCACAGGAGGGGTTCCTGGCTACCTGGAGAGTTTGGCCCCTGCCTCAGACAGAAGCAGCTGGTCCTTTGAACAGGGCAGGTGGAGGTTCAACAGGCACAGCCCAATCCTGCCAGCTACACCCAACCCACATTTTATGCACCGGTTATTTATTATGGCAATTTCCAGCCTGAAATACCAAACCTGCTACCCCCGGGGTTACGGCATACTGTAGAACTCCGGGAACAATGTAAAAACCACACAGCATGCATGTCAAACCAACCTCGCCCCTAATTCTGCAGGCAAAAATAGCAGAGCAGGTCAACAATTGATTAATGGGGTTGCATCGATTCATTCAGCGGAACCCACTTCAAAGAGAAGTCTCCTGAGGCCGGAGGACCCTCGCTGTGCCGCCCCTTCCTCCTCCCTGGAAGCAGGAAGCCCTGAGTGCTGGCGGGGGTCAAAGCAAATCCTAGCACACACCCGCCCCCTGCCCCACTCTGCCGCCCTTTGCAAAGGCAGCCTCCACCCCACCCCACCCCGCTTGGCGTTGCCCTTTGGCCAGGTTACCTCGCTTGAAGGACCACCTTTTCATCCATCGCCTGGAGAAAGACGGCCAGGAGTGGTTGAGGAGCGAGTCGGCCATGGGGGGGCTTTGCAGGGGAGGCAGGCGGAGAAGAAGCTGTGAAAAGAAGGGGAGGAAAGAAAGAAAGAAAGAAAGAAAGAAAGAAAGAAAGAAAGAAAGAAAGAAAGAAAGAGGGAGGGAGGCAGCTTCTTCCCGGGGAAGCCAGGGAAGGACTGGGAGAGAGGAGACAGGCAAGGACTTTGTCAAAGGCATCAGCTGATGATGGAGGAGGAGCACAGGAGTAGAGGCAAGCCGGCCGCCTTGGCACCTGCTCGGGCGCGCCCACCGAAGCGCACAGGCAGCTCTGGAGAGGCAAATCTGGATGCCCGCTGCCTTGGCGTTTTGCTTAACGCCCTCCAGTGAAATCCTGCGTCTTTCGCCCTCCGTGCACGGCCCTCGCATTGTGAGGATGGGATTTCCAGCCTTAACTCGGAACCCCCGTTTTCCTCCTGGCACGAAAGTGGCTCAGAGCGACTTGGCGAAGCCTCGGGGATCAGCGCACAGCCAAGAAATACCTGAACACACACACACACACGCAATGTACACACCTCGAGCCTGAATAAAAGGCAGGCTTTGTAGCGGCTGCCCCGCTTAAAGGGGGCACTTCGAAAGCCAGAGGGTGTCGCTGTCACTTTGGAAGCAGGGCCGGAGGGGTCAGGAGACGACTCTAGGGCACAGAAGGGGCAGGTCTCTCTTCACCCATTTCATCCATTTGTTAAATTCGTGCCCTGTCGTCTTCCTTCCCAGGAGCTCGAGGCGGCCTGAGCGATTCCCCTCTTTCCCATTTTATCCTCCCAACAACCCTGGGAGGTAGGGCAGGCAGAGACTGAGCGACTACACACACACACACACACACACACACACACACACACACACACACACACCCCGCGCCAGGCTACCACCCAGTGGGGATGTTGTTCTGTCTTGTGGAATAGAACCTCCCTCCCTCTTCCAAAACTTGGGTTTGGGGGTTGTATGGACTTTGTTTGAGACCGAGGCACTTGGTGAACCTGGAGAAGGGCGCTGGGAGGTCTGCTCGGGCGAAAGGGGGCCCTGCCCCTGCCCCACCCGACCTCCTTCTGCCCCCAGCCGGTTCCCCGCATCGCCTTCTTCCTCCTGCTGACCTTCCTCCCTTTAAGACTGTGGCAAAACTTGCAGGAGGACCAGAAGCGTCTTTGCTCTCTCCTCCTTGCTCTCTCAACCCCGCTTCCCTCTGCATTTTAACATCCAGGCTGAAGAAGCGTTCTGCTGAGCTCAGAAGCTTGCTCTCTCTGCGGGGGCGGACTTACCCAGATTCTCTTTCTCCTGCTTCCTGATGCCTCTTCTCTCGCTGGGCACTCGGAGCAGCCAAAAATAAAATGAAATAAAGGCAGTTGGCTCGCTAGGGTAACCAGTTCGAAACCAACCACTTCCTTTTCTCTTAAGAAACCTCCTCCCATCTCCGGAAGATGAGACTGACTCACCCCTTCTTCATGCCACTCGCTTTCTGCTAATGGTCCTCCCTCCTTTTGTGGGGGCCACAAAATATACAGACAGCACCTTGTATGGAGTCCTTGGCACCCACCTTGCTCAGTATTGCCTGCACGGACTGGCAGCAGCTCTGCAGGCTTTCTGAGCGACTTTTGTTACCAGGTTTGTTAACCAGGAGAGACGCTGCCGGCCTGTGCTGACAATCCTGAGCTCGATGGAGGGGGGGGGATCTGCCATGGTTTAAGGCGGATTCCGATATGGAATGCTGTTTGGTTTCAGTTAACAAAGTCTACATACCGCTCAATTGCAATGGAACTGCTAGGTGGTTTTTCAGGGAATATTAAAACCATCAATAAAAACCAGCCAGCAGCATTTAAAGATACTCCGTTAACGTTAACAGGCACTTATGGGGTACTAATAGTAACACCTTGAGTAACTCAGTCCAGGGGAGCATGAGGCTATTGATCTCAGGGTTGTGGGTTCGAGTCTTACCGTTCTATGATTCTATGAACTTGGCCCGGCAGCAAATGTGCAGATCTCTGAGCCACAGGCGTTACAGGCTGGCAAGGCCTCACTCTTGCCAGCAGCAGCACTGCATCTAGCTACCAATTGCAGGAAACATAGCGCGGGGCCACTTCAGGACTCGTCAAGGTGCCTGGCAGCCGCCACAAACGTATCTGGGCACACAGAGCAACTGCTAATGTACCTCCACTTCCCCCTTGTGCTAAAACTCACAGAAACAGCCTTTCTTCATTGGGACACCCTCCAGAGCTTTGGAGCTCCAATATTACACAGGCTGTGGGGGCCAATGGGAGTTGTAGTCCCAAGGTGCCCGGTTGGGGGAAGAGTCGCTGAGGAGGCCAAAAAGCAGGGGGGTTGTATGTACCACATTTCCGAAGGGTGCCCAGAGACACACTCCTGAAAGAAAACACCGGCAGGGCTGGGAGTTCCTCTGGCTCATCTCAGGCACCCAGTATTTGCGAAGGAAGTTGGGCAACCTGACTCTGCTCTCAGCGAGATAAGCAGCCGTTTCTCAGCCTCAAAGCCACAGGCCGATTCAGCCCGAGGGACGCATGCAGGGCAGGTTCCTGAGAACCAGTGTGGACAGTCCTTAGCGAGATGGACCGACAAGCTGATAAGGCAGCTTCTATCACATCAGCCCTTGAAGAACCACAGAGCTGGAAGGGACCCCAAGGGCTATCTAGTCCAAGCCGCTGCAGTGCAGGAATCCAGAATGCTGCTTTGGGGAGAGCACCTGTTTGGTGTGCAGAAAGAACCCCGCTTCCAAATGCAGCTGGGGCTGGCAGATACCCCAAGGTCTTCGCCTCTGCCGTGGCGGACCTGCGTCGACAGTACTGGTCTAGGCGGAGCGAGGGTCGGACTCTGGACAAAGAAGGCAGGTCCTGCACCCCAAACTCTTGTCAGCATGGGCAACAGGAGCTGGGAGTCCTGAATCGATCGCCAGCTGCCCACTGCCAGGCTTTTAAAGAAGAGGCTTTTAAACTAAGGTGCGACCCAGCTGTTTATGGGAACATGAACTGCATGTGTGCGACTGGTTTGCTATTCAGAGTTTGCGGGAGCAGCTTTTAGAAATCATGGGCTTCACAGAATCCTAGAGATGCAGAGTTGGAAGGGAACCCTGGGGTCATCTAGCCCAACCCCCAGGAACTAAAGCACCCATGACAGGTGGCCGTCCAACCTCTGCTTGAAACCCCCCCAGGGAAGGAGAGCCCGCCACCTTCCAACCTGTCAAACCGCCAGGAAGCTCTTCCTAATGTGGTCAGGATCTCCTGTCCTGCCATCTAAATCCACTGAGTTGGCAGTGGGCTGCCTCCAGCAAAGCCTTACTCAAGACTCCCCAAAATTAAGGGCTTAAATGACTCTTGAGTAGAACAGCGGCACTGGACACAAGCCTGCATTTCTTTATTACAGTATTATTATTATTATTATTATCATCAGTAATCCATTTTTATCTTGGTCTAACGCAACACTCCCTGGTAGCTTCAGGCTGGGGAGAGATTTTGTGAGCCTGCAAAGGGGCCCAGAAACAGCGAAGGAGGAGGAGGCAGCAGGAGGCTGGGATTTGCAAGGCTAGAAAACAAAGCAGCGTTTAGCAGCGCAGACCAGGACCCTCGGGAGTCGGAGGCATTCTTGGATAATTTATTCAGAATTTTGTTTTTGTGTTTTTTTAATATAAACAGTTAATTGTTCAATATTTTACACACAGCAAAGAAAAATCCGTTTGATATTCAAAGATACTCTCTGTACACATCACTGCCTGGGCTCCGATATGAAAAGCACTGACAAAAGAAATAGAAATCAAGTGGGCCTACTATTTTTCTATGAATTCTTCTCAAAACCATGGCACATATTGATATTGATCCTTTTATTTTAAAAACAAGAGGTATTTTCTTTCCTTTCTCTCTCTCTCTCCAATGCCGCCCCTTCTCAGTGTTTGGGGACCATCCTCTGCACGTGTGGGGAAAGTGGGGCAGCGGGGGGGCTAGCTTCTCAGGCACTCCACGGCGGGCTTGGGGAACCCAGCGAGGCCTTTGCTTGGACCTCGGGGGGACCCAGGAGGCGGCCCCACCCTGCCCGTCCGCCTCGCTAGGGGGAAGCCAGCCCAGCTTTCTCCGTGCAGAGATCCGTTAACCTTTCCAACGTTCCGGCAATGGGGCAATTCAAAACGTCCCTAGAAAACGCTTGCATTGTGATTCTTTTTATATATATATATAAAATAAAAAAACAAAACACGTTTTAAGACAGCTGGACCAGTCCTGAACAGCAGCAGCAGCAGCAACAAAAATCAACAAAAAGCAGTGTGTGTTGGTGGCGAGGTGATTTTACCAACAGGCAAGGCGGTGGGAAAACCCCCCTTCTGCTTCCGGGACAGGGCTGAGAAGCACTCGATGGATTTCCACAGAAATAAACCGGGGCGAAGGAGCACACACAAGAGAGATGGCTGTGTCCAGCAAAAGTCCTAGAGAACACGCAGAGCTCACAGAATCGTAAGGAACCCCCGAGGGTCATCCAGCCCAACCCCGTGCAACACGAGCAAGAGAACTCCTGACTCTGAAGCGAGCTGGAGTCCCCTCTGTGGGTCTCGCTTGGCAAAACGGAGAGGGATGCTTCTTCCACCCTGCAGGATCCTCCACGGGGTTCGGACAGAACGAAAGGCTGGCGAGTCAGAGTTCTCAAGGCAGGCCGGAACTCAAAAACTGGAGTTTGTGACCTTAATGGGAAACAACCTAAACGAAACCCCACGTGTGACTTAAGTCTTGCCAGTTGCTTGCAACTATTCCGAAGGGAGGCAAGGCACAACGGAAACTCCCCTCCATCCTGGCAGGAGGAACCACGCTGGAGGGCAGCTACTTGATAGTGGCTGTGGGCAGAAGGGGCAATTGGGAAGGCGAGGGAGGGAGAGAAGGCGGAGGACACACAAGCCGAGCAGCCGGCCTGGTTCACTTGCAGCTCACAGCACCTCATCCGCAATCCCAGCACAAAGAGGTCCGTTAGACAGCGCAAGGCCCTTGCCTCGGAGGGCAGCAGCGGGATGGCAGCATCGGTTAAGCTACAGCTGCCGTGCAGAAAGGGGACCCTGACCGCCTAGCACCCCACTGGGCCAGCCTCCACCCTCACCCCTCGGCCAACATCTAGGGAGCTGCTTCCCTACCCCACCTTATCTACGCAGCTCTGCGCCCAACGCACAGCAGACCCACTGATGCCATCGAGGAACTGGACTCCGTTGGAGATGACCCAGTTTGCCCAGGGCACAAAGAGAGCTTTTTTAAAGCCCAGCTGCCAAGGAGAGGTTGCTGGGGATTGCAGTAGGACAAGTCCCCTTCTCCCCCCGTGAAGCAAGTGCTCAGCCACTGAGCTGAGGTTCTCAAGAGGGGAATCTTTTCGAAAAGGGTTTTTTTTCTGTGTGCCTTTCTGCTCTCCCTTCCAGCCCCAGCCCCCCCCCCGGCTCCCCTTAAACGGACAGGCGCTCTGGGCCCTTCTCCCCTAAGTGCAAGAGGCTCCGCAATATGGATAGCACCAAAAACTGGCACATCTCTACCCAGGCCGGCAGATGTGAGGCCTCCTCTCTCTCTCTCTGTGCAAACTAGGGCCAGAGGCGTCAGGGGCAACTTGAAAGCTCTGGGGCGTTCGAGGCTCTCTAATCTTTCAAATGGGCGCAAAACAAAATTGCAGACTGGCAGGAGAGACTAAGGACCCCCCTTCTAGGCATCTTTACACGATGGCCTTAGGGGTGGGTTGACGCCACTCTGCAAAGGTTTCAGGGCAGACAGAGAAAGCTGCTTCGTTCCCAAACATGGCACTTCCCGCTCTGTCCCACCAAGAGATGCCCCTGCAGGCGGCAATAAGGTGCCAACATTGAGGAAGCGTCGCAGGAACGCAGCATGGAAGGCCCAGGAGGAGCCCACCACGAATGTGCTATTAATTGTGACCATGGCGCCCATGAAAAACCCCACCGCTCTGGGAGGGGGGCCCTTGAGGCAGCTCCTAACAACGGCCCTGCTTTCCTGAGAGAGGCACACCTCCCCAAACAATCTTCCTCGCTCCCCAGCACACGCCCCCCCCATCAAATTCAAACCTCCATCCTCCTTGTGCTCAGCAGAAAAAAAGAAGATAAATCAAGGTGCATTTTCAACGAAGGCAAGCAGAGTGGATTTTTTTGGGGGGGGGGGCACAGAACCACCTATGTGTAATTAGTCTGTCCAGTACCCACAAGGCCTACAGATCCGCTTATTCCGTCGACTCGACAAGATCCATGTCGGTTTCTTTTTCTCAGAACGATTCACATTATAAGGAAATACGGGGGGTGGGGTTCTTCCTTTTTTCTCTTTTTTTTATAGAAAAAGCTTATTTCAAATGACACTGAGGTAAGAGAGAGGTTTTGGCGATGCAAATTTCAGCAGGCGAACAATCGCCTGGGACTGAAGAGGAAATCTGAACTGGGGGGGGGAGGAGGAGGAGCAGAGGGCGGACCCCACAAATTCTGTGGGGCCCACTGACTGGAGCAGAAAAGCTCTAAAGTGCAACACTGGGGAGGTTAGCCGGGGGGGGGGGGGAGAGAAACCCTTAAAAAAAACCCCCAAGGGTTGAAGAGGGTTCTTGCCCCCACCTCACAGGCGGGAGACACACAGGCAGATTGCACAACTGACCGGGTTTAGCAGGGCAGAAACAATTCCCCAGCTGCCATCTCCTCCTCCTCCTCCATCTCTGCCTCCCTGGCAAATAATCACAGCGTTTGGGCTTATTCCCCCCCCCAAAAAAAGGGGGGGCTGAGGCAAAGGCACAGGGGGCACAAGGCCAGAGCAAGACCGTTTGCCTGCCTAGGCTAGTGTTGTCTGCACGGACCGGCAGCATGCTCTCCAGGCGGGGAGCCCTTTCGCCAGTCCTGCCTGGAGACGCTGCCAGCGGGGCGCGCACCTGGGACCTTCTGCGTGCCAAGCAGGACGGTGGGGCTGCGGCCCTTCCGGCAAGATGCCAGGCCTGGCGGCCCCTCAAGTGGGGGGTGTTTCCACCCCCCGTCTATCCGGACGTCCTGCCTGCAGACCAGCAGCTTGGCCAAGGGGCTGCGGGACCCTAGGAGGCCGCGATGGATCCTGCGCGAACTTCCCACCAAAATTCCCTAGCGCCGTCTGCCAACTTTGCCAAAACAGAAACGCAAATGCTTAGCGAGTCTCCCTGTCAGGTCCACCCCCAAGCAAGGCTCCCCCCCACCCTAGAAGGTTTTTGGGTGGGGGGGAATCGACAAAGGCAACAATAATTTATAAGGAGGTTGGCTACCTCAGACTTAAATATGTCACAACAAACATATATATATATTTATGTACACACACACACACGGGACGCTAACCGGACAGGGCCCAAAGGGAGGTGGCTCACTCTGTGCTATTTTTAAGCCGCCAAAAAGCACTCGGGGGGGGTCCTAAAGGGGGTGTTGGCTACTGCTTTGGCTACCTCGCTTTGCTGGGGACGACGACGACAGGGTGGGGGACCCCTCGCCCCAAAAGTTCTTCAGTATAAAAATAATCTCTTGAGAATCCATTCACTCCGGGGCGGGGGCTGGCTCTCACGCCCCTCCGTGGCTCCGCGCACACACACGCACCGATTAACCCATTGAGAAAAGCAGCAGCAGTTGGTCAAATCGGGACAGAAAGACAGATCTGGGTGGGGCACGCCTTAAGAGATCCTTCAGATCCTAATTTTTTTAAATTAAAAAAAAAAAAGGAAAGGAAAATGGCAAAGGAATCCCCTCCGAAAGAGGGGGACAGGCAAGAAGAGAGGGAACACGTTTCCGGGTTCTGCTTGGGAAGGTGGTTCTGGGCTGTCGGCGCGCTAAAGAGCCCCCCCACCACCGTGGGACTAGAGGTAGGCAGAGGGGTCTCCCCTCTCCCTCCTACTCGCAAGAAGCCCCTCCCCGTCTCAAAACCACAGCGTTGTGCATGGGGATCCGGGCCGGGTGGAAATGCAGCAAAACGGCCGCTTGCGTCTTTCACAGACGAAGGCTGCTGGCGGCGAGTCGACGTTTGTGCGCCCCTACCCCCCCTCAAAAAAAAAAAAAAAAAACCCCACCCCGACCCAGAAATACGACATGGTTTGGGGGAGAAAAGTCACTGTCCTAGTAGTAGTAATAAGAATAATCTTCCACGACGATTAAAAAGTCCGTCTTTTCGGTAGAAAGCGAGTCCGCGGTGTGTCTGCAAAAATACTGCCAGTCCTGAGATTTGTGTGGGAGAGGAACTGCCGGGGGGCAGGGGGGGCGGGAACCAAAGGAGATAACAGCAGGGTGCGCCCCCACCCCTGCCATTAGGAGGGGCTGGAGCGGGGCATGGAGAGGATGCGCCCGTTCTTCTTGCTGCCGTTCATATGCGTGTAGGGGACGTGCTCCTCGTAGCCGCCCTTGAGCGCCACCGAGAGGCCGTTGTCCCTGCCCAGGACGCCGTCGTCCCGCTGGGAGTAGGAGGAGGCCGGGTCCAGGGGGATGCTCTCCATGTTCTCAAAGTCCATCTCAAAGTCCTCCGTCTCGGGGGGCTTGTTCTCCTCGCTGTAGAAGAAGGAGACGTCCCGGAAGGAGGGGTGCAGCTCGTCCTTCAGCATCTCAATCACCTCCGTGAAGGTCGGGCGCATCTTGGGGTTGTACTGCCAGCACAGCTGCATGAGGTCGTGGCTGCAGAGGGGGGACAAAGGCGCCGGGGGGTCAAGCGGGCAGCTCCACGGAAACCGTTCCAATGCCTCCCCCAAGCCCTCTGTTTCTGGGGCTGCCACTAGCAACCCTGAGGCAAAGAAGGCTGAGACCCCCCCCCCACTAAAAAAAAGGACCTGTGTCCTTTTTTGCACCAAGGGGGCAGGAGAGGTAAGGTGAGGTCAAGGACCCCTGGATGGTTAAGTCCAGTCCAAGGCGACTCTGGGGTTGCGGCGCTCATCTTGCTTTCAGGCTGAGGGAGCCGGGGTTTGTCCACAGACAGCTTTTCCGGGTCATGTGGACAAGATGACTAAACCACTTCTGGACCAACGGGACACCATGACGGAAACCACAGTGCACGGAAACACCGTTTACCTTCTCGCCACAGCGGTACCTATTTATCTACTTGCGCTGGCATGCTTTTGAACTGCTAGGTTGGCAGGAGCTGGGACAGAGCAATTGGAGCTCACTCCGTTGTGAGGATTCGAACCACCGACCTTCCCATCAGCAAGCCCAAGAGGCTCACTGGTTTAGAGCACAGTGCTGCCTGGCGGCATGGCATGAATTCACTTCCTGAGACGATGGGCAGGAGGCAAGGAGCCTGCCAGCAGGTGGCGCCAGAGCCCGCTTCTCCCCCGACTCAGTCGTAAGGGACAAGCCTGAGAAACTGGCTGGCAGGGCAGAGGGAGCCTGTTCCCCCTAATGAGGCGAACCCTGGACTGTCCCCACCTGGAGGGCAAAGGAGTTGCCTGGTGCCCCACCCACAGGGGCACCCAGAGGGCGGCCCCTGCCTCCCCTCCCCGACTCACAGCCTCTCGGTGCAGTTCTCCGGCTGCTCCAGGCACCCGCCGTCCATGACGAACTTGAGGACCTGCTCGTTGGAGAGGCCTTGGTAAGGCTGCTCAGCCAGGCTGCTGATCTCCCAGAGGACAACGCCAAAGGACCTGGGGGGAGACAGGAGGGTGAGGGCCAGGAAGCAGAGGGGACTCCCCAGGCAGAGGCCGTTCCAGGGTGTGCCCCCCTCCCGCAAGGCTGGAGTCCCCGGCTCCCCGCTGGAGGGGAAGGATTCTCCGCACAAAGGGCGCAGAAAGACCCCCAGCCTTTAAGCTTGCAGAGCTGCTGCCAGTCAGTGCAGACCACACTGTTGTGACTCGGGAGAAGGCGGCTCCCCACACTTCGCATGCCCCCTCTAGGGGCACCAGTCCATCTCAAGAGACAGTGGAGCACACCTCCGGGGGTGGAGCCAAACTACTGTGTTAGCAGCACCAAAGTGCCTTCCTTGGGGGCGCAATCTGGGCCGTGTGTCTGGAGGTCCTGGGCTGACCAGACGGCAAGACCCCCTCTTGGCCTCGCTGACGGGGGCCACAGAGAAGCAGAGCGAGATGTCTGGCACCTGCTTGGCTGCAGGAGTTGCTGCCCAACTGCCTTAGGGACTCCGCTCTGGATTTGGGTGGGGTTTACTCCGGAGCCTTTTCTCCCCAAATACCCCACAAGGCAGCGGAGGTTTCAGATCAGAGTTTCCCTTCCCAGGATGGGCCGGGACAAAGACCCCCTGCCTGAAACTCTGCAGAGCTGCTGCTGCCAGCCAGAGTTGGCAATATTGAGCCAGATGGCTTGACTCGGGACAAGAGCGGCTTCCTACGGCCTCTCAGCGTCCTCCTGCATGCGGCCAGGAAGGGGGGTTGGGGGGCTCCCCACTCACCAGACGTCAGAGCAGGCGGTGAAGACGCCGTCCTTCAGCGACTCAGGGGCCATCCAGCGCACGGGGAGGAGCCCCTTCCCTCCTTTGCGGTAGTAATCCGTCTCGTAGATGTCCCTGGTCATGCCAAAGTCTGGGGGTTGCGGGGAGAGAGAGGAAGAGCGGGGAGAGCTCAGAGCTTCCCTCAAGGACGTGTCTGCAGGGGCATGGCTGGGGGGGACCCGTCCTGGGGGGCCACATTTGGACCCCAACCCAGAGGCCCCCACCACCCCTGAATACACGGGGCCTTCTCAACGCTCGCCTGCTGTCCGGAGACCTCCGTTATTCGGTGATCTGGGAAAAGGCCTTCGGAAACGATGCAATACTGAATGGTTTAGTTTGTGTAAAATATGCAGGGATTTATGCTACGCTAAATGAACCATGGAAAGAGAAGAAGGGAAGTCGCTGATATTTTAAGGTTGTCTAAATGAATATTCTAAATTGTAAAATTGTGCGTTTATTTGTGGGGGGTGTTGCTATTGGGTTGTTGTTTTTATTTTCATTAGGTATTTTGTGGTTTTATATCTTGATTTTATTCTGTGAACTGCCCTGAGACCACTGGGTATAGGGGGGTATGTAAACAAAACATAAAACAGAAAAGTGTGTGTGTACACACACATACACACACACACACACACACACACACACACACACATTAAAGGCCTTTGCAGTGGGGGCACCCCGATTATGGAATAACTCCCCGATCCCCCAACCCCAATGTATTTCTTGTAGGATATGGAGAGTTCGGTGAGTTTTACTGCTAGAAATGTCACTCAACAAGGACACGCGTCTTTCTGCTCTTCCTTGGCCATCTCAGCTGCGGGGCTCGTGCCGTGCTCCGAGAAGGGCTCGGAATAAATCCCTTTTGGGGTCCCCCGCCCCCCAGGAGGAAAGCCGCCCCACCTCCGATCTTGACGGTGAAGTCCTCGGCCACCATGCAGTTCCTTGCGGCCAAGTCCCGGTGGACGAACTTCTTGGCGTTCAGGTAGGCCATGCCGTCGGCGATCTCGGCAGCCATCTGGATCATCTCCTGGAGGGTGGGCGGGGGGCGGCCGGGGTTGTTCTGAGGGAGCCGAGAGGAGGCGGCGTGAGCAAAAGGGGGGCACGGCTTCTCTGCCTTGCCAACCCCCCTAAACCCACACCCAGCTGTTACCTCTGCATCCGGGCGCAAGGACCTCAGGTAGCTCTTCAGGTCTCCGTGAGCCATCAGCTCCATGACCACCAGGGTGGGCTGCCCTTTCGACACCACCCCTAAGAGGCGGACCTGGGGAGAAGGAGGGCGAGAGGGAAGGGCCCGTGAGCCAATGGAGAACCCGGGCCGCCTGTCCCCTCGGTGGCCAAAGGACCTGAAGAGCCGAGGAATCGGTCTTCCCCTTTGGCAACTGCCTCCCCCCGTGGTTCTCCAATGGGTTGGTTGAGCTGCGACCCCCCTGAGGAGCGGTCTCCTCAGCGCTCCCCTCCCACCACCCCCGTATTGCAGGGGGTTGGGCTGGATGACCTTCGGGGCCCCTCACCACGTGGTGGCAGCTGAAGCCTTTCATGACGGACGCCTCGTTGAGGAACTCGATGCGCTCCCGCAGGCTGGCCGACTCGTTCACCGTCTTGACGGCCACCCGCATCTCCGCCTCGCCCTTCACAATGTCCTTGGCGATGCCCTCGTAGACCATCCCAAAGGAGCCCTGGCCCAGCTCCTGCAGGAGGGAGATCTTCTCGCGGGGGACCTCCCACTCGTCGGGGATGTACACTGCAAGTTGGGGAAAGAGGGAAGCGGGTTGGGCTAGATGACCCTCGGGTCCCTTCCAGGCTTGGGTTCTCTAGGAGGGCAGAGGCCGGCCCAGGGGAGAATGGCATGGAGTTCAGCTCGGCAACCCAGAGGATTCTCTCCAGCTCGGTTCTGGTCCGAGTCCGGAATGGCTGCATCCGCCTCCTTTAGCGCCCGTGGCCAGAAGGGCAGCGGAGGCACCTCAAAGCTTCCGAAGGGAAGGAGGAGTATCTGTTTTTTCCCAGTGGATCGTGCCCTCCCAAAGAAGAAGGAGAGGAAGGGCCCCGCCGCCTCGGCCTGCCACTCACCATCGTTGGCGCTGAGATACTCTGGGTTGGAGGAGGCGTAAAGCGGCCCCGTCGGTCCTTCCTTTTGCCTGGGGGGAAGCAAGCGCAGGAGAGGTGCCTGTCACCCATCGGGGATCCCAAAAACCGGAGCGACAATGGCTGTGCGTGTGGGAGGGGCGTGCCTGGGCACGGAGGGGCCTGCGTAATCCGAAAGGACTCGAGCAATCGCCTAAAGGCACAAGGAGGTTTCTAGTCCTCAGGACGGCACGTGTGTGTGTTTTGTGGCACTTAAAGGGACATGCTCAAGCAAAACCAGGGGATAGGAAAGGAAGGAAGGGAAAGAAAGAAAGAAAGAAAGAAAGAAAGAAAGAAAGAAAGAAAGAAGAAAACCCAGGGCCAACAGTCTCGTATTTCTTATGGGATTCTTAGCTTCATAATAAAGCCTTGAAAAGAAAAAGAAAAACCAGGTGAGGGCATGTGACCCCACACACCCAGCCTATGGAATGCTTCTTATTATAAGAAGACGAAGAAGAATAAGTTAATTGATACCTGCTTTTTCCTCTACCAGGGACTCAAGGCATCTAACAGATAAAACAAGAACAGCTAAAACCCATTTTTTGGGGGGTGGGAAATGTTGCTGCCCGGTCTGTGAGGGAGAAGAAGGCGCCGCCCCACCAGTCGCAGTGGGGAAAGCTTTTCGCGGATTGGGAGGGGAAGGCGGTGCCCTTGGTTGTGGCCGCAAGCACCTGACAGCTCCCCCCTCTTCCCCGCCGCAAGAAGTCCGGAGTCTATGGGGAGGGAATCTGCAAACGAGGGGCAGCCCCACCTTTTCTTGATGAAGATGTAGGCACCTCCGATGACCCCCAGGAAGAAGACGGCGAAGATGATGGGGACGATGATGCTCACCAGGTTATTGTTGGGGGGAACTGCAGTGGGGGGGAGAGGGGGGGACCAGGTCAGGTTGGGTTAAAAAGAACTCACCTCTCCCAAAGCATCTTGTGCCCTGCCCCTCTCTCTCACTCCCCACAAAAGGGCACACAACCTCTCTCACATATACAAGAGACTCCTCTGACAGCAACAAGCGTCCTGCTTTCATGGCGTCCTGAGGAACCCTCTGCCACTAGAGATCCTGCAGCAAGCGCCTGCTGTTCAAACTCCCAAACGCCCGCTGAAAACTCTCCCTCTGTGGGCAATTTACGGTTCATCATTCCACCACAGCCGGTTGGTCCCGGATTGCGGCTTTTCTATGTGGCTCTGTCACTGCAAACCGCTTTGATATATGTATTTATGAATGCTTTATCGATGTAAATAGCTAAAACCGCTATGTACGCACAGACACACACACACACACACACAGTATGAAACACCCACATCAGGGTTTTTCCAAACTCAGGCCTCCAGCTGCTTTTGGGCTACAACTCGCATCATCCCAGGACTGGCCAGGGATGATGGGAATCGTAGTCCCAAAGCCCTAATCTACAGTCGCATGACTGCCCGCCCGCCCGCAAACCGTGGCCCCTGGGTGGGTAGTTGTGGGAGCCCAGCTCCTCCGTGCCCCCCTGCCCCCCCCGGATCTTACAATAGTCATAGACGTAGAAGTAGATGGGCTCCGTCCAGGAGCCGTTCCCCGCCAGGGACGTGGCTCGCACCCGGACGCTGTAGTTGCCCGTCTGCAGCCCCGTCAGCTTGCAGCCCTGCTGAGCGGCGAACTTCAGGCGAGAGAGGCAGTAGCGCTGCTCCTGTGGGGAGACGGCATGCTCAGTGGGGGTCTCCCGGCGCCCCCCACCCCACATCCTTCAGAGCAGCGGCTTGCACAGCCCTGGGTGGATCACAGCGCTGAGGGGTGAAATGGCGCTTTCCTGATCATGTTGCAGCGCAAGCGGCTACTGGCAGTCGGGGAAGGTTAAGAACGGCATATCGCATGCGCATCCTCTGGGGCGGAAAGCCAGAAAAGGGAGAGAGGGGAAGAAAGGGGTTCTCACCTCCGAATCTCCGAGGCGGCCGTAGTTCACCTCGTAAAGGATGATCAGCCCGTTGGGCTCCTTCGGCTCCTGCCAGCGCAGGTGGACCACGTTCTTGTCCAGCTCGTGGGTCACGGGCCCCACAATGTCGTCGGCTTTCGCTGGGAACACAGCCAAGAGAAAAGGCTTGCTCAGTGCGAATTGGGACAACCGACGCAAGAGCCAGCGGTTAGGAGACCCGGGTTCAAAGCCCCGCTCCATCACAAAGCTCAAACAGCCAAGCTGACTTCACAGGGTTGTTGGAAGGACAGAAATGAGGGAAAGAGAGAATCTCGTGCGCCAGCTTCTCAGAGGGAGAAATAATGGTAATAATAATAATATTATTTGCACCCTGCCCATCCGGTTGGGTTTCCAGCATGTATATAAAAACACAATAAAACAAGAAATATTCAAAAGCTTCTCCATATAGAGAGCCAGCGCAGTGTAGTGGTCGGAGTGTCAGACCTGGGAGAGACCAGGGTTCGAATCCCCACTCAGGACGCTGAGTGACCTCGGACGCCAGTCACTGCCTCTCAGCCTACCTCGCAGGATTGTTGAAAGGATAAAATGGGGGGGGTGATCTGCGTGTGCCACCACCGTGAGCCCCTCAAGATGGAAAGTAAGGAAGACGAGGGCACGCCGCACGCGCCGAGCGCCCCGTAAAACTGGCCTGGCCAGGCGCCTCCCCGCTCACCTTCCGGCATGGTCCTGGCGCTGACGTAGGCCTCGCTGCTGCACTCCTGGGGCACCTCGTGGTTGCAGGCCTGGATCTTGATGCGGTAGCCCGTGAAGTGCTGCAGGTTGGAGATGACGATGGACTCCTTGAAGACCACCTTGGAGAAGGGCTTGGGCTCCGGGGGGCTGGCGGGGGCCGCCGTGGAGCCGTTCCCAAAGGCCGGCAGCGTCGGGGACGGGGTGGTGCTGTTGGCCGGGGCGCCCAAGTCCCTCCTGCGCCGCGTCACCGACGGCCTGCGGAGAAGGGGGGAGAGAGGCGTCGGTCGGAGCCCCGGTTCCAAAAGCGGGCGGCCGGCCGGGCAGCTCAGAAACAAATTGGAGTTGTCCATTCAGGATTCCCTTTGGGGCAGGAGTGGGCGCTGGGGGAGAGGGGCTTTTCCTTGGCCCTTCTAGGGGTCCCCCCACTTTTAAAAAAGAGTTCTCAGCTCCCTGAGCTCAAACTTTGCCCATTAATCTTGATTGGTTTTCCTTTTTTTCCTTACAGACTTCCCGCTCTCCGTCCTGGATGCGTCCCCATTCCCACCCCTCCACCATCCCTGTTCAATATTACATTCTTTTTTGTTTTTTATTTATACTTTTCAAATGTATACGTTTTCATTCGTTTTACAATCAATTTAACATTTCAGAACTTGACTTCCTTCTCCCTCTCTCTGTGGTTCCTTAAATTTATTTTTAAAATATTCTTCCGCATATGCAAATTCCTCTCACTTGCTTAATTATCTGCTGCAAATACGCCGCTCGATACTGCATCTTTGTTTCCGATTCACAATCGGCTCCTCGCGTTTGGTTGAGGGATGTGTGACCCCTTTGGTGCGTGGCCTCATCTTGCAAACGCGCGGGCAGAAATGGATCCGCCGGCAGCCTCGGCTCAGGCTCTGGGTTTCAAAAGGTTCCCAGGAAGGGGCTCCGGGAGCAAAGAGAGGCTGCAGGGCCTGGCTCCCTTTCTGGCAGGATTACTCATTAATCCCGGGGTTGTGAGCAGCACAAGCGCCCGGCTGGACTGTGCCCCCTTCCGCAGCAGGGCAGGGTTCACAGGCTCCGTCACGCACCCCACACCTTCCCCTGCCCAAAGAGCCAAGGGCACAAACAAACACCTTCCTTTGGGTTCAATACTGCCTGCACAGACTGGCAGCAGTGGCTCTGCAGGGATTCAGGCTCAGGGCTCTCAGGGAGACGCCACCGGGGGTTGAACCCGCGCCCGTCTGCGTGCTACACAGGGGCTCTAACCACTGAGCCGCAGCAGGTTAAGCGCGGTTATTATCCTCTTGGGTCTGACCTGACACAGGCCTACAGAGCCATTTAACCCAGCACTGCCTGCACTGGTTGGCAGCAGCAGGCTCTTCTTCCACTTGCGCTTCCTGCTCCCACACCTGAGCCATAAAGGGGGGGAGGGTGAGGATCCGCGCTCAGCCTCTTACTTGGGGACAAAGACGATGTCGTGGAGGTAGTTCTCAAAGACCTTCCGGAAGGCGGACTCCTCCGTCTCCTTCATGATCTGCGACTCGGTCTTGGGGCAGGGGCAGCACTCCAGGCTGGGCTCCTCGCTGTTGCTGTCGTTCGGCTTGTGGGGGGAGTCCTCCGACTCCAGCGGGGGGGACCACGTCCGAGAGGGGAGCTTCAAGCCTGCGGGGAGGGGAGGTTGTGAGGCCAAGGAAAGGCAACGGGGGAGCCATGGAGACCAGGCAGACTCTGGACAGTCCCCCCCACTCCCTCTGTCGCAGCGATGGAGAACCTTTTTCTTTAGATAGATATATTCCTTTTCTAACTCGTGATAAGCAGCAGCGACAACACTCCAGAAGAAACAGAAAAGAGAAGAGGGGGCAGGAGTTTTATCTGGGGGAACTTCCCCCACCCAAGGCCCACCCTGCCACCCTGGGGGTCAGGAGCACCCGGCCTTGATTCAAGGAAACCCAAGCAGCAGGTCTTGCCCCAAGGAGGCAGTTGCGGGGTCGGAAAGTGTCTGCCTTCCCACTGCTCTCGAAGGCTCCTCCTTCCCCAGCAGTCTAAGGCGCCATCGTCTTGTCTCTCGCTGCGCCACCCTTTTTAAATTTTTCTTCTGGCCCTGGGAGACCAGCGAAGAGGGGAGCTGGTTGCAGCAGGAGGGGGAGACCCCTGTGACTTCATCTCTGCCTCTCGGCTTACCTCCTCTCCAGCCTCAGCTTCTGCGCCTAGACTGCTCTCTGCCACCGACTCTCCCCGCTCACGGAGCCCTGTTCCCTCTCCGGTTTCCAACACCGCCTCTTCCCCATCTTCTCCCTCATTGTCACCCCACCTCCGCTCCCTGAGCTCTGTGGCACTAGGTGGGACCCAGGCGGGCGGGCAGGGCGGTGCCAGCAGCTCACCCTTCAGGCAGTAGTCCAGCTCGTAGAGCTCACTGTCTTCGGGCTGCTTTTCCCAGGAGACCTTGTAGTGCGTGATGTTCCCGTTGGGGTCGGAGGGCGGCTTCCACTTCAGGAAGATCTGCGACGAGCAGTTGGACACTGAGATGGGGTCCAGGGGGACGGTGGGCACTGCGGGGGGCAGAGAAGAGAGACAAAAGGTCACCCCAGGGCAATCCCCCCTCTCACCCCAGCCCCCCGCTTCCAACCGTGGACAGCCTCTCACCCGAGGCGTTGGTCTGGACGTAGATGATCTCGCTCTTGGCCCCGTAGGACTTGCGCTCGTCCGAGTGGGTGATCAGGGTCTTCACGAAGATGGCGTACTGCGTCCAGGGCTTGAGGCCGCGCAGAAGGTGCCCCGGCTTGGTGTCGCTGTTGCGGGGAGGCGGCTCGACGTCCATCACCGTCCAGCTGTTGGCGCCACAGACGTCCTGCCCGTCAAACTCCGTCACGTTCCGGAAGGGGCTGGGGGGGAAGAAAAGGCCAAAAGGAGGAAACGGCTTTTATTTCAGAAAGACACACCTGCAGAGGGAATTACGCTTTGGTGGAGAGACGTGAAAATGGAAAAAGTCGTGTGAAAGCCTGTTGCAGAAATGAATTAAGGTCACGGAAATTTTTAGAAACTGAGCCGGTTGGGCCGCGACTGCTCTTCCCGCATTCTCCGTTTTATTTCAAGCGCTGCCTCTACCGATCCTTCAATCCCAGCTACAGAAATGGCAGAATCTACTTGACAACTTTATTTAGGGGGCAGCCCTCCAAACTCTGCATCGCCCGAGACAAAGGAGGAACAGGAGGACACCTTATCCTAAGTTATTTTGCAGAGAAGCCTTTCAACTTAAATAATGCACATTATTAGTGATTCGCTGGGGATCTTGTGGGTTCAAATGAAATCGCTCTGCACCGCTCCTTCAAATAATGCCCAGCCTTTTTAAAATCCTTCTTGGGCGAGGATTGGGAAAATACACAGTCTCTTTCTTCAGTTGACTTTTAGGGTATAGAAGAGAGCATGTTCACATTTAGTTTGGACTAAGGTAAAGGGACCCCTGACCATTAGGTCCAGTCGTGGCCGACTCTGGGGTTGCGGCGCTCATCTCGCTTTACTGGCTGAGGGAGCCGGCGTACAGCTTCCGGGTCATGTGGCCAGCAGGACTAAGCCGCTTCTGGCGAACCAGAGCAGCGCACGGAAATGCCGTTTACCTTCCCGCTGGAGCGGTACCTATTGATCTACTTGCACTTTGACGTGCTTTCGAACTGCTAGGTTGGCAGGAGCAGGGACCGAGCAACGGGAGCTCACCCTGTCATTGCGGGGATTCGAACCACCGACCTTCTGATCGGCAAGTCCGAGGCTCTGTGGTTTAACCCACAGCACCACCCGCGTCCCCTTTTATTCCTAGACTGGACCATCCTCTTCCTCTTCCCCGGCTGCAACAAAACATGTCTCTCCTGCATCAGTCTCTGCAGCCACAACAGGCGCTGTAACTCTCTCTGATCAAGCTGGATGTGTGTGTTATAGAATCCTGGAATTGAAGGGTTGGAAGGGACCCCCCCTCCAGGGCCATCTAGTCCAACCCCCGAACCCCCGGCAACGCAGGAATCCCAGCCAGAGAACCCCTCTCTCCCCAAGACCCAAAGTGCAGAAAGGAGCTCCCCGCCCCACTTTACTCACGCTTCCCTGTACAAGAGCATGAAGCCCAGGAGGTCGCGGAAGTCCAGCGGCCAGTAAGGCTCCCACTTGACCATGATCTTGTCGCAGGTGGTTTTGATGTAGGAGAACTTGAGCACTTCGCTCTCGCCTGCAGGAAGGACGGAAAAGGCAGGTTGGAGACGGGAGGGCCTGGCCAAGGACCCACCGGGGGACGGAGGGGGGCTCAGGTCATTCATTTTGATCGCGTCACTTTATGTTGTGAACCACCAACCATGTGGGAGGCCCTTAAGCAGAACCCCAGTCCAAGAGCACGCTCCCCCCTATTTCTCCTCCTGTCTCTTCCTCTCTCCCTTTCCCTCCCTCTCTTTCTCTCCTTCTCTCCCTTTCTTTCTTCCCTTCTCCTCTCCTTCTCTCCCTCTTTCTCCCAATCTTCCTCTCTCCCTTTCTCGCCATCCTTCCTCTCTCCTTCTCTCCTTTTCATTCTCTTTCTCCCCCCTCTTTCCCTCTCTCTCTCTCTCTCTCTCTCTCCTGGAGGCTGTCGGTGCCAAGGGAGGCCCCTGGGAGGAGAAGCTGCCCCGCGTTCTGCCAGCCTGGCAGGCGCTGCAAGAGGGAGGGAGCCGAGACTCAGCAAACATATAGATCGTACACAGAGAGGAGGCGCCGGCCAGGAGGGAAAGAGGAAGACAACCCCGGAAGCGCTCCTCTGGGAGAGCAGAGGGAGGGTGTCGGGTGTGTACAGGATTCGACCCCACCTCCAAGTGGAGTAGGGCAGGCTTAATGGGGGTTTTATTATTAATATAACAAAGCTCAGGCCCAGGAGCTTGAAGAGCAGCCCTTCTGGTCTCAGGAAGCCAGCGGCGCATGGGGGGGCCCCACACCCCTGACCCACAGCACCCTTGGGTCCTGCTTGGGGGTCTTTCCTCTGGCCTGATCCCGCCAATGCCGCCACCAGGCTCTTCTGAAATGCCCTTCTACAGAGCTCTTCTACCTCACTGCTGTCCACACTGACTGGCAGCAGCAGCTCTCCAGGGCCCAACTTGGAGATGCCCCTGCGGGGAGAACCTGGGACCCGCTACTTGGCCACTGAGACACGGCCCTTTCCTGCGAGTTACTCCAAAGGAGGCCAGACTCCAGTCCTCAAGGTTCTAGATGAAGAAGTGATTCAAGCAGGGCAATCGGAAGCTGCCTGCTACTTCTCCCTCTGAAGCATCTAGCTCCGTATCTCCTGCTCAGACTGGCAGCAGTCCTCCGGGGTTTCAGGCAGGAGCTGCTGGGAAAACTGCTGCGATTCGAACCTGGGACCGTTGTGCGTGCAAAAGTACAGCGCGCACCCCTCGGCCGCCCCGCTTACAAGAGGCCTGGTCGCCGTTGGTCTTGAGGGCGATGTCGTTCTTCTCCTGGCGCCCCTTGGCCCCCGAGATCTCCTCCATCTTGTCGATCTCGGACAGGCAGAGCTTGGGGTTGTAGTGGAAGAAGAGCTTCCCGCGGGCGATGGTGAGGTTGTGCTTGCTCCAGTCCCACAGCTGGCGCAGGTTCTGGTTGTCCAAGGCGTAGAAGGAATAGTTCCTGGCGGGGAGGGGGAAAGAGCAAGGTGAATACGGCCAGGGGGAGAGGAGAGAGAGGTGCCCCTTGGCCAAGGTGGGGAGCGGGCTCAGCAAGAACTCACTAGCTGCCAGGGAAGGGAACTCTTCCTTCAAAGAAAAAAAGATCCCCAATGAGGCACTGAAGGCCCCTGCCTTCCCCCAGCCGCCTAAATCTTGTCCTTCCCAAGCAATCTGAGACTTCTCCGCCTCGACTGCCTTTGCTCTGCCCTCTTCATCCCTCTCCCAGTTGCAGCAGGAGAGGAAGACGCCCTGGCTTCTTCTCCAGCCGGACTCCTCTCTGCCTCTTTTTCCTTTAGAAAGTTATTTATTCGGTTTTTCAGATTAAAACTTTACAGTCATATCTCCAACATACAACATAAAAACAAGATAGCTGCCCAGAGTGGCTGGGGAAACTCAGCCAGATGGGCAGGGTATAAATAATAATAATAATAATAATTCCAAGGAATCTCTTGCACTCCCCCCTCTGTGGGTCCTATTGTTAATCATTTCCTCTTGCATCTTTTATGATAATCCAAATCTTTTACCTCTCCGCTGCGTCCAAAAGTCACCCTTAAACTACAAGTGTTATTCCAATCCTACTAATGATTTTAACTGTTTACAATGGTCTTTCAGATACAACTGTTTACTTTAAGGGTGGCTGGGGAAACCCGGTCAGATGGGCGGGGTAGAATTAGAATTAGAATTATTCCCCATTCCTTATTTAAATTTTAGTCTTCCTGATTTCTGATTCTTCCGGTCATTTGGGGCACAAAGCTCTGAAGCTGAGCTACAGCTTCTTGCCAAGCAAACAGTGGGTCTACTCTGAGTAGCGCTCACTTGGCGACGCCAGCATTTGTTCCCTATCTGTTTTTGGACATGTCCAACCCCCCTTTTCCTCCAGGGAGCTCAGGCTGGCGTGCGTGTCCCGTCCCCCCATTTGATACCCACAACGCCCCTGCGAGGGAGGCCAGGGCAGAGCCGCACAACCCAGCGAGGATCGGAGCCCTGCTCCTAGCCGTCCCTTCCCAGGGGCCCCACTCACCCGGCTTCCAGGGCCTCCCCTCGGATCAGGTGGAGCTTCCGGAAGAAGGAGAGGGAGACCAGGGCGTAGGAGCGTCGGATCTTCAAGTAGCCCGTGATCTCCTCAATCAAGCCGAGGTTGGCCTCCAGCTCAGCTGCAATGTTGCCTGCAGGGAGGATGCAGAGGTGTGGGCTGAGCCAGCCTAGAAACTGGCCCTCCTGCTTCACAGGCTCACGGAACTGCGGGGTGGGAAGGGACCCCCAAAGGTCATCCAGCCCAACCCCCTTGGCAATGCAGGAATCTCGGATGAAGAATCCCTGGAGGACGCCCCCCCCCCCAGCTCTGCTTCAAAACCTCCAAGGAAGGAGAGTCCACTACCGACCAAAAGGGTCCACAGAAAATTCTCCAAGGGGCAGGAAGATTCAAGAAGCATTTGGGCGTATTCTAGTATCAAAATAATTCTTTTCCCATTGGCAGAATACGGATAGACATCTTTTCGAAATGAGAGCACCCAAGCGATGCGGAGGCCGATCCTAGTTCTGGGTTTTCCCCAAAGGGATTTCTTATCGGTAAAAAGCTTGGCGTGGTGCGAACAAATTTTCTGCCCTAACTTTTAGTCGGAATCGCCTTTCTTGGAAGACATCGGTTCAGGTCCTCCAGAGCAACAGAAAACCAAGCTTGCTCCCACTTCCATGGGGCAGCCTTCGAGATATTTGGAGAGGACTCTCGTATCTCCTCTCGGTCTCCTGTTTCCCAGGCTAAACACCCCAAACTCTATCATTCCATATGTATGATCTAGTTGGGATTCCTGCATTGGGCCCCTTCTGACGCACTATTCTACGATTCCAATTCTCTCCTCTGCGCACCTTCCAGCTTGTCCATGACCTCCTTAGGCCTAGAACTGGACCAAGCCCTCGTCTCCGTTGCTCTGCCGGCTTTCCCCTCTGGCCCTCTCCGCTCCCCAAATCGGCACAAGGCCCCCGGAAGAAGGCAATGCGGCCCTCCGCTGAAAAGGCTCCCCCGAGCTGAAGCCGTGAGGTTCTGGACTTGAGAAGGAAGCCCTTGTGTCCCCCAGAGAAAGAGCAGAACCAGCTTCCAGGTGACCGGCTTGGCGTGGGGCAGAGAGAGAGGCCCCTCTGGCTCCCCCCACATCCCGCCCCCCAGGAACTCACTTCCTCCGCGGATGTTGATGGTCAGGCTGCCGTTGACGACGGTGCACCCCTGGAGCTCCTGGGCCGCCGTCACGGAGTCGATGGTCTTCTCCTTGACGGGCAACTCGCAGATTTTGGGGCACAGCCCCTCGCAGGGGGTGCAGAGCAGGCTGCAGAAAAGACACGGCGGGGAAAGGGAGATGCCTCTTGCGCTGCAAATGGGGCTTTTCTTGCCGCCGCCAGAACCGATGCGCGCGTTCAGGAAAGCTCAGGGAGTTTGGCTTGTCCTGCAGCCTCTGGGATGGCCCTGTGGGGCCTGCAGACCCACATTCCCAACAGGGGAGAGGAAAGGAACCTCAGAACAGCTTGCTGGGTGAGGCCAGTGGCCAGTGCAATCTGAGAAAAAGAGTCCTCTCCCCTCCTGTGGCTTCATGCAACTAGGATTCATGGAGGCAGAGCAGCTGTCGGCAATTTGTCCAGTCCTCTTTTAAAGCCACCACTGCCTCCTGTGGCAATGAGTTCCACAGGTTTACGATGTGTTGCTCGGGACAAGGACAGTGCCTTGGGGGCTGTGGGGCGGCACAGAACGAAGCCTTGTTCTAATCTCTCTTCCCCAGCAAGCAAATCGAGCTCAAACAAAACAGGACGGCTGAAAGGGTCCCCGCTGCAAGGTCCTTCAGCACCCTGCTGGTGGGGGGGGGGCATGTTGTGGAGGGGCCTGCCTTCGAGATTCTGCTTCCTGTTTCCTGCCCCCTCCCTTTCACAACCCCGTCATAGCAAGGAGGTTCGGGAAAAGAGCATTCGGAGAAAATGTCATCTGCTTTGAGAACATTCATCCGGTGCAGGAGGAACAAGGTCTGCTTCTGCCGTCAGCCACAATAAGAGGCCAATTAGCTACCCTTTCCTGAGAATGATCAGAACAGGCCATTTCCTCTCCTCCTCTGGGTCCTGGCTTTGCCCAAGAGCGTCAGGAAGCTGGTTTGCCAAGAAGAGGGAGGCTGAGGACCCCCCCCCCCAGATCTAGATGGGGTCTAGATAGGTCTAGATGGGGCGACAAGAAGGGGATGCCTTGCATTTGGAGGGGCAACAGTCCCCCACCCAGCCTCTCACCCCGTCCTCACAGCAGGCCCTAAGCTGCCTCTGATAAATACAAGTAACTCTGTTGATATCTTAAATATCAAACATACATTAAGCGTGGATTAAACTCCCTCCTGTGGCGTTATCAGGCAGGGGCTCCTTGGGACCGACCGAAGGTCTGCCTCTTTCAGTAAGCGGAGCTCTGGAATTGTTCTAACTGTTCTCACTGGGCTAAGAGGAGACCCACTGAAACCAATCGGCCCGTTTCAACGAGTCTCCTCTGGGCAGGGGCGCAACCCGCTGTTTTAAGTCTGCGAATTCGCTTTTGCCGCTTTTTACATTATGAAATTGCTCGGTGGTTGATCCTCGACCCCATTTTCCGTTCCTTCCTCCATTAATAAACAAGATAAACCAAAGATAAAGAACAGAAATATTGTTACAGCAGGTTGATAGCCGCCTAAGATTGGGCACGATCACCACACGTGTTTCCAAAGCATTACCCAAAATGCCCATTTCCCCACAAACCTGCTAGGCTGCATTGTGCGCGTTCTTTCGTAACAGGTGAGTTTAACCAGAGATCCTACTGACCAATTATCTCTCCATCCATCAGGACAGAGCAGTAGTTAAGCTCCCCTCACCTCCGTCTTTTAGCCAATTATAAATCTTAGCAGCCGTTCCAAGGCTAGACGCTATTTCTCAATCGTTTTCCAAAACGAAACGTTAACGTTTTCGTAGGGAGGCATTTTTCGGACAAGGACCCCCAGCGGGAGTGTGGGGGCTCAGACACCCCTGAAATAAAAGGGGAGGATCTCTGAGACTAGGGTGTCCAGCTCTCTCCACACCACAAGAGCCCTCAGGGATCGGTATCTGGCAGAAAAAGGGCTTTAAATCCTCATTGCCTTCCTCCTCAACGGGTTGGGGGGCTCACTCTGCGTTGCGCTGACCTCTTTCTCTTCCCCAAATCATCACTTTTATTATTATTGCTCTGTTTCAGGGCGTCTCGACTGCCACAAAGCAGTGAGTTGCACAGACTCTCGCAACGGGGACAGGGAGTGAAAGCAAGACCCTGATATCGGGGGGGCGGTTGCCGATGAGAAGAGCCCCCCCCTTGGTTTCTCCGCCTCCCTCCCCGTTGTGTGTGTTGCCAACTCACTTGGTGGAGTTCATGGTGTAGCCGGAAGGGCAGCCGGGGGCGCACTCTCCGTTGTGGATGACGGGGCAGTCCGACTGGCGGGCGGCCTTGCACTTGTTGTGCAGCTCCTGGCAGAAGTCGAAGGTGACGCAGCGCCACCCGGCGTAGCGGTAGGACCCGGCGGGGCACCTCTCCACGCACCTGCCCTCCAGGCTGAAGTGGCGGCAGGCCAGGCACTTCTCCGGGTCGCCGGGCTCCAGGCAGCTGCCCAGGCACTCGGCGTGGCAGCAGGTGCCCTCCGGGGTGCAGCCCTGGGACTTGCAGGCGGAAGGGCAGACTGCGGGGAGCAGAGGAGAAAGAGAGAAATGGATGAGAACATGCCCCGCAAGCCCCGCCTCTCGCAGAGGGCCTTCTCGGTGGTGGTGCCCTGCCATCTGATGCCAAGGAAATAAACACAGCTTTTGGAAGACATCTGAAGGGAAGTTTTTCACATTTTCTTGTGCTTTTATATGTGCTGGAAGCTGCCCAGAGTGGCTGGGGAAACACCCAGATGGGCAGGGTTGTTGGCTATTTGCAGATTAGTTGCGCTGCAGAAAGCCTGTGGGGGAGACCACACAATACAAGGAACTCAAAAATAACTTTAACAAGGTTTTAACCACAAAAACAAAAACTCCTTTTACATTAAAGATATCAACAAGCATGACCCATCCAACCCCCAGGGTACTGAGAGAGCTAGGTGCTGCTCTTTACATACTATAGCCAATTGCTGACACAGCTTAATTAACACAACTTAGCAGCACCTGCTATACTGTTCCACAGCTGTAATACTGGGTCTCGTTATTTGCTCTGGCCCTTAAAGACATACACATCTTGTGGAACAATAATGAACCTTCACATTTAAAGAGACCATTCAACAAGGCTATCAATAAGAGAATTATTCTTATAGAGCAATGCCTGCCCATGTCTCCACCCTTCTGTCTCCTCCCACCCACAGAGCTGGGCCACCCCATTACCTGTCCTCCAATTTGGGGGGCAAACTGCTTCCCATTAGGCTGGGCTGCACACAGAACAGGGCCTCCAGCGGGTGGCTCCCCTAGTTACTGTCGCTTGAAATAGTCCAGAGCGGCCAACAGCTCCGGTCCTTTCTTTTTGGATGGCAGTCTCCACAATTCTGAATAAAGGGCTCGCTTAATGGGAATGATGGAAGCTGCCTTGCCCCAAGTCGGACCCTCAAATCCGACCAGCTCAGTATTGTCGCCTCTGAGAGCTCTCAGAGTTTCAAACAGCCTTTTCCAGCCCCGCTTGGAGATGCTGGTGTACATCTGTTCTGTACCTGGTCCCCCCCCAAAAGCAGGTGTTCTAATCACCTTCTTCCCCCCTCCTGTATTCTGAGAAAGATCCAGCCAAGGAAGAGATCACTTGCACAAAGGGATCTCATGGGGGGGTGGGTACTAGCAAGTTGGTTGTCGCCTGCACATAGGAAGAACAACCCATGTGTTTTTTGGAGGGGGCAACCCTATAAAACCCTTCTCAAACGCAAAATCTGGGACACAGACACACCTCACACTGTCTGTCCTGTCTGGATTTAGTATTCATTTAGTATTGCTTTTGAATTCTGGTGCTGGAGGAGACTCTGGAGAGTCCCATGGACTGCAAGAAGATCCAACCTCTCCATTCTGAAGGAAATCAGCCCTGAGTGCTCACTGGAAGGACAGATCCTGAAGCTGAGGCTCCAAGACTTTGGCCACCTCATGAGAAGAGAAGACTCCCTGGAAAAGACCCTGATGTTGGGAAAGATGGAGGGCACAAGGAGAAGGAGACGACGGAGGACGAGATGGTGGGACAGTGTTCTCGAAGTGACCAGCATGAGTTTGACCAAACTGCGGGAGGCAGTGGAAGACAGGAGGGCCTGGCGTGCTCTGGTCCAGGGGGTCACAAAGAGGCGGACACCACTAAATGACTCAACAACAACAAAGTATTGCATTTATATCCCATCTCCAAGGAGCTCGAGGCGAGTGGGGATTCGAACCCTGGTCTCTTCCAGGCCCTAGTCAGAACACTCTAACCACTACACCACACTGCCTCTCAGGTTCAAGGTTATTTCTCTGTATATTTTTCCGATACCTAATTCAGTCAGTCTAGGCCACGGAACATTACCATTACAACTGTAGCAAATCCTGTTACTTCTTTACTGTCGGTTGTTGCGACTAATCTCGATTTCCCTTTCGTTTCTTTGCCTGCCTGCCATTATTTTAATAATAATAATAACAGGAGTAAAGCAAACCAAAAGACCTGGCGTGAGTCCAGACCGCAGGCCACGGGGAGGAGGAGAAAAATATATAAACATGTATCTCTAGATATGTAACATGGCTGCCGATCCCGAGAAATCCAGGCCGGGAAAAAGGGCTCCCCCAGGAGAACCGCCCTCTCCCTGAACCAATGCCTTGGCTGCTTGGAGTGGCGAAGGGAGGGGGCGTCATTCAAGACATTTTTCCTGCCTCTGCACAAAGCAAACAGATCCTTAACCCCTTCGGCCTCTTTCCGCAGCTGAGATCCAGCGCTGAAAAAGTTGAACGCCACGTTGCAGCATCGGGGCTTGCGATAAATAACATGCCAGATCCAACAGCAGAAGCAAAAAAAAAGAGGAGCTTAGCGAATGGCGTCGCCTGGAGACGCATGCAAGGAGGGAGCTGCCTTATAGAGCCAGGCACTGGCTGGCAGTGGCTGGCCAGGGTTTCAGGAAGCGGGTCTCTACCAGGCCTGGCTCGTTGCTGCTGGCACGGACTGGCAGCAGCAGCCCTCTGGGTTTTTAGATGGGGTTTCCCCCTACCAGTGACTGAGCTTCCGCATTCGAATCAGGCGTGTCTCCCCCCCCCACACACACAGTCAAAATCCTTCCCTTAGAAATAAAGTTCAGATTGACTGTATCAGGAAGTTTTTAAGCTCTGGCGTTTTATTGTGTTTTCATTGTTGCTGGAAGCTGCCCAGAGTGGCAGGGGAAACCCAGCCAGATGGGAAGGGGTATAAATAATATTACTACTACTACTCGTTGCTCTGAAAAAAGGCTGGATTGAATGCAAAATTGAATATCCAGTCATATAGACCCTTGGGTTGCTCTTGTGAGGAGAAGGGGCTCTTGCGTTTGAATCCTGCTGGGGTGTCTGGATGGCCGCTGGGGCAGATGGGCATGCTGCACATAATAAAATTATCATCGTTCTTATTTAGGCTGCCGGCCGGGATGGGCCCCCTTTGGCCCGACCCGGCAGGCTCTCAGTAATGCCTGCACTGACAGGCAGCAGTTCTCTGGGGTTTCCCCCCAGAGATGCCCCATGGGCCTTCTGCATGCGGAGCAGGTACCCTAACCACTAAACTACGGGTTTTCCGAAGGTGTGCCCTGCCTCTCACCGTAGAAAGAGGCAGCTGTGCTCCCATGAAACATAGGAACGGAAGGGCGCCGGAATCCGGTGCCCAGTTCTCCCAGGAGCCAAGCAAGCAGGATTTGAATGCGACTCTCCCTGCTGCAGAGGCACGCCAGGATCGCCCTCTCCATTGTCTATCCCTCTTTTGGAGCCACCCTGCGCACTTCGCTGAGACGGCAACTGCGGAAAAAGTTCCCAGGTTGAAGTGAGAAACCGAGAGAGAGAGAGAGAGAGAGACAGACTGACTGCCGGTCCATGAAGGCAACGAGGGCCAGGTGGGCTGACTTATAGATCATGGAACTGTAGCGTTGGAAGGGACCCCCAGGGTCATCTAGCCCAACCCGCTTTGGAAAAGCCCAGGGCACAGGAAAGCAAGCCAGTCCTGAACGGAGGATGCCAACAAGCAGACGCCTTCTGCAGGGGCAATGCCGACTGGAATATGGGTGTGTCAGATCCACTCCTGAGCCAAAGCTGGGACCTGACCGAGACCTGGCACACGCAGAAATCTGGGTCTGGGGCGGAGAGGAGAAGAGAGGGCTCCCCTCACCACCAGTAAAACTGCAGACAACTCTGCAGGGAGGGCGCGCCTGGGCTTTGAGGTTCGTGTTTGTGCGAGGCTCCTCAGACTCAGCGTCCCGCTGACGGGAACTGAACTCACATCTGCCACAAAATAGCCCCACCATATGAAACAGGCACAGTTTCAGCTGCAGGGTGGTTCCGTGCCGTGTCAGAATCGGGCCTTTCGAGGGGTGCAGAACCTTCCCCTTGTGCATAAGGCATACGCTGTCACTCTGGCCTTCTCAGCGCCTCAGAGGAGCAGGCAGAGGGCCCGTTTAGCCCAGCATCCCGTTCTCAGGAGGCCCCAAAGGAAACTCGCAGTTTTGACCTCGGAATACATGGCAGCGGCCTCCCCCAACTCCTGTGGGAGGCAGTTCCAAAGGTGAACACAGCTCCTTCCTGAACCTTCCGGCATTCAGCTTCACCCGGCGCTTTCCCCAACGCGCCTTTCCAGCGGCGGAAATCTCCATCTTAGTCTGTGTCCTGAACCGGCAGGACGACCGAGAGGAGGAAGAGGATTCTGCTGAGGGGGGAAGCCAGCACTGGGACACCCCCCGGGGCAAGCCAGGGCCTGGGGCGCAGAACGCCTAGGCTGCTGACCGGAGCTGGTTATCGGCAACATGTGACAAGCCTGCTGAGGAATCCGCCCCGGCTGCCAAGATGCTACTGGGCCAAATTTAAAGTGTTGCTGTGGGCGGGCGAAGAAGCCCTGAATCCGAGACGCTGCCTTTTGCTGCCTGTTCCTGCCTTGGGTGTCTATTGAGGAAACACCGTGAGCTGCTCCTTACGGGTCGACGCTAATGGAGTTCCCTGCCTTTCCACACAACTTATTTTCATCTGTCAGACTTGCATGCCGCCCTTCAATAAAAATATACAAGCCAAAAAGCACAAATGAATAGTTAAAAGAACAAAACAAGAACCTCCCCTCCCACAAAAAACCAAACCCCACTCAGTGAAATTTATCTGCCAAGGAAGCAGCTTAAGACAACAAATAAATAAGGCGCACTTTAAAACAAGCACCAAAACCAGTTTTCTTCTTCTTGAACTCATTCATCTTTTTTATCTGATAGCAGGGAAGCAACAGGCCCTCCGGCCATCTGAAGAGTGAAACTTGAGTGGGTGTGTTTGTATATGTGCATGAGAGAGAGAGAGATTTCCCTCGAGAAACTATGCAGCCCCGATTCTCTCTTGCGCAGGGACGCGGAATGAAGGCTGCCTTGTCCAGAGCCGGTTTTGTCCACTGGGCTCAAGACAGTCTACACGGGCCAACATTCAGGGTGGGGAGGGAGCCAAGATCCTGCAAGACATGACCGAGGAAGAGGGGGAAGTAGCAGATCCTGCCACTGCCTTGGCGCTCTCCATCTCTGCTCCCAAAAGTGGAAGAGACCCGAAGACACATCTAGTCCAACCCCCTGTGATGCCTCTATTCAGAAAGGGATGCAGCCACTGCCCACCTGACGCCTCTGTTCTGAGGTGTTTAGTTTTTATTAATCTGCTAGAGGTCAAAAAGGAAGAAGCAAGTTTCTTTTCAGCCCCCAATTTCCCCTGAACTCCTTTCTCCACCCCGCTGGCTCCCCTGTGGCATGTGGCAGCCGTTCTGCTTTCCCTTACAAGCACAAACCCTTTTGCTCCTGCAAGTGTCAGCCTCCCTGCTTGCAAACCCAGGACGGTTATTATGCAAGCCCAAGAGGTGCCCTGTACTCCTCGCCTTTCCCTTAAACTCAGCAGCGCTGAATCAAGGCAATAGGATCCCTCCCCAAAGCAATTGCACAAAGGGGTTTGGGTGGGGAGGGAACACCTTTGGCGGAGCAGGCGAACAGTAATAATGAAGGGAGTTGCAAAAGCATCTTCCCTCAAGGAGCTGCTGGCGAAGAGCTCAGTGAAAATGCCTGGGGGGCTGCACTGAGGAAAGAGGATTCAGGGATAGCACATTTGAACCCACCACGACCAGAAGCAGCAAGAACAGAGGGCCTGCAGACTTTGAAGTCAAGGAAGCAGGAATCTGGCGCCAGAGGAGGAAACATCTGCCCAATCTTCGCCACAACCTCATTAAGCCGTGCCCCGGCCTCTAGCGCTTGCCCGCTAAAAATAATTTCAAAAAGAAGGGACGCCTAAAGGCGGCACACAGCTGATGGGGGTCCCAGCTCTGCTTGGCGTCTGCCGCCCTCTGCACGCCCGGGTCGAGAGCCAGGATGCAACCGCTTCCCGGGGCAGGAAGGAAGGTGGTGTCTGGGCAGACGTGACCCCCGGGCCGTGCGCGGACAGAGAGCCAGAGCCCCATCGTTCCGCACTGTTTTGACCGGGACTCTGGTGATGTCAGCTCCAGAGAGGTGGCGTTCACCCACTGGACTTCCTATTCCTTGCGAGTCCTGTTGCGGCCGCTTGTGCCCGTGACGGCTCTGGGGTGGTTTCTGCGTGATCCTGCTTCCGAATACAAAAGGTACCTTGGTTTCCGCTTGCTGCCGGTCCCAGAACTTCCTGCAGAATCCCTCACAGAAGGCGGAGGAGGCCTAAGGGAGATTTTGTTCCAGGAGGATGGAAGAAAGAGCCTGCTGGGTCAGCCCAAAGGCAGCCCATCTCATCCGCAATCCTGCTCTTCGCACTGTGGCCAGGCAGGCACCCCAAGGGGAAATTTGATGGCAGGACCTGAGTTCGAGAGCAGCGCCCCTTCCCTCCTGCAGTTTCTAGCAACTCACATTAAGAAGGATACTGAGCAGGGACGCAGCGCACAGCCATCCTGGCTAGTACCCCTCCAGAGCCCTCTCCTCCTCCCTAAATTTGCCCAACCCTCTTTTAAAGCCCTCCAAGTTGGTGCCTCCTGCAGCAGGGAGTTCCACAGTTTTGACCATGTGCTGTGTGAAAAAGCCCGTTCTTTTGTCTTTCCTGAATCTTCCAACACTCAGCTTTGCTAGATGTCGACAAGAGGGGTGGGATGGGGGACTTCTTCCTGTTCGCTTTCTCCGCGTCACAGAATCCTAGAATTGTAGACTTGGAAGGGGACCCCCAGGGGTCATCCAGTCCAACCCCCTGCAATGCGGGAATCTCAGCTAAAGCATCCAGGACAGAGGGTCACCCACGTTCTGCTTAAGAACCTCCAAGGAAGGAGAGTCCCTCCTACTGCCAAACACAGAACTGGCAGGGAACTTTAGCGGACAATTCACAGGGGCGGCTCGCCGCTAATCCAGAACCAACAACACGAGCTGAATTTGCAAGGGGGAAAGCTTTGGTAAAAAGATAACAGTAGCCCCAGAAATCCGCGAGGAGGGAGCTTTCGGCAGGCGCCCCCGAAATGCCTCGAGAGCGCTCTGCCAGGCTAGCTGATGCTGCCATGTATTCCGAGGTCAAAACTGCAATAAATCAGGTCCGAAAGCGAGGCAGGAGGTGAGCCCGGATTACTGCCGTGACCGGAGGGTGGCGATTTGGAGCCATGGTGTGGAAGCCACATGGAACAAGACTGAGTAAAACCCAGACAGGCAACTTCAGCAGGGTTGCAGTTTGGGGGAAGAGTCCATTTTGGGACAGGCGTGGTTTCAAAAAGGGAGGAAGGCACAGGTGAGGGCTAGGCTGACCTCAGATGCACCTGGGTAGTGACTCCCCAAGGCGTGACTTGGTTTCCAGGGGCCCGAGACCGGCTGTAAGCGGCTTGGTTTTGAAATGGTGAAATAAACAGCAAACGTTCCCCCCAGGACGTTTCCGCAGCCATTCATTGATTCTCAACAGAAGTATCAGATAAGCTGTTTATTCCACAGCTGCATGTGAAATCTTAAGGCTAACCAAAAAAACCATATATATTTTTCCAAGTTTCAAAACTTTGAAAGGCTTTATTTCACTCGTGGATGAAGACAAAGAGGCCCAGGTCAGATCGCACGCTCCCAGGGGCTGCGTCTGCAAAAGGGGTCGGGGGCGAAAGGCCTCGGGGAGCTGCGGATCCGGCAGGCAACTTGGCGCGTAACGTACAAGGGCAGCTCCCCATCTGTGGGAAGAGGAAGAGTGCACCCCGTCTTACGCAAGGCTGTTGCAACACCGCAGCAGCACGTGAAAGACTTTGCAACCGCGGGTAGAGCTCTTGGCATTTCAGCAGTTCATTAATTCGTCCTGTTCTGGCTTCTGAGAAGGGAGATTTTTATCTCCTCCCCACCCCCACCCCCACCCCAGCTCCGCAGTTCAACTTTCCGACAAGGGAAAGTTCCCAAATCCCTTTTGCAGAATCTTGAGGGGCAGGGAGGAGAAGAGGAGGAAAGGGAATCCCTCCATTTCCTTCCTCTGGTTCGTACTGAAACACGGACAGCCTCACTCGGCGGAGAGGGGATAGAAATCAGAGGAGCAGGATTTCACCCCTGCGAGGGCCTGCGCTTGTTATTCTTTGGATTCTGGGGAACGCCAGAGAGAGGGAATTCCAGGAAAACATCTGGAGCGAGTCGTGCCCGGGCGAGACGCGGGGAACGTTTGCTGGAAGAGCTCCGATTACCTAAAGAACAGCAACGAAAGCAGAAGAGAAAGAGAAGCAGGAGGCCCACAAGGTCCAGGAGCCAAGAGACCCTCAGAACCGCTGCCACAAGGGCCAGCCCCGCAGGGCTGTTGTTAACTCAGGGGAGCAAGAGCATATGAACCTACCCAGACTCTGAGATCATCTTCTGAGGCCCTCCTTCGTGTGCCTACTCCTTGAGAGGTCCGGAGGGCGGCAACACGAGAGCGGGGCCTTCTCTGCAGTGGCTCCCTGTCTGTGGAATGCTCTCCCCAGGGAAGTTCGCCTGGTGCCTTCATTGCACACCTTTAGGCACCAGGCAAGAACGTTCCGTTTTAACCAGGCCTTTGGTTGGTCTGATTGACATCCTATTCGCTTTTAAAATGTGGCTCTCTTTTTTGGGCGTTATTGGGTTGTTGTTTTTATTTTGATTATATATATATATATTGTGGTTTTTATGTTGATCTTTTATGTGAACCGCGGTTTATAAATTCAACGAATAAATAGAAAGACCCGAGGCCAAGCAGCTAGAAAACACTGCTTTCTTCCTTCGAGAACGGAGGCGTCTGAGAATCACTCCCTGGTGAGCTTACGGCTTCTGCAGGCAACATCTGTGGAGGAAGCGAGGGTCCCGGAAGCCCCTCTGCCCGGCTAAAGGCAGCCCACTCTGCTTTGCACTGGACCCCTCAGCAAGGCCAAGGCGGGCGTGGGACCCCCCGACGCACTGCCCAGCCTTGCACCCTGGGGAAGTCACTTTGGTGTGCTGCTAACGCAGCGGTTTGACTTCACCCCCGGAGGCATGCTCCATTGCCTCTCCAGACAGATTGCCTCTCCGATGCCCAGCCGTAATCATGAGGACTAGAACCTTCTTGTTTATTTTGAAGGAAAGGACCATCACTCGGCTGCAGAGCACCTGCTCAGTGTCCAAAAGGCCTAGTTCCCCAACGGCTGGGAAAGACCCTCTCTGCCGGAAACCCTCGAGAGCCGCTGCCAGTCCGTGGCGACAACACAGCTCTAGATGGCCTTGTGAGAAGGCACCAACCATTCCTGCCTTTTGCTCCGGGCTGCTTCTTGTCCCGCCTGCACGCTCTCAAATTCGTTTGGCAAGCTCCGTTCCGCACAGATTTCTTTTTAAAGAAGGAGAGGCCTTCGTCGTCGTTGTCCTCCTCCTCTCCCCCCGCCCCCCAGCTGACAGTCAGGGAGCCGCCTGGCGGTCCGGGCCCAGTGATTCCAGCGTGGCCACATAGCCAGCATTCCACAGGAATTCCGGAGCGACGGGCCTCCCGTGGAAGCTCAGAGGGACAAATGCGTGCGCTCTGCTAAGTGGGAAAGCATGCAGCAGGGAGGCTGCGCGAGGGAGGGCACGGCGCAAGCCGCTCTACCACCCCTGGCCGTCACCCGAGGGCCTTCCGTCTTCCACCGTCATTTCGCGCCTCTGCACCAGGAACTGTGCAGAAAGTCAGGGCCGCAGGTGAGCCAGGCGGCGACTAGAAAAGGTGGCCAGTCCCTGTCCATGCTGCGTCCAGCTATCTCCGGCCTCCTCCCTCGGAGGTGGTCAATGCCTCCCGCCACCAGTTTCTGGTGTGCGTTTGGGGGCTTCCCTTACGGGGTCACCTGTGGTTGGCCACCGAGACCGCAGGGTGCCGGATGGGACCCCTTTGGCCTGACCGAGACTGCCGTGTTTGAAATTAGAATTTTGCATCCGGCGCTGCGCATTGAAGGAGAACTATATGAAAATGATGTGCCGTTGGTATTTAACACCTACAAAATTAGCAGAGATGTATTTGTTGTTGTTGTTTAGTCGTGTAGTCGCGTCCGCCTCTTTGTGACCCCCTGGACCAGAGCACGCCAGGCACTCCTGTCTTCCACTGCCTCCCGCAGTTTGGTCAAACTCATGCTGGTCGCTTCCAGAACACTGTCCCACCATCTTGTCCTCCGTCATCCCCTTCTCCTTGCGCCCTCCATCTTTCCCAGGGTCTTTTCCAGGGAGTCTTCTCTTCTCCTGAGGTGGCCAAAGTCTTGGAGCCTCAGCTTCAGGATCTGTCCTTCCAGTGAGCACTCAGGGCTGATTTCCTTCCGAATGGAGAGGTTGGATCTTCTTGCAGTCCATGGGACTCTCCAGAGTCTCCTCCAGCACCAGAATTCAAAAGCATTCATTCTTCGGCGATCAGCCTTCTTGATGGTCCAGCTCTCACTTTGATACATCACTACTGGGAAAACCAGAGCTTGAACTGTACAGACCTTTGTCGGCAAGGTGATGTCTCTGCTTTTTAAGATGCTGTCTGGGTTTGTCATTGCAAAGATGTATAGAACTGCTTCAAATGTATGTTGGAAGTGTAAGGAGAAGGAAGGCACTTTCGACCACATGTGGTGGTTGTGCAAGGTAACAAGAGCATTCTGGGAAATGATACATAATGAGCTGGAAAAAAATGTTAAAATAACGTCTGTGAAAAAAACAGAGGCTTTTTTTGTACTAGGAATTTGTACCAAAGGAGCGGAAACTATTCTTTATGTATGCGACGACAGCAGCGCGGATACTACTGGCCCAGAGATGGAAAGAAGATAAAGTCTTGGCCTGCAGGGCTCTCTGCGTGTTCTCAGAAGCCCCACTTGCGTGTGTTGGTGGTGGAAATATTATCACTTGCTAGGATGGGAAAACGCACGTGCCGCAACCGCCGGTTGCCAACTTCCACCAATAATAATAATAATAATAGATGCGCCAACGTCTGAAATAAATAAAGAAATAGCTCTCACACCAGCAACAGGAAATATATTCCTTTCCTTTGCTTTTCTTGGAGCTTTAAAGAAACATCACAGCCTTGAGAGAACGGGGCTGATTTAATCCAGAGCTATCTATAGGCCTAGTTTCCCGTGTCAAGAGGACGAGGTTATGGGGTGGGAGAAGGAAGTGGATCGCAGCGAAGACCAGCTTACGATTTACAGGAATTCCCAGGATTTTTATTTTTATTTTTAAGTCGCAGGAAACTGTTGCTAAGGAATGTTCCCACCTAAGCAAACATTACAAGACGCTGTTTTTCCCACACACACCTCTGAACTTTGCCACCCTCTGAGAAGGCAAAGTCTCGGCAGCAAGGAAAGAGAAAAAAAATTTGATTATTTATTTATTTATTTATTTAAAAATGATATTTATTAAAGTTTTTATTGGAAACTTTAATAAATATCATTAAATAATAATAATAATAATTGAGGAAGCGAGGCTGTTCCTGCAGGCAAAGAGCTTTCCTTGGGCTCCCCAAGACATTTCAAGCGTGCACCGAGTTGCGTGGAGACCTTCGGGGAATGAGGGACCCACAACCCTAAGAAATGAATTCTAAATATTACTAATATTACTAATAAGGATGATCAGGCCAGTGGAGAGGACTTCAGGACTCAGCAGTCTACGGTTCCCCTGTTTCCTCGCCCCCAAAACAACCCGTAATTCCTCGCTCGCTCCCTACAGCAGTTGCAAATCAGCAGCAGAGGAAAACTCAGGAAGAAATTGGGGGAAACCTGGACCAAAACCGGGGCTGGAGTGGCCAGTTTTGGGAGCAGTAGTGGAAAGATGGAGGCTGGAGGGAGAGATACAGCTGCAAGGGAGCAGAAATGGAAAATACGGACGTGTTTGAGGGGAAAACCCTCGTCTTGCCAGGATTCACGGTCGAGGCCTCAGCTCCCACCCACTCACGCCTGCCTTGTTTTGTCTGCTGGATCAGAGAGAAGAGGAGAGATTAGCCAGGGCAGGAGAAGGCAAACTGTTACTTGCAGGGGGTTTGAGGCCCTGGAAGGAGGAGCAGCACCCCTCACTTTGGCACAAACAACTGTCTCGGCCTGCACCGCGAAGCCGCTGGATGTAAGCCAGGGGCCCAAAAGGAACACTCATAAAAAGAGCCTCCTGGATCGAGGCCACGAGCAGCACCTGGGAGCAACAGCACCTCCCTCCCCTCTTATTTACCCATGAGAGTATTTGTATACTGCGGTGTCAGGGCAGGTTTTCGGCAATAAAAGCATAAAACCCTGCGACGGAAGCCACTACAAGGGTTAAAGGCAGGCACCAATTCAGTGTTGTGGAAGGATGTCTTCTTAGCGGAGATTCCTGCATTGCAGGGGCGGTTTGGGGTCCCTTCCGACTCTACAATCCTGTGGTTCTACAGCAGCCTGCATAGGCCTGGTGGAATGGGAAAGTTCTCAGCAGGCACAGAAGACTGAGCAGGCTGAGCCTCTAGTGGCAGGGAGTTCCACAGGGCCGGCGATGCTAAAGGCTTGGTTTCTTGTGATCCGTGGCAACTGCCATTCGGAGACGGCCATCGGGGCCACAGAGATAATTTGCCTAACCCCCCCTTTAAAGTAATTCATAAGAACATGAGAAGAACTCTGTAGCAGCCACCCTGGTTCAGCCTCCTGTCCTCCCAAGGAACCACAAGATGCCCGCAGGGGAAGCCTTTGCAAGCAGAACTTGCGATGATTCCCAGCAGAACAGGCACCTGCATTTTCTGCAGAGGAGGGGACCTAGCCGTGGGGTCTAACAGCCCCCCAACAGCCTTGTTCCCCTCCGTGAATTTGTCTAATCTGTGCAAGCATACAACAGCTGCTGTCTACGTAGCAAGCTCCTTCGAAATCTGGCAGTCAAAATATACACAAAGGAAGTTCGGCCGTGGCAGCAGTTTGTGGCGTTCAAAAAGCTTTCTCTAAGCTCTCTCTCTCTGTGTGTGTGTGTGTGTGTGTGTGTGTGTGTGTGTATATATATATATATATATATATATATATATATATATATATATCTCACTCACCGGCTGCAAATGCTACCAGTCCAAATGTTTTGGGCTTGTAAAACAATTAAAGGAAAATAAAAAAGTAAGAACGCAGAACCGACAAGGAAGCTTTGGGCAGGTTAAGTAAACCGGAGAAGGAGCTTAGCCATCACAAAGCCTTTGTTGTCTCTTCTCTCCTAGCAAGCGAGACCCAAACATTGACAGGAGAGATTCCAAATAATGACAACTGGAGAGCAAACTATAAAAAAACAAACAGAAAAAGAGCCCTTTCCAGGCAGAATGCGGAAGTTAAGCAGAGCTACTGAAGTTAAATCGAACACAAAGCCTCAGGGTTTGCTTCAGAAGCTTGAAGCGGGGAAGGAAACCGGTTTTGGACTTTGGCTAGTCCACCTGCTGCTGTTTGGTACCCACAGATATTTGTGAGCGGGCTTCTGCGCCGCAGCAACCCTCAAAACAGAAACCAAAACCCAGCTACGCCGCACAAAACGAGTTGCGAGTTAACGACGTTCCAACAACGCCTGCCACTGGAAGAGCAAACCTGCCCAGGGGTCTCACTGAAATGGGAGTCTGAAAAACCACCACCACCACCACCGCTGGGTTTGGGCTAAAGCACTCGTTTTCATTTCGTGGTCATGCGAGGGTGGCATGATGTCTATCGCTCTGTGAACTGCCCTTTTCGGATTCATAACGTGCCTTATTTGCACTGTTAATTCGAAAGCAAATAGGAGAGGGTGGGTCCCGCGGTACAGGCTGGGAGTCCGAGGTGGGGGCTTTGTGTCTGGGCCAGTTAAGGACCGCTGCCCTCGGCAAACACCACGGACTCCGCCTCGCAGCAGGACGTAAGAATTGGGCAGGATAGGCTAAGCCTGTGGTTCCCAACGTGGGGCAATTAGATTTTTAAGGGGGGCCATTTGAGAATGAGTTACAGTCGTATCTTGGTTCTCAAACAGATTGCGTTCCGGGAGTCTGTTCGACTTCCGAAACTGTTCAAAAACCAAGACACGGCTACCGATTGGCTGCAGGAGCGTCGTGCAGCCAATTGGAAGCTGCGCCGGACGTTTGGCTCCCAAAAATTGTTTGAAAACCAGAACACTCACTTCCGGTTTTCGATCACTCGGGAGCCGAAATGTACAAGTTCCAAGACGTTTGGCAACCAAGGTACGACTGTACAGTGGTACCTCGGGTTAAGTACTTAATTCGTTCTGGGGGTCTGTACTTAACCTGAAACTGTTCTTAACCTGAAGCACCACTTTAGCTAATGGGGCCTCCTGCTGCTGCCGCGCCGCCAGAGCCCGATTTCTGTTCTCATCCTGAAGCAAAGTTCTTAACCTGAAGCACTATTTCTGGGTTAGCGGAGTCTGTAACCTGAAGCGTATGTAACCTGAAGTGTATGTAACCCGAGGTACCACTGTATCAACAAATGAATGGCCTTTTAGGCTTCCTCCACATGAATAGGAGTTCACTTTTTGAATAATAAGAATTATATGTCATGGGAGGGGGGTTCCATCAGAATTTTAGAGACGCTTAAGTATGGCATGGCCCAAATAAAAGGTTGGGAACCACTGGGCTAAACGGCGTTTCTCAAACTAAGGTTCCTAGTGGTTGGGCTACAGTACCCATCATCCCTGACCTGCTAGCTAGGGATGATGGGAGCTGTAGTCCAAAAAGAGCTGGTTTGGGAAACCCCAGATTAGAGCAGAGGCCCACCCAGTCCAGAATCCTCTTCTCCCCGGCGCAAGAGCCCTCTCTCCCCCTCCTGCGGTTTATGGCAACCAGAGGCATTCAGAAGCATCCCTTACCTCTCTGGCAATGCTCGTGGCTCCAGCAGCGCTCAATGAAGATGCCGTTGATCACCGTCGGGGAGCAGACGCTCTTCCCCTTGGCCTTCCCGGGGCAGATGTCCCCGCACTCCTCGTCCCGCTTGTTGGCGACGATGTAGTTGTCCTCGACGGAGTCCACGATCCGGGACCAGTCGATGGTGGACAGGTAGCACAGCTCGGCGTTCTTCTCGATGCGCACGGCCCCCCGGGTGATGTTCATCAGGCTGGGCAGGCCCACCTCCTTCAGGTGGACCATCTCGAAGATGACCAAGGCGTAGTTGAAGAAGAGCCGCGTCCCCCGGATGACCGTCAGGTTGGGGAAGAGCGTCTTGAGGCTCTCCAGGCCGTAGACCCGGAAGAGCAGCAGGTATTCGGTGACCATGGTGAGCTTGGGGAAGCTGAGGCCCCGGAAGTTCTCCGTCTTGGCCCCAAACATCAGCAGGATCTGCAGGTGGCCCTCGATCACCGTGCAGTTCTCCAGTTGGCGGAAGTTGGAAATGTCGTTCCGGATGTTCATACTGGGGCAAACTGGAAAGAGAACCAGGGACAAAAACGGTTAAAATAATCTGCTGGGAGAGCTTTTCAGCTGCCAAACAGGCACCTCTCCTCCCAAAAGGCAGCGGCAACAGCTTGTAATGCAGTGTTTGAAATTAGGAAGGCGCCAGGCGCGTTTTGCACCTGGCTATTGGCCACTTTCTGTTCTCAAAGCTCTCAACCTGGCTCAAGGCTAGCCAGATGTTCAACTGAGAATCAGTCAGTCAGTCCATCATTTGATAAATAAGACTTTAGAGCCGTCTTGCGCCAAAATGGCAACTAGGTATTCCATTTTGGAGACTGAAACCATGATTTGAAGTCCGGCTTATATATCTGAGTTTCTAACGCGGCTGTAACTTCAAGCACTGCGGGTTTGCAGCTGATCCGAGTTCCACTCTGAGCAGAGCCACTGAAATCAATAGGCCTACGTCAGTCAAGGGAGGAACTTAAGATGGATACAACCCACTGGCTGTGGGTTACATTAAGAGGGCCTTTGGGTTTTCTTTTCCAGCTACTCAGCCCCAAACCCATAGCATGTGAAAACCCCAAACCTCTCTTCCCCCACCCTTGCCCTTTTTGGGGAGAGGGTTGCCCACCCCTTGCCTGGCCTCTCTTTCACTTGGGCCAACCCAGAGGGCCACCGCTTGGGACAGGAAGGGCCGGTCTTGGGAATCTGAACCTTCCAGGCCAACTATCTGCTTCTCCCCCCCCCAAAGCCCTTGGCCACGAAGACGCTCCGGTGTCATAATCTGATTTAGACATGCTAATCTGCGTTGGATAACCAGAGGGCCGGGATTAGTATCCCCTCCCGGCTGCGGGATAAGCTGCCAGTGCTTAAAAGTCTTCATCTCCGAAAGCCAATTTGGACGGCTCTGAAAGGGGATTTGAGCTAATTCGCTCCGTGGCCAGTGGCCACGACAGCGACGGGCCACCCTACCAGCGTTGGGAGGGAGCGGGTTGCATTTCATCCTGTTTATTACTGGATTTATAGCACGCCTCTCTTCCCAAAGGAGCCCAGGGCGGTATCCTGCTAAACTGCACTGAGAGTAGACCTACTGAAATTAACGGGCCTGATTAGTTAGCCCGTGTCCTTCAATTTCTATGGGTTGCCATTAAGGTAAAGGTAAAGGGACCCCTGACCGTTAGGTCCAGTCGTGTCCGACTCTGGGGTTGCGGCGCTCATCTCGCTTTATTGGCCGAGGGAGCTGGCGTACAGCTTCTGAGTCAGGTAGCCAGCAGGACTAAGCCGCTTCTGCGAACCAGAGCAGAGCACGGAAACACCATTTACCTTCCCGCTGGAGCGGTACCTATTGATCTACTTGCACTTTGACATGCTTTCGAACTGCTAGGTTGGCAGGAGCAGGGACCCAGCAACGGGAGCTCACCCCGTCATCGCGGGGATTCGAACCGCTGACCTTCTGATCGGCAAGCCCTAGGCTCTGTGGTTTAACCCACAGTGCCACCCGCGTCCCACCCACGGTTGGCATTACTCGTACTCAAAACAGATCCACTGAAACCAGTATATATGATGAATAGGACTAGGCGATATATCAATATTGTGATACCGGTTTCATGATTCTTGGCAATACATCAAGGATCATTGTACTTGTGCGCTGTGCAGAAATCACAATGCGGAGAAAAGCGTGGAGCCAGCCAGCGCCTCTCCATAGCTCCATCCTTATTTCGGACATCGTGATATAATATCAGTACACTGGTACCTTGGTTCTCAAACTGAATCCGTTCCAGAAGTCCGTTCCAAAACCAAAGCATTCCAAAAGCAAGGTGTGCTTTCCCATACAAATTAATGCAACACGGATTAATCCGTTCCAGACTTTTAAAAACAACCCCTAAAACAGCAACTTAACATGAATTTTACTATCTAACGAGACCATCGATCCATAAAATGAAAGCGATAAACAATGTACTGCAGTCACACAATCAATTTATCAGTAACTGAACTGGGTTCCACACAGTCACAAAAACAAAAAAAAGCCGCAAATAGAAAAACGCAAAATAAACAGCAAAAACAGACAGACCTCAGCGTAAAACTCAAATCGGAAGCGTGTCACTTAAATCGGAAGTGTAACACTCAAAACAGAGCACTTCCGGCTTCTGAAATAAGTTCACAAACCGGAACACTTACTTCTGGGTTTGCAATGTTTGGGTTCCAAGTTGTTTGAGTCCCAAGGCGTTTGAGAACCAAGGTACCACTGTATATCACAACTGGTGACGACACTGAAAACCAGATATCGCCCTGCCCTATCGGCAAACGCCAAGTCCGTCGATTCCAAGGGGTCTTTCTTATCTGAATATCACTATTCTTTGCTGCGTTCCTATCCTGCCCTTTTCTCTAAACGGCTGCACGCGTCCCAGAGAGAAGGAGAGCTGGGCCAGAGGTGGGGCTAGAGGCGGCCGAGGCCAGGCAACCCAATATCTGCAAAGGTCGCCCGTGCTTAACCCCGACAAATGTCACCGCAAGGCATCCAGCTAGGCCACTTCCCTGCGTGTCCTTTTGTAGGCGAGCAGCAGCGGCCTAAGGCCAGGTATTTGGAAACGCCTCGCCGGAGCCCGCCTGCAAGTTTTGGGGGCTGCCAAAAGCCCAGGCCGCTGAATGTTGCTGCAACCTTGAGCCGGGACTCATTCAGGACCTGCTCAGGGACCCAGAAGGGACGAGTCGGACCGCAAGGCCGGCTCCAGAGTTGCCTTCTCCCCGTGCAATTAAAACTCGAAAGCTCCTTTTATGAGTAATTGTTTAAAGCCCATTAATCGCAAATAAAAAAAACGTTTTCAGCTGGCAGTGCTGCTGTGGAATCTGGAACAATATGGCTGCTCGACGGCATTCTTCTGGCAAGAGGTCCAGGCCGCCTTGTAAATCGTCAGCGGAATTTTTCACCTTCCCCTCTTTTTAAAGATGCAGAAAGAAATGTGGCGTCGACCTCGCGTCTTTATAAAGGCAAGGCTGGAAAAGGGACCCCTGGACAACGGTTTCCTCTTAAAAAAGCAAAAAAATCAGCCGAGAGACAAAGGACGTAAAACGTTTTGCCCCAATTTATCATTTTAAGGATTCCTTGTGGGGCAAGTTGAACGTATTGATTTAAACAGGTGGTTTCCATTCGGCGCAGAATCCGACCGGAAGCTTTCAGGAAGCCTGCGGACAGCTTTGCCTCGTTTGTGCCGCGGGGACTAACGTTCGCAAGTAGACTGCCTCTGAGTCTGGAGGTTCGACTAAGAGCCACTGACGGAGCCTGCAGCGGATTAGACTAACTCCCCTTCCACAAGGTAGCTGGAGTTTTCTACACCTTCTCTGACAGCAGAGCCGTTGTGGCAAGCAGCCATCACCTGCCACAAATCTCTTTTTATTAAGATATCTGAGTCGGCGGCCCTCGTGGCTCCCAGGCCTATCTAGCTCCTTGCCGTCTGCACTGACTGGCAGCACCAGATTTTCAGGCGTTACCTGGAGACACTGTCACCTGGGAGTGAGCTTGCGGCATTCTGAACATGAAGCTGGGCTGATTTAAAGAGGAACCGAGGGAGCTGCCTTGTGCTGGTTTTGGTCCATCTCACACTTCGCCCCCCCCCCCTTCATGGATCACTGCCTTGCCGGGGCGAAGGGGCTTGAATAACTCAGAGAAGCTATGAACTATGCCAAGCAGGGCACCCAAGATGAACCCCCACCTCATGAGAAGAGAAGACCCTGGTGCTGGGAAAGACGGAGGGCACAAGGAGAAGGGGACGGCGGAGGACGAGATGGTGGGACAGTGTTCTCGAAGCTGCCAGCCTGAGGGAGGCAGTGGGAGACAGGAGGGCTTGGAGTGCTCTGGTCCAGGGGGGCACGGAGAGGCGGACACCACTAAACGACAACACACTTTGCCCTCCTCCCCAAGATGCTGAAACCTCATCTTTGCCCGGCTGCAAAAAGGGGCAACTGACCCTCATGTGAGAACAGCCTTGCTGGGGGGCACCCCACGGCTGCCAACCAAATACCACCAGGACCCCACAAGCCCACCCATTTGGGGCCAGGGTGAGTCCGTGCTCTGACCCGCCAGCTGAAGACCCAGCCAGACTGGCCTTTTCCCGACGGCTCAGGTGCCAGAGCCTGAAGCTCTTCATCTCAGGGCTGCAGGTTTGAGTCCCAAACTCCCCTTTCTCCGATTCTGGCCTTCCCCTCCATGAATTTGAGGCTCCAAAGGGCCCGACTGCAAGCGAGGACACCCTCCCCATGCGTGGCTCTCAGTGACTGGTAGCCGGGGGCAGAACATGCGCCATCGCAGCCAGGAGGCACTTTTCGGGCGACCTCTCGCTTGCAAATCCTCCTGGCCTTTCTTGCAATGCTCCTTAGTCCAAACAACTCAAAACTTGTTTGTCTTTCCTTTAAAGCGGAGTGGGGGCAGAAAACCAAAGTACTGGGGCTTTTTTCCTCCCTGCTGTTCCTGCGCAGAAGGTTAGACTTATTTGTTAACCTTGAAAGCTACAAGTGCAAACCATCTTGACAAACAAATCCTTGAGGGAAAATGTGCTTGCTCGAGATATTGCGCCGTTATCTGGGCCGGGGAGTTGTTCGGCCAGAGGCACACACAGGTGCCACTCAAGGTCCCTCTCTCCTGGGCCGGCCAGCTGGCTGCTCCGGCCTCTGGAAGAACCGGCCGGCCTTGAGTTCCGGTTCTCCATCTCCCCATCCCCAGAGGAAAATGTTTGGGGAGATTGCAGGGCAGCAGGGAGGTCAAGTCTGCTGGACAGACACAACTTTGTTGAGCCACGCAACCCGGTTCATTTGCTGAGTTGCAGAGTTGCAAGGGACCCCAGGGGACATCTAGTCCAACCCCCCTGAGAAGCAGGAATCACGAGTTTCACTGCACATACTGAGTGAGGCAGGTGTGCGCTAGGGAGCCATTTATATCCTGGAATGGATGGCATAGCTTGGTGCTACCTCTGCATGGAAGGACAGATCCTGAAGCTGAGGCTCCAAGACTTTGGCCACCTCATGAGAAGAGAAGACTCCCTGGAAAAGACCCTGATGTTGGGAAAGATGGAGGGCACAAGGAGAAGGGGGTGACAGAGGACGAGATGGTGGGACAGTGTTCTCGAAGCTCCCAGCATGAGGGAGGCAGTGGAAGACAGGAGGGCCTGGCGTGCTCTGGTCCAGAGGGTCACGAAGAGGCGGACACGACTAAACGACTCAACAACAACAACAACACCTTTGCATGCGCAACACCTTCCAGTGCGGCTGGGAAACAAACCCTAGGGAGCCGCATCCAGCGCTGAGCGAGGCGGACAGGCTCCCTCACCCCCAGCCTGAGCAGAATCGGAACCTTCTCGGCACACACACCCCCCAGACCTAAATTTTAAAGCAAAGCACAAGTCCCAGAAGCACACAATGCAAAAACCAAAAAGATGTCGGTTGCCAGCAAGCCGTTTGGGGTGGGGGGGTGAGAGAGCATCTTACATAAGCTCCGAAGGTAGCGTACCCTTGAGGCACCGAAAGAGCGAGGGCAATTCTGGAACGCAGCAAGAGCGTGTTTGTAGTAAACAATCTGGATAACAAACCTTTAATGACTCACGAGGGGCGGCCTCTGCACGCTGCGTCTGAAGCAGCACCGTGCCATTTTGATTCGTCACGACTTCCCCCCACCCACCCACCGCCGGTGCCAAAAAATCCTGTAGTCTGTGCCATGTGAGTTGTCAAGAGACCCTCTCCCAATTCTCAGTGTGCCGCCGTTCAACTCTGGAACTGGCCGCCGCAGGAGGAATGCGACGGTCGGCAAGCTCTTTGAAAGAGGGTTGGGCAAATTCAGAGAGCAGGAGCAGGAAATAATAATAATAATAATAACAATAATAATAATAATAATAAATTTGTATTTACCGTATTTTTTGCTCTATAAGACTCACTTTTTCCCTCCTAAAAAGTAAGGGGAAATGTGTGTGCATCTTATGGAGCAAATGCAGGCTGCGCAGCTATCCCAGAAGCCAGAACAGCAAGAGGGATTGCTGCTTTCACTGTGCGGTGATCCCTCTTGCTGTTCTAGCTTCTGAGATTCAGAATATTTTTTTTCTTCTTTTCCTCCTCCAAAAACTAGGTGCGTCTTGTGGTCTGGTGCATCTTATAGAGCGAAAAATACGGTATACCCTGCCCTCCCCAGCCGAGACCGGGCTCAGGGCGGCTAACAACCAATAATAAAAACAAGTTGATTAAAATACAATTTAAAAGATTAAGATACAACATTAAAACAATTAGGGAGCAATCTCTTCATAGGAGGAGAAAGGAAAAAGAAAGAGGGGGAGGGAATCAAACTGATTCTGAGCCAAAGGCCAGGTGGAACAACTCTGTCTTGCAGGCCCTGCGGAAAGAAGTCAGATCCTGCAGGGCCCTGGTCTCATGAGGCAGAGCGTTCCACCAGGTTGGAGCCAGTGTTGAGAAGGCCCTGGCTCTGGCTGAGGCTCATCTAACTTCCTTAGGGCCCGGGACCTCTAGGGTGTTGCGCTATATGGACCTTAAGGTCCTCCGTGGGGCATACCGGGAGAGGCGGTCCCGTAGGTACGAGGGTCCTAGGCCCTATAGGGCTTTAAAGGTCAAAATCTGACCCTGTACTCCACCGGGAGCCAAATGCTTCCAAACAGCACTTGCTGGAAAGGGCAGGAGGGCTCTTGTGCTCAACGTGCGGGTTTCGCACACGCATCTCTGCGAGAAGAGCCGCCGGCCTGACCCAGAAAGATCTTCTTCTGTTCTTCCGTGTGCCTTTAAAGAGCCAGCCCCTCTTCCCCACACAGGGAAATTCAACTCTGCGATGACGGGAACACGGGCCTCCTAAGAACTACCGGCGCCCACAACAAACTACAGTTCCCGGGATTCTCCCAGCATGAAGCAGCCACAGCAGGCGCCGCGACTCTCCAGCAGTCTGACTTCGCCCCTCTTGCCTTGCCTCCCGACGCGGGCAGATGCCAAGCGACTAAGGATGGGGCCTGGGCAATAACGGAAGAGGAGACTGAGGAGACTGGAGACTGCCAACGCTGAGAGGTTCAGCGCCCCAGGGGCTGGCTAGCCCTCTGAATGAAAGAAACCGGCGCAATCTTTTTGGCAGACTGACTCTCCTCTGCTTGCCTAGTTATAGTTCGCAGGGAATGATGCTGGGGGACGTGCCCCCAGGATCCTAGGTTATTCCCAGGGGGTGGGGTGGGGAGGAGAGGGATCCACACACCCCCTTTGGTTCCTTCCCCCTGTTAAATCAGCTTTTCTCAACCTGGTTACCCGACAGGGGTTGATGGTAGTAGTAGTAGTAGTCCAAAGCAGGTTGGTGAAAGCTGCATTAAACATTTGGGGGAAGAAGGCTGTCTCAAATATAAAAGAAAATATTCCTTAACAGTTGAGAAATGCAACGCTGCTGCGATTTCTCCAAGTATGCTGCAGACAGGACAGATCCGACTAATGCTCTTCTTTCTTTCTTTCTTTCTTTCTTTCTTTCTCTCTCTCTCTCTCTCTCTCTCTCTCTCTCTCTCTTTACAAGAGTTCTCCGAAGGGCCTTAAAAAACAGAAACCAAACAAACCAAACTCAGTGGGAAAGTTTTATTGAATTGTACCCAGGTCTCCGTTTAAAGCCTCCACTTTTATAGTATTGTTAATGAGGCAGCGAAGGGCGTGTGGCTCTTTACACCCTGGGTTGGTTTGAACTGGGAGTCCCGAGAGGGGAGTCGGCGCCTCTTGCACAGCAGTCATGTTGGGGGGCTCTGGGTGGCCTTTGCCAGCTTGGTGCCCTCTCCTCCAGAGGTTTTGGACTAAAAAACCCGGGGGTCGGGGGGGGCTGCACTCCAGAGCGCCTGGAGGGCACCAGGTTGCCGAAGCCTGCCTTGCGGGGTGAGCACATGGCTTTGGCAAGTACCTGAGGTTGCGTAACAAGCCTTTCTTCGCATCGCTGCCATTTCAGGAGCCCAGGAAAGGGGCCTTGGGCAGCCAGACTACCAAGGTCCACTGAAGCCAGTGTTGGCAGCACTGACTGGCAGCAAGGGTTCCCTGCGGGTTCAGGCAGGGGGGAATCCCGGCAGAGGGAATGAACCCGGGACCTGCTAGGCATAGAAAGCCCTGCTCCTTCCCTTAAATGCAAAGCAAGATGCCAGTCCTCATCGTCTGATTGAAATAAGGACGGAAGAAGCTACCGATATTCTAACAAGCTCCATATTGCCCACACTGATGCGGCAGCAGCGACGCCACCGAGAACAGAACCTGCAAGAGGGCCGGCCTACCCTTGTTCATCGTCGCTTTCTATTCTTTCCATTTCTGCTCAATGTTTCGGGGCAGCACTTTCAAAACTAGGACACGCGCCCTGCCATTCTGCACGGGCTGGCAGCCTGCTGCGCGCTTCTACGGGAGGGAAGTCTGGCAGAAGAGCAGCCTCAAAAAAGTCTGTTGGCGCACCCCCAAGCCCCAGAACGCCGCTCCGTGTTTTGCATGGAATAACGCTTGCACAAATGTGGCCGCTTCGACGCCCGCTTTTATATATAGCCAAAGGACGGATATATAGCACAATTATACCCCTCTGTGTCCAAATGCCACAGTCCAGAGAAGCCGTTTGGGGGACTGGTACAGCGGGCGGTTTTTGAGGGGAGGGACAGCAGCGGTTCGGGACCCGTTTGAGAAACGCTTGCGGGGAGGCCTGGAAGGGGGCGCGACCCACACCGCCTCTGCTTAAGCGTGGAGAAAACAGCCGCCTTCCTAGTTATCCCCCGGTTAAGCATTGCAACGCGCGATGTCAAACTTTAACTCGGATGCGCGTAAACACGGCCGGCAGCTGGGTCAGAAGTCACTTGCTCGCGAGTAACCTCACTGCGTGCGCACTCGCAGCGGACGGGGGAAACTCAAGGAACCGTCTCCCTTCGTCTCTCATGCTCAAAACCTGTTGTGATGTTGCTCAGCGCCGGGCGGCGGAACGTTCCCCACTGAAAAGCAGCTGCTGCCAGCCAGTGTAGCCTGTATCAAGCTGGATGGATGAACGTTACACAAGGCCGCTTTCACAAGTCTGAGCTCCTTGCATTCTGGCTATGTAGTAAAAGCCGGGGGGAACCAAAACTTCTTTTTCCTCTCTCTGCAAAGCCTCCCACTTGCACTTAAGAAACCGACTTTTGGGATCTCAAAAGCACGGGGCTTCCCTACACAAAAAACAACAACCCGTATCCGGGGTAAGAAAAAAACCCAACAACACCAACAACTAAAACCATCCTTAGTCCCGTCCAGAAGAATAAGAGTTTTGTTTTCCAGCGCTTTCAAGGAACGCATTTCAGAAAATGGCTTAGGTCACGTCCGAGGTTGCCAAATGCATTTCTCAGATCGACCGCCTCGTTTTTTTCTAACACGGGGGGAAAAACCAAAGAATGTACAACTGGGAAAAAGAGAGAGAAGGGGAAGAACGAAAACTGTGCAGAGTATAACGGCCACCTCCAGTTATTATGGGGTGCTTGCTTGGCACTGCAATGCCTAACTGCTTCCAAACTGACTGTGTTTATTTACTTACAAAATTATTATTTTTTTATCCCATCTGTCGCCATAAGGTTCCAGGGAGGGGTTACTACAAAACTATGAAACCAGACCAAAATAAGGTTCCAATGGTCTTTCTTTCTTTCTTTCTTTCTTTCTTTCTTTCTTTCTTTCACCCATTCCAAATGGTAGAGGGCTGTATTAAATTCGCATCTCCCCCTCCCAAAAAATAATAATTCCGCCCTCCCAGGAGATGCAAGGCAAGCCACGTCTTTTCCTGAAAGTGATGCCCATCTCTGGGTTTTGCATGGGCAGAACCAGTCCGGCCTGAGAAGTCGAATGCGCAAAATTGGAAACGCCAGTCCCAGGAAATTGTGGGAGGGAAGGGGGCAGAGAAGGCACATGCCCCAGAGTTTTACGGGCTGAACAAACAGGCCCTTTCAGCTGGGAGCCTGACACATGCACAATACTAGATTAAGAGAGATTTTGGGACTTGGTCACCTCCGGAGGAGAACCCCTTTCTTCCTCCTCCTGCTTCTCTGGGAACGAGAGGCAGAGAGAGATTGCCTGGCAGAATGTGCTGTCGGGGAGGAAGGCCGACGAGGAACGGAATATAAAAGAGCGTGTTTCGCGGAAGCGGCCCCGATGGCGGAGAGCAAACACAACGGCTGCTTCGTGTTTTGATTGGGGATAATGGCAGCTGCTTGCATCAAGCGCAGAGAGAGACGGCAAATCAGCAGCCCCCGCCAAACAGAACGATCCCTGCTAATACGCGAGAGACCGTCCCTACGCAAAGCAAGGAACTTTGGCCTGGAAACGGGAGAGTTCTGATAAGCCAGCTTCCAGGTGATTCATCTCGTCAACAGGTGTCTTTCTTCCTGTTGTTATTAAGCCACCGCTCCAAATAAAAGCCCCCCACTGCCGGCAACGCTCTTTCAGGCCTGGTTCTAGGAACCCGACATCGCCAGGGTCTCCGCGACCAAAATACATCCCAAAACACATCGCAAGAAGTGATGCAACTGCCCAGGAGCCACGAGGCACAGAGGGAGAACAGACTGGCCCCACACAGCTCAAACACAGCCCCAAATAGCAGCCTGCCCAACCTGTAGGTCAGCACAGACCCACACCAGCGCTGCTCCCCACAGACTGTTTCATATATGTTTTCTCTCCTAGACAATGAAACCCTCGCTGACGCGTGTATCTTCCAGCTTAACAGGGAGCGCCTTCCCCTGAAATCTGGGAGCTACAGAGGGAACTGCCTTGCGCAGAACCAGGGCCACTGACTCCATCTAGCTCAATACTGCCCGCACTGGCTGGCAGCAGCTCTCTCCAGGATTTCTGCCAGATATTTTTTCCTGAAATTATAATGATCGTTGCCAGGTGCTGAACCAATGTAAGAGCAATTAGCTCCGACATGGGGCCTCGGCGTGGCAGAAGGGGGATGCGCCCTGCAGGACCCCCCCCCCAACTCTTACGCCAACTCTTAGCGAGGCAAGGAGCACTGGGCCAGCCCCTCTCCTCCATTTCCTTCTCCCAGCTGCTCTGCCCCGAGAGACGGTCCTTTCCTTACAAACAAGCCAAGGTTCAAGTCCTCATGGGTCCAAACGAAGCGCCGGTTTCAGCAGGAAGCTGCCTTGGGAGCAGAATCACCTCCCGCCTGCAAGCGGCTGGCCGAGGGGGTCCATCTATCTCAGCAATGTCTCCTGCGCTGACCGACAGGAGCTGCTCAGGGGTTGGGGGGGGAGCTTTTTCAGCGCTGCCCGGAGATGCCATCTGGAACAGAACCACGGCCCTGGCATGCCAACCGGGCCACGGAATCCAGTGTGGCACTTAATTACTGTTATCGATGGTCAGGATGCGTGGAGAAGGAGGCCTCCGGGAAGATAAGCGCGATCTGTTTATTATCTCATGCCTGCTTTCGTGCTCGCCGCCTCTTCCGTCTTGTTACGGTTTTAGCGTAATACGGCTTTTCCTTGTGATGTTTTCGCTTTTATGCATTTGTCTCCACGTCCCGCGTGACGCCTTAAAAAGAGACACGCACGGGAACCATCTTCCCTCTGACATTCAGAGGCATCAGCCAACGATCTTACACTTTCAGAGCATGCCAACGACTTTTCTTTTTGTACCCAGGCTCCCCTCGCCTCCATCCTTATTCCGGACATCGTGATCTATCGGTCTGCCGCGATGTTTAGCTGGTGACACATCACAGATACCGCCCTGCCCTACTAGCGGCTTATGAAGCCTAAACTACGTTTTATGTTATTTTATTTCGCCTGAATGCCTTCCCGTCATCTCGTACAACTGCTTCAATACTTTTGGATGCTAAGTGGCGTACAGATGCTTTTGATAACTAACTAAAGGAAACTTGCTTTGTGAAGCATATAAAAATCTCCAGGCACATAACAAGTCTTGTGTCCAGGAGAGAATAATTCTAGAGATCTGCTCTCCATTCCTATTATTATTATTATTATTATTATTTCTACTCTTATCAGTTTCATTAAAGCTTATTAATCAACGCCCTCCAGGCAAGTACAAAAGTCATAACTACCACAAGAAGAGAGGGCATAATCCCAAACGGCTCCTTTCCAATCACCTGGAACTGTTATGATTAATTCTAATTCTGCTAGTTGCTAGCTAGTTACGGGTGATGCAAGCCCACACACGCTGACGCCGAAGCAAACCCCACTGAACCAGTGGATTCTGAGTAGACCACACTTCGAGGCTGCTACTACCAATTCTAATTATGCCGATACTAGAATAACGCCCACCACTGTTACTGCTAGCGTGCCACCGTAATACTGTTTATATCAATAAAACAAACTCTCGACAAGTCAAAAACACGAATCATGGCCACTCCTATTATGGGGGAAGAGAAAAGCATCAGCCCAGAGGTCTCTCCTCTTCACGTGCCTTCTACTATTATAATTGAGGCTACTCCCGGTAATACTACCAGTAGTAAATGGAGCAATCAGCCCAGCGGTCTCTTCTCTAGACACACCCTGTCATTAGGATTTAAATCTTCTGCTACTACTATTCGCGATACCGAAAAATCACCCCAGAGGACTTCCCAGCCTTGGGTTGTGATTTCAATCTACTACTCTTTTTTGTTAGTTAATTGATTTCTGCACCACAACGTCTCAGAGGAGCAGCAGCCACAGCGGAGAACTTAAACAGAGCATTGCAAGGACACATAGTTACGTATAAAAACATTCCATTAATACAAAGTTACGATAGAATAAATAAAAAGAGGAGCTTCTCTATCCTCTCCTTCTCCTCCTGTTCCACACCAGAAGCCTTCTTCCCTGAATGTCACAATGAATGAAATTTCCACAACTGCTCCCCAGTTGCAGCCCCCCAAGGCGACCCCAGTCTCCTAAACTGGCAGCGCTTCCATTAATCAATGCCTTGCAATCGAGTCTCCTCTCGCCATTCCAATTTACGTCGGCTACAACCGTATCGCTGGCGCTGCCCCAAATATTGCAACTGCCCCTATGTACATACCCACGGCTGGGTCTTAAACCTGGCACCCTAAACCTGGCACCCAAGGCCTCCCTCGAAAGCACCCCCTTCCATTGCAACTCTTGACCATTACGTTTTAAGTCTTCCACTACTGCCAAGCGCATCGCAGACACACAGATGGGCACCACCAACACCCCAGTCTTGAACGGTTACCCCCTTTCAAGGAAAATTTTAAGTCTAGTTGAGCTGGTAGAGAGAGGCAGGGCCGTGGGTCCGAGCCCCACGTTGGGCAAAACCTTGCAAGGGGTCGGGCCAAGTGACATTTGGCGTCCATCGAAACTCTGCAAATTCTCGGATTCTACTAAGCGGTTGCTAAACGCATTGCAAACACTCCTGAGCGCAACTCCAAGCCGTCCAAAATCACTCCGTCCCCCAATACAACCCCCAGCATCCTGATTAACGTACTGCAGTCGCCCCAGATGCCTCCCCACCAGGCAGAACTCCCCATAACTACTGGGGGGGCACCCCAGAGGCCTCCTCTCCTCCCCACGCGCCCTCCAGCAAGTGCGGCCAGATGTTGGGAGCCCCACCCCCAGAGGCCTCCAATCCGCTGCCAGGCACCTGGGCTTGGCTTCTGCAGCCCCGTTGGGGCCCCTTGAGGTCCGCTATGGGGCAGAGATACAAAGAGGGGCCCCACGTCCAGGAAGCAAGGTTTTGAGCTCCCCCATTGGGGGGCTGAGCTGCAAAAGCCAAGGCTGGTTTTCTCCTGACACCTGCAGTGAAGGGCCCACCCCACAACTCACTGACCCTTCTGGCTGTTACCCCCCCCATTCACCCCCCACCCCAGGAGCCCCCCGATTCCCTCTCCCTCCTGTCCATTCACCCCCACCCCCTATTCCTGCCCCCCTATTCTCCCTCTACCCCATTCACCCCCCACTCCACCTCAGGAGCCCTTTGATTATTTTCCCCCTCCTGTCTGTGCACCCCCTATTCCCTCCCCATATCCCCCCTCTCTCCCCTTCTGCACCCCCCACATCAGGAGCCCCTCGGTTTTCTCCCTCTCTCCTGTCCACCCCCGTGTCCCCCATCTCCCCCCACCTCAGGGGTCCTATGATTGCCGTTACCCCCCACCCTATATCCCCCCTTGTATCCCCACTCACTCACCTAACTGCACCCTCCTGTCCTACTCCCCCTACCCGCTATTCCCCACCCCTTCGCCCCCCCCATATCCCTCCTCTCTCCCCTTCTGCACCCCCCACCTCAGGAGCCCCTCGGTTTTCTCCCTCCCTCCTGTACATTACCCCCTCCTGTCCACCCCCTATTGCCCCATATCCTCCCACCTAAGGAGCCCTACGATTACTGTTTCCCCCCATGCCCCCACTCCCTATTTCTTCCCTTCACCCCCCCACCCCATATCCTACCCCACTCGCCCCCTCTTGTCCTACTCCCCCTACGTCTCAGCCTCCTATTCCCCACGCTTTCTCCCCCCATATCCCCCCTCTCTCCCCTTCCGCACCCCCCCACCTCAGGAGCCCCTCGATTTCCCCCCTCCCTCCTGTACATTACCCCCTATTCCCCCCTATATCCCCCACCAGAGGAGTCCTACGATTCCCATTACCCCCCACCCCATATCCCCCCACTCGCCTTTCTGCACCCTCCTGTCCTGCTCCCCCACCTCCTATTCCCCACGCTTTCTCCCCCCCATATCCCTCCCCCTCTCTCCCCTTCTGCACCCCCCCACTTCTGGAGCCCCTCGATTTTCTCCCTCCCTCCCTGTCCGTCGCCCCCTCCTGTCCACCCCCTATGTCCCCCATCTCCCCCCACCTCAGGGGTCCTACGATTACCATTACCCCCCACCCCATACCCCCCACTCGCCTGTCTGCTCCCCCACCCCCTATTCCCCACGCTTTCTCCCCCCATATCCCCCCCTCTCTCTCCCCTTCCGCACCCCCCTCTGTTTCCCCCCTTCCTTACCCCCCATATCCCCCCCGTGTCCCCCACTCACTGTGGGCGAGGCCCCCCCCGGCCAGGAGGGCGAGCAGGGCGAGCGCGGCGAGGAGCCGCCCGCCGGGCAGAGGCATGATGGCGGGGGAGCCGAGACCAGGACCAGGCCTCCCTTCCCCTTCCCCTTCCCCTTCCCCTTCTCCTCGCGAAGGAGGCGACGCCGACGCCGCTGCTGCTGCCGCTCCTGAGGTAAGCAAGAAGAGGCCGCCCAGCAGACCCCGAGCTCGACGCCCAGGCCCAGGCCGCCCGTAAACAAGCCTCCTCCCCGCAGAGGGAGGCCCCGAGTCCGCTCCTCCTCGCGAGGAGACCCGGGGAGGAGGAGGAGGAGGAGCCAGGCCGAGGGAACAAGGGACGCCCCCCCCGGCTCCACCATCACGATTACGATTATTATCTAGTCAGCTCCCCCCCACACACAAAAAAAGGTCTTTCATTATTATTATTATTATTATTATTGCTGTGGTTATGTTCACTCACGTCCTCCTGGGGGCTAGTCTTCTTCTTCTTCTTATTTAGTCAGCTCATAGGCCGAACTCCTCCCCCCCCATTAAAAAAGGTCTTTCGTTATTAGTATTATTGTTGCGGTTGTTGTTATCACTCACGTCCTCCTGGGGGGCTATTCTTATTATTACTCCTATTATTATTACTAACGCCCCAGGTGGCTATTAGTATTATTATTGATGTTATTATTATTGCTAACACCCCAGCTGGCTATTATTATTATTATCATTATTATTGCTGTTATTATTATTACTAACACCCCAGGTGGCTATTAGTATTATTACTGCTATCATTATTATTACTAACACCCCAGCTGGCTATTATTATTGCTATTATTATTACTAACAGCCCAGCTTGCTATTATTATTGCTATTATTATTACTAACAGCCCAGGTGGCTATTATTATTATTATTGATGTTATTATTATTGCTAACACCCCAGCTGGCTATTATTATTATTATCATTATTATTGCTGTTATTATTATTACTAACGCCCCAGGTGGCTATTATTATTATTATTATTGCTGTTATTATTATTGCTAACACCCCAGCTGGCTATTATTATTATTATCATTATTATTGCTGTTATTATTATTGCTAACACCCCAGCTGGCTATTATTATTATTATTATTGCTGTTATTATTATTACTAACACCCCAGGTGGCTATTATTATTATTACTGCTATTATTATTACTAACGCCCCAGCTTGCTATTATTATTGCTATTATTATTACTAACAGCCCAGCTGGCTATTATTATTATTATAACTGCTACTATTATTACTAACACCCCAGGTGGACATTATTATTATAACTGCTATTATTATTACTAACACCCCAGCTGGCTATTATTATAACTGCTATTGTTATTACTAACATCCCAGGTGGCAATAATAATAATAATAATAATTACTACTACTATTATTATTACTATTGTTGGAAGAAGAACAGCTACAGAACCACAACCATCTGGGGGGTGAGGGTGGCGGCTATTTTCTCCAAAGGTCTTCAGTGGCTTTCATTATTATTACTGCTATTATTATTACTAACATCCCAGATAGTTATTACTCCTCCTCCTCCAAAGGTTTTTGGTACCTTTCATCATCATCGTCGTCGTCATTATTATTATTACTGTTGTTATTCTCGCTACCCCCTTCCTTGGTGGCTTCTACCATTATTGAAATCATTACCATTATTCTCATTAGTTCAGCTCCTAGGTCGCCCTTTCCCCCAAAAGGTCTCTGGTGCCTTTCTTCGTTATCATGGCTGTCATTATCACCACTAGCAGCCTCCTGGGCGGCTTCCATTATTATGGAAATGAGGGTTATTATCATCTTTGTGCTGGTTGGCTATCACTTTTACTACTATTACTATTGTTGGAAAGAGAAGAACTACGGGGAGCAGCCTGACTCCCCCCTTTGGCAATCTGCACAGAATTGTTGCTTAATGGTTGCCATCAATTTGATTTTAATTAATTTTTGTAATGAAATGTTTTTAGCATGTTGCATTATTTTATTGTTGCTAGCCACCCTGAGCCCGGCTTTGGCTGGGGAGGACGGGATATAAATTATTATTATTATTATTATTATTATTATTATTATTATTATTACAGAACCACAACCATCTGGGGGGTGGGGGCTATTTTCCCCAAAGGTCTTGTGTGGCTTGTTATTGCTGTTGTTATTATCGCCAACGTCCTTGGAAGCTTCTATTATTATTGACATTATTGCCATTAATGTTGTTATATAAAATGATGCGCTTTGGGGACCCAGGCCCCCTGGGGAGTCAGGCAGCAACACCCCACCCCATTATTTTTCGATTATTATTATTATCATTGTTTGTTCTGCGCTTATCAGGATATTACCCACTATTGATTAATTTCATTGAGCCGAGATTCCTTCATTGCATGGGGTTGGACTGGATGACCCTCGGGGGTCCCTTCCAACTCTGCGATTCTGTGATTTCCGGGGCAACAGCAAAGGCTGGTCATGCTCTGAGCAGGCTCCCTGCAAATCAATGGGTTTACACTGAGTAGGGCTGCTTTCACAAGGGCTTAATACCGCAGACAGGGTTTTCGCCGCAAGGTTTAATATATTGGCTTTTCCACGGAAAAGGTAAATCTGGATTAAATGTGGGGGGGGGGGGAATTCTGGCTGGCATTTCAATGCGAAATTTCAGGCGTGAAGAGCACTCATCCCATAATAAGCACCGACCCGACTTAGCTGAATATCACCCATCCTAATTGGTTTCCTCTTGCTAGGAATTGTGGATTTCCTGAAATTATGATTGGTTCCCTTAGAAGCTAGCTGGTTTTCCTTATTTTATTGATTATTATTATTGGCTCCCTTCATGACCATTACTACAGTTACCCTTAATAATAATTAATGGCTGGCAGTAGTAGTCGTATTAACGAACATGCGCTCGCCACCTCCGGTCCTGTGGCAGGCTTAATAAACGTTAAGAAAATGTAACCATGTAAGAAATTGAAACAAATGGGCTAATTAATCAGGGGCCAAAGGGGCACTGCTTTAGTCATTAGGAACTGATCGCTAATGAGCGAGTGGGGGAAAGTATATTTATTTATGTGTCAAGACTGCAATCCTAGCCCTGCTTACTTCTGAGTAGACCTAGGATTAGCTATTCCAGCTGGGGGAAAGGGGGAGCCCGATAATTTATTAATTGATTTATTAATTAAGCACCCCGTTAATGGGCCACCTTCCTATAAGTCTCTTATTGTTGACCGGAGAAATTGAGAAGAGGGCATCTGATTGCTTGATGAGGACAGCAAAGAGGATTTAAATGTATTAATTACTGCTAATAATAGGAAGTGAGGAGTTAATTAACCAGCTCGCAAGAACAGCAAACTGAGGCTGACCCATGTTGTAATAAAGGAGGCTACCAGCAGGTTAATTTGCTTGTTAATTACAAAGAAGAACAGATTAATTACAAAGAAGAATAGATTGATGACACCTCTGTTTATGGGGTTGAATGGTTATCTGCAGGGAATAAGGGGTCGCGGGTGTTTGACGTTATTCATGGGAATATGACAACATATTAGTAACAATATTAATGCGGGGTTAATTTCTTAACTATTCCAAACCGCGAGGGATTAAGCTTTTATTCATGAGAATAACGGAGCCTGATCTGAGTAAGAATTCGATTGCGGTGAGGAAATAGCAGGGGGCGCGGAAACATATTACTGGATTAATTACACAAGGCACTGTGCATCTATGAATTCAGAGTTGGAAAGGGACCCTGAGAGTCAATCTAGTCCAGCCCCCTGCAATGCAGGAATCTTTTGCCCAACGTGGGGCTCGAACTCGCGACCCGCTCTACCAACCAAGCTACCCCTTCGGGCATAATTAACAGGGGGCAATTAATGATTCAACGTGCATTCGTTACCACGTGTTGCATATGCACTCATCCTGCTAATTAATTGCCTTCCCTTCTACCCCCCACAACCACCCTGCGAGGTAAGATGAGCCAAGACGGGGGGAAAGTGTTGGAGGGGAGAGGGTTCTGGGCACCACAATTTAAGAAGGATGTTGACAAGCTGGAAGGTGGGCAGAGGAGGGAGACGGAGATGATCCAGGGTCTGGAAACCTGATGAGGAACGGTCGAAGGAGCTGGGGATGTTTAGCCTGGAAAAGAGGAGACTGAGAGGAGATAGGAGAGCCATCCTCTAATATCTCACAGGGAAGAGGGAACAAGCTTGTTTTCTCCTGCTCTGGAGGGCAGGACCCGAACTCGTGGCTTCAAGTGACAATAAAGGAGATTCCGACTAAACAGTAAGAGCTGTTCGACCGTGGGATGGACAGTGATGGATTCTCCTTCCTGGGAGCTTTTGAAGCAGAGGTTAGATGGCCATGCTTTAGTTGAGACCCCTGCTTTGCAGCGGGTTGGACTAGATGACCCTGTGGGGTCCCTTCCGAAACGCTGTGCTTCTATGTATTATCATTCAGAGGCGCACTGACAGTCAGAACATAACTATGGATTGCCTCCTCTTCTGTGAATTTTGTCTAATCCTCTTTGAGAGCCGTCCAGGCTGCCAGCCCTCCTTCGCCTCTCCAGAGGGCAAATTCCATGGGTTTTAACTCTGCGCCGGGCGAAGCCTTATATTTTGTCTGCCTCAGAGCTTCCAAAACACGAAGCTTCCTCCAGTTTCCTTCCCCAAGGGAGCCGGGTTTAAACGCAGGGACCTAAGGCTGTTTTGGCCCTTTGCAACACTTGCAAATCCTTTGCAAACTGATTTCCTGGCAACCGAGGGAGAGAAAAACAACAAAAACCTCGGCTGCCTGACTTGTGTTTATTTTCAGCGCCCGCAGAACGTATGCCATTATTATTACTACTACTACTACTACTACTACTACTACTACTACAGTGGTCCCTTGGTTCTCAAGCTTAAGTCCTTTCCAGAACCAAAGCGTTCCAAAACCAAGGCGCGCTTTCCCATAGAAAGGAATGCAAAACGGATTAATCCGTCCCAGACTTTTGAAAACAACCACCAAAGCAGCAATTGAACGTGGATTTTACTATCTAACGAGACCATTGAGCCATAAAATGGAAGCAATAAACAATGTACTGCAGTCACACAGTAAATCAATCAGGAGCTGAACTGGGTTCCACACAGTCACAAAAACAAAACAAAAATGCAAAATAAATAGCAAAAACAGACTGACTTCAGCGTAACACTCAAAACGGAGCACGTTCGGCTTCCAAAAAAAGTTCGCAAACTGGAACACTTACTTCCGGGTTTGCAGTGTTTGGGTTCCAAGTTGTTTGAGAACCAAGGCGTTTGAGAACCAAGGGACCGCTTAAATTTATATACAGTGGTACCTCGGGTTAAGTACTTAATTCGTTCCGGCGGTCCGTTTGTTACCTGAAAGCACCATTTTCTTAACCTGAAGCACCATTTTAGCTAATAGGGCCTCCTGCTGCTGCCGCACCACCGGAGCACGGTTTCTGTTCTCATCCTGAAGCAAAGTTCTTAACCCGAGGTACTATTTCTGGGTTAGCGGAGTCTGTAACCTGAAGCATATGTAACCTGAAACGTATGTAACCCAAGGTACCACTGTACCACCCTATACCTGGGGGTCTCAGGGCGGTTCGCAGAATAAAATCAAGATATAAAACCACAAAATATGTAATTTTAAAAACAAAGCAAAACTACAACTCCCACCTGCCCTACACAGCTGGGAATTGTAGTCCAGAACATCTGGAAGCTGCCCGGTTGGGCAAATCCTGACTTTGCCCTCCTTGCCAGGCTGCCTGGGAGCGGGTTAATTATATGAAAAGAATGCAAGCTATTAACCATAAACCCAACCTGTTGCCCAACCCGCCACATGACCATCCACAACACTGGACTGCATCCCATCAGCCGGGCATGACTCAGAACCTCTCTGCCACCGTGCGCCCTGGATCCAGAACCGGGTTATTTATTAATTTCGCCTTATCGCGTTATTAACCCCTCAAGACACTCCCTGCTAAACTCAAGGGCCCTCGCTCGTTCCTCTTCAAAACTATTTTCTTTTTTTCTACATAATTTTTATTAAATTTTCTGTTTCAGTTTAAAATGCTCCTTTTTACATCCTTCAGCTGTCAACGACTTCCCTTCTCCTCTTTCCATTTTACATATCATAAATCCCTGCATATTTTACAAAAACTGTACCATTCGGTATTCCTTTATTGCATCCATCAAAGCTTATTTACCCTGTTGAATTTATCTCAATGCTGCCAGCGTTTTCAGCTGTGCAGTTATTCCCCATATATTCAATAAAATCCAGTTTTCTCTAAACGTATGTTCGTCTGGTTCTCTTATAGAATATGTTAAGTCTGCAAACTGCGCATATTCCGTCAATTTAAGCTGCCATTCTTCTTTGGTTGGGACCTCACTCCTTTTCCATTTGGCGGCTAACGAAACTCGGGCCGCAGTAGTGGCAGACATAAAATAACCTTTTTTGTCACCTGGGTCTTCAAAACCATTTCTTCACCGCTAAACCACATTCAAGGAAGCCTCCGGCTTAATGGGTTAACAGTCTTATTACTCATGCACAGTTTGGTTTTCCTGTCTTTCGTTTTGCGGTTTGCAACCTGCGCTAAAATAATCCCAACCCAGCCTATCGTTCAGGAACCCCCATATTTTATATATGGCACCCTGTAATGTTTTCTTCCAAAACGTTCGGGGTTTTTTTGGGGGGTAGACTTTGCCGTGTTCAATGTCTTCTTCCGTAGTTGACCTTTGTAATGTTTTGTTTTGAAACCTTTACGGTAATATTTTCATTTCCTGTTCATTAATGTTGCTTCGATTGCATACGTTATAGTTGTTTTATTTTTTATCCTGGATTGTAATGGGGTATAAATAATAATAATTATTATATGTGCTGTCAACAGCTTTGAGATTGTTTTTCTGGAAGATATAAAGCCATATAGAAATGAACTGAATAATAATAATAATATATGGCAGCCTTGGGCCTCCAGTCAGAATGAAAAGCTGCTGCCATTGCTAGATAAGACTAGCATAGAATCGCAGAATTGTAGGGCCCCCAGGGGTCATCTACCCCAACCCCCGGCAGTGCAGGAACCTCAGCTAAAGAATGCCTGGCCATACAGCTTCTATTAAAAATAAAAACAAGGGAGGAGGCAGCCCCACGGCCAAACGGCTCCTAACATTAGGAATAACTTTCTGGAGTCGGAATCCCATTTCTCGCCCTTTGAATCCATTGGTTCAGGTCATCCGAGAACAAGCTTGTTCCGTCTTCCTGTTCCCCTTCAAGCAGGCCTTGGGCTGATTGACACCCGATGCCCTTTAAGAGTGTGTTTTTTGGGGGGGCGTCATTCTTGTTTTTATTTTTATTCTGGTTTTATGTTGTGAACCACCCTGAGACCGGCGGTATACGAGTTTAATAAATCGTAATCAATAATCCCAGTTCCTGCAAACTGCTGGCTTCAAGGTGGGGCCCCTATAACAGGATGGGACCCCAGAGTCTTCTCTTACGTTCTCTGCAAGGGTAAATCGAAGGGCACCAATTGCCCTTTAACCACCCTCGGTTCGTAGTTCAACCAGCTGGAGCTGGCTTGACCGACTGGGTGCCAGCCATCCGAGGCAGGAGGAGAACGCTGCCCGCAATTGGAGGGGGCGGGAGGGGGGGTCACATGCCAGAAAGTGGCCTCAGCACCTCTGGGAACACAGCAGCCTGAATGGGGCAGCTGTGCCCCCGAAGGACCAGGTGTGCAGCCTGGGAGTCATTTTGGACTCACAGCTGTCCATGGAGGTGCAGGTCAGTTCTGTGTCCAGGGCGGCTGTCTCCCAGCTCCATCTGGGACGCAGGATGAGACCCCACCTGCCTGCAGACTGTGTGGCCAGAGTGGTGCCTGCTCTGGTTATCTCCCGCTTGGACTACTGCCATGTGCTCTGTGTGGGGCTCCCTTGGAAGGGGACCCAGAAACTGCAACTAATTCAGAATGTGGCAGCCAGACTGGGGACTGGGAGTGGAGACCATATAACACCAGTCCTGAAAGACCTACATTGGCTCCCAGGACGTTTCTGAGCACAATTCAAAGGGTTTGGTGCTGACTTTGAAAGCCCTAAATGGCCCAGTATCCCTGAAGGAGCATCTCCACCCCGGACACGGGGTCCTCCTCCCAAGGGTCTTCTGGTGGTTCCCTCCCTGCGAGAAGCGAGGTTACAGGGAACCAGGCAGAGGGCCTTCTCGGTGGTGGCGCCCGCCCTGTGGAACACCCTCCCACAAGATGCCAAGGAAATCAACAACTACCTGACTTTTAGAAGACATCTGAAGGCAGCCCTCTTTAGGGAAGTTTTTAATGTTTGATGCTTTATTGCAGTTTTAATATTCTGTTGGAAGCTGCCTAGAGTGGCTGGGGAAACCCAGCCAGATGGGCAGGGTATAAATAAGTATTATTATTATTATTGGCTCTCCATGGTTTTGGACTCCCAGCCTTCCTTGGAGACTGGCCTTGGGGTCTCTTGCATGCAATACAGGTGTTCTGCAGACCTTTCCCTGTGGACGTTTCTGGCGTCAGGCCGCTCGTCTCCCTAGGACCCTGAGACCCTCCCTGCCCGAAATCCCCTTGGCATCATCACTCACACAAAAGAGCCGTTGCCGCTGGTGAATTTCCCCTCTTTCAGCTGTCACCTAGATACCACCACACACACACACACAAAAACAGTAACTGGAATCTGGTTGCCAAAAGAAATTATATTCTTCCCGTCGCTGGGAATTCTCAGGGGCAAGGTGGGTTTCTTACGGGCAGCCTGGGCGGCGGAGAGCAGTAAATTACGACACTCACTTTCTTCCTCTTTGTTAATGGGGGGGGTGTAGGTGGGGGCAACTGAATCTTCCGAGACCTCCCATTCCACACTGCACCTTCCATGCTTCAACCCGATATCTTTTGCTTTGGCATCACCAAAATTGGTTACTTCAAGGCTGGATTGCTGCAATGTGCTCTCTGTGGGGCTTTCCTCGCAAGGCCTTGCCGGGTGTTTCAAAAGCCGATAACCCATTTCAATTAGCATTTCGTCCATTATTATCTTGTTCAAAGTTTTAAACCCCCCCCCCCAATTGATAGTCATTGCTTTGGCTTTCTCATAAACCAGCTTTGGATTATTATTTTTTAAAACTGTATATACTTTACGAAATCAATCCCCACCCCTGCCCAATTAATTTATTTTTACCTTTGTATCCCCTTTATCTCGCCTCCCAAGGAGCTCGAGACGAGTGTGTGTGGCTCTTCCCTTCGCCAGGCTATCCTTGCGACAACCCTGCGTTGTAGGCCTGAGAAGCGACTGGCTCGAGGGTCACCCAGCGAGCTTTGTGCCCCGAGTGGAGATCTGAACCCTGGACTGGCAGGAACCTCCTGTGCTCTTAACGGTCCCTCCCGGCCCCCTATCTCAGTTACAGAGGCCTGTCTCTAGCACGGACACAGATTGAACTCTGGTGGCGTTTTCTGAAGACCCAGAAAGCCCCATCGTTCTGCAAGCCCAGTTTAGTGGCACCCAACCCCGAAAGGGAAGCCCGCTTACCCAGAGGGCAGTTTGAGGGCCCCTTCTGCCTGCCTCTTGGCTCTCCCCACCGCTGCCCCAGCCCTCCAGGACCCCCGGCCTGGAAAGTTCCCCCGGCCAGAGGATATCCTCCTCCGTCACCAGCCGTTGGCACCAAGAGCTTGGGAAGCTGACCCCTCGCTGGTTCCTGCGAGCCTGGGAACGCCAAGACGGCTTCTGCATCACCGCACCCTCCCTTCCCGCTTCCTTCCAGGCGGGGAGAGCGCCAGCAGGATGAGGATCCTGCCACCTTAGGTGTGAAGAGAATGAAGGGCTTCCCAGAAGCGTCCCTCGCCCGGAGCAGGAAGCGCCAGAGGCTCCCGTTGCGGCAGAGCCATCTCAATCTGCCCCTCCGCCGGCAGGACACCTGCTTGGCAGGCAGAAGGCGCCAAGGCGTCTCCGGCTAAGCTGCCTCCCACGGAGGGGAGTTCCACAGTTGAACTCTCCACCGCTCAGCGCAGAGCCCCACGTCAAAGGGGGCTGCGGTGCAGAGTCGCTGCCCCCCAACCGCCCCGGCCACACGCACAAAAGAATCACACCGTGGTAGTGAGTCGGATTTTGCTTTTAATGCGCGAGTGGCGGCAGGCAGGCTGGCTGGCGTTGCATCACTCGGCTCCCTCCCTGGCAGGGCGAAGTACATTTTCCGTGCGGCGGGGGGCAAGCAGAGGCTCATCGCTCTGGCGCAGGGAAGTGGGGGCGACGCAGAGCCCCGACGTTTGGGCGGCCAAGGCAGGGCCTCTCCCCCTCGGGGGACTGCGCCTCTCCTGGCCCACCTCCCAAGCTGAAGGTGTGCGCTTGGCAAGCGGTGGGACGAGGCCCCCACTGGCGCCTCTTTCTGCAGGTGATTCACCGCCGCTGCGAGGTGGGGGCACCTTTGCTCTCGAAATGGGGAGGTGCCTCCAGCAGCCCTCGTTCCCCCTGCTGTCGCTGTGGCACATGCAGTCTAACCCCAGACATAAGAACTGTGGCCAACACCCCCCCAAAGTTGTGTTTTCCTTTTTGGCTGGGAGGGAGAAAGAAGAGCGAAAGCTGGCGGAGTCCTTACACCTGAATGTTTAGGACCTGGGGCTTTGGGGGGAGAAGAACAGAATAAGTGATTTTCTTCCCCCCCCCAACCTGCCCCAACTCGTCGGCCAAGAATCCCCCAGCTCCAGAGTCCTGGTTTTCCTCTACAGGCGGCAGAACCTCGTTAGAGGTGAACGAAACCCTAACGGCCTCGTATTCCTCCTTCCAGGCCGTCCCCAAATGGCAGCTGAGCTGTGAAGGTACACTTTTTTTGGGGGGGGGATACAGGGGGCTTTACACGATGACAGAATGGTCACCCTCATCCAAACAGGGACTCGGCTCCCTGCAGGTGGAAAGGTAGCAGTCAGGAGGAAGAAGAAATGTTCCTGTCGGATTCCCCACTGCCCCCCGCATGCAACAGAGACTGGGCCTGGTCTGGCAACTCCGCCTCTGCCTGGGGAAACCAGGCTCTTGGAAGCAAGCCATACCCAGGTCCCAAACGGCTTGAACCCCCGACTGCTCTCCCTGCTCGGGCCCAGCTTATGAGCTGAAGGAGCCTCCCCACTGTCAACCGTATAAGCAGGCGGGATGTTTTCTCCCAGAGCAGCTCCCTTCCAGCGAGTGTCTTCAGAGACTCCGTCAGAGAAGCGCCAGGAGCTCCCTTCCAGCGAGTGTCTTCAGAGACTCCGTCAGAGAAGCGCCAGGAGCTCCCTTCCAGCGAGTGTCTTCAGAGACTCCGTCAGAGAAGCGCCAGGAGCTCCCTTCCAGCGAGTGTCTTCAGAGACTCCGTCAGCGAAGCGCCAGGAGCTCCCTTCCAGTGAGTGTCTTCAGAGACTCCGTCAGAGAAGCGCCAGGAGCTCCCTTCCAGCGAGTGTCTTCAGAGACTCCGTCAGAGAAGCGCCAGGAGCTCCCTTGCAGAGAGTGTCTTCAGAGACTCCATCAGAGAATCGCCGGGAGGCCTCGGACTTTGTGGGCAACGGCGTGAGGCGAACCAAGGAGTCGCCAGGTTGCCGCCCTCGGCCTGAGGAATCACCTGAGCTTGGGGAAGATGCGGATGAAGAGGATCATGCTGATGAAGATGAAGCAGACGACGATGAGCATCAGCCAGAGGAGCCAGTTGACGGACTTCTTGGCGTGCTGCTCCAGGCGGTCGGACTCGTCCTTCAGCTTCTCAAAGTTGTGGTCGGCCAGCTTGAGCGAGTGGGACAGAGTCTGCGTGCAAACACTGAGTTACAACCTGTGCAACTGGGGGCGGGGGGCAGGCAGGGGTACCCACAAGCCATGCTCCCTCCCCTTGAGTACCCGCCTCACCTGGTTGTCTTGCTTGATCACGTTCTGCGCCACCAGAGTGTTGTTCTTGAGGTTGCGCGCCAGGTGGAGCATCTCCTCGGCCAGCTTCTCCTGGATGCTGTGGTGGTGCTGGAGGACGGCATCCAGCTCAGCGGCCGACTGCTTCTCGTCCGGGAGGGGGCCCCTGGGGTGTATCAACAGAGAGAGAGAGAGAGAGGGAGAGCCCTCCTTACATTTGTGCTAGGGGCTGTGCCACTGGTCACTTCGCTCGCCAGGCACACCTACTCCTCCCTCCAACAACCCCAGAGAAGGGGGCCTGGGGCTGGCAGGCCTCAAGGAGCCAGTGGATCTGGGGGGGGGGGCTGCGGCAGCCTGCTCTGGCTCCCCCCCCCCACTGCTTGCCTGGACCACTCGCCCACCAGCTCTCTCCTTCAAGCTGTACTGCACAGCACCACCTGCCTGTGACCAAGTGAACAGCAGCGTGACGACATCCTTACCTTTTTATTATATAGTAAAGGGACGTCCAACTCCCAATAGACCGCGATCTACTCACAGTATTAAAAAACTGGCAGTTATTTGATCTACCCACTGTCGTTGGATGAAGCCAAAGTTGTTGAGCTTTTTTTGGAACTTCTCCTACATCCCAGGTCAAAGGATAGAAGATCCTTCTTCCAGCCCAAGGTCCACATTCTGCAACTGCCTACCCCCCCCCCGGACTGGCACACACTTTGTGTTCCTGGCAGAGCAAGCCAGGACAGCCCCACCCTCCCCTTCCTGCCCCCCACCAAAACCCGGCCTCCCCAAATAGAACAAAGGACGTCTTCTGAGTCACACCGCCCCAGAGCAAAAGCCCTGCGAGACACTCACGTGCGTTTTCTCAGGCTCGTCTCCTCCAGATCTGGGGAAGGAAGGAGGAAAAGGTTTTGTCTGTGTTCATCAGCTGGGGGAGAGGTGTAAAGGAAAGGCCAGAGGCCAGCAGAAGGTGACCTGCAGGCGGACAGGGGTAGAGAGGGAAGGGTGGAGGCACAGCGCCCCAAAAGTAACGGCAGGCAGGCAGGGGAAGGAGCGACAGGGACCCCCAAAAGCTGACGGACAGCCAGAAACAGCGAGCGCCCAAAGGATGGGATGATACAGGGTCCTACTCAGAGGAGACCCATTGAAATCAACAGACATGACTGAACTGAGGCCCTTCCGACTTTACAATTCTCCCACCCCGTGAAAACCGGTTTGACGAGCGACAGAACCGCCCCAAATGAACTCGAGGAGGAGGAGAAAGCAGTTCCGTCGGAAATAAAAATGGATCTCCCAAACCGGGCGAAGTTGATTCCTCAAAAAGACACAAAGGCGCCTTTTGTACACATGGATGTGAGCAGACACTTACCAGGCAGGCGCGAGGGGTCCTGGTGAAGCAGAAAGATGGGGAGGAAGAGAGAGAGAGAGCGTTCAGTGATAGGGGGGAATTGGGGTCGGAGGTACTGGGGCCTTTGGAGGCCTCCTGCCTCGTCGTAGGCTGAGGAACTACATTTGCCCAGGAACAGGGAATGTCAGGCTCCATGTGGCCCTCTGAGCATCTCTACCCGGCCCCTGCGACACTCCCCAGGCCACCCCTCTCTCTGGCTCTGCTCGCAGCTGCCTTGAGCTCTTCGGCTTGGTGGACAGTCCCTGAATCAAGTGACTTTCCTCCTTCCAAGTTCTCTTAACCCTGCTCAAGGTTGTCTTCCGAACTAGCCAGATATTTAACTGGGAATCAACCACAGCCAGTCCATCCTTTGCAAAGTAAGACTTGCCCCAAGATGACAACCAGATACAGTCGTACCTTGGATCCCAGACGCCTTGCGAGTCAGATGTTTTGGCTCCCGGATGCCGCAAACCTGGAAGCAAGCGTTCCGGTTTGTGAACGCTTTTCGGAAGCCGAACGTCCGACGCGGCTTCCGATTGAGCGCAGGAAGCTCCAGCAGCCGATCGGAGGCCATGCCTCGGTTTTCGAACCATTTCGACTCCCGGAACAGATGTAAGTTCGACAACCGAGGTCCAACTGTATCTGTTTTTGTGACTGCAACCTCGGTTTAAGGAGCCATTGGCACCCAGCTGACGTAGCTAACACTGGTTCCTGGAAGGGCACAAAAGGATTCCCCCACCCTGAACTTGGCCTGTCCCTAAAGACAGAAGATGCCATTGGGGGAGACCCCACACAGCAACAGGTGCCCACACAGAGAGCCAGAGCCGAGGTGAAGGAAGCAGCGAGCCCAAGCGACCCCCCAGGGGGAAGCAGTGAGAGGATCCGCCGCCGCCAGCCTCGGCCGGTGAGACATAACTGTACCAAGAAGCTCGTTCCTCATCTCGCCCGTGTAGCGGGCCTTGGTCTGTAGGTGCACCGTCTTGGTGGCCGGCGTCCTCTCCTTGGTTGTGGTGGGGGTCCTCCCAGGGGCCAGGAACTGGTTGGCCAGGGCCTTTTCGGACGACGACGACTGCGGAGGAAGAGAGAGAGAGGGAGAAAGGGGCTTGCGACTGTGATAGGAATTTTATGGTCTTAGATATATGGTAATGTTCATAAGAGTGCCAACCAAGCACGTACATAGATCAGCCCAGGAAGACCAACCTGGAACCATTTTGATTCCCAAACTGAGCAAATGTTTTCTCTGCAAGGTCAAAGTGGAAAAGCCTCCCCATTGTCTTTTCCTTCACAAATCCTGTCTTAAGGGTATGTCTGTGTTTGAATAGGGTGTGAGCCTGTGACCTGGCCCAGGAACTAAGCACACTGTATATTTTGCTCTATAAGACGCACCTGACCACAAGACGCACCTAGTTTTTGGAGGAGGAAAACAAGAAAAAAAATATTCTGAATCTCAGAAGCCAGAACAGAACTGGTGCGCAGCGAAAGCAGCAATCCCTCTTGCTGTTCTGGCTTCTGGGATAGCTGCGCAGCCTGCATTCGCTCCATAAGACGCACACACATTTCCCCTTACTTTTTAGGAGGGAAAAAGTGAGTCTTATAGAGCAAAAAATATGGTATTTATCATTACGAAAGATTGGCCAGGCTCCCCAGGCAATCCAATCAAGTAACCTGCCAGACAGGAGATAAACAACAACAGGAGAAAACAATATTCAAATTTCTGTTTTAGACCGCCTTTTCTGTGATGTAGGTGTGATGTATCTGAGGGGTGGTCTTAGGTTACACCCCTTCTGTGATGTATGCCTGATGTTTCTGGGGGTGGTCTTGATCTACAGGGTGGCAATTTCAAAAGTCTTTATAAGGCCTTGCACACCATTTTTCTGGGTCCCTCCTCTCTCCTGCAGGTGAGGGGAGCACCCTGTTGCAACAGTTCAATAAAGATCAAGCTTACTAGCTGCTTTGCTTCTCAATATTCTCTGGTTGGCCTCTGTTATTTTCTCCTACCAATAGGGAACCTATGTAAGGACTCTATATGGGCTCTTGGATACCCCATAAGGGAAAAGGGCATTTTTTTTGTTTACAACACAACGATGCAGCCCGGCCTTCTGCTGTCGGGGAGAAGGCCCACCACAAAGGAAGTCCACACACCAAGGGCCTTACCAGCTTGTCTGCTTCCAGCAGCCCCTTCAGGAAATCCACCTTGCGGGAATATTCGTTCAGCACCTCAGGAGCAGGTTTGCTGAAAGGGGAACATTGGGACGTTAAGGAAAGTGCCTGGATCAGGCCGGTGGACTGCCTGGTCTCTGGCATCCCTGCTCTCCCCCTGCCTGAAACCCTGGGCAGCTCCTGCCAGTCAATGCAGACAGTATTGAGCTAGGTGACTTGGCAGAAAGCAGTTTCCTCTGTTCCTACATCTGTTTTGCTAAGAGTCTGGAGAAGGCCCTTGAGGTCAACAGTGTGATGCAGCAGCAGAAAAGGCGAGTGCTGTTCTAGGCTGCCTCAAGAGAAGTCTAGTGTCCAGATCAAGGGAAGACATAGTACCGCTCCATTCTGCCTTGGTCAGACCCCACCTGGAGTCCTGAGTTCAGTTCTGGGTACCTCCAGAGGGTATTGACAAGCCGGAGGGCGTTCAGAGGAGGGTGACCAAGACGATCAAGGGTCTGGAGACCCAAGCCTTACAAGGAACGGTTGAAGAACTTGGGAGTGTTCAGCCTGGAGAAGAGGAGGCTGAGAGGAGATATCTGAAGGGCTGTGTCACATGGGAGATGGAGCAAGCTTGGTTTTCTCCTGCTCTGGAGGGGAGGACTCGAACCCAGGCCTTCAAGTTCCAAGAAAGGAGATTCTGACTAAACACCAGGAAGAACTTTCTGAAGGCAAGAGCTGTTCGAAAGGGGAAGGGACTCCCTCAGACTCTCCTTTCTTGGGGGTGTTTAAGCAGCGATTGGAAGCTTTGGTTGGGATTTCTGCCTTGCAGAATTCTATGGTCCTGAGACCTCTGCAGATCCCACCAGGGAAAGGAACTCACCTGGAGTGTTTCTTGAGGTCCAGGAGCATCTCTTCCAGGGCAGAGACGTACTGGGAAGGAAAGAGAGGGAACTGGTGTGAGCAACACTGGGCCAGAGCCTTCTTCAAGCGAAGGAGCATTCGGTTTGGAGATGCCACAGAAACCCGCCTTCAGGTAACCTATTTAGGGCATTTAGAGGGGCTTTTTGTGGCCGCACTTCTTCACAGAGAAGTAAGGAGGAAAATGTACAAATGCTAAAAGATTTAAAAAGAAAAATTCAGGTAGCCACGAGTTGGGAGGGAAGGAGGTCGACATTTCAACTGAATCAATATCATAGAAAAATGTTATGGTATTTTAATAATATGAAATGGAAATTTAATAAATATTGCATTTTTAAAAAAAAGATTTGGAAGAATCTGGTTTTATTTCAAAATTTAACTGGGATAATTGTGTGATTTATTTTGTAAAACCATCCCCCCCCCCAAAAAGGGGGTGGTCAGGCCAAAGGGGGCCCACCTGGTCCAGCCCTCCTGTCCTCCCAGTGGCTGGCTACATGCACCAGTTTGCACCAGTTCCAGTTGCAACTGGAAGCAGGATTTGACTGTAGCAGCAGCAGCAACTCTCCCCGCTTGCAATTCCTAGCAGAGTGTTAGGACTTAAGGGACGTTCCCTGCCTCCAACGGTGGAGGGAGACCGCGAGGGGACCGCAACCCTCTGGCTCTGAACGGACCCATGACGTGGCAGGTTGATGGGGGGGGCGGAGAGGCTCGCTCTGTCAAGGTCCTCCCAAGGCAAAGCCCCTTTGGGCCGAGGGCGACACCCAGTGGCGACCGTGTGGCAGGTGGCAGGACATTCCGTGAGATTGCCTTCCACGGCCGGAAGGTTGCCAGCGCTCCAAAAACCTTCTGAAATTACAACCTTCTGGTTAGGGGTGCCACCAAGACCCACCCCCCCAGCTTAAAGAGGAACTTAAAAATGGAAAGCACAATGCTGGTGGTCAACAAAAGAGGTTCAAAGACCCTCTCAAGGCAAAGCTAAAAAAATGGAGTATAAACACTGACAACTGGGAAACACTGGCCTGCGAGGGCTCCAGTTGGAGAACAGGCTTGACCAAAGGTGTCCTGGGCTTTGAAGAAACTGGAACTCAGGACGCAAGGGAGAAATGTGCCAAGAGGAAGGCACGCATGGCAAACCCACACCGGGATCAACTCCTGCCTGGAAATCAATGTCCCCACAGTGGAAGGACGTGGGGATCCAGAGTTGGCCTCCACAGTCCCTTACTGACTCAATGTTAAGACCGTGTTTATGGAAGACAATCTTACTCGGCTACAAGGGATCGAAGAAGAAGTTGTGTGTGTGTTTAAAACCACCTCTCCATTTTTGCTACAATATGATATGACCTCAGAGATTTTCTTTGCGTTTTCAGATTCCTTGCATCTGTTACACGGACGTAAGGCCGAGACTGGTAGCTGGAATGTGTGATCTAATGCAGACATGCCTTTGATCTTGTGCCTTTACGTTTTAATTTGTACTTTAAAAAAAAAGTACCCATTGCTATGCTGCTCCATGAACTTTTTTGAGCCACGGGGCAGCATAAAAATTAGTAAACAACAAAGCACAACTGCTGATAATAATTGCAAAGACTGTTTGTAAATAATGCGCGTCTACTTGTAAATTTACGTTGAGCCATTTAAGTGATCTTCAGACTTATTGGATTTGAACTTGTTTATAATCTAGGAAAGATTTTTTAATTCTTTTAACAAGCGAAAGTATTTATAATTGTTATTTTTAATTCTTAAAATCCTGAGAGTATATGAAATTGCGTATTATTATTTTTAAAAAACCCAAATCTGGTAATAGAGCCCTGCGACACAGGCAGGCGGCCCACAGGTGCTGCTGTTTGCAGGGAAAGCTGCCCCTGCCGGATGCCGGCCTGCCAGGCAGCTGCCCAAAGGGGGCGGCTCCCCCCGTTCCCCTAGCAACCCCGCCGTGCATTGTGGGTCCCCGCCCCTCGGCCGCCGCACGGACCTTCTCCAGGCGCCACTCGTCCGGCCCGCGCCGGTCGGCCGCCAGCGCCTCGCAGCGGCTCAGCAGCCGCACCAGCTTCAGCTCCGCGCGGGGAACCGGCATCACCGTCGCCTCCGCCGCCGCCATGTCAGAGCCAGAAATGACAACTTCCGGGTCGGGACAATCACATCCGTCCTCTCTGGGAAGCGGCGTCTCTATGGTTTCCTCCCTTTCCGGCGGGGCTGCGTCGCGCAAGCGCAAATAGCCGCCTCCTCCACTTCCGCCCTTCCTTTTTCCGGCGGGACCTGGACGGAGCAGCAGCGGCGGCAGGTGAGCTCCGCCGGGGCGGCGAGGGAGAATCCGCGGCCATCCTCCGTAGCGGGGCGGCGGGGCGGGCGGGAGAGGCGAAGGGGAGCCCGGGGGACGCGAGGGGGCCCCGGCCGAGGCGGGGCGGGGGGAGGCGGCTCCCCATGGGGCGCCATTTCCAGGCTGGGCCCCGTGGAGACCCGACTAGGCCCTGGTGCGGGGGGGGGGCAGCTGGAGGCAGAGCGGGGCCCCGGAGCATGCTGGGAGTTGGCGCCCCCCCCCGAAAGAAATGGGGGGCGGATCACGCCGGAAGGACCCGAAAAATCAGAAATCTGCAGGGCCAAAACGAAAGAAATGGGGGCAGATTCAAAGCTTGCCTGAAAGAAACCATCGTGAAAAGCTCCTTTTTAAAAAATAGATGCTTTATTGGTTCAGAGCTTTATAACAGAAAAGTGCAATAGGCAAAGTGAGAAATAAAAAAAGAAGCCATTATTCCTACTTTTAGAAGACATCTGAAGCCAGCCCTGGTTAGGCAAGCTTTTAATGTTTGATGTGTTACAGTATTTTAATATTTTTCTGGAAACTGCCCACAGTGGGTGGGGTTTAATTGAATTATTATTATTATTATTGTTTTGTGTATACATTTGTGATTAAGTTTTTTTACAAGGCTTCCAATCTTCCCCTTTTGTTCCCGAATCAAATTCCTTAAATATCCGCTTAGACTTTAGTTTTTCCATGTGATTTGACTTACTGTCAGTTTTATTTTATAAAAATAGCCTAATTGCACATCGAAGCCCAACCAATGGATTGATCTTTTGGCAATGTTCTTTTACCGAGACTCTGTGTATATCCCATCCCATTGCGAACTGTTCCAGTCGTTAGTGGGATTGCAATTTCACTTAGTATTTGATCCCCTGCTCAATTTGCCCCCTGGCGAAGAATTGACCAGTCCATAATTTTAATGGTAGGCTTGTTGTAGCTGTGAGAGACAGAATAACAACAGGAAAAACCCCAGAAGACAAAAGTCAGAGATGGATGTGCATTCTAATGAGTGAAATAAGTATTTGATCTGGTCTCTTCGCTGTGTGTAACGAGCTAAGATTAGAAGCACCTGCAGCAAGGGAGAGAGGTCTTGCCTGTAATCTCAGATTTTTGTAATAATGGTGATTATGCCTTACTCAGTTGAATTTTCTGGGTAGCCTGGCTATTCCTTGGAGATGGTAAATACCTAGTTCCTGAATCTCTTGCGCATCTTGGTAGTTTGCTCAGCTGAACAGATACTTGCCAGACTGTATTTTGAAAGGGAGGTGTGAGCCCCTGCAGTCCAAATGGAAAGACAATTATTATTATTCCCATTTCCTTCCTCCTTGCAGAGAAAGATTTGAGGTCAACTTGGGAGTGTTGCTCTCCTGTACACGTGGTTTCTATACTTAAGTGTTTGCCTGGTACATTTATGAACGTTTTATTCTACATTTGAGACCTTACCATTCTTGTAATGGGGGGGGGGAGGATGCAAACAAACATTTTATTATTTTTATTATAGTTATTATTGTAATTGTTGTTATCTTTATTCCTGCTCGGGTGTATGCGATCCCTTTGCAAAAGATGACTTAGTACTTGGTGGCAAAACCCTTGTTGGCAATTTTGGACGTTTCTTGTAGGCGGCCACCAGGTTTGCACACATCTCAGGGGGTATTTCGTCCCCCTCCTCTTTGCAGATCTTCTCCAAGTCAGTAAGATTTTGAGGCTGATGTGTAGCTACTCAAACCTCCCTCCACAGATATTTGAAGGGATTAAGGTCCGGAGACTGGCTAGGCCACTCCAGGATCTTGATGTGCTTCTTGAGCCACTCCTTTGTTGCCTTGGCCGTGTGTTTTGGGTCATTTTCAACCCATTTTCGGTGCCCTGGTTTGATTGCTTGCTTCTGTCGACAGGTGTCTTTTGGTCCTGTAACGAGCTGGGATGATGGGCAAGACCTCTCCCTTACAGCAGGTGCTTCTAATCTCAGCTCGTTACATACAGTGAAGATACCAGGTAGCCTGACACCTGGCTGGTTGAGAGAGGATCAAATACTTATTTCACGCATTATAATGCACATCAATCTGGGACTTTTGTCTTCTGGGTTTCTGGGGGGTTTTCCTGTTATTATTCTGTCTCTCACAGCTACAGCAAACCTACCATTAAAATCATGGACTGGGCGTTTCTTCACCAGACAGCAAAAGGGCAAATTTAGCAGGGGATCAAATACTTTCCCCCCTCACTGTAAGTGAGATATAAAAATTTGGATTGTTGTAAAAGATGCAGAAGGAAAGGGTTAACAATAAGACCCCCCTCCCCAAAGGGGAGAAGTCTAGGAGATTCTTGGGAATCTTGTTTATATAGAGTATGTTGTGCTGTGATTGTAAATTTTAATGTGGAAAATCAAATTTTGGGGATGGGGGGATAAAGAGGAAGAAATGACTAAGCCCCATGGAACTCCTTGCCACAAGGTATGGGGGTGTCACAGGCATAGATGGCTTTAAAAGGGGATGAGAGGGGAAAGGCACAGATAAAATCTAGCCCAAAGGGTCACCCAGTTGCCCCAAAGCCATGCTTCTCAAACGGGGGTCCCCAGCGGCTGTTGGACTACAAATCCCATCATCCCTGGACTCTGACATATTCAGTGGCCAGGTCTTGTGCTGCTAGGATTGACACATGTGCCACCGAAGGTTTGATTGACATGTTCGGTGTGCTTTCATGCTTTGCTGTGGCCATAATAAAGGATTTGAAGTTGGTCGGTTGGTCGCTGACCACTGGTCCTGCTGGCTAGGGATGAGATGGGAGTTGTAGTCAGACAAGAATCCTTGCTTGAGAAACGCTCCCTCGCCGTGGCTTCTGCTATTATTCAGCTGCACAGCTAGGAGCCATCATTGCTCACCGCCTCTTCCTCTCTGAATGTGTCTAATGTGTTTTTATTATGTATTTTGCGGTTTTAGATCTTGATTTTATTCTGCCCCGGGTATAGGGCAATATATAAATCCAATAAATAATTACAATAATCCTCTTCGGAAGCCCCCTAAGGCTACAGCCGTCACTGCCTCCTGTGGCAGGCAGTTCCACAGGTTACCTGTCCATAACTGTGGCTCTCCTCATTTGGAGAATGCAATCAGAAACACCTTCATATCCTTGTTCAGCCCCAAAGGGTGGCCTTGGCTTCGCCTACCTCACAGGGTTGTTGTACAGTGAGTGTAGATGTGGTAATAACAACCTTTCTTTCTCTCTCTAGCCATGGCGATCCGCTACCCGATGGCCGTGGGCCTGAACAAGGGCCACAAGGTGACCAAGAACGTGGTGAAGCCACGCCAGTGCCGACGCCGTGGGGTGAGTTTGGGGTCAGGGGAAAAGGGGGTGGGTTGCTGGGCTCTCTCAAACTCGTCTGCGACCCTGTAAAGCAGGCACCCCCAAACCCGGCCCTCTAGATGTTTTGGGACTACAGTTCCCATCATCCCTGACCACTGGTCCTGTTAGCTAGGGCCGATGGGAGTTGTCCCAAAACATTGGGAGGGCTGAGTTTGGGGGTGCCTGCTGTAGAGGATCTGCAACCGCCAGGTGAGTGTTTCCTCAAACTTGGGGTCCCCAGCTGTTACAGACTACAATCCCCATCATCCCCTGCCCACCGGTCCTGCTAGATGGGAACGGTGGGAGTTGTAGTCTGGCAACAGCTGGTGACCCCCAAGTTTGAGAAACAACGCCGCTTAAGCTGACAGAATAGTTGCAGCTTGCAGACTAAGAGAACAATAAGAACTTAACGTTTAGAGGAGATTGGAAGACGTTTATTGAATATATGGGGGAAACTGTATATTTGAAAACGCTGGCAGCATTAAGATAAATTAAGCAGTGTAGGTAAGCTTGGGTGGATGCAATAATGGAATACTGAATGGTTTAGTTTATGTAAAATAGGCAAGGATTTATGATGCAAAACGAACCATGGAAGGAGCAGGAGGGAAGTCATTGATCTTTGAAGGATGTTAAAATGAGTGTTTCAAATTGCTGAACAGAAAATTTAATAAAATATGTGTGTGCCTCCAGAGACCTAAAACAAACCGGTGTTCTAGTCTTCATGACTCTGAACAAAGGTCCAGTTGAATAGGAGCCTTAACCCAAGTCGCCCACCCGGCCCTCTGTCCACAGTGGCTGCAGCGCTTCCCCTTGCTCTCAGGGTAAAGGCTTAAAAATATGTGTACACCGAAAACGTTGGCAGCATTAAGATAAATTCAGCAGTGTAAATAAGCTATGATGGGTGCAATAATGGAATACTGAATGGTTTAGTTTTTGTGAAATATCCAGGGGTTTATGATACGTAAAATGAACCATGGAAGGAGAGGATCATCGATATCTTAAGCATGTAAAAAGGAGTATTTTGAATTGTAAAACGTAAGAGTTAAAACAAATGGTGTATACAATGGAACCTTGGTTGTCGAATGTCTCCATTGTCGTATGTTTCGGATGCCGAATGTGGCTTCCACTTTGAGTTTCCCTATTGTGTTGAGGCTCCCGCTTTCAGAACGGTCTTCTGGAATGGATTACGTTCGAAAACCGAGGTTCCACCATGTGTGTGTGCATATATGTATGTACCCTATTTTTGCTCCATAAGACGCACACACATTTCCCCTTCCTTTTTAGGAGGGAAAATGTGCGTCTTATGGAGCAAAAAATACGGTTCTTGCTGGCTTTCCCCGAGGAGGGAGAAGGGCGGCCCGTCAATCCCTTCTTCCTCCTTGGAGAGAAGCCCCCAAGAGCCACTGCCAGGCTCTGCTCAGCGCTCCCTTGTAAGGGCTCCCTTTCATCCTGCTGGGAAGGCAGCGGAACAAGAGGCTCTGTGCAGCTATCGCAGGGTTTCAAGCAAGAGCCGCTTACATGCTCTGTGCAGAATATTTTTTTTCTTGCTTTCCCCCTCTAAAAACTAGGTACGTCTCATGGAGTGAAAAATACGGGGTGTATGTATATGCCGTATTTTTTGCTCTATAAAACACACTTTTTCCCTAGTAAAAAGTAAGGGGAACTGTGTGTGCGTCCTATGGAGTGAATGCAGGCTGCGCGGGTATCCCAGAAGCCAGAACAGCGAGAGGGATTGCTGTGCAGTGCTCCCTCTTGCTGCTCTAGCTTCTGGCTTAGCTGCGCGGAGCCTTCATCCTGCTGCCCTGAGGTCAAGGCTTCGTGGGGCTATCCCTGGCTTTTGCGGAGGTTTAAGTGTATATGTGTGTATATAGCAGGAGGAGGCTTGTTACAGTGGAATTGACAAATCTATTGCTCGAGGTCTGACTTGAACCCGAGATGAAGAGTCTTGTGCTCTGCCAGCTTGAGTTAAACTCAACAGGGCAAAAAAACAACACCAGAAACGAGTATTTTTTCCCACTGTCTTGCTTTAATTCTTCTATTTCTTCTCCTCCAGCGGCTGACCAAACACACCAAGTTTGTCCGCGACATGATCCGGGAAGTGTGCGGCTTCGCCCCCTACGAGAGGCGCGCGATGGAGCTTCTCAAGGTCTCCAAAGACAAGCGAGCTCTGAAGTTCATCAAGAAAAGGGTGAGTGCTCTGAAACTGGGCAGGGGTGGGGGAGCCTGAAGGGTTATACTCGAGTAGAAGCTGACCCACCTCATTTTAGAACAAAAAAGTGGGAAAACTTGACTCGAGTAGAAGCCAGTTCACTCCACCACAAACCTGGTGGTGGCGGAAGGACAAGCAGCCCGAAAGGAGCAGTTCCTCTCCTCTGCTTGCACAGCGGAGGAGGAGGAATGAGCAGCCGAAAGGTGGTGGGGGGACCAGCGGTGAGAAAGGGCTCCTTTCGGGCTGCTCGTCCTGCCACTGCCGCCTCACTCGAGTATAAGCAGAGGGGTGGCTTTTTCAGCATAAAAAATGTGCTGACAAAGTCGACTTATACTCGAGTATACCATATTTTTTGCTCTATAGGACGCACTTTTTCCCCTCCAAAAATGAAGGGGAAATGTGTGTGTGTCCTATGGAGCAAATGCAGGCTCCTTGGCTTCAGCGAGAGCAACGTGAAGCCTCCGAAGCGCAGAGGGAGCGCTCCCTCCACACTCCGCGTTGCTTTTGCTGAAGCCTGGAGAGCGAGACTGCACCCCTGACACCACAGCAGAGAGGTGCCCCTTGCAAGCTGGTGTCAGGGCACCACCTTGCACCCGAGTCCCCCCTCCAGCATTTATCCTGGGGGGGGGGGGGTTGCAACTGTGCCCCCCAAGTGCACACAACATCCAGAGCAGGGCCTCCCGAACTTGGACTCTTTTCAGGTACAATTCCCATCATCCCTTCTGGCTAGGGGTGATGGGAGTTGGAGTCTGAAAACAGTTTGTTGCAGGGCTGGATCCCCCTGTGCCCACCCCCCCGGTCTCTGACTGCTTCTTTTTTGCTTCCGCAGGTGGGCACCCACATCCGCGCCAAGAGGAAGAGGGAGGAGCTGAGCAACGTCCTGGCGGCCATGAGGAAAGCAGCCGCCAAGAAGGACTAGCAGCTCCCTGTTCCCCCACCCCAAAAAGAAAGTACCCAATAAACCTATTTCAAAGAAATAAATCTGGAAGCATCATCTGTGGGGATTGAGGAAGACCGAGGGGGTGGGTTACCATATTTTTCGCTCTAGAAGGCGCAGACTCTGCACAGCTCTTGCTGGCTTTTCCGGGAGGTGGGAGAAGGGACTGAGGGGCTGCCCTCCATCCCTTCTCCCCCCTGCCTAAAAAGCTGGCTTCCCAGCAAAGCAGAAGGAGGGACAAAAGGGGCTCCCTTCCAGCCCTCATCCTTCTTTGCTGGGAAGCCAGCAGAACAAGAAGCGCTGCGCAGCCTGCATTCGGTCCATAAGACGCACCACATCTCCCCTTGCTTTTTGGAGTAAAAAAGTGTGTCTCACGGAGCGAAAAATACGGTAAGCTGAGGGGGAGAAAGGTGGAACCTCTGTTGTCGCAACGCTTTGGAAGCTGAACAAGTTGGTTCTGTTTTCAAATCACTTTTGGAAGTCAGACTGCTTCTGAGGCGCATTGTTCCAATGGATTTTGCCAACTGGCAATGCCACCTCGGTTGACGCCAATTTTTGGTTGCCAGACAGTCTTCCAGAACACGTTTGACAACCGAGGTTCCGCTGCATAGCCTTACCCTGCAAACTTCTCTCTAGCGGCTGTCTTCGTGCGATGCGCAACTCTTGCGTCTGCCGCCCTTTGCCGTTTCAACACATTCCACAGGACTTCCCTTTGCGTTGGAAATTTCACTCAAAGGCTTTTTTAATGGTTCATAATTCACATCATTTGGTGTGCAGCACATCTCGTGGCAACGGAGGCATAATTGGAGGGGGGCCCACTCTGCTGAGTCCATCTCTTTGACCCGGGGCCGGAGCTCAGACACAGCGGCGTGAGGAGGAACAAAGGCAGCGAGAGCCCAGGCGCTCAGTCTCCTCCCTGGGCATCGCGCTTTGGGAAAACAATGTCAAAGATCTCCTTGTAGTGCTCGACAAAATGCACTTCCAGTCCTTCCGTGATGAAGTCCGCAAGGTCGCAGTAGTCCTTCTTGTTCTCCAGAGGCAGGATCAGGCAGGAGACCCCGGCTCGCTTGGCCTAGGAAGGGGTTGAGAAAGGCAGGGTTAACGTGGATTGAGCTCTCCACTATTTCGCAAAAAAAATTACACTGCTTAGTTGTAGGAAACGGCAATGACCCAAAACCTCAGAGTGGTTTGCAAAAGAAAGTTAACTACAGTGGTACATTGGTTTAAGAACAGCTTAGTTTATGAACAATTTGGATTAAGAAAGCTGCAAACCCAGAAGTAGGTGTTTTGGTTTGTGAACTTTGCCTTGGAAGCAGAACATGTTCCGCTTCCTGTTGAGTGTAAATTGAGCCCACCACTGCTATGGGAAAGCACGCCTTGGTTGAAGAACAGTTTTGGTTTAACACCAGAATTCCAGAACAGATTAAGTTCTTAAACCAAGGTATCACTGTACTTTAAACACGCTGAAAAGTAATCAAAATCGACGACAAGCTAAAAACCAGCTTAAGAGACACATTTTAATCTCCAAAATGGGGCAGGGCAGGAACCAACTTATCATTTATTGAATTTACTGGACCTAATGGTCAGGGGTCCCTTTACCTTTACTGCCCTATACCTGGGAGTCTCAGGGCAGTTCACCGAATAAAATCAAGATATGAAACCACAAAATACCTAATAAAAAAACAACCCAATAGCAACCCCCCCGAAAAAAAACACATTTTAAAAGGGCATCGGAGGTTTGGTTGGCTCCTGTCCCGGGACAGCTCATTTGGTATGGAGCTTGAGACTCTTAATCTCGGGGCTGTGGGTTCGAGCCCCGTGTTGGGCAAAAAGATTCCTGCATTGCAGGGGGTTGGGCTGGATGAGCCTTGGGGTCTCTTCCCAACGCTACCATTCTTTGGGATAAGAAATGGTAGCCTAATAGAGAAATGCTACAGGTACGCAGAATGGAGAACGGTTGGCAGAGTTGGTGAGCAGGATCAATCCCCAATCCCTGCCTGGAAGAGGTGCTGCAGTTCTGCTCCCCGACTTACCGCAATGGTCTTCTCCTTGATTCCTCCGACGGGAAGGATCTTGCCTGTCAGAGACACCTCCCCGGTCATGGCCACGTTCTGCCTGGCGGGCTGCCCCATCGCCAGGGACAGCAAGGCCGTCACGATCGTGCAGCCGGCGCTGGGCCCGTCCTTTGGGGTGGCTCCCTACACACCGAGAGAGGGAGAGGCAAGGCTTAGTCTGCGCAGATCAGAGACCAGGAACTCCCACCCAGTACTAAGAACAACAGAGAGGGTGGGGGAATCTTGCCGCCTTCAAACTCAGAGTGGTGCCTGCTCTGGTTCTCTCCCGCTTGGACTACTGCCATGCGCTCTACTTGGGGCTCCCTTGGAAGGTGACCCAGAAATGGCAACTAATCCAGAATGCAGCAGGCAGACTGGGGACTGGGAGTGGAGACCATATAACACCGGTCTTGAAAGACCTGCATTGGCTCCCAGGACGTTTCCAGGCACAATTCAAAGTCTTGGTGCTGACCTTGAAAGCCCTAAATGGCCCAGTAGACCTAAAGGAGCGTCTCCACCCCGGACACTAAAGTCCAGCTCTGAGGGTCTTCTGGCAGTTCCCTCCCTACAGGGAACCAGGCAGAGGGTATTCTCGGTGATGACACCCTCCCATCAGATGTCAAGGAAATAAACAACTATCTGACTTTTAGAAGACATCCGGAGGCAGATTCCCTGTTTAGGGAAGTTTTTAATGACTGATGTTTTATTGTATTTTAAATCTCTTGTTGGAAGCCGCCCAGAGTGGCTGGGGAAACCCAGGCAGATGGGTGGGGTATAAATAATAAATTATTTTTATTAATTTCCTGACTCAAAAGCTTGAGAGAGCAAAAAAAACAACAACCTTGGTGCCACCAGCAAAAAGTGCTTTGTGAGGACTAGAAAGCTTAACGCCTGTTTGTTTGGGGTGGGAGAAGGAGGAAGAGGGAACCCTGAACAGCACCCCATCCTGCCTCGTTCCTACCTCCGGGACGTGCAGGTGGAGGTGAGATGTCACCAGGAAGTCGTTGCCAGGATCCCTCTCCATCAGGAAGGCCCGGGCGAAGGTGTAGGCGATCTTGGCGCTCTCCTTCATGACGTCGCCCAGCTGCCCTGTCACCTCCAGGGAGCCCTCCTTGCTCTCTCGGTCCTTGGGGCGGCGGAGGGAGGTCTCGACAAACAAGGTGGAGCCGCCTGGGAGGGAAAAGGGAACAAGACGTTCAGTGGGACACAGAAGTAAGAGCTGGGGACCCAACCAGAGGGGCCAGTCACACCTCGAAACCTCCAGCGCCCCACATATAACGCCACCTCTTTTATGAATACAGTGGGACCTTGGTTCTCAAACACGAAAATCCGGAAGTAAGACTTCCGTTTTCCGGCTGTCGACTATTATTTCTGGGGCGCCTGCAGCAATCAGAATCCACGCCTCGGTTTCTGAACATTTCGGAAGTCAAACAGATTTTCGGAATGGATTAAGTTTGGCCAGGGGTCAGCAGACTTTTTCAACAGGGGGCCAGTCCACTGTCCCTCAGACCTTGTGAGGGGCCGGACATATTTTGGGGAAAAAATATGAACGAATTCCTATGCCCCACAAATAACTCAGAGATGCGTTTTAAATAAAACGACACATTCTAATCATGTAAAAACACGCTGATTCCTGGACCGCCCATGGGCCAGATTGAGAAGGCGATTGGGCCGCATCCAGCCCCTGGGCCTTAGTTTGCCTACCCATGAGTTTGGCACTTTGGTTTTTGCTCTTTATTTTGCTTTTTTGTTTTTGAGGCATTTCCAGTTACCGTATTTTTCGCCCCATAGGGCGCACCGGCCCATAAGGCGCACCTAGTTTTTTGGAGGGGAAATAAAGAAAAAAAATTTATTTTCCCCCCAAGGTGCGAGGCAAGCCCAAGCTTCCCCCGACCCCAGCCCCCAGAACAGGCTGCTCTCCGCAAGCCGTGGGAGCCCTCCCGCGGCTTGCGCAGAGCTACCCGAAGCCCCGGTGCGACTGCTCAACGCGCCGGGGCTTCGGGGTGCAGGCAGCTCTGCCCAAGACGTGGGAGCCCGGGGGAACTTCTGCGGGCTCCCAAGGGTTGCGCAGAGCTTCCTGAAGCCTGCATTCGCCCCATAGGACGCACACACATTTCCCCTTCATTTTTGGAGGGGAAAAAGTGCGTCCTATAGGGCGAAAAATACGGTAATTTGTTTTCGTGACTGTGTGGAACCCAGTTTAGATACTGATTGATTGATTGTGCAACTGCGGAAATGGATAAAAGCCCCCCATCCAAACAAAGACTGTCATCAGTGCAGCTAAGAAAAAAGTTTAATCTTCATTTTATCATCTACAATACTGTCTTATTTATTTTATAGTACAGTACATTGATTCTTGCTTTCATTTTATGGCTCAATGGTCTCAGATAGCAAAATCCATGTTCCATTGCCGTCTTAGGGGCTGTTCTCAAAAGTATGGAATGGAGTAATCCGTTTTGCGTTCCTTTCTATGGGAAAGCGTGCCTTGGTTTTGGAACAAACTTCCTGGTTTTCAGCGTTTGAGAACCATGGTACCACTGTAGTGGGAATTATATTTTAATATTGACATTGATATGATGAGGCTATAATTGGATTATTGTAAGTGAAAACTAATAAAAACATGTATCCAAAGAGGGAAGAGAGAAAAGGCGTTTCCGAGTCTCACCCATGGCGGTCCAGGCCAGCCCCATCACCACCCCAGGGGGGGTCACGTCGTACATCCGGTCCACCGTGAAGATGGGCTTCCCGACAAAATCCTGGAGATTTTCTGGCGTCACCTCCACCTTCTCCGCCTCCCCGCTGACAATCTTGTACGCCGATTTCCGCAGCACCTGAGCGAGCAAATGGGATGGGGGTTGGAGCCCTTGTTTTGGGGGGCGACACGATGCCTCAGTTCTCCCCCCTTCCCCACCAGCCAAAGGGGGGATCCTCTCTCACCTTCTCCACTTGCTTCTGCAAGTTCCTCACCCCGCTCTCCCGACAGTACTGCTTAATGAGGACGGTCAGGACGTCCGGCGTAATGCTGGTCTTGGCCTCATCCAGACCGCACAGGACCCTGGCCTGGGGGACCAGGTACCTCTGGGGGAGGGAAAGAGAGATGGGGTCAAGCCCCCCACAAATGACACAAAACCCTATATAACACACCGTATTTTTCGTGTATAACATGCCCCTGTGTATAAGATGACCCCTATTTTGGGGGACTCAATTTAGAAAATTGGGGGTGAGATTGCCCACAGTTTGGGAGCTTTTTTTTGGGGGGAGGCAGAAAATTGCTCACCCAACTGCCCAACACTGCATAAGCCAATGGTCACTTGCCGCTGCCAATCTCCCACTCACAGAAGCAGGAAATCCCCCGCCCCCCCTCTGCACTACCGATGTATAAGACAGCCACAAATTTTTGATATTGATTTATCAGAAAAATAACTCGGCTTCTACACAGAAAAGTATGGTCTATGTCATAAAGGAACGCCCAATCATATAAACAGCGCCTGGGGGATCTGGTCCTCAATGAAACCTCATTTTTCCTCCATCCCAGAGTGAGTTGTGCTGAATGGCTAGACTTTAGGGCTGTCTCCCCCCCCCCAGAAGATTCCTACATTGCAGGGGTTAGACTAGATGGGCCCTGGGGGTCCCTTCCAATTCTCTATAGAAGCCCAATTCTTAGGAGCAGCTCACCTCCCGCCCTCTTTTGTGGGTCTCGCAAAAAGCTAAACCCAGAGGCGGACTTGAGCCTGGCACCCGCTAAAAAAGCGATTTCACTCCCTAAACCCATTGCAGACAAAACAGCCTTTCTGCAAGAGCCGGGCTCATTCATTTTAATAAAAAAAAACCTATCTTCTGTCTGTTGCTCTTTAAAAAAAGGGCATTTCACTCCTTGTTCTTCCTAAACCCATCACAGACGAAACCACCTTTCCGCAAGAGCCAAGCTCATTCGTTTTAAGCAAATTCAAGACGAGGCCCTGCGAGACCAGGGTTCGAATCCCGCATGGCCGGGGCTTTGGGGGTTTGAGAGGTGCAGACGGAGCCCCATGGGGGCGCTAGGGGGCTGCCAGGCCCAAGGCTCACCTCCGCGATGGCCAGCTTCTCCTGCGCCACGTAGCCCGAGATGTTGATCATCTCCATCCTGTCCCGCAGGGGCTCCGGGATCGTCTCTGTCACGTTGGCCGTGCAAATGAAGAGCACCTGGGGGGGGCACACGAGGCGGAGAGCGCGGTTGGGCCTGGGCAGACCCACAAAGCCAGACCAGAGCCACGCTGGCCTTGCGGGCACAGAGAATGGCGCTCAGTCCTGGCCGCTTTGCGATTCAAGTGCAGGAAAAGGGGCAGAGACAGGAGTTGTGTAAAAAGGAAGGGTGTTTACGGAAACGATATAGGAACAGATTAGAAAAAGGTTAGCCCACCAAAAAACAACTTTTCTGCTAGGGATTACAGGGACATATATGTAGTTAAGTTGCTTATGTGTGTATTCCAGAAATGGAAAAACAAAAAAGTTCCAACCAGAGAAGAATGGAGAACCAAAGTTACAGACTATGTCAACTCTGACAGCCAAAATAAGAAAATCAAATGACGATTTTCTCTCTCTTTTTTTGGGAAAAAATTATTCAGATTATTTGAAGAAATACAACATGAAGCATCTGTGAGCAGGACTGGAACAGGAAGATTTAGAGACGGTGGTGTTACGATTTTGACGTAAAAAGAGGGAAGAGGGGCTGCAACAAATGCGGGGAGAGTTAAGAAAAACGTCGCGGGGGAAAAGGTGGGAAATCGGTAAATTAAAGGATTTTTTTAAAAAAATATGTAGTGGAATTTCTGGAAATTGGGTAAAACATTTTAAAAAGACAAAAAGCAGCATACAGAGAGATGATCAGTCCATCCCAACTCCCCTCACCACAGATGTCCTCCAGCCTCGTGATGGCGAATCAGTAACCCCCAAGGAGTTTCTGGACCCAGGCTCCCTCCCCGCTAACCACTGGTCCTGCTGGGGGGCCCAGCCAAACACCCCCCCCCGCCAAGGGTCCAGGGAGCCCAGCCGCGTGAGAGAGAGAGAGGGGAGGGAGGGAACGCACCTTGGAGAGGTCGACCGGGACGTCCAGGTAGTGGTCCAGGAAGTTGGCGTTCTGCTCGGGGTCCAGCAGCTCAAGGAGGGCGGAGGAAGGGTCCCCTTGGTAGCCCCTGCCAATCTTGTCCACCTGCGGCATAGGAGCCGCGTCAGCGCCAGGGAGGAGCGGGCCCCCCAGGGCGCTGACGCAAGAGCGGGGCCTTTTCTGTGGCGGCTCCGCGTTTGTGGAACGCTCTCCCCAGGGAGGCTCGCCTGGTGCCTTCATTACACCACGCAAACTGTTCCTCTTCAACCAGGCCTAGAGCTGACTAACATCCTATATATACCCTTTAAAATGCGTTGGTGGGGAGGGGGGTTATATTTTTTTGAGGGGGGGTTGCTGTTCCTGTTTCCATTACGTAACTTGGGTTATGTTATGTTGTGAGCTGCCCTCAGATGTAGGGCGGAATACAAATCAATCAATCAGTCGATCAATCAATCAGTAAGAGCCGGGAGGAGAGAATAATGATCATTCCTAATTTATACCCTGCCCCTCTGGATGGGTTTCCTCATCTATTCCCCATTCTATTGGTGGCTCCCAATAGAATATTAAAAGCAGAATAAAACTTCAAACATTAAAAACTTCCCTAAACAGGGCTGCCTTCAGATGTCTTCTAAAAGTCAAAGAGTTATTTCCTTGACATCTGATGGGAGGGTGTTCCACAAGGCAGGCGCCACCACCAAGAAGGCCCTCTGCCTGGTTCCCTGTAACTCGCTTCTCACAGGGAGGGAACTGCCAGGAGGCCCTCGGGAGAGGGACCCCGGTGTCCGGGCTGAACGATGGGGGTGGCATACAAATAATAACAATAATTTATTATTTATACCCCGCCCATCTGTCTGGGTTTCCCCAGCCACTCTGGGCAGCTTCCAACCAACAATCAAAATTACACGAAAACAATCATTCATTAAAAACCTCCCGACAAATCAATCAGTCAATCAATGAGCAAGACCCCCTTACCTCGTCGATCAGAATGAGGGGGTTCTCCGTCTTGGTCTTCTTCAGGCACTGGATGATCTTTCCTGGCATGGCCCCCACGTACGTCCGCCTGCGCGAGAAGCACAGGACCGCAGAGTTGGAACCAGGGAGCCCCAGGGCATCATCCAGTCCACCCCCCAACTAAAGCGGCTGCGGCCGACAGCCCCCCCACCTGTGGCCCTTGATCTCGGCCACGTCCGTCATCCCTCCAACGCTGAAGCGGAAATACTCGCGGTTCAAGGCCCGGGCGATGGAGCGGGCGATGCTGGTCTTGCCCACGCCGGGGGGGCCAAAGAAGCAGAGGATCTTGCCCTGAGTGGAGCCCCGCAGCTGGCTGACCGCAATGAATTCCTGGGCAGCGGGGGGGGGGGGGACAGAGACGGGTCAGAAAGACAGAGAAGAAAACAAGTTTATTTCCTGTTGCTGTTATATACTTATTAGTTTTCAATTATTAACATGCTTTAATGGAAAATAAAAACATATAAATATGTATATGTGTGTGTATATATAATTGTAACTGCACAGGGTAAAATAAGATGTGGAAAAGGGGGGGCGGGGAATAGCACCCATATACAATACAATTTAAAAAACCCAGAACTTATTACGAGATTGCTATTGTAGTTGCCCTATATTTAACCTAAAACAAGTGCTTTTAAAAACGAATTCCAAATATCATTAAAAGTTCGTCTACGTTCTGCTTGTTCTGTGAGCCGCCCTGAGACCTCTGGGTATAGGGTACCATATAATTTCATTTAACAATAATAATACGATAATATACCCATTTGTTCACGAGTTGTGAGTTTGTACATGCCTTCTGTCTGTTGCTCTTAGAAGAAAGAAAGGGAGCAAACCATGGTTCATACCTAACCGCGGTTTAGAGGGCGGTATATGAATTCAATAAATAAGAATAAAAGAAAATACCGTATTTTTTGCTCTATAAGGCTCACTTTTTCCCTCCTAAAAAGTAAGGGGAAATGTGTGTGCGTTTTATGGAGTGAATGCAGGCTGCGCAGCTATCCCAGACGCCAGAACAGCAAGAGGGATTGCTGCTTTCACTGCGCGGTGATCCCTCTTGTTGTTGTGGCTTCTGAGATTCAAAATAGTTTTTTTCTTGTTTTCCTCCTCTAAAAACTAGGTGCGTCTTGTGGTCTGGTGCGTCTTATAGAGCGAAAAATACGGTACCTATCTTCCGTCCGTTGCTCTTAAAAAAGAAAGAAAGGGAGCAAACCACGGTTCATACCTAACCATGGTTCAGCGCTTGGGGAAAACAGGGCCTGCGTTTCCCCCCCGCCTCGGAGGCGCAGCGTGTCCTTACCAGAACCCTCTTCTTGACGTCCTCCATGCCGTAGTGGTCCTCTTCCAGGACGGCCTGGGCCCTGGCCAGCTCCAGATTCTCCTCGCTGCATTTTCCCCAGGGGATGGAGGTCAGCCAGTCCAGGTAGTTCCGCGTCACGTTGAACTCGGACGAGTGGTTGTCCAGCAGCCCCAGCTTGTTCAGCTCCTCGTCGATGACCTCCATGACGTGCTGGGGGACCACCAGGTCCTTCAGCCGCTCCCGGAACTTCTCCTCGATGGCGTCCTTGTCCTCCTTCTCCAAGCCCAGCTCCTTCTTGATGATCTTCAGCTGCTCGTGCAAGAGGTACTTGCGGTGCGTCTGCTTGATCTTCTCCTCCACCTGCCAGGGGAGACGGCGGAGGGGCGTGGGTGGGAGAAGGCCACCCTGTCCTGAATGGGAAAACTGGGCCCCCGAAGGACCAGGTGCGCAGCCTGGGGGGCATTTTGGACTCACCGCTGTCCATGGAGGCGCAGGTCAGTTCTGTGTCCTGTACGCAGGATGAGACCCTCCCTGCCTGCAGACTGTCTGGCCAGAGTGGGGCATGCTCTGGCTATCTCCCACTTGGACTACTGCCATGCGCCTTTGAAGGTGACCCGGAAACTGCAACTAATCCAGAATGCGGCAGCCGGACAGGGAGTGGAGACCATATAACACTAGTCCCGAAAGACCTACACTGGTTCCCAGTACGTTTCCGAGCACAATTCAAAGTGCTGGTGCTGACCCTGAAAGCCCTAAATGGCCCAGTAGACCTGAAGGAGCGTCTCCACCCCGGACACCGGGGTCCTCCTCCCAAGGGCCTTCTGGGGGTTCCCACCCTGCAAGAAGCGAGGTTACAGGGGAGCAAGCAGAGGGCCTTCTTGGTGGTGGCGCCCGCCCTGTGGAGCGCCCTCCCGTCAGATATCAAGGAGATAAACAACTATCTGATTTTTAGAAGACATCTGAAGACAGCCCTGTTTAGGGACATTTTTAATGACTGATGTTTTAATGTATTTTTAATCTATTGTTGGGAGCTGCCCAGAGTGGCTGGGGAAACCCAGCCAGATGGGCAGGGTAGAAATAATAAATTATTATTATTATTATATCATCATCACCATCATTATCATTATTGCCTCGTTCTGCCCCCAAATACCTCCCAGGAGACCTTCTGCTCACCTCCCGCCCAAGGCGTTGCTGGAGTTTGCTGAGTTCATACTCTTTCTTCAGCAGAGAGAGGGCTTTGTAGAGGCGCTTGGGAATCTAGGAGGAAAGGAAAGAAATCCCCATGTGTGTCTTTTCGGGGGACCAGAGAGCCTTGGGGTTCAGGGGAGGGCGAGTCACGTCCAAGAATTCTTGATCCGTATATTTCTAGCCCGCCTTTCTCCCAAGGTTCAAGGAGACACCCAACATATTAAACACATCATTATAAAATGAAGTCGTTATAAGTTAAAAAACCAATAGCTGGAGTGAATCACAAGCCCATCCGGATCCTTGTTATAGCAGTCCTCTGCTTTATATGAAATTAATTATCTTTGCAAAACGATAGTGCTGCGCATCTGGAGCCAGGAATTAAAACAGCAGCCCAAGTGGCCAGCATCGCCTGCACCGAAGTTTCCAAAGACCTGCCTGGAAATATTTCCCGCCTGGAAAAATATTAAAGGGGGGGGGGAGTACCGAAGCGGTTTTTAGCAACACCCCCCCCCCAAAATCCCCCGATGTGGCTGCCACCGAGGAAAGGTGCGACAATAAGTAACCAAACAACTAAACCCCTGTGTTGCAAACAATTATCAGGAATTTCCAAGGCAACACGATGACCAAGTACAACTCTTTATATAATCTATAATATCAATATAAATAAAACCAAAAGTACATACCCCATCTACATGGTGAATGGAATTATAAAACAACAATATCTACGGAGCAGTGGTCATAAAGTTCTGTAACGACTGCTACTGACTGCATGTTGCCAGAAACCTAAAAAGCCGACCCCAGGTGGGGCTCATCACCAGGAGATTGAGCTTAAAGATACAGCACAGTTTAACAGCCAGAATGTAAAGAATCAAATAAAACTAATGAGATCCAATTCAGAATTAAGTCCTCCCGGTGAACGGTTTTGAACATAAAGATAAACAGAGATTCTTGCTGTCGTAAGCGTCTTCCATAATCTTGTCTAATACTTATGGCTTTCTGATTCACCCACAATACCGTGAATAATAAAAGTCAATATAGTACATGCAGGTCATTGTTTCAATAATTCATTTGCAGTTTATGAAGCATGTCTGTATCCTTCTGCTGTGCTGAAGAAGAATTCCACAAAACAGTGGGTATATCCGGAATCACTGTTCACTACGTCTGTTTGCAGACCACTTTGGCAGCGACGGACGTCATAAAACAAAGCTTTACAGCTTGTTTTCACCAGATAAGAATCTGACCCACTGCTTCTTTCGGAGACTTGCACAGTCTACAAAGACTTTCAGAGACTGATAAGACTTACTTTCAGGGATTTATGAGATTCTGCTTATTTGGTTTTTCATATTGCTCAGTGTTCCGTATAGATTATATAAAGAGTTTATATTGATATTGCATTGTTGTACTTGGTCATCGTGTGGCCTTGGAAATTACCGACGAAAGGTGCTCAGCCGAGGGCCTCAGCACCTGGCAGGTTCATCTAGAGAAGGCACATCCAGCTCTCTAGAGACTGCGATCGACTCCCAGGACAATAAAACTGGCAGCGATCCACCCATTGTCCTTGCCTAGAGTTGTCGTGCTTTTTTTTAGGGGGGGGGAGCACTGCCCAGAATTTTTAAGCTTCTGTTGGGAGGAGTGGCAAGAGTTGTTCAGCTTTTTTGGGGGGTGGGATGCTGAAAATCGCTCACCCAACAGCCCACCACCGCAGAGAATCCAGACTTTCACAGTGGCGATGGGACATTGCGCCTCCCCACTTACGTTTGTCTCTTCCAGGATGTCCTGCAGCTCGTGGGACTCGGCCCCCGTCAGAGCGGCCCCCATGTCGCTCAGGTAGATGGGGTTGTCGACCACCCTCTGCCCCGCCTGCATCATCTGAAGCACGGACTCCCTGCGAGGACGGACAAAACCGCAAGTCAGAAGAGCAGGGCTGCCTCTTTCCCGCAAGAGCCCTTCGTTCCCAGAAAAAAGACTGGTTTCTTTCCGCGCATGGGCAGCTTCTGGGCTCGACTGAGATGTTTCGTATGAGGGAAACTTTTGTCGTATATGGTGGAATTGCAAAATGATAAAGGAATTCCGGGAAATGATATATAATGAATTGGGAAAAAAATGTTTAAAATAACTTTACAGTGGTACCATGGTTCTCAAACGTTCCGGAAGTCTGTTCCAAAACCAAGGAGCGCTTTCCCATAGAAAGGAATGCAAAATGGATTAATCCATTCCAGACTTTTAAAAACAAGCCCTAAGACAGCAATTGAACACGAATTTTACTATCTAACGAGACCATTGATCCATAAAACGAAAGCAAGAATCAATGTACTGTGCTATAAAATAAATAAGGCAGCATTGTAGATGATAGAAATGAAAAAAAATAAAAAATTCTGACACAGACTGACGACGGTCATTGTTCGGATGGGGGGCTTTTATCCATTTCCTACAATCAATCAATTAGTAGCTGAACTGGGTTCCACACAGTCACAGAAACGAAGTCGCAAGTCAGTCATAGTAAAAAAAACCCCCTCAAAAAGTCACACAAATAAAAGCGCAAAAAGTAAAGCTCCAAATATGACTTTGGTTTTGGAACAGACTTCCGGAACGAATTCAGTTTGCATTTCGCCCTGCTAAGGCGGAGGAGGGTAATTGGAAGTGCACTGGACCCAAGGACAGAGAAGTTTGGTTTGCCTAACAAAACTCCCAATAGGTTGTGAACTCCATATACGAAACCAACACTCATTCGTTCCGTTCCTAAATCCCTCACCCACCCTCTGCCCCAGGGCGTGTGGCAATGGTAAAAAAAATACACAGTTCTGAAAGAAGTAAGATGGTTCCAGGATGAAAAATGCAAAAAATTAATAATATATCTTTAGGAATCTGAACCTTTACAGACTGTTCGACATATAAAAATGGTCCCAAGGGAGAATAAGACTGGGAGAAGTTTGCTATTCAGTTTGTGGTCGGCTTTCCAAGGCAGCTCCTCAAGGGGGGTCATGTGAAGGGCCTGTACGGCCACTTCCTGGGAGGGGGGCATGTGCCAGGGGGAGGCAGGGCCAGGGGGGCAAAGAGGGCGTCGCGAAAGCCTTCTCCGAACCCACCTGTACAGCGGGTTCAGCGCGATGATGTCCCGGATGGTCTTGACGATTTCGGCCGTCAGGGCCTGCGAAGGAAGACAGCGAGAGGGGCGGTTGGAGGGTGGAAAGGGAGAGGGACACCCCTGAAGAACGAACCTCCGTTTCCACTCACCAGACAACGCCCGCCCAGGAAGGGCAGCGTGACCTTTGCCGCCTTGCCAACTCCTGGTGGGCGACTCTCACTCACCTTGACCTCTTCCGTGACCTGGAACTCCTCGTGGGCCACGTTGTCCACTTCCACCATCAGCACCTCCCCCGGGGAGGCTTCCAGGGGCTCCAGAACCACGTCCCCCACGGCCTCCGCCGCCTCGCCTGCCTCCCTCTTCGACCGCTTCTGCTTCCGGCGGGTCTTCGGCTTGCTCTCCTCGGCCGCCTCTTCGGGGTCCACCTCCAGCTGCTTGTTGATCCGGATCCTGCAGGCCCAGAGGGGGGAGATGGGGTCAGTAAAGGGATCCCCATTCTCTCTCTCACATATATACACACACACACACACAGTCTCCAGGCACGTGTCTGAGCACAAGTCAAAGTGTTAGTGCTGATTTTTAAAGCCCTGTATGCCTGAAGGAGCGTCTCCACCCCCATCGTTCTGCCCGGACACAGAGGTCCAGCTCCGAGGGCCTTCTGGCGGTTCTCGCCTTGCAAGAAATGAGCTTACAGGGAACCAGGCAGAGGGCCTTCTCGGTGGTGGCGCCCGCCTTGTGGAACACCCTCCCAGCAGATTTCAAGGAAATACAGTGGTACCTCTGGATGCGAACGGGATCCGTCCCGGAGCAGTTTGCATCCTGAGTAGAACGTAAGACATGACTGAACGTGTCGCGTTTTGCCACTTCTGCGCATGACGTCATTTTGAGCATCTGCCCATGTGCAGGTGGTGAAATCCGGAAGTAACGCGCTCCGTTACTTCCGGGTCGCCACGGAGCGTAACTTGAAAACGCTCAACATGAAGCACATTTAACCCGAGGTATGACTGTAAATTTCTACAGTCGTACCTCAGAAGTCGAACGGAATCCTTTCCGGAACTCTGTTCAACTTCCAAAACGTTCAGAAACCAAGACACGGCTTCCGATCAGCCAGAGAAGAAGAAGAAGGAGAAGAACAGGAGGAGGAGGGGGAGGAGAGAGGGCAGAATGGAGCAAAGCTATCCCTCCCCAGTCGCAAGCACTCGTCATCCACTCTTCATCTTTCTCATTTGCTGCTTCCTTCCACGACCCTCCCCTTCGCCGGCGGGGAGGCCAGTGAGGAAGCAGAAGGGGGGGGGTCGGGGGGGGTTTACCTCCGGTGCCCCATGACGATCATCCTCAGCCGGTCTCCCAGGTCCTGCATCTCGTGAATCTGCACAAAGGTTCCCATCTGGTAGATCTCGTCCAGGTTCTCCACCACGTCCGACTCGTTGCTGGAGATCACAGCAGGTGTTCAGAATGGCAGGCAGAGAGAGATTTATTTTATTTGGGGGGGGGACAGTGGCTCTCCATGGTTTCAGGACCTTCTGCATGCAAAGCAAGTGATCCGCTCCTGAGCTGCAGACCCCACCCCCTTAACTGAAGAAAGGCGGGACATTCAATGCGGGGGGAGAGATTTAAAACTGCACTTGGCCTTTGGAGCACAATATATGGGTGGCGTTTCTCGCGTGGGACCCCAGGAATGACTGGGGTGAAAGCTCTGGGCTCACCTGTCGTCCTTTTTGAGGAAGACACCAGCGTACGGTTGGGCAAGGCTGACTTTCCTCCGCAGCAACTCAACCAGCTTCTTGTTTTTCACCTAAAAGGTTTAATAATTATTATTATTATTGACATTATTAATGAATTACCCACCCTTCACCCTAAGGTTCGGGAGCAGGTTATATCAATTAAAATGCAACACAAAGAACAGTTTAAAACACCTTGCAGTCACAGGAGGAAGGTGGGTCCTAAAAAATATACATCTCAAGTGTCCAAAGCCACAGAAGGACGCGTGTCAGTCAGTTAAGGCAAGCCTAGAAGAGAGAGTCTGGCAAAGAGGGGAGCATTGACCTCCAAGTTGAAGCTTTTCTTGGAACAAAGCCCATTTGCTAGGGAGTCAGCCCCAATGAATGAATGAAATCTTTATTGCTAAAAGCTATAAGCCGTCGCAATGGGTCACAATGTCGTTAAACGTGTGTTTTTTTAAAACCCCCACCTTAGACTGAGTTTTAGCACACATGAAAAACTTAAAACAAATTCTTATTTCCTGTTAATAGCCTTTGGACTATAATGTAACTTAAACAGAAAACTATCTTTAGAAAGACTTTTCCTCCCAAAGCATTTTATTTTAAAAATCCTATTTAAATTTTTAAAAATCCGATTTTAATTTTAAAAGTCCGATTTAAAAAATAAATAAATCTGATTTATTTATTTATTTAAAAAAATCATTTTTATAAACACCCTGACTAGAATTAAGGTTTGCTCCTTGTATTTTGAGTAGAAATCAGATGAACGATGGCCGCAGGAAGGTTGTACAAGGCCCCTGATGAACATTCAGCCATCTCTCTCTCAGTTCTGCCCTTCCATACCAGCATTTCTAAAATGTGAGATGTCACATCTATCACAGTCCAAGGAAACCAGAGATGCTGAACTGCGGCTTCTGCCCAAACAAGAGCAGCCCCCATCTCCCCCCCCCAGTCTATCTACCAAACAAATCCTTGAAAAGGTGGCCTTGGCAAGCGCTGGGCCTCTCAAGGGAAAAGCAATGCAAAGGGCAGCATGTCTAATGCGAGGTCTGGACAACACCAAGGCCAAAAGTGACGTCCCTGCCAGCAAATTGCGGCCCCACACAATAGCAGAATTGGGAAGGAGGCAAAAAGCCATTCAGCTGGAACCACAGTGAAAGAACAGCTGAGAGTTCGAAGCAGAGGAGCTGCGCTTCTATTTTCTTGAAACGAGCGGCAAAGGAGGAGATGATGAAACGCAGTGAAATCTCAGCAGACGGCCGGTTTATGAGTCACATCCTAAAATTCCAGGGATTGTGTGCGTGTGTGGCCTCTCCTCCCCTCTCCCACACCAGAGCAGGAAGATAACAACAACAATAACAATTACAATAATAACTTTAATAATAAAATGTTTGTTTGCATCCTCCCCCGCCCCATTATAAGAATGGTAAGGTCTCAAATGTAGAATAAAATGTTCATAAATGTACCAGGCAAACACATAAGTCTAGAAACCACGTGTACAGGAGAGCAACTCTCCCAAGTTGACCTCAAATCTTTCTCTGTGAGGAGGAAGGAAATGGGAAGAGTAGTAATTGTCTTTCCATTTGGACTGCAGGGGCTCACACCTCCTTTTCAAAATACAGTCTGGCAAGTATCTGTTCAGCTGAGCAAACTACCAAGATGCGCAAGAGATTCAGGAACTAAGTATTTACCATCTCCAAGGAATGGCCAGGCTACCCAGAAAATTCAACTGAGTAAGGCATAATCACCATTATTACAAAAATCTGAGATTACAGGCAAGACCTCTCTCCCTTGCAGCAGGTGCTTCTAATCTCAGCTCGTTACACAGTGAAAATACCAGCTCAAATACTTATTTCACTCATTAGAATGCACATCCATCTCTGACTTTTGTCTTCTGGGTTTCTGTGAGAGACAGAATAACATCAGGAATTCTAATGAGTGAACGAGCTGAGATTAGAAGCACCTGCTGTAAGGGAGAGGTCTTGCCTGTAATCCCAGCTCGTTAAGGTACCGAAAGACACCTGTCGACAGAAGCAAGCAATCCAGCAGATTCCAAAATAGCCACCATGTCCAAGGAGGTCAGGGACAAGAGCTGTCCAAGACTCACAGAAGGCTGGACTGCGCTGCATCCAGCCTACCAGGCCTATAGATTAGTCTACCCATTACAATGATGGACTGGTCTAGAATCCTTCGTCATAGGGCTAGTGGTTCCCAACCTTTAGTAGGGAATCAAATACTTTCCCCCCTCACTGTAACTGTTTATTTCCTTTAATAAAGGTCAAGTTTCCTAGCAGCTTTGCTTCTCAATATTATTTTATTATTTATTGAATTTATATACTGATCTATGAAAGGGGGGGGGGGTCCCCTCAGGCCGGTACACATGATGAAATCAATATATTATAAAACCACAAAACACATAATTAAAAACAACCACCCCCCCAAAAAAAACCTATTAAAAGGCCTTCCCTGAAAAGCTTCCCTGAACTTTTTCCATGAGTATGTGTGCCCTTTTATTGAAAATGCATCTCTGGGTTAGCTGTAGGCCTATCTGTTTAACATGAGTAGCAGTACTAACAATAACTCTTATTTATACCCTGTAACTCAAGGTACCACTGTATTAAAATACAAAAACCTATTAAACTTTAAAAGCTTCCCTGAACAGAGCTGCCTTTTTCCATGAGTAGAATGTGTCCTTTCTGGGGTATTGAGATGTAGCCTCTTGGACTTTACCAGTCTAAATTGGTGGGTCTGCATGCTCCGGAGGAGAAAGGAAGTCCAATGACACCGAGGTTGAGTCAGAGAAAGAGTTTATTCTGCTCTCCGGGTGGCAGAAGGCCCTTGCGTGGTCAGTCCACAGCAAGTCCAAAGAAAGGAGGAATTTCATTTTAAAGCATTTTAGAAATGCTCCCTTGGAGAAGGAAAAATGCGGATTTGGGGGCCCGTTTCAGACCGACTGCCCGGTCAGGTTTGGGAAACCCATTCCTTCCGTGGGGTACAGGAATTCCCCGGTCCGAGACCCCGGCCCCCCGCCGCCGAAGCTGGCTGCCCCTTGGTCTGGGGGGCTCCGGGGCGCGTTCCTACCTCGATGATCTTGATGAAGCGGGGGAAGACGGGGTTCCGGGCCACGGCGATGAGCGGCACGTGCGGGACCCTCTCGGGGACCATGAGGGGCGCCAGCGCCGTCACCGGCCCGCCGCCCGACTCCGCGCCCCCGTCCCCGGGGAGCCCGCCTCCTCCTCCTCCTCCTCCCTCGCCTCCCTCGCCGTCTTCCAGGCCGCCGTCCGAGGGGCCTCGCAGGAAGGAGAGCAGCCGCTGGGGAGGAGGCCGGGGAGCCGCCGGCGGGGGAAGCCAGGCCCGCCCGGAGCCCGCCCTCGCCGCCGCCGCCGCCGCCGCCGCCGGAGCCCGCCTCGGGTACAGCCGCCCCCGGCAGCGCCACAGCAGCCGCAGCGGAGACGCCGCCGCCGCCGCCGACATGGACGCCGCCATCTTGGACAGCGCCGCGCGCGGAGTGATGACGACAGCGCCGCGCCACGGCGGAGGGAGGGGGAGAGAGACGGAGAGGGAGCGGAAGTGGCGGGGCAGAGCGGCCCCTGCGGAACTTCCGGGGGTGGAGAAGGAGGAGGGACGGAGGCCAGGCGCCGCGGCCGCTGATTGGCCAGTTGCCTTTGCTTGGGCTTTGAATTATTGCCTGATTGGATTTTACAGTTCATTTATATTGTATTGTATTGTATCGTATCGTATTGTATTGTATTGTATTGTATTGTATTGTATTGTATTGTATTGTATTGTATTGTATTGTATTGTATTGTATTGTATCATTTTATTTTATTTTATTTTATTTTATTTTATTTTACAGTGTATATATGTCTTTGTTTTATTTTACTGTATTTTATTTTACAGTATTTTATTTTATATTGTTACCCACTACAATAACATTTTATTTTACTGTGGTACCTCGGGTTACAGACGCTTCAGGTTACAGATTCTGCTAACCCAGAAATAGTACCTCGGGTTAAGAACTTTGCTTCAGGATGAGAACAGAAACCGTGCTCCAGCAGCGCAGCAGCAGCAGGAGGCCCCATTAGCTAAAGTGGTGCTTCAGGTTAAGAACAGTTTCAGGTTAAGAACGGACCTCCAGAACAAATTAAGTACTTAACCCGAGGTACCACTGTACTTTATTTTGCAGTGTATATGTATGTATTATAGTATATCATATCATTTTACTTAATTTTACAGTGTATATATGTGTGTTACATTGTATTATATCACTTTACTTTATTTCAGACATGTGGTTCATGTCCTTTATTATTATTATTATTATTATTATTATTATTAAGATACCGCCCTATACCCGAGGGTCTCAGGGCGGTTCACGACTAAAATCAAGATATAAAACCACAAAATACATAATAAAAATAAAAATGACAACCCCAACCCCCAGCTCTCCCCCCAACCCCAACCCCCTCCAATTTATAAAAGGGCAACTGAAATGGGCTTCAAACCGGTTTGGGACGATATATCAATATATCTCCCGGCCCTAATGGGCAGCAGCCTAGATGGCTTTAAAAGTGGATCAGAGGCGAAACCCATTGATGGCGCCAGTGACTCCGCTTTCAGAGGCAGCCGTGCTCCTGAATCCCAGTGTCTGGAATTTGCCGAAGGGGAGAGGGTCTTGTGTGCGAATCCTGCTTACAGTAGCTCCCACACCCTGATCCCATTCCCCCCCCCCAATCACAGACATTTCACAATTCTCCGCTTTAATAACCATCTTCAGTGCTCCCCCCCAAAAAAAACCATTTAGGGATACTCTCATTTTGACTCAAGAAAATCACCATTTTATAAAATAAAAAACTCCTTCCAGTAGCACCTTATCTATCATCTATCCATCCATCCATCCATCCATCCATCCATCATCTATCTATCTATCGAGGTTTTTTTTCCTGGGGTCCTCTGATTTTGACTCCAGAAAATCACCATTTTATAGTTCAAATCGGCAGGGGAAATAAATCCAGCAAATGGACCAAACTACAAATGATTCACAAAACCTTCAGGGATATGTGTGTCCCCCCCCCAGGAAAAAAGCGCCAACCGTCATCATAAATAAACAGCGTTTATTTTCCACGCCAGTAAAGCATCACATCTATACAATCTTTCTTTTTTTTACAAAAAAAGTGTGTTTTGCTTCAAGTGTTGGAAAGACGAGTGTTTGTTTTTTGGAGTGGGGATGAGCATGATTCGGGGAGGGGGTGGGAAACACAAAAAAGGAACATTGGCACCGGATTTAAATAATGTGGAAACCCCCGCGATCGAAAGAAAGAAGAGGCGCTGCAGCGGAGAGAGAGAGGCGCGAGTTCGAATCCTGATCCTTTCGTGCAAAATTGTCACCGTTGGAGATCCGTCGCTGCCTGCTCTCGTTTTTGGCCTGTAATGATGTATCAGAATATGGGGAGAGGGGGAAGAATTTGGGGAAGGGGATACGGATGATGGCTGCGCCTCTTCTCGGCATTTCACAGTCGGTCGATGGCTCCGATCCAGACAGGCCTGCCACTGGCCCCCGGCCGCCTCCCCTGCCCGCCCGCCGGCCCCTCCTGGGCGCCATCACATCGCGGTCTCTCCGCTGAGGTGCTTGTGGGTGTCGTTCTCCGGGTAGATCAAGTGGTAGGGCTTCTCGTTCTCCTCGGCCCCCGAGTCGCCCCCCAGGTCGGTGTCCTGCAACTCCAGCTCGTGGCGCGACAAATGCTCCACCACGCCCGCGCCCAGAGAGTCGCCCAGGACGTTGATGGTGGTCCGCAGGCGGTCTCTGGGGGAAGAAACGGGGCGGCGGTTAAGATGGGGGGGGAAAGGATCCGGGGGTCTGGGTGGACCGCAAGCTGAACGGGACCTCAATGTGAGAACTGGACCCAAACAAAATGAATTTCCATGGGGACAAATGTCAGGTTCTGCACTTTGGAAGGAAGAACCAGATGCACAAATACAGGTGAAACTCGAAAAATTAGAATATTGTGGGAAAGTTCCTTGATTTCAGTAATTCAACTTCAAAGGTGAAACTAATATATGAGATCGACTCATGACATGCAAAGCGAGATATGCTTCTACTTCTCAGAGGTCCAATCTCGCTCGATTTGCAATCCTTGTTTTGCTGATTTCCTTGAATATTCTAATTTTCTGAGATTGTTAATTTGGGGTTTTCATCAGCTGTGTGCCATGATCATTGCAATTATCACAAATCAAGGCTTGACATATCTCGCTTTGCATGTCACGAGTCTATCTCATATATTAGTTTCACCTTTCAAGTCGAATTATGGCAATCAAGGAACTTTCCCACGATATTCTAATTTTTCGAGTTTCATCTGTATAAGATGGAAGATACCTGGCTCACTAGCAGGACATGTGAAAAGGATCTAGGGGTCTTAGTGGACCACAAGCTTAATATGGATCAACAGTGTGATGCAGCAGCAAAAAAAGCGAATGCTATTCCAGGCTGCATCCACAGAAGTCTAGTGTCGAGATCAAGGGAAGGCATACTCCCACTCTCTTCTGCCCTGTGGGATGCAGGTGGCGCTGCGGGTTAAACCACAGAGCCTAGGGCTTGCCGATCAGAAGGTCGGCCGTTCGAATCCCCGCAATGACGGGGTGAGCTCCCGTTGCTCGGTCCCTGCTCCTGCCAACCTAGCAGTTCAAAAGCACGTCAAAGTGCAAGTAGATAAATAGGTACCGCTCCGGTGGGAAGGTAAACAGCGTTTCCATGCGCTGCTCTGGTTCGCCAGAAGCGGCTTAGTCCTGCTGGCCACATGACCCGGAAGCTGTACGCCGGCTCCCTCGGCCAGTAAAGCGAGATGAGCGCCACAACCCCAGAGTCGGCCATGACTGGACCTAATGGTCAGGGGTCCCTTTACCTTTTTATTCTGCCCTGGTCAGGCCACACCTGGAATACAGTGTCCAGTTCTGGCCATCGCAGTTTAAGAAGGATGTTGACAAGCTGGAAGGTGTGCGGAGGAGGGCAACCAAGATGGATCAAGGGTCAGGAAACTGAGCCTTATGAGGAACGGTTGAAGGAGCTGGGTGTGTTTAGCCCGAAAAAGAGGAGACAGGAGAGCCATCCTCTAATTCTCACATGGAAGAGGGAACAAGCTTATTTTCTGCTGCTCCAGAGGGTAGGACTCGAACCCGTGGCTTCAAGTTCCCAGAAAGGAGATTCCAGGAAAAAAACTTTCCGGCAGTCAGAGCTGTTTGGGATGGAAGGTGGTGGACTCTCCTTCCTCGGAGGTTTTTAAAGCAGAGGTTGGAAGGTCATCTGCCATGGATGCTTTAGCTGAGATTCCTGCATTGCAGGGGGGTCAGGCTGGATGACCCCTGGGGTCCCCTTCTACTGAGCAGACTCGATATAAAACAGCTCCCTATGCTCCTATTTCAAGTGGACCCTGAGGACTAGAAACTTGGGGTCATTCCCTGAGAAACAAGCTGCCTCTCTGACTTTCTCCAAGGCCGCAGGTGCAGTTTTGGGGCCAAAGCTGTCAAGAAAGCCTCACGATTGATATCTGCAAAATCTCATTAAAAAATAAATTATATTCTACTCTATTTGAAAGACAACTGTAAGCAATCAACATCGTTAGCAGGGTTATCTGAAGATTTGCAAGATGAAATTGCTACCTATCAGGGTTGAGTAATACAATATTTTAGGTCGTGGTTTAACACGGATGGGAAACGAAGCGAAATGGAAAGATGGAAAGTTTGATTTTGTAAACCGTCAGACGGGAGGGAGGGAAACCGTTGGGCTCAGTTGAGCCAAGGAGATAAAATAGGAGGATATGATGTGACGTAACGTGATGATGTGTAAAACCAACAAAAATGATTTTAGAAAAATAAATGAGTAAATAAATAAACATGATCCCTCCAGCCCAGGCAGGCAGCGTCACCCCTTCCCGCCTCGCGGGGACTTACAGGAACCAGTCGACCGCCATGATCAAGGTGATGTCTTCGGTCGGCAGCCCCACGGACGTCAGGACGATCACCATGGTAACCAGACCCGCCTGGGGGATGCCGGCCGCCCCGATGCTGGCGGCCGTGGCGGTGATGCTGCAGAGAGCGAGAGGGAGTTGGGTGAGATGGGGATTCGGGGTTGGGATAGATGTCCCTTGGGGGTCCCTTGGCCAAGATGCCAAAGGGTCCCTTTGAGCACTGGGCTCAAAATGCGCTCACAATTTGGAATGCGTCAGGAAAAGGGAGAAATAGATGGGAAATTACCGTGTTTTTCTGTCTAGAAGACGACCACATGTATAATATGTCCCCTATTTTGGGGGACTGATTTAAGAAAATGGGGAAAGATCTATCCGTGTATAAGACCCCCCAAATTTTGGACATTATTATTTTTTTGGGGGGAACTAGTCTTATACATGGAAAAATACAGTAAATAAAATGGAAAACTTAATAAATATTTTTAAAAGAACGAAAGAAAGGAAGGAAGGATGGAAGGAAAGAGCCCCTCTTTTGCACCCGCACCTGATGGTGAGGATCTGCCCAAAGTCCAGCTCGTAGTTGTTGACCTGCGCGATGAAGATGGCGGCCAGCGCCTCGTAGAGCGCCGTCCCGTCCATGTTGATGGTGGCGCCCACCGGCAGGACGAAGCGCGTCACCCTCTTGTCCACGCCGTTGTTCTCCTCCAGGCACCGGAACGTGACGGGGAGCGTGGCCGAGCTGCGGGAGGGAGGACAGGGCGGCCCCGGGGTGAGCCAGCCTGAAACCCTACTCAGAGTAGACCACCCTCACCCCCCCCCCGGGGTCCAGGTCCGAAGGGGCTTCGCACCCGCAGCTCCTTTCCCCCAGAGGAAGTGAAAATTGGGATACAAAGGTTGCTTTTTTTCTTTTTCCTTTTTTTTTGCAAAACCTCCCCCCAAAATTGAGCAATCTTAAAGGGTTTAAGGGAGCAAGCTCGTTTTCTGATTAAAGATTTGCACATTTGTGCATGCAGAATGTCGGCACCCTATATGTAGAAAGGAGCAAAGCAGTGATATTTAGGGAACAGGCTAGCAGGTGGGGCCCATGACTCACATCCTTGGAGCCTCCACAACACAAAACACGGGTGCTGGATGTAGGCTTTATTTTATTTGTTTTTTATCTTATATTTTGGAAATGGACATCCAGGTTTTTTTCCTTTAATTTTTTTTGGGGGGCCCGCAAGAGAGTGGGGACCTAAGCTAGAGCTTGCTTAGCTTATACACAAATCTGGCACTGGCATAGATAGATAGATAGATAGATAGATAGATAGATAGATAGATATAGATGATCAATCGATCAAAAGATAGATAGACAGACAGACAGATAGGTAGATGAAAGAGAGAGATGATAGATGGATAGATAGATAGATAAATAAAGATAGATGATCAATTGATCAAAATATAAATGATAGATAGATAGATAGATAGATAGATAGATAGATAGATAGATAATGGATAGATAGATGATCAATCTAACGAAAGATAGATAGACAGATAGATGAGAGAGAAATGATAGATAGATGTAAGATAGATAGATGATAGATAGATAGATAGATAGATAGATAGATAGATAGATAGATATAGATGATCAATCGATCAAAAGATAGACAGACAGACAGATAGATAGATGAGAGAGAGAGATGATAGATGATAGATAGATAGATAGATAGATAGATAGATAGACTAGATAAATAGATAGAGATAGATGATCAATTGATCAAAAGATAGATAGATAGAAATATAGATAGATAGATAGATAGATAGATTTTATTTTGGAAATGTACATCCAGGTTTTCCCCCTTTAAATTTTTTGGGGTCCCCAAGTGAGTGGGGCCCTAAGCTAGAGCTTGTTGAGCTGATACGTAAATCCGGCGCTGGGCCTGATCCGTTCAGGGTGCCAGGAAGGGCGACACCCCCCCAACCGGGAATCCGGCCCCCAGGGTCCCGGAAACGGCCCTCGGCGGTCCCCTTGGCGTCTGCTGGCGCCCGCTTACCTGGAGGAGGTCCCGAAGGCGGTGACGAGGGCCTGGAGGAGCCCCCCCACGAAGCGCCAGGGGTTCTTGCGGGTGACGGCGAAGTAGATGAGGGGCAGGACCAGGAGGCCGTGGACCAGCAGCCCCACAATGACCGTCAGGGTGTACATGCCCAGCTGGCCCCCTATCACCGCCAGGTCGTCCATCTCCAGGATCTTGCCCGCGATCAGGAAGAGGATCCCAATGGGGGCGTACCTGGGGGGCGGGAAGAAGGGGGATCAGGACCAGCCAGCTTCTCATAATCGCCATTTTAATTTTTGTGGCTTGTGGGCCTCTGGGAAGCAAAGCAAGGCTCATGAGGGCGAAGGAATCCGCCTTGCGGCTAGCCGGGCCACTGAGATCAGTGCTGTCTGCACTGGCAGGCAGCACCAGCACACCAGGTTGATTTTAATTCTTTTTTTTTTTGAAGCAGTTCTTTTTACTGAGAATTTTATTTTGTTTCTTGTAAGCTGCTTTGAATTTTGTTTTGTTTTTTTGCAAACGGCTTTGAATTTTATTTTGTGTTATTTTTGGTAAACTGCCTTGAGGTTGGCAGAGCATGAGGTTTTTAAAACGAGGGTGGTGGGTTCGAGTCTGAAGTTGGGCGAACGATTCCTGCGATGCAAGGAGGTGGGGCTGGACCCCTTTCCGACTTTGCCCCATGTGGGGCTCAGACCCACAACGCCGAGAGGAAGGGGGTCTGGAGCTCTACTGACTGGGCTGCCCTGAAGTCGTAGACCGATTGTAGAATCGTAGAGTCGTGAGGGGCCCCTAGGGGTCATCCATCCCAACCCGCTGCAACGCCCGACTCAGAACTCGAACCCGTGACCCGGCTTCCCCCCCCCAAAAAAGCCGGAAGAATTTCTGCTAGGTTTTGTGGGAGAAGATATTAAGAAGACAGACCAAAGATTATATCTGTATGCAACAACAGCAGCTAGAGTTTTGATGGCCCCAAAGTAGAAGTTACAGGAGATTCCGACTGTAAGGGAATGGCAGATAAAGCTGGTTGAATACGCTGAAATGGCAAAATTGACACACAGAATTCACAGAATTTGGAGGAGACGAAGTACCAAAAAGAATGGAGTAAATTTATGGTTTATATAAGTGAGAACTGTAGGAATATGAAAACGTTGGCAGGACTGAATTAAATCTTATGTCCCGGAGTAATTTTGAACCAATGCAACTGTGAATTACAGATTGGAATAAGAAAACTTGCGGAAGGGAAGGACGGAAGTCAACGGCTCTATGGAGCATAAAGTAGGATATATGTAATATATCGAACACACTGACCAGATACTTGGAAGATGTGGCTGGATGGTTTCGTGGGAGCCGATTGAAACTAAATCCTTCGTAGACAGAGGTCCTCTGGCTGGTTCGAGATGGCATGGGGATGAGGGACCAACTCCCTTCTCTTGCGGGGGCCCAATTAGTGCCATTGCCTTCCGTTAAGAGTTTGGGTGTAATCCTTGACGCCTCCCTTTCCATGGAGGCGCAGGTTACAGCAACAGCCAAGGCGACATTTTTCCACCTTCGCCGCATCAAGCAGTTGGTCCCTTACCTTTCCCGCCCCGACCTGGCCACAGTGATCCAGGCGACGGTCACCTCCAGGCTTGACTACTGTAATTCGCTCTACGCGGGGCTGCCCTTGAAGCTGTCCCAGAAACTCCAGCGGGTGCAGAATGCTGCAGCGAGGCTCCTCACGGGGTCTCTGCCATGGGAGCATATTCACCCAGTGCTTTTCAAGCTGCACTGGCTCCCGGTGGAGTACAGGGTCAGGTTTAAGGTGCTGCTTTTGACCTTTAAAGCCCTTCATGGCCCAGGACCCTCGTACCTACGGGACCGCCTCTCCCGGTCTGCCCCACGGAGGACCTTAAGGTCCATAAACAGCAACACCCTAGTGGTCCCAGGCCCTAAGGAAGTTAGATTGGCTTCAACCAGAGCCAGGGCCTTTTCAACTCTGGCCCCAGCCTGGTGGAACGCTCTGCCTCATGAGACCAGGGCCCTGCAGGATCTGATTTCTTTCCACAGAGCCTGTAAGACAGAGTTGTTCCGCCTGGCCTTTGGCTTGGAATCAATTTTAATTCCCTCCCCCTCTTTCTTTTTTCCTTTCCTTCTCCTCCTGCGATGAGGCTACATTTTAATATTTTAATGTTCCATTATTTTAATGTTGTATTTTAACTTTGTGTTTAAGTTGTAATCCTTCAACTTGTTTTTATTATTGCTTGTAAGCCGCTGGGGAGCCCGGCCTTGGCTGGGGAGGGCGGGGTATAAATAAAAATTATTATTATTATTAATATGTAATAAGACTTGATGTTTTTGTTGGTTGGTGTTCTTAAATCTCAACAAGAAGCATTTGGGGGGGGGAAAGAACCCGCGACCCGGAGATCCCCGGGTTCGACGCTCACCAGATGATGACGGCCACCATGCGGAGGATGGCCTCGTTGAGGGAGTCGAAAAACTCCCGCAGGGGCAGCCCCCTCTGCTTCATGCTGCCGATGACCAGGCCGAAGCAGATGGAGAAGACCACCAGGCCCAGGGCGTTGACGCCGTTGACCGACCCGGCGCCCGGGACCACCTCCTCGTAGCTCAGCACCTCCGGGAGGGCGCCCAGCGCCTGGGAGACGTTGCGCCAGACGCCGGTGGCGTTCTCAGGCGGCAGCAGCGGCGAGGGGGGCGAAGCCAGGGCGGCGGTGGGGCTGCTGCCGTTGTGGGGCAAGGCCTGGGGGGCGGCGGTGGGGGCTCCCCTGGCCAGGGTCCGGTTGACGACTCTGACGCTGTACTGGGTCTTGTACTGGGGAGAGGAAAAACAGAGTATTGATTTGAGGCAAAACCAGGAAAGCTGCCCATAGAGCTCCATAGTGCCTGCACTGGCTGGCAGCAGCAGCTCGCCAGGGTTTCAGGCAGGTGGGCTGGTACTGAGCCCAAGGGAGGAAGGATCCAGTCCTCACAAATTCGAATCAAGGGGTTGATTGAATACAAACTCCGGAAACTGCTGCCTGGCCTGTCGAGCGCAATAGTGCCAGCACTGGCTGGCAGCAGCTGCTCTCCAGCGTTTCAGACCCCCAACACAGTTGGTCTAGTCTTGACCCAAGAGAAGAAGGATCCAGTCCTCATGATTCAGATTCAAGGGACTCATTTAATACAGACTCAGGAATCTGTTCCCCGACCCATCAAGCTCAATATGGCCCACACGGACCGGCAGCAGCGGCCCTCCACGGTTTCAGGCAGGTGGTCTAGCCCCGAGTCCAAGCGAGGAAGAATCCAGTCCTCATGAATCCGAATCAAGGGGTTGATTGAATACAAACTCGGGAGACTGTTGCCTACTCCACCAGTCTCACCTACACAGGCCGGCAGCAACAGCCTTAAGACTGAGCCAGAGCCACTACACTGGATGGGGCGAGACGGGGAACCCGCCCCTCTTACCTGTCTGAAGCAGGCCTCCACCAGGTTCGGGGGGAACATGTTCCTGTGGACAGAAGGGGGAAAGAAAAGCAGATTATTTTGGTGGGCTGCCTGCCCAGGATGGTTCAGCTGGGATCCCTGCCTTTCAGGGGTTGGGCTGGATGACCCCCCGGGGTCCCGCTCACCGGATGAGGTCCAGGAAGGCGTCGGTGGTGTGGACCTGCTCAACGGTGCCCTGGCGGTGAAGGGCGTCCTTGCTGCCTTTTCCGGGGTGGATGATGAGGACCATGAAGATGCCGATGAAGACGGCGATCAGGGTGGTCAGCATGTAATAGACGACGGCGCGGAAGCCCATCTTGCCCGAGGCGCTGCTGTCCAGAGACGCCATGCCTGCCGGGCGGGACGAGAGAGAGAAAGAAGCTGGGGGAAACTAGATATTGATTTGAACTCAAATTCGAAATCAAATCCAAATTCAAAATCAATATTTAAATATAAGTAACAAAATTCAAATTTGAAATAAATATTTAAATAGAAGGAACGAAATTCAAATTCAAAATAAATATTTAAGTATAAGTAACGAAATTCAAATTTGAAATTGAAATTCAAAATGTTTAAATATAAGTAATGAAATTCAAATGCAAAGTAAATATTTAAATATATATTTAAATATATTTAAATTCAAAGGCGAAGTAAATGTTTAAATATAAGTAATGAAATTCAAATTCAAAATAAATATTTAAATATAAGTAATGAAATTCAAATTTGAAATTGAGATTCAAAGTAAATGTTTAAATATAAGTAATGAAATTCAAATTTGAAATTCAAATGCGAAGTAAATGTTTAAATATAAGTAATGAAATTCAAATTTGAAATTCAAATGCGAAGTAAATGTAAATAATGAAATTCAAATGCGAAGTAAAGGTTTAAATACAAGTAACGAAATCCAAATTACAAATTCAAAGTATTTCAATATAAGCCATTAAATTCAAATTCCAATTCAACATTTAAATGCAAGTAATTTAATTCAAATTCAAAGCAAATATTTAAATATAAGTCATCAAATCCAAATCCGATTTTAATTGCTTATATTTAAATATTTATGTTTATTTAAACATTAAACATTTACATTTATATATTGATATGACACGCAGACACGCATTTATCGACGCCCGCGTTTCCCCCGTGCAAAAGCGCCAAGGATCCCCTCCTGGCCCGCCCGGCAGGGTCGGCGTCCCTCATCCGCTCACCTGTGATGAGGCTGGAGACGATGAGGGGCAGGACCAGCATCTGCAGCATCCGCATCAGGAGCTCCCCGGGGAAGGAGAAGTACTTCACCTGGCGGAAGGTGAGCTTGTAGGGCCGCAGGGCCAGCGCCAGGGTGATCCCTGCGGGGCGGAAGGAGGGGCTCAGAGATCCGCTCCCGGGTCAAGAGCTCCCGGAGGCATGGGCAGAGTGCAGCCGGGGACGGAGAAGCTCGGAGCCAGAGGCAGACTACAACTCCCATGGTCCCCTGAACGCACTCGCAGGGGATGATGGGAAGCGGAGTCCCGGACTTTAAAAAGTCACTAAAATCCCTTCTTTAGCCAATTTGGACGTGGACCCACAGAGCTCCGAAACCCAAACTATTTATCGAATTTTCAGTTGTGTTTCAAGAATATTGGCTGGTTATTTTGTCCACCTTTGACCTGCTTAATAATAATAATAATATATTCTATTGGCGGCTCCCAATAGAATATTAAAAACATCAAACATTAAAAATTTCCCTTTGTGGAAGTGCAGCTTGTGTATACTTGAAAGGGGAGGTGGGGAGATATTTAAAGAAGAGCTTAAATATTTTCCTTTTTAAAAATAAAATAAAATAGAGAGTTTTCATGCAGTTCTTTCCCTCCAAGCCAATTAACTCCCAAATGAGGATGCAACAAATTTGGGGAAGGAATAAAAACGAAAATATATGAAATTGAGATTAACTGCAAAGAGACCAGATTAGGAAATGTAAACTGCAAAACTTTAAATTATTTTTGTAAAGTTTTAAAAATAAACTTTTAAAAATGTATCATTCTTTTTTGAGATCTTGCAAGCGGAGAGAGCGAAGCAGATCTCCTCTCTGCAGCTCGCTAGAGTTTTTTTCCTCCCAATCCTCTGTAATCCTCGCAAATTTTTCTGGCTCTTTTTCTCTCTCTTCTTAATTTTTATTTTGTTTAGGAACCGGGAGCCGTTTGGCGTCAGCCTGCAAGCAGCTCGTGACCGGCTTAATCTGACCCACACACGCAAAGCGGGGCGGCAGCCTTCCCCGTCCGGCGCTGGCCGATCCCCAGATCTCCCAGAAGGGATCCCTGGGATTCATCTAGTCCAACCCCCTTTTGCCCAGCGCAGCATTCAAACTCTTGACCCTGTGGTCGAGTCTCGCGCCGACTGAGCTACGTATTCCGGATTTAAAGAAAGCAGCGCATGATCTGCTTTCCAGGGGGCAGATGTGGAACCTCAAACCTTACCCAGCCGGATGGGGAGGCTATTATTATTATTATTATTATTATTATTATTATTATTATTATGCTGCCCTGGCTGCAGTTCTTTGACTGGGTTCCTGGGTTAAGCAACCCCAGGCTTGAATTCGGATGGGTTCCCCAAAGGTCATCCATCCCAACCCCAGAGGGAGTCCATTTTGGGTGGTCACCTTGTGGCTTGGAGGGGGTCAGATGTTAAGGAAGAGGCTTAACCCACCCACCCCACAGCCTGGGTCTTCCTAGCGACGATGCCCTTTCAGAGAAGCGGTGGGATCGCTCAGCGGCCCACGATTCGAATCCTGCTCGCGATTTCATCCGGCGATTGCCCTTTTCTCCGAAAAGAGCCCGCCGCTCTCCGGCAAAGATCCCGGGCTGTGCCTCAGTTTCCCCCATTGCAATTTGGTTGGGAGAAGCCGCGCACGCCGCAAATTTCCCCGGTCCTCTTTTAAATACCGTAGCAGGGAGTTCCGCCGGTCCACTCTTTGCAAAATCAGGGCTTTCTCGGGACGGCAAGGGGCTTTGCGGGTGGGACCCCTGGCACCCCAAAGACGCCCCTCTGAGGCTACGCAGGGACCCCCAAGCCCCCCCCGTTGCGCCCCCTTACCCAGAAGGACGGCGGTGACGGTGAGCAGGACGAAGGCGTTCCTCTGCAGGCAGCCGCGGACGCTCTCCCGGGTGACGGCGTACATCCTGGCCTGCGCCCGGGCCGCCCTCTTGCGCAGGACATGGCGCAGGCGCTGCGCCCGCCCGCCCCCCGGCCCCAGCGCCTTGGACTCCTCCTCGTTCAGGAACAGGCTGTTGGCGCGGGCCTGGCGCTCACCCATCGCGGGGACCGCTCAGCACCCCGGGGACCTGGGTTCGGGGAGAAGAAGGCGAGAGCCAAAGCCGGCCGGGCCAGGAAAAACCACATGGGGGTGCTGGCCTGCCTCCTTCCTTCCTTCCTTTGCCACCTAATTTCTTTCTTTCTTTCTTTCTTTCTTTCTTTCTTTCTTTCTTTCTTTCTTTCCTTTTTCCTTCCTTCCTTTGTCACCTAATTTTCCTTCCTTCCTTCCTTCCTTCCTTCCTTCCTTCCTTCGCCACCTAATCTTTCTTTCTTTCTTTCTTTCTTTCTTTCTTTCTTTCTTTCTTTCCTTTTTCCTTCCTTCCTTTGTCACCTAATTTTCCTTCCTTCCTTCCTTCCTTCCTTCCTTCCTTCCTTCGCCACCTAATCTTTCATTCTTTCCTTCCTTCCTCCCTTTTTGTAATACCTTGGTGCTTTACTGACAGACCCTTCAGAACCGTCATATCATTATACCTTTTAAAAGTCCTAAAGGATTAACATGAAACACAAGAGTTTTATATACGGTATATATTTTTAAACATACGTTAGAAATCTCCAAGCGCTGCATTGTCCTGGGTTTAAAAGCAAACCAGCCCTGCTGTGTGGGACAAAGCAGGAACAAGGCTTCAGCCAGCATAAAAAATAATAATGTTTCAGCATCCAAAATCAATCCTTTTCAGCAGACAGTCTTTCTGCAGCAAAGTTTTTCTTGTGCTCAGTGGCCAAAACCACCTAATTTCTAACATTCCAATGTTAGGATAAGTCGCAGAATTGTGGAAAGGGTTCCCCAGGGATCATCCAGTCCAACCCCTTGATTCCCAGAATAGTTGACAGCGAAGGGACCCGGCGGACATCTAGCCCAACCCGCTGCAAGGCAGGAATCTGGGCTGCGCCTCTGCCCCAGCCGGGTCGCCCCGATTAAAACCACCGTCCAGAACCAGCTCCCAGAAAACCCCTTGGCACAACCTCTGAGCGAAAAGCAACAGGCCCATTTCCCAGAGGGGGAGACTGAGGCTCCGCTGGCCGGGCGAGTGCCCTGAGGGCATGCGAGGACACAGCTGGCATACCAAGACCTGGCTTGGCACAGGGAGCCGGGATTTTAAAATCCAGCTGTCTGAAACGCAGACCGGCCTCTCCGGACAGGCCGGGGGGCCGGACCCCTTGAGTGGACCCACCTCTGGGTGCTATGTGGGGCTCCTTGGGACGGGCGAGGGGCGGCCCAGATCCGTGGCTTACCTGGAGGAGCCTCTGCCAGGCTCAGGTCCTCTGTGCCAGGGAAACCTCTCGCCTCCGCCGCTGTTGAGCTCTGGCAAAGAAAGAGAAGTCCGGATGAGGCTTGGAGGGAGGAGGCGGCGCTAGCCCTGCGCGTGGGGCTTTGGGCCCCCGGGGGACGCCGGGAGAGGAGCTTAACCCTCTTGCGCCAGCCTGGAGATGGAGGCGCGACGCGGGAGTCGGGGCTGGATCAAGCCCAGGGCTCAGGGCAGCCCCGGTTGCCGTGGATCTGTTGCTCTAGGTTCCTGCACAGAACTGCACAGGGGGAACCCAAAGGTCATCCAGCCCAACCCCGAGGGAACCCCAGCTATGCGGCCCTCGGAAGGTCGCGCGTGAGGGCATGCGGTCCCCGGCTTAGAAGGAAAGGCCCAATCGTGGGAGGAAATATTTTCTGTCTTTCTTTTTAGAAAGGTCCACCCTGGGTTTCTGTTGCCCGCAGCATCCAGAGAACGGATGTTGTTTGGCAATGGCAGGTAGACTGTGCCTGTGAGGGGAGGCTCCCTTAAGGGACCCGGAGCAGGAGAACCACCTCGCAGGGTTGCAAGCAAGATGCGGGGCGCCCCCTCGGAGGATGAAAAGCAGGATAGGACCGGCGGAATCCCAGCGCTGTGCAATGAATGAAAAATTGCAACGAAGAGGAAATTGCAACATGCCATACACCGAATAACAAATTGCAACGCCAGCATTGGATTGCAATGAAATTAAACCAAAACGGAGATTTGGGGCAGAAAAGAACGGAGGGGGGGGCTCCTTCCCTAGCAGTTGTTTTCTGCTTCCCAAGGCAGGGAATGCTTCCGGATTCGAGTTCCTGGAAACGGGCTCTGGGGCTCAAATCCTGGCAAATTGTGGGCGCTGCTGTCTCCCTTCCAGACGGCAAAGCGATTTGCGACGCGCAGGGCATCACCGGCCGCATGTGGGCATGCAAAGTCCCCCCCCCACCGTCCCCCCATATTTCTGTGCCCCCCATTTTCCCTGCATGGCTTACTCACAAATCCTTTCCGCACCAGACGGACAAGCTCTTGCGCTCTCTCTCCTTGCAAAAAAGCTCTGGATGCAAAGAAGAGAAGGACCACCTCCGAACAAAGCAGGCGAGATCGGAAAGGGGGGGCAGAGCGGCTGTGTGCCCACGCCTGGGGAGGGAACGGGGGGGGGGAGATGCGGAGACGGGCCCAATCCGGAGGAGAGAGTCTGTTGCCAAGGCCATCTCCCCGGAAGATGCAGCGCCGAAGGAAGGGAATCTGGAGCGGAGATGAAGGCACAGCCCCCTAGACCCACACGTGGGGGGCTGAATCGGCCAAGCAGCCCCCTCCCCAATGCAAAGCAACGATCTGGCTTCTTCCGGAGGGGGAAACAAGGCATGCGGTGCTTTGCAAATTTCAAAAAGCTGGATGCACGGATCGCTTAAAAATAAAAGATGGCAACTTGCAAAAAAGGGAATTTCGGTTTGCGAAAGGGGAAAATAACCTAATCAGAATTAATCCTTCCGCATAGCTGAATCCGGTGGGTGGGCTATAGTGGAAATTTGTATTTTATATTTATGTTTCTACTGTTCTGCATTGAAGCGGAGACCGTTATGGACATAATCGAAAGGAAGACCTGGGTTCGGATCCTCAATTGTTAAGTCGCAAGCGTCCTACTCCACAGGGCTGTTGTGGGGATTAAATGAGGGAGAACCACAGGCAGATGGGCGGAGTAGAAATAATAAATTATTATTATTATTATTATTATTATTACTCATGCCGCCTCGACCTCCTTGGAGAACGAAGGCCGGCGTGTCAATGCAAGGAAGGAATAAAATGGATCCATCGTCCTGCCTCAGTTTTTTTGGGCCTCTTTGCTCCGTTCCCAACACCCCGGGGCCTGTTCCCATTTTACAGGACTGTAAAAAGTCCAGAGAGGCTCCGAATGACCAGCCTGACAGCCAGGAAACGAAGGAGCAGAGCTGCCCCCCAACCGCGTGCGAGAGGCCTGGGCACGGGGCCCAAAGGGCGCCTCTGAGCACGTGGGGAGCGCCTGCAGGAAAAACGGACCTGGAACTTGAGAGCAGGATTTCCTCGCTCCTGCCAAAGCCGTTTCGCCAGGAGGATTTGAAACCTTACACCCGCTGCTGCGGAGAAAAAATAAAAAGCGTTTCCAGATTAAATAAAAAGGAAGGCAGGCAGGAATGTCCTCCCTCCTGCGTCAGGGAACAAGCCTCCATCTTCCCCTGCGCAGAAACCCTGCAAAAACCAGAATTTGGGAGCAAAAAGGGCCCCAAAACAGAGGATCGGGATAGTTCGCCTTTTGTTCAAAGTCAAGAGTAAATGCCATTCTATTATTACACGCAGAGGCCGGGCGCTCTGAGTGCAGAAGGTCGTGCAGGTCTGTTGCCGCTGCAAAAGGCGGCAGACACAGAGGGCTTATCCACTGGTGTTGTCGGCACTGACTGGCAGGGTGACAAGGGACGCGAAACCGTTGGACCTTCTGCATGCAGAACACCTGTTCTGGCGCTGGGCAAAGGTGGTGCTCTTAAAGTTTCTGGTCCTCAGCGCTGTGAACAAGGGAGTGGAGATCTGCTTTGCGTCACCCGCACTGGCTGGCAGCAGCGGCTGTCCTACCTTGAAGGAGGAGGGCCTTCTGCACTCAGAAAAGGTGCTTGACAGCTGAGCTCCGGTCTTTTCCAAGATGCCGGTCCTCATGAGTCTGAATATAAGCTGAAGGAACGGAGGTAGCTGCCTTGGACCATTGCTCTGCCTAGCTGAATACAGCCTGCACTGACTGGCAGCAGCTCTCCCGCTAGGAGATCCCTGCGCGGTTTGGACCTGGGGAACCTTCCGCATGCCAAGCACCTGCCCTTCCCTGGTCCTCAATATTGTCAACAGGCGGTTGGTTTAAACGGAGCTGAAACTGGCCCACCTAGCTCAGCACTGCCAGCACTGGCTGGCAGCAGCAGCAGCAGCTCTCCACAGTTTTGAGCAGGGAGTCTTTTCCCGGCCCTGCCTGGGGACGGACCCCCAGACCTTCTGCATGCAGAGCACCCCCCCTGCTCTGCCCAAGACACTCGCCTTTGCAAGACAGTAGCTGCCAGTTGAGACTGGGCCCAGAAGGCGGGGTTTTTCCCTCCCGCAGTGAATCCTTCCTGGCGTCTTGGCCAGGGCAGCTCAGTCGGTGGAGCCTGAAACTCAGGGTTGTGAGTTCGAGACCAAGATTGCCGGGGGGTGGACTGGATAACCCCGGGGTCCCTCCCCTTCTATGCTTCTACATCTGGAGTGCCGGGCAGATGTTCCTCGCTCTTTCTTCCCTGGAGAGGAAGAAACTTCCCCTCTTTCGCTTTCACCATTTTGGGCAGGCTGGGGGGCGGGCGGGGAGGGGGGCACGAGGGCCTGCTACCCCCCTTTTAACGCTGGGGGGACCCTGGGCCCCCCCTGAGGTCACCAGACCCCATAGACGTCACCCCCCATGATTTGTAAGGGGCACCAGGGGCCCCCATAAATCTCTCCTGCTTCCCTTTCCCCTGACAATGACCCTGCGAGGAAGACTTCATTTATATTTATATTTATATTTATATTTATATTTATATTTATATATAATATTAAGGCTTATAGAGAAAAATACAAAACAAAAATACAAAATACAAATACGAAACGAAAATACAAAATATCTTTCTCCCTTTTTCTAAGCAAACCAAGCAACGCAAACACAAAAACGGGGCGAGAGAAACAGAGAAGGACACGGAAATTGGCGGGGGGGAGCCTTGGCACTCCACCCACTAGGCACCACTCTTGTGCGAGGGGGCAATTGCGCCCCCTTTCCTCTCCAACTGCCTCCTCCTCAGTCCCATCTGGTATGCGTCCCCCCCAACACCCTGGAGGGGGTTCCACCTTCCTCCCCACCCCAGATCCCCCACCTAGACACGCGTCCCGTGTGAAGGAGGCAGGATGGCGTGCAGGCGGGTAAGGAAACGTGGCGAGGCTGCTGCCCTACCTGGCCGGGCTGCTGGGGCTGCTCCTTCCCCGTCCGCACGTGCGCCCGCTCCCTCTTCCTGGGCTGCTGCTGCTGCTGCCTGCCTGGCTGGCGCGCCGAGGCGGAGAGCGCGCCTCCCCGGAGCCCATTGGCCGCGCCCGGAGGGCGGGCGGGTCCGCGCCCAGGGCCGCCTCCCAGCTCCCCGGGCGGGCAGGGCAGCCGCGGAGGAGGAGGGCGCCCCGGGGCATACGCAGAGAGGGCGCTGCCGGAGCATGCCAGCTGCCTCTCCTCTTGCAGGAAAAGGGTGTCTCTAGGCATACGCAGAGCGCACACAGCCTGCCAAAGGAAGGACAAGAGTGCCTCTGGGCATATGCAGAGCGCACCCAGCCCGAGCCTGCTAGCCACCTCTCCCCTTGCAGGAAGCACAAGGGTGCCTCTGGGCATACACAGTGTGCAGCTTCCCCCCTTGAAAGACAGGAAAGAAAGGGTGACTCTGGGCATACGCAGAGTGCACCCGGCCCGAGCCTGCTAGCCACCTCTCCCCTTGCAGGAAGAACAAGGGCGCCTCTGGGCATATGCAGAGCAGGCAGCTTCCCTTGAAAGCAAGGAAGAAAAGGGTGCCTCTGGGCATACGCAGAGCAGCTCTTCCCGAACCTGCCAAAGGAAGGACAAGGGCGCCTCGGGGCATACGCAGAGCGGGCTCCGCTCGAACCTGCCAGCCGCCCCTCCCCTTGCAGCAAAGGAAGAAGAAGGGCGCCCCAGGGCATATGCAGAGTGCGCCCAGCCCGAGCCTGCTAGCCTCCTTTCCCCTTGCAGCAAAGGAAGGACAATGGCACCTCTGGGCATACGCAGAGCGTGCAGCTTTCCCCCTTGAAAGAAAGGAAAGGGTGTCTCTGGGCATATGCAGGGTGCCTGGCCCAAGACTACCAAAGGCGCCTCTGGGTATGCACAGAGCGGCCGCTGCCTGAGCATGCCAACTTCCTCTCCTCTTGCATGCCAACTTCCTCCCCCCCTTGAAAGGAAGAACAAGGGCGCCTCTGGACATACACAGAGTGCGCCCAGCCCAAGCCTGCCAAAGGAAGGATAAGGGCGCCCCAGGGCATATGCAGAGTGTGCAGCTCCGCTCCTTGAAAGGAACGAAGGAAAGGGTCCTCTGGGCATACGCAGAGTGTGCCTATCCCGAGCCTGCCAGCAGCCCCTCCCCTTGCAGCAAAGGAAGGACAAGGGTGCCTCTGGGCATGCGCAGTGTGGGCGCTGTCTGAGCATGCCAGCTTCCTCTACTCTTGCCAGAAAAGGGCGCCTCTGGGCATACGCAGAGTATGCACCGCCTAAGTCTGCCAGCCGCCTCTCCCTGATGCAGCTACTTGGGAGGCAGGATCCGCACCCGGGTCCTTGGCCAACGCCATGTTGCAACGGCCTCCTCCTCCTCCTCGCATCTCCCCTGCGGAAGCAGCTCTAACCTCCAAGCAGTCGTTCAGGAAAGGATTGCGCAGCCCGCCCCGCCTCTCGCACCCGCTGCCTGGTAGGCGAAAGCTCTTCCTGCCTCCCAGGTAACAAAACCAGAATTCGTGGGCCTGCCGGGAAGCGGAAGGTTGGGAGATGCAGCTTGGGTAAACTGGGGAACTCCCTGCCACAAGACCCGCCTTGGCCAAGCACAGATCCCGGCATCCAATCATCTTGGATTTGTGTCGGTTTTCCTCCTGAGCCTTCCAGCTCCAAACACAGAAGATGATGATGATGATAATAATAATAATAATAATATAAATTGGCCCCAATACATGAGGAGTCGGGGGCCCTATCAAATCGCCCCTTTTCAAAGCGGATTAAGGGCGTTACGCACATTTATTAATTATATCTATCAATTATAATAATCAATTAGAATCATAGAACTGCTAAGCTGGAAGGGACCCTGAGGGTCATCCATCCCAACCCCAATCTTTTTGCCCAAATACAGGATTCGAACTCGCAATCCCGAGATCGAGCCTCTTGCATACGAGCCGATTTAAAGATTGATCTGCTTCCCGGGGGGCAGGTTTGGACCTTCAAGCCTTCTGCGGCCCCCAAAAGCTTCCGATCTGGCCCTCCGGGCTCTCTCATCAGCCTGGCTCCCCCCCGTGAGCTTCCTTCCCTGCCCTCGAACTCGGCTCAACCTTGAAGGGAACCTCCATGGACAGAGACAGTCTACCTTTGTCCGCCAAAGGAGAAGGGCAGCAGTTGGCTCTTCGAGTCCGCGTCCCGTTTGGGGGGGCAGGATCCTGCGCTGGACGGGGGACCCCCTGGGGGCCCGATCCTGCCGGATTTCTGATCCAGGCCGGCAGCTCAAAGTCGCCGTGACTTCTAGGCCGCGTCTCCCCGGAGATGCCGACCCGGGAACGTCACACGCCCTGAATAATTCGGGGAGGCCCAAAAATAGACACCCCCCCCGGGAGAGGAGGGCGGGCGCCTGATTTGCCGGGCAGAAAAGGGGGCACCTCCTCTGGCGCCCCGGCCCTCCTGGATTCACGTGCCCTGGCCGTGGGGCAGCCCCGTTCCTGGTGCCAAGAGAGGGGGGGCCAGAACTGTGTCACTGAATCCGCACCCGGGGCCTCGGAGGGGCTATTAAAAGATTTAATTGGCGCACGGCAAGGCGGGCATCTAGGGCAGAGGCGGGCGGGGGCCGCATTCCCCTCCAGCCCCGATCGTCTGGGGTGGGGGAGCCCTTTTGAGCCTGGGGGGCGCATGCCAGGGGTAGGCAGAGCGAAGGCAGATGTGATTTCCCCCACTTTTGGGCACCACGGGCAGTGGGGTGCAGTGAGCGGAGCATGGGGGGGCAAAGGCCTGGGAGGGGGGCGATCCTGTCGCAAAGGGGGCTGGGGGGCCTGGGGGTCCGCAGCCACCTCTCTACCTCGCAAGTACCATATTTCCCCATATTTTTGGAGCCCAAAATTAAGAAATGCACATAAATTATATTTATATCGCAAGTATTTTCCTGTGTATTTTTTGAGCCCAAAATTAAGAAATAAACATTATGTATAAAATAATTATATATGAAATAATTATATATAAAATAAAAATTATATTTATAAAAATAATCGCCAGTCCGTGCACAAGACCCCCCCGTTTTAAACTTAAAGAAAGGGGGGAAATATATCTTCCACACAGAAAAATACAGTATGTAGGTAGATTTGCAGCAGCTTCTCCATCCCCCGGCCAGGGGGGAAGAGGCACCGTTGGGGTTCAAGGACGGTGTGGGGCACGATGTGGGGAGACAGAGAGGCTTTGGGGGGTGTTTGCGCCCCATCCGGGGTCTGCGCTCCGCAAAGAGTGGAAAAGAGCCTCCTGGTGCAGGAGCAGTCTAGCCCTTTCGAAGAAAACCACCAAGGGGGTGGGAGGGAAGCCTTTATTCCAGGCGAGGGAAAGGTGGTTAGAGCCCCCCAGGAGGTTGAACCCCTTTCCAGGTAGGGCTGAAAATCCCCCCCCCCCAAATCTGAAACCCTGGAGAGCAGCTGCTGCCGGTCAGTGTGGGGCTGCAGTTCTGAGATCGGCACTCCCGCAAGCCTGGCAGCTTCCTATTCAAATTGCCCTCCATAAATGGGATAGTTTTTCAAACCGCTGGTCTAAAAGAAGCCAGACCCTTGGTCCTTGTAGCTCCATATTGCCCACACAGGCCGGCAGCAGCTCCTTACGGTTCAAGGTCTTTCCCCCGAGCTCTGCCCAGGTCAAACTTCTTCTACGGCAGAGCTGTGGGTCTTCCTTGAAGAGCGAAACAGAAGAAGTTTGACCTGGGCAGAACTCAGGAAAAAGACCTTGAACCCTGAGATGCTGCCGGCCCGTGTGGGCAATATGGAGCCACAAGGACCAAGGGTCTGGATTTTGAATAAATGCACTGCTCCTGTTTTGAATTTTACCCTGCTATTTCCCCTCTCTTTTATAATGTTTTATTCAATTTCCACAAAAAATTCCATAGTAATTTATACTTTCTTTTTATCAACTTCCCATCCAGTTTTCCTTGGTTGTTGCTCTTTCTAAATATGCTATATCTCATTGCAGCAGCTTCTCTACCGTGTCATTTCCCCACCTATAGGGGGTCACACAATCTGAACGACGCTCTTGAGAGGGGGGAAGTAATAATAATAATAATAATAGCCCACCCATATGGGACCGTGAAACTGTAGGCCTTCGGACGTTTGGAACATCCTCTTTTTATGAAGTATTTTAACCGCAGCACAGAGATAAAAACGCACAGTGAGATAATTTAAATAGATTTTCAAGGATAAAATAACCAATATATTTAAATCGGATACGCGGTGGAAAAATCTACAATCTAAGGAACCGCAGGAAGGGGGAGACATGAAGTTCTGGCAGTGCTGTTTTTCTGGGGGGACACATACCCCTAAACATTTTGTGAATCATTTGTACTTTTGTCCATTTACTTTTATTTTTCCCATTTACTGGTGATTCTCTCGGGTCAAAATGAGAGTACCTCTGAACATTTTCCAAAGGAAAAAAAAGCACTGAGTTTCGGTATTCCAAATTGGCCGAGCAAATTTATATTGTTATGATTTTGTAAAATGGCTATTTGGACTCATTAAGGAATGCAGTATAATATTAGATCATCACACCCCAATCTTCAGAGCACAGGAAGGCACCCAAAGATATATAATTTGGCTTTTTTAAATTGTGTCATAATTTGGAATGTTTAAATGTGTTTTTTGTTGGATTGCTAAAATGGGAAACTGAATATTATTAAAAATAAAAAATTCTGTAAAATGAGAAAATGGGAAAAAACAACAACCCAATGTGTTTTAAGACACACTGTAAGAGGAAGTCACAAAGAGGAATTTTGCAGGGACCGCAAACGGCCAACGCTTTTATTTGCAGGGCAAGATTCCCACGGGACGGCCGGCCCACGGCGCCGGGATTTTGGGGATTTCCCGCTAAGTCCTTGTCTGCCCCGCGGTCCAAGCCCCGGGACGTGGTGGGTGGCGATCGTGCGCCGTGCTGGGAGGACGGAGAGGGCGGCTCCGGGTTCAGAGTTCGGGAGGCCCCAGCCAGCGCCAGCCCTCCTTCTTGCCGATTTTGGCCAGGAAGGCGGCCGAGCCCAGGCCCACGCAGGCCGCAGTGCCGGTGGCGAAGCTGTGGGCTGAAGAGGAGAGAGAGGAGAGGTGAGAGGCGGCCCGTCAGAGGACTCTGAATTTGGGGGGAAAGGGAGAAATGCTCAATGCATATCCTTTAAGCCAGGCAGGGCCAAACTCAGCCCTCCAGCTGCCTTGGGACTACAACTCCCATCATGCCTAGCTAACAGGGATGACTAGTGGCCAGGGATGACGGGAATTGTCTTTTGGGACTACAACTCCCATCATCCCTAGCTAAGAGGACCAGGGGTCAGGGATGATGGGAATTGTAGTCCCCAAACAGCTAGAGGGCTGAGTTTGGCCATGCCTGCAAGGTTAAGCTTTGTGTACAGATATTTACATTAGTAGAACTCTTAAAAGTTACTTGTAACAAGACGAAGGTTCACAATTGGATCATTAAGAATATAAGGTTTCCTGGACATGCAGAAACATGCACTGAAGAGTGGAACCAAGAGGGAGAGTGGAGGGAAGTCAAGCCAAATGATGGTTTTAAAATTTGTTCATGAGGTTTCCTTTTTCTCATGTAGTGTTGTTATTTTGTTGCTATGTTATTTTGGGAAATGAATAAAATGTTATCCCCAGAGAGAGAGAGAGAGAGAGAGAGAGAGAGAAGGCCCATCGTCCTGCAGAGCGTAGTCGGATTGCGGAACTCTCTGCCACTGGAGGCGGGAGGGCCAAAAAACTCGGATGCCTTGGAAAGGGAATTAGAGAAGAAAGGGGCACGGAAAAGGAATTGCAGGCTGGCGCCTTGGCAACGCACCTTCAGCTAACCAGGCCTTGGGTTGATTGACATCCGACGGCCTTTAAAATGTGCTGTGGGGTTATTGGGTCGTCTTTGCTTTTATTTGTATAATAATAATAATAATAATAATAATTTATTATTTATACCCCGCCCATCTGGCTGAGTTTCCCAGCCACTCTGGGCGGCTCCCAATCAAGTGTTAAAAACAGTACAGCGTTACATATTAAAAACTTTCCTGAACAGGGCTGCCTTCAGATGTCTTCTGAATGTCAGGTAGTTGTTTATCTCTTTGCCAGCTGATGGGAGGGCGTTCCACAGGGTGGGCGCCACCACCGAGAAGGCCCTCTGCCTGGTTCCCTGTAGCCTCGCTTCTCACAATGAGGGAACCGCCAGAAGACCCTCGGCGCTGGACCTCAGTGTCCGGGCAGAACGATGGGGGTGGAGACGCTCCTTCAGGTATACTGGACCGAGGCCGTTTAGGGCTTTCAAGGTCTGCACCAACCCTTTGAATTGTGCTTGGAAAGGTCCTGGGAGCCAATGTGGGTCTCTCAGGACTGGTGTTATATGGTCTCCACTCCCAGTCCCCAGTCTAGCTGCCGCATTCTGGATTAGTTGTTGTTTCCGGGTCACCTTCCAAGGGAGCCCCACGTAGAGCGCTTTGCAGTAGTCCAAGCAGGAGATAACCAGAGCATGCACCACTCTGGCAAGACAGTCCTCAGGCAGGGAGGGTCTCAGCCTGCGTACCAGATGGAGCTGGCAGACAGCCGCCCTGGACACAGAACTGAGCTGCGCCTCCATGGACAGCTGGGAGTCCAAAATGACTCCCAGGCTGCGCACCTGGTCCTTCAGGGGAACAGTGACCCCATTCAGGACCGACACCCACCCGCTCCCTGTCCCCCAGAAACAGTACTTCTGTCTTATCAGGATTCAACCTCAAAATATCATTTATTTTGTGTTCTTATACAGTCAAACCTTGGCTGTCGGAACACAATCTGTTCTAGAAGACCGTTTTGACAGAGGCGCGGCTTCCGATCGGTTGCAAGAGCTTCTTGCATTGGACGTTCGGGTTCCGAAAAAGGGAGCATTTACTTCTGGGTTTTCAGTGTTTGGGAGTCAAAACGTTTGAGAACTAAGCTGTTTGAAAACCAAGGTTTCGCTGCATTGCTATTTGCATAGGGCAACATGCACATCTAAATAAATAATAATAATAGTAATCCAGAAGTTCCCCAAATATACAGAGCCTTTCTGCAACAGGATATGGGGTCAAAGTGTATTTGGGGAAACAGACTTGGAAATGGAGCAGGAATCTTGGGAGGCGAGTCCAAATTTTTCGGAACAAGCATTTAATCAGAGAAGTGCAATTACAGTCTCCGGAATCTGCGTTTCCATGGGAATCGGGGCTTGGGAGGAGAAACCGTTCAGGGGATTTCTCTTCGCGGCAATTAATGGGGTTTCTGGTGCATTTCCGCCCTGTGGAACGCCCTCCCACCAGATGTCAAAGAAATAAACAACTATCTGACTTTTAGAAGACATCTGAAGGCAGCCCCGTTTAGGGAAGCTGTGAACATCTGCTGAATTATTGTGTTTTAATATTTTGCTGGAAGCTGCCCAGAGTGGCTGGGGAAACCCAGCCAGATGGGCGGGGTACAAATAAATTATTATTATTATTACTGCTACTACTACCGGCGAGAAATTTGCAGGAGAACGGAACGGTTTCCTTTCGTTCCCAAATCCCCCAGGCGACCAAAGACCAGTTCCAATTTATTTATTTTTTGGGTGGATCCCTTCCTAAGAATCTGCCATTGCATGGACAGGAACGCTGGCATGTGTTTTTTTTTGGGGGGGGGGGTCTGGGGAAATTGCAAGAACGAAAAGGGAAGCATGGCGTTATCCCAAATGGGCCAAATTTGAATCGGGATGGCAGCTGACCGACCTCTGGCTCCCCAGATGGCGCCCGAGGCGCAGCCTCCGATGAAATAGTTTTTGGGGTCCTCTGGGTTGTCCCGGAGCTGGGCGCTGAGGCAAGTGGTGACCCCGAAAACGGCCCCCAAGGTGGCTGCAGAGACAAAAAAACAAAAAACAAGCGGGGAGAGAAGAAATCGAGAGAAAGAAGCAGCACTTCATCTGGTTAGAGCCTCTTGGGAGAGTCACTGCTGCCAGCCAGTGTTGGCAATACTGAACTAAGCAGACTCCATATAAGGCAGCTCTAATATTCCTACAGCAGCCACACCCCCCCCCCCGCAAAGTTCAGATTTCGCTCTCGGAGTTTGAGAGCTGCTCCGTTCGACCTTGCCCTGGTTTGATCACGAAGGAAGTTTGATTAATTACAGAACAGCCAGCTATAAGGAGAACTTTATTTGCGGTGGTGGGGGACAAATAATAAAATGTCCTATTTTTCTTTTTTAAAAATTGCCCTATTCATATTGAAATACTGCCCCCTCAATGAGGCCAAAGTTAGATTCACAAAATGTTTGTGGTATGCATAGCCCTGCACCGTCCACCCCCCAAAAACACCGATTATTATTATTTAGATTTTATGCTAACTACACCCCTACATGAATAAACGCAGCTTCTCATTCTCCTCTCCCAAATATCAAGCGGGCTGGGCTGCTGCCGACCAGAGTCCGCGCAGGACTTACCCATGGTGACGGTTCCGGTGGTCGCCCTCTGAAAAGCCCCCAGGGCCGTCTCGGACGGGAACAGGGCGAGGCGGTAAGCAGAGCCCACCAGACCTGCAGGAAAACAGGAACATTTTGCATTTTTACATTCTTTATTCTTCTTCTAAAACATGGATAGGCAAACTAAGGCCCGGGGGCCGGATCTGGCCCAATTGCCTTCTCAATCCGGCCCTCGGACAGTCAGGGAATCAGCGTGTTTTTACATGAGTAGAATGTGTCCTTTTATTTCAAATACATCTCTGGGTTATTTGTGGGGCATAGGAATTCATTCATTTCCCCCCCAAAATATATAGTCCGGCCCCCCACAAGGTCTGAGGGACGGTGGACCGGCCCCTGGCTGAAAAAGGTTGCTGACCCCGGGTCTAAAACCACAAGCCAGAAATATAATATACCTTGTTTGTCTTTATTATTGTTAATCTTTTCTTTTTTCTACTATGTTTATCTACTGAAAATAATAAATATTATTTGAAGAGAAATATGATATACCTTCAGCTGCTTTTAAAAACTGGTCCTCCCTTAAATTCTAACAGAAAAAAGAGGATTTTATGGGCCACCCGTCCTCCTTTTAAGACCCCCCCCAAGAACTGTGCCTACCTCGTTTTCTTGGGTTAGTCTGACTTTATCAGGAGCTAAACTTTCCTTATTGTTATTAATGTATTTTTTTATTAAAGATTTATTGGTTTGCAAAAGTATGTGCAATGCCTCTTTTTTCCAAGTTACCTTTTCTACATTTCCCACAACTGACCAATTATAGGGGGGCCCACAGGCTTCCTCAGCCTGGAGTCAACCTCAGATGAATGTGTGCCTGGCTCAATACACACGGACCCTTGTGAACGAAAGGAATCTGGAGTCACTCTGAATTCACCCCGGAGCCAGAATGCAGCTAGTCCAGAGGCCCCCCCCCCCCGGGACCTCGGTTGCCGCAAACAGGACTCATCTGCAGCCTGTGTTAACGCAGCTCATTCGTTACTATTATCAAATTTAATTACTTTCAAGTTTATATGCTCTTTAAATTGACCCTGGATTACGTTTAAGTTTATATATGGCTTTCAAATGGACCCTGGATAAGGACTGTGCAAAAGGCAAGCAGGGGCTCTTATCCCGCGCCAAAACGGCGCCCCCTTCAGGGCGGCAGAATCCGGAGTCACTCCAAATTGACCCAACAGAGCCTCTCGTCTGTCTCAAGGCAAAAGCTGACCCAACCTGGCAGCTTCCTATTCAAATTGCCCTCCATAAATGGGATAAATACAGTTTTTCAAACCGCTGGTCTAAAAGAAGCCAGACCCTTGGTCCTTGTACCTCCATATTGCCCACACAGGCCGGCAGCAGCTCCTTAGGGTTTGAGGTCTTTTCCCCAAGCTCTGCCCAGGTCAAACTTCTTCTACGGCAGAGCTGTGGGTCTTCTTTGAAACAGAAGTGGTTTGACCCGGGGAAAAGACCTCGAACCCCGAAGAGATGCTGCCGGCCCGTGTGGGCAATATGGAGCTACAAGGACCAAAGGTCAGGCTTCTTTTAGACCAGCGGTTTGAAAAACTGTATTTATCCCATTTATTAACACGAAATATTCTCAACTGGATTTTGAATAAATGCGCTGCTCCTGTTTTGAATTTTACCCTGACCCAACCCCCCACTCCCATTGGCGTGAACGGGGCTAATCCGGAGTCACTCCGAATTGACACCCCCCTCCGGGGGACGTGCGCTTCGCGGGGTTCTTTCTCTCCCCTCCTCCCCATGCGTCGCAAAGCGTGAGCGAAGGGGCCAAACTCGCCCCGGTTCGTGTGAACGCGGCTAATCCGGAGTCAATCCGGAGTCGCTCCGGGAGGGGGCGAGCGGCTCCCCGCCCTCCGGCGCCTCCTCCCCGTCCGCCCGAGCCGCCGCCTCCTCACCGAGAATGGCCCCGAGCCGCGTCGTGAGCCAAGTTTTCCGGCCGCAGTCGGTGCCCTCAGGGATGTCCCAGTAGTCAGCCATCTTGGCGGCGGCCGGTCTCGCGAGACTCCGGCGGGTTCACTTCTCGCGACGCGATGGACCAATGGGCGCTGCGGAAAGCGGGGCTGATGCAGGGACCGCCCAATGAAAGGCGGCGGGTGGGCGGGCTGAAGACGCTTCCACCCTTCTGATTGGTCCGGCGGCGCTCAGGTTCCTCCCCCTCGGAGGAAGGCCATTGGCTGCGCCTCAGAGCGGCTCCCTCGCTTCCGCCCTCCCGTTCAGGACGTGGCTTCTCCTCCATTGGCCGCGCCTGGGTGGATGGGCGGGGCGTGCGGCGGCGGCGTGGCCCGCGACTGGCTCCCCGAGGCCGGGGGCGGGTCTTTGGGGGCGGGTCTTCGGGGGCGATGGCGTCCTCTCCCGCCGCTCTGGCCTCCTCCTCTCCTCCGACGCCGGTGCAGATCCGGGAGGCGAACGCGCACCTGGCGGCGCTGCACGGGCGCGTGGCCGAGCTGGAGGCGCGCCTGGCCGCCGCCGAGGAGACCGTGCGGGGCCAGGCCGGCAGCCTCATCCGGAAGGACGCCGAGACCCGGAGGGCCCTGGAGGAGATCGGGCGCCAGAAGGGAAGGTAGGAGATGGATCATGAGGACTAGCGCCTTGGGAAGTAAAGAAGCCAAGGGTCAGAGCCAGGAGGACTAGCACCTTGCAGGGTAAAAGACTAGAGTTGAAGGGCCATGAGGACTAGCGCCTTGCGCAGAGGAGAAAAGGGGAAGGTCCAGGGAGATGGACCTGGAGGACTAGCGCCTTGGCAGGTAAAGGAGGAGAAGGGCAGGGAGATGGATCATGAGGACTAGCGCCTTGCGGGGTAAAGGAGCCAAGGGTCAGGGCCATGAGGACTAGAGCCTTGGCAGGGAGATGGACCTGGAGGACTAGTGTTTTGGGTGGAGAAGAAAAGGTGAAGGAGGAGCAGGGAGATGGACCTTGAGAACCAGCATCTTGGCAGGTAAAGGACCAGAGTGAAAGGGTCCTGAAGACTAGCGCCTTAGTGGGGGAAGGAGGAAAGAGGAATGACAGGAAGATGGACCTGGAGGACTAGCACCTTGGGCAGAGGAGGAGGAAAGAGGCAGGGCAGGTAGGCAGCCGTGAGGACTAGCACCTTGGCGGGGGAAGGAGAAGAAGGGCAGGGAGATGGATTATGAGGACTAGCGCCTTGGGAAGTAAAGAAGCCAAGGGTCAGGGCCATGAGGACTAGCGCCTTGGCAAGGAGATGGATCATGAGGACTAGCGCCTTGGTGGGTAAAAGACTAGAGTTGGAGGACCATGAGGACTAGCACCTTGCAGAGAGGAGGGGGAAAGGAGAATGGTAGGGAGATGGACCTTGAGGACTAGCGCCTTGCGGGGTAGAAGACCAGAGATGAAGGGGCATGTGGACCAGCGCCTTGAGTAGAGGAGGAGGAGGAAAGGGGATGGGTAGGGAGATGGATCTTGAGGACTAGCGCCTTGGCAGGTAAAGGACCAGAGTGGAAGGGTCGTGAGGACTCGCACTTTAGTGGGGGAAGGAGGAAAGAGGAATGACTAGCGCCTTGGCAGGTAAAGAATCCAAGGGTCAGGGCCATGAGGACCAGCGCCTTGGCAGGGAGATGGACTTTGAGGACTAGCACCTTGGGCTGAGAAGGAGGAGAGAGGCAGGGCAGGTAGGCAGCCAGCCATGAGGGCTAGCGCCTTGAGGGGTCAAGGAGCCAAGCTGAAGGGCAGTGAGGACTAGTGCCTGGGGCAGGGGAGGCGGGAAGGAGCAGGGAGCTGGAGCTGGGGACTAGCACCTTGAGTCTCTCTCCGTTTCCCTTTTCCAAAACAAGACAGTGTCCCTTCCTTTCTCTTCTCCCTCCCCCCAAAATGGGGGGCTGTGGGAAGACTCCCCTTTGGGAAACATTTGCCCCCTTTTTCGAGAGAGAGGCGGGGTGGGAGGAAAGAGGACCGGCAGCCTGAGCCTCTCGCGTTTTTCAGAGGAAACGTTGAGGACTAGCGCCTTCATCCCCGCCCCGCCCAACCTCACTGCCGCTTTCCCTCCTCCTTTCTGAAGGGAAATCGCCGCCCTGGAGGAGCAGCTCCGCTCGTCCGAAGACCGTGTGCAGGAGCTCCTGGGCCTCATCCGGGAGAAGGACGGCCTGATCCTGCGCCTCCGCCACCGCAGCCGCCTGCTGGGCGAGATCTGCCGCTGCCGGCCCGTGCTGGACACCCTCCTGGCCCAGATGGCCGAAGGGGAGAGGCTGGGGCCCGACAGCGGAGACACCTCCCCGGACTCCAGCGGCCTCTTGCCGGACTCAAACTGCGTCCCGGACGGCGCCAGGGACTTCTCCCTGGGCAGCGACCCCCAGGATTCGGACATGGCTCTTTTTGGGACGACGGTCTGAGCGCGGGTGCGAGTCGCTGTTGGGGGTCCGGAGTTGGTGGCGGCGGCCCCTGTTGAAGGCAGACATTTTGGAATTATTTGCCCCCTCCTGGCATCACCAGTTCGCCCTCAGGACAATTTGCTTGAGGACTAGTGTCTTGACTTCTCTCTTTGACGGCAGCTGAATGAGCGTTCCTGGAAAGCGGGGGGTTTGGGGAAGCCTGCAGGGTCAGGCCAAACAGGGGACCCATCTTGCAGCCTGTTCTCACAGGTTGGGAAGCCCGGATCCGAGTGCGAATGCTGGCGATTAAGAAGCGTCGCTGCCTCTGGCCCCAGAAGCAGAGCAGAGTCATTCCTGGCTTAGGAGCCATACAGATAGCCCTCTTCTCCCCTCCCAGGGATTTGCCCTGTCCTCTGTTTGAAGCCATCCAGACTGCGGGGTCTCTCCTGTGGCAGCGAGTTCCGCAGGTTAACCGGGTCGCTTTTGTGTATTTCTCAGCAGCCGCGACTCACGAGGGGCAGAGCGCAATAATTCTGGGGTGCTCTGGATGGAGATAGGGGGACGGGGTGTGTGTGTGATGCGGATTCTGCACCACCAGCGCCAAATATTTTAAAGGGAAGGTCTCCTGTGGAATTTAATCTGGGACTGACTGTGGCTTCCCCTCTCTGCGTCAACTCGTCTGGAGGAATCTTGCCGATCTGCGGTTCGGAAGGGAGCCCCAGGTGGGGTCATCTAGTCCAACCCCCTGCGACGCAGAGATCTTTTGCTCGAACTCGCAACCCCGAGAGTCTCATGAGCTATTCCGACCCAGAAATGCAGGAATCTGATCTTGCTGTGCGCCGATTTTCCTGGACGGGGTGGGGGGCCGTTACAGTCCCTGCGGCAGCTCTTTCCCCCCACCCCTCTACCTCAGCTAAGTGCAGGGAGCAAGCCCCAGCAAGGGGGTCAGAACACCTGCCTGGCATGCAGAAGGAGCCCAGGGTGCCTGTTTAAAAAGGACTGGAGAAAGCTAGTTCCTTAGGTTCCTCTCGCAGCCTTCATTGGGAACCATGAGGTCTGGAAGCTTGGTTTTCGTTTTAAAAAGAGGGTGCTGGGAGCGCGTGCCCTGCATGCAGAACGTCCCAGGCTCAGCCCCTTCCAACTCAATGCAAGGCCATTTTACATGTCCCGATTTGAACCAGCGAGACCATGAGATCTGGAAACTTGTTTTTCAAGTTTGTGCAAGGCGTCTGGTATCAGTGCAGCATTCTAGATTCCTATTCACATTAATGGGAGAGAATGTTCCTTTTCCCCCAACGACGTGTCTTAACAGGAAAGAAGGGCTTTCAATCGGCCCTTCGGTTCCGAACAATGAGGACTTCGTTTTTTTAAGGACCTCAAGGGCTCCCGGCGTTCTGCTGCCGGTCCGTGCTGGCAATACTGACTTGGATGGTTGCAGATTCTCTTCCCTTGGCCATCTGTCAGGGATTCTTTCACTTCCATTCCTGCAGTGCCCAGGGGGTTGGGCTAGATGACCACTGGTTGCACCTTCCAACTTCCTTTTATGCCTCCATTTCTGTTTTTTTGTACCCATTTCCTTGACTTACCCATCAATCCACAGCTTGAGAGACAGACTGTGTTCTTAAGGAATTATGAGTGCAGAATCAGTCCCATTTCCGCTCCACGACTGTTACCATATTCACGGGTCAACCTTGCTCCTGGCTTCACCTTCAAGTGCCTATAACTGGGGGATTTTGTTACACCGGAAACCTCTATTTAAAACCGTTCCTCCTCCACTAGAGCCAATAATAAACCTATTTTGCTATACTCGGAATCTGTGTGCTTTGTGAGTCTTTGTTCCTAGCCAAATCAGTCTCGTTTTCAGGTGTGAAGTGGGGTTTTCTCCTCGAGCAAAAAGCACCCAGCTGTTTGGGGGTGTCTGTGCCACTGGTCAACGGGGGAGGGCTTCTTTTGCCACAGTCCCCGAGTGCTGCCCCCAAATCGAAGGTCTGGAAACCAAGCCAGAGGAATGGTTGAAGGAGCTGGGAGGAGATAGGAGAGCCATCTTCAAATATATCACATAACACCTTTGGAAAAGGCTGTTCTCCAACTGGGGCACTTGCAGGCCAGTGTTTCCCAGTTGTCGGGTGTTTATACTATATTTTTTAAGATTTGCCTTGAGAGAGTCTTTAAACCTCTTTTGTTGACCGCCAACATTACGCTTTCCATTTTTAAGTTCGGAATAGAGGAGTTGCTTTGGAAGACAACTTCATCAGGCATCCTCACAACACGACCAGTCCAACAAAGTTGATGTTGAAGAATCATTGCTTCAACACTGGTGATCTTTGCTTCTTCCAGGACACTGGCATTAGTTCACCTGTCTTCCCAAGTGATGTGTAAATTTTTCCGGAGACGCTGTTGATGGACTCTTTTGAGAAGATGGAGATGGCGTTTGTAAGTGGTCCATGTTTCACAAGCATACAGTAAGGTTGGAAGTACACTAGCTTTGTAAACAAGCATTTTGGTTTCCCTGCGAATGTCCTGGTCCTCAAACACTCTGCACTTCAATCAGGAGAAAACCGCTCTCACAGAGCTCAGGCCGTGCTGGATTTTGGCATCAATGTCGGCCCTTGTAGAAAGATAACTGCCCACGTAGGAGAAGTGACCGACACTTTCCAACGTTACACCACTGAGTTGAATGCCCCCCTAGGGGTCATGTAGATCAACCCTCTGCAATGCATGGGGCTCAAGGTGCCCACCTTGAAATTGCACGTTGCCCCTTCTGTGCCACCCCACAAATTATTATTTTTCCCTGGCCCTGCAAGAGCCACCAGGATCCTTGAGGGCTCCCAACCCGACGTGGCACACTGTCATTTTACTTTTATTTTTTTACGTGGCAGGCTGGACTCCCTTGCTCTGCCAATTGCCGTGCCTGCCTGCCAGGCCTTCCCTTGGGCTGCCAGCCCGGCCCCGAAGGCGCCTCCTGGCAACCAGGGGATATTGCTATGGAGACGTCTGCCAGCAAACTCAGGATCGCCGCCAGCTCCGTGCAAGGAAGTTTGCCAGGCAGAGCTCAGACGCCACCAGGAAGCAGAAGACGAAACACACCCAGGTAGGAGGTTTTGCAAAGAAACAATAATAATGTCCTTTTAACGGCTTTCTCTAAACTGCTCCCAATAGTCCCGTGGAAATTAAAGGGGTTTTATTACTTCACCCTGCATGTTGGGAGCAGGGTTTTGCCTCATCCTGGCAGCAACGTCCAGGAGAGCACTCTGTACGAGGCCAGAGGCCTTTTGCAACGTCCTCCCGTCTCCCCTGGGTCTTGGGATGCTCTGGCCGGTTCGATCTCAGCCGAGGGAAGTCTGGAATTTAATTCCCCAAAGAGCCAAGGAGGGAGATTTAAGTGGAGATTGCAAAACCAAGGTGAGGTTGAGCCCCGTCCAAGAGGCAATTCCGGGTCGTGGTCCGAGACGGATTTCGGAGGAGCGGAGCCAAGAGCGGCGAAGGAAGGCAGACGTGGTTTGGGAAGGAGGGAGCCGGCGGACGGGAGTTTCCCAACATCCTGGAGGCTCCAGGGGGGGCCAAATTCTCTTTTAATTTTTATCTACAATACTGCCTTGTTTATAGTACAGCACATTGATTCTTGCTTTCGTTTTATGGATTGATGGTCTTGTTAGATAGTAAAATTCACGTTAAATTGCAGTTTTAGGGGTTGCTTTTAAAAGTCTGGAACGGATTAATCCGTTTTGCATTCCTTTCTATGGGAAAGCAGTGCGCCTCGGTTTTGGAATGGACTTCTGGAGCGGATTAAGTCTGAAAACCAAGGGACCACGGTATTCTTAAATACTCAGGCCTCCTAGACAGCACCTTGAGCACAGCTGATGGCAGCGAAGGTGTTTTGGGGACCATTTGCTCCCGAGCATTGCAGGGGGTTGGGCTGGATGACCCTTGGGGTCCCCTCCCAACTGATTATGCCAGAAAATTTGGTGGGCCCACAGTGACTGAACATTGGGTTCATTCATTACAACACATTTGAGCAGGGCGACAGGGAAGAGGGCGAGGGGCCCGATCCACCCTGGGTGTCTTTTTCCCTCCGCAGATTCCCCGGCGCAGAGGTCAAAATGGAGACGGGTGCCATCGTGAAACTCCGGGCCAAGTGTCTGGAAAGAGGGGCCTCGGGGATTAAGGGGCTGGCCAGGTACGTAAAGGACATTTGTTCTGTCTGACAGCCGTTACTCATTTCTTGCTGAATACCAGAGCGTTTCCCCCCTAAAAAAGTGTTTAGGGGTCCTCTCATTTTGACTCAAGAAAAACACCATTTTATAGTTCAAATCGGGGGAAATAAACACTGTAAATAGACAAATGATGCACAAAATTTTTAGGGGTGTGTGTACCCGTGTCCCCCGCAAAAGCACTGCTGAAAACCATTTTGTTATCTTGTCCAGACGTCTTGGCATGTGTTTCAATTGCTCCCTCCCCCCCAAGCATCACAATTTAAATTTAATTGCAAACGTTTTAAACAGCTGTTTTCGCTGGCAAGTTTACAGTTTCATCCTTCCTGTAGACCACTTTGAGGTTTGTCAATTTTCTTTCTGCACTCCAGCGGAATATATAAAATAAGTAAAACAAATATCTCACGGGAAAGCAAAACCTTCCTTTTCTATTCTTGCAGGTTTTTCCGGGTCATGGATGACGACCGGAGCAAAACTTTGGACCTGGAGGAATTTGTGCAGGGGCTCCGCGACGCAGGGGTCCCCCTGGAACGGTCCGAAGCGCAGGAGATTTTCGCCTTCTGCGACAAGAACCGGAGCGGCACGCTGGACTTTGACGAATTCCTGGAGGCCTTGCGGGTGAGAGAGTCTTGTTCCCTGCCTTTCTAAGGGTAGACTGTCTCCATCCATGGAGGCGCCATTTCGATGCTGCAGCAGCAGAAACTCTCTGCAACGGGCCCTGCTTGTTTTAATCCTTGCGTTTCATTCTTTGAACCGCCCTGGGATTTCATGATGAAAGGTGGTATACGATGCAAATAAATAAATTCAGAAGCACCCGGTCCGCTGCGGCGGGAGAGTTTAGAAGCTGCACCCTCCTCCGTAAAGTTGTCTGACCCTCTTTCCAAAGTTGGTGCTCGTCCCTGTCTCCTGTGGCAGAGAGTTCTGCTGTTTAACTCTGCACTTCATGAAGACGTTCTTCCTTTTATCCATCCCAAATTTCCCAATGCTCACCTTCGGTTTATGCCCACAAATTCTACTTGTATTACGAGTTTTCTTTTTTATAAAGCCTGCATCCCATTACCCCTGTTTTCCTTGAACTAAAAAGGTCACAAAACCTCCTTTATACTTCCCCGCCACCCATCCACGTTGCCTCCGCCTTGCAACTTTAAACAATCACAGGCAACATGCGGCTAATAAGAATATTAGTAACTAATACCCAATTCCGTTCACGCAACAAAGATAGACTCTCCTTCTCTGTGATTCTATTGCATACTTTCTGTTTAAGAATTTCTAAGCTTGGAGCTTCTACTATCGCAAGGTTACTGGGTTGTGACTGTTGAAAGGCTTGTTTGCCTTTGTGATATTATTTGACTACTTGTTCTAATTTGGTACCTGCATCCATCATCCATCCATCTATCTATCTATCTATCCATCCATCCACACACGTTGCTAATGTTCTCATTAGCCGCATGTTGCCTGTGATAGTTTAGAGGTCATCTATTTTTGCAATCTATTTTTCCTTTGTAAAACCCCCTTAGTAACTGGCACTGAGGGTAGACTGCTCCTGGCTTCGGAGGCTCGACTGAGCATTTGCCATTGATAAACAGACACCTGGAACCGCCACCTTGCCTCTCTCTCTCTCTCTCTCTCTCTCTCTCTGCTTCTCCTCCCAGCCCCCCATGTCTGAAGCCAGGAAGGAGGTCATCCGCCAGGCCTTCCAAAAACTGGACCGGACGGGCGACGGCCTGGTGACGGTGGAGGACCTCCGCGGGGTCTACAACGGCCGCTCCCACCCCAAGTTCAAGAGCGGCGAGTGGACGGAGGAGCAGGTCTTCCGTTCTTTCCTGGACAGCTTTGACTCCCCGGACGATAAGGACGGGAAGGTGAGAGGAAGGGACACCCAAGGTCATCTAGTCCAACCCCTGGCACTGTGGGAAGCTTTTCCCCAGCGGGGGGCTCGATGGGCCGCTGGTCTGATCCAGCACAGCTCTTCTCAGGTCCTTTGGGATGGAGTAACCTGCCGTTTTGGCTGCCGCTCCTCCCACCCGCATCGCTAACCATTGCCTATGCTGGTCCCTGGGGATCCCAAAGCCCAGGGGCCACAGATCGCTCTGCCTGGACATAAAAACCTGGCTGGTTTTCACCTTATGCCGAGAAGCGCCCTGGGATCTATGGCTGAAAGGAGGTATAAAAGCTTATATAATTACTAGAATCCTAGAACTGCAGAGCCCAACGGGACCCTGAGGGTCCTTAGTCTGACCCCCGGCAATGCAGGAATAAATGATCCCTCTGGTATGCAGGATGAGACCCTCCCTGCCCACAGACTGTCTGGCCAGAGTGGTGCATGCTCTGGTTATCTCCCGCTTGGACTACTGCAATGCGCTGTATGTGGGGCTGCCTTTGAAGGTGACCAGGAAACTACAACTAACCCAGAATGCGGCAGCCAGACTGGGGACTGGGAGTGGAGACCACATAACACCAGTCCTGAAAGACCTACATTGGCTCCCAGGACGTTTCCAAGCACAATTTAAAGGGTTGGTACTGACCTTGAAAGCCCTAAATGGCCCAGTAGACCTGAAGGAGTGTCTCCACCCCAGACAGCGGGGTCCCTCTCCCGAGGGCCTTCTGTCGGTTCCCTCCCTGCGAGAAGCAAGGTTGCAGGGAACCAGGCAGAGGGCCTTCTCGGTGGTGGCTCCCACCCTGTGGAATGCCCTTCCCATCAAGGCAATAAACCATCTGACTTTTAGAAGACATCTGAAGGCAGCCCTGTTTAGGGAAGTTTTTAATGTTTGATGTTTTATTTTGCCTGTAATATTCTGTTGCGAGCTGCCCAGAGTGGCTGGGGCAACCCCGTTAGCTGGACAGGTTATTAAGAATAGAAATAATAAATTAGGGGAGGGCCACAGATATTCGCCCTGCCTGGAAAGAAAAACCTAGTTGGTTTTCACCTTGTATTTTTACGCATATAGCTTTGGTTAGTACTTACATAACGACGACCCTAGAATCCGAGAACTGCAGAGTTGGATGGGATCCCTGAGGGTCCTGTAGTCTGACCCCCGGCAAGGCAGGAATAAATGGTCGTGAGGGTGGTGCGTGTCGAATAGGCGGCAGACCCGTCAGGCTTTCTGTACCCGCAGGTGACGGCCGAGGAGTTCCTGAACTACTACAGCGCAGTCAGCGCCTCCATTGACAGCGACGACTATTTCGTGGGCATGGTGAAAGCCGCCTGGAAGATTTAGCGAAAAGGGAAGAAAAACCCAGCCAAGCAAGCAAGGACTTATCGTTACAAGTTTTGTCTCTTTTTTTTTTAATGTAATTCCCAAATACATCTGATATGACAATTGTACAGAAATCTTCCAAAACACAGGGGGCGTTGTCTGAGTCTTTTGCTTTTTTGGGGGGGAAATCGTATTTTGCTTTTTTCCCAACTTTTCACTAGCTGGGCTCGAAGTGGGCAGGCGCCGGGGGGGAGCGTTGAAAATGGGGGGGAAGGAAGGGAAAAGTTTCAACGCAGCAGCCTTGTCTCTGGCCCAGCCAACCTTCCTCCATCCCTGGGGAGAGGAATAAGGGGGCCATAATAAAATGCAGGGCCAGGGAGGGGGGACAGAAAAGGGGGTCAAAACGGGTGTTTTCTGACCGGCTAAAGTATGCACAGGAAACAAGAGACGAGAAATTATTTTAAAAATTCCATCTTCCCATCCACCCTCTCCTCTTCTTTCGCCACAAGTGACCTGTGTCCGGCTCCAAACCACATCCATAAATAGCTGCCAGATATATATATGTGTGTATAATTTCTTTCCACCCCCCCCGAAAGTATGAACTCTGTGGGAGGAAAACTGTTTAAACACATTCAATGCAACGTTAACCACTGGAACCATTCGAGCGCTGCCCTCTTGCGAACCTTTTCGCACATGCGAGACCCAAACAGGGGAGCCCTCAGCCCCCTTGCCACGCCTGCGTAAACGCACATCTTGCGAGTCTCTCTCTTTCTCACGCCGAGGACCAGATTTCCCCACCCAATTTTCTCCGGTAAAAATAAAGAGTCGGAAAAGTTGTCGCACTTTGCAGAGGCCGAAACGGCCTGCGCTGGAGGAGCCGTCCTGCCAGGGGGGACAGGAGCTGGGGCTGCCTCGGCTCGAGGGGCAAGAGCGCCCTTTGGCCTTCTGGGCATTGCTGAACTAGAACTCTCGCCTTCCCAGACTAGATGGGAGTCGTAGTTCAGCCGCACCAAGGCTGCCCACCAGACGCGGTCCTGTTGGTTTGGGAACTGTCGGCCCAGCAGAGGTAACGGCCTGCTTTTCCAACCGTTCTCTGTGTGTCCCCCACTCTCTGCCTTCTTGCCAGCCGTTTCATGCGCGGCCCGGCCGAGGTGTAGGGAGCAAGGGGGCGTCCCCCCAAATCCCACCTGCGCCCCCATCCAGAACCTGAAGGGTGTGATGTCTGGTTCCCGGTCACATACGCTTTGAGGCTGCCTTTGTTTTACCCTGGAGGCATCTTCGCTACCCGCTAGAAATCCAGAAAATGACAGAGCGGACCTTCTTTGGCTGGCAAAAAACCACAGGGGCAGAGAATACGACCCCACCCCCTGCCCCATCCTAAAGGTGGCGATTCCAGGGCACGTTCCGATTTTTAAAGTAATAATAATATTAATAATAATAACACACAGCAGCAGGTTTTTACCAAGCCAGAAAAGAAATAAACACACAGACCCAAAACCCCAGGTCGGCTGATCAAGGGGAAAGGCGCTTGGGGCGGGTATCTCTTTCTCTCTTTGCGTGCCCAGCAAATATTCCCGGATCGGGCGGGGCGGGGGGAGCAAATCAAAGCCCCCTTCTCACCCTACAAACCAGCTGTTTGGCGCCGTGACAAGACCAGGAGGAAATTTGGGGGGGAATTTGCTAGGAAGGAGAAACCAACACACACACTCAAGCCGACAGACACATTGGCGCCAGTTATATATATATGTGTGTGTTAATATATATATATGGCTTTGCTTGTCTTAAATAAGAACAGAAAAGAAGGTTCCCCCCCCCATTTGCTCAACGCACAAGAGAGATGGAGGATCCGGTTCAAAACTGGGGGGGGGGGGGGCTACCTTTCAAGGAGAAGTTTCTGCCACGACTGACGCCAGGCAAACCAGTAGTAATAGTAACAACAACAACAAACCGGAGTAAGGAATCGGCCTGGTGAGATGTAACTGGGGGAAAAGGCAGTTTAAAAAGAACACCCCCCCCCAAAAAAAGAATTAGCAAAGCGTCTCTGCGCATCAGCCACGATTGGGTGGATGTTTGGGGCCGAGGCGAGGAAGGAGAAAACACGACAAGAGATGTCCGTCGGACGAGAGACGGGAGCAAAAGGTTCTTCTGCTGGGGCGAGTGTTTTTTTCTAAAAAAAAGAGGAGGAAAAATGGCAAATTGGGGTGGGGGAGAAGAGAGTCTTCCGTGTGGAATCCGGCAGGGATGGCGGTCGGAGGAGGGATTCGTCTGCGGCGCAGGCCTGGAGGGCTACCGGAGAGGAGAATCGGGAGGTTTCCCCGTGGGCAAGTCGTGGCAAGTCTCAAGGTGCCTCCCCCCCCCCTCAAATATTCGCCAAGTGTGGAGGGGGGGGGAGAGAGGAAGGGAGGAAAAGGGGATTCCTCTCCTCCCTGGGCTCATCAATATGATGAGCATTTTCTTTCTCTTTTTGTACATGTCCCAAAACCACATTCAGCCTGTTTTGTCCAAAGTCCGCTGCGTTTTCTCGTTTTAATATGGAATTGACAGATCCGCCCCCCTGCCCCGCCCCCCCAAAAGTCCAACGCACGATGGGGGAGGAAGGGGGGAAAGAAAAAAAAACCAAAAAACCAGAACTGGGATGTGCAGAGTTCGTCAATCTCGAGCGCTTCCGTCGCTGCCCGGAGCAAGAGCTGGTCGGAGGGAGGGCGGCCCTCCCCGCCCCGCAAGAGGGGGGTCTGCAAAGAGGGCGGTGGTGTCGGCGGGGGGCGGCGGCTCCTGCCGGCGGCGCGGATCGCGGCTGCTATGTGCCGCCCGTCGTCTGCCCGTCCCCTTCGTTGGTGGGACCTGCGGGTGGGGGGAGAGAAGGAGGCGCTGCAAAACCGGTCGCTGGGCTCACCTAGGGAGACCAGAGCGCGGCTCCAGGCGACTAATTTCCCCCGCCAAATAAATCCAAATGACATGCAAATAAAAAACACACACCCATGAAATATGATAATGGACAACCCCCCATATAAGCGCCCCCAAGGGCTCGCTGCGAAGCCAGCACACAAAGCGGCAAAAATGGTCTTAAGAGAACATGAAAATGGAACAAAAGCCGCAACAGCAAAGGCTTGCACCGATCTTTGAGGGTTGTGGAAAGTTGGTAGGTTGAGCAAGGTTGGGAGGGAGCAATTATGGTGGATGTTTGGTTTTTTAAAAAGTAATAATAATAATAGTATTATAATAATTTATTCTTTATACCCTGCCCATCTGGCTGGTTTCCCCAGCCACTCTGGGCGGCTTCCAACAAAGGGTTGAAAAGACATTAAAACATCAGCCAGATTGGCGGAGTAAAAATAATAAAAAATAAGAAGAAGAAACATTCCCACACACTCTACAATGCCGTGTGATTATCTCCCTTTCAACCCCCCCCCCCAAAAAAACCCCATTCCTTGCAAATCCTCAAACCTCCTCTGCCGTTAGTAAAGCCCCCGGTCAAGGAAACTGAAAATGCAACGCCGAAAAACATGGCAGATTGTTAAGGCCCCTGGAAAGGGGAGACCTGGCCCCCTCCCGCCGCCCTGGCTCACCACTTCCGGGCGACCCCGAGGGGGCGAGGACGTCGTCGTCGCTGTCTTCCTCGTTGGACTGGGTCACTTCGGGCTCCGGTGCCGCGCTGCTGGCTTCCTGCTCCTGCTCCACCCGACTCCGCAAGGCCAGGATCCGGTGGTGCAAGGCCGCGTAGAGCTGCCCCGTGTCTTTGGAGCTGGCCTGCGGGGCAAAGAGGGGCTCGCTCTCAAAAGTGGGTGGGGGACCCCTCCACCTCTTCCCCCCTTCTTCTTCCTAATGTAACCCTAATGCAGGGGTAGGCAAACGAAGGCCCGGGGGCCGGATCTGACCCAAGCGCCTTCTCAATCCGGCCCATGGACGATCCGGGAATCAGCGTGTTTTTACATGAGTAGAATGTGTGCTTTTATTTAAAATGCATCTCGGGGTTGTGGAGCATAGGAAAATTGGGCGTATATATTTTAAAGAATTTCAATTTTCGCACAATTTAGGCTAATGCAATTTCTGCATCAGTTTAGGGGGGGAAAGTATGACACATGGAAATCCCGCCTCCTTACCGATATAAGGAAAACCTTGACTCCTTGGTCCTCTGTGTCCATCGCTGTGATTCGGATGCTCTTTTCGCTGGCTTTGTCGATCTGCATCTGAGCCCACAGTTTGGTGTTCAGGATTAGCCGAAGGCTGCCTTGCGTTCTCATCACTGAGGAGAGAGAGAGATTTCAAAAGAGCAAACAAGCGTTTATTTCGGATCACAGCGTCTCCAGCCCCATCGTTCAGCCCGGACACCGGGGTCCTCCTCCCGAGGGCCTTCTGGCGGTTCCCTCCCTGAGAGAAGCGAGGTTACAGAGAACCAGGCAGAGGGCCTTCTCAGTGGTGGCGCCCTCCCATCAGATGCCAAGGAAATAAACAACTACCTGACTTTTAGAAGACAGCCCTGAAGGCAGCCCTGTTCAGGGAAGTTTTTAATGTTTGATGGTGTTTTTAAAGTTCTGTTGGGAGCTGCCCAGAGTGTCTGGGGAAACCCAGCCAGATGGGCGGGGCATAAACTTTATTATCCTCATCATTATTGCATCATCTTGCTGTCAGAAAGCTCCTCCTCGTTTCCGTCGGAATCAGTGGCATTTCAATATCTTTCTAAGGAAGTGATCTATCTCCTCTGGGGGTCCTGCTCAGCCCCAACGACCAGCTTGCCTTTGCAACGCTTCCCCTCGCAGACCCTTCCCCGGCTGGCCCCCGGCTGCGACCCCCAGTTCCCGGGGGCTTCCTCTCTGCCCCTCTCTTACCAAGGCGCGACTGTAGCGTCCCGTCGTCCGTGGAAGCCATGTCGTTGAGCCTCAGGAGTCCCCGGCCTCTTTCGACCCAAGACTGGGAGTTCTTATCAAAGACAAACAACTTGCATTGTATCTGCAACAGAGGAAAGGGGCTGAAGGACATTAACGGCGAAGGCAGCGGAGATCAAAAGCTGCAGGAGGAAAGACCGCAAAGCCCCGCGAACAGGAACTCCAGGACGCGCCCAGCGCGGAAGGCGGAGGCGGCAGCAAGGAGCATCTGCGGGGAAAGGAAACTGGAGCACGCGCAGAATGCCGAGACTGGCGTGAAGGAGGCTGCGAGGGGAACTGGGGCCGCCAGTCAACAAGGTGCAAACCAAGTCGATGGACTGTGCCAAACTGGCAAAACTAAAATTGAGAAGCTCAGAAATCAAGAAGAAAAGAACTGCAGCCAATAGGAAGCTGTGCCTTGGTTTTTGAACGGTTTCAGGAGTCGGATGGACTTCTGGAACGGATTCCATTTGAGAACCAAGGTACGACTGTATATTATTTTATATTTAGTATATCATATCATATGATGCTTGCATTTTTTAGCCCGCTCCTTCTCCCAAGTCAGGATTCAAGTCCACTTCTGGCAGCTGCTGTGCTTCTGACCAACCCAGCTGTCTTAAACGTTGCAAATGTCACTGCAGAGATGTGGCGCATGGGATGCTGCCATTGCCGCTTCTCCTGCTTACCTGTAGGACGTTGCTCTCGGCTTCTTCCCCCGTGATCACCTCCACCTTCTCCAGAAGACACCTCCTGGCCGTCGCCTTCGTGTAGGCTGCAGCAGACTCGGCCAGTGACTCTGAAATGTTGTTGGCTGGAGAACGGATAGGCCACGTCATCATTATTATTAACATTAAAATTCAATCTTTACTGGTTTAAAAATGAGACAGACACACAAATAATAATAATAAAAACACAGCACATAACTCACAAAGAAAGAAAAGAGTACAACGTGAAAACACAAAAACATTTCAGCCATCGACTTCCGACCTCTTTGCTGATGGTTCTTTGCTTCCTTTGCCTCTATTTTTCAATAAACTTAGCCTGTATTATTTGTGTATCTTATCTTATTTGTGTTCTTTATACAGTATGAAATTCCAGGAGTTAATCAAAGCATTCCAAAGTTTTAACATGGGGACAATGTTCTTTTAAATACTGCCTATGAATCTCCCATTCCTTTTTAAACTTTTGGGTCGACCGAAACGGAAACGCTGTTTACCTTCCTGCCACAGTAGTACCTATTTATCTACTTGCACTGGTATGCTTTCGAACAGCAAGGTAGGCAGGAGCTGGGACAGAACAATGGGAGCTCACCCCGTCGCAGGGATTCAAACCGCCGACCTTCTGATCGGCAAGCACAAGAGGCTCAGTGGTTTAGACCACAGCGCCACCCGCGCTTACCTTAAAATAAAATAAAATAAGCCACATTACTGGTGGTGGGGTGGAGAGGGCAGAGGGCTCTGAAACATCACAGCACGAACAGTTCCTCCCCTTCCTGCTTTGACACCCGGGTCAAGGAAGAGCACAGCTGCCAAAACCCACCGGACTTTGGTGCGTGCGACTCTTGAGTCGATGGAGAGACAGGGAGAAGAGGGAGCCCGGCGACCGTACCTTTCTCGGGAGTGGCTTCTTGCGACGAGGACTCCGAGCCCGAATCTCCGCCGGCGTTCTCCTTGACGCTGTCCGTGCTGGCTTCGCTCGACTTGGGGGGGCTCTGCCGGAAAGGAGTGGCGGTCAGAAAACAGGGACGCTACCGAGGAAACGCTCCAGGCTGGCTTCCAGGGGGACGGGACCTGGCGGCTGTCCTGGGGCTCCATCCTGCTGGGAAGTTGAGCCGGCTGCCCTGCCATAAGTTCCCACCTGGGTGGGACTTGCCCACAAGTCTTTGAATTCTGGAATGGACTCCCTTGGGAGGTTGTGGGCTCTTCTTCCTTGGAGGCTTTTAAGCAGAGGTTGGATGGCAATCTGTCATGGATGCTTGAGCTGAGATTCCAACTCTACGATTTTATGGTTCTATGAAGTCAGGACGCTCAAGCACCCTGTTCCGTCTTTGCTGTCTAAATCTACAGAACTGAAAGCTCTCAGGAGCAATGGACACGGCTGCCAGAACCTTGTAAAAAGGTGAAGGGACCCCTGACCATTAGGTCCAGTCGCGGATGACTCTGGGGTTGCGGCGCTCATCTCGCTTTATTGGCCGAGGGAGCCGGCGTACAGCTTCCGGGTCATGTGACCAGCAGGACGAAGCCCCTTCTGGCAAACCAGTGCAGCGCACGGAAACACCGTTTACCTTCCTGCCAGAGCGGTACCTATTTATCTACTTGCACTTTGAGGTGCTTTCGAACTGCTAGGTTGGCAAGAGCAGGGACCGAGCAACGGGAGCTCACCCCGTCATTGCGGGGATTTGAACCACTGACCTTCTGATCGGCAAGCCCTAGGCTCTGTGGTTTAGACCACAGCGCCACCCGCGTCCCTTGCCAGAACCTCAATTGCCCCCCAAATGGAGAGGGGAAAAAACCTAGATTTGTTTTCGCTTTGGTATTCAAATAATTCATTGAGTGACTGAATTTGCACCCTGCCTTTTTACTGCCAGGAGCTCAGGCGATGTGTACGGTTCCCCGCACTTCCTCCTTCTATCCCCTGCGAGGTGGGATGGGCTTAGAGGCGGCCCCCGGCCCCCAAGGAACCTTCACAAGTCACTGTGGGGCCTTGGAGGGGGAGAAGCATGCAGGCCGCCTTGAGCTCCCGGGAAGCAAAAAGCAATATATAGAAGTGCAACGAAGAGGAAGGCAAACAGACGGTCAGTGGCCTCGCAGGGATGTTGTTCTCTGTCTCTGGACTCGAGCAAACGGAGGATTGGAGGCGGACTCACCAAGACTCTCTCGCTCATGTTCTGGCCAAACACAAACTTGTTACTGGGGGCCTCCGCGTTGTGCGCCGAGTTTTCTATGCTGCAAGGAAAAGAGGAACGCTGTGTTTTCTCCCTGCAACAGCAACATGGCGGACTCGCCGCCCTCTCGGCGCAGAGGAAGGACGGAAGGCCTGGGGTTCGAGGCTGCTGCAGAACCCAGGGAGAGTGAGGGAAGGGGAGGGGGGTCGCCGGCGGTCTCTTCCCCACCTGGAGCTGATGTACTGGAGGAAGTAGTTTGTGGCCAGAGGTGCCTCCGAGTTGGGGAGCCGGGAGTTCTGCGCGTCGACGGCGCTGTCGGCCTCGTCCCCTAGCTGGGATGGAGACGGGAAGCAGTGAGACGCGCCAAGATGTGGGGGGCGGGGAGGGCTGAAGAAGGCCTCTCTCTAGCTCAGTTTTTTACACAGAGGAGGAAAACAGATTCTACATGTGCCGTAGAGGGAAGTGGAGGGGAGGGCAGATGGGAAGGGAGCCTGTCTAGGAAAACGGAGACCCAAAACTTTGTGGGACATCTTTGGGAGAAGAAAAGACTCAGGAATAAACCCGACACAAATCTGGAGTCCCCAAGGATGACGCCTTGTACGGCTCCTTCCAGCAGCCAAGCGGGTGCCAAAAACGTCTTGCTCTGCTTTCCTTTGGCCCACATCAGCGAGAGGGTTCTTGTCTGGGCTGCCCAGGACCCCCAGACACACTGCCCAGACTTGCGCCCCGGGGACATTGCTTGGGCGCTGCTCACACAGCTATTTGGCCTCACTCCCTTGTCTCTCAGGACAGACGGGTGCCAACAATATTTCCACCCTGCCTATCGCATCGGCTATCAAATTTGCAGGTACCTTCACACGATCCCGTAGGTTCTGCCCAAACACGAAGGACTGTGGCGTGTTCTGGTCTGCCTTCTCTGTCTCCGAGGTGCTGTTGGACTCCTTAAGAGACACACAAAAACAAACAGTTCGAACGCACCACCAAAACAGCTAATAGCAGACGTTCAGGGGGGATACTGGCCTTAAAAAGTGTGTCTTTGGGAGCCAGGGAATGCCTGGACTGAGGGAGCCCCCCTGTATTCCTGCAGCGAAGGTGCCCCCCAACACCACAAGCCAATCATCAAATTGCAGAATAAAAACCCAGGACCGGCAGACGAGGCACCGGCCCACGTCCTCCCTTCTGCCAACACCTCAGGGCTCCCGACAGACTCACCTTCTCCTCTGTGTCGGGGCTTTTGGGCACGGCGTTCGTTGCGGATTCCGACACGGCGGCCACGGGGTCCGGAGGGATGCTCACGCCGTTGGTCCCGCTGCTTGGAACTGCGGAGAAGAAAATGCCCCGTTTAAAAGCAGGCAAGGAGCACCGGCTTCGTTCTTGCAAGAGCCCTTATTTCTCGGCGACGGTTTCGTTGGTTTTTAAAAGCGGGGCGGAGTCACAAGGGCTTAAGCAGAGCCCGGTTGCGGGATCAGGCCCGTCTCGTCCAGCGTCCTGGTGCCCCGAGGGGAAGTCAAAAAGAGGGACCTACATCCATGACCCATTTTTACCAAAAGCAAAATCATTACAGTCGTACCTTGGATTCCAAACACCTTGCAAGTCAAACGGTTCGGCTCCTGAATACCACAAAACCAGAAGTGACTGTTCCGGTTTGCGAACTCTTTTCGGAAGCCGAACATCCGGAGCTTCCTGCAGCCAATCGGAAGCCGTGCTTTGGTTTGCGAACGTTTTGGAAGTTGAACGGATTTTCAGAACGGATTCCGTTTGAATTCCGAGGTACGACTGTACATGGATGGGTTTGGTTCCATTAGCACAAGGAGTTTGGCTTGTGCGACAGAAATCTCCCTTTGCCCTGGAGGGTTGGGGGAAACCCCAGAACACATTTAGGGTTTGTGTGGTGGCGGCGACTGAGTTCCTTTGAGCTAACAGAGTGGTCCCCTGCTTCGGGGGCTTCCCTTTGGGGGTCTCTGGTTGGGTAAAAGGTCAAGGACCCCATGACGGTTAAGACCAGTGCAAGGTGAATATGGGGTTGCAGCGCTCATCTCGCTTCAGGTTGAGGGAGCTGGCCTTTGTCCGGAGACAGCTTTCCGGGTCATGTGGCCAGCAGGACTAAACCACTTAGTGGGACACTGTAACGGAAACCAGAGCGCACGGAAACGCCGTTTACCTTCCTGCTACAGCAGTACCTATTTATCTACTTGCACTGGTATGCTTTCGAACTGCTAGGTTGGCAGGACCTGGGGCAGAGCAGCGGGAGCTCACCCCGTCGCAGGGATTCGAACCGCCGACCTCCTGGCAAGCCCAAGAGCCTCAGTGGTTTAGACCCCAGCGCCATCCTGGTTGGACAGGATGCTGGTCTTTGATGGGGACCCTCTTCCTTGCCAGAAACAAGGCTGCTCACGGACCCAGGACGCACGTCTGGCTGCTCCCTGCTCTCTCCCCCGCCCAGGGGAGTCACTTGCCTGTTTGCGAGAAAGCCTTTGGCTGGGGGGCTTGTAATACTGCCGGGCGCAGGACGCTTCTCTGCTGTTCCTTCGGTTTCTGGCTGGGGACTCCTGCGGGGGGAGGAGAACAGAAGAAAGGATTCCCTTGGGCCTTACGCAGAGATGAAGGAGGGGATTCCCTCCCCAGCCTGGTCCAAAGCTCACCAGCAGCCCCTAACCTGGACGCCCTCCTAATGTTTTGGACAGCAACTTCTTATAAGACGCCCCCTATTTGGGGGGATTCCGATTTAAGAAAATGGAGGAAATGTGGAATATTAACATAATCATACTAGCAGCAAATATGTTCCTGTTTTCCCAGTGCCCTAGGGTTAAAAACTTGCTCCTTACCTGCGCTGGGCGCCTGGCCATGGATGAGAGTGGGAGGCTTCAACCTGAATCCAGTGCTTTTTTCCTCTGGAATGCAAAATGGAAAAACATTGCTCTCGCTCCCACTTCCAAAACTGGGAGGGGGGTGGGGAGAAGGGGCGGAGGACAGCCCAGCCGAGACCCTCACCTGGCTCAGAGTCGGAGTTCCCCGCCGAAGGCTCACATAAGCTCGATGGCATGAAGACATTGTTCTTTGTCACTGGAGACGAGAGGGAGGAGGGTGAGAGAGGGAAAAGAGCTCCCCCTTCCTATTTTGCTGCCCACCCCCAGAGAATCAGCATAAGGGGGCAGTAAGTGCAGAAGCTAGGAGAGAGCTGAGTTCGAATCCCCACCCCAACTTCTTTTTTAAAGAGTATGTTTCCTTTTTCCAGTTTTTGAATGTTTTATTGATCGTAAACTTTGTAACAGAAATGTACAATAGACGTTATAGGCAAAATGAGAAACAAAAATTACACAATTATTAATTTTTAAACTAACACTTGCTTTGTACATCGATTTGTACATCCAATCTTCCCCTGCGTTTCCGAATTGAATTCCTTAAATGCGTGCTTAAACTTTACTTTCTCTGTGTTATTTAACTATAAATTTTACTTTCTAAAATTATCCTATTTACGCACCGAAGCTCAATCAAAACCTCCCAACAGATCCATCTTTGGACAATGTTCTTTTACACAGACTCTGTATGTATCCCACTCTCTGATAAATTTTTCATCTGTAACGTTCTCTTAGCCTTGCTGATAACCCCGGCAACTCAGTGTACTCTCTTATTTTATTTTGCCAGTCTAATTTGGATGGGATATCCTCTCCCTTCCAGCCTTTTGCGATTAGAATTCCAGCAGCGACTGTAACATACATAGAGACTCTCCTGAACTTTTCAGGGATTTCATTAGCCTTAATTCCTTAATTCAGGTTTTTAAGGGAAAGAGCATTTAGAGTATTTTGCTCTATAAGTCTCCCTTTTTCCCTCCTAAAATGTAAGGGGGAATGTGTGTGCGTCTTATGGAGCGAATGCAGGCTGCGCAGCTATCCCAGAAGCCAGAACAGCAAGAGGGATTGCTGCTTTCGCTGCGCAGCGATCCCTCTTGCTGTTCTGGCTTCTGAGATTCAGAATATTTTTTTTCTTGTTTTCCTCCTCCCAAAACTAGGTGCGTCTTGTGGTCTGGTGCGTCTTATAGAGCGAAAAATACGGTATGTTTCCAACTGTCCCTGGAAAGGTTAGAGGACAAGACACGCAGCTCCTTTCTAAGCAATTTCTACGAAATGGGAGGGTGTATTTTCCCTGGTGCTGAGTAAAGACCCCCTGTTGCAGTTAAGAGAGAAACAGCTTGTGTGTGTGAAAACAATACTGAGTTGTATCCCCAACCAGGACACAACTGGCTCCTCACAACAAGCATATGTAAAAACAGAAGACAAGTTTTGCTGGATGAGACCACCAGCCCATCTGCCCCAGAGCCGTTTCATTTCTCACTTAATTTGATCACACCCTTTCTCCATTGCTAGACAGCGAATGGGCAATTTATGTCACAGCCGTCCTTTCTGTTATCAGCCCAGCACGAAATCTGGAGCCCAGAGCTGTGTTTCCTGGCAGCCGGTCCCATTCCCAGATCTACCTCCCCCTCCGCTCCTAGCTGAAGTGCATTGCAAGAAAAAGGCCACAAGCCCCCTGAGAAAATAAACCGTCCCCCTTTACCTGACTGCGAAGGCGGGAACTGTGTGAGGGAAGAGGTCCTTTCGCGCTTGACGGGGGGGCAGTAGCTCCCATCCTCTCGGTCGGACTCTGTGGGGAAGGAGAGAGAGGGGGTGAAAGGGAAGCCCACCTTGTGCCATCTCAGCCTTCGGGGTTGAAACCCAACTAGCAGGAGGGACCACCTGGAAGCAGGCTTTGAAAACAGATGGGCCCTCCTCTGATGGCTGTGTCTTCCATGCCGGCCCTGCCATGAGAAAGAGTGGGGCAGCTGCCTCAGGCGGCAGAAGCTGAGGGGCGAGGAGTGGCCAGAGTTGTCACTGCCGTGCAGTCTGCCCTATGCCTGCTACGGTGTCTTCCCATCAGTTTCCGAGTAAGATTCAACTACTAGCCCTGGGAGAGGGTGCCTTCTGGTCCTCAGGCGGCAAAACGTCTTGAGTGGGCCCGAAGGAAGGGAGCGTCTGTGGTCCCCCAAGTGCTGCTGGCCTCTGACCCCCGGTAGCCTCAGCCGGCCAGCGTGGCTGTCGCTCACAGCTCTCCCTCTCTGATCCCTTGTCTGGCCCTCCCCTGGAACCCACCACCTCCCTCTCACGCCCAACATGAGAGCCGGCCCACCAACTGCCAGGAGTTTTTTTTACTTGCGGGAGCAAAACCCTTGGCCGGAACGGCGGGAGTGAAATAAGCCCCTGCACCCTGGCCGGCGACGCAAACATGTCGGCCTTCCACACAACCCATCCCGACAGTGTCTCTTTCTGGCACAGGGGGATCATCACCCCGAGAATGGGAATTCGGGGCGCCTCTGGACTGTCTCTAGGCAGCGGACACGAAGTCTCCCTCACCTTCCCCGTCTTCTGGACTTGACCCATCTGCTGACCTCTGTAACAAATATATATACACGCGTGTAAGAGTTAGATTTCATCGCCCTCTCTCTCTCTCTCTCTCTCTCACACACACACACACACACACACGATTATTGGGAATCCAAGCCATGGCAAATCGCCCACCTTGAAAACAACTCATGTGAGTGAAAAGGACCCAGGGGTCAAAGTGCCTCAGACAACTTCGTTGCCGTTTGGTCCATTTTAGTTTACAGTGGTGCCTTGGTTCCTGAACAAATCGGCTCCCAAATGCGGCAAACCCGGAAGCAAGTGTTCTGGTCTGCAAACATTTTTCGGAAGCCAAACGTCCAGTGTGGCTTCCAACTGGCTGCAGGACGGAAGCCGCAACTCGGTTTCCGAACGGTTCCAGAAGTCGAACGGACTCCCAGAACAGATTAAGTTCGAGAGCCAAGGTAGTACTTTGTATGCAGATATGGCAGCTAAGAAGGTCCCACAGGTCTACTCGAGTGTCTGGATTTAGCACACTCCAAGCTTACTTTTCAATTGTTTAAGTTAAAAAGAAAAGGATAGAAGCAACTGTTTTAATTCAGGATGCGGGACTCTTTGTGATGACAGGCGCAGGCATTCTTTCCCTGCTTTCCTAAGGACTCGGGAAGTCATAGAATTGTCCTCTCCAACTCTGCAATTCTACGATTCTTTGACTCAAAGGATCCTCTGGTCCAACCTTCTGCAATGCAGGAATTGCAGCTGAGAAGCCCATCGCCTTCCACTGCCAAAGACCTGTTACTGCCAGGGAGTTCTTCCTAATGTTTAGCACAGCTGGACAACCGTGAAAACTTGTTTTAAAAAAAACAACATTTTTTTCCTGTATTTCAGCCCCCCCCCCCCGAAAGCTATTCGATGCTATTAAAAATTCAATTAAAAATAAGTAAAAAATGGCCAAAATCACAGAACAGGAGAGCAAGTTTGGGAGCTGCACCCAAGGATGGAACAGGAGGAGGAAGGAGGGAATCGGAGGGAAGGAGAACTTCAGGCCAACAAATGGGAAATCTGTGGCCCTCCAAAGGTTGCTGCGTTCCCAGTTCTCGGCTTCTGGAGCTGCTGGGTGCCCTGAGCCCCAGTGGCGTCTGGGAGGGCCACCCTGGGGGGCGGATTGATTTTAAAACACTGCCAAGGCTGCAGCGCTGCCCCAGATTAAGCAGCGAGGGTGCTGTCTTCGCTTCATTTTCCAAATCCCGACACTTCCCAAAACGGCAGGCGTCCCCTGCCAACCCCCAGCCCAAAGATATGCTGCGGAGACATAACCCTGAAGCACCTTCCTCTCCCTCGCCACCCCGTCCAAGAACAGCTATTTCCCTTCCATTGAAGGGCACTGGCTCAGGGGCGCAGAGGTCGCCCAAGGCCCCGGCGGCATATCCAGGCATGGCTGGCAAACGAAGACCCCCGCCTGAAGCCCTGGAACGCCGCTGGATGCCAGTCAGAGTGGGCAATGCAGAGCTAGGCTTCAAATCCCCACTTGGTCATGAAGTCAAGTTGCAGCCTCTTCACCTCCTTTGCAAGGCTGTTGTGGGGAGAACTGAGGAGGGGTGTGTGAACCATGTACTCCCTGGAGAAAGAGGTGGGAGATGAATGCAGAGAATGAGCTCTTCTTCTGCTGACCTGCTTAAGAAAGCCGGAGGGCCCAGCCAGAGGGAGGTGCCCGCTGCCAGCCTGGCACCCAGAGATCTCCACGCAGTTGCAATCAGACCCGTGCCAGTCGCAAAACGGGGCCTGGCATCTGAGGGGTTTTGAACACAGGACAGGACCACCATTCCTGACCTGGAAAAATCCCATGCTCCCCCCTCACCCCCCAAAGTATGGGTTCCCGCATCACTTTGGGCCCTTCGGACAAAGGGCAGAATAAAAACAAAAATAATACCACCCCTTTTGTATTTCTGTCCCCCCCCCCTTGCCTTGGAGCTCGTGGGGCATCTGTTAGCCGTTTGAAGCCTCTAAAAACAGGACGGCATCCTTGGCACACTCAAGGGCGACAGACACCCTGTTTCGTTCCCTCCCTTACCAAGCACACCTTCGCCCGCCCCCGTCCCAGAATTTCCACCGAATGCACACCCAACCCAATCTCGGAACTCCTGTTCCAGTCTGCGCTTGACCCTCCCAAGGCCCACACAGCGGACGGCCACCCTCACCCCCGGATCCAGGGCAAAGGAGGCCTGTTTCCATGTCTCCAGGCCGGGCTGGCCACGCTTGGGCCCTCCGGGCGCTCCTGGAGCACCAACTCCCAGCAGCCAGCAGGGCCAATGGTCAGGCCCAAGAGCAGATGGAAAGTCAGAGGCTTTGGGAGGGCGTCCGATTCCTCGGCCGGAATGGAGACGGGTGTGGGGACCCCTCCTCTGCGGACCACGCCTCTCGCTGGGACGGCTTCCTGTCTCCATCAAGCACCCTGAACTGTGGCGATTTGGCCAGCCTACTGTACAAGGAACCACATTGATTGCACGGCCCACTTTTTTGCCTCTGGCCCTCCAAAAGCTGGACCCTTGGGGGAGTGGGGCATCGGGCTGCGGAAATTAGGAGAAACTGTGTCCTCTTCTCTCAGCGCTGCTGACTTTGGGAGGGAGAAACCAAAGCTCTGGGAAGGCATTTTGTGCCGCTGCAGACAAGTTAAACTGCAAGGCTGGGTCATATATATTTAAGCGCAGAGAAAACGTATGCTTTGGGGAGGGGGGAGAAACAGAACTCAAGAGAGAGTTTCCGTGGAAGGCCTTTCCGGCCAGCTTTTCCAAGACTTACCCTCGCCAGTCCGGGCCGAACCGGAAGAATGCGGGAATCGGCCCCTGGGGGGGCGGGAGCCTCAAAGTTGCACCCCCCTGGTGACTTGGGGTGACCCGCAGGCCGGCGAGGAGGCTCTGCTTCTCCCGGGGGGTCCTCGCCTGAGTCCGACACCCCTTTTTGCTCTGCAAGGGACTGGGGGGCAAAGGAGAAGAAGAGCCCTTCAGTGCCAGGCAATGGAAGGAGGGAGGAGGGCGCGGAGGGGGGTCCATTGGGAGCCGGGCATCACCACCAGCATCACGGTCCCACAGCGTGAAGGCCCCACGGCGTCGCCTGTGTTTTGGGCGCTGGGTTTGGTTCTTGGGGCAAGCGGGCCTCCTGAGGTCCTGCTGTCTCCCATCAACACCCCCCCCCCCTTGAAAAAGCGAGATGAGACCCCGAGGAATCTTTCAGGCCTTATTTACGGGTATCGGCAGCCGGGTGCTCTGGCTAGTTGTGCTTCCCCTACCGACTGCTGCATTTAAGCTGTGGTTCCTGCATGGCAGGGGGTTGGACTGGATGACCCCTGGGGTCCCCTCAGAGCAGTTTACAAAACAACAACAACAAACCAGTACAGTGGTACCTCGGTTCTCGAACATAATCTGTTCCGGAAGACCATTTGACTTCCGAAACGTTCAAAAACTGAGGCACAAAGGGCTGTCTGAAGACTCAGTCTGCACACAGAAGCCGTTCGAAAACAGAAGCATTTACTTCTGGGTTTGGGGCATTTGGGTTCGAAAACGTTCGTCAACAGAGACGTTTGAGAACAGAGGGACCGCTGTACTAAGAAACAGTAACTGGCAGGAAAGCCAAAAGTCCTTAAACTGCCACTGATCTCTTTGCAAGGCTGCAGCAACAGACACGGGCCTTCCCACTCTGCTTTCACGGGTCTAGGTTGGGACTGTTTTCCCAGACGCCTCCTCCCCTGAACTATACGGCCTGAACATGCAGGTCTCTTCCTAGGTCCTTCGGAAAGGCAGAGTATGCGGAATTCGCGCTTTACTATCCTCCTGCCACGTGCAACGACCTTGCAGAGCAGGCTTTGTCTCTGGCATGAATAACACCCATGCGCTGGATAGATTATCACGGCTACTTCACACATCCAGAGCGCCTAAAGAAAATGATATAGCCAGGCACTTATAAGAAGATCAGACTGTCCCTGCCTGTGGGCTCACAATCGAACACGGGAAAAACAGAACTGCACAAGGCGAACTGCAGCAAAGGTTGGTGGCTTCAAAACTGAACACCCCTTCCAATAAAACACCACATTGCCAAGCTATTCAAAACACAACTTTTCTGTAGGAGTGGCTGAAGGGAAGTCAGCCTTAAAACCGCCTTAGACGAAAACACACAGACAAAATAATAATATTAAGACTCAGCTCTATGGGCCAGGTACATTTCCACTCCAATTTGACAGAGAAAACACGCAATTCTCAAGTCCAGCGGAAGCCAGCGGATTCTCAGGGCAGCAGAGGCCACCGTGTTCCAACAAACGCCACGGGGCGAAAAACCCAATGGCAAAAAGGAGTTGCAAAGCCGCTGCAAAGAAATCAGAGCCCCCACCCAAACAATTTTTAATCCACCCATCTTATGAGTTTCTCAAGTCGCCGACTTGCCTACAACTAAATCAGCACATGGGTAAAATGAATGGTGGCTCGCAAAACAAGGGGGACGTGCTGCTTTGGGCTTTAAGATCCAGGCCAAGGTAGTTCCTTCGGCCTGAGGGCTGCCTTCCCTTCCCAGGGGCTAGAGGCAAAATCGGGCAGCGGAGCGACTGGCACAAGCAGCGGTTACCTTTGTACAGTAGGCTAGATTTTACGCACCTTTGTGCATGTCCGCCCCAGGATCCGGACGGCCGAGAGGCGCCGTCAGAGTCTAAAGACACACCCCAGCCAGCCCCCCACCAAAAAAAAAGGTGCAAAGGGTGAGGAGGGGTGTGTGGTTTGGGGACAGCACCAAAGGCCACATTCTCCCTCACCCCTGCTTAAGATATGGGGTGGTCTCCGGAGTCAGGCTCGCTGGCAGCCTTCCTTACATCACTTTGGGTGCCAGGCAAAACCGTCTCTCTATAGCTGGGCCTTCGTACTTCTGCAGCCTTCTCATGGCTTTGGCAGGACGGGGGGTTATTGGTTTCCTTTTTGTTCTGTTATGTATTTTGCATTTTTTCGTTGTGCACCGCCCTGGGATCTCCGGAGGAAGGGCGGTGGGCAAATTGAGCAAGCAAATAAAATAAAAACGAATGAGATGGTACGCACACAGGTGTGTTGCGGCAGACGTAAATCCTAGAAGGCGCGACGCCCTCCCCCTTTTGCGAGGAGCTTTTTATCAAAGGTCTGCATTAAACTACGTCAAACTTTTATTCGTTCTAATGAAAAGAAACCTGCCTCCCCATTTAAGGAGGACCTTTCTAATTGATTGAGGAAAGGCCCAAATTCAAGCTCTGTTGTCTCCCGGTAGGACCCCCCCCCCCAACAGTCCCCCCCTTGGTCACACTGGGGCTGAAGTCCAACCAAGTCTGGAGAGCACAGACAACACTGACCCTCTCAAATTTACAGTCAATTCTTAGGCTGAGTCAAAGTGGGGGCGTTTTGTTCTTCCCGACTGAACTAACTGATCCAATCGAGTCCTAACTCTCTCACCATCAACCACACTCCCCCCAAGAGACCTTTCGGGTCCAGTCAAAAGCTCCCAGCCTCCCTCACAGGGGCCTTCGGAAGAAAACAGTGGAAAGGGGAAGGAAAAACAGGCATGCCACTTTGAGCTCCTTGGACCAAAGGTGGGATATAAATCAGGGGAATAAATAAGGGAGCCATGCCCAGTGTTTGACTAACATGGGATGCACACACCCCACTGTTGTCATATGATTGTCTGCCCTGCAGGATGTAAACATGAAGACGTTAGCAGGGGGAGACTTGCAAACCTTTCCTTTTCTGCACAGAAACCTTGCTGTCCTGCACCCCGTCTCCTTGGGGCCTTCCCAAAGCAGGGATTTCTGAATGTGGGCGCAAGGACCCTTTAGTCCCCAGAGGCTGAGGAACTACAGCCACCAGCAGCCAGCCCTGTCGCTGTCCAGGGACGATGGCAGCTGTCGTTCAGCAGCAAGCAGAGAGCCAAAGGTTCCCCCGAACCCAGCCTGTCCCTCTCAGGCCCCTCGCCAAGCCCCGGTTCCTTACCTTCTGTGCTTTTTCCTTCTGAAACACAAAGACAGGGGGGGCGATGGCTGGCTTTTCTGCAGAGAGACCAAAAGCAGAAAGGCACGCAGGTTAACTGAGAACGCACAGCCTGCTGCTGTCTTCACAAACGCACAACAAGGCTCCACCCATGCTCAGAGGCACTCTCGCCTCCCGGAATTTATTCTGCCTGAACCAGGCTTGGTTTCCCCTTTCCCTGCCTGGCTCAATTCTCTCTGCCTCTGCTGATCCTCTCCTTCCCAGCCTAAAATACCTACCTGCACCAATATGCGCTATACACAAATATATATATGAATGAGCAGGAGGGGCAGCTGTTCTTAATCTGGTCTGCTCCTCAGCCCAAGCACCCTCTGCCTATGCTCAGAGGCGCTGCTGCCTCTCGACATCTATCAAGCAATAGATATTTATGTGAACCGCCCTGAGACCTTCGGGTTTAGGGCAGTATAGAAATTTAATAATAATAATAATAATAATAATAATAATAATATCATTCCCTTGCTGTTTATCTCCACGAGGAAACAGAGGGCAGGCTCCTCCTCCTCCCAACAAGCCCAGGTGCTCTGCCCATGCTCAGAGGTCCTGCTGCCTCTCATCCTAAAGCGAGAGTCCACTTGCTGGTGCCCCTCTGCCCATGCTCAGAGGCACGGCTCCCCTTCTGCAGCCCTCCTTCCGCCGTTTAACCCTTGGCCCGCCTCCCCTGGGGCAAGGACTCTGCTTATGCTCAGAGGCACTGATGCCTCTCAACATCCATCATTCCCTTATTCCACGAGGAAACGGAGGGGCGGGCCAGAGGTGGGGACACGCCAGGCTCCTCCTCCTTCTCCTCCTCCAAACAAACCTAGGCCCTCTGCCCATGCTCAGAGGCACGGCTCCCCTTCTGCAGCCCTCCTTCTGCCGTTTAACCCTTGGCCCGCCTCCCCTGGGGCAAGCACTCTGCTTATGCTCAGAGGTCCTGCTGCCTCTCATCCTAAGCGGGACTCCACTTGCTGGCGCCACTCCGCCCATGCTCAGAGGCACGGCTGCCTCTCAACATCCACCATTCCCTTCTTGGGCGGGCCACACGCCAGGCTCCTCCCAACAAGCCCAGGCGCTCTGCCCGTGCTCAGAGGCCCCTCAGCGTCCCTCCGCCCCTGCTCCGAGGCCGCCCTCCGCTCCGCGGGGCCGGGAGTCCGCCGCGCTCCCCTGGCCGCCAGCCCTCTGCCCATGCTCAGAGGCGCCCTCTCCCCGCCTGCCAGGCCGCTCCCTTTGTCCGGCCTGGCCGCGCCCTCCCGCGCCGGGCCTGGCGGGGCTGGGCGGCGCCTCCTCCTCGGGCCGGCGGGCGGCTTCTCCCTCCTGGGCCGCCTCCCGGGCCCCGCCGCCCTCGCCCGCCGCGCCGCCCGCCTCCCCCCCCCCCCCCGGCCGCCTACCTTCGTTAGCCAGGTCCGCCATTTTACTTCCTCAGCCACTCCCACAATGCCCCGCGCCCAGCCCGGGCCAAAGAGCCGCTCTGCCCGGCCGGGGGAGCCGCACGGGAGCGGGGGCGCATGCGCGGCGGGGGGGGGCGGAGTCGCCTCCTCGGGGGCGCAGGCGCAGAAAGGCCTCGTAGAGGCGGCGCCCCCTAACGCCCAAAAGGCGGTAGTAATAGTAATAATAATAATAATAATAATAATAATAATAATAATAATAATAATAATAATTGTTATTTATTTATTTATACCCCGCCCTCCCCAGCCAAGGCCGGACTCAGAGCGGCTTACAAGCAATAATAAAAACAAGTTGAATGAATATGACTTAAAAACAAGATTAAAATACATTATAATATTGAAATATTAAAATGCAGCCTCATCACAGGAGGAGAAAGGAAAAAGAAAGAGGGGGAGGGAATCAAATTGGCTGCAAGCCAAAGGCCAGGCGGAACAACTCTGTCTTACAGGCCCTGCGGAAAGAAATCAGATCCTGCATAGCCCTGGTCTCATGAGGCAGAGAGTTCCACCAGGCCGGGGCCAGTGTTGAAAAGGCCCTGGCTCTGGTTGAAGCCAATCTAACTTCCTTAGGGCCCGGGACCTCTAGGGTGTTGCTATTTATGGACCTTGAGGCTCTCCGTGGGGCAGACCGGGAGAGGCGGTCCCGTAGGTACGAGGGTCCTAGGCCGTGAAGGGCTTTAAAGGTCAAAAGCAGCACCTTAAATCTGACCCTGCAGTCCACCGGGAGCCAGTGCAGCTGGAAAAGCACTGGGTGAATCTGCTCCCCTGGCAGAGACCCCGTGAGGAGCCTCACTGCAGCATTCTGCACCCGCTGGAGTTTCTGGGACAGCTTCAAGGGCAGCCCCGCGTAGAGCGAATTACAGTAGTCAAGCCTTAGTTATTAATGCTGCTAGTCCTTATGATAAAGACTAATAGTACCGACCCCCCAAAAACTGTGTTATTAGAAATTTGTAAATGGAGTTTAATTGATGTTTAATAAAGTTGTTGTTGTTGTTGTTGTTGAGTCATTTAGTCGTGTCCGCCTCTTCGTGACCCCCTGGACCAGAGGACGCCAGACCCTCCTGTCTTCCACTGCCTCCCACAGTTTGGTCAAACTCATGCTGGTCGCTTCGAGAACACCGTCCAACCATCTCGTCCTCCGTCGTCCCCTTCTCCTTGTGCCCTCCATCTTTCCCAGCATCAGGGTCTTTTCCAGGGAGTCTTCTCTTCTCAGGAGGTGGCCAAAGTCTTGGAGCCTCAGCTTCAGGATCTGTCCTTCCAGTGAGCACTCAGGGCTGATTTCCTTCCGAATGGAGAGGTTGGATCTTCTTGCAGTGCGTGGGACTCTCAAGAGTCTCCTCCAGCACCAGAATTCAAAAGCATCCATTCTTCAATAATAAAGTTAATTTGAATTAAAAGAAAGAAATATTCAGCCTCTCATCTACCTCCCCAGCCAGCGAACCACTTCACTGCGTCCGAAAACATCTTGATCACAATCCGCAGTATGCAATAATAATGATAATAATAATAATAATAATAATAATTCATTAATTAAATTCCTATCAACCAGCCGGATTTTAATAATCCTCACCTACCTCCCCAGCCAGCGACCCACTTCACTGTTTCCCAAAACATCCAGGGGGCTGCCCCTCTCCTCAAGCACAGCGCCTCCAGCTCATCCCCCTCCTCTGGGCGTCTGGGGCAGGGGAAACCCCCCACCAGCCCACCCTTGAGTCCCCCTTTATGATGGCGGCGATGACAGTCCCTCTGCCCCCTTGGGAGGAGGGGGAGTCGGGCTGCCGAGCTGGGGCTGCTCTGATCCTTCCCCTCCCCGGTTCCAAGAGCTCCTCTGATTCTGATAGAAACTGTAGGGTTGGAAAGGGTTCCAAGGGTCATCTAGCCCAACCCGCAGGCAAGGGTTCCCTGGCAGAACACCACTCCGCCTCGGTTTATTCATTTCTTTATTTCATTTTTTAAAAAAATTCATTAAATTTCTTCTTTTTTAGTTTCAAAAAATTGACTTCATTCCCCCTTTCTGCAGTTCCTTAAATTTATAAAAAGATCTTCTGCGTATCCGAATTCATTTCATTTCCTCCTTTGTTGGTCTGCTTTAAATATAGACTCCTCTAAAACTGCAGGTCTTTACACCTATCCTGCCAGTGTTTTTGTCTGTTGGCAATTTATCTTTCCATTTTTATATATATATAAAAAAGTTGGTTATCTGGATTTCTTAATCTCCCGGTGGGTTTCGCCTTTTCTGCCAAATCCCCTTTTTCCAGCAGCCGCGACGCTCTAGCTAATTCGCTCTTTTCTCCCCTCCAGGAGCTGCGACGCTCTAGCCGGCTCTCTCAATGCCTCTTTCCCCTCCCCTTCCGGGACCCGCGTTTCCGGCCGCGCCAGGCGGTTGCCGCGGCAACCAGGAAGTGCTGCCTGGCGGGGCTTCCGGTCCGCTGGTCAAAGCCTTCCCCCGGGGGGGGGTTTCTTCTTCAGCCATGGCCGACTCGTTCAAGGCGAAGAAGCTGCCCAGGGGGAAGCGGCGCTCCCCGGAGCCGCACGCCTACGACCCGTGGGGCTGGGGGGACGCCGAGTGGGACTGGGAGCTGCCGCCGCCGCCCCGGGTCTGCTGGGAGTCGGAGAGGCTGGCGGCCCGGGCGCCCCGGGGGAGGGGGGGCAAAGGGCGGGGGTTCTGGGGGGCGCGCGAGGAGCCCCCGGGCTGGGCGGGGCCCTGGAGGGGGAGGGGGCGGGATCGGTGGGGGGGAGGGAGCTCCCCCCAGGAGGAGGAGGAGGAGGAAGAGGAAGACAAACACTGGAGGGGGTCTCGCAGAGGGGGGCGGGGTTTTCGCAGAGGGGGGCGGGGTCCTCGTAGAGGGGGGAGGAGCCGGGATTCGTGGGGGGGAGGGAGCCCCCCCAAGGAGGAGGAGGAGGAAGAGTCCTGGAGGGGGAGGGGCCGGGATCCGTGGGGGGGAGAGAGCCCCCCCAAGGAGGAGGAGGAAGAAGAGCCCTGGAGGGGGAGGGGTCCTCGCAGAGGGGGGAGGGGCTGGGATCGGTGGGAGGGAGGGAGCCCCCCCAATGAGGAACAGGAAGAAGAGCCCCCCCAGCAGGAGGAGCAGGACCCCTTTAGCAGGAGGAGCCGGTGGGGCAGCCGGGAGAGGGAGCCCCCCTCATGGGAGCAGCCACCTCTGGCCAAGGCCCCCCGGAAATCCCACTGGGGGGGCAGCCCCAAGAGGGAAGCGGGGACGCGGGTGCTGCTGACGCCGCCAAGGCAGAGCAGCCCGGAGCAGGGAGCCCCCCACAGGCCGCGGGGCTGGGGGGAGTGGGACTCGGCCAGGCACGGGGTCCGCTCCCCCGGCAGCCCCCCTCGGGGTGGGAGCTGGTGGGGCGAGGCTGAGAGGAGGCATGGGGAGAGCCCCGGCCGAGAGGAAAGGGGGCGCGGGAGGCAGGCCGAGGAGGGACCCCGGGACGAGGCACCTTGGGGCGGCTCGGAGCACGGGGGCGTTTTGGGCAGCCTGGAGCGGCTGGCATGGGAGCAGGGCGGGGACCAGTGGAGGAACCCCGACTGGCTCAAGGACCAACCCGCCACCCTTGCCAGGGGCGGAAGCCCCGCAAGGTCCGACTGGCAGCACAGCCAGAGCGGAGACCCCGACGCCAGTTTCCAGAGCGGGTGGGCGGCCGACGGAACCGAGGAGGGCACCCCCGAGATGGAGGAGGAGCTGGGGTGGGACGCTGCCGGAGAGGACGGCGCCCGCCCCGCCCCACAGAAGTGGACGCCGTGCCAGGAGGTGGTGGACTACTGGAAGAGGGCGTGCCGCACCTGCCTGAGCCTCCGCCAGAGGAGGACGCTCATGTCCTTCTGCCCGCGCCCCACCTTGCCCGACCAGAGCCACGAGACGCCCGCCCTCAACGCCGACATTGCCAGCCTGGGCGTTGCGCCGCAGCAGAGGCCGGAGCTGGTCGAAGCCCGGAAGCTGGGCTGGCTCCAGGACGAGGTTCTAGACACGCTGGCCCCGGCCATGAGCATCTACGAGATGGCCGAAGAGGCCCTGGAGAAGCGGGTGCCTGTGGACCCCCTGGAATTGCGGGAGAGCGCCCAGCGCCTCCTCCGCCTCCTGGGCAGCCTGAGCGCCCGGCTGACCCTCCACCGCCGCGTCAAGGTCCTGCGCGCCATCAACCCCCGCCTGCAGTCCATCTGCTCCAAGATGACCAGCCGCAACTGCAACGGGATGCTCTTTGGCGAGGACAAGGTCCAGCTCCTGAAGGAGCTGCTGGCCAGGTTCCCCCAGCTCACCCAGAACAACACCACCTACAAGCGGACCCGCACTCAGCGCCGGAGGAGCAAGGTGTGCAGCGGCCAGCCACCCCAAGGCGCAGGTAAGGCCGCCTTTGACCGCACCCTAACGCTGGTGGCCAACGCCAAGCAGGTGCCCACCCTCGCCCGACCTTTTGGGGCCAACGGGGGTCCAAAAGGTTGGGGGGCGCCAGCTTGGGGATGCCCTGGGCAGCTCCGAAGTTGCGTTGCCTTTTAGCTGTTTAGCACGTGTCCGTCAGCCTCCAAGTCTCCCCGGATGTGGTTGAGCTACAACTTCCAACACCCTGGAGACCCGGCAGAAGGGAAATGCTGGGAGCAGAAACACATTTTAGTAGGGTGGCGCAGGGGTCTAACCCACTGAGCCTCTTGGGCTTGCTGATCGAAAGGTTGGCGGTTCAAATCCCCATGACAGGGTGAGCTCCAGTTGCTCTGCCCCAACTCCTGCCAACATACCAGTTCGAAAGCATGCCAGGGCAAGTAGATAAAGAGGTACTGCTCTGGTGGGAAGGTAAACGGTGTTTCCATGTGCTCTGGTTTCCGCCATGCACCAGAAGCAGTTTAGTTCTGCTGGCCACACGACCCGGAAAGCTGTCTGTGGACAAACACCGGCTTCCTCGGCCTGAAAGTGAGATGAGATGAAGGGCTGAGTATATATAAGTTTGAAATCCCAAGAACCGAAGAAGAGCGTGCCAGCTGTGTGGAAGAGCTCTGTGGATTTCCAGTAGGCCTCCCTCACCCCCAGAGCGCCTGGGGCTCCTTTCTTTAAGACGCCTTGGCTAGCAGTAGCCAAAGGCACTGAGCCCTGTGGCCCATTCCACGGCGGTGCTACTCCTTGTGTCTTAACTGTAGTCCTTGTTCGTTGCTAAGCCTTCTTCCACAGGTGGCTTAGCTGGCCACTGAGAGGACCAGCTGTTTTTAATTTTTTCAGAGAGGAAGGGGCATGTTGCCCCCCGTTGAACAGCCAGGGGAACTTTATTTTTTTGCCCCACAGCTTTGGGGAGACAAGTATCTCCTCGGTTATCAAGAAGCCCAAAACAGGGTCTTTCCTGGAATCAAATTCCAAGCCGTATTATTATTATTAAGGGACGCAGGTGGCGCTGTGGTCTAAACCACTGAGCCTCTTGAGCTTGCTGATTGGAAGGTTGGCAGTTCGAATCCCCGCGATGGGCTGAGCTCCCGTTGCTCTGTCCCAGCTCCTGCCAACCTAGCAGTTCGAAAGCATACCAGTGCAAGTAGATAAATAGGTGCCGCTGCGGCGGAAAGGTAAACAGCATTTCCGTGCGCTCTGGTTTCCATCACGGTGTCCTGTTGTGCCAGAAGTGGTTTAGTCCTGCTGGCCACGTCCTGGAAAAAGCTGTCTGCGGACAAAGGCCGGCTCCCTTGGCCTGAAAGCAGAGATGAGCGCCGCGACCACAGAGTTGCCTTGGACTGGGTCCTTTACCTTTTACCTACCATTAATTATTATTATTATTATTTACATCTCTACCCAACCTTTTTCGCCAAGGAACTCAAGGTGGTGGAATGCTTTGCTTCAAGGAGGAGTTCCAGCAGACGGACACCGTCTCACAAGGTGAGCTCCGACCCGCACAAATGATCACCATCTTGTATTAGGTGCTAGGAGCTGAGATATATAAACTAAGCACCAAACGGCTCCTTAAACCAAGTTGCCAAAACGGAACTTGCAGTTGTTCTTTTTTTATGCCAGATGGCTCTAAAGTCTTAATTTTCGAATGATGGCCTGGCACTGATTGATTCAGTTAAACATTGTGCTGTGGTCTAGACCACTGAGCCTCTTGGGCTTGCCAACCGTAAGGTCAGTGGTTCGAATCCCCGCGACGGGCTGAGCTCCCATTGCTCTGTCCCAGATTCTGCCAGCCTAGCAGTTCGGAAGCACACCAGCGCAAGTAGATAAACTGCGGCGTTGGGAAGGTAAACGGTGTTTCCATGCGCTGGTTTCTGTCACGGTGTCCTGTTGCGCCAGAAGCCGTTTAGTCCTGCTGGCCACATGACCCGGAAAGTTGTCTGCGGACAAAGGCCAGATCCCTCGGCCTGAAAGCGAGATGAGCACCGCAACCCCAAAGTTACCTTGGACTGGACTTAACCGTCCAGGGTCCTTGACCTTTTTCCTTTTTCCGTACTTCTTTTTCTTAATGGTGACACAGACCACTAATAACGTAGGAATATTCTTCACAGCGAAGGCAACAATGCGCTCTAACGCCATTCGCCGCTCCTGCTCAGGCTGCCCAGAAAAAGCATTTTGGTTCCAGAAATTCAAAATCTAACTGATAAAATTCTACAGGATCTGGGTGTTAGCGTGTGAAAGCAGTCCAGATCCGGGAATCCCCAGATGACCATCGCAGGCGGCAAAATGCCCATGGTGAATTTCGAACGCCAATCAGGGATAGCTCAGTGGCGGTGGAGTTCGTGATTTGCCCACACAGAGTCTGGGGGTTCAATCCCAGGTTTGGGGTTTCCTTTTGCAGGTTGAGGTGGCCGACTCTCCTTCGCTGCTGCCGGGTTTTAGGCAGAGGTTGGAGGGCTCTCTGCCAGGGGCTGGGCTAGATGACCGCTGGTGCCCCTTCCCCCTCTACAGCTCTGTGATTCTGTTATTCTAGGTATCTGGGCCGGCACAGATAGCTCCCTGCCTGAGACCCAACAGGACCATGCGCTGAACTGGTCCGACTTCGGTTCCTGATCGGTCGGGGACGGGGCGGCGGAAAAACCAATGGTGCCCGCTTGCCAAACTCCACCCCCCTTCTCAGGGGCTTAACTGGCCCCACAGACACCCAGAAGGAACTTACCAGGGGCAGAGGGAACTATTTTTGCAACAGAGAGGGGAGCAGAGGGGCCAGGAAGCCGGAAGCGGACCGTTCCTCTCGACGGAAGAGACTCCCCCCCCCGCACTTGCCCCCCCTGCCTGCTCAAGAGTCTGTCCCTTGGCGAGCCAAGCAGGGCCACCATTGAGCAGTTGGGGGGCCACAGGGCAGAATGGAGCCAAGAAGACAACACTTTTAAACACGACTCTTTCAATCCTCTCTTGACTCTGCAGCAAGACTGTCTGCCCCCCCCGGGGGGGGCGCAAGCTCAAGCAGGGGCGTTTTATTGCAAGCCCCCCCCCCCCCTTGTGTGAAAGGCCTCTTGGTTTTCAGAGAGAAGACATAGCTTCCTTCCATTACAAGAAGTTTTTTCTCCCAACGGTGCAAAACTGTTTCTGTTTGAACTTGATTTTGTTGTTGTTGAATATTTTCTGTGGTTTTTTGCGGGGGGTGCTTGCTGGCAGCAGGAAAACCCAGACCCCTCCTTTTTAAAGGCCTTTTGCCTCTCAACAGAAGGGGTCAGCCTTTTCAACTCTTGGGCTTTCCTGCATTTTTGTTTCCTGACGGAGGCGTCTTGTGGCAGGGAGTTCCAGCTGGGCTCATATATTTTTTTGCCTACTTCCCCCCTCAAAAAAAAGTTTTCACCTGGGGGCAGGAAACAGACCCATGGGACTTTTTTCTTTTTTGGCCGATGGTTTTCCCGTGTCGGATCTCTGGCGGACTCTCTTTTTTTCCTCCTCCACCCGAAATCGGCTGCTTGGCTGAAGAAACCACATCCCGACGGCTGAGGTCCGAGAGGAGACCCCCCCAGGTTAAGAGGACCACGTTTGCTCTGTTCCCTGAAGGATGTTTGATGGATTCCTGCAAAGAGAGTCCCGGGGAACCAACCAATTCCTTATCGGTTTGCAACCGAAGCGGCGATCGGGACTGGAGCAAGACCTTGGAAGTCTGTTTCTGGGGACCTTCTCTAATTGAATAAATGTTCTTTTGTCTTCACAAGCCGTGTCTTTTCGTTTAATGCTTCCCCATCGCACCAGGAAACACGCCCCCCCCCCCAATTAAAATAGAATCACATTGGAATCATGGCTGCCGTTTTGGGATGTTGGAAGAAGGATGAGGGGCAAAGGGGGTGTTTGCCTACGAAACGGTTACGCGTCTCGCCTGGAATTGGCCTGCCTGTCTCTGCGCTTCCCTGTATTTTCTTTTTCTTTTCTTTCTGTTTTGAAATGAATTCTTCTTGGTTTTACAAATGCAAAATATATACAAACGCAAACTGCAAAAACAAATCGGTATAAAAGAGATTCTCCCCATCTCCTCTTCCTCTCTGTGGGGTCCCATTTTAAGCATCTAAAACTGCATATTCATCCAGACGCCAATTTTTGTATCAGGCCATATTATCCGCAATAATTTTGGCACTACAAGTGAGTCAAAATCCTGCTCTTGTTTCCATCTGCTTTCAGTGGTCTCCTAAAAACCTTATAAATTATTTTATAAAGTTTTTATCCTCTTTGTCTCTTGAGTTTTCCAGTGAGTTTTGCCATCTTGGCATAGTCTATCATCTTGATTTGCCATTATTCTCTGGTAGGGACTTTTATTTTCTTTCCAGTTCTAGGCTAATAACATCCGGGCGGCCGTTGTTCCATACATGAAAAGTCTCTTCTGCTCCTTTGAGATGTCGGTACATGTAATTCCTAATAAAAAAGCCTTCTGGTTTCCTAACAAAAGCTATTTTAAACAGAGCTTCCCTGTATTTTCAAGCCATAAAAGCCCTTTTTGTGGAATGCCTGAAAGATTCCTATTGGGACCCAAAAGAGAGAAGGGGAGGGAGGAAGAAAGGAGTGTAAAAAGAGAGAAAGAGGGAAGGGAAAGGAAACGAAAGGAAAGGAAAGGAGGAAGGAAGGTAAAAAGATAAGAGAAGGAAATAGAAAGAAGGAAAGGGGAGGGAGGGAGATAAAAAGAAATAGAGAAGGAAAGGGGAGGAAGGGAAAAAGAGAAAGAAAGAGTGAGAGAAAGAAGGAAAGGGGAGGGAGGGAGGGGGGAGGAAGAGAGAAGCAAAGGGGAGGAAGGTAGGAAGATAAAAAAAATGGAGAGGGAAAGGAGGGATGAAGGAAGGAAGATAGAGAAGGAAAGTGGGGACGGAGGAAGATAGAAAAATAGAGAGAAGGAAAGGGGAGGAAGGAAGGAAGGGAGAGAGAGAGAGAGAGAGAGAAGGAAAGGGCAGGGAGGAAGAGAAGGAAAAGAGGAAGGAAGATAAAAAGAGAAATAGAATGAGAAAGGAAAGGGGAGGAAGGAGGGAAGATAAAAAGAAGAGAAAGAAACAGAGACCTGCCTTTCCCTCTGGCCCCACTGGGGGCGCCCTCCCTCCCTCCCCCCCTCCCTCCCCGCCCCGGACTTCCGATCTCGCGACACTTGCGTCAAGATGGCTACAAGGTAGCAGCAGCTGGGCCGCCTTGGATGCTGCGCGAGGAGGCAGCTGGCAATCCGCCCCTTGGAAAAGCGCAGCGGAGAGAAGCAGCAGCGGCGGGCAGAGAGGGGATCCCCGGCCCCCGAGATGGTAAGGCTCTTTGTCCCCCTTGGCAAGATCGGGGGGGGGGGAGGTCCCCTTTGAACCCCCTCCTCTCCTGGAGGGGCTGCAGCGATTGCATAATAACAATGCCCAGAGCCAGACACGCGAGTTGGGCCCGTCCACACGTGCACAGGGGGAGAGTGGAGCCGGGCAGGGAAAGGGGGACGTCGCTGCCCAGAACACACCAAACCGGCTTGCAATGTTAGGCCCATGCTGTCTGCACTGGCCGGCAGCCGTGGCCAGGATCCGAACCCGGGGCCTTCTGCATGCCAAGCACCTGCTCAGAATAAACCCAGGTTTCCAGGGGGTTTCAGGGGTGGGAAGAAAGGGCTGGTTTTAATTCAGAGATGCCCCCTGAGCGGCTTCACTGCGCAAGGCAGGTGCTCTAACCACTGAGACTCACAGCCCTTGCCTGAATTTCAACAGCCGATTTATACAACTTTTTAATGGGGTGTTTCAGCTATAAATATGGTGTGCATGTGGGATTATTGTTTTGTTGTTTTGGTTTAACTATTTACTTTTGTTTGAAGGTTGGTCTATGAATGTTCATAGTAGTAGTAGTAATAATAATAATAATAATTTATTATTTATACCCCACTCATTTGGCTGGGTTCCCCCAGCCGCTCTGGGCGGCTTCCAGCAAAATATTAAAATACAATAATCAAATATTAAAAGCTTCCCAACTTGTTTTGTTTTCGTTTATTTACTTTTGTTTGAAGGTTGGTGTATAAATTTTCGTAATAATAGTAAGAATAGCAGTAGTAACAGAAGGTAATATTTTGCCTGAACACAACTGCCAGCAATATTTGAGTGCAGGGCATGTTCTGTAGACAAAAGCCCTACAAATCTTGGCTCGTCTTCCTCCAGCAAAGGGGCTTTAGGGACGCCCTACCTTGCAAAGCTGTTGTGGACTTTAAATATATACAGTGGTGCCTCGCAAGACGAAATTAATCCGTTCCGCGAGAGTCTTCGTCTAGCGGTTTTTTCGTCTTGCGAAGCAAGCCCATTGACGGATTAGCGCTATTAGCGCTATTAGCGGTTTAGCGGCTATTAAAGGCTTAAAGGCTTAGGGATTAGCTGCTAAAAGGCTATTAAAGGCTATTAAAGGCTTAGCAGATTAGATAAAGGGGGAAAGCGAAAAAAATCTCAAGACTCGCAAGGTATTTTCGTCTTGCGAAGCAAGCCCATAGGGGAATTCGTCCTGCGAAGCAACTTCAAAACGGAAAACCCTTTCGTCTAGCGGTTTTTCCGTCTTGCGAGGCATTCGTCTTGCGGGGCACCACTGTATATGTATTCAAATGTCAAAAAAAAGGCCTGCATGTTGGTTAGAGGACATCAGTGCTGATGATTGAAGGCTGCCAGGGGAAAAATAAAACGAAAGCAGCTTTTTGAGACAAATTTTGGCTTCTCATTCGCCGCCAAAGAGTTCCTGTTTCTGCAGTTTTGCAAAACAACCCGCTTTTGAGAGGGAGATTCTGATTTTGGTTGCATGGTCCCCTCAATCCTCTAAAGGCTCGTCATCATCATCATTTTGTTTGCATTGTCTCTTCCCCCAAATAAGAGGCCAAGATCAAGAGCAAAACCCCCGCCTGTCTGAATAGGAAATCAGGTCAGCCAGAAAAACCCGATGTCTGTTTGGCGTCCAAAAGTCAAACCCAGCCCAACTTCTTCAAATATCCCTTTAGCCCAGAAACGCTCTTTAGATGGTTTATCAATGCTAATTTATAATGGTTTTGCCCTTCATGATTTGATCTGACCACCACTTCCCCGCAAGAGCTGCAAAAAGTGGATTAAAAAACCCCAACGGCCAATTTTTGAAAACCCAAATAAAGGAATATATTGTGACTGTAATGAATTCACTGTAAGGGGGGGGGAATTCACTCTCAATCAATTCAAGAATGCAAAGAAGCAATCTTTCCTCTCCTATTTGGGATAATAATAATAACCAGCTGCCCCTTTTCACCCCTCCGGCCAGGAGAAGACGCTGCCACCTGATGCCCCACTTGCACCCCAAGACCTTCGGGCGTCCCCCCCCAGCCGCGCCAGGAGCAAAGCGGAGAAGGAAGAGGGGCCCCCGCCGCTGGTGACCTCTCCCGTGGCCTCTTTGGGGGGTGAGTAGGGGAGGGAAATCAGGCCTATTCCCCCCCCAAAAAAAACCAAAGCCAACTTTCTAGTCCTCATGAAGGCTCAAGGAAGTGGCCTTGGTCCATCTTGCTCTGTACTGTCTGCACGGACTGGCAGCAATTCACATGGGGCGGGGGATTCCCATCCCTACCCGGAGATGCCTGGGGGGTGTGGAGCTGGAGGGGGGGGCCTTCACAAGCCCAGCAGGGACCCTGCCACAATCCCCAGCCCGGAGGGAGCCACCAATGACGTCTCTTCTTCCTAGGCCCGGCCAATTCGGGGGTTTCGGCGACCCACAGCCACCCCACGCCGAGCGGCGGGGGGCGGAAGCAGGACCTGCGGCTGCCCAAGAGGAGACCCCCAGGTGAGCTGGAGGCTGGGGCAGCCCTTTTTAGCAGGGGGGCTAAGGAACGGGGCGCACGGGGCCTAGTTTGGGGGTGGCCCCCTCTCCTTTCTCCCCAAAGGTGGGGCCGAGAACCTTGCCCCTCCTCCCCGGCTCTGCTGCGCAACACCCACATTTTCCCAGGCTGAGAGCTTTGCCTACGTTTTCCTCCGGCCCCCCACCACTGCCAAGAGGCCCTTGGAAGATTATCCAGGGAGGGGAACACGGCCCTCGCGCCGAACAGGATTCCCAGTTTCCTATGGATCCTTTCGGTCGATGTGTCTTTTGCCCTAGAGAGGACGTGTGTCGGTTGTTCCCATTTCACAGAAAGGGAAAATAGAGGCACGGGGCTGTGAGCTGCTCCAGGCGGGGCTGCCAAGGCCTCTTGAATCATAGAATAATGGAATTGTATTGTTGGAAGGGGCCCCCCAGGGGTCATCCAGCCCAGCCCCCTTCAGCTAATTCTCTTGCCTCGCCCTAGGGAGACGCTACCAGTGCTCTGGGGACGGCTGCCGCCTGGCCTGCCGCAGCATGAAGGAGCTGCTGGATCACATTCGGGTTCATTATCGGCCCACACAGTCGGTGGAGGGTAAGTCCGTGGGGGCGGGGGGGGGGGGAGATCTCAAGCTGCCTTTGCTCCCTCACACTTTCCACCGCAGTAACTATTTGGGGGGGGGGGCATGTGTAAAGTTTTTTCATTTTTTAAAATGAAAATAAAACAGAGAAAAATTGTAACGATGGAAAAGAATCGGAAGGTGAAAAGCAAGGCTATTGAAATGGGCTTGTAGAATGAATGATCCCAGCTGCCTCTCCTTTTCCCAGGGAAGATTTTCCGCTGCTCCTCCCCGGGCTGCTTGGAATCTTTCCCCAACATGCAAGTTCTCATGGAACACATAAAGGTGCACTACAAGCCCAACCGCTACTTCAAGTAAGGCCATATTCTTATTATGATGATGATGATGAAGGGCAGGATCTAGAGGGGGCCAAGTAAATCTACTCCCAAAGCTCAGTTTTTTTCCTGGTATTTTATGCATTGTGATTTGCTATTTCTATCCATGACAGAAGAGTCATTCTTTATTATAATACATGTATACTGTCTAATTAATTACTTGCTGGCGTTTGATTTTGGCGTTTACTATGGGATTCTAATGCATTATTGCACATAGCTTTATTTGGTATAAGCTGTTTATTTTAAAGTCGTTGTGGCTTTTTATATAGGATCCGATTGTTGTGGTTCGATGTTTTATTATTAATTTTGTGTGTGTTGGAAGCCGCCCAGAGTGGCTGGGGCAATTTAGCCAGATGGGCGATGAAATAGTAATAATAATAATGATAATGATGTCAGGAGCTGCCCGAAGGCGTGGGCGATGGAGGCCCCCCCTCCCCGTACACCCGTACCTCAATCCTCCCTGTTTGGAGCAGCTGGGATTGAGCCGCCAACCTCCAGAATCAAAAGATGGGTGTAGCGTGTGGGAACGGGTTCTCCAGAGGTCCTCCATCCCAACCCCCTGCAACCTGTCCCCCCCCCCCTCCAGGTGCGAGAACTGCATGACGCGTTTCCGGACGTACCGGTCCCTCTTCAAGCACCTCCACAGTTGCTCCTCCGCCGGAACCGCCGCCGGTGCAGCCGCCGCCACCCCGCCCCTGGCGCCGGAGAAGCCCCTCCCGGAAAAGGAGCCCCCCGGGAAGCTGCTGGAAGTCCTCCCCAAACTGCAGACGGTCATCCAGCAGCTCAGGAAGGAAGCCATCCTCCCCGGCGAGATGGAGGTGCCGGCGGCGGCCCCCGACCCGTTCCCTGTCGGCCCCCTGGGGCCCTTGCCCGCCCTGCCCCCGGGGCCCCACGCCTTCCCTCTGCTGGAGCCCTCCCTCTTCGGACCCCCGCCGCCCCTGGCCAGGTTTCCGGGGCCGGCTCCCCACACGCTCCCGGGACCCTTCCTGCCTTACGTCCATCCGGGGAGCTACGCCTTGCCTCCCGCCGCCGTCCAGAGCCGCCTGCGGCCGTTCCTGCCGGGACAGGGACTCCCCATCTCCAACGCTGTCTGGAAGAAAAGCCAGGGTGAGCGGAAGACCTTCCCCCCCCCCTCGCCCCAGGAGGGTCTCTCTGCCCCCCCCATCGTTACCTGTCTGCCAGTCCAGCGATTGTGCCCAATTTGCTCAGATTTGAGATGGCCCTAATCCACGTTTCTAGTCCTCATGACTGCACCAGGGGGCGGGAATACTTGAGAGGTTTGGGAACTGCCCTTAAATGTTTCACTCTGACGGCAGGGTGCTCTCTGTAAGGCTCCGCTCGATTCGGAAGCTGCAGTCAGGCAAGATGCTGCAGAGAAAGTGCTTTAAGCAATAACAGGCGACACGTGGCTCATAATGTTCTAACGAAATATATGTAATCTGTATTATTTCACAATTCTTAAACCATGGGTAGGGAAACTAAGGCCCGAGGCCGGATCCAACCCAATCACCTTCTCAATTACATGAGAAGAATGTGTTCTTTTATTTCAAATGCATCTCTGGATTATTTGTGGGGCATAGGAATTCATTCATTTTTTTTCTGGCCCCCCCACATGGTCTGAGGGACAGTGGACCAGGCCCCTGCTGAAAAAGTTTGCTGACCCCTGATTTAAATCAATCAATTTGATTTAAATCAAATCCACCCTGGAGAGAAACCTCCCCAGATATTTAGGAAGCTGGCGCAGGTTTCCATCTCCTCTTAAGCGTATTTGTCAGTTTGCTCCGGGGCTGATCCTTCTCTTTTTTTGCGCCCCGCAGGGCACTCCTCCAACAGCCGCATTGTGTGGGAGCACACGCGGGGGCGCTACAACTGCCTGCAGTGCTCCTACTCGACGGCGTCACGGGAGGAGGTCACCCAGCACGTCGAGGACCACCGCAAGAACCCCTCCCCGCCCGGGCGCCTGGATGGAGAAATGGGTGAGCGGGGGGCTGGCGGGGGACCTTCCCTTTGTCCCCGGCACCTGGGGTGGCACAGGAGGTGGCTGGGTTGCCTGGCAGGCGCGGGAGACCCCCGCTCAGGACTACAGCTCCCGTTGCCCCCGGAGTTGTAGTTCGGCAGCGCCCGGTTTCCCCAAATCCTACTCAGAGCAGAGCCCAGGGGTCTACTCGAGTTTGGCCAATGCTGGGATGTAACGTCGGACACCGTGGAGGTTGGGCTACAACTCCCATCAGGCGGAGGTGAGGGGAACTGTAGTTTGCAGCGCCCGGAGGGGCTTCTCACTGACCTGGCTATGCGCACTGGGAGTTGTAGTCCAACCATCTCTAGCTGGGGAGCGCCCAGTTTAGCCAAGGCGATTTGACTCCCATCTGTTGGGATTTTTTGCAGTTTTTATCAGTTCTGCGTTTCTGCAACAGACAAGTTTTGCTTTGTGATGGATTTTAAATGTCCCTTAAAAACAACAACTGATGCTTCTCCCTATTTTCCTCTTTCCTCCACCAGACTTTGGGGTGGGGCTCCCCTCGTTCCACCCCAGACTGACGCCGGAAGTGGAGAACACCCTCTTCTCCCCGCTGTGAGGCTTCCACGGTGCTGACACCCCCCCCCCCCGTTTTGTCACCATCACCATCTTCATCCCCCCTTTTAAGGTGCAGTAAGGATGGTGGGGGAATCCTGGCTCCTCCCCACCCCCCAAAAAAGGGGTAGAGGGTGTAGACACCCCCAGGAAGTCTTTCCTCTCCAACCCCCCCCCCCAGAATGCGTGCGCACAAATGGATGGTGTTTGATGGGAAGGGGGTTGAAATTTAATTATTATTGATATTAATTTAATCTAGAACTTTTTCCGGTGCATTCTTCTTCCCTCTTTTTTCTCCCCCCCCCCCAAAAAAAAGGTTTCTCTTGCTTTAAAGGCAAAATGCTCATTCCCCCCCCCCCCCCGTTCTCTTGGTGAGGACACCTCCAGCCCCTCCTTCCCTAAAACCGATGATCAGGTTTGCTCAGGTTTGTTATAGCGGGCTATTTGCTGCTTTTGCAAAAAAACACAAAAAACCAGAAATAAAATGGGAATTGTACAGAAAATGTGAGCGAGCCTTCTTGTCTTGGGGTGTGTCTTTTGAGCCCTGTTTTCAAGGGGGGGCAGTGACAAAGGCAAACAAATACACCTACCTCTTGCCGGGTGGGGGGGCAAGGAACATTCTTTGTTTTTAAAACCCCCGTTTTGTTAGATTTAAGCAACCCTCCCCACCCTGCTACTCACACACACACAGAGAAACTGCTCAAGATTCAAGGCGGGGGGGTGGAAGTGCGAGGAGTGAGGTCTGCGGTCAGAAGCCTTCTCTCTGCTCCTGCAGGGATGAAGGGGGGAGCCCACAAGCGCCCCCCACAGCCTTGGCCAACTCCCAGAGTCCAGCCCTGAGCCGGTCAGGGAGCCGCCTCCGTCCCGCTGCCAAGAACGACTCTGACTCCCTTCTCCTCTCTCAAAAAAGTGCACGGTTTTAATATGAACAACGATGCAGCTCCTCTTCTTTTTGGTCTCTGTTCAAAGCGTTATTACAAAAACAACAACAAAACACAAACCCAACAGTTCTTGTAAACCACTTGGAAAGTCCTCAGACAGGACGGAGGAAGGGGATGCGAAATGGAAAGGGGGGGGCGTCTCTCTGCCCCCCGACTCCCCTCCGAGGGGTCCGGTCGGAGTCTGTCGGGAGAAAGGGTGGGCAAGGCACCATGGACTGGGGAAGAGGAGAAGTGCTAAGGCCGTTTCCCCAGGCTGCTCAAAATCGCCAGCTCCTTTTCCGAGGACGGGACTCATCTGTAGGCAGAGGGCCAGGAGAACTTTCCTTGTGGGGCAGCTCTGGAGCCAGGCTTGCCTGAGACCTGCTGGTGATCCAGAGAATCAGGAGGGTGGAGGAGATGTCCAGCCAGACCCCGGGTCCTGGGGTCCAGGGCTGCAGAGAAGCGGCTGGAGCTTGGCAGTTCACAGCAGTGGCCCTTCCTGGAGCAGCAACAGCAGCAGCGGAGGAGGCGGCAGCTCCCGCCCGGAGGCAGAGGGGGTGGGGGGCAGTCTTGCCCCGGCGGGGAAGACCAGGGTGCTTGGCGATCCGGCCGCGTCTTTGGCAGGTGGGGGGAGGCACCGGGCGCAAGGGGCTCACCGCTTCCTTCAAAGAGAGAACGGGGACACAAGGGGCTGTGAGCAGCCGGTGCCATCCAAGAAATATCTCAGAAACGACGGGCAGGGTGGCACAGCACCGCCCAGCGGGTTGCTGGAGGGGGTCTCGGAGGCGGGGCCTGAGAACGCCCCCTGCCTAAAATCCCAGCCAGTGTGGACACCACTGGTGCACCAGAAGGCATGAGGACCAGAATTGTGTTCCTGTTTGAAGAGGAGGCGGTCAGGGAACGTCCCAGCTCCAAACCCCAGGGCAGCGCCATGTTGGTGATGGGAAGGGCTCCTCCTGCCTTCGGACGTCTGCTGCCAGCGCTGAGCCGGGTGGGCCAAGGGGGTGGGCTCAGTCCGAGGCAGGTTCCCCGGGAAGCAGAAGCAGGCACCTTAATACTGGCTGTCGGGGTCCGGGCGGCCCCCTCGCTCCTCCAGCAGGCTCTCGGTGCTGGCCGACGTCTCCGAGTCCAGGTTCTCCTCATCGGAGCCCCTCTGGTCCAGCTCTGGCAATCGGTAGGTGATGTCTTCCCTGTGGCGGAGAGAGAACAGAAGGGCCATGCTCACCACGCTCCCAGAGGAGAAAAGGCAAGGAAGGGGCGGCGTCAAGAGTTGCTCACAAAGCTCTGCGTGGCATGGAAAAAAGTTTCCCTCTCTCTTAATGGGACCTCCAGATTGCTGCGGCAATCGCTGCCCCTGAAATGCCAGGGCAGCTGGGAGGGAAACTCCTCCTCTGGCTCCCAGCCAACCCCCCCCTCCGCTCCCCCCGGGGGCCTGCCACTCACTTCTCCTCCTTGATCGACTGGATCCTCTCGATCAACAGCTCTTTCTCCCGGTTGTCCGTCTCCTCTCCCTCCAGGATAGCGCCCAGTTTCGCCGCAGTGCCATCGTCTGACCCAGCCTCTGGGGAGCCTTTGCTCTGGAAGGAATGGGGGGGGGGAGAGATAGCAAGGTCTGGTGTCTGTTCTGGGCCAGGAAGGAGGCAAAGGGTCCTTCAAAGCCTGTTCAACCGAAAAGCCTCCTCCCGGGTTGCAATGAGACACGAAGCAGCACCCTTTGGGTGGGCAATTTGACGCTCGCCGGCTTTTCCCAGGCGGCAAAACCAACCGGTGCAGTGCGGAAAGGGCACTGAGGAGGCAGGAGGAAGATCTGGGGGCAGCGCAGGTAGACGGGCCACTCTTGGGTCTACCTCGCAGGGCTGTGGTGAGGCTGAACTGGGAGGAGAACCCCAAAGGTTTCAGTAGCCTCACAGCCTGCTCCAAGCTTCCTGTGTATCCAGGAATGTTTGTTCTTACACACCGTGAGATTGGGGGACGGATGGACGCCTGACACAGCATTAAAGGCTGCTTCTGCCCATGTGCAAAGAACCTTCTTCCCTTGCCACCAAGCAGACACAAGCCAGCCAGCATATGCTACTTTAATTATAATAAAAGGCACATATATATGACTGTATATATGAATAGAACGTCAGGTGTTAGTGTGAAATCCTTTTTTACAGAAAGAAAGAGTGGAGTGCCTTCCAAGGCAGCCCTGAGAAGACTTGCAGCAGTTTCTATTTTCTGAAAGAGAAGCATAGCTTTACAACCTCCCCGCAAACCACAATTTGGACACGACTGTTGTAACTCGGGATACATGCAGCCACGCAGCATGCGGAACAGGTTAAAAAACAAAACGGCTCTGAAAAGTCGCCTTTTCTGGCTTTGGGGGTCATGCTGTGTGGCCGTCAAAGAGAAAGCGGGGGAACACACACACACACACACACCCCACTTGTCATGCACTGAGAGAGTGTCTACCTACCGGCGCTCCCTTGCGGGGAGAGGAAAACCCAAGTTTTACAGGCCATAGCTAGAAAAAGGGAGAAAGAGACGATGGCCACACTCACAAACGTCAGAGGCGCACAATTTCTTTCCGGACTCTCCTTGAATCAATTGCAAAATTGTCGGCGTGGCCTCGGCGGAGCCGCTTCGCAACCTGCCTGCCTGCCACAGCAATTGCAACGTGCTGTGCTAGACGCAGGACGATTTCTAAATCTATTTCCGCAGCTCCTTTCGTTTCTTTCCCCGCAGAATTCAAATTGCAACAGGCGCACGCAAAGATGTGATAGTGGGAACGAAGGAAACCTTTTTACTTTGTTTACTCCCAATGCTGTTGTTGCAATCTGAATCCCAGAGAACTGAAACAGGAGCGCAACAAATTACAAAAAGGAGTAATAAAAACACAATGAAAAACTAGTCATGACGCAGGTGTACTGCAGAGCAGGGACCCCTGGCGGTGAGGAACACCTGCCCCAATCCAACCAATCCGTGTTGTATCCCAATCAGTTAAGCTCCGAGTAAACCCACTGACATGAATGGCGCTAAGTTCGTCACGTCCATTTATTTTAATGGGTCTCTTCTATGGATGTCACACTAGGAAGTGCCTTATCTTAATAAGCTTTTGGCAGGTTTTTCTTTTTCTAAATTTGTAAATTTGGGCCCGACTTTGCTGCAGGGCTCTTTGGATGTTCTGAACTCCTGGAGGGGGCCAGCGGACGTGCCCACTCAGACCAGCAGCTCCTTTTTGGGACTGGCAGCGGCTCACACTTCACAAGCCACTTCCCCACCCCGCCAGGCAATCCACAGACAGGTTTTCTCGGGGAACAGCTTACCGAGTTCTGCCGCAGCAAGGAGAGCCGTCGGAAGGCGATGCTCTCGGCAGCCTCCAGCTGGCAGATCTCATCCATCTTCACCTTGTACTTGCGCATCTGCTCCTTGATGATCATCTCCACGCAGCTGGGGCAGAGCGGTCGGGAGAGGAGAGTGAGAGGGAGGGCGAGAGGCTGGCGGGGAGCTTAACCCCCTCTCAAGAGACCTCTGGCGGCGTGGGTGGGAGAGGAAGAGGAGGGGGTGTACATGGGAGGGGGTGCAATGGGAGGGCAGAGGAGACCCTGCATTCTCCGTGTGGGTGGGTGGTCACAGGCGAGGGGCACACGAGCCAACCTCCGTTTTCTCCCTAGGCAGATCATCCTCGCCCTTCCAGGAGGGACTGATCCAGGCTCTACAGCCTCACAGGAGGGAGGCAGCTGGGTCACAAAACGAAAACCAGTTCCCAGCGCAGGAGCACGTGTAGGGCAGGAGCGGGGCTGGGTCTCTATGGGGCAGCAGCTCACGAAAGGCCTTGTGGGAGCAAAGGAGGCGAGAGGACTCTTCGGGTCCCCTGCCAAGCGTCGATGAGCGCTGCTCCACCTGCCCCGCTAATTCCAGGCCTGGCTTCCCCTGGGCTCACTCACATGGTGGTTTTCGAGACGTCCTTCATGCTGGTGAGGGGGTCCGAGGTGTCGGGGCAGCGCAAGAGGCAAGGGGCGAAGACGATGGCCAGGGCGTTGGGAGACATGCGGTTGAAGTCCTCCACTAGGGCGACCCTGTGCCACAGAGAGAGAGAGAAATTACATATTGGAAAAGAGAAAGGACACATTGGCGGTCCCTGTGGATGCTGCCAGCGTCTTTTGCTGGCCCCAGTGGGAGGATAATGCTGTCTTAAGAGGTCACTTCTCCCTCCCCTCCCTCTTTCCTCGTGTGCCTGGTTATTTGAGTTCTGCAAGCCTGATGCTGAGACTCCTCTCTCGTTTAGAAACCCACGCTTAGCGCCTTTGGAAAAGGATCGTCCGAAAATCAGGACAAACACAAAGTCAGTGACATCCCTCTTGGGATTTCAGATGCGCATGCAAATATTGTGGAGCTGTGGCTTCACACGGGGGGGGGGAGCGGAGCATGTGGGGGGTGCGCGGTGTCCTTACTTGACCAGGTGCAAGACCAGTCGCTCCAGAGTGTCGTGGTTGGCCTGTGGGAGCTGCTCCAGGACGCTGTAGATGGTGCAGAGCTGCTCCTGCTTCCCCGGGAGCTCTGTGGGGAGAGGGGGAAGGTAAGAGCAGAGCACCGGGGCCCACAGGCAAGGGAGCCCCTCGCCCGCTGCTGCCGCCCACCCACAAGAGGTGCTCAGAGCGGCAGAGCTGAAGATGGAGGTTCTGCCAATTGAAAAGGATGTTTAAACGGATAATTCCTAAAAAAGACCTGAAGCCTTTTTGCTACGAATAACGGGGACAGGAGTCCCAAAAAGCTGACTTATTTATGTACGCTAGAACTTTATATGCAGAAGAAGGAATACCACCAGCGAAGGAGGAATGGCTTATGAAACGGAGGGACTCTGCTGAAATTAATTAATGTTTAAGGATGGAGGGGCACTCTCTCTCACACAGACTCACAGCCCGGCCCTCGGAAACTCACCCACGGCCCGCAGGAAATCGTGGTACTGGGCGAAGGTCATGAGGGGGTCAGGAAGCTCCCTCAGCCACTGCTTGAAGATCCCGGTGATGGTATGGATGGGGTAATTCTCCAGTCGCACCGAGTTTGGGTCTGAGGAGGAGGAGAAATAGAAGAAGGAGGGAAGGTGGGTGATATTAGAAAAGAACTGTACGCAAATGACTCTGCCCCTTCCCCAAGAACAGCGGACGATTCTCTTTTGCCTTAAGGTGGATGAGGGAGAGAGGCCCTTCCCCAGAGTCTGTGGAACCCCCTGCCACAAGGCCAGGACATCTCCTTTGCTGCAGATGTGTCCTTGAGCAAGGAAGGGAAAGAGTCCCTTCTTTGCCCCTGATGGAGGATAAAGCACCTGATCTGCCTCTGGCCGTGTCAAACAGTTCAGCCCCTGGAATAAACGGCGGCGGCTGTTTTTGGGTGATCTGTGAATCTGTTAACCCTCCCCACCCACAGTGTTTCTTCCCCTAGCTGTTCCCCATGCAGTATTTCCCAGCTTCTGCCTTCTGAACTAAGTCCCTCTGCAAACCACCGTCCCAAATCTATGCAGTGGTACCTTGGTTTAAGAACAGCTTAGCTTATGAACAACTTGGATTAAGAACGCTGCAAACCCGGAAGCAGGTGTTTTGGTTTGTGAACTTTGCCTTGGAAGCAGAACATGTTCCTCTTCCAGTAGAGTGTAAATTGAGCCCACCACTGCTATGGGAAAGCACGCCTTGGTTTAAGAACGCTTTGGTTTAAGAACGGACTTCCGGAACAGATTAACTTTGTAAACCAAGGTACCACTGCACTGTCCTCCTGGGAAGACTCAGGGCCTGGATCCAGAGCAGGGGGAGGCTCCCACCGCTCCTCCTCAGCACGGTCCCTGACAGCCCCCTGGGAAAGCTGCTGCTTACCCGCCTGGAGGGCCTGCCGCAGCTCCCGCATGCGGTTGGCTGAGCCCGACTTCCGGTAGATGCCTTCCGTGTAGAGGCCGTGCATCTCCACGTACTCCAGCAGCTTCTCCATGACGACGGGGACGGAGTTCTTCTCGCTGGTCAGGGCGGCGACACCCACCCCAAAGTGGCGGGGCTCCAGGTCGTGGTCGCCCTGGGAACGGGAGAGGGGGCAGAGCGTGAGCCAAGGGGGGCAGCATATTTGTGTGTGAGAGAGACAGACAGACAGACAGACTCTAAACCAGGCTTCCTTCAAGTGTTTTGGACTTTAACATGGCCGGGCCACCTGTGGCTGATGGGAGACCCAGCCCCAAACCCCTGGGGGGCCTGGGCAGGGGGAGTGTGCGTCGCCCACCTTCTTTCCAGCCAAGGACATGCATCCGCTCTGGATCTTGCAGAGGCACTTCTTGTGGCAAGTCAGCTTGCAGACTAGAGGAGAGAAACGGCGTAGCGTTGGAATGTGACACCCAGTAAAATGGCAAAAACGTGCAGAACCAGCTCAAACGTGTGCCGGAAATGTAAAAGGAAAGGGAGGGTGGCAGGTGGCAAAGCCGTGAGCCCCTCCCTCTGCCCCCCCCCGCCACTTACTGCGGCAGAGACAGGCCTTCTCCATGGGCCAGATGTAGGAGCAGCACTGCTCACACGACTGCAGGATGTTCACCTGGTAGCTCCCAAACATGTGTCCGTTCAGCTCTTCGATCTGCAAGCGGGACGGGCAAAGGGAAGGGGCGTTACGGCTCCACCGCTTCTCTCCGGAGGGAACGGCGCTCTTAACATGCTTAGGAGCATGGGGACTCGGGGAGCTAGGCCCTCATTCCCACTTAAGCCACCAGGGTCGAGCGAATCTGAGCACTGGCGGAATGCCACTCACCACGCGCTCCTGTTTCCGCTTCTTCTTCTGAGCCTTGCTCTGCTGTTGGGGGTCGGGGGGAGAATGAGAAGGAAAAAATATCATTCCCCCCTCTCTTTTCTCTTCCCATCATCCTCAGTGTCGGCACAGCTAGGGGAGAAAGGATGGGAATTGCAGCTCCCAACCCTTTTACCCGAGGATCCGGCCTGCCAAGAGTCAAAACTGGCTGAGGGGGACAATAAAAACAGCCCCAACGGGAGGAAGGGGTGGGGGTCTCCCCTGTGGTAGAGGGAGGATATTCTGGGCACAGGTCTCCATCCCTAAGCGATCCGTATGACCCACACCCACAAAACTCTCCTGGGAAGTCTGGCTGGCCCCACGAGGGAAGGAAGAGCCGCCACAGACCTTGGCTGGCCCCAGGTCTTCCTTCTTGGCGTAGCTGCGGGCGAACTCGTCGAGGAGGGACTGGAAGAGGTTGAGGACCAGCTTGACCTCCTTCTCCTCCCTCTGCTTCGCCATGTTGACCACAAGCAGCTGGTAGTTCTCCATCAAGTCTTGGTAGCCGACGTGGATCTGCCCGTTCTGCGGAAAGAGGCCGCGCTGCAAGTTCATTCATTTAACAGCGATCCGCACGTTGCCCAATCGACAACGGCAGCCGCCTCTGCCGCACAGGGCTCTGGGCTAGAGGGGATTCCTCTCTGATTTGCTGAGGAAGCACTTCCTCAGTCTGGAAAGGTGGGAGCAGGACGTTAGACACGAAGTCCCCGCTCCCAGTGCTACTTACGGGCGTGGAGTACATCGTCTTTATGTTGCCCCGGAACTTCTCGGTGGCTTCGAAAAACAAGCACTCGATGGCGGACTTTTGCGAATGGAGATCGTTTATCTGGGAGGTGCGGGGGAAGCAGAGACACAGATTTAATCGCCGATACTCTGAGGAGGATGGTGCATTCTGTAATCTCTATAAAAACTGGATTTATCTGTTTGTGCTCTATCTGGTTAAGTCACTTTGATTCCTCTGTTTAATGATGCAGCCATCCCAGGCATCCGGACAGCTTTTTAAGATGAACTGAAATCCAGAACAAAAAAAACCTGAGCTCTTGTGGCTGGGCCACTCTCACCTTGTTCAGAAGAAATTCGTCCAAGTACTTCAGCTCGTTGGCGTTGGTGATATCCCTCAGGAACGGCGCACGCCACTTCTCGGGCGCTGTCTTCACTTTCCTGATCTTCAGGGTGCGGCTTCTCTTCGCCTTGCCCCCTTCTTTGGCTTGGCGCTCCTCCCCAGGGGGGTGGTCCGGAGGCCCGGAGGGAGCTGCGGGGGACAAACGCAGAGGGCGGGGCTCAAGGCGGCTCTTCTCTGACAGCCCATACCCCCCCCAGCTAGAAACCCCTCAGAGAAGACGCACAAGCCAAGCCTTCAGCTTATGTTGGGGAGGGGAAATGCTTGTCGGTTTGAGGGCCACATTCTCTCCTGGGCAAGCTTCCGAGGGCCGCCTGCGGGTGGCAAGGCAGAGGCAGGCAGAGCAACAAATGTGAACTGTATGTTTTGTACAGGAGGCAAGATGCTTGCGAGACCTGGAGGTCAACCACCCAGGAAAGGCTCCCTTCTTCCCTTCTCCCTGCCTCTCTCTCTCTCTCCTCACCACATACCCAGCTACTCATAAACCTCACCTTCTGCCGCCCTCTGCGCTGGCCCCTCCATGGGTAGCACGCAGGCCAAGAGCTGGAAGCTCTCGCCCTCGTCCGACACGTTGGGACTCTCCTTGAGGTTCTTCCTCTCTGGCTTTGGCCCAAAGAATTTCCACAGGGGGCTCTTGAAGGCAGACCTGATGGGGAAAAGGAGGCTTTGAGGAGGATGGCGGCAGGATGAAAGGGCCTGCCAGCCAGAAGGAGCTGCCGCTGCTCGGTATTTTATTTCCAGCATCACACAGCAACCCCCCTTTCCCTCCAAGCTGCTCAAAGCAGCTGGCAGATGAGCAGCTATAATAATAAATCATCACCATCATCATCATACACCTGGCTTTCAATCCGGGTGGCTAAACTAGGTGGGACTAATAGGAACCGGCTGGGGGGCATCTAAGGCGGAAGAACACTTCCCCCCACCCCACAATGACTCTCAGGATCAGGGGCGACTCTGTCCCACAAGGCCCAAACTTGGGGACGCACGGCTGGGCCTGTACAAAACAAGGGCTGGGACCCTAAGAAGTGAAGAAGGAGCAGCGTTGCCAACCATGAATTTTGCACCAGAGCAGCTCCCTTTGCAGAACAACCGCTAAGTTGTTAGAGTGGCTCTGGGATACTAGGACAGCGGGGGGGTGGGGTGGGGGGCTCTCCAGCGCCAATGTCTACACTGAAAGAGCCCTTTGGGTTTTCTGCCTGGACAAGCAGAGCATGAGCACATACCTGCCGTCCACCTGCTGGCCGGCGGTGGCTGTGGGGCTGGCTGCGTCCAGGACGGAAGGAGGAAGCAACTCCTGGGCCTGCCTGGGTGGTGTGAGAGGCTTCTTGTCGTTCCGGTCACCTTCTGGCACGTTCTGAGGTTGTTGTGCGAGATGGAAAGAAGCAAACTGCTCGTGAGAAAGGAAGAAGACTCCAGCAGCAGCTGGATCCAACCCAAAGGGGCCCGGCATCTAGTCCTTACAGGGGCTGACCAGATGCCCCTTTTAGGAAACACACAAGCAGGACTGGAGCCCCACAGCAGCGATTCTCCTTGCTTGTGATTCCTAGCAAGCTGGTTTGATGCAGGAATAACACACTGGGGCTGTACTGACCCAATCCTACTCAGGCTAGAACCCCTGAAACTAACATGCACAAGCAACTTCCATCTGTTAGTTCCAGTGAGTCTTCTCTGCGTAGAACTCGGCCAGATGCAACACGTAGGACCCTCTGCCACTCTTTGCTCAAACTGTGGTGGGGGGCAGAATTCTGTAACTGCACCCCCCCCCAAACAAACCTTGTCCAATCTGCCTGAGCGCTGCCCTTACCTGGGTGGGGACAGCGAGCCTGGGAATGTCGTCCAAGGAAGACGCCATCTCCTTTTTCCTGCAAAGAGGGAGAAAGAGGCGTTTCAAAATGGAGCCACCCATTCCAGGGATCGGGGAGTCCCTTTGGGAAGCCTGCTGCTGGAGGGCTCCAGGTGTTTATCGGCTTTGGAAAGGGGGCCCCTGGGAGGCCAAGAACAGGCACGATTTCAATCTGCGCGGACAAACCGTCAGCACAAAGCTAGCCCTCTTTGGCCACTGTTGTTTGGCTTTGATATCGCATTGTCTGCCTATAAAATAGGACAGAACTGGGTTGCTGCATATTTAGGGGTTGGGGGGAAAGCGGCTTCCCTCTGGTCCTTTCAACACCCCTCCAAATACGGAGGCCGCAGCCAGAAAATTGACAGGCAGGAAAGAAATCAAGCAAGTATAGGGACAGGCACACAATCCTGCATTATAGCCCTTTCTCTGATCCTTCTCAGTATCTCATCCAGCCAGGAGAGCTGCTCTCCTTTGGCTTATGTGACTCTACAAAAGCTCTCCTGGCCGGATACTATGGCCATAGTTATAGCATGCGCTTAAAGCGCTGTGATGCTGCTTCCTGGCTTCCCCTAAAGAGTCCTGGGGGATTCAGTGCTCCTTCCACGCCTGGAAGCCGGGTGCAGCAGGGCTCACCTGAGCTGTGGGGAGGGAGACCGGGCCGGCTGCCCCCTCTCGTCCAAGGACTGGCTCAGCCCGTCGCTCTGCCTGCCTCCGGCCAGCCGCCTCTTCCCCTTCCACCTCTCCCGCTTGTCCCGCAGCTTCCCGGGGTCATCCTGGTACCGCTGGATGTGGAAGGAAGGGGGGCTGTCCAGCTCCTTCTGAGACGCCCGCCGGCCTTTGTCCGCCGGGCTCCGGAAGCTCCAGCTGCTGGCCAGGCCGCCAGGGTGGACGAGGGCCAGATCCGTGGGCCTCTCGGGGTACGTGAAGCTCTGGCTGACGCGGATTTTGGGGCTGTCCAGCCTCCCCAGCCCATTGGAGTCCTCTTTGGCCCCAGCTCTGTCCTCTTGCTTCAGTGCAGGGGCCGGAATGCCACCGTCCACAGGAAGCCGGTCCTCCTTGCCGCCTGGAGCTCTCTCTCCCGGCACGCCGCCGGGATGGGCTTGAGGGGAGACCCCCGCCTCCTGCTCCCCTTCTGCTCTGGGCCGCTCAGGCGCGTGGCCCCCTCCCCCCCTGGACGGGCCGCCTTCCCCACTGCCGCGGGGGTCATCCACGGAGAAGCCAACATGCTTGCTCTGCAGCTCGTTGTGCTCCAGGCCCCTCTGCCGGCGGAACGCCCGCTTCTCCCGGCTGCTGGCCAGACCTTTTTGGGAGAGCGGAGGGGACTGGTCCCTGCTGTCGCCGCTGCTCCCGGCTCCTTCCTCGTCCTCTGCCTTGCCTGTCTGATCCAGGGACGCCTCCGTGGGCTCTGCCAGAGCCTGGCTTGAGACGTGCTCCTCTGGCTGGTGTAGCCCGTTCACCTGCTGCTGCTGCCGCTGCTGCTCCCCAAGAGCCTGCGCGACCGCTTCTTCCTCTCGCTTTTTGTCGGCGATCATTTGATGAAATCTAGATTGCAAGGTGCGGTGGGGGGGGGGGGATCAACAGTTGGTTTAATGGGAGACGGTAAGAGTAAATGAAGGGAGACACCAAACGCAAATGCTGAACACCGCCAGCCCTGGAGGACTTTTGGTCTGTTCCAGCAGGGTTCTCCTCCTGCACCCCCGTTTTCCCTCCTGGGGCTCAAAATGCGCAGAGCGCACCTTGCCCCCCTCACCTCTTGCGCTGCAGGTGTCCTCGGACCAGAGCCTGAACAAGGCAAATCCTCGCCTTCTCCCGTCCGTAAGACTTCCGCTCCCGGTACCCGCGCCACGCCGACTGGATGAAGAGGGCCGCGTTCTCCCTCTCCAGCGCCCTCCGGATGCGGTAGGAACGCCAGCAAGCCTGGGGGGCCCAGGAAGGACAGGTGAGAAGCTGTGTGTCTTTGCTTCTCACATTGTATTGTGTTGTTTTATGCACTGCAACTTGCTGCTGTTTTTACTGGCTAGAGTTTAGAAAGTATTTACTGTAATTGTTAAGAGTGAATCTATTATTTGCTGATATTTAATTTTACTGTATACTATTGTATTCTAATGGACTACTGAATATTACTTTATTTAATATACGTTGTTTAAAATAATATTCAGATCCTATATAAAAAGTCACAATAAATTTTAAAAAAACTTATACCAAATAAAGCAGTATGCAATAAGGCATTAGAATCCAAGAGTAAACATTAAAATTAAACATCAGCAAGTATAGTAATGAAATGAAATGGCTGGGGAAACCCAGCCAGACGGGTAGGGTGCAAATAATAAAATTATTGAAAATATTATTATTATTAGCAGGTAGGGGCAGATGGACCACCTGGCTTCTGGTCCATTTCACGTGGTGTGGACTGAGTCTCTCCCATCTGCAAATTAATCTGCTGCCTGTCGGTGCAGGAAACCCCTAGCAGGACGGGCCGGACTCTGGGCAAGGGAGCTTCTTGTGTTTCTGTGAGGCGGGGAGAGGAAGGAGGCCCCTCCTACCTGCAAGGTGACGGCCGCCTGCTGAGCCCGCAAGAAGCGCCTCCTCTCCAGCACCATCCGCAGCCAGCTCTGGAGGACGATGATCTTGCGGATGACTTCCTTGTGGAGCGTGTCCTGCAGCGCCTGCCGCACGGCCTCCTTCATGAACACCTGCAGAGGGAGGGAGGGAGGGAGGGAGGGAGGCGCCAGCCGGGTCACTTGGGGAAAGGGACCAAGACTGGCCTCTTGCGCAGCTCGGGAGCGACCGCGGTGGCTCTGAAGCCACGCTTTCCACGCAATGCCCGTTAATTTATCTTGTAAAACTTACCGTATTTTTTGCTCTATAGAACGCACTTTCCCCCCTCCAAAAACGAAGGAGAAATGTGTGTGCGTCCTATGGAGCGAATGCAGGCCCCTCTCGCTCTCCAGGCTTCAGGCAGCTATCCGCAAGCTCCAGGAACGGCGGCGAGGTTGCGCGCAATCTTGCCGCCGCTCCTGGACCTGTTTTGGGGGCTGGGGTCGGGGGAAGCTTGGGCTTTCCCCGCCCCTGCCCCGCGGCTAAAAACGAAGCCAAGACAGCAAGCGGGATCCATCCTGCTCGGTGTCTTGGCTTCTGCCAAAGCCGCGCGCAGCCTCTCCCAGCTGGAGAGGTTGCGTGCGGCTAAAGAGGAAGCCAAGACAGCCAGTGGGATGGATCCCACTCGCTGTCTTGGCTTCTTTGCTCTTTGGGGCTGGGGGGGGGGCGGGAATTAATTTTTTTTTCTTTATTCCCCCCCCCCCCAAAAAAAACCTAGGTGCACCCTATGGTCTGGTGCGCCCTATGGAGCGAAAAATACAGTATATACTCAGCTCGACTGTAAAAACAAAACAAAACCTCAAAGCAGTTTACAAAAAAAGGTAAAGCAATAAACAACAGCTAAAGGACTTTTGAAAAGTTAACAACAGACTAAAAGCTGATTAATTTTACAAGCTGCTTGAAAGAATACTGTAAGCAATTAAAAACATTGGCAGGATTGTAAAAAAAAACACTTGCCATGAAGTGAGAATCATGGTTACCATTGAGTTTTAAGAAAATTTGGAGAATAAGATACGATGCAGTTTGAAAAGAATATTTAGCGAAACCATGGAGGGGTGGAGGGAAGTTTGGGATTCTGAGAATCCTATTTGTAAAATGATTATGATCCAAGTATGATGACCATTGCTAAAAATGAAAACGAATAAAAAAATTAAAAGAATGAATGAATATAGGTGCATGTGTGTGATTCATACAAGTTTTAAAAATAAATCAATGTACCCCCAGGAAGAGGGGTTTTTGCGCTCAAAACCCCCCTGGCGGCTGGATCTCCACACACAAGGATTCTTAAGAAGACTTTGCGGCTCCTGGAGGGAGATTGGGTCGGCTCAGAAGCAACAACAAGCCCCACAAGGACAGACCTTGGTCTTCCCGATCTGGTAGCTGCCGGCGCCCAGCTGCAGCTTCGTCAACAAGGCCGCGATCTCCTCCTTACAGGCTTTGGCACTCTTGGGCAGCAGGACTTGGAACTGGTCGACAAAATCCTGGGGAGGCAGCGACAAGAAGCAAACAACTTAGCAAACATCTCCGGTTTCTGAAAAGGAGAAGGTGGCAGGTGTAATTGTCTCTGTGCCCAAGACCCTGGAAAGATGCTGCCGGCCAGAGCGTATAAAAGTAGAGCTTCATAAACTAATTAAAGTAGGGTGGCCATATTTCAAAAAGTGAAATCTTTCAATGCCCCAATGAAGCGCAGAGGAGGGCACAGGTTTGCCCCAGACCAAGCCAGGAATAAACCCGGCCAGGATCTCTGGTGGATGCTGAAGCAAGGGGGTCTTCTTCCCTGGCATGAGGGCAAGGGAGAGAGCTGCCTGCTCCACTGCTCAGTGGTACCTGGAAGGTGAACTTGGCACTGTAGCCGGACTGGCGGATTCTCACGGTTTCCAGCATCCCTGTGTACCTGAGCTGCTGGAGCACGAGGCGCTCGTCGAAAAGGAGCTCCCTCTGGAACAGAAAGCAGGAGAGGGTCAAGCAGAGATCGGCCTGCGCTGACCTCCCCTCACCGACGAGAAGCCCCGTCCACCCCAAGGGATGTGGTTTGCTGAGGTCACCACCACTAGAACCAGCACTCTCTGGTTCACACTGGCAGAGCTCAAGTCCGTACCTGGCAAATGGAAGGAGCAGGATTCGACCTGTCAGGGCTGCAACTAATCAGCCCATCGTGCTAATTCAAGATTAGCCCATGTGGTGCCCCAAGAATCAGGTGGGACTACAGCTCCCATCATCCATGACTGTCGGGTCGCCTTGGCTGCTGGAAACTGAAGCCCAAAAGCACCGGGGCACAGATGGCCCTCACTCCTGATCTGTGGCCTTTCAGACGCTGCTGGGCTCCAGACTCCCATCCTTGTCACCCCCGCCCCTGCTGGGAGCCCAGCGACATCTCCGTCGGCTGCTCCTGTGCCAGCATAATGCAACAGCCTCCTGGGGGAAGGCCCTACCTTTTCCGAGTTGGAGCGGATGCAGCGGATGAAGAAGGGCTCGGCTTTCCCCAGGGTCTCCAGGAGCTTGTTGAGAGAGGTCTGCAATGAGTCACAGGTGCGAGAGAAGAGTCAAGCGCTGCCCCTTGAGAAAGCTGGTCTGGCAGCGGGGGTGGGGACAACCTAACTGCTTTGGGTGGGCTGCATGCATACGAGTGGTTAGAATGTTGGACCAGAGCCTGGGAGAGACAAGGGTTCGAATCCCCCCACTGGGCCACGAAGCGCTCACTGGGCGTGTCCTCAAGGCCTTGCCTCTCAAGCCTAACCCACCGCGCAGGGTTGTCGTGAAGATTAAACAAGCAGGGCGGGGGAATCGTGTACATCCCTTCAAGCTCCTTGTCGAAAAAGGTGGCATACAACCAAATAACTAATAAATAAGGAAATAAATCAAGGTTTCTCCAATTTGGGTCTCGCCAGCTGCTGTTGGACTACAACTCCCATCATCCCTAGCTAGCAGGACCAGTGGTCAGGGATGGAGTTTAAGTGGTGGGGAAGTTGTGTGTCTCTGTTTCTCAATTTGATCCTTTTACATGGTTTTGTATGTATTGTGGTATTTTACGCAGTGATTCTTATTGATCACAGTTTGGTAGTTATTTATTATAATTGTTAAGAATGAATTTCTCTGCAATTACTCTTTGCTGACGCTTTGAGAGTTAATTCTATTATGTGCTATTATAGATTATTGAGTATTACTTTAAAGTTATGTTTTATCATGACTTTTTGCATTGGATCAGATTATTATAAGATGTGTGTTCTTTGTTGCATATTTTTGTTGCCGCAAACCGCCTTGCGTTGAGTAATGCAGAAAGGCGGTATACAAATTAAAAGTGAAATGAGGGGATGATGGGAGTTGTAGAACAACAGTTTGAGAAACCCTGGAATAAATCACAGTGGCTGGCCGGAATCTCACGGATCTTTGTGTCTCAGTTAGTGGAAGGTCCCTGCGGTGGTTCCCCCGGAGGCGAGGGGCGCCTGCTCACCTGGAACTGAGCGCTGATGCTGGGCGGCTTCTTCTTCTTGTGCAGGTGCAGGAGGGACTTGGTGGTGCGGTCGTGCAACGTCATGCTTACAATGAGCTTCAGGGACTTGGAGTCCAGCAGGTTCTGCAGCCAAAGGGGACACAGCTAGAGAGCCACACCCTCCACGGAGCGAGCCCCAAGCCCTCTGCACTGAGCGCGAGGGGTTCAGTTTGCACTTCCGCTGACATTGTGCAGTTGTGTGTGTGTGTGTGTGTGTTGGACAACAGCCAAGCACCGCTGTGCTCTGGCAATGGGCCTCAGTGTCCCTGATTCCCCGCCTCCTCATGAGGACTGGAAACTTGGCGTTTTGTTCCAAGCTAAGACTGAGAGGCCTCAAGTGCTGATCTCTGCTCAGAAGCCCTTGGAGAGTTAGTGCCACATACCAGATGGAGTGTCAGACTAGGACCTGGGAGAACCGGGTTCTTAAATCCACTCTTAATGGCCACGCCACACCAGCTCTCTCATCTGCTTCGGAATATTGCTGCTCATTTGTTTTTAAATGGTGTTATTGGGCAGGGAGGGTGAGCTGTAACTTGCATACATATCACAGAACCATAGGCTTGGAAGGGCCACCAGGATCATCTTGTCCACCCCCCTGCAATGTAGGAATCTTCTGCCCCACGTGGAGCTCGAACCCACAACCCTGAAACGGAGAGTCTCAAGCTCTCTCTCTCTGCATAGCAAGGTGACTCTGGTACTGCGTCAAATTCACACACGTTTTGCAGGGCACGACAACGTGAAACTGACACAATTTATTTATTCTATGCTGTCTTTCATCATTATGCCCCCCAACCACCCCTGAAACGGTTTCTCTTCTAAAGGAAAACGCAGCCCAGCAAATCTCTGGACGTTCTCCACCCAGCTCACCTTTGGGATGGCCTGTTTCTGCTTCGGGCCTCTGCTCTTCCTGTTGAAATAGACACAGATATATCTGTATTTTCAAAAGTTACTGGCGCGATGAGTGCTAAGCAGCAGCCCTGGTTTCGTTAGTTCAGCGAAGCCATGCCTAGCAAATTAGATGAAGCAAAGCAGGCTCAGGAGCCAGATAATAAGCTGATGACTCTAAGTGGGGGGGTGGGGAGGGTCCTGCTCCAAAGGGTGGCATGGAAAGCGTGTCCCATGACACTAATCCCGCCTTGCCAACTCCTGCAATCCGGCAAGGCGCTTCCTTGCTTTGATTGTAAGCCCCGAGCCTTTGAAAAGTCAGGATTTCACGCCCTTTTTCTTTTATGCTTGAGCTTTTGTTGCGAGCAAGTCAGTAAGAAACCCAAAGGGTGGTCCCTGCAGCTGCTAACTAGCACACACAAGGTAAGCTCTTCAGATCTGCAAGCGCCTGCTTAGCTCCACACTTGCCACTCTCCTCCTCTGTGCAAATTTTGCAAAGCACGCAAGTCTTGGTTTTCTCTCCGCCCCCCCACCACTCCACCGCAAACTCACAGGAAGTGGCAAGTGGGCCTCTGGAGCCGGCTGAGCGATTGAAGGAGCTTGCGGGGATCTTCGCCCTGCCAGGGCAGGGCCTTGATAGTCCTGACTATTTGCTCATGCAAGTCCCTAAGACACGACACACACCCGACACGAGGAAACACAACACACACACAGAGAGAGACAGCCGTGAAGAGACAGAACCACCAGGGATTAAACAGAGGAGACCCATCATTGCCCGGCATGCTCAAAGGATGGGTGACAAGAGAGGAGATGGTCCTGGAGTTGACCTGCTGTTAAACGTAGAGGTTTGGGGTGTGTAAATGGGGCTGCTGCTGCTGCTGCTTGACTACAATCACAATTTAGTGTCCTTAATATGCATGAATTATCAAGCATTAATTTGACAACATTGCTCCTCCCCCCAAGTTTTTACATAAAATGCCTGTTCAGATTCCTTCCAACACCGTTTGCAGAGCTGAATTATCTCAGGATTTATAGATTGCATATATCTCAGTTGGTTAGAGCCTGGCGCTGATAATGCCAAGGTCACTGGTTCAATAATCCTTGTAGGGGCCAGCTGCATATTCCTGCACTGCAGGGGGCTGCACTAGATGGCCCTTGGGGGTCCCTTCCGACTCTAAAGGTCTCTGGATCCGGCCCATAGCCCTGGCTCTGCACAAATGCTTCTTGTTCCACGTTTAGCTCCCCAGGTCAGCCAAGGAAGATCTCCTCCAGCCCTCCACTCATGCACCATGCTTGTGAAGAAAGTGCCTCCACACACACACACACACACACACACTCACGCACAAAACCCTTACCTTTGCCACCCTCCAGAGAGAGGCACAAACCAGAAAGAGGACAACAGAAATGTGTGAAAAGCCTCTCCTGGGCAGACGAACACTTCGCAATGCTTCCGGGCTGTGCTGACGGCCTTCGGATTTGGATTATTTGCATATGGCATGTCCCCCAGCCCTCAATTTCTCAAAACGTTTAGTAGCTTTAGGGTGTAAACTGCTGCAATTTTTGCACCACTGAGTAAGCTGAGAACAGGGGGCCACGGCGGCTGCTGCAGCCAGGACATTCTGAGTGGACAGAAATTAGCCCGATTCGGACCTTTACGCTATGGCAAGGCCGAGGTTAGAGCTGCGGCTCAGGGTGGGTGCCAGCCCCCTCTCCTGCTCTGCCCGCCCTGTGTGCTTGGTTCCCTGCGCCTGGCAGGCACGGAAGGTCCGTCTGCCCAGGATAGCGTTCCCCCTGGCTGTCGAGCCCGCTCCTCCGCCTCTCCCCCACTTACTTCTTGCTTCCGTACGAAGCAAAGATGTCCTCAAAAGCGTTTATATCAAACTCCTCAGAGCAATCAAAGGAGAAATCAAGCACTGAGCAGCTGCAAAAAGGGGGGGGGACACATGCAGAGAGAGGCTAAATAAACAGAGTAATACAGAGGCGAGCAGAGAGAACGGCGGCAGCAGCGGCAGGAAGGAGATCATCATATCCCTCCCCCCACTCCCCAAAGTCTTCATCCTCCACATCAATTGCCGGCTCAGATGCCCAGAGAGAAAAAGCGGGTGCAAGCAACTGATGCTTTTGGGTGGCAGAGGGCAGACACATACTCAATCCCCTAGGAGGGACACAACATGCTGAAAGGAAAGACACAAGAAATCTGGAAACCAGGAAGAGGCTGCAGATACGCAGCTGCAGGAGAAAGGTGGTGCCCTGGTTATTAAGCTAAGCCAGTAGTTCCCATACTTTGGGGGGCCGCTGCCCTACCAGTTCCATGAGCTCGCCCCCAGGGCCCCCTAGCCTACAAAAAGCTTTATTCAGAATTGCAGTTTGCACGACTCACTCAGGAAGTTCCCCTATCTCTCCAGATAAAATTGGGACAATGCCTGGATCAGGGATGGGGGAAAATTGCATCCCTCCCCAACACTACTGGGAGACTGGAATGGTGATGGGAGTTGGGGAGGCCAGTGACACCTGTAGGGCTGCCACCGCCCGACCTAAAAAGGAAAGGACACATTTCTCTTTCAGAACTAACTTTTAAGTTCAGTTGATGGATCAGTGTGACACTCAGCAGAGTCATCCCCCACTTGGCCACTTCATCATTAACTGTTCTTTCATGGGGCCAGGCGAAGGGAGAAGGATCCTGGTAAACCAAACTCCCCTGCTGCTGCCCCGGACTCCATGGCCTCCCTGGTGGCTCTCGGGGGCCCTGAAACGGCCCAGGGACACAGCTCTAGGCAAAACAGAACCAGCAACTTCAAGTAGGGGGGCCCACCAAGCCAAGCGTGGAGTCACGACACCCATTACAAAGAAGGGTGGTGGGGTGGGTGCTCTTGTGAGAGGCTGGATCAGAGAAAGGTGCCGAAGGGACCAGCCCACTTTAACCTTCCTTCCCCCCCCATGACCTCCTTAGCTACAGATTTCAGATGGTTAAAGGGGTGGGGGGATTTCATGGGGTGCCTACCTCTTCCACCATAATCCGAGCACTGGCTGGGGAGACAGGAAGGCAGAGAGAGAGAGAAAAAGAGAGAGAGAGAGAAAGAGAGCGTGTGTATATCCAGGCGGATGCAGAGTACAGGTCACTGATGGCGACAAGGAGGAGGAAGGGTGAGGAACCTCAGGCCCAGAGAACAAATGCACTTCCCCCAAGTGTCTCTGTGTGGCCCCTGGAAGTGGCCACACACCTCACAGGCCCTGCGTGCTCTGCCTACTTGTGCTTCTGCCCTCCCCCCCGCCACTCAGAGGTGTCCCACTGAAAAGGGTTCCTCACCCCGGAAGCAGAGGGCCTGCGCATCCCTTCGGACTGCGGAGAGAGGGGCTTTGCGGAAGCGAAGATGCTATAAAGGGAAAGCCCGAAGAAGCCGGTGGGGGGGAGGCAGGGCCCCAATCCAGACACAGCAGTGAAGGGGAGAACCTGGCTTCCCCAATGCACGGACCCAGAGTCCTCAGCCCCTCCCACAAAACCAGGGCACCTCTCTCCCCACTTTACCCCAGCTTCTCCGTTCCGCTAGAGTTTCTTCAAGTTGGCCCCACACCCACCATTCGAGGGATTCCCCCCCCCCAACTTGTTTCAAGCTTGTGTGTTACAAGTCTCGAAAAGGCACCCAAAGGGATATTTGTGAAGGCAACAGGACTACTGGGGTGGGACAAGAAGAAGGGCAGGGAGTGAGACAATCCAAGGCCTCCCCTTTCTGGTCTAAAAGAAATAAAGAAAGTAAGAGTAGTAATCAAAGCCTACCGATAAACTCTCTCGATTGGGGTGTTGACTTGCTGCAGTTCGCCCAGGGGTACTCTGGGTCCGTGGCGGACCACGCCTGGCAGGGAAGAAGAGAGAGAGAGAGACTCCGTTGGCACTAAACAGATTCCCAGTGGCAACAAGCGGTCTTTCCTCCGCACTTTTTGAGGTTTTTCTTGGTTTCAGTCGCTCGGAAAGGCTTCCCGACAAAGGCAAGAGCCACTCGAAGGGGGAGCCTGCCCTCCCCTTGCAGGCCTTTTTGTTTTTATGTCAGGTCTTTCCTGGCCTGCTCCTCCAAAGTGACTCCTGTGCGGTTTATTATCGCGTAATCTGTTATTAGTTTACAGAACACTTAATGCCAAAATAAGCTTCACAGCAGTATAAAAACCAGTTAGGAAAACATTAGCATCTGATTTCCCTTTCTCCCCTTGTGTGTTGTGTTGTTTTAGACTGTAAGCCTACAGGGGCAACCTTGTCTTAATGGACTGTAGGTAAGCCGCCCGGGGAGCCCTCTTGCCTGAAGCGTGGAGTGCAAACGCTCTAAAACAAACATTAAAATATACACACACGTAATTAAAATGAATGGCAAAACAAACCCACTGAAACAACATAGTAATTAAAACAGGAGACTCAGGTCGAGAGGCTGAGGAACGCCTGAGCAAACAGATACGTCTTCAAAAGCCGTAGGGGATGACAGCAAAAAAGCCTGCCGCCCCGTTACCACAATAAAGGAATTAAAAAATACAAAACCAACTTTAAAAACAGGAATGCCAAATTTAAGGTGAAGGGAGCGCTGAGCCAAGGAGGTGTAGAATGGAAAGTGAGAGGGAGGAGGGCATGAAAATAATAAATATTTAGGGGCGGAGCACCTAATCTTATCCTTGCTCAAGGCGCCATATTACCAAAGTCTGCCCCTGAGATGACGCCAGGGAAGGAACCTGGGATCTCGCGCAGGCAAAGCAGGAGCCACGGCCCTTCACAATGCAATAGCAGACGAGAAGCGATCAGGAAACTGCAGATAAAAGGAGCAGGCTGCAATAATTAATTCAAGGGCCTGAAAGAATAAAGGAAGGTTTTAGACGGCTCGATAAATGATATCAGCCTTGGCACAAGCTGCGCCTTCCTGGGGTCAAAGCTAGCGCCATTATGCGGCAAATAATTGCCAGCCATTAAAGCTGCAATCCATCCCTTTTCCAGAGGAGAAACCCGGCTTTTAGCTCTGTTGCAGCAAAATGCAATGGAGGAGTCTTGGCAGCTCAATGCCACAGAGAAAAACAGGCGTCTTTTGAAGGTGTCACACTTCTGACCCAGCAGGAAAAAAGTCCTCCAAGCGGCAAAGTGTGTAGAGTGCTTGGGTTCAAGAGAGGCTTGGGTTCAAAGCTCGTTGGGTGACCTTGGGTAGCTCACTGTCCTCTCCTGGCCTAACCTGCCTTGCAGGGCCGCTGTGAGGGGGAATTGTGTCCGGAGGCCATAGACAAAGTGTTCATTGCCTCCAGTCACAAAACATGCAGGGATGTATGGCATGCAAAATGAACCACGGAAAGAAAAGAAGGGAAGTAATTGACTTAAGGTTGTTTAAATGAACAACCTTAAATCAATTTAAGTGGCGAAGGGACGTGGGTGGCGCTGTGGGTTAAACCACAGAGCCTAGGACTTGCCGATCAGAAGGTCAGCGGTTTGAATCCCCGCAGTGACGGGGTGAGCTCCCGTTGCTCTGTCCTTGCTCCTGCCAGCCTAGCGGTTCGAAAGCACGTCAAAGTGCAAGTAGATAAATAGGTACCGCTCCGGCGGGAAGGTAAACGGTGTTTCTGTGCGCTGCACTGGTTCGCCAGAAGCAGCTTAGTCCTGCTGGCTACATGACCCAGAAGCTGTACGCCGGCTCCCTCGGCCAGTAAAGCGAGATGAGCGCCACAACCCCATAGTCGGCCACGACTGGACCTAATGGTCAGAGGTCCCTTTACCTTTATTTTAAATGAATATTGTGAAATGTCACACACACCTGCCATTTTCTGGGCTCTCTGGCGGCCGCCCTCCGCAAAAACGGCCATGGCTCGGATGGCGGCTCGGAGCGTGGCCCACCGGAAGACGGCCACGGGGTCCATCCCAATGAGCTCCCGGACGTAAGCGCTGTCGCTGCTCCGCAGCAAGGCGACGATGTCGGGCCGCATGTAATCCATGTTCTTCTCCCGGAAATCCTGCAGGGAAGGGAGGGCCAGTGAAGGCGAAAGGCAGAGCAAGGCAGGCAACCCCAGACCTAGTGCTTCTGCCCCCCCTCCTACCTTTATCTGGTACTTCACTTTGCCTGCAAAGTGCTGGATGATGAAGGCCGGCTCCAGGACGGGCGTCCCAATGAAGAACTTGTTGTCCTCATGCTGCTGCTTGAACTTGGCAAGGAGGGTCTGGCTGGTGGCGTGCGGGAAGCTGAAACGAAAAGACAAACACTTCTCATATTGTTGTCGATGGCGTCTGTCTTGAGAGGCAATGGAGTGTGGTTCCAGGCATGAAATAAAACTGACCAAAGTGACCTCCACGGGGCGCAGGCATGGGCAGTGTGCATGGAGGTCCTGGCCTGTCAGATCACACACACACACACACACGAAAGCAGAGCAAGATGTTTGGCACCAGCTTGGCCTCAGGAACTGCCAGAAGGGACCCTCCATGAAAATGTCACTCTTTCCCGGGGTTTGCTCTGAGCAAAGCTCAGTCGAAGGCCAAGCTCTGCGCCAGCTGAACTTACTTGCTTTCCTCGTCCAGCAGGTAGAAGAGGCCGGTGGGCTTCTTGCTGATGAGGTGGATGCAGGCCACGTTGTCGGTATAGTCAATGTTGTGCCATGCGATCCCTTCGCTCTGATACTCTTCCTGTGGACAAATGAAACAGACCCTTGAAAAGCCGATGTCCCCTGGCCTCATGAGATAGGACCTGGGGAGGGGCGGCGTCCAATGGAATTGACTGGCAGAGGGCAGGACAAATGGTCATGCGGTGGTTTTAACTTGTGCAAAGAGGTGGATGCTTTGAAGGAGGATGGTTTTCATTTCATGAAATTCATTTACTGCTTGACTGAGGGGAAACCCCTGAAAGCGGGTTTTCAAGCAAGGTAAAACAATTAAATTATCAGTAAGATCCAAGCAATTATCCTCCCATCCAAGCAAGAAAAGAGGCATTTTCATTCCCAGCAGGGTGAAAACCCTGAAAGAAGCAAGGCCTGGTGAGAGAGGTTTGTGGGCCAGAAAGAGGGGCTGGGAGCGCCAACATTTCAGCCCTGGAATATTGAAGCTCGCCCCCACCCCCCAAGCGATTCCTTACCTGTTCGAGCTTGAAGATGTGCTGGTTGAAATAATACTGCAGCTGCTCGTTGGCGTAGTTTATGCAGAACTGCTCGAAGCTGTTGGTGTTGAAGTCCTCAAAGCCAAAGATGTCAAGCACCCCGATGGAAAAGCACTGTACAGTGAGAAGGAGGGAGGGGAGGGAGGGAGGAAGGAAGGAGCGAAGCAAAAGAGGGTGGCGTCAGAAGGAGAGTGGGGCCCGTGATCTTTGCCGACTGCAAGCGGCAAAAAAGGCCATGCTCGTTGGGTGTGTAATTGGGGCAGAGAGTCTGCTAGGGCTGGGAAATATATTGATATATCGTCCCAAACCGATCTGAAGTCTGTATCGTGATATCGGTTTCATAACTGCTGCAAATCATGATGCATGTGTCTGTGTGTGCGCTATGCAGAAATCACAATGTGGGGGAAACCGCAAAGCCCGCCAATGCCTCTACATTCCAGACATCGTGATATATCAGCATATCACGATGTTTAGCTGGCAACGTTGAAAAGCAAGTATCGCCCAGCCCCAGAGGCTGCCATTGTTCCCTGAAGACATACCACCACAGATTCCTCCATGTCCTTCTTGTTGAGGAGTGCGTGGTTAATTCGCAGAACGATCCAGTCGAAAAGGGCGCTGTAGAGAGACTTGGCCATGGAGTCACGAGCTGTGACGGCCTGCAGGTTGGAGAAAGAGGCACAGACGAAGGAACGTTGAGGAAATCTCGGAAGATCAGGCTCAAGGGGGCCCTCTTGGTCCTGTTCCCACACTGACTTAACCAGACGCTCGGAAGGGAAGCTTCCAAGCAGGACCCGCGCTGCTCTTAGTGTTCTTTACTTGCACATCAATAGATCTCAGGGCAGTACACAGTATAAAAATACCCACAGCATACGAGTCCACCAAGATCAGTGTTGTCTACACTAACTGGCAGCCACTATGGCTTCAAGCAGGGCATCGTTCCTCAGACTGAACCCAGGCCTTCTCAGCTCTGTGAGGACCCCTGGAGGGTTAAGTCCAGTCGAATTTGACTTTGGGGTGCAGCGCTCATCTCTGCTTTCAGGCTGAGGAAGCCGACATTTGACCACAGACAGCTTTTCCAGGTCATGTGGCCAGCATGACTAGACTGCTTCAAGCGCAACGGGACACCGTGACGAGTGCCATAGCGCATGGAAACGCCATTTACCTTCCTGCTGCAGCAGTACCTGTTTACTCGCACTGGCGTGCTTTCGAACTGCTAGGTTGGCAGGAGCTGGGACAAAGCAACAGGAGCTCACCCCGTCACAGGGATTTGAACTCCGACCTTCCGACTGGCAAGCCCAAGAGGCTCCGTGGTTTAGACCCCAGCGCCACCCACGTCCCATCTGCTGTAGCTGTATCTCTGTGACTCCTGCTGTTATGACACTTCTCTCCTTTTTTTTTTTTTAGTTGTTTTCTTTCAAATCATGAGAACTGTCCTAAGGCAGCTTATGAAAACCTCGAAATAAAGAAGCCCATCAGCTCAGCTCACCCTGTGATCCAACCTACTCCTAAAAAAATAAATGTCGCCTTTCTCTGTGCTCTATCAGTAACACTCGTTGGCCAGCTCTTAGCACACGCCATCTCACCTCGCTGAGGCTGTAGGGCAGGATCAGCTTGTCGTTCACCGTCACCGTTTTTCTTTTCGTTAATACTTCCACCAAGATTTCACGTTTCACCTGGAAGAGTGGGGAGGGCGGGAGCAAGATCAGGAATGCTTGACCTGACGGAGCCAGCCTGCAGTGGTTTTGCTACCCCTTGGCCCAGAGTGTCCCCCTCAGTCCATGAAATACATCCATTAGATATATGGGAGTTCGGCATCTGGAGGCCACATATATCCCCCCCCCAAGATAAACCTCCACCACTCCTGGATCACTTTTAAACTCCGGGGTGGAGAACCTCCGTGGCCCTCCAGAAAAGAAGAACAAGAGAACTAAATGTTTGGGAAGAATAATAAGTAAAATGTTGGGTGTCATTGTCCCCTCCATACCGCCCCCCTCCCCGGCAATCAATTGGCAGATTTTCTTAATGAGGGGGGGTCTGGAACCTTCAGGAGCTGGGAGAGGATGTCCAGCACTTCGGGGGGTCCGACCTCCAGGCCCTCGTCCCGACCTGCCGCCCGCTTCTTGTAGGTGACGTTCCCCAGGTACAGAATAGCAGACAGGACTGAAAAAATCCTGGAAAAAGAAAAACACAGAAAGCAGAGTTGAAGACACCAGCTTGCATGTGCTGATTCCCAGAGCGGCTGGGGCAACTCAAGTCAGATGGGCGGCATAATAAAAAATAAAACTGGCTGCAACTTTCTAAATATCTGGGTAGACTTGTCTAAACAAAAATGTTTTTAGCATGGAAGGCTTCTCTTTGGGGTATCTTGTTATCCACTGTGAGAACTGGACACCCTGTGAGCCTGACCCCTCTGTTGCAGGGCTTTTCCCATGTTCTTATGTACTTACTGCTTTTTGGTCGCCGGAAGGAAGCCGACCATCTCCATGGCTTGCTTTAACCGCTCAAAGTCGTGCTTGAGGTCTTCCCCATCTTCAATTTTCAAGTTATGCTGCAAGAAGAAAAAAGTAAATGAACGACTAAATCTAAGCAGAGAAACAAAATTGTGGTCTCCCTCAAAAGATGGTGCACGTTCCTTCCTTGGAGGTTTTTAAGCAGAGGCTGTGGATGCTTCAGCTGAGATTCCTGCATTGCAGGGGACTGGACTAGATGAGGTCCCACCCAACTTTACGATTCTATTATATGTGTGTGTTAGTATTAAATATCATGAATAAAACAAGGATAACTTTTTTTATTAAAAAAAGAAGAGGGAGGCATGTGGTGCTCAAGAGTGGGGTGTCCAGCTGGCTGCATCAGGCCTGACCCGGCTAGGAAGCCCTCCTCAAGACACGTGACCTCTGGCCTTCTGGGGCTGAGCAAGGCGATCCCTGCTGAACACTTGAGTGGGAACAAAGGAGGCCTGTTTGGGGCCCCCCCCACCACTACCTCTGGAGCGTGGGGCAGACACAAAAGCGCCTTTGCCATCTGTCCCAGCCAGGCTCACATAAGGAGGGCCTTTGTGTACCTGGTTGAGGTAGAAATAGTCTTCGGGTTGCTTGAGGTGGAATTCCTGACGCTCCTCCTCGCTGACGCCCAGCAGCAAATAGTAGAACACATGGTAGTTCCTTCGGGAAGGAGAACAAACACACACACACACACACACACACACACACACACACACACGTCTGTTAACAGAAGCCGCTTGGCTCACTCTTTTCATAGCTTGCGCACCTGAAGTGGATCCAGATTGTCTGTAGAAGATGGTCAACGGACCCCCTGGACAGGTATGGGCCTCTGCAGATTTGGGAAGTTATCTGCCCGTTCCTGTTTACACCCCTGAGTGTGCCCACTTTATCTTCACAACAAGCTACACAGTGCATTAGGCTTAAAGGCAGTGTCTGGCTGTTGAGATTCAATCCCAGGTCCCAGGGATTTTGCATGTCTTAATAGATTTCTGGCTTCTAAATTATTTGAGCCCTCCCTCATTCATCCACCCTTATCTCTCCTCGGTTCCTACACTGGGTGCATAATAATAATAATAATAATAATAATAATAATAATTTATTAGCGATGACTTTCCCTTTTCCGAAGTGTAAGATGCACCATGTATTTCAAGTTAAACCACAGACTTTCTCCTCACCTTTCGTTCTTTTCCCGGGACACCAAGCGAGATTTTTCGAGCAGGTACTTTTCAACCACAGCCCTGGAATCCACCAAGAGGAAAAAAGAGTGAATGGAGGAAAAGAAAGACCAGCTGCCCCCCGCAACAAGGTTCTATGGTGCTAGAATCCGTGGAGCGAGGCAGGCCATTTTCCTTATGAATGACAAGGAGGGAAGGAAGAGAGGGATTCTCACTTCCAGCCATATTCTGCTGGTGGAGGACAACTGCTTTGTGAAACAGCGGGGACAACGCTGCCCCCCCAAGAGCCTGGAAGCCGCACTCACCCCCGGACAATGCCGTTCTCCAAATAGTTGACCTGGATGAATTTCCCAAACCGGCTGGAATTGTTGTTGTGGGCCGTCTTTGCGTTTCCAAAGGCCTGCAGTGAAGTGAAATGATGAGGCAAATGTCCGCAGCAAAGTTCAGAAACGACTGACAGTAGCATTGGTCAGTTAAGTATTCTTACTTATTTCCTTGATGGGGGGCAGCTCCCCCTCCCCCCTCGGCGACACTCATGGGCAGTAGCTCTTGGGGTTTCTTGGACTGTTGACAATCCCAGTCCTAAATGGATCGCAGCTGGGACATTCAGCGAGGAAAGCCTGCGCCCTATCACTGAGCTGCGGCCCTTGCCCCAAAAATAATGTACGATTCTAGTCCTCACGGTCTGCAAACCATGGTCTATGCTTATAAAGAGCTGAATTGTTCCTCTTCTCTACTCAAATAACTAAAGGCAGCCAGGATTAAACCAGAGATTTTCCGTACTCAGCAGGTGCTAGGCTCTGCTGTTGACACTCGGATAGAGTAACAAAGCTCTTTCTCTCTCTCACACACACACACAGCTCAAAGTGCTGGCAGCACATCACCCAGTCTTATTTAAATCCAGAAAACCGTACTATATAAATTTATTGTGCTTGTAAAACAAAGTTCCTCACCAGTCCTCCTTTGGACCCCATCAGTGAGGCCGAGAGGGAAGTCTTGTCGTCTGGCAGCCCATGCGCCCTGCCCAGGTTTGCAACCCGTGGAGGTTACAGTTTGACTTCACCCCCAGGTTCACTCTGTTGTCTCTCGAGACAGATGGATGCCAGAAACGAGGCACGGAGGCTGGACCAAACAGCTTTCTCACCTACTCCCCTCCTGCAAGTGCGCACACACACACACACACACACACACACACACACACTCCTGCGTTGTGGCAGGCAGCTGGCTGCAACACCCACAACATTTAGCATCTAGCTCACAGGCCTGGGTGGAAACCAACCCCAAACTGGGGCTGACTCATTTATCCTAGAGTCACAGAGCCAACACAACATCCTTGTGACATCAGAAGAATAAGCAAGGCTCTTTCTTTTTTTAAAAAGAGGAACTTAGGGCCTTCCCTCACCCTCCTCTCTCAGAAAACCTGTTGACTTGATGACCTCCTCACCATCAGCTGCAACCCCCTGGGCTGAACCCAGGAAGAAAGTGAGAAACGGAGGGGAGAGAAGGTGAAGTAACAAAAACCACCCCAAAGAAAGACCAAAGGTGGCTTCCAGAACAATTCAACTCCGAAAGGTTGCAGGAGGGAAGGGAGGGCTTTGGTAAGAGGGCTGGTGCGAGACAACAGGCAGCGGGTGCCTCCTGCCACCACTGTCTCCTGTGGGAGGGAGTTCCACAGTCTAACCCTGCATTTTCTTTTGTCTGTCCTGAACCTTCCAACATTCAGCTTCACTTCACGAATTCTAGCGTTATGAGGGAGGGAGAAGAACGCGCTTTCTCCAAGCCATACAGAATGTTATAAACTGGACAGTCACCTCTCACTCGCCTTTCCTCTTTACTATAAAGACCCGGATGCTGCAATCTTTCCTCACAGCTGAATGTCTGTTGGCTGGATGACTAAAGAAGGCTTTAGGTCAGGGGTGAGGAAGGTCTGTGGCCCTCCAGATGTTACCAGATGCCATCATCATCACCACCACCATCCAAGACCTTTGACTCTACTGGCTTCAAGGACTGCTGAGAGCTCAATCCCCAACTCCCTCCCTGCACTTTAGGTCACATTCCTAGATTTACGCAGGCTCCATTTTGTTGCAAACCGACAGGTTTCTCGTTGTTCCAACAGGATGCATTGAGGTCATTTTGAGAAACACCATGAATTTTGAACTGGGAAGCCTGGGTTTAAAAGCTCAATCTGCCCTGACCGATCTCCTAATTTCCTCTCCGCCCCTTTTACAATTACCCATGTAAGCCGCCTATGGTTTTCTGAAAGGAACCCAAGAGTGTGATGACCTCATCTGTGTGGTATTTAGCCCAACTACAGAGCAAATTCTCCAAAGCTGATTAAAAAAAAATAAAAAATAAACCCAAGCTGGGCCATATAAAGTCCCCAAACCATGTCCGTGGCAGCGAAATGTGGCTATTTTTGAGAAAGGGTATCCACCTATTCTTACAGCCTCTCAGAGAAAACCCCCCACCCCCACCAAAACCCAAAGTAAGTTGCTAGATTAAGAGAACGCAAAAGAAACACTCTCCAAAATGCTACCCGCAGTGTCAGGACAGAATCTGTGCCCCAAAAGGCTGCCAGCAGCTCTCTTCCCGGCCCCCGGCCCCCATTTCATTGGGCTTCATCCCCTGGCGAGTCCAGTGGCATGGAAGAAGTCATCCCTGAAGCCATGGAAGCCACGGGCTTGAGGTGAGTCTGGCTCAACGCAGAACTCTCTTCCCCACGCCAGAAGGCAGGCATGACTCTGAAAGCATCGGAGCAAGAGCCCTTTCTCGGAAACTTCCAAGAAATGAATTTCTGGAGGCAGATGTGTGTGTGTGTGGGGGGGTGTTTCTTCCCAACTACTGCACAAGAATCTCCGCTTCCCAAACAGCCTGCAGCCACACAGGCACTCTGGGAGGAGTCCTCGCATTTCCTTATGACATTTCAGAGCATCTGAAGACCCTTAGTGCCATCTGCCGCACCCTCCCAAAGGCACCCATGATGCCTATGCTCTGATGCCACTGCTGGGGGCAGCAATGCTACCAGTTGCAGGAAACCACAGGAGGGGAGAGGGCTCTTGCGCTCACGTCCCCCTAACGTGTGGGCTTCCCAGAAGAGCCGCCCAGTCGGGCGCTGGACTAGACGGGCCGCTGGCCTCAGCCATCAGGCTCTTCTTCACTTTTCCTCAAATGGAGCCTGAAGGACTTCCCTTCCCCTCTCCCCCTCCGAAAGTCTGAATGAGTTAGTAGCAACCAATGCCATGCCATCAGCTGATCCCGAAGGGGCTCCCCGCAGCGACCTCCTTCCTGTTTTGGCCGACAGACCGCAAGTGGAAGAAGCTCAAAGAGGTAGCCAAGCCTCAGAGATCTTCACTTCTGCTTTCTGGCGGAGGTGGGGAGGGGAGAGGGAAGGACAGACGCACCATGCAGGAGCTCTGAAGCATCCTGCCCAAGTCACTTTATGAATGGAAGCAAGGCTTCTTTGGGGGGGGGGGCAGCGCCTGTCTCTGTTTGCCAGCTGAGGTGGATCCTCCTTACCTGGGCTTAAGAAATCAGAGATGCTAAGAGAGCAGAGCTTATTTATGTGTCCGAGCAAAATCGCAAACCTTGCTGAGAAACTCACTAGAGCAGCCTTTCTGAATGTTGCTGGACTACAACTCCCATCATCCTTGACCACTGGTCCTGCTAGCTAGGGGTGGTGGGAGCTGTAGTCTCAACCACAGCTGGGGGCCCAAGGTTGAGAAAGGCTGCAGCAGAGGACGGGGGAGCACCTGTGGCCCCTCCAGATGCTACTCCCATCATCATCATCATCCTCCTCCTCCACGGAAGACTGGGCCATGCTGGCTGTTGGGTTTGATGCTGCTTGGGAGCAGGAGGGCCACAAATGTTTCCCCAGCCCCAAGTTAGAGGGGGCCCCCTTTGGCCTGACCCTGCAGGCTCTTCTGTTCTGGTGATCTCAAGCAAGCAACCACAGACCTGGGTGTTACACAGTACAAATAAAATATTCGGATAAATATGCAGAGACATTTGGACATAAGCGGCGAGGACAGCAGGAAGCCTGAGCCAGGTGGCTTGAAAGCTCAAGAGTGGCTGCGTCCCGTCCCCCCAGGTGTTATTTTCTGCTTTTAACAGTATTTATTTTATTATGTTTCTGGAACCCCGCCCAGATTAAAGGCTCTAAATGCAAATAATAAATAGAGCTACTGGTCTGCAGCACAGGAAAAGGATTGTTATGCTTACTCTGAGGAACGCAAGAAACTGTCTCATCCCAGTTCAGACTAATCCTTTGTTTAGCCAAAGGTGGTCTGCGCTCTCCAGGGGTCTTTCCTTCCTACCAGGAGATAACGGGGCAGAACCAGGGACAGTCTGCCTGCAAAGCGGCTGCTCTGCTACTGAGGGACTGGCTCCTTTCTCCAGTGGTCCTTAACAACTTGAAACCTGAGCTGCAACCGGAAGAAAGTCTCTCAGATGCTGCTCCCATGTATAGGAGGAAGAGAGTGCTTTTCCTGCATGCTCCTGAGCTGAGCAGATGCCTTCTCTTTCCATTTTTAAGCACCGGCTGGGAATTTGTCTATTACTTCAGGCAACTAGGAATACACATTTCCACAACAGCTGGCTCATTTTTTTTACATACGGTTTTATGTACTACTATTGTAAACTGCTCTGGGGTGTACAGGGCGTTATGGGGGGGGGGGAGACCTCTGGTGGGGGACATTTCATGCTCCTTCTGGGGTAGTTTGTCCACCTTTGGTCCCCACCCTGCACTCAGCTGTCAGCGTGCAGTAACGGCCACACCCTGGGAGCAGCTTCAACTGGCTGGCTAAACCAGGCGAGGGGTGTTGGTGGGTCTCAAACCCTCAGGGAATTCCCTTGCATGTGAAGACAGGCTGCAGAGGATGGAGTGGACAAGACCAAGAGGGGCCCCAACGGTAAATAAGGGGGTTTCTGCCCCTGTTGTAGAGGGAGGTGAGGGGCAGATGGGGCCTGCCCATCTGTGAGAAGGGAAACTCTGACCCTAAATCTCCTCTACCTTGTGGGAGATCTTGGGAAGAAGAAAAGGCTCAGGAGCAAACCTTCCTCAAATCCAGAGTCCCTAACGCATTTGGACGGCGCCTGGTGTGCTGAAGTGGTAAAACGGCGCAGGCTGGTGTTGGGAGCACCCTGGCACTCTGCAAGGACGCAGGAGTGACGGAAGCCACTCACCTGAGTTGCAGCCAGCCTGTTTGAGGAAGAGGGTTCTTTGCTCTCCGAGGATTAGGAAACAGAAGCAAGCATGTGACAGAAAAAGAGCAGTTGGGGGGGGATGAGAAAGAAAGGCCTATGCAAAGCAGAGTGCAGCTCTACACTGTGCAGAAAGGCTAGGTCTTTGTGGAGACTTTTGCTGCCTCTCGCTCTGATTAAAACCAAGCCATGAGGTCAGCTTCAGCTCAGGACTAGAAAAGAAAACGGCAGCCAACATCCAATGACACCTGCTCCCCCCACCCGCTCCTGTTTCTTAATCTCCATTTGTGAAAGACAGCATGGGTCAAATATGACTAAATAAGGAGAGATCTCTGAAATCCCGGGGGGAAAAATGGGGGGGGGGGGGGAGAGAGGAAGATGCTGCTAAGGAGAGAGTCAGGAGGAGAGCCCTGCACTGAGAACAAAGCAGCGCCCAGCACAGAGGAAAAGGCCCCGTCTTAATACTTCCTTCCTCAGAGCTGACCAAAACCTCAATAGTGAGCGGCTTAAAACCCATATAAGAACGTCAGAGGAGCCTTGCAGCAGCTGAGTCCAGACAAAGCGAGCCCATGTAGACCAGCCTCCCGTCCTCGCAAAGGCCAACCTGATACCCCAGGGGAAGACTGCCAGCAGGAGCTGGAGACAACAGAAGCATCTCTCCTCACTGGTGAATCCGAACACAGCCATCACGGCCGGTAGCCCTCGGCAGCCTGACGCATTTGTCAAACCCTCTTTCAAAGCCATCCAAGTTGGGCGTCATCATGACAGCCCATGGGAGCAAATCCTATACTGGCTCCCCACTACGCTTCCAAGTGTTGGTGCTGACCTTGAAAGCCCCAAATGGCCTCAACCCCGTATAGCCAAAGAAGCAGCTCCACCCCCATCGTTCAGCCCAGACACGGAGATCCAGCTCCGAGGACCTTCTGGCGGTTCCCTCCCTGCGAGAGGTGAGGTTACAGGAAACCAGGCAGAGGGCCTTCTCGGTGGTGGCACCCTCTCCCATCAGATGTCAAGGAAATAAACCACCATCTGAGTTTTAGAAGACAGCTGAAGGCAGCTCTGCATGGGGAAGTTTCTAAATGTTTGACGTTTTTCTGTGCTCAGTTTGTTTCATTTGTTGGGAGCCGCCCAGAGTGGCTGGGGAACCCAGGCAGAGGGGGGGCATATCAATGACGTTGTTGTTGTTTAGCCCAGCACTGGGCAAAGATGTACTGTACTTCCTTATGCCTGCCCTGAATCTCCCGTAAGGACCTGAGAAGATTCAGAGCGAGCCCATCTAGACCAGCCACCCATCCTGTCCCCCAGTGGCCTGAGCTCCACAGAAGCAATCCGCCCCACTTGAGACCCCCAGAGACCGAACCCATCCTTCCCGGCTACAAAAAGGACTTGACAGCAGAGAGAGAGAGAGAGAGAGAGTTTTATGGGTTGCTTTTCACCTCCAGCACCGGCCCAGCGCCCAGAATGGTCCTCTCCACCCCGCTGGCGTAGCCCTTCTGGCTGAGGGCGGTGAGGCAGTGGATCAGGAAGTTGGTGCTCTGCGTCTTGCCGGAGCCGCTCTCCCCGGAGATGACGATGCACTGGTTGACGTGCTTCTTCAGCATGGTGTGGTAGGCCACGTCGGCGATGGCGAAGATGTGGGGCTCCAGCTTGCCCAGCTGGTGGCTCTCGTACATCTGGACGTACTTGGGGTTGTAGATGGGCAGGAACTTGAAGGGGTTGATGGCGATGAGGATGCTGCCGGCGTAGGTGTAGATCTTCTGCTTCAGGAAGCGCCGCTTGAGGTTCTCCAGCAGCGTGGCCTCCGTCAGGTTGGGCAGGTTGCACAGGTCGTTGACGTCCTCCTGCAGCCAGGGGAGGAAGCCTCGCTCGACCAGCCGCCGCGCCTCCTCCCGCCCCTCGTCCTCCCCGGAGGCCACCTGCAGGTGGACGTACTTGATGCTGCCGTCCGTGTTCCTCTCCTGCAGCAGGAAGTAGTAGCCGTCCTGCCGGGGGTGCTCGTCCTGCGCCCGCCGGGGCCACAGCAGGACCCTGTGCACCGGGGAGTCGTTCCCGTCCAGCACCCACTCCTCCCCGCCCGACTCCTTCACCTCCACCAGCACGTAGTGCTTAGAGACATCCAGGCGCAGGGAGCCGATGACGTCCCGGATGACGTCGGCGGTGGTGGCGTCTTTGGTTGCCGTCACTCGGCAGCAGGAGGCGCTTTCGGCCGAGAGCTGGGGGTAAATATGAAGAGTGTAGGCCGCCTTCTCGGGGCAAGCTGCACCGCCGGCATCTTTCGCGCTCATCCTGCCTCGGCATACCGCCCTGGGCTCGGCTGCGGGGCTGGGTATCTGGAAGGAAAAGGAAGGAGAGAGGCGGGTCAGGGGAGGATCCCAAAGCGGAGGCGCCGGGCAATGGACCTGGGAGACCGGGGTTCAAATCCCCACTTGGCCATGAAGCTCACTGGGTGACTTTGGGCCAGTCACTCTCTCTCAGCCTAACCTACCTCACTGGCAGCGTTAGAAACTCAAGATATATAAGCAGGGCACAAAACGGCTCCTTAAACTGAGGTTGCAGTCGCCAAAACGGAATGTCTAGTTGCCATTTTGGAGCAAGACGGCTCTGAAGTCTCATTTTTTCAAATGATGGACTGACTGGGACTGACTGAACATCTGGCTAGTTCAGAGGACAACCCTGAGCTAGGTGAAGAGAACTTAAAGATGGTGGAGATGTCAGGAGCCATCCTTGGTCCTATGAACACCAGCAGAAGCGTCTGTGGAGACGAGGTGACCAATGTGGCTGGGAGTCAGCAGATCTGGAAGGGGCCAGGGCTGCTCCTGGGGCAGAGATGACACGCACCCTCACAGCAGGAACATTCAGTTTGCACTGTTTGCTACAAGCTGCTCCGAGTCTCTGCGGCAAAGCCTGGGCAAAAACATACCCAAAATCAAACTCTCCAAAACACAAAGGCTGCTTTGGATGGGGAAGATTCCGGATAAATGGCAAAGGGACACATATGACTTTGTTTTTTTAAGCTCCTTGAAGACACCGGCGTTGCTCCAGGTCTAGGCAAGCCCAAACTACCATCACCTTGGATTTCTGATGTCCCAAGGGACATGGTACAATGTGGGGGATCTTTCCCACCTCAGGGGAAATTTCTACAACACATTTTTCAGTGGAAAATTTTCTCCCATTTTAAAAGAAATCCGTAACATTAGCTAGTGACATTGTAAGATGCCAAACCAAGCAGCTGGAATGAACATGGCAGTAATCAAATCTGCAAATCAGAAGCTGCAATTAGCTTCTTTCACGTGATTAGTCTGAAGTGGTACATACATTCACAGTCAAGGATGGTAACAATTCCGAGTGCCTTCACTTTTTCCCTTAAAATCCGCTGTAAAGAATGTTATTGCCATATCTTGAAACATTTGCAAGCATTTCAGTAAAAAGTGCTTTCCAATGGTTGTATCAAACAAGTTCTACTCAACAGTAGCCCCCCAGTGATACAGACGCAACTGAGTTTGTAATGTCCTATAACTTCATTGGGTCTACTCATTTGATACAACCCTAAAAAAAGCTTCCAGTTTGTTTAGAGCAGGGATGCAGAGAAGCACGAGGCAACAACAGCCACAGCCGTCCAACTGACAGGCCAATCTCAGCCTCGGTGCACAGGCGCAGAGGGACCCCAAAATGCAGCCACCTGTGCAAATGGACAGTGACATTTTTTAAAAGAGCCCTATGCACACAGAATTAACTGCAGTTCTCGATGGGAGGAGCCACACCTTAAGAAAACTTGTAAAAACAGCCCAACACAGAGCTGCGAGAGAAGGTAAAAACTGAACGCCCAAGCAGATGGGCAGGGTGAAGGAAAGCAGCATGGCCGAATCGCCATGGTCAAGCTGAAAGGGGAGTTGGACGGCCCTTTGCACCCCACTTCCAACTCTACAACTCTGTGATTCTGCAATTCTCCAGAACATTGACTCGCAGAGCCAGTCGCCAGGGTCGGTTTCACACATTTTTGTGCCTGGAGCAGAAGAGCAGATGGGTGTCTCCTTTCCCCAAGCGCACCCTCCTCTGACCAAGTTATTTTGGCGCCTGAAACAAGAACACCTCACCATCACCTGTCCTGGGGAGCAAAATGACAGCATTGTGTTAATAACTGAAGAAGAACTTAGCAGCAGGATCAGGCCGAAGAGGGTCCACTTAGCCCAGTGGCTAAGCAGCTGCCCCCCAAGGGAAGCCCACAAGCAGGATGGAGAACAGCTTGCGATTCCCAAAAACTGACATTCAGAGGCACCATCATAGCTTACAGCCTTTGATGGTATATTTGTCTCGATTTTGAGCCATGTAAATTGGAGATCATTACTAACATCTTGTGGGAACAAATTCTTCAGTGCCTATGTGAATAAAGTCTTCCTTTCGTCTGCCCTGAACCTTCCAACATTCGGCCCCAAATTCCAGTGCGACAATGGGAGAAGACCTCTCCCTATCTGCTTTCTCCACACCACAGATATACAGCTTTTAGCATGCCCTCCTTGCTAATACAGCCTTTTTGTGACACCGAAAGTCAGCTGCCCATCACGTTGTACTCAATGGGAGAGGCAGCCTGGCAAGGTCTGGGTTCATCTGTCACACCAGCCACACTCAATTGACACGACCACAACTGGCCCTGTCATCTTATCATCAAGGAGCACTTGCCCTCCGGGATATTCTGAGCCACAGAAGGAAACAAGCAGCTTGATAACCCCCAGGGTTTTAGCAGGCAGCAGTGCCATTCAAAAGATGCTTTCCAAAAAGCGAGTCCTAAGCCTGAAAAGCAGCCAGGCGTCATCAAAGCAGCACAAAAGAAGGCCGGAAGAGCCAGGCCAAGGGATGAGTGTTCACTCTCATTTGTTCTCCCCAAAGGAGACAAGAGGATAAAATGCATTGTCATTAGGCCCAATTAAAAGGTCACAAAGAACCCAGGAACGTGTGCAGTGCTCTGCAGTGTTTTATGCAAGATGAGGTTTGTTGTTGTTGTTGTTTGGTCGTGTCCGACTCTTTGTGACCCCATGGACCAGAGCACACCAGGCACTCCTGTCTTCAAGATAAGGTTACCCCCGGCTAATAGCCACACTGGAGATAGTTGCAGCAGTAGGCCCCTGAATTCTGGTCACTGGGTACCACAAGTGGGGAGAGTTGTTCTTGAGCTCCCATGCCTTTGCCCCCTTTTTCCAATGAGTAGGGAAGCGGTGTTTCTCCTTCCCTCCCATAGGAAATACAAAACAAAATGGGCAGCCTTGTCACAAATCCTGGAAGGCAGAGGGACAGGTTACCTGAGCCTCAGGAAGATGGCAGGAAAGGGGGCTGCAAAGAGGAATGGGTGAACGGCTGCCTCCCCACTGACAGAAGTGAGGCAAGGCAGGACCCACCCACCACAAGGCCGTTTCTGTGACCCGTCGATTTAACCAAAGCAGGAACCCCGTGCTGCCTGAAAAGGGAGGCCAGGAACAGACACGGCTTTGTCTCTTGCTGCCCGTGGGCTCTGGCGGAACAAACCGGCTGCAACGTGACCGCTTAGGAAACACGCCTACTTAGGGGAGAAGTCAAGGGTCAGGCAAATTCTCCCCAGGCATGTCTTGAGTTCTTACCAGAGTGGAGGGAGGCCGCCCCGCTCTCAAGGCAGATGAGGACCCGGAGAGCTCACTCCTTCCTCCCTCCCTTCCTTCCAAGGGGAAGGCATGACACATAGGAAACTCAGCTTACTTCTCCTTCAGCTAAGCCACGGAGGGGAAGCTGTGGAATCGCTTTCCTCTGGAGGTTTTCAGAAGGCTCTGGTGCCAGCGAATGCCCTTTCCTGGGCACGGAGAACTACAGCTTCTTCCAATTTGGAGCAATGGTCTGTTTGCCAAGGGAGGGCCGCTTGGTTAAGAGGGGGGAGCTGCTATTTGGGCTAGAGCCGAAGCAGCAGAGAAAAGGGAAGCAAATTTCTGGCTTCGTAGAAAGTAATTTGCCGGAGCCTTTTGCAGACAGAAATTCTGAGGCTGTTTCTCAAGGCCTAAGGCTTCCCTGTATAACCTGACAGAAAGCACCTCGGTGTCAAAGGATTTGCAAAGCGCGCAGAGAACTCTTACCTTGTGCATATCACAGCCTCTGGAAAACACGGCAGAGTGTCTGTCCCCATCCCATCCCGCCAATCTGTCCGAGGCAGTGGTTTAGTCTACATAAACCCGTAATTTTGAGCTGCATGTTTAACCAATGAATCATGCCAATGCTAAAAAGGGAAAGCTACCATTATAGCAAAACTGGGCAGCCAGGGGGTGGGTGGGGGAATAAAAGGCACATTTCTGCAAGTGAACCACTTTGGCTCAATAAGTTCTTCCCTGCTAAACTGGGATTTATTGCCGCCCCCTCTGGAGGAGGCAGAATCGTCACAGAAGCAACAGCCTCAAACAACTCATTCCAAAAAAAAACCCTCCATCGACCCACACACTTTATTTACAAATATGGGCCTTTCTGTCCCTGCCGACAGAGATGGGAGATTTCTGAAGGCCCCGGAGTTGTGAAGGGCAGAGATCCCAAAGTTACGGCAAAAGGAAACAGAGAACTCCTTCAGACTGCTGAAAACATTACGGGTCCACTATAGAGGAACTCCAGAAGCTGCTCTGTACCAGCTCAGACCATTCGCTCCACCCAGCCCAGCACTGACTGGCAGCAACATCTCTCCTGGATTTCGGACAGGAGACCACTCCCACCCCTACTTGGGGTTCCTGCGGACTGAACTTGGGACCTGTCTGTCTGTCTGTCCCACTCCTGAGCAACTTACTTGATTTTTATGAGAAGGACAGTAAGATTCTAGTCCTCATGATTATGACTGAAGGACTGGTTTAAACTGGAAGCTGCTGCACAGTCAGACCACTGGTTCACCTGACGCTCAGCATTGTCTACACTGACAGGCAGCAGCCCCACCTGGAGATTCCTGGGATTGAACATGGTACCTTCGAAGGCAAAACAGGTATCCTACCACCCAGCTACGACCGTTGAGCATCTTGGCCACCCTCCTCTGCACACCTTCCAGCTTGTCAACATCCTTCTTAAATTGTGATGCCCGGAACTGGACACAGGATTCCAGGTGTGGCCTGACCAGGGCAGAACAGAGTGGGACTAGGACTTCCCTTGATCTGGACACTAGACTTCTGTGGATGCAGCCTAGAATAACATTCGCTTTTTTTGCTGCCGCATCACACTGTTGACTCGTGTTAAGTTTGTGGTCCACCCAGACCCCTAGATCCTTTTCACATGTCCTGCTAGTGAGCCAGGTATCTCCCATCCTATATTTGTGCATCTGGTTCTTCCTGCCAAAGTGCAGAACCTGACATTTATCCCGATGGAAATTCATTTTGTTTGGGTCCAGTTCTCCAATCTGTTGAGGTCACTTTGAATTCTGATTCTGTCTTCTGCGGCGTTGGCTACCCCTCCCAGTTTGGTGTCATCTGCAAATCTGATGAGCATCCCAATTCCTTCATCCAAGTCCTTTATAAAGATGTTGAACAATAGGCCCAGGACAGAACCCGACAGCACCCACTTGTCACTTTTATCCAGGATGATGAGGAACCATTAATGTGTACTCTTTGGGTTCAGTCGGTCAACCAGCTACAAATCCACCTAAGAGTTACTTCATTCAACCCACATTTTACCAGCCTCCTCACAAAAATATCATGGGGAACTCTGTCAAAAACTTGACTGATATCAAAACACACTATATTCGCAGCATTCCGCTGATCCACCAAGCTTGTAACTCCATCCAAAAAAGAAATGAGGTTTGTCTGACATGACTTATTTTTGAGAAACCCATGTTGGGTCTTAGAAATCATGGCATCCTTTTCTAGGTGCTCACAAACCGACTGTTGAATTTTCTGTTCTGGGACCTTTCCTGGTAGCGATGTCAAGCTCACCGGTCAGTAGTTACCTGGGTCTTCTTTCCCCTTTCTGAAGATGGGAACCACATTTGCCCACCTCCGGTCTGTAGGGACCTCACCTGTCCTCAAAGAATTCTCCCAGATCATAGACAAAGGCTCTGAGATTACATCCGCAAACTCCTTTAGCACCCTTGGGTGCAGCTCATCAGGCCCTGGAGACCTGAATTCACTTAAAGTAGCTAGGTGTTCCCACACCACCTCTTTTCCTGCACTGACAAGTTAATGCAAATTTTTGCTTTTCAAAAGCAGACAATTCAGCTTTGGCGAAGTCACACTATTGTAAGATAGCACCTCTCTCTCTCTCGCACACAAACAAACACAGAGAGAGAGATCACAACCATTAGGCCTGGGCCTAAAATATTTAAGGAGCTTCCCTTTGAAAGGCAACAGGACCACCTTTGTCTGAGTGTTGTATTGTGTTACAGCAGCTCCGCTAAAGTCCAGAGCTTCCATGCTCCATTTCACTACCAAAAAGGCCTTTGAGAGCGTTAGGAAACAGAACTAAGCACACACACAAGAGGAGGACTTTGTAGACATGAATGGATTTTTTTTTTTGGAAAAACCAAACACAGACCCAAACAACAACAGCAAGGAAGGATTTGCTAATCCCTGTGCAAACATTGGGCAGTTCAGTGCCAAGGGCACAGGCCTGTGCGTAGCTGCAGCACAGTATTTTACAGACTGCAACTGCTTCACTGATTAGCTGTTAATTATTCTATATGATTTATGCTGTAGTTGCGATGTTCTGTTGTGCTCTCTCATGCTATTGCTATTTATTGATTGTGAGCCGCTTTGGGGTCCATTGGAATGGAAAGCGGCATAGAAATATGGGAAATCAAATCAAAAGGAATCCTACACTGATCACTGATCATGTCTGCATAGGTTGCGTACAGGAAGGCTGCTGAGCTGCAAGTTTTCCCCATCTGCAGACTCAAAGGCTGGGTGGTGGTGTCAGTTTCTAAATACCTCATCGCAGGTCTTGTCTTTTAAACAGAAAGGAACAAAGAGAGAGAAACACATAGGTTTTTTAAAACCTAGAGCCTTGAATATGAATGCTCGAGATCAGCCACTGAGGGGCTGCTCCCACCGCCCCGTATGTGATTTGAACCCAGGGCCTGCAGCCAAGATTGCTGCCCCGCTCAATACTTCCACAGAGGGAGTGAAGCCACAGAACTTCCCTGGCAAGCTGAGACCTCAAGTCCTGGGGCAGGGTCGGAAATCAGATGTCTAGCGCTGCACTCTCAAAAAAAGAGGTCCCCACAAATAAATTTAAGATCTGTACGGGTTGGAGTCTCCTCGACCCATGAAAGGGTGGGTAACTGAGGGCTAGAAGCATACGACTCAAGCGGTTTATTCATACTCTGGATTATTCAAGCTAACATCGTCCATGAATCACTGTTTTCCACACCAAAAGTGCTGTCTGCTTGAAGTTTCAGCCACCAGATATGTGCGTCTTCTTTTTCATACACACTTCAGCAGACAGCGTGTAACCCTCTTTCAATTATTCAGGGAGACAAATGTTTAAGGTTGTGTGGCAGGTCTGAGAGAGGAGCCCGGAGGCCTGGCGCTCTGCCCCTATCACACAGCCCAGACACTTTGGGGTTTGGTTTGAGTGACACAGAAAACGGACTGAGTCAACCTCTGAAGGGGGGGGCAGGCGGGAGAGAAGAAATCTCTTTGTTTAGTCAGCTAGTCATCCTCCAGACGCAGAGAGCAAAAGGCATGGCTCACTTAGGAAGAGAGAGGAAGTTATCAAGAACATCTGCAGCTGAAAAATGCAGAGGGGAAGGGGGGGGCGGAGAGGGGAGAAGGGAGCCTAGGAGGCTCCCACATCAAGGGGCCTCCTCCAAGTTTGGAAGAAAGAAAGTGGGGACTCCCTCTGCCTTCCGCCACCCCACGCAAGAACCAGCACCTCTGAAGTCGGAGGTTAGGAAAGATCTCGCAGCGAGAGGTTGAAAGCAAGAGAAACCATGCAGAAACTTTTAAAGACCTTTTTTTCACAGCTGAGAGCCACACACAGCCACCCAAGGTGTCTGCTTATCAAACTGAGAGCACTGGGGTATTTAATCCGCATCCCATCACTTCCTCAAGCCAGTAGAGACAAGAGCTCTCTCCCTCTTGTTCTCATGAACACCTTGAGGGAGAAGGGAGGGTTAGAGGTGGCAGCTGCACAGCTGGCGAGGGGGCAAGGACGGAAACCTCGCCAAAATCCCATTTTGAAAAATACAATCCAGCATTAGAGGCCTCCTAACCAAATTTATTGGGCATTCCTCAATTCAAAACAAAACAAAACCCTGCTTTCCCTCTCTGCACAGAACATCCATAAATGACGCTCTCCTTGTGTGCTGACGCCCGCCTTGCCTCAGAAGCACCTGCACCATAAATTTAAAGCGCACCCTGCCCCAAATTAGAATTCTGGAAACTGTAGTTTGCCCCTCACAAAACTACAATTCCCTAGATTCTAAGAGTGCATCCATTGAGCCACACTAGTGTTGTGGGTCGTCCCCCCCCCCCCCACTTTCTCCTTGACAGGAAACTTTAAGAAGTGAAACCTCTTCAAAAATAGAGCGATCCAAAAGGCCTGGCTTGATCTTTCTGGTATTTCTTGCCCTAACTTATCCCCTACAGATTGAGGGGGGGGGGGTGGTATGTGCAGAGGGGGTGTGAGGGGTGGGGAAGAGAGAGAGAAATCTGTTAGTTACAAAGTTGACGCAAGACACAGAGGCTGCTGCCCAAACCACATAAGGGTGTGAGCGCTCTGCTCTGCTCGATGGAAGGCTGCCTCATGATATCATCTTCGGACGCGCACCCAACCCGACCAGCCCCAAAAATCTCTGCTCTCTTGAGCGCTGGAGAGTAAATTTCAAACAGACACACGGGGGGGGGGGGCAGCTAGGAGAGCAGTGGTGCCCACTGGCTGTTTTAAGTTCTTCCTAGGTGTGCCAGGGGGAAAAATAAACAAAATCAGACAGCGCCACCAGCCCTTTCCTACCACTGTAATAAATCCAGACACACTGAGGCGCTCCAAATGGGGCGGCCCTATTAGTAACGCATCCGCGAGGCAAAGTGATGCAAGATCCCCCGCCGGATGGGGACTGTTCTCCAGAAACCGGGATCCGTGGCCCAAGGCTGCTGGCGGGAGAGCCCAGCCACCAACTCCCAGCCTTAATTGCAGGGAAGGGAGCAGAGAGTCGCCCCAAGGGCCTGGCAGAAAGCGGCAGGAAACAGCCAAGATCTCCCAGGTTGTACACACCAGGCCCAGCACCTGGTACAGAGGCGGCAGAAGGGCTCCAAAATGATGGCTGCCTCCATGCCCCCTCTTCCTTCCAGCACAGTGAACCAATTAAGTGGAGCAAAAGGTAAAGATGCCGTCACTCGCACTCAGCCCTGATCCACATGGACAAAAAAAGATATATAAAGGCAGCTCACAGGGTCCCTCTCTGGATAAGCAACCTCAAGACGGGTAGTCTTGAAAATAATAATAATAATAATAATAATAATAATAATTAGAGAAGTACAGCGTCCAACTACCTGCAACCCCTCCCCCATACTGTGCCCCCAAAGCTCTCGGCTTTCAGGTAAATCCCTCACCTGGGGATCCAGGACTGACCAAAGAAATCACTGTATCACACACAGTATGTACTGAAATTATGGGATTCACTTTCACAATATGTCACGATGGAGGACTCTAAAATAACAACAGGATCGTAGAGATGGAAGGGACCCCTGAGGGTCATCTAGCCCAACCCCCAGCAAGGCAGGAATTTTTTGCCCAATGTGGGGCTCAAAAATTACCTTGTTTTCTTACCCCTTTAATGTGATGATTTTATATTTCTCATTGTTGTAACAATATTTTCCATTGTTTTTAAATCTTTCATAGTATACTTAATGTATTACGCTGCGTTTTACGCTCTCTGTTTTCTTCCATATCTTCTCTACTGGTCATTGACCGAGAGAAAGCGATAAAAATATTATACACACACACGGTGCTTTTTCTGGGGGGGGGGACGCGTACCCCTAAACATTATGTGAATCTTTGTACTTTTGTCTGTTTACTGTATTTATTTTTCCCCAATTTGAACTATAAAATGGTGATTTTCTGGAGTCAAAATGAGAGTACCCCTAAACATTTTTTTTAGAAAAAAGCACTGTATAGAATAATATAGCAAAATATAGTACACAATAGTATAGCATAATATAATACAATGTAATATATATTATATAAATATACACACATATACACACATATGTTATACACACTCAAACATATATCGTACCATATATATTATATTTTGTATGTATGTACTGTATAACACAATACATACATTATATATACATGCATAAGCACATATATGTTATATATACAGAAACATATCATATCATACCTTATATTTGTATGTACCGTATAACATAATGTATATATTATATATACACACATATACATGTTATATACACACAAACATATTATACCATACCATATATTGTATTATATTATATATGTTTGTACCCTATATATGTAACATAATATATATACACTATATACATTATATGCATACATTATATATATATACATATATATATATATATATATATATATACCAGACTCCCCCCCCCACCCAAAAGCTGCTCCCCCCAAGTAACCCCCCCAAACTACCTCAGCAAAGGGAAAACCCCATGTATGTCTTTGCTGCCCCCTTGGACATAACATTGGGGGGCTAAGCCCCGCCCCCTCGCCCATATGACACGCCCCCTATTTGAATGGGGCTTCTTTTTGGGAGGCTCCCTCAGGTATTTTACTGGGGGGGGGCGTGTGTGGCAGAGAGCGAAGGGGCCTCGGACCTGGCTTTATTATTACTATTATTCTGGGGGGGTGTCTTCTAAATGCCCCCTCCTTCAGCCTCAGTCCCCCCCCCAGGGAGACACCTTCTTAGAGGCGGTACACGAAGCTGAGGGGGGGAGAGAATTGTGCCACAGCCCCTCCTTCCCCCCCCAAAACATGACCTCATAAACCCCCACATTTAACTCCCCCCAATCACCTCAGAAACCCCCCAAGTTAACTCATAACCCCCCAAATTACAGTACCTCAGAACCCAACATCCTAGAAATTACCTCAGAACCCCACCCCACAGAAATCCCCTCCCCAAAATTACCTCAGCGCCCCCCCACTTACCTCAGAGCGAGGCCGGCGGCTCCTCCGGGCTTCTCCCCGCGGCTGAGAGGCGACGGCCGGGAGCCGCCTCGCCCCGCCCTCGCCCCCTTCCCGCCCACCGCGGAGGCGGCCACTTCCGGGCTGGACGACGCCACGGCGCACGCGCGGAAGGGGGAGCAGGAAGCGGAAGGCGAGGGGCGGCCGCGCAGGCGCAAACCGCGCAGGCGAAGCCCGAGCGGCGCCTGGCGCCCTTCCCCGGCTGCCCTTCCTGTCCTGGGAATGGTTAAAAGTTGGGACTCAATGGGGTTTTTTTTGGTCAATTATTGATTATTCAGAGATACACAAAAAATATGGATATTTCATTTTGGAAAAAATTGTGTATTAAAAATTTATTATTATTATTAAAATGTTATATTGATTTTTTTTTCAGAAACATACCAAAACGCATACCCATCACTAAGTATCTTATTAGGTATTTTGTGGTTAAAAAAATATATATTTATTTGCATCAGCCGCCGGCCACAGCAATAAAACAACAATGCAATATTCAAAGAATAGAAATAAAAAGTCAATTATGTAAAATACATTTTAGGGTTTTGACTCAAGTCAAATAGTGGATCGTACTCTGATTGCCCCAGCTAAAAAACCTTGCCACCTTTGCTGTCACCTGCTCATCTTGATCTGCCAAGAGAAAGGACATAGGGGCAGTGGCTGAGCAACCTGGAATGGGCAATAAAAGAGGGTTTTGCATCTTGATTTTATTCTGTGAACCGCCCCATGACCCCTGGGTATGTTGTTGTTGTTGAGTCGTTTAGTCGTGTCCGCCTCTTGGTGACCCCCTGGACCAGAGCACACCAGGCACTTCTGTCTTCCACTGCCTCCTGCAGTTTGGTCAGACTCATGTTCGTAGCTTCGAGAACACTGTCCCACCATCTCGCCCTCGGTCGTCCCCTTCTCCTTCTGCCCTCCATCTTTCCCAACATCAGGGTCTTTTCCAGGGAGTCTTCTCTTCTCATGAGGTGGCCAAAGTCTTGGAGCCTCAGCTTCAGGATCTGTCCTTCCAGTGAGCACTCAGGGCTGATTTCCTTCAGAATGGAGAGGTTTGATCTTCTTGCAGTCCCTGGGACTCTCAAGAGTCTCCTCCAGCACCAGAATTCAGAAGCATCCGTTCTTCGGCGATCAGCCTTCTTGATGGTCGAGCTCTCACTTCCATACATCATGACTGGGAAAACCATAGTTTGAACTATACGGACCCCCGGATATAGGGCGGTATAATAATAATAATAATAATAATAATAATAAATAAATAAAACAGGCCAAAAGAAGACACTGTTGCAACCAGACTTTGCAGTGAAAGAGTGACGTGCTTTAATACAAAAATTCAATTTAATACAAAAATTCAAGCAGCCTGGCAGAGAGGGCGGCTTCAGCTGCCGGGTTCGGGATGAGAGGCCTGGAGGGGGGCCAGGCTGGGGGTCGGGGCCTAGCCAAAGTAGAGCTGTTTCATCCTCTCGACCCCCTGGGCGTCTTCAAAGACCTTCTGGCAGCGCAGGGAGGCCTCCTTGCCAACATCGGCCGACAAGTCCAGTCCGTGCGCGAAGGTCCTGGAGGAGGAGGAGGAGAGCGGGAAATGGGAGCAGAGAAGCAAACAGGCTCATCTCTTTGCGAAAGATCTAGCAGGGCGCATTGCTAAGAACATGGGAGCGGCAGGTCCTGACGGCTCAGACCGACCAACGTTCAACATTGTCACTCCAACCAGGTGCTTCCTCGAAGGAAATTATTTCTCCCCAGCTTCTGATCGCTCAGGTCCAGCTCCGAGGGCCTTCTGGAGGTTCCCTCCCTGCGAGAAGTGAGGTTGCAGGGAACCAGGCAGAGGGCCTTCTCGGTGGTGGCACCCTCTCCCATCAGATGTCAAGGAAATAAACCACTATCTGACTTTTAGAAGACATCTGAAGGCAGCCTTGTTCAGGCAAGTTTTTAATGACTGATGTTTTGTCGTGTTTTTAATTTTATCGTGTTTTTAATACTCTATTGGGAGCTGCCCAGCATGGCTGGGGAAACCCAGCCAGATGGGTGGGGTATAAATAAATTATTATTTCTTCTTCTTCTTATTGGTTCCATTGCACCATCATGGCGAATGACCACTCAGGGATCTCCAACCATACCCAAAGTACACCCAAGGAAAGCGGGCACGTCCCTTAAATCCAGTGGGTCTGCTCTGACTAATCCCTTCGTTTCCAATAAATAAATGAGTTTGTAGCCAGCTTCTCCTGAATAGCATCACGTGGATGAGCCTAAATCCTCCCTTTGAAGCCGTCTGAGCCTGTGGGCCACCTTGTGGCAGTGAGTCCCGTGGGTGAACGGGCTGCTGAGTGAAGAACAACTTCCTTTCTGAAGCACTGGGCGACCAGTTCTAGTACTTACGAGCAAATGAGAATACCTTCTCTCTACGCATTTGTTTTCTGCAATTTCTGTCTTGTTCTTAGCGTTCTTCTAAGCCGGTTCCAAAAAGGCCCACAATCTCACTGTTTTGTAAAGTGAATCTCCAAGCAAAGCAGATGCTCTACTTCAGCAGGGGGGGAAATGGGACATCATATTTCTGTCTCATTCTTCGAAAGTTTGTGTTCCCAACATGGAGAAAGTCTGTATTCCTAACATGGAGAAAGTCTGTATTCCCAACATGGAGTACGTCTGTATTCCCAACATGGAGAAAGTCTGTATTCCCAACACGATTCACCAAGATCTCCCTCAGCCCCTTAAGAACTTGCCTCTTCCTCCTCCTCCTCCACCCAACCAAACAGGAACAAAGTTCCTTAGGTTCCTTTAAAATGTGCTTTTACTCTAAATACCTTGGCAGCTCGGCAGCCACCTCCAAGGACGTCTCCTCCAGCTCCTTCGTGACGCTCAGGCCCTTGGCGTTTTCCCTGGCGTGCTCCGGCAGGGCTCTGCGCAGAGCTTCCTGAGTGGCGGCCAAGGCCCTCTGCAAGTCGTCTGCAAGTCGAGGGAAGAGATTCAGAGAGAGGCAGAGATCCTCTTAGATGGCAGGCATCAAACCAGGAACCCTCCCCACTGAAAAGCAGATTCTTGGAGAGGATTGTTCCCGGCTGCTGCAACTCCTGCCCTCGGAGGTCTTGCAAGGTGCTGCAGGAGACGGCTTGCAAGGGCTGTTTCTTGGACCAAGCTGAAACTGCAAATCTCCCTTGCTGTCAGGGTGGATAAAAATCAATGATTTTTTTTTTATTTAAATCAGATTTTTTTAAAAAAAATTAAATCGTATTTTTAAAATAAAATGTTTTTGGAGGAAAAATCTGCTCCCTTTCTCTTTCCCCAATCTTCTTGTACATTCTGCCTGCTTCCTGCATCACCTGGACTGGACTGCTGGCTGCCACACCTGTTCCCCAGGTTAGCTCCCATACGGGGCAAACCTGTTTGTAACTTTAAGCCTAAAGCCTGCCTTCAGGGATCACACTGCGCTCTGCCTAATCGTGAGTAAAACTACTTTTTGTTACTTGTAAATAAGCCTGCGGTGTCTTTATTCTTTTCGGAGGGATTCAAGGGGTCTTACCAGGAAAATATTATTTGGACAAGCCAGATTGAATTGCTTATTGTCTTAAGAAACTCACATTAGTTTGCAACCAGCTTTCTGCTGCGTAAGAAGGGGAAGGCACTCTGCTAGCACAAGTTAGGAAGGATATTAATAAGCAATATATCCTCTCCTTGCACCCTCAACATCCCTGCAAGCAGATGCTTCCTGATGCCACATGGGGCTGGATCCAGGAGTCTCTGCCGTTGAGGTGGATCCACTCCCCTACCTAGATACTGGCTCTTGTCCTCGCCCAGGTAGATCTCGTTCACCGGCAGCTCGTGTCTCGCCGTGTCCAGGGCGGTGGCAAAGTGCCTGTATTCCTCTTCGAATGCCGGGCTCTGCTCAAAAACGGGACCAAGCGCTTCGAGCTGGAAGCCCGGGTGGTGGAAGGAAGGAGAGGCGTTAGCCGCAGGACAGACTCAAGCCAGCCCTGTCCTCAGATCTGCCCCCTGGGAAGCAGGAAGCCCATACCTGTCTGCCCAGCGACTCGGAGAGCTGGCGGTCTTTCCTTAGGCGCTGCAGCCTGCGACGTTTCTTCTGGGCGTCCGCCTGCAGCCTCGCAGCCTCCCTGCTGAGGGTTAACAGGCTCCTCTCGGATCGCCCTTCCAGGAAGGCGGTATTCTTCTCCATCTGTTTGCGATGCAATGTTGTCGGGTTTCGAACACGCGTCCACAAAAGGCAGGTGAAAGAAGAAGTATTTAGTGCAGGGGCTTCTAAAGGGGGGACGGTTCTCCCTCCTCCTCCTTCTCATTTATATACCGCTTTATATTTTAAAGGGAAAAAATCTCAAAGGCATTTGCAACACATGAAAGCAGCATATGAAACAATCCAGAATAAAACAAACTCCATCTTCAAGGGAAATATTTCAGATCCTTCTCTAAGTGACGTTTTGCCGCCGGCTCTCAAAGCAGGGATAAGACTGTTGGTCTCTCACCTTTAGGGAGGCATAGGTCAACAGAAGTGTCTCCGATTCCAGCATCCGAATCAGGTCGTCAGAATCAGGAGAGACCTGGAAGAAAACAAAGCCGATTCTTTAACAAATCAAACGTGTGGGAAACTGTCGAGAAAAGCAGGGAGGAAGGGCAAATCTGCTGCAATTCTCTTTACATGCTTAAGAAAGTATAGCACTCCTATAGTTTTTTAAATTATAGAAATTTAGGTCCCAGATAATGATGATCATTAAGCTATGAATTGCCTTCTAAACCGGCATCTCAAAGCGATTCACACATAAGATAATTAAAGACAACTAAAAGCACAAAAACAACAAATGCATTCAAAACAAGACAAGTGGACCCTCGTGGCCAAGACTGGCTCACCCGTCTGGGAACGTTTACTGCCACCTAACAGCAGACTTAAGAGTATCTGTTTGACAACAGCTCAACAAGAACTTGTAGCCCCTCACTAGAAAATAAAATCTGCATTCAGTGTCTTCGTATGGCTCACCAGGCTCTGCTTTTCTCGGGGGGTGGATTTTAGGTGGTGTTTCGAACTCGATGCTCTGGGGCAGCTTTTGCCTGGAAGTGGCAACCAGAGAAAAGACAAACACACACACATACATTCCAGTTAACAGTCAAAAGCCGATAGGAGACTGGGCTGCAACTGGGAGGAGGGAACCCACAAATGGCTGTGACAATGACCCCCCTGCTTTCTCCGTGTAGTGTTTTCCTGGAGCGTCTCCACCCCCATCGTTCTGCCCAGACACGGAGGTCCAGCTCCGAGGGCCTTCTGGGTGTTCCCTCCCTGCGAGAAGTGAGGCTACAGGGAACCAGGCAGAGGGCCTTCTCGGTGGTGGCACCCTCTCTCATCAGATGTCAAGGAAATAAACAACTATCTGACTTTTAGGAGGCATCCGAAGGCAGCCCTGTTCAAGGAAGTTTTTTATGTTTTGAGGTTTTGTTGTGCTTTAAAATATTCTGTTGGGTGCCTTGGACACCTCCGGGGGCGGCTAAACTAAATTTGGGGGTGCCCGGCGGATCTTTGCACCCCGGCGGTGCATATGCTAAAGACATCTCTGGGAGCGAGATCAAGGGGTCTCGTCCTGGACGAAAGGAGTTGCCTTATATATCCCACATGGGGGGAAAGGCATCATTGAACCCCTGGGTCTTCTGCGGGACATGGCCCCCCACCCCTCTGAAAACCACGCAGAAGTTCTCTCATTGGGGGCGAGAAAGGAGGCCAGCACCTCTGCAACCAGTTCAAGGCTGTAACTGGAGGGAACACACGTACTTTTGATGACAGAGACCTCCAGTTCAGGCCGGGATCTTCCATGGCTCTCCACCAGAGTGGACTGCAAAACCTCGTGAGGGTCTAGAGGAGGGGAGGAAAACCCAATCATACTTGGTCTCTAAGGTGCTACTGGAGATGGAGATATATATATATATATATATATATATATATATATATATATTCCAATTATCCTGGTTTGCCGGAGCAGCTCCCAAGCGGTTTGCCGGCATTGAACTAATTGCACGATGGAGACAAATAAACACAGATCAAAATCAGAAATGGCTGAATTGAAACCGCAAAGAATAGACATTGTCTTCTAAGAGCCAGGAGGGAATTACCAATCCAGATCGCCTTTTCGACAGATTTAACCGTGTCGGAAGGAACCCCACCATCATGCGATCTTGCCCCCGAGAAAGGCAGTTCCACCCCAGAGAGCCCCTTCAAGATGCTGGGACCCCCCCCCCCCAAAAAAACTCACCAGCTGTGGCTTTGGCAGCGGCCTGGAAATGAAGAATAAGACACGGCAAGTTAGGCATGGGCTGTTATGTCATGGCTGGGGAGTGTGAGTGTTTCAACACACTCCAGCAATTGGATAAATCAAAATAAAAGGGTTTACACCTCTCCCCACACCCACCCCAAGCACGTTTCGGTGGAATTTATTTCAAGGATTATTATTAATTATTAGATTTATAAACCGCCCTTTGTCATAAGATTTCAGGGCGGTTCACAGAAGAAAACATGGGAGAAAAACAAGTAAACAATTAAAACAAAACAGCAAAACAGCGATAGCCCCCTTCTCACAGACACATTTAAAAAGCTGTAGAATATTAATCAGCCCAAGGCCTGGCTGAAGATGAACATTCTCGCCAGGAGCCAAAAATCTATAATAAAGGCACCAGGCAAACCTCCTGAGAGAGCAATCCACAAACGAGGAGCCACAACCCGTTTCTTAGCAATTATTTTACCAAAGACTTCTCAAGAGCAAGTGACACACAAACCGAAAGCGGAAACACCAAAAAGAGGAATTTCACATCCAGATCTCACCTTTCCGGATCCTTTTTGATAGTCCAGGTATCGCGAGGGCACGATTCTTGCCCCTAAGGAGGCAGAAAGGAGACAAAAGGGAAAAGCGTGAAACGGGAACAGGCAAGGTGCCTCTGAGCATGTCAGGAGCGGCTTTTCTGAAGACTGTGGCAGGAGGGGGCAAAGCGCCTCCCTCTCCAGAATGGCAGCAAGCACGTGCAGAGTTCCTCTTGCTCCTGTAGGGCCCCTTGCCCTCCCCAATGGGCATAGCCAGGGGGGCAGCTGCTCACCCAAAATCAATAAAAATTCTGAACTAGCTGAAGTTCTGCCTCCCCCAACATAAATCATGACTATGCCCAGGCAGAGGGCCTTCTCGGTGGTGGTGCCCACCCTGTGGAACGCCCTCCCTTCAGATGTCAAGGAAATAAACCACTATCTGACTTTTAGAAGACATCTGAAGGCAGCCCTCTTTAGGGAAGCTTTAAATGTTTGATAGTGTTTTTAATATTCTGTTGGAAGCCACCCAGAGTGGCTGGGGAAACCCAGCCAGAAGGGCGGGGTATAAATAATAAATTATTATTATTATTATTATTATTATTATTACGTGCAGAGACCTCTGTCCCCCCTGCATATATGCATCTCCTTCTCCCCCCACCCACAACATGTGCATCACACTTACCCCCATAACCCCCCCATCATACGGGTCTTATTTTATATTATAACTAGATGGATCTTCCGCCCTTGCTCAGGGGATCTCAGGGCGGCTTACAAAATAAAGCAAACAAATGATTAAGACAAAACAGCAACAATCCCGACTAGGGAAGAATGGCAACCCAAAATTGCTGGATTATGCCCAAATTTGTTTTATTTATTTATTTTCTATACCGCCCTAAACTCAAAGGTCTCAGGGAGGTTCAGGTGAAATAGCTAAATGGCTAAACTAACCGGGAGACTAAGGAATCAAGAAGATAAAAGGCTTTAAAAAAGAACTGGGGGGGCTTATAACCTATCTAGGAGACCCTTGTAAACAAATTAAAACGTTAGCTGGAGTTTTAAAAAAATCACTTGTAAAGAAACGAAGTTTGTGGACAATTAAGAAAAATGAGAATTATGGAAACTGTATTGATATGTAAACTTGGAGAAATAGTCATTAGGATCCATTTAAGAGATGGAGGGAAGTCAAGAGATTCAGAAAATGTATATAACTAATTTGTTGCAAAATTGTATATGTAAAAATACATGAAAGAAAAAAGAAGCAGCGGTGCTCCCGAGCATGTGCAGAGCGCGGCCGCCTTCTCCCAGGCGCATGCGCAGAGCGGCGCCGCCTCCCCCGAGCATGTGCAGAGTGCCGTCACCTCTCGGCTTGGGCCGGGCTCCCGCCTTCTCCTCCGACGCCAGGCCGGGCTCCGCGCGGAGAGCAGCGCCGCTCCGGAGAGGCGAAGAAGAAGAAGAAGCCGCCGCCACCGCCGCCGCCTCCTTTCCCGCCATCGCCCTCAGACGAAAGGGGCCCGCTGCGCATGCGCAGGGACACCGAGACGGAGGAAGCCGCGCGGCCAGAGCGGCTCATAGGCGGCTTCACGTGGCTCTGTCGCTCACGTGACCCCGCGGAGGCGGAAGTGGGAGGCGGCGGCGGCCTTGGCTCGGACTCTGACCCTCCTCGTGTTCCCCTGGGCTTCCCGCGAGGAGGCGGCGGCCGTGGAGGCGGAGGAGAGGCCCGAGGTGAGAGTGCCTCTGAGCATGCACAGAGTGCCGCAGGCAGACTTGCGAGGGCGGGCGGAGGCCAGGACGGGTGTTGCTGTTGCTCATATTCCTAATAATAATAATAATAATATTTATACCCCGCCCATCTGGCTGGGATTCCCCAGCCACTCTGGGCGGCTCCCAACAGAATATTTAAAACGCGATAAAAAGCACACTAAAGCTTATACCTAAAACTACAGTGGTACCTCAGGTTACAGACTCCGCTAACCCAGAAATAGTACCTCGGGTTAAGAACTTTGCTTCAGGATGAGAAGAGAAATCGTGCTCCGGCGGCACAGCAGCAGCAGGAGGCCCCATTAGCTGAAGTGGTGCTTCAGGTTAAGAACAGTTTCAGGTTAGGAACGGACCTCCGGAACAAATTAAGTGCTTATCCCGAGGTACCACTGTACTCAGTTGGTCTCTATCATTTTTAAATTCTTCTGGAATGATTCCTTTAAAGACTTCCTTAGCTCATATAACCTTTTTGAAGGCTTGATTCTTTTAAAGGAGTTTTTAGGCTCTGAAGAAGAGTCTTTTTAATTATCTTTTTAAAGAATTGTTTTAATTTATTTTGACTACGGCAGACCAACACGACTAGCTACATAAACCTAAAAGACTTCCCCAAACAGGGCTGCCTTCAGGTGTCTTCTAAAAGTCAGATAGTTGTTTATTTCCTTGACATCTGATGGGAGGGTGTTCCACAGGGCGGGCGCCACCACCGAGAAGGCCCTCTGCCTGCTTCCCTGCAACCTCACTTCTTGCAGGGAGGGAACCGCCGTGGGAGGAAGCTCACCATCTTGTTTGTGTCCCCCCTCTCTGCAGTTCTCCCCCCAGCCAGCCGCTGGGCCTGCGACGAAGCGCCGAGATGATGGCCCGCGGCCGGCAGATCTTCTCCGTCTACTGGAAGCCGCTCTTCCAAGGCCGCCTCCTGCTGGTGACCAACACCGTCAGCTGCGGGGGGCTCCTGGCTGCCGGGGACACGCTCCGCCAGGCCTGGGAGATGAGGCAGGACCCCAAGCGCAAGCGGGATCTGGCCCGCACAGGTGAGCCCTGCCTGCCTCTTGCTCAAAACGGCCTTTCCACTGCGCTACCTGGGATTTCAATCCCCGGGGGTGCAGAGTGAGGCCATCAGTTTGTGGGTCGTGGCCATTAGCCATGCTCCTCGAGAGGGCAGGAGGGTGGCAAGACGAGAGCAGGGCCTTCTGTATTACACTGAGATCTGTCTGTTTTTGCTATTAATTTCACGTTTTTGTGGCTCTTTTTTGTTTTGTTTTTGTGACTGTGGAACCCAGTTTAGCTACCGATTGGCTGATTGTGTGACTGCAGTACATTGTTTATTGCTTTCATTTTATGGTCTCGTTAAGATAGTAAAATTCATGCTAAACAGCTGTCTTAGGGGTTGTTTTTAATGGTCTGGAATGGATTAATCCATTTTTGCATTCCTTTCTATGGGAAAGCGCGCCTTGGTTTGGGAACGCTTTGGTTTTGGAACGGACTTCTGGAAGTCCCCTCCACCTCAGCTTTTCACAAGCGCTCCATTTAGACTTCCAAGTGATGGAGCCTCTTTTCTTTGCCTGTGGTAAAGGTAAAGGGACCCCTAACCCTTAGGTCCAGTCGTGGCCGACTCTGGGGTTGCAGCGCTCATCTCGCTTTACTGGCCGAGGGAGCCGGCGTACAGCTTCCGGGTCATGTGGCCAGCAGGACTAAGCCGCTTCTGGCGAACCAGAGCAGCGCACGGAAACGCCGTTTACCTTCCCGCCGGAGCGGGTCCTATTCATCTACTTGCACTTTGATGCGCTTTTGAACTGCTAGGTGGGCAGGAGCAGGGACCGAGCAACGGGAGCTCATCCCGTTGTGGGGATTCGAACTGCCGACCTTGTGATCAGCAAGTCCTAGCCTAGGCTCAGTGGTTTAACCCACTACAAATATGCCTTCTCCTCCTCCTCCTCAGCCCGCATGTTTGCCATCGGCTGCAGCATGGGCCCCCTAATGCACTACTGGTACCTGTGGCTCGACCGCACCTTCCCCGCTGCCGGCTTCAGCGGGATCCGCAGCGTCCTCAAGAAGGTTTTCATCGACCAGATCGTGGCCTCCCCGGCGCTGGGCGTTTGGTACTTCTTGGGTGAGTAAGGACATTGACACCGCTAGGAGAAAAATCCCGCTTGGGAGGGATTGTATGCATGTGGAGGGGGTCAGCTAGGGCCCAGGACTGGCCTCATCCTGCACCCCCCTCCCAAGCATTTCCTTTCGTCTCCCTGCAGGGATGGGGTCTCTGGAGGGGCAGACGCTGGACCAGAGCTGGCAAGAGTTGGAGGACAATTTCTGGGAGTTCTATAAGGTAAGACTCTTCCCTCCCCGTCCCTGACATCACATCCTGTCCCGTGGGGCAGCTGACCCCCGTTTCCTTTTCCCGCTCGCAGATGGACTGGTGCGTGTGGCCCCCGGCGCAGCTGATCAACTTCCTCTTCCTGCCCGCCGCCTACCGGGTGCTCTACATGAACGTCATCACCCTCGGCTGGGACACCTACCTGTCGTACCTGAAGCACCGGGTGGGTAAACTGAGGCAGCGGCACAGGGCGCGAGCTTGGGGTCTCCGGTGGAGAGAGGTTATCCCAGAACTGCAGCCTCAGATCCTTTGAATCATGAGCTCAGGGACCATGTTCTCTTGTAGGGCAGAGGTGGGCAGGACAGCAGAATAATTTCTTATTTATACCCCACCCATCTGACTGGGTTGCCCCAATATTTTAAAGCACAATAAAAACCTCAAAACTCGGCCCTCCAGATGTTTTGGGACTACAATTCCCATCATCCCTGTCCAGTGGTCCTGTTAGCTAGGCATGATGGGAGTTGTAGTCCCAAACCGCTAGAGGGCTGAGTTTGGGGCTGCCTGCCTTAAGGGATCATTTCAGCAGGCTGTGGTCCGTCCAGCTCACGACTGTCCGCCCAGCAGCAGCTCTCCTGGGTTTCTGGGTCAAGAGGATACTCTCTGCTCTAGCCAGAGATCCCACCAGCTGCATAGATCCCCAACTGATGAGATCCCACCCCGCTTTCTCTTTAGCCTAAGCACCCATCACTCAGCCTGGAGGAAAACGAGGAAGCCGACGCAGTCGAGATGGAAACGACCGGGTGAACGAGGGCCACTCGCTTCTGCCAAGGTTGGATCCAGGGCTCCCTGGGTGCCGGAACCGGCTTGGTGCCCACCAGATTGGTGGCTGGATCTGGGAAGCAGGCGCTGTCGCCCGGGTGCGCAGCCTTCTCTCCTCCCAGCCGAGGCCTCGACTCCCTCTTCCAGCAGCGCCTCGGATCCTGAAACGGGCTGGGGGGCAGATTTGGCACGGGCATCTCCTGACTGCCAACCCTGGTCCTTCCCAGTTCATTCAAAAGTGCCAGATCTTCCCAATTAAAGAAAAAGCAGGTTGCCTTTTTTTGCACGCCGTTGCCAAGACAGGTGCTTCTTCTCTCTGCTCAAGACGGTTTGTCCTTTTAATGACTGATGTTTTAATGTATTTTGAATCTGTTGGAAACCGCCCAGAGTGGCTGGGGAAACTCAGCTGGGGCTATAAGTAATAAATTATTCTTATTCTTCTTATTAAATTATATTTTGAGTGCGGCGGAGCTGCCAGGCTCCTGACTGCAGTCAAACGGCAACGGCTGGCCACACGCCAAGGTTGCAGGTTTGATCCCCGTATGGGACAGCTGCGTATTCCTGCCTTGCGGCGGGTTGGAAGAGATGATCCTCTGGGTCCCTTCTGACTCTAGAATCCCATTCTTTCCTCGTTTCTAAAAACTTACTCAGCCTCCCAGCCTCACCACAGCCAAAGCCCCCTATCAAAATGCAAGAGCAACAGCGGGGTGCTCCCTGCTTGTGGTTCCCAGCAGCCGGCACTCCAAGGTAGACTGCTTGTGTTGCTGGAGGTGCAGCCACACCACTAAGTCCCAGCCCACTCCCCAAACTGGGAGAAACCCCCTTTTAAAAGCACCCAGCCCCCCTTGCCACATCAGACCCCCTTCAAGCGCTCGGCCTCCCCCCTTCCTTCACAGGGACTAGCAGCATGGAATGCTTCTCGTGATCAGAATTTTATTTCTTCACAACTCTCCTTGGTACCACGATATTGGGATTTCCTTTCCACCCCATAGCTTTTAATTGTTTTTGTTTTTTTTAAGAAACTGAACTCATTTTGACACTTCTGACAGGTTTTTTTTTAAATACAGTACAGCATATATATATTTTTATATTTATATATATATATATAATTTTCCCCATAGAAGTAAACTTCACAAAGAGAGAAAGAATGTTTTGTGTCTAAATATCCGCCAAAACGAGAAAAAAAACCCAAAACCGTACGTAGCGTTTCCATGAAAAAAGAAAAGGGGGGTCGTGGGATGGAGGGGTGAGGAATGAGAGGAAAAGGGAATGTTTTAAACAGTGAGAGTTTGGTCGTTTGAGAAGATTGAAAGCCAGGAGTTCTCCAGGTGAAGCGGGGAAAGATCACTTGCGGGTCCGAGGGGGCGGGAGCAGCAAGTGGGGGCAAGGCAACCTTTTACCTCTCCTACAGCACAACAGCCTCTTCCCCAACCTGGTGCCCTGCAGATGCCACCAGCCTTGGGCCAAAGCGGTTCGGGTTCATAGGAACCGCAGTCCAAGAAAAAACCTGGAATGGGGGGTGCAGGGAATGTAGAAGCTGGACAGGGCAAACCAGCCTTCCAGATGTTGACTAGGCTCCCAACAGCTGGCTGCTGATGGGATCTGGAGCCCCAGCAGCACCCAAGGGGGCAACAAGTTCCCCCTCCCCGTGTTGGAAGGGAAGGCAAGAGGCAAAGCCCAACAGAGTCCTGCTCCAGAGTAGGCCCATTGAAACAGGCCGCCCTACGCCAGTTTATTTCGGGTTACAGAGGCTGCATCTGAACTCTACACGGAGAGGATCCTGCAGTCACGGCTCCCCCTTCCACCCCAAAAAGCTGGGAGCTGTAGTTTTCAGGGTGCCGAGAGCTCTTAAGAGACACCCCGCCTCCCTCAATTCCCCTTAGGATTTCCAGGCGGGTTTTATCGCCTGCATTATGATCTCTCTTTTAGCGCTTGGGAATTCTTCTCTTGCAACCTTTTACCCCGTCAGCATTTCCCAAAACTTGGGCCCTGTGTGTGTTTTCCAGGACTACAACTCCCATCCTCCCTGGCTAGCAGGACCAGTGGGTCGGGGAGCGTTGAAAGTATGCTGAGAGTTGGTAGGGGACCCTGATTCCCTTCGCAGAGCCTACCGTTCCCCCCGTTTTCTGGGAAGAGGGGCTGGCTCTGGAATTGGCTCTGTGGTGGAAATCTGTGCCTCCTATTTCCAGCTCTCAGCGTCCTTGACAAACAACGCTTCCCATAATCCTTTAGGGGAACCTATGGCTGCTTAAAGTGCAATGGTGCTGCCATGACTATTCAGTGCAGACGGGGCCGGAATCTGACTTCCTGCCCTGCAAAGTACAGAAAGCCAAAGCTAACAAATTCCCAATTGCAAATCAGTTGCGTCGACACAACTGGGTCTGGAAGATCAACAGGACTGGATCAGACTGGGGGACTTGACTGGGGAAGGTGGTTCCACAAAAGTGGACCTGTGTAATTTGAAAACGTCCAGAGACCCAAGTTTGGGGAACGCAGCCCTAAGTGGTCTGCGCCATCAAGGACCCAAACATGCTCCCAGAGGGTATATGTCAGGGCAAAGAGGAAGCTGCGTTATACAGAATCCCATGTCGCTCAGGACTGTCAACACTGACTGGCAGCAGCGGTCCAGGGTTTCCAGCTCTGTGCAGATCACAGAAACTGAACCCGGGACCTTTCACTGGAAGAAACTAAGATACTGGCCCTCATTGGCCAAATGGAAAGGATGGAGTTGCCTGTGATGGTGACCCCACTCTGGGAATTGTAGCTCCGTGAGGGGATGGGGGTCTCCCGTTCCCAGGGATCTTTGGGGAGGGGTTTTGTAGTGCTTTAAATGCTGCCCTACAGTTCCCTGGAAAGAAGAGTTGATTGTTAAACCGATTTGGGAACTGTAGCTCTGCAAAGGGAAGAAACTACTATTCCCATGTTTCTTTGGGGGGAGTGCGGGCAGCTGTCACTCTTTAAAGTGGTTGCTTCTGTTGCCAACCACCCTTCCTCGGCCCGCCTTATTCTCGTTCATCTTATTAAATACGGTGTTGTTGTTTTTAAAAAAGAGAATAACCTACAAGCAACTGAAAAACCGTGTATGTTAACATTTTCTTTAAATAAATAAAAAAAACCCCAAACGCACGCTCACACGCACATGAAACATAAATAAAACCACCAGCAGCACAAAGCACGGCACGGCAAGAGGACCTCCAAACACACACACACACACGTCAGAGTCTACTTCTATTTACAGGGAACGGGCCTTGGGGATTGCATTTCCTTTTTCCTGTACACCAAGGAAGACGGGAGGAGGACCGGAAAGGGGTTTTTGCAGGGGAAAAGAAGGGAGAGAGAAAGAAAGAGAGAGAGACACAAGCCATCCTCTGCAGGGCAGCGGTGGGAATCAAGGAAAGCTCTCCTGGCGGCATTTTGGCGACGCCGGACTGGCAAGGAGGGTCTTTGCCCTCCCTGGCTAGCCAGCCAGCGAGGCCAAAGAGAGTCTGGAAAGCTGGGAGATTGTGTCTGGACAAATCGTAGGCCAGGAGAGCCCCGCAACTGCAAATTGAGCCGTTTCCTAGATCTGAAAGCATACTGAGCCAGGCATCATTTTCTATGCTGCCAAACGAGGCTTCAAAGGGGAGATCTGCAGCCCTCCATATTTGCTGGGGTTCCCAACTCCCTCGCTGACCGCCGGCCACACTGGCTAGCAGGTCAGGAGCTGGAGGGCCGCAGATGTCCTGCCCTGAAGACGCCACAACAGCCACACACCGCCACTCCGGGAGGAAGAGAGACGGAGAGGAGGGGCAGGCACAGAAGCAGGTGTGGGCCTCCCCGCTAGCGACATTGCGGGACCAATCCTGCTTTGGAGAGGGGGCCAAACAGGGAGGGCGGCAGCTGCAGAATTCAAACACAGGAACCAAAGCAATTCGGCTTCACAAGAGTCAGACCGTTGGGTCTGTCTCGCTCGGTATATTGTCTACACTGACCGGCAGTGGCCCTCTAGGCGGGGGGGGTGTGTGTGTTTCCAGCTCCACCTAGAGATACCACTGGGGACTGAGGACCAGAGGGCAGGCGCTCTACTGCTGAGCAACGGCCCAATTGCTAAAAAACAAAATTAAGACACCCGTCTTTGCGGTTGATTTCAACGAATATGCCTTGTGAGGAATGAGGTTGCTGGTCCATTTAGCTCAGCGCTGCGCCCACTGGCTGGCAGCAGCTCTCTGAGGTTTCTTTCCCCCAGCCTTACCTGGAGCCGAGGCCAGGGACCGGAACAGGGAGAACTTCTTTCGGCCCAGGAAGCAGCTGCTCTAACCGAGGAGTCAAACCCACGCGGCAACGGCAGGTCCAAGCACGGGGTGCCTGCTCTGCTCTCTTCAACAAGACGGGGGGTGTATTTTGGGGGGGAGACACACAGAATGCATGGACAAAAAGAACCAGCAAAGGAAGGCGGAGGAGGAGGAGGAAGAAAGAGGAACAGCGGTGGACACCCAGATTTGCAAAACCAAGAACAGCTACAAATCGAGAGGCGTGTGGTCCAATAAATAAATAAATAACATAAAGAAGAACCCAGAACAGTGGAAATAGCTTCCTCTCGACGCTGACCACCCGCCTCCCCAGCCCGCCCCACAAAGAAAAGACGATCCACAAAGAGAAGACAGGCAGGGGGCTGAATTCTCACCCGTCCCTTAGAGGAGAGCGAGGGGAGGTGGTTTGTTTTTAAGCTTTGACACCCCTCCTAGGTTTGGGGTCTCGTCCCCCCCACCCCCACCCCAAAAACCAACAACCCCACAAAGGATAAAGCAATGGGATGGGTCAATGGGGGTGGGGAGGTGGCTAGGCCAGGACTCCATAGTTACTCGGAAGGTGGCGGGGGGGGGGGGAGAGATGAGGCAGGCAAGGAGGAAGGTGTGGCAGGAGGGGGGCGGGGGGAGGTTCGGGGGGCTCCGCCTGGGAGTCTCTTCAACAGGCACAGTCCTGGTGCGGGGGGGCTTGCTGGTCGGTCAGCTGCGGACCCTGCTTGGCCCCGGTGACGGCGGGGTCGGCCGTGTCCAGCGACTCGGACATCTTTTCGCAGATAATGTCCACCAGGCGCTCAAAGGTCTGCTTGACGTTGATGTTGTCTTTGGCGCTGGCCTCAAAGAACTCGAACCCTGGCACAGAGGGGAAGGGGGGGTTGCAAAAATGAAATAAAATAATGAACACAGAGAGAGACAGAGAGCAAGGGGGGCAGGAAATGCAGGAGAGCCCCGGAAGGAGAAACAGGGATCTCAAAACGCCCAGCAGGACCCACAACAAGGCAGAGACCCTCCTTCCTTGGCCAAACACAAGATGGGGGGGGGGGGAGACAGAGAGAGAAACTGCCCCCACCTGAGTGCAAACCTCTCCCATATTCCCCTTCCTCGTATTCCCCCCCCTTATTCTTCTTCTTCTTCTTCTTCCATTATTACATCATTAACACCATCCTCATCCTGAATCGTCTGATTATTATTTTTGTAACTGTTAGCATTATCTCATTTATATGCAGCCAATCAGGGTGGCCCCCGACAGAACATTACAAACACAACAAAGCGTCAAATGTTTTAAACAACTTCCCTCCAGAGTGCTGCCCCGTGGAAGACGGGAGCCAGCTTGTTTTCTGCTGCTCTGGAGGGTAAAACATGAACTCATGGCTTCAGGTTCCAAGAAAGGACTAAATATCAGGAATAATTTTCTGACAGTAAGAGCCGTTTGACAGTGGAAGGGTCTCTCCTTCCTTGGAGGTTTTGAAGCAGAGGTCGGGTGGCCATTGGTCTGGGATGCTTTAGCCGAGATGCCTGCATTGCAGGGGGCTGGACTGGATCCAGGGTCCCTTCCAATTCAAACAATTTTATGAATCACCATTAATTCTTGTTATCATACCACTTAGTATTACAGTGGGACCTCGGTTTTTGAATGTCTCAGAAGTTGGACGTTTCGGATGTCAAACGCCAAAAACCCAGAAGGAAATGTTTCGGTTTTCGAACACTTTTCCGAAGTCAAACATGCTATGTGGCTTCCGTATTGAGTTTACTGTTAAGTAAATGTTTCTGTAAGTAAATGCTTCGAACGCTTTTCGGAAGTCAAACAGTCTTCCGGAATGGATTACGTTCGAAAACCAAGGTGCCACTGTCTTTTAGCCACCACCAATTATTATTATTACCATCGTGAAACATGATTATTTTCATCACCATTATTTTTATTGCTATCCTCTCCATCCTTCTTATTACATGATACGCCCTTTCCCTCCAAAGAGCTCAAGGCGCTGCCCATGGGCCTCTCCCCCCTCCATCGTCACAACAACCCTGCGAGGCTGCCGAAGCCATCCTTGGCGGCCGAGAAGAAACCTTGCAAAGCCCTGAAGCCTCTCCCCCTCCTGGATTCCTGCTTTCCACCTCTCTCTCATTCCCACAACCCCCAGAGCGCCTTCTTCCGGCTGCCGACTCACCCAGGTGCTCGGCCAGCTGGCGGCCCCGCTCCGACGAGACGACCCGCTCGTCCTCCATGTCGCACTTGTTCCCCACCAGCAGGACCTGGGCGTTGTCCCACGAGTAGGTCTTGATCTGGGTCGACCTGGCGGAGAGACGGAAGCAGCAAGGGGGGGGGGGTCACAGGAAGACTGTTGGGACAGCCAAAAAGACCACTCACCGCCTCCCCTTCCTGTGAAGCTTCTAAACCGGTGATGGCCAAACTCAGCCCTCCAGCTGTTTTGGGACTGCAACTCCCATCATCCCTAGCTAACAGGACCAGGGGGCAGGGATGATGGGAATTGTAGTCCCAAAGCAGCTGGGGGCCCTTCCAATGACTGGACTATGTGCTTCAGAAGCTGAGAGCTCTCTGCCCTCCATTGCCCCCCATCTGGGCTAGCAAAGGGCAGCCTTAAGTCTCTTTCTCCCCCAGAGTACACTTCTGTATTGCCCACACTCAGGGTGGATTTGATTTAAATCAAATTGATTTAAATCACGATTTAAATTATTAGTAAGGCTTGATTCAAATCACTAGTCAGTAAGACTTGAGTCAAATCACTTTTTTTACAGAAAGATTCATTCTTGCTGGTATAATCTTAATATTTACAACCAGAGGAAGGCTTCCTTTTTGGAATAATAAATTTTCAGAGTCGTTTTTTACAGTTATATCAAAAATTACTGATTTGGTTATACTATTAGAAACATATTGACAGATAATTATGAAATTATGGTGAGGTTTAATAAGCCAACAGTTTATATTTGGACAACTTTTCTGCTGTACTTTGCTGGAAGGAGGAAAATAATCAATTCCTCAATAACAGTTTAATCCATTTATTTAACTAGAACAATAACATTATAGCATATACACGGAAAAATACGGTATATCTTGGTTACAGTGAGGCTATTATTGGATTATAATGGAAAATTAGTAAAAATTATTATCAAAAAGATGAATAATAGTCCAGAGGCTGGTGACACCCCCCTCCCACCCCCAGGATCTCCCCCGGGACTCACCAGTCCTGGACGGCGTTGAATGACTCCTCGTTGGTGATATCGTACATCAGGATGAAGCCCATGGCTCCCCGGTAGTAGGCGGTGGTGATGGTCCGGTATCGCTCTTGCCCGGCCGTGTCCTGGGGAAAGGCCAAGAGAGGCTGTTACGGAGGGGCCCGGCAGGATCAGGCCCCCAATTCTGTCCCAACATCAGCCGGAAGGAGCTCTTTCTTGGCGGAGAAATGGGGCTCTTTCAGTCACCTTGAAAGATCACACCTGAAGGCAGCCCTGTTTAGGGAAGCTTTTAATCTTTGATGTATTACTGTATTTTAATATTTGGTTGGAAGCCACCCAGAGTGGCTGGGGAAGCCCAGCCAGATGGGCAGGGTATAAATAATAAATTATTATTAATTATTATTATTATTATTACTCCTTCTTTCCCTTAGCGAGTGACCCTGCGAGGCGGGCCCTTTCCTTACCCAGATCTGCAGCTTGATCCGCTTGTCGTTGCGGTAGATGGTCTTGACTTTGAAGTCGATGCCGACGGTGCTGACAAAGGCGGGCGTGAAGGAGTCGTCGGCGTAGCGGAAGAGGAAGGAGGTCTTGCCGACGCTGCTGTTGCCGATGATCAGGATCTTGAACATGTAGTCAAAGTTCTGGTCGGAGGACTCTTTCTGGCCATAGCGGGCGTCGGTGGCGGAGGCCATCTGGGGAGGGAGGGAGGGCAGGCAAGGTGATGAGACATGGGGGGCCGACCGGGGGGCCCCTCGCTAGCACCCCAGGAGACACCCGTGGAAGCCAGAAAGGATTAAAGAGAAACCAAAGCAAGAGCTCCATGCGCTCTCCGTGGGGCTCCCTTTGAAGGTGACCCGGAAACTGCAACTAATCCAAAATGTGGCAGCCAGACTGGGGACTGGGAGTGGAGACCATACAACACCAGTCCTGAAAAACCTACATTGGCTCCCAGAACATTTCTGAGCGCAATTCAAAGTGTTGGTGCTGAAAGCCCTCAAAGGCGCAGTAGACCTGAAGGAGCATCATTCAGCCCGGACACCGGGGTCCATCTCCCAAGCGCCTTTTGGCGGTTCCCTCCCTGCAAGAAGCGAGGTTGCAGGGAAGCAGGCAGAGGGCCTTCTTGGTGGTGGCGCCCGCCCTGTGGAACTCCCCCCCATCAGATGTCAAGGAAATAAAGAACTATCTGACTTTTAGAAGGCATCTGAAGGCAGCCCTGTTTAGGGAAGTCTTTAAGGTTTAATGTTTTAACGTGTTTTTAATATTCTGTTGGGAGCCACCCAGAGTGGCTGGGGTAACCCAGTCAGATGGGTGGCATATTGATAAATAATCATCGTCATTATTAGAGATCTGTTTCTGAAAGGAGCCTCCCTCAAAGGGCTGTTTAGAGTGTAAAATGGGCAAAAATAAAATAGTAACGATAACAAGGCTCCCAAGCCCTGTCTTTCCCCCTTAACTATGCAAAAAAGGACCAGCGTCATTAATGGTGCAACAGACTGGGAAGAAAACGAAACCCAGTTTCCGTTCCACATCCACCTTCCTCCACCCCCTCCTGCAAAGTAGCTCACCAGTCAGAGCAGGCGAGCTGGAAATGCGAGCTGGCAAAAAATGCTTGCGGAGGGGAGAAATAATAATTAATATGTGGTTATTAGTCAAAGTGACATTCAGAGAACTGCCTTCCGCTGGGGGGGAATATCTATGCGAAGGAAAAAAAGATGGCAAAGACGGAAGCCTGTTCGGTTCCCCTCTCAAATCCCATCGTTCGTTGCCGTGTTTTGCCATGCACCATAAAAAATACAGCATCTCTACCTTTTTAAATAAATGCATGTATTACAGTTTCAAACGTCGGTGGGGATGCATCAACCCCAAGGTAAGTTTTAAGAATCGGGAACGAAGACAAGGATCGTTCATTTCCGGCCGGGGGCTTTCCACGAATCCGTCGCCATCTTTTCCGATCGAGCCCCCCCCATCTCATTCGCCCACTGCCCCAGATCCCTTTCTAACCCTGTTGGATTAAAACAGCTGAGCAAAATAAAGAAGCAAATCTCTCTTTGCGGACAGCGTCCACAAAACGCTGCTTCTGGCCAGATTTCCCCAGGAGTCTGGGGGTGGGGAGGGCCGCAGCCCTATCAAACGGCCCTTCAACCCGCACGCTTTGTTCCACGGCCTACTTTTCCTTCTGCATAACCCTTTTAGCTAATTAAATGGCCACCCGCTCGCATCAGGCAAATCTTGGGGCCGCTGAGCCGTTCCTACAGGAGGCGTCAAAGCGACCTAAACCGGGATTTTATGGGAGGGGGAGACACATTTGCACACTCAGGCCGGGGAGGATTAAATAAATAAAAAACCCAGATCCTAGTTAGCGGTATTTTTGTGCATTGGGGAGGGCGGGGGGGCCCCAAGCTGCGTTGGGAAAGATGCGCCCCCTGGTTCACCCCAAACCTCCAGGAATTTTAATTCTGGCAAAGAAGATAACCCCCAAAAAGGATAACAAGGAAACAGGATTAAGTGAGATCAAGGCAAGAGACGGGCAGCTTGCTTTTGCCAACACAAAACTCCTTATTTCCTTCAAAGAAATGGAGAGATGCCCCCCCACCCCAGATGACCGACAACTTGCGCTCCCCCCATTGCCTGCCTGTTTGTGGCATGCAGGATTGACACCCCCCAGAAAAAAGGGTGACTAATTTGGGAAGAGTCCGGATACGGGAAGAGGGCTGATCTGCCTTTTTCAGGCTACGGCTATCTCAAGCTCCGACTGCAGTAGGGTATCAATGCAGCGCCCCTCCTTCAGATGCCGTTGGACTACAAAGCCCATCATCCTTCTCCTTCAGCGGCACTGGCCAATGGGAGTTGTAGTCCAAAAACGCACCAGATATTCTTGCACATCGACTCACACTTTTCCCCCTTCTTCCCAGCACGGGAGAAAAAATCGTGCGTTTGTGAGCAGGCAAAGGAGAAGAAGAGCCACGTTTTCCTGTGTCAGAGGAGGCGGTCCGGAAAGCTTAATTTGCCCACGCGGGATGTTCTGTCCCTGGTATCGGGAACAGGCTGCCTGCCGGCTGCGATCCTGCGGGGTCTGCTTCCTTCTGCAACCCCGACGACACACACAGAGGGGTAAAAGAAGCTGTCTTATGTGGAATCCAGACCAGCTTGCCCACCTAGCTCAGTAATGCCTGTTCTGACTGGCAGCAATGGCTCCCCAGGGGGATGAACTTGGGACCTGAATGCAAAGCGACTGCATTCAAACTTTCATGGGGGGCAGGAAACGCCCTGCTTTCAGCTCCCTCCCCACCCAGAATGCGGACCGCCACCCACTGATCTTGCTTACGGGAGGTTATCAAGGCGGTTCACAGAAGAAAATCAAAATATAAAAATACATAAAAGAAAAACAACAACATATCCATGGTAATAACAATATTACATGTCTCCTCTTCCAAGGGTGAGTGAAATAAGATTACAGCCATTTCACTGCATAACTCACATCTGCCCCAAGAATTGCTCTGATAATAATGATAATATTATTATCTGCTCTGTATCCCATATTTCCTCTGAGGATTACTCGATATAGATATCTCCTCTTCCAAGGATGATCAAAATAATATTATGGTTATTTATTACATAACTCACATTTGCTGCAAGAATTGCTGTAATAATCATAATATTGTAATTTGTTGTGTATTGCATATTTCCTCTGAGGATTACTCACATCTTAAAGTTGTTTATTACATATCCGTATTTATGTAATTATTCCACTTCAGCTAGGCCTTTGGCTGATTTGACATCCAATGCCCTTTTAAAATGTGTTGGGGAGCTGGGGCGCTATTGGATTGTTCTCGTTTTTATTTTTATTCTGCATGTTGTGGTTTTATATTGCGATTTTATCTTGTGAACTGCCCTGAGACCTGCGGGTATCAGGCGGTATACAAATTTACTTAATCATAAATATATTTATTGCCTAGCCCGCCACTCCTCCAAGAATCCCTCTTAATAATGCAGAAAACAACTATTCTACTTATTAGGCAGCGTCTCAAACATTGTAAATATTTGTTGCATTTCCTCCAGGACGATTGAGTCGCTCCCACCCTCCCCTTCCCCATTTCATCATCACAACAACCCTGCGAGGCAGGACAGAAGACATTCAATGGCCTCCAAGGTCACCCGGCGCATGGCTGAGCGGAGATTTGAACCCGGGTCCTCGTCTGCCTTGCTTGCCCCTATCTTGCCCTCCCCGCCGGCCCTGCGTGACCCCAAGGGCCACATTGTGCGCTGTGCAATTGTGCCGAGGGCCGCACGGCCTCACGGTGGGTGGGGCCAGGAGTGGGAGGAACCACCGATGCAAATCTTGCCTGGTCCGAGTTCGAGAGCAACATTCCAGCCAGTCCAAAACCAAGAGGAGGGTGCCAAGGGCCTGGTAAGAGAGGCCCCGGGGCCGCATGCGAGATTCGACCTAATCCTGCCAAATACAATCTAACAGCCGACAACAACGGAGGCGGATGCTCAAGCAGCAGGGCCCCATCTCTTTGCCTGTCCGCAGATAGACTGCTCCTGAACAGGGGGCTCTGCCTGAGCCACCAACAGGCCCTCTCCTCCTCCCCACACATTTGGTTCACACACACACACAGCCCACTTTTAAATGCCACCCAGGCAGGGCCGGATTGAGGTCTGATGCGGCCCTCAGCTCCTGAAGGTAATGGGGCCCTTTCTATGTCCAGCTGTCTGTTGTCAACAACAAATTGTCACTGTTTTTGGTGCTGAATATATGCTATATGGTCATTGATGGACCTAATAGGTATCTCAAGCCCTTTGCACATGTTTCCATGCAACCAGTCCATGCAGAATGTTGGCACCCTATATATAGAAAGGGGCAAAGCAGGGATATTTGAGGGAGCAGACAGGGCCCATGACTTACATGCGAGGAGCCAACACAACACAAAACACGGTTGCTGCATGTAGGTTTTATTTTATTTGGTTTTTATCTTATATTTTGGAAATGTACATCCAGGTTTTTCCCCTTTAATTTTTGGGGGGCTGCCAAGAGAGTGGGGCCCTAAGCTAGAGCTTGAGCTTAGACGTAAATCGGGCCCTGCAGCCAGGCCACCAGCCTTCATCAGCCCCGGTCCCCACAGAAAAGACGTCGATCTTGGCGACATCAATAGGGCCCAGCTTCCTGGTTGCCCTTGGCACCCGGGCATCAATTATTCATACGCCAGGCGTTGCGTGGCAGCCCTTTGGCCTGGACGGCCGTCCATCAACAGGACACACGCTCCGTTCTCCCCCTGCACAAATCTGATCCAGTTGCAAACGTCCCTCTCGGCTGAAAACCAAGAGGACAGGAGGTGGAATTGCAAAAAAGGGGGTACATTCTGGAAACAAGGGATGCATGCAATGCTTCAATAGGTCTACTCCGAGTAGGGCTAACGCTGGCCCAGTCCATTCCATTTTCTCGCCTTCCCGTGCAAAAGGCAAGACAAGCACCCAAAACCATCATCTCCTTGCCTACATTCAATGCTGCATCGCTCACTCCAGAAAAGCACGCAGTGGGTTGCAATTATGGTCTGCCAAAGGGGGTGGGGGTGGGGAGAGGATCCAAAAAACGTGAATGAATTGCCTCTCTCCGCCTTGATTTTTCGTTTTTTAGCTTTGCAAGCTCCCTCTGCATCAGAGGAATTGGAAAAGGGGGCAGAGGGAGAAAGAAAAAACCATCTTAAGCTCGTTCTTGTCATCCGAAAGGTGAGCTCCTGCCAAAGCCATTCGGATCCAGCTCCTTACAAAACGCAGAGGTTTGGGAAGGGTTTTTTTGCTTTTTTGAGTTGAGGTTTTTGCTTTTTTTTGCAAAAAGCAGCCTCCCCCCCCCCCCATTGCAAATAAGGCCCACCAGATCTGGCTCCTTTTCCAACCTGCGCTGCTCGCTCCCCCCTCCCCCCCCCCGTCCCTCCTTTCCCAATCCGCCTGTTTACCATCTGCATCGCCGAAGCCTCTTTTGCCAGGCCAGCATTTCCAGCTTAGCCCATCGCCGCCCATTGCAAGAAAATGCAGAATAAAAAAAGGAAAGCACCGCTCCCGTTAGCAAGCCAGCATCATCCCTGTCCAAAACACCTCCATTTTTAATTATATCTTTTTGGTAAAGAATCCAGCGCTTTAGGCTTGGCTTTTTTTCTCCCCACCCCCCTGCAATTTTGCATCTTCTTTTTTTTTTTTGCATGTGTCAAATGAAGGTTACCAGCCCCCCCAGAGACGCGTTCTTTCGCATGCAATGCAGGGATGCAAAAGGTGCAATGCAGGAAAGGGGAAAAGACGGCCCCGGGGGGGGGGTGCAAAGCTTGGGGGGGTTGCCCAAGGCGCGCACTCACCTCGGGAACGCGCTTCGGGTCTAGCAGCAAATGCAGCAGCAGCAGCAGCAGCACAAGCGGCGCGAGGCGACGGCACCTGCCTGCAGAACCCGGGCTGACGTCACCAGCGCTCCGAAAGGGGAGGGCGGCTATGCAAATAGGGCGGGTGACGTCAGGGAGCAAGGCGCCGCCTCCGCCTTCGCAGCTCCTGGAGGCGGGATGGTGGGAGCTGCCATCCCGCCACGCGATTGGTGGATCGCCTAGGATTGGCAGCCCCGTAACCAGCTCGCTTGAAACCCAACGGGGCTGATTTCTAAGGAGAAGCCTCGCGAAACCTCGCGAGATTTCTTTCTCCCGCCATTTTTTCCCTTACCCCCCCCGGCGTATCTATGGCGAAGCAAATCACGTGACTCTGAGGGAAAATTATTTATTCTTAAATTCTATTTTTATTCGAGGGCTATTAAGCTATTAAGCCCTCGAATAAATGCTGGGCATGAGGGGAATTTATTTATTCTTAATTCTGTTTTTATTCAAGGGCTATTAAGCCCCCTCAGAGTCCTTTAAATGCTGGTCATCCAGAAATAAATCACGTAAATCAGAAGAAGAAAGACCAGAGGGGAATTTCTGACCAATTTTTCACCTCAGGATAGTCTGCTGTTGTGCTTTTCTGTTCAATTATCACCATGATTTTTATCTCACAAAAAATGCTCATCTGACGTTTCAGACAAAAATAAAATAAAATACCACATATAGAAGCCCACTGGTGTCAAAGCAATTATATAATCCACAAATCTATGAGGAACGATGCTGGAGATTGTTCTGGCCATATAAGATCAATTATGGATTGAGGGGTTTTTTAATAATAAAAATATCAAGCCAAATACACGGTTATTGCTGCTGTCATGATGAAAACATCCATCTTTCAACATGGCAGCCCTTAAAACTTTGGAACTCCCTGCCTCTTGACACGATTTACATTTTATTCTGGGTTTTATTTGATGCCTTAATGTATCTTGTCAACCGCTTTGAGATTCTTTCCTTAAAAACATAAAGAGGTACAGAAATGAAATTAATAATAATATGATGCCAACATTATTACATCACTCGTATTAGCTTTCAAAAGCTTCCCCCCAATTTTATCTGTGTTCCATTGATAATTTCTTTTTTAAAGAAAAATATTGTATTTTCCCCATTTCTCATTTTACAGTGTTTCTACATCTGAACAAAAACCAAAACTTCCTTCGACTTCGCTCCTCCGCTCTCTGCGGTTCCTTATTTTATATCACCAGTTCCAACCTGTTTACAAATGTAATCTTTTTGCTCTCCAGAAGTTTATTTTTTACGCCTCATGTTTATGTCAACCCTGCTAAACTTTTTAATCGCTTACAGTAATAACACTATTGTTATAAGAAAAAACACGGCTCCTTTTTGGTACCCAAGAGCCCGTATAGTCCTTATTTAGGGCTGACCAAAATTGTTGAGCTTTGAAGGATTGAAGAGTTGTTGAACTTTTTATACAATTTCACACCAAAGTTGTTGAGCTTTTAGGATTGAAGAGTTGTTCGGCTTTTTTTTTTTGGATTTGACCCCAGGACATATACTGCCACGGGGGCTGGATTAATATAATTATTATTATTATTATTATTATTATTATTATTATTATTATTATTAATTATTATTATTATTATTAATTGATACCCTGCCCATCTGGCTGGGCTTCCCCAGCCACTCTGGGCGGCTTCCCAAAAAATGAATATTAAAATACAATAATACATCAAACATTTAAATGGACCGGCGGGCAGGATTAGGCCCCCAAAATGGACTTTGGACATGCCTGCATACAAATACTGCAAGGAATTTATGTATAAATTCCAGCAGATCTCATACACATGCAGCCCACTGCCCAAACCAGCCCAATCCCTTTTGTGACTTTTGTGACTTGTCCCCACAAAACACTTCATCCCGGTTTCTTCCTGTCTCTTCAAAGGGCCTTTGCTGCACAATACCAAATGATCAATGTCTCTCTGTACTGGCTCACGGGGAAAAGTTCAGAAATGCCTCTAGACCTGTGAGCTCCGCTGCTCCGCAGCCCCTCTGCCTGAGGGATCATCCCTGGCCTCCTGAGGGCCAGACAGGTAGCCATGCCAGACATCACAATATCCGCCCTCCCTTCCCCCCAGGTGGGCGGGCTTTGCGGCACCAAGCGAGGCTCACCTGGGCAGGTGCCACCCACCTGCCTGAGCTGGCCTTTGACAATGGACGGCCGGCCGGGGGTGGGCCTAAGGCCAAAGGCAAAGCGGCTGACTCCTGGGCTCAAGCCTCTTTTGCTGCTCTTCCTTCTGGGATCACCCACCCACCCTCCCTCAATTAATATTTCTTGACTTTTAATTTCAGCTTAGGTCAGCGATCGTCAATTTAACGGTTTCTTCTTTACAGGCTGATATTTTGCCTTCCAGGTCAGCGGGCGCTGCTGCGGTCGTAAGATGGTTGCTGTATTCAGAACCGGGAAGGAATTTCCCCTGCATTGGCAGGTTTCGCCTTCCCCGTAGCAATTCCGTCACAACTTTGGCGGTTTTAGGCCTTGGCAAGGTAGCCTTTAGTCTAACATCAAGTTGGGGGGGGGGGGATTCATTCATGCTTGCAGGGCCCATTGAAGGGCAAACCGGGCGTCCCTGGCCCTAGAGCGGCGGCATGTGGGTCAAACTCCCGGGACGAGGTGACTGGAAGGGCAGGCTGTGTAAGTTTGCGCTTTGCAGTCCCCTCTCGCTCGGCCTCAACTGCCTGCATGTCCTCAGCCAGGCGGGCTGAGAGGGTTACCTGCCAAGGCCTGCGCCAAGTTCCCCACTTCTAAAATTCAATCAAGTTGTGGCCCATTTGAACCCATACTCTGGTCTCTTGTGCCATCATTTGGGAAAAGGGGGTAGGCACCACAGACAGGGCTTAGCGTGTGGGCCCGCAAACCAAGATGAGGACAAAAGGGTGGGATGAACTTGGCTGGGAAATAAGGAAATGTGAATATCTCTTTTGTTCCACTTGATGGGTGTTTGGTGGAGGGCAAGGAGAACCCTTTCATGATGTAACCGTGATGTAGTTGGGGGGCTGTAAGATGGGGATGAGCAGCTAAGAAAAGTTTGGGTTCTGTCTTGTTCTGGGCTTCCATCTTGTTCCACCTGGGGGCAGGTGGGAGTCCTGGCGCCACCGTCTTCAATCAAGACCAAGCCGACTGGCTGCTCTTTTGCTCTGGGATTCCTGGCTGGTCTCCTTGCTTTTGGTCCAAGGAGCCCTCAGATTTCTCCGTTCACAAATACACCGCAGAGGGAGGCAGGTCTACAGCAGAAATCCTGTCTGCCAGGATACCTGTTGCTGGGTTTGCCTGGAGAGCCTGGCCCTCCTTTTGTGAGGATAAATCTGAATTTCTGAGTCCAGGCCTCAGGCTCCCCTCTTCACCCCCAAAGGTGCCCTTCAGGCAGGATTTGGGAGCAGGGAGACAAGGGGGAAGCTTTTCCCCTTTCCATCCAAACTGCAGAGGAAGAGTTGAGGCCCCTGAAAGAGTCAAAAGGGCTTCAGGACTGTCTTCCTGTCCTGTTTCAGGCATGTGGTTTATGTAATTATGGATGTGTCTGCCTGGTACGTTTATGAACATTTATTTTACACCTTAGCTCTTATAATTCTCATAACTTTAGTTATGCTTCTTAATTAGTCCTTGAGCATCACCTGAGTTGCAGCATCACTTTGGCTTGGCGCTTGCTGGTCATTTTCTGACAGGAAATTTTCCTCCTTTTAATCAAATATCTCTAGTACTTTATGAAACCGGTTGTTCTGTGTCTCTGGGTACGTTTCTGTGTGGGATTTCACTTCGTATCACGATGCTGCCACCGATTAATATTAATAATACCTTAGACCTTCTAATTCTCATACCATTACTTCTGCTTACTAGTCCTTGAGCATCACCTGAGTTGCAGCATCGCTCAGCCGGCACAAAAAGAGTTCGTTCTCTTTCGTTTTTAGTGCAGGTTGCAGAACTTTCCCGCCTGGCATTTCCCCTCCCTTTCTCTGCTTTTTGCCTCAGCAAAATGGCAGCAGTTCTCAATTCAGATTCTGGAGTTTCCCGCCTTCCTCCCTTTCACAATGGCTGCCTGGCTGCCCAGACCGGCCGGTTTTCAGGAGTCTGTGGCCCAGAGAAGCAAAAACCGCTTTTCCTGCCCCTGCTCAGTTCCAACGTTTTCTTTTCCTCAAGGATGTCCAAAAGAAAAAAGGAACATAGATCGTGTAATAACACTATCTAAGACAGAGAAAACTTTTGCTCAGTTTCCAAAGGAGAGAGCAACGTTAGAAGAGATGGGTCAAGTTGCAAAGGCTTGGGAATATTGCGACGGCCCTTTTCCCCTTGGCGCCGTTGGGCTGTTCTCTCGCTTAAAAATGGAGCGCCCACCTCACAGAACACCACTTCTGTTCAACTTTATCTTTTTCTTTCTCTGCTTCAACTTTAGCCAGTTCCAATCTTAGTCTCCTCATCTCTCATTCAGTGGAGGATTTTCCTCAGATGCAGCAGCTCTGCACTGGGTCATCCTGAGTCTCTTTGGCTTGGCACTTGCTGGTCATTTTCTGACAGGAAATTTTCCTCCTTTTAATGAAATAGCTCTAGTACTTTATGAAACCGGTTGTTCTGTGTCTCTGGGTTCGTTTCTGTGTGGGATTTCACTTCGTATCATGGCGCTGCCACCAATTAATATGGGCACAACGGCCTCTCACTTCCAAACAGAGCGCCCACTTCCACCAATTCCCTCAAACTCCCTCAGATTGTTTTGTAAGGGACTTGCGTGAGGTAAAACTGAACAATTGGGAGTCTCAGGCAGGATTTGTTCAAATGAACAAGAACGGTTTTCTTGAACAAGGAAGTCTATGAGCCGGGTGGATGAAACTTTGGAGACCTCAGCTTACAATGTTATTTCCCGTCAAGGTTTTCTCCGTTGTTTTGCGCTTAATCCTTTGTCTCTGAACAAGGTGGTCCTTTCTGTCAGTTTCTCCTGAGGGACTTCCAAGTAGCAGACCCAAGAGATGGCCGCTTTGGGAGGCTTCTCTTTCTGGAAGAATCTCTCCCCTCCGGACTGGAAGGAGACCCAAGGAGACGTCTCTTTCCACCTTCCATTCCTCCTGTTTCCGCCTCAGCCTCCCAGTTCATTCCTGGCCTCATTACTCTTCTAGGTGTTATGAGAATTGTAAGGTCTGAGGTATAAAATGCAGTGGTACCTCGGGTTAAGAACTTAATTCGTTCCAGAGCTCCGTTCTTCACCTGAAACCGTTCTTAACCTGAGGTACCACTTTGGCTAATGGAGTCTCCCGCTGCCACTGGCGCACAAATTTCTGTTGTCATCCTGAGGTAAATTCTTAACCTGAAGTCCTATTTCTGGGTTAGCAGAGTCTGTAACCCAAAGTGTTTGTAACCCGAGGTACCACTGTAAATCTACCAGGCAAACACATACATAAATATATAAGCCGCATGCCTGAAACAGTACAGGAAAAAAGTCCAAAAACAATTTTTTTGTCTCTCCCAAATTGACCTCAAATGTTTCTTTTGCAAGGACAAAGGAAATGGGAAAACCGCCCCATTGTGTCTTTGCTCACAAATCCTGTCTTAAGGGCCTATCTGTGTGTGAACAGGGTGAGCCTGTGACCTGGGTTCGGGAATTGAGTACTGACCATCATAAAGGAATGGCCAGAAAGACGTCTGAAGGCAGCCCTGTTTAGGGAAGTTTTTTAATGACTGATGTTTTAATGTATTTTTAATCTCCTGCTGGAAGCCGCCCAGAGTGTCTGGGGAAACCCAGCCAGATGGGCAGGGTATAAGTAATGAATTATTATTATTATTATTATTATTATTATTATTATTATTATTATCTTCCTACCTATCCTCCCAACCTCCCTCCCCATCCACCTCTACTCAGCCACCCCCTAATTCCAAAGCCTCTCCTTTTAAACTCTCTGTTATGTACTAAGCTTGGATCCTAGACCAATAGGGAGGTAGGATCCCACAATGCAACAACCTGATTGGCCCAATCAGACCCCAGGAGGGAAACATAATCAACCAATCAGACGGGACACTGATTGTGTAACTATTAAAGCCTGGGGTTTGGGGGGAAATTCATTCACTGTTTATTGAGCTGCAATAAAGAGCATGAAATATTTCAATCTCCCTCCTGGAACCACAGCCAATCAGAGGCTGGCAGGAGAAAAATTTAAAAAAAAACACTTGTGGAACCAACTTTTTCCGTCACAAATGTCCTCTATACTGGAAAGGTCCATTATTATTATTATTATTATTATTAGGTGCCGGAGGGGAGAACGAACGGGATTTGTATTGGTTCATAAATCTGTTGCAATGTGGCGAAAGATTCTACAGACTTGCCATGTGGCCACAAGGTGGCAACCTAACTCCAATTTTAAATTTAGGTTTTAGAAACACCCAGGTTGTTGCAAGGATCCTGGAAGAATCCCTTCACAGCTGCTGCAGAGGAGAGGCACTCTGCACATGCACAGAGGCACGGGTCCCGGCCTAGCTGCACCACCCTCCGAGTGCCCCTATTTCCCAGGATTTACAGAAGCCATCCTGATTTCTGATTTGATTCAGCTTTTCTGCTGTTTAGGGAAGCTTGTAATATTTGATGAATTATTGTATTTTAATATTTTGCTGGAAGCCACCCAGAGTGGCTGGGGAAGCCCAGCCAGATGGGCGGGGTATAAATAATAAATTATTATATTATTCTTATTTCCTTAGCACCTCCCTATTTTCGTGGGAGAAATGTTGGAAGGGGATGGAGTTATGTGGCCCCCCAAACCAAGGAGATAAGTGGCCATCCAACTTTTAGAAGACATCGGTTCTGTTTCTATATATGTTGGAAGTCGCCGGGAGTGGCTGGGGCAACCTGGTCAGATGAGCGGGGTACAAATAATAAAATATTATTATCATCATGGAATAGGACATGCCGATTTCCCTCTATGTTGGAGGGTATGCCTTTCATCTATGCTTCCCTTGCCATTTGACTTCCCCTGTCTCCATCTCCTCCTTCACACCTCCAGTTTTTTGCACGTTTCACATTAATTTGCTGTTTTAGGGGTTGTTTTTAAAAGTCTTGCCATCTCATTTTTGACCACATCCAACTTACCCTGGTTCATGGTTCTTACATTCCAGGTTCCTATGCAATATTTTTCTTTACAGCATTGGACTTTCCTTTTGCTTCCAGGCATATCTGCAACTGAGCGTCCTTTCGGCTTTGGCCCAGCCGCTTCATCAGCTCTGAATCTACTTGTACTTGTCCTCCGTTCTTCCTCAGTAGCATGTTGGACGCCTTCCGACCTGAGGGGCTCATCTTCCAGCGTCATAACTTTTATATGCCAGTTGTCTTTGTCCATGGAGTTTTCTTGGCAGGGATACTGGAGTGGCTTGCCGGTTCCTGCTCCAGGTGGATCACGTTTGGTCAAAACTCTTCACTATGACCTGTCCATCTTGGGTGGCCCTGCACGGCGTAGCTCATAGCTTCTCTGAGTTATTCAAGCCCCTTCGCCCCGGCAAGGCAGTGATCCATGAAGGGGATCACTGCCAAGACTTTGGCCCCCTCATGAGAAGAGAAGACTCCCTGGAAAAGACCCTGATGTTGGGGGAAATGGAGGGCACAAGGAGAAGGGGACGACGGAGGACGAGATGGTTGGACAGTGTTCTCGAAGCTACGAACATGAGTCTGACCAAACTGCGGGAGGCAGTGGAAGACAGGAAGGCCTGGCGTGCTCTGGTCCAGGGGGGCACAAAGAGGCGGACACGACTAGACGACGAAACATTTAAAAGTCTGGAATGGTTTTGCATGACTTCCTATGGGAAAGCGCGCCTTGGTTTTGGAATGCTTTGGTTTTGGAACGGACTTCTGGAACGGATTAAGTTTGAGAACCAAGGGACCCTGTATATATATATATATGAGAAATGGGAGGTCTTGCAAGCTGGCCCAACTGGCCCCCCAACTGCAATCCACAAATCCTCGTGGAGACATCTTGAACCGGGCGTTGACATGCATGCAATGAATCAAGGGTGCCGAGGGGAAGCAGCAAGCCGGCAGCAAAGATAAGCTGTCCCACCTTGGGCTTAAATATTTATGTTATTTGGAAGCCGGGCCTGTCAGTGACGGATTTGCAGAGAGGGAAGGAGGGTTGGGGGTGAAAAGGGACATTTGTCATCTTCTCCTTGAAAGGCGGCTTTACAAGAAGAACGTCAAATGCCCCGGCAGAGCCGCTCTTCTTCCATGAAAGAGTGTATCATAAGATACAGCTTGCATTCTTGATAAAGACTTGAGGAATGAGATTATCACCCTTCTTTGATTGTCCATTCCAGATCGCCCAGCCACTGCCCCAGGGTCCTTTCTCCTGGCAGATCAAGATATGAGAGAGAGAGAGAGAGAAAGAGGAAAAAAGGAAGAGAAGGAAGAAGGAAGGAAGGAAGGAAGGAAGGAAGGAAAGAAAGAAAGAAAGAGAAGGAAAGAAGGTGAGAGAGAGAGAGAAGGAAGGAAGCAAGGAGAAAGAAAGAAAGAAAGAAAGAAAGAAAGAAAGAAAGAAAGAAAGAAAGAAAGAAAAGGAAACAGAGAAAGGGATAGAAAGAGAGAAGGAAGGAAGGAAGGAAAGAGAAGGAAGGAAGGAAGGAGAAAGAAAGAAAGAAAGAAAGAAAGGGAGAGAAAGAGAGAAGGAAGGAAGGAAGGAAGTGTCCTTCAGGGGTCAGCAAACCTTTTCAGTGGGGGGCCGACTATATTTGGGGGGGGGGAATGAACGAATTCCTATGCCCCACAAATAACCCAGAGGTGCATTTTAAATAAAAGGACACGTTCTACTCATGTGAAAACACATCCGCGGGCCGAATTGAGAAGGCGATTGGGCTGGATCCGCCCCCTGGGCCTTAGGTTGCCTACCCCTGGTCTAGTCCTCATGGTTCTGAATGAAGGAGCTGTCTCAAGAGCAGTGTAGGAAGCAGTGGCTCTTGAGGGCTTTGGGCAGAGTTTCTCCCAGTCCTACCTAGAGATGCCCTGAAGGACTGAACAATTGAAATAGTGTTACGGAAATGACATGGGGGGCACATCTTTAAAGATGTTGCAATGATACAAATATTATGCCTGAGTGTATCCTTTCGACGACAGCCCAGGGAAGATGCCTAGCTTCATAAATTTGTAGAAAATCCATACTTTAACCGACTCTCCTCATTCCAACGCCATTTGAACCCTGAGAGAAAGGTGAGTTTGGGCTCCACCTCCCTCCCTGAACCAAGAAGCAGGAACAGGGCAACCCGCCAGAATTCCCCAAGCGGGAGAGCACATCCACGGCACCCCACCCAGGGCGTGACCAAGGGGGCAACAAGAGACATCCGCAGAGGCAGGTGTTCTGAAAGCCCATCTCCAGACAAGTCCAGAGGGCAAGGAGATGTCAAGAGTTTTCTTGTTCTTTCAGTGATGGGGACTTAAGAGGCGTTGGGGAAGGTGTCTGATCAAGAGACCTAATGTCAAACTTGTGTAACCCTTGTATACCCCTCCCCTAGGACACAGGTGGCACTTTGGTCTAAGCCAGGCATGTCCAACAGGTAGATAGTGATGTACCGGTAGATCACTGGATACCTGTGGTAGATCACTGGCTCCTCCCCCAAAGTTCAACATTTAAATTGCCCTGCACCCCCAAAAAACGGGGCTTTCGTCCTCCCTCCCTAAATGGGGCATTTCTTCCTAAAAAAAGCTCTGCAACTTTGACCTGAACCCCCCCAAAAAGCTGGTAGATCACTGCCAGTCTTTAACTGTGAGTAGATCACAGTCTCTTGGGAGTTGGCCCCCCCTGGACTAAGCCACTGAGCCTCTTGGGCTTGCTGATCAGAAGGTCAGCTGTTCGAATCCACACAATGGGGTGAGCTCCCGTTGCTCTGTCCCAGCTCCTGCCAACCTACCAGTTCGGAAGCACACCAGCGCAAGTAGATCAACTGCTGCGGCGGGAAGGTAAATGGTGTTTCCGTGCACTCTGGTTTCCGTCACGGTGTCCCGCTGCTCCAGAAGCGGTTTCTCCTGCTGGCCACATGATCCAGAAAGCTGTCTGTGGACAAACGCCGGCTCCCTCGGCCTGAAAGCAAGATGAGCGCAGCAACCCCATAGTCGCCTTTGGCTGGACTTCACCATCCAGGGGTCCTTTATTTTTTACCTTTTACCCCTCCCCATTTGTGACATGCTAGTGATGTAGTGATGATGCCTTAATGATGCCTCTCAAAGTGTATTCTGGGGGAAAGAGGGAAGGTTTAAAAAAGGAGGTCGCCCCAAGCTCAGAGGGCCCTTTCATATTGCCTAGTAGCCTCTGGTGCCCTTAATAAGCGTAATAATAATACTTTTATTATTTGTACCCCGCCCATCTGATTGGGTTGCCCCAGCTTCCAACTGCTTCTAAGGTTTTTTTTAACAATGAAGTGGTGTATATATAATAATAATAATAATACTGTAATAATAAATGTGTTCTCAGCCATCATATTGTCGGCTCTCTCTTCCTTTGAATTTCTTTCCAAATTTTCCTGTATCTCCTTCTCCCTCGCCTCATCACTGCCACTGCAAGCCGCCCTGAGACCTCTGGGTATAGGGCGGTATATAAATTCCATAAATCATAATAATCACAACCAACTCACTGCACTTCCATCTTCCCACCCACCAACATTTATTTTGGCCATTTTTCTGATATCGCAAGATCTTTGGTGCAGAGACTTAGGTTTCAAGTGCTGTAGCTTTATAGCATGATTTTAAAAATATATATAAAATAAAATAAATCAGCATTTGGTTTTTTTACATGGAAATTATACTGGGGGAGACAAGGTGCCGTAGAAAAACAAGGTGCGGTTCCCAGCCAAGGGCTCAGCGGCCGGTCAGGAAACTCAAAGTGCCATGTGGGGAAAAAATATTATATACGCACACATAACGCAGTGTTTCTGAACACAAGTCACAGTAATATCAGTATCAGACAATGAAACAGGGGTGAGCGGACTGGTTGTGAGGGTTAGCACACTTCAAATTCAACACGTCCAGGTTATTATTGTTAAAACTTAAGGCTACAAAAGCTCCGTAAAATATATACTCATCTAATAAATTAAAGGTGGTAGCCTCGTTTGCTGTGGCTTGGGGACTCCCCCCATCCCAATTTCCTTGCTTGTACAGTGGTACCTTTGTACTCAAATGTCTTGGTTCCCAAATGCCAAAAACCTGGAAGTGAGTGTTCCGGTTTTGGAACGTTTTTCGGAAGCCGATCGTCCAATGCGGCTGTTGGCTATTGTTTCCTGGGTGCCTGCAGCCATCAGAAGCCATGCCTTGGTTTTCGAACATTTCGGAAGTCAAACGGACTTCCGGAACGGATTAAGTTTGGCGCTTTGGTTTTTGCTCTTTATTTTGCGTTTTTGTTTCTGAGGCTTTTTCTGTTCATTTGTTTCTGTGACCGTGCGGAACCCAGTTCAGCTACTGATGGATTGATTGTGTGACTGCGGAAATGGATAAAAGCCCCCCATCCAAACAATGACTATCATCAGTGCAGCCAAGATTTTTAAAAGAAATTTACCATCTACAATACTGTCTTATTTATTTTGTAGCACAGTGCATTGGTGGTTGCTTTCGTTTTATCAATCAATGGTCTCATTAGATAGTAAAATTCACGTTAAATTGCAGTTTTAGGGGTTGCTTTTAAAAGTCTGGAACGGATTTATCCGTTTTGCATGACTTCCTATGGGAAAGCGCACTTTGGTTTTGGAACGGACTTCCGGAACGGATTCAGTTTGAGAACCAAGGCACCACTGTATATAAGATTCTTAGAGTCTTAAGGGGTCTGCTCTAAAGATGAATTAACCCCGCAGGGTCTCTCCCCCTCACATACACCCCCCTGGATGTCTTATTCACTTCCTATTTTGTTCCCAAGAACATCCCCAACCCCGATCTCCTTTTAAAAATACCCAGCTTCATCTCTTCCCAAATCCTGAAAGTATTTATATCCATTCTGCCCTTTCGGGGGGGGGGGGACACTGCAAAAGGGGAAAATGGAAAATGGAAAGGGTGGGGGAGGAAATGTAAGGGGTGTTTTCATTCCGAAGCAGTGCCTTGAAGAGAAAAAACATGGCAGATTTCTTCTTCTTTTTTAAAAATAGCTGTCTATAAATATTTCCATAGAGGAGAAAAGACAGCGCGGGACGTTAGCCTGCCGAAGTTTGTTTCCAGCGCGGCTATCGGGGGCGAGAAAACGTGGAGCAAGGCCTGGATTCCTGCAGGTTCCAGGAGCAGACTTAGAAAGGGAGAAGATAAAGGAGGCGAATCTCCCACTGCAGGGCAAGGGCTTCTTGCTCCCATGGGGGAGCCTGTTGGGTGAAGAGCAATAACCGGAGGCAATTTCTCACTGGAGGGATACTGGTTTGCTTGTGCTGGGGAGAGCGGCGTTGGGTGCTTTCTCTCTGCACAGCCCTCCGCTTGCAACACCCAAAGGGGCCTTTTCAAGTCCAGTGCAACTCACCCATCCATCCCCACGTCGCACGCAAGGTCTCAAGCCGAAGTGGGATTCGAACCTGGACCACGCACAGCCCAAGCTCCGCCACCCCACCAGTGAAACCAACATTTGGAGAGAATGCAAGTCGGGCGGTTCATATGTGTTTAGACTGACCCCCAACGGATCCTCAAAGTCAGTCCCACAGACGGGGAGAAAGGCCTTTTCTCAGCCCGGCAAGGTTACCCAAAATCATTTTTTAAAAAACAAAAAAACGGGAGTTGTCAGGGACGAAACTCGTGACCCTCTGCCCACAAAGCTTGCGGTCGCCCATGGATCCTCTTCTCCCATGGGCTCAGTCCCCATCGGAACCCCGCAGGTCCCAGGAGGAAGGGGGAAGATTTCTCCCCACAGCTGGGCTTGTGGCACAACCCGGGCTCCATGGGCGGAAAATGCTGGGAGGAAGACAGGAGGGGCGAGGCGTGGCCTTCTGCCCCTGGGCACACGCCCGCCGTTGGCGTTCTTCCATAGTTTTCTCGGGAAGAGGGCAAGGAAACCACCATGGTGGACCTTTTCCGGCGGCGGAGAGGCCTTTCAAGACACACCCACCCCGTGACGCCGCCAAGATGGGGCGACAACAGTGCCTTTTCCCCAACCCCACTGCCCCCATTACGTCCCAAGGGGCAGGAAGGTGATATTCCCTTCTTGATCAAGACCGGCCTCGCTTGTCCTCCTTTTGGTGGTGGCCCCCGTGGCAGAGCCCCCGTCACTCTGCAAGAGTGTCCTCCGGTTATCAAAGTTCTGCATCGCCAGGACGTTCCTTGGGGGGCTGCCCTGCTTGTCCATGGGGGACGCCAGAGGCTCGGGGGCCGACTCTGAGTCATCGGTGGTCCCTGGGGTTTTCGCCTCGCTGTGGTCTTCTTCCAGGGGGCTCTCGGCGCCTGACTCCTCTCCGTCTTCCTCTTCCAACGTGAGCTGGAACTGGAACTTGTCAGGGGCTCCTTTCTCGGACGCCAGCCCGTCGGGGGGCGGCGGGGGGCTGTGCGGGATCATACTCTGGTACCATTCGCGGTTGTCTTCGAGGGTGTCCAAGATCTCCTGGGCGTCCGGGTGGACGAGGTCAGCCCAGGTTTCCCAGAGCGGGTGAGCGATGTAGTCGATGAATCCCACCTGCCAGAAGGGAGACAAAGACAGGGGCTGAGAGGACACACAGCACAAAGTGGTGCAGAAGCAAGGAACATCCTTCGCTTCCGGGGACGCCAGTCTCAACTCAGAAAGTAAAATAACAGAATGCATTTTTGCAGCCGGCTCAGATAAATACAAGGTGTGACTGGAAACCAGCTGGCAAAACTCAGAAATGGACCGGAGGCGCCGCCCACTCTCCTTAAAACAAGAAAAGGGAAAAAGCTGTCCACGTTGGGTCAAAACATTAAATAAAATAAATTAGGAAACCAGATGCAGAAGATGTCTGTGGCCCCTCCAAAAGGGAATCCTACAAGGTGCAAGCTGAAAGTTTGGTGAATGGTCACAGAAAGCGGACAGCGAGAAATATTTGAACATACATTCGGCATCGGAAACCCACAAAACGCTCACAATTGTGTAGGGAGATGAAGCTGTAACTCGAAAGACAGTGTATTTCCACAGGAAGCCCCCTCGTTTGCAGGTGTGGCTCCTCCTTGGAGGGTGCTCCCCCCCAACCCATCGACAAGCCCTCCTTGGCGCACCCACCTGGGACTTCTCTATGGAGGCGTTGTGCTTGTCGCACATGGGGCTGATCTCCATGCCCTTCTCCCGCTCCCGGTCTCCCTGGTGGAAGAATTCCACCATGATCCGGTCCGTCCACTGGCGGTACAGCTCCAGGGGTTTGGTCGGGTTGCTGAGGTCTGCGCAGTGAACGATGTTCTGCAGCACCTGGAAGGGCAGATATGAGTCGCTGTCAAGCGTGAACCCTCGGGGACATTTGGAGGAACGTATTGGACCGAGCACAATTCAAAGTGTTGGTGCTGACCTTGAAAGCCCTAAACGGCCCAGTAGACCTGAAGGAGCGTCTCCACCCCGGACACCGGGGTCCACCTCCCAAGGGCCTTCTGGCGGTTCCCTCCCTGCGAGAAGTGAGGTTACCGGGAACCAGGCAGAGGGCCTTCTCGGTGGTGGCGCCCGCCCTGTGGAACACCCTCCCATCAGATGTCAAAGAAATAAACAACTATCTGATGTTTAGAAGACATCTGAAGGCAGCCTTGTTTAGGGAAGTTTTTAACAACTGATGTTTTAATGTATTTTTAATTTTTTGTTGGAAGCCATCCAGAGTGGCTGAGGAAACCCAGCCAGATGGGTGGGGTATAAAAAAAATATTATTATTATTATTATTATTATTATTATTATTATTATTATTATTATCATGCCCATGACACCGATGGAGGAGTCTGCCTGGTGGGCAGCAGACTCCCCTGTGATGATATATTATGTTGTATAAAATTATATCCTGATTTTAATCTTGGATTCACACTGCCGAGCTACAAATTTAATGGGATGCAGTGGCAGGATGGATGAGCAAAAGTGAGCTGAGCTCGAATCCTGCCAAGTTCGTGTGTCTGAGAAATGGGTCAGTTCCCTGCCCTGGATGGGGTTGCCCTCCCCCTGAAGGATCATCGAACCCCTGTCCCCTCCAAAAGAAGTTTCACCTGAATGCGGTCGGAGTAGTTGTCCAAAAGCAAGACCCCCAAACTGGTGACCTTCTTGGTCTCTACCATGGTCTTCAGATCAGCCAGAAGGTTCATGTGTTTGGACATATCTGTTGCCAGGACCTGAGACCAGAAACCATGGGGGGGGGGAGGATTTTATTCTATGCCATTTTCCATTCAGATTAATCCCAAAGCGGCTTGCAAACAACAAATAATAACAACGTGATAAAACATATTAGAACATCACAAATACAGCAAATCAGCAGTGAAACAATTGCAGTCTATAAAACACTGAGAACAAGACAACAACTAAAAAAGAAGCCAAACATCACAACTAAAGGAAAAGCCATATTATTTGATTAGCAAATAAACACGGCGTTTATAATCTAGCGAACAAAATAAGCAATATTAAACAAAACAGCAGCCCCCCAAATAAGCTAAGCCCTGAGCTCCTCACCATGTCGATGGCCATCTTGCGAAGAGACTGCCTTTGCTTCTTGGAGATGTTCTGGAAGATGTCGCAGTTTTCCTCTTGCAGGAGCTTGAAGCCCACGGCCAGGTGGTGGTTCTCAAGTACCGACGCATCGTTGTACATCAGCGCCAGCTCCGAATCTAGGGACGGGAAAAGGGTGGTCAGTTTGACAGGTGATGCCTCCGGATCCGAGGAGGGCATACATGTGGCTGAGAAAGAGAGTAAGGGAGCAGCTTCGCATAGGGGCTTGAAGCAGCCAACCAACATTTTGTGGGAATGTTCCGGGTGGCAGGAGAGGATATATTGTTTATTCATATCCTTCCTAACTTACGCTAGCAAGTTCCTTTATGTAGCCGAGTTACATTCCCCTTTCACATGCACAGCGGATAGCTGGTTGCAGGCTCGTGTGAGCCTCTCACTATTATACAATTCAATCTGTCTCAGATTGAATTGTGCGTTCCTGGTAAATTCCCTTGAATCCCTCTTAAAAGAATAAAGCCTCCACAATCTTATTCAAAGTCAATGAAAGAAGTTGGTTCATAGTTGGATCCCTGAAGGCAGACATAGTTACAAATATGTACATGCGGATCTGCCCCATATGGGGGAATAATCCCAGTGCTTCTGAGAGCTAGCAGAGCAGTCCTAGCTAAAAGCTGGTCAAACGAAGAAGGAAGTCAAAAAGAGGGAAGGGTGATGCGTGACTCGTCCTTTTGTTACCTGGGCAGGTGAGGTCATGCCCATCTTCGATCACATGCAAAAGGAAGGATGCTCCAGCCAGGAGGAACAGGTAGTTTCGACCGGCTGGACCAAACATTCCCTCGCATGTCTTCTCTAGCATTGCAAGGAATGTTGTACTTGACTGCCTCTCATGGATCACATCCCACACATTTGCACAACTATCAGGCTACAAGAGGCCCTTTTCCTAGTCCAGCATCCTATCCTCTTGTTTCACTTCTTGTTATCGCTTTTTGCACTTCACTTTGGGATGTCCTATGCAAAGTGGGGCAAACCCCACTTTGCCCCAGGTAAAGGAAGGAAGGACAGGAGGAGACGTTCTCTGGAACAGCTGGAAAGACGAGAATTGCCCCCAATCAGCCGACACGGCCTACTCACTGGTGTTGATCAGGAACTGGTTGGAGACCCCGGGGTGGTCAACGTCATGGATGGCGGCCGCAAAGATGGCGGCCAAAATCTCCAAGTCGGTGAAGACGGCCTGGAGCGAGCAGATGGAGGGGAGACAAAAAGGGGAGGAAAGTGAGGAGGACAAAGCTAATGATGGGGTGAGCAGAACTCAAACTGGGAGCCAGGCTGGGCATTGGCACGGCCAGGAGGCAAGTGACCACTGTGGTCCTCAAGGCCGGATTACTGCAAGGCTCGGGCAGAATGTGGCAGCCTGTTTTCTGATGGGGGAATCAACTACGGAGCCTGGTTCAAGGTCTTCCTATTCATTCACAAGCCCATGAACAACTGCCGGAGTGCTGTTGCTCATTTATTTTATTGTATTTATCTACAGCACCCTTCATCCGAGGACCGCAGGGTAGCCTGCAATATAAACCATTCCCCAAGTTGACAAGCAATGAGCAACCGAGGCTTTAGTGTCATCAGCCCAGTCCTGTGGAACTCTCTGCCACTAGAGATTCACTGTGGATGCTTAAGCTGAGATTCCGGCATTGCAGAGGGTTGGACTGGATGACCCTCAGGGTCCCTTCCAACCCTATAGTTCTATGATACTGCGAGCCACAAGCTAAAAAGGCCATCAGGGTTCTGTTGCGCGACCCCCAAACTCTTCTCCTCCCCGCCTTCCCCAGAATTCCCTCTTCACCTCCAGAGCCGGCATGGAGAGCAGGACGTGGGTGGACTGGGCCACGTCGGCCGCGTGGATGTTGTTGTGGTAGGCCACATCCGCGTGGTAGTGGTCCTCCAAGGTCATCATGAAGGTGATGAAGGTGTCGGCAGGGATTTGGAAGGATTTCAGCAAGTCTCTTTCCTGCAGGGCGAAGGGTGCAGAAGAAGGCGCCCCTGACTTGTCGGTCGTTTAAAAAGCACTTTTTTAAAAGCGTGGTGGGGGTCTCAAAACGGGGTCTCTATGCAGGGAGCCTGGGGCCTCTCATTCTGTCCCCCACCATGGCCTGAGACTTTTCAGCAAGTGAGAGGCTATGTGACAGGTGTCAATTAAATTGCGCACATTCATGGGCTGAATGTCGGGAGATTTGGGGCAGATGAAAGGAAGGACTTCTTTCTTTTTCTCCCCTTTTAAATTTATTTATTTGGTTTTTCAAATTTTACAGAGATATATCAAACATGAATCATCAAAACAAGATTCCAAGGAATCTCCTGGAATTCCATCCTCCCCTTTGTGGGTCCTATTATGAATCATTTCCTCCCGCATCTTTTATGATGATCCAAATCGATTACAGTAGTGGCGCCCTCCCATCAGATGTCAAAGAAATAAACAACTATCTGACTTTTAGAAGACATCTGAAGGCAGCCCTGTTCAGGGAAGCTTTTAATATTTGATTGTTGTATTTTAATATTTTGTTGGAAGCTGCCCAGAGTGGCTGGGGGAACCCAGCCAAATGAGTGGGGTATAAAGAATAAATTATTAGGGGAGAGGGTGGCTGGTACAGGTCCCCACTGCCTCCCCCCATCAAACTCCAAGCACCCGTCTCCCAGGGCACCCTCTCACCTGGAAGATGCTGTACATGACGACTGTCAAAGGGCGGTGGCCAGAATACTCAGAAATCTTGAAGACGTCCAGGCCCCACTTGTTCACGTCTTCCAGTTCCTAAGGAAGAGAGGGCAGGGTTGTCAGAGCTCTGTGGAGATCACCTCTTTCTGTGATGTCTGTCTGATGTATTTGGGGGTGGTCTTGGGCTACAGGGTGGGCAGTTTCAGGAGTCTATATAAGAGCTTGCGCACCACTGTTCTGGGTTCCTCCTCCCTCCTGCATGTGGGGAGTGAGGACCCTGTTGCAACAGTTAATAAAGATCAGGCTCACTAGCCGCTTTGCTTCTCAATATTCTCTGCTTGGCCTCTGTTATTTTCTCCTACCAATAGAGAACCTTCATAAGGACTCTAGATGGACTCTTGGGTACCCAAAAGGAGCAGTGTTTTTTCTTATAACAATCGGATCCGCACCCAGCTTCCTGGAACCGGGAACCATTGTTCCCCAAGCCCCACATCTGCCCTCTTCCTCACCCTGGCCAGCAGACCCTCCTTCTCCGTCTTGACTCCGAAGCGAGGGATGGCGGCCACGCAGCGGAAGCTGGATCCATGGGTCAGTTTCTTCACACCGCTGATCTGTGACATCGGCAGCTTCTTCTTCTTCTTCTCTTTGTCCTTCTCCTTAGGGACCAGGGTTGGGATCTCCACCTCATGCTGCTTGTCTGAAACAGGCAGGGGGATGGATATAAAATTCACTGCATGCCGTTCATTGAAAGAAAAATGTCTGATTTTTTTTATTTAAAAATGGCATTTTAAATATTTTGTTGGACGCTGCCCCGAGTGGCTGGGGAAACCCAGCCAGATGGGTGGGGTGTAAATAATAAATTATTATTATTATTATTATTATTATTATTATTATTATTAAAATACTGGTGTAAATTGACTCTGGGATGTGCCACTTCCGGTGGGGTCGAGGGACGACCCTCTCGGCTGCCCACTATGAAACAAAGCACACTAGAACTTTCTTTGGGGTGTGGAGAGCAGTTTCCCACAGGCAGGATGAAATAAAACCTCATCAGAAGCGACAAACAGCCCCCCCAATAAATTATCCACAAGGCGAAGATTTGCATTAAGCTTTCCGAAGCCCAAAGAAAACAGGTCCCTGCCGCAAGGAGCTTACAGTCTGTGACTTGGCACAGGGGATGATAAGAGGAAGGAGAGAGAACCGGCTTTCCTCGTTCTCCTCCTCGACTCTAGCCCTGCTTGCCCAATCCCCTTCTCTTTTTAAAGCCCCCACTTTCAAAAGGGCCCTGGCTGGTCCATTTCTGGAGCATCGTCTCTGGAGGACACAGCAAAGGCGGCCCATGTCAAATATCCCCCTCCCGCCCAGCCCCTCGCACGAGTCTCCCGCTGTTCCGAGGGAGACCCCCGCCCCAATATTCCCGAGGCACGCAAGGATTGACGTCAGAGGAGGCTAATAATATTACCGACACCATGGCAACGGGAGATGCTGCGTGCTGGAATGCCGGTCCTCTCCCCAAAGTGATGTTTCCAGAGAGCAGACTCTCTCCCCACCTCACCCCGAGAGTCTTCTTCTCGCTCTTGCCTCCGTCACAAACGCACAGACACAGAGGAAGGGAACCTCTGGCTTAACACTCGCTGTGTGTGTGTGTGTGTGTGTGTGTGTGTGTGTGTGTGTGTATACATGCACACACACACACACTTGTTTTCCTGCACTGTGTTTTAAATCCAGCGCCGATGTTTTAATTTTTAAAAAGCGGATATCGAAATGTAAGAAGGTGGCCAGCGCGATGGGAAGCCCACAAACAGGACCTCGGTTACTGGAGGTGCTAGTCTTCATGGTTCCTAATAATTTACATAGTAAACTACCTTTTACAGAGTTGGACCATTGGTCCCTGTCAGGGCCAGATTTAGGTTTGGTGAGGCCCTCAGTTCCTGAAGGTAATGGGGCCCTTTCTATGTCCAGTTGTCCTTTGTCCACAACAAATTGTCACTGTTTTTTAGATAGATAGATGAATTTTATTGTCATTGTCCGTATATACACAGTATACACAACAACGAAAATCAAACACCCACTCGAAGACCGGGTTCACATACACATTTGCACGTATCTCCAACACTCTCATCCTATTCAGACATAATCTATAAAAACATATCATACTCCAGAATGTAACATAACCTATTAAAAGCATAACATAACCTAAAAACCTGTCTCATTCCTTCCTACTCCCTGCTTGCTATTCCTTGCAACTGGCCCTGAGATCATTATTTAGTGCAATCAGAGCTCTTGGATAGAAACTATTCAGAAGGCGTGTGGTTCGTGTTTTCATTGTCCTATATCTTCTGCCCGAAGGCAACAGTTCAAAGAAGTTGTGAGCAGGATGGGTGGGATCTCTCAGGATATTGTGTGACTTCTTCAAAGTGCGAGACGTGAAGATCTCATCCAGGGTTGGTAGTTGGAGCCCAATAGGTGTTGAATAGATGCTATATCAGACATAGGCAAACTCAGCACTCCAGATGTTTTGGGACTACAGTTCCCATCATCCCTGACCACTGGTCCTGTTAGCTAGGGATGATGGGAGTTGTAGTCCCAAAACATCTGGAGAGCCGAGTTTGGGGATGCCTGTGCTATATGGTCATTGATGGACCGAATAGGTATCTCAAGCCATTTGCGCATGTTGCCCTGCAACCAGTCCATGCAGAATGTTGGCACCCTATATATAGAAAGGGGCAAAGCAGGGATATTTGAGGGAGCAGGCGAGGCCCATGACTTACATCCGAGGAGCCGACACAACACAAAACACGGTTGCTGGATGTAGGTTTTATTGTATTTGTTTTTTATCTTATATTGTGGAAATGTACATTCAGTTTTTTCCCCCTTTAATTTTTTGGGGGGACCCCAAGAGAGTGAAGAGAGTGGGGCCCTAAGCTAGAGCTTGATTAGCTTATACATAAATCTGGCACTCGTCCCTGTCGCTCAGCACTGTCTGCACTGAATGGCAGCAACTCCTCGGGGTTTCGGGTACGAGAACCTCTCCCAGCCTGACCTGGGAATCGCACTACCACTAAGCTATGGACAGGGGACGCGGATGGTGCTGTGGGTTAAACCACAAAGCCTAGGACTTGCTGATCAGAACGTCGGTGGTTCGAATCCCCACAATGACGGGGTGAGCTCCCATTGCTCGGTCGCTGCTCCTGCCAACCTAGCAGTTCGAAAGCACAAAGTGCAAGTAGATAAATAGGTACCACTCCGGCGGGAAGGTAAAGGGCGTTTCTGTGCGCTGCTCTGGTTCGCCAGAAGCAGCTTAGTCCTGCTGGCCACATGACCCGGAAGCTGTACGCCGGCTCCCTCGGCCAGTAAAGTGAGATGAGCGCTGCAACCCCAGAGTCGGCCACGACTGGACCTAATGGTCAGGGGTCCCTTTACCTTAAGCTATGGACAGTTTGCCTCTCAAAAGGAGTTTAGAGTGTGAACAGGCTGCTGAAGAGTGCAGCTTGAACCCACAACCTGGGCATGATCAGCACCGAGGCCAGGCAGGAAAGGAGAAAGGTAAGTGCGCTCCCCTTTTTGCAGGCAAGTGATCCTTCCACCCCAAACCTTCTCTTCTCCATCTCCCCATTGCGCTGCCTTGGGGGACTCACCCAAGAAAGTGCTGCTGATGTACTCCGACACTTGGTTTCCGGAGCGGCTGGTTTCGGAGAGGTGGGTCAGTTCCCGATTCAGCATCCTTTTGAACTGCGGGGAGAGAGCAGGAAATAGTTCAATAACTCAAAGGAGCAACTCACAGGCAGCCTCTGCTGCAGGAGAATTTGCATCGCGCTGAAAGTTAAGAGCTGTGTTTTCAAGGGGATGAGAGTTTTGGCAAGTGGGGAGAATTGCTCCTAGTCCTCATGACCCAATAGGAAAGGGTTCTGGGAGGCAGCGAGATGCCTCTGGGCAGATGGGACACAGCAATCCATTCTAGATGTGGCTTGACTCCACCATCCTTTTTAAAAATATATATACAGTGGTCCCTCGATTTTCAAACACAATCCATTCCGGAAGACCGTCCGACTTCCAAAACGTTGGAAAACCGAGGCACAGAGGGCTGTCTGCAATTTCAAATGAGAAAATGTGGGAAATGGAAGCATCTGCTTCCGGGGTTTGGGCGTTTGGAAACTGAAACGTTCGACTTCTGAGATGTTCGGAAACCAAGGTATCACTGTATCTTCTCTTTATTCCCTGTTTAGAGAAGTTTTTAATGACTGATGTTTAATGTATTTGTAATCTTTTGTTGGAAGCAGCCCAGAGTGGCTGGGGAAACCCAGCTAGATGGGCAGGGTATAAATATATTATTATTATTATTATTATTATTAAGATTACAAGTGCACAGAGTAAGATAAGACACAAAAGAAGATAAGAAAATAGCACCCACGTAGAAAACAAAACAGAACAACAACAAAAATGTACACATTACACCCCAAAAATATGTTATTGTAGGTAACCAGACCTTAACCTAATACGGTATTTATAAAAACCAATTCCAAATATCATTGAATTTGTCCGTGGCAAGTCTACGTTGGTACGCAACTCCGACCACTAGTCCACGCTGCCTGGGGATGAGAGCTGGAGTGCAGCAACATCTGAAGGGGTGCAGGTCCCCCACAATTGATCTGGAGGAAAAGATCTTCCAGGATAGCTGCGATTCCTCTCCCCGTAGAACTAACCTGACCTTTGACAAGTGCATAGAGCTGAGATACCTATTAGGTCCATAAATGACCATATAGCATCTATTCAACACAAAAAACAGTGGCAATTTGTTGTGGACAAAGGACAGCTGGACATAGAAAGGGCCCCATTAGCTTCAGGAGCTTAGCCCTGCATTTGAGTGTCCTCATCAGCACCCCAACAGAGCGAGTCAGGTGGCAGGAGCTGCAACCAAATGTGGGGGCCCTCCAGGCTAAGGGGTGGGGCTCTTTTTCTGCCCCCCCCCCCGCCTAGCTGCTAGGTAGGAGAACATGAGCCAAAGTTTTTGGGTGTGAGCTGAGCTGGAAGCTGGAGACACAGAGACCCTCTTGCTCTGTGCTGGATCCAAAGCAAGATCTGTTGGGGGTCTTGATGCTGTGAGCCTCTGTCCTCTGTATGCTCAGGTTGTACAGAGGAGCAAATAAAACCCTCTATCCCAAAGTCAGCAGTCTCTGACTCTTTTCGTTCCAAATGCCTGGGGCCCCCTGAGTCTTTCGTAGCTCAGCGATTTGGGGTGACGTGTAAGGAAGTGAATGGCAACACCTCTCAGCTCCTCGTAAAAAGCGAGCAGGGAATACGAGGTGGGGAGGGTCTCTCAGAAGTCCCAAGAACTGCAGGAGACCCATAAAAGTTGCAATTACGGGATGCCAGCTGCAGCACACGCAGAAATGAGTCAAGGCAAAACAATTTTATGAAACATGGTGGAGGCTGGGGGGCGGGCAGGAGGGATTCCATAATCGGGGCAGCTTGCAAAACGATGGATATATATTCCAGTTGTAGTGATATTTAAAGCATTTGCAACAATGGGTGCTGTTGGATTCACTAGGGAGATCGGTAAATATTGAAATCCTTAAAAAGCATTAGCAAGACTTTGAGATTTAGGGTGTCGTCATCCCCCCCAAATGCAAGGTTTGAAAGGGTTTCTTTTTTTTTTGACATTTGAAATACTTTCCCACCCCTACCTGGAGGTGCCATTGGGGATCCAACCTGCAGGGCAGTTTGCTCCACCACTAAGCTAGTCCTTAAAAACAAAGCAAGCTTCCAGTCCTCATGAGCTGGGAACCATTTATGTCATATTTACAGAATCATTGTAAAGGAATGGACTCACTTGCAGGGTTTGACTCAAGATTGCAATTAACAAAACAAATGTAGAAAGAGAAACAGGATGTTAAAATGATAAGAGAAGAAGAATTATTATTTAAGGCCCGTATAGTTCAAGCTCTGGTTTTCCCAGTAGTGATGTATGGAAGTGAGAGCTGGACCATAAAGAAGGCTGATCGCCGAAGAATTGATGCTTTTGAATTCTGGTGCTGGAGGAGACTCTTGAGAGTCCCATGGACTGCAAGAAGATCCAACCTCTCCATTCTGAAAGAAATCAGCCCTGAGTGCTCACTGGAAGGACAGATCCTGAAGCTGAGGCTCCAAACTTTGGCTACCTCATGAGAAGAGAAGACTCCCTGGAAAAGATCCTGATGTTGGGAAAGATGGAGGGCGCAAGGAGAAGGGGACGACAGAGGACAAGATGGTGGGACAGTGTTCTCGAAGCGACCAGCATGAGTTTGACCAAGCTGCGGGAGGCAGTGGAAGACAGGAGGGCCTGGCGTGCTCTGGTCCAGGGGGTCACGAGGAGGCGGACACGACTAAACGACTAAACAACAACAACAACAAAATTAAAGAATAAGAAATAACCAATGAGCAGGGAGAGATAATATGCCAAAAAACCAGAAAGGGAAGTTGAGGGAAGTCACGGGGGGGGGGGGTGTTTGAGGATTTATAAGGTATTTTGTTCTTGAAATAATGATTGCGACGATGATAAAAATGGTAAATTCAATGAAAATTGTTTTTTTTAAAAAAAAATAAACAAATTAAATAATTAAAAAAACACACTCACACATTCTGAGATGGCGAGTTTCACAGATCAAGCATGCATTCACACACACACCCTGGCTGGGGGGTGGGGGCGCACACCCATTTTAAAAACAAAAACCGTGCCAAACCTTTGCAGCAGAACAAAAGTCCCCACTGCTGCTGCCCCCTCGCTTGCCAACCTTTGGAAGGGGCACCTGTGCTCCGCTTACCTGGGCGATGGGGTCTTGGAACACGAGCAACCCTGGGGGGCTGGCGTCGGGCATCGCACCGTCCCCAGTCCCCCGCCTGCCCAGCGCGCTGCTGCTCGCAAGCCGACCCTCCTCTCTTCCTCCGAAGCGCACCGCCACCTGCCCCGCAGGAGCCAGGCCACGGAGCTGCATGGACTGGGGGCCTGAGCCCCAAACCCCCAAAAAGGGAGGAGGAAAGAAATCTCTCCCTCTCAAAAAAAGCCCCGCAAAAAGAAAGAAAGAAAAGGGGGTTTCTCTGCAAAGCGAGGAGGCGAGGAGGAAGCGCTGGCGACGGGGGTCCCCCTGCATCACCGAGCTGGAGGGATGCGCCAGGTGAGCTGTTCTCTCGGCGGCCGCCCAATCAGAAGCCGCGGGCAGAGGGGCAGGAGCCCGTTCCGCCTCCCGATTGGCTGGCGGGAGCCTGGGGATGCTGCTACGGCGCGGTGGTACCCAGACGCAGCTGCAAGGCGCGCACGGGGAGAAGGAGGACGACGGAAGAAGCGGGCAAGACTTCGGGGGGCAAGGTGGGCATTGGGAGGGGGCTCAGCTGCCACAGGGGACAAGCTCTCTCTCTCCCCCCTCTCGTGTGTGTCCAGAGACAAGCAGCTGGCACAGAGACAGCTTCCCAACACTTTCTTTATTCTCCATCCCCGGCTTTGCAAAAAGAACATAAACAGAGGCTGGTTGCTGGATCAGTCCCAGTGCCGGATTGACGTAGAAGCTAAACAAGCTCTAGCTTAGGGCCCCACTCTCTTGGGGCCACACAAAAAAATGTAAAGGGAAAAATGCCTGGATGTACATTTCCAAAATATAAGATAAAAAACCAATAAAACAAAATCTACATCCAGCAACAGTGTTTTGTGTTGTGTAGGCTCCTATTTGTGATGTGTAAGTGGCTTGAGATGCCTATGAGGTCCATCACTGACCATCTAGCATCTATTCAACACAAAAAAGAGTGGCAATTTGTTGTTGACAAAGGACAGCTGGACATAGAAAGGGCCCCATTGCCTTCAGGAACTGAGGGCCCCATCAAACCTAAATCCGGCCCTGCTTTGGAGCTGCCTTTGGGTGGGCAAGGCGGGCATTGGGAGGAGGCTAAATTGCCCACCTGCAGGGAACCAGCTCTCTCTCTCCCCCCTCTCGTGTGTGTCCAGAGACAAGCAGCTGGCAGAGAGACAAGCTTCCCAACGCTTTATTTATTCTCCATCCCTGGCTTTGCAAAAAGAACATAAACCGAGGCTGGTTGCTGGATCTGACCCACCTGCTGCTCAAGCATCCTCTTCTGCCAGGCCAGATGCCATCCAGGACGGCGGCTAACGGATTGAGGTTGACCCTTGTCCCTTGGGGCTGGGGGTCCCACCCTGACCCGGGCGCCTTACCTTGTTGGAGGCCATCTCGCTGACCGAATGCCTCGTCTGCAATGTCTCCAGCTGGTCCAAGCACCAGTCCAGCTCCTCCAGGGTCTCCACGGCCAGCTTTTGGGAAGCATCTTCTGCGGAGAGGCAAGAGGCACAATCCTGTCTGCACTGAGCGCCAGCAGCTCTCGAGGGGACATGCCCAGCATGGAGAGGCTGTCGCCAGGGGCTGAGCCTGCATTGCAGGGGGTTGGATGACCCTTGGGTGCCCCCCGGTGAGACCTTCCACATTCAAAGCAGCTGCTCCATCACCGCGATCATTTCACCAGTCCAAATAAAGGGCTGGTTTAAACAGGAGGAGAATTGGTCCACTTAGCTCAGTGTTGTTTACACGGGCAGGCAGCATCTCTCCAGGGTTTGAGGCAGGAGATTCCCATCTCCTACCCAGAGGCATTTCCTGCCCCCAGCAGTGAGCCTAGCCATGGTGCCCGCTTTGGAATCTCTCCAAGCAGCCATGTCTACATCTGCCTCGTTTGCAGAAGCTCTTCCTTTGGCCCGAGTCTTGTGTATCTGTGCGTTTGTGTGCATTTGTGGCTTCTACACCTCCCGGCTCACGAGTTTCCTCGATGCCAGAGGTCGGGCAAAGGGGGAATACAGGCAGGGAACAGGCAGTCAGGGTGGCATGGTGGAGAGAGAGAAGGAGGCAGGCCCGGAGGCAGAGACAGGGGAAGAAGCGAAAAGCAGAGAGTTTTTGAATAATGAAAGAACTGACGTCAATCGGAGGCTATAGCCGCAGAGGTGGCATTAGAAAAGAGAAAGAGAGAGAGGAAGAAAGCAGGAGAGGGAGGGAGGAAGGAACTTCCCGGGTCGTAAGCGGACTGCAGATGCTTTGTGCAGAGCAGGGAGGAGACGGGAAGGCCCTGGGAACCGGGATATGACCCCCCACCCTCTGCCACGGACCCAGTGAATCTCCAAGATGCTTTGATTGACAGTCACAGACCTCGCCACCTCTCCTCAGGCTCTGCATGTTTTAAAACACGCATGACCCCAATTTAACAGGACCACAGCCTCGCGCTTAGAGAGCCTGCTTTGGATGCAGAATGTCCCAGGTTCGGTTCCTGCTGGCGTCTCCCGATGGGGCTGGGAATATCCTTCTTTCACACCTGACGCCGAGTAAATGAGCTAAAATGTATAAATTGTGGGATGTGATCCATGAGAGGCAGTCAAGTACAACATTCCTTGCAATGCTAGAGAAGACATGCGAGGGAATGTTTGGTCCAGCCGGTCGAAACTTCCTGTTCCTCCTGGCTGGAGCATCCTTCCTTTTGCATGTGACCTTACCTGTCCAGGTAATAAAAGGACGAGTCACACAGCAATTCTCTCTCTTTGACTTCCTTCTTCGTTTGACCCGCTTCTAGCTAGGACTGCTCTGCTAGCTCCTAGAAGCACTGGGATTATCCCCCCATATGGGGCAGATCCACATGTACATCTTTGTAACTAAGTCTGCCTTCAGGGATCCAACTGTGAACTGATGTGAGTCAACTTCTTTCATTGGTTTTGTGGAAAAATTATGACTAAAATCTTTTTTAAAAGGGGGAATATTCTTCACAAATAAAATACAACTGGCTCCCCCAGGAGGGGATGACGGCCGTCAATCTAGGGGGCTTCCAAAGAGGATGAGACAAATTCACGGAGTTCAGGTCCTACACTTAGGGGTCTGGCTATTCCTGGTTCCAAGAGTCGGTGTGTTTAGTTGTCTGCTCACCCCACATTTTGCTTCCCTGCACCTTTCCTAATTGCAAAAAAATTCCTTGTAGGGTTTCTTAAAGGGGAATTCTGGCGCGAGGATGACAGAAGGCTTTCCGTTGTGCAAACCCACATTTCCCTGTGGGCACCTTCCCCCCCACCCAAGAAATTGACAGGGCCCAGATGGAACTCACCTGGCAGGTTGACTTTAGACGTGGGCGGCAGGTTGGGAACTCCAGACGCTCTCCTGTAAGAGACAGAGCATCTCTGAGCCCCCAGTGTCATATTTGGCGGCAGAGGGGATTGTGATCAGGTCCCCTGCCAGAGTGGTTTTGAAACATTTCTCAAAGGAATTAAGAAATAATTAATTGCAACATTCTGTGCGTAAGACGACCCCCAATTTTAAACTTTAAAAATCTGGGCAAAAATATAGTCTTATACATGGAAAGATACAGTATACTTTAGGAGAAAAAGGCCTGTCCTTTCTCCAAATTACTACCCCATCTCACACTTTCAGTCGGTGCAGAGCTCTCTCCCTCACTCACTTGCTGCTGAGGCGTTCCTGCAGGTGGGTCAAGATGGCGAAGTTACTGCGCACCGTCCGCAGGCTGGCCAGGACCTGGAGGAGGTGGAAGGAAGGAAGGAAGGAAGTACTTTCAGAATCAGCTGCATGCAACGTTTGCTCCCCCTCATGCACGCCGATGCAGCCAGCCATGGCTAATCCCTTTAACTATTGCAAACCACAAACCTGCAGGGCTCGTGTACTTTAGTAATTGCAAAAAATTGCAGGGCTCGTGTACTTTAGTAATTGCAAAAACCATCCAGGTTCGGGTACCTTTAATAATTGCAAAAATCTGCAGGGCTCCTGCACCTTCAGTAATTGCAAAAAACCACACACAGGGTTCCTGTACCTTTAATAATTCCTAGCCTTTCCTCCCACTCTCATTCCCTCAAGTGCAGACCCCAACCCTGAAGAGATTCCTACCTGTGCAAAAGGAGTGACAATCAAGTCTTCTCCATGCCTGCAACAGAAGAGGTAAAACCTGTTAATCCCAAACAGGACAGATGAGGGCGCTGGTTCGGATTAATTACACTTTTGCTGCATTTTGGAAGAGTTTGCTTCCAAGGTAGGCTACCAAATCCTCCTGGCATTTTCCAGATTAAAAACAGATAAATGAGTTGCAGGACCTCAACAAGCAAAGCTTGAGGCCTCCTGCCCTCCGTTGGGCATCGCAGAAGGCGCTGAGCCCTTTCCCCGCATGCGGAAAGCGGTCGGGGGTCCTCAGACTTCGCTCTGATGCTTGGGAAGAACACTCCCAATTCTATAAAATTCTAGGGGATTCAAATTGTAATGCAGAAGCCGAAATGGAGAAATAAAAGAAGCAACGAAGATATGTTGAAAAACCACAATGGATCTAGAGCGATGGATGGCAGTTGCCACAACAGATTTGCAAATTTGTTAAGTGGTCCACCAGCGGAATATTATGATTATTATTTAGGGAAGTTTTTAATGATTGATGTTTCAATCTATTTTTAACCTTCTGTTGGAAGCTGCCCAGAGTGGTTGGGGAAACCCAGCCAGATGGGCGAGGTAGAAATAATAAATTATTATTATATTTTTATTTTCAAGGGAACTGGAGATTCACTGCTTTGAGCGTTTTGCCCTCCACCAATGTAAAAAGCCTGGGGTGAGTCTTACGGCTCAATACTGGGGTTTTTTTTGGGGGGACGACCCAGCAGAATTCAATTTCCATATGCCTCCCCCCACCAAACCCTCTCCAAAAATGCCAAGCGTTTTTCACCCCAGCCAGACTGACAGCTACACCTTCCCTCACGGAAACCACACTGCCAACACCCCCAGGGCGTTGCCTTTGAATTGCCTGGCGCCCGGCGCTCTGCGCATGCTCACATGTCGCTGGCGACCGAGGAGTTGCGGGACATGGCTTTGGGCGAGAGGTCGTAGTCGCTGTCCGAGCGGTAGAGGAAGGACTCGCGGCGCTGGCTGTGGGGGGTGGCCCCCTGCAGCACCAGCCCCAGGCCAGGGTGGGTCTGGGCGTCCAGAGGGGTCCGTCCAGGGGAGAAGCCATTCTCGAGGTCAAAACTGGGGGGAGAAAGAGAGGAGAGAGGGGCGTCAGGCACAAGAAACAACAGCCACCCCCTGCCATTTCCCACCACGATTGTCCCACAATTTAGCAGGCACACCTCTTTTGATCTATTTCTCTATTGTTCCATCTACATCCCAGGAGCTCCCGGCAGCACAGACACATCTCCCCATTTTCATTTTATATATACCGTATTTTTTCGTGTATAAGACTATCTTTTCCCCTAAATTTTCAAAGTTTAAAATCAGGGGTCGTCTATAAGACAAATAGTGCATAGTGCGTTTTCTTAATTTTGAGTTAAGAAAAATAGGGGTCGTCTTATACATGGGGATGTGTTATACACGGAAAAATACGGTATATATAATTTTCTGTTTTACAATTTCGAATACTCATTTAAACATCCTAAAAATGACTTTCCTTCTTCTCTTTCCATGGTTCGTTTTGCATGCCGTAAATCCCTGCCCATTTTCACAAAAACTAAACCATTCAGTATTCCATTATTGCATCCATCAAAACTTATTTACACTGTTGAATTTAACGTAATGCTGCCAGCATTTTCAAATATACACAATATCCCCCATATATTCAATAAACGTTTTCCAATCTCTTCGCTAAATGTATGTTCTTCTTGTTCTCTTATTCTATATGTTAAGTCTGCAAGCTACACATATTTTGCTGACTCAAGTTGTCATTCTTCTTTGGTTGGGCTCTCGCTCGTTTTCCATTTTTGGGCTAACACAACATGGGCCGCAGTAGTGGCAGACGTAAATAACCTTTTTTTGACATCTGAATTATCCCCAACGAAAAGGACTCTGGTTCTCCCCAAATCGGCACAACCACCCTGGGAGACTAGTGCTGGGGAGTTGAAAACGGGCCTTGCAATTTATTTTATTTTGATTTGATTTTGCATTGTTGTTTTTATTTCTGTTATTTTTGAAAATGAATAAAATGTTAACAAAAGAAGAAAAGAAGAAAATGAGTCTTGCAGGATGCTGCTGCAGTGCGCTAGCCTATGGCTTAATTTAATTCTTCCTTTTAAAAAGAAAAGGCATAACTTTTCCCGCATAAGCACGAATGCCAGTTCCTGACTGCCGACAGCGAGAGCGGTTGGATTCCATGTATTTTCTGTTGCTGCTGCGTACGTGAAAAAGCTCGTTCTCTCCCCCCAAAAGATGACATACGTAAGCCAGGATGGGGGGCAAAGCCTGCAGTTCTCCAGATGTTTCTCCCTCTGCTCCCGACTCCTGACCCAGTCAAAACAAATTGCTTCCTAGGCTTTCATCTCAGATATATATGTATTTCTAGAGATGAGAAGCTCTCGGGAGATGGCCCAGTTTTCATGAATTTAGGAACCGGCTCCTATTCTCACGCTGAGGGCCTCTCTCTTTCCCCCTGCCCAAGCTGGGGGCTGCCGCCTCTCGTCTTGTGGCAGGCAGTTCCATAGGCTAGCATATAGACCCCCTGCAATTCCTGAAGGCAGACTTAGTTACAAATATGTGCATGTGAATCTGCCCCATATGGGGGAATAATCCCAATATTTGGACGGAGCGGTGATCCCTCTCGCTGAGGCGGCCCCCTCCTTCCCATCTGCCCACCCCACTCTCTGCCTGCCTCCGCTGTCTCTCTGTGTCTGGAGCGGCCGGGGCCACTCTCGCCTGCTGGCCCTGCGCCCATTTCCATGACGCCGTGAGAGAAAAAGCGTGCGGCCCACCAGGGACTTGGAAGAGAAGGGAGGAGGCAGGGAGCCAAGATCCACAGGTGTTACAGACATCAAGGGAATCGTCGAGTCGGAAGGGACACCCCAGCGGTCATCCAGTCTGACCCCCCTGCAATGAGGGAATCTCAGCTAAAGCATCCAGGACAGATGGCAATCCGACCTCTGCTTCAAAACCTCCAAGGAAGGAGAGGCCACCACCTTCCATCCCAATCAGCTCTGACTGTCAGAAAGTCCTTCCTGACGTTGAGTCGGGATCTCCTTCCTTGTCGCTCAAAGCAGGGGAAAACAGACTCAGCCACTTGGAAAGTTAATTCCAACCTGTTCTATCATTTCAACTTTTGTACGTTAGGAATTATTTTCTTCGTTTTCAAAGATAAGACTGGGAAAGCCGTTGTGGTCTATTGAGAAAAGTTTATTTCCCAAAAGCAGAAAACAGCAGAAATGTGTCAGAGAAGAGGAAATTAGATAAACCTTAAAACGCAATTGTATGTCGTTGAGGTTATAAATGTTGGGGCTGGGTAACTCGGGGGAAGAAGTTGCTAGTTTTGTCGAACAGGAATGGAACTGTTGAGCAGCTTTCAATATGGGAAAAGAAAATGTTATTATTTTAAAAGAGAAGAGGAACAGCTGAACTTGGCCTGGCAGCAAAAGGTCAAGCCGGTGGCGTCCTCTGAGCGGGGGCATTCTTGCTCTTGTCAGCAACTGTGCTATAGCATCCTGCCCCTTTCGGTGGGCCCTCCCTGTGTCTCATATCCAGCCGTGGTCCTGTTGACCTCCCTGCCACTGGATCCCTGAATAAAATCCAGGAAACGGAAAGGAGAGCTGGCACCCACCTTGTCTTGGCCAGGCTGTACCCGATGCAGGAGTGCCTCCATGGGGACAGCATCCTTGTCTTCCTCCTCCGGGCACCCACAGGACCCCCCCACCCACAGCCCCTGCCGCCCCCCCCCCCGCAAAACCCATCTGACTGGGAACAAAGGGCCCCCTTTCAGCCACTTTCCCTGGCTCACGTCAAGCCCAGACGGGGCAGAGAATCACCCCACTGTCTCCCCAACGCCTGTCTTGAAGTGGGTCGTGGGGTGGGGGGCACAAGGCCGGGGGGGTGGGCTCCTTCGATGGGACCCACCGGGGTGTCCCCTCAACACCAGTGGGGTTTTATTTATTGCCGAAAGCAGCTTTGAACCAGCCTGGGGAAATAACCGAGCAAATTGCTCCATCTCTTTCTCCCCCAAAACACGCCGCTCCTTGTTTTCCTTCTGGTTCGCTTCTCCTCCTGGCACCCAAACGGGACACAAAAGCTTCATTGTGGGCCGGGATCATCTGGGAAGGGATGACCAGTGGAGAGGGCTTCCCTGTCCTCGGCCCCCCGTGACCTTTGGTGACCCAGAGGGCCGTTTCGCCGCTCGCAAGGAAGCTTTCGGGGGCCATGTGGTGACGGACGGACCCCTCCCAGGGCAAAAAGGCACCCCTTTGAACCAGAGGCCTCTGCTCACTCCATCTGCACATCCCTCCACCCAGGCAAGGAAGTCGAAGGACACATTTCCAACCAGGAGAACTGCAGAACTCACTGCTGCAGGATGGAGCAATGGCTAAGCTAACCTACATCAGGGGGTTTGGGCTGGGGGCTTGTCAGTATGCAGATGATACCCAGCTCTACCTCTCTTTCCAATCAGAACCGGTGAAGGTCCTGGGTGAGTGTCTGGAGGCAGTTGGAGGATGGATGGCAGCTAACAGATTGAGGTTGAATCCTGACAAGACAGAAGGACTGTTTTGGGGGGACAGGGGGCAGGCGGGGGTGGGGGGCTCGCTGGTCCTGAATGGGGCAACTGTGCCCCTGAAGGATCAGGTGTGCAGCCTGGGAGTCATTTTGGACTCACAGCTGTCCATGGAGCCGCAGGTCAGTTCTGTGTCCAGGGCAGTTCCATCTGGTACGCAGGATGAGACCCTCCCTGCCCACAGACTGTCTGGCCAGAGTGGTGAATGCTCTGGTTATCTCCTGCTTGGACTACTGCCATGCGCTCTCCGTGGGGCTGCCTTGGAAGGTGACCCAGAAACTATAATTAATCCAGAATGTGGCAGCTGGAGGGCTTGGTGGAATATTTGCAGGCGCCTTGCGAGTGCCGACAAGAGCCTCTAGCCAAATGTGGACCCCAAAACATCTCCACTTGGCCCTCGGGGACATTGGGGGGGCCGCAAGTACCTCTGCCAGGCTGAGCTCTCGCAGTGCTTCTTGGTTGGTGCAGAAACCAGCTTCTTGTACATGAGGGTAAAATTCGCATTGGGTGCTCTGTCCCAGCTTGCGGTACCATTGATACAAGAGTGGCAGATGAAGATGATTGGATATGCAGAATTGGCAGAGTTGAGCAGGAAAATCCGAAACCAGTTTTCCAAAAAGACTGGAGTAAATTTATACAATATCCGATGGAAAATGGCAAGCAATTAACAACACTAGCAGGACTTAAGAAGACTTGTAACGTTGTTGATATATACCTTTTTACATATTTGTTTAAAAATTGACAATAGAAATGGATATAATGTAAATGGGGGGAAAGTGTAGATGCTATGATCTGTAAGGGTGGAGGGAGGGAGGTCGACAGCTCATTTGAGCAAATACCATCATGGGAAAAGATGAATGTCCTTTAATAATATAAAATAGAAACTCAATCAATATGATATTAAAAAATAAATGCAAAAAGAGAAAGGTCCCCCCACCCACTCGAAGGCGACCGAAGCGCGGGGCCTTATCGCAGCGTCCCCTTACCAGAGCGGGTGCGCCACGGTGAAGCGCCTCTGTAGCCGCATGCCAGGGTTGGCCATTGCCTTCCGGAAGAGGACAGGCGAGTTGTGGGGCGAGGGGGCCGGGGAGCCCCCAGGGGAGCCTTGCGCCTTGGAGGAGGGAAACATCGTTCCTGCTGACCGGCAAATTCAGACGACTCGGGCAATGGGGAGTGTTGCCAGCCGACTCAGATGCCCTCGGTGCCGCACGAGACTCGAACCCAGGCCTTGCCGAGGAAGAGTCCCCTCCACTCGGAAGCCCCTGGAGGATCGGTCTTCTTTCCGCAGAGTTTCCACAGGGGGCGCTCCGTGAAGCCCAGATCCCGGAGAGGAAGAAGGGGGTCCGCCATACCGGCACGAAGGGAGGGCCCCGAGTGCGAAGCACGCCTCTGCTCCGTCCCGTCCCAGGAATCCTTTTGCCGAGAGGCCAGCCCCCAGCTGGGAAGCTAAACAAACGCCTTGGCCGGGCTCCAAGTGCTGAGTGCAAGTGCCAAGTTTCCCTCATTGCTGTCTCTGTCGGGACTGGAAAGGGGGGTGCGACCAGCCCGGCCTCTGAGCCCACCTCTGGACAGGGCAGGCTTGCAGCCGGCGGTCCAGAAAAACCCATTTTATTAAAAATGTAGAAGCCCCTGTGTCCGGGTGACACAATCCGGCCTTGGCACTGGTCACAGTAAACACGGCAAGAAGTGACGGGCCTGGCTCCCAAAGTTTGGCCAAGCCTGCCCTGTCATCGCGGTGCCCTTGGCGGGTCCAATTACGCTGGCAGTCAGGATCGCTCCCAAAAAAGGAGGGGGAAAAAACACACCCCGGCAAATGCAAACAGTTGCCGTGACCTTTTGCTTCTGCTCTTCCCAAATATCTGCCGCTTGCTCGTCATTGTCATCCGTTGAGAGACTGACGGTGGGAAAACACAAGCCCAACTTCCTGGTGGTTTTGCCAGGCTGCGTTTGGGGTTTGTTTTTTTTAATAAGAAATGCATTGGAAAGCAAAAAGAAACAGCTCCGGCTTTTCTTGATGTAGAACACAGAATTCAACTGGGTTGTGGTTTTTTAAAAAGAGGATCATGCGTGTTAAAACCAGGAATGGAGGGGGACAGTTCAACGACCCCCCCCCCAAAAAAATCCGAAGTCCTCTATAGAGTCCATAAGTGAGTTCCCTATCGGTAGGAGGGAACAACAGAGGCCAAGCAGACGACACAAAAGGAAAGAGGGATGAGGAGGGAAGAGGGAACCAAGCGAGCTCAGGCTCCGACTCTTCCACTTGTAGTTTCTACAATCTCCAGATATAATATCTGGTTATGCAATGTGAGAAACGTGAGGCTGGACTAGACGGATCTTTCCTACTAGTTATTTAGGAAATAGAAGACATCGTTGCATGCTCTTGTTATAAGAAAAAAACTGCTCCCTTTCCCTTATGGGGTATTCCACAGCTAATTTGGCTAATTCAGCATATTCACATAATTTCTTTTGCCACTCTTACCTCACTTGGGATCTGATCTCCTTTCCAATACTTGACAATTAAAACTCTAGCCGCAGTTGTTGCATAAAGAAATACACTTTTGTTCTTTTTAGGGATGTTTATTGTCATATAAACATATAATGCAGAGCAGAAAAGCCTCTGGTCTTTTAGTGAATATTTCTCTGACTCTCCCGTTGTTTCCTTGCCAGTGGACTAACATGGGGAGGGGGCAGAAGACCCCCTGTCGAGATGGGTGCTGTTCTGCTGTCGCCCCACTGAGCCCCACCAGGGGGCAGCAGCGCAGCGTCCCCAAAATTGGTAAAGAAGAAGATTGGCAAAATAAATTACTGAAGTATGCAGGACAAATTATTGGGGGGACGGGGGACGAAGGCAATTGCTCAACGCATATTTTCAAAGCTTTGTGTACAGGCTTTTACATTAGTATAACTTTTAAAAGTCACTTGTAATAAGATGAAGAAGATTTCAAAATTGGATTGTTAGGTTATGTAAGGTTTTATGGACGTACATTAACAAGTATATTATAAAGGAACCAAGAGGGGGAGTGGAGGGAAGTCGACCCCCCCCAAAATCAAGGTTTAATTTGTTTATGACATTTTTCTTTTCTGTTTTTTCCCCCTTTTGTTATTTTTGGAAAATCAATAAATCGTTATCAAAAAAAGGGGGGGCAAAATTGCAGAATATTGAACCTGGTTGAATTTGGGGGGTTCAGTCCCCTTGCCCCCCCCCCCCATAGATGGCAGCCCTGCTTTTGTGATTGATTATGCATTGGAGAACAAAAAAAACCAGCTCCTGGCATTGCTCGATTTATAACACAGAATACAACTGGGTTGGTTTTTTTTGAGAAATACAATCATGGGACATGCAGAAAATATAAAGCAATGCTGTGCTTTTTTCATTAAAAAAAATGTTTAGGGCTACTCTCATTTTCCTACTCATATTGAAATACTGCCCCCTCAATGAGGCCAAACTTAGATTCACAAAATGTTTAGGGGTATGTGTAGCCTTGCGTCCCCCCAGAAAAAAAGCACTGGCAATAATTATTATTATTAATTTATTTCTACCCCACCCATCTGGCTGGGCTTCCCCAGCCACTCTGGGTTGCTCCTAACAGAATATTAAAAACACGGTAAAACATCAAACATTAAAAACTTCTGTTATAAGAAAAAAAAACCTGCTCCCTTTCCCTTATGGGGTATCCAAGAGCCCGTCTAGAGTCCTTAAGTGGCTTCCCTACCGGTAGGAGAAAATAACAGATCAGGCTTACAATCCACTTTGCTTCTCAGTATTCTCTGGTTGGCCTCTGTTATTTTCTCCTACCGATAAAAAAGCAACATAAGGACTCTTGGGTACCCCATAAGGGAAAAGGAGCAGTTTTTTCTTATAACACTTTGCTCAGGAGTAAATGGCTTCTGCCCGCACACCAAGGGCCCCCTTATGTATGAGCTCCCTCCCAGAAAAGCCGAGCGACACATCTGCTCTGTGGTGGAAATCGAATTAGCCAGCAGAGGAGAGCAGCAAGGCAGCCATCGCCACCCCTTCTGGCCCTAATTGGGTTAGCCTCTTGCCTATTAATGCTTGCCGAACGAAGGGACGATCACTCACACGCCGATGCCCTGCAAAGTCCCAGAGGGGAATGGCAGGGACTCGGCTGAACCCCCAAATAAGAGGGAGGCAGTAAGCGGTGAAGATCGGTACCCCAGCTCTCGGTACTCCTAGATCCCTTGAAGGCAGTGAAGGTCCTGTGTCCGGAGGCGCTTGGAGGATGGATGGTGGCTAACAGATTGAGGTTGAATCCTCACAAGACAGAAGGACTGTTTTTGGGGGACGGGGGCGGGCAAATGTGGAGGACTCCCTGGTCCTGAATGGGGTCACTGTTCCCCTGAAGGACCAGGTGCGCAGCCTGGGAGTCATTTTGGACTCCCAGCTGTCCATGGAGGCGCAGGTCAGTTCTGTGTCCAGGGCGGCTGTCCACCAGCTCCATCTGGTACGCAGGATGAGACCCTCCCTGCCTGAGGACTGTCTTGCCAGAGTGGTGCATGCTCTGGTTATCTCCCGCTTGGACTACTGCCATGTGCTCTCCATGGAACTCCCTTGAAGGTGACCCGGAAACAACAACTAATCCAGAATGTGGCAGCTAGACTGGGGACTGGGAGTGGAGAACATAGAACACCAGTCCTGAGACCTACATTGGCTCCCAGGACCTTTCCAAGCACAATTCAAAGGGTTGGTGCAGACCTTGAAAGCCCTAAACGGCCCTGTATCCCTCACTAGCTGCAAAACCTCCTGGGCTTTTTTTGCAGAACATGGAAAGCTCGTTTCACTGGCCGGCCGACTGAGCCCAAAATAATTTTGCCTGTGCAAAAATAAAAAGCGCAAGTCGATGAGCAGATCACAGCCGGAGGAAATTCAGCTATATTAAATTCTCCCTCCAGTTGGGGACAGGAGGGAGCCTCTGGCCTTGGTCTGGCACCCAGGGGAGACCCTACTCTGTACATCCGCCCGGGGCTCTGGACGTCTCGTGCGATAATGGCTGCAGAAAAATAACTACCACACTCAGCAATAGATTTTGTAGCATTTGGGAGGCTAGTGTGTGTGAGAGAGAGATACACACACACACTTGATGGAGGTAGAATTCTGTGTATGTATGAATTCATAGTACAGTGGTACCTTGGTTCTCAAACTTAATCCATTCTGGAAGTCCGTTCCAAAACCAAAGAGTTCCAAAACCAAGGCACACTTTCCCATAGAAAGTCATGCAAAATGGATTAATCTGTTCCAGACTTTCAAAAACAACCCCTAAAACAGCAATTGAACATGAATTTTACTATCTAACGAGACCATTGATCCACAAAAGGAAATTGATAAACAATGTACTGCAGTCACACAATCAATCAGTAGCTGAACTGGGTTCCACACGGTCACAAAAAAACCCCAAAAAGAGCCGCAAAAACAAAAACGCAAAATAAATAGCAAAAACGGACAGACCTCAGCGTAACACTCAAAATGGAGCACGTTCGGCTTCCGAGAAAAGTTCACAAACTGGAACGCTTACTTCCGAGTTTGGGTTCCAAGTTGTTTGAGTACCAAGCCGTTTGAGAACCAAGGGACCACTGAATTGTAGAGTTGCAAGGGACCCCCCGGGGTCATCCAGCCCAACCCCCTGCAATGCAGGCTGTCCCTTATGGGGGGTCAAACCTGCAACCTTGGCGTTGTCGGCGCCACGCTCCAACCAACTGTGTTCCACCATCAAAATTGGCAGCCCGCATTTTTGCAGGCTGCCCATTCTGGTCCTTGCAGGCTCAGGGGGCTGAAAGAGCAGTTGACCTTTGAATTCCCCCCTGGGACAAATAATGCAGAACTGATTGGTACCCCCAGGAGACTCTAAATCGAAAACTCCTGAAGCTGGAGGAAGAGGCGGGGGGGGGGCAGCCTCCTTCTCCAGGAAAGGCCATTTCCTAAGCCTGACTTTCCCCTCTGCTAAAATTCGATCGGAAGGCAAGCAGCCAGATCCATATCTCCTGCACCATCGTTATTACAGGGCAATAAACAGGTCTGGGCTAATAAAGCACAACAGCAGCCTTCGACCAGACTGCTGCTCGCTCCATTTCCATGCTCGGCGGGACCTGGGCTTTTAAAGGTAATTTTGCTCCTTTCCAGCTCACAAACTGGGAGCCTTCCTCTCTCTCCCTCGCCAGCGTTTGCAAGTTAAGAACCAAGCAACAAAACAAGATTGTGGGCTTGAGGGGTTTCTGAGAAGCAGGTGTTTTAGGAATTCTAAGGTCTTATATATATAAAATAAATGTTCATAAATGTACAAGGCAAACACATACATAAGTATATCAACCACATGTCTGAAATAGTGCAGGAGAGCAATCCTGAAGCCATTTGGACTCTCCCAAATTGACCTCAAATATTTCTCTGCAAGGAGGAAGGAAATGGGAAAAGCTTTCCAATTGTCTTTGGACTGTAGGGGCTTACATCTCCCTGTAAATACAGTCTGGCAAGTATCTGCTCAGCTGAGCACACTCTCAATATGCGTAAGAGATTCAGGAACTAAGTATTTACCATCTCCAAGGAAATAATATATTATTATTATTATTATTATTATTATTATTATTATTATTATTTGTACCCCACCCATCTGGCTGGGTTTCCCCAGCCACTCTGGGTGGCTACCCAGAAAAGGCAATCAGATAACGCATTCTCAGGTATCCTGGCATACAGGAGAGAAGCAACACACTCCAATTTTTGCTGGGGACGACCTCTTTCTATGATGTATGGATGATGTTTTGGAGGAGGGTGGTCTTGAGCTACAGGGTGGGCAGTTTCAAAAGTCTATATAAGAGCTTGCACACCTTTGTTTTGGGTTCCTCCTCCCTCCTGCATGTGGGGAGTGAGGGCCCTGTTGCAACAGTTAATAAAGATCAGGCTTACAAGCTGCTTTGCTTCTAATATTCTCTGCTTGGCCTCTGTTATTTTCTCCTACTGATAGAGAACCCACATAAGGACTCTAGACAGGCTTTTGGGTACCAAAAAGGAGCAGTGTTTTTTGTTATAACACAGGGATGCCAGTTCTGAAGGGACCCAGGATGGATTTGCGGCTGCCAAGGACTTCAAGGACCCTGGAACTGGAGGGCTGGAGGGGACCCCGAGGCTCATCTAGTCCAACCCGCTTGCAATGCAATGGGAAGGCTTTGGGGGGGAAGGGCAAGATGCCTTGGACCTCGCTCACTGGGAGGGCTGCCCCTGTTGCAGCAAAATGCCCGGTACATTTGGAAGGAGGCTGCTGCCTACAGAGCAGAAAGTGGGGGCAGCCTGAGGCAGTGTAGCTCTGGGATTGGGGGGGGATCCAGGAGGTCTCCAAATGCTGCTCCTTCCTGCATGACAGTCGCTAAGACTCCAAAGCGCATTGCTCAGGATTCAGCTCGGCGCAAGGAAGATGTTTTAATGGCGGCACTTGCAGAGCAGAGGCAAACAGGTCGTGAAGGGTGACTCACGCACAAACGTCTCACGCCCCTAAAAGCAGTCCTGCGCCATTATCCTTTCCAGCCTCTGTCACGGCCATTCCTGAGATCATCCTCTCCCTTTGCCTGTCAGCAGCCACCCCTAATGGCCACCAATTACAGGGCCCACCGATTCTTCTTTAAAAATAAAAAGAAAGTATTGCCACCGGTTTGTTCCCAAGCAGGGAGGATTAAAAGCCAGGCGGTCCTCCTCCCTCACCTATCCACACAGACACGCAACACCAGCTCTCGCTTCCTGCTTCTCAACAGGACCAAAGTTTCTGGCGCTTAGAAAGGTAGACTGCCCTGGGAGGTGGAGGCTTTGCGTCGACCCATCAAGAAAAAAATCAACAGGGCAAGTATCTCTTCTGCACACTTGCAGAGCCTTGATGTGACTGCGTGAGCAGGTTGCATTCCTAGGAAGACTCCTTAGACCGAGTCAGACCATTGGGGCCACCTAGCTTAGCATTGTCTGGGCTGGTTGGAGGCAGAGGGATGGTGGGGGGAACCAGCTAGGGAACCCCCAGGGGAAGAAGGTTCAGAGCTCAGAGGATGGGGATGGGGCAATGATGAGGGAGAAGCAGGAGAAGACTGGGAAGAAGAGGGAACAGGGCTTTGTGAGCGGGGTGAGTCGGTGGCAGAGAGCAGTCCTGAATCGGAGGCAGGAGCTGAAGCAGGAGAGGAAGGAGGAGGAGGAGGAGGAGTTTGGATTTGATATCCCACTTTATCACTACCCAAAGGAGTCTCAAAGCGGCTAACATTCTCCTTTCCCTTCCTCCCCCACAACAAACACTCTGTGAGGTGAGTGGGGCTGAGAGACTTCAGAGAAGTGTGACTGGCCCAAGGTCACCCAGCAGCTGCATGTGGAGGAGCGGAGACGCAAACCCGGTTCACCAGATTATGAGTCTACCGCTCTTAACCACTACACCACACTGGCTCTCGTGGAGGCCAAGAGGCAGAGATCCAGCTGGGAAGGGAGCCCATAGGGGAGAAAGGAAACTGACCCTAAACCTCTGCTGCCTTGCGGGATATTTTGGGAGAAGAAAAGGCTCAGGAGTGAACCCGACGCCAATCCAGAATGGAGTCCCTTGTCTGCCTCCTTCCGGCAACTCCTGCAGCCAAGCTGCTGCCCAGCGTCTTGCTCTGCTTTCCTTCGGACCCCGTCAGCGAGACCAAGAGGGGGTTTCTTTCCCCATCTGACAGCCCAGGACTTCCCTGCACACAGCCCAGGCTGGTCACCTCAGCGCTGCCTATTGCAGCAGTTGGACTTCACTCGCGGGAGCACGCTCCATTGTCTCCCGAAACAGAGACAGCTGTAACAAAGCACCAGGTTGTTGTGCATTCAACGTCGGAGGTTGGGGAAAGGGTAAGAATAAGATTTTCGTGCTGGGACACACTGGGTGGATCTCTTTATGGCGGCCGGGGGGTTCAGCAACGAAGCCCCTCGGGCTGTGGAAGCAGCTGCCTCGCAGGGCCCTGGGGTGCCACTCAGGCACGACTCGGCTGGGCTGGCAGCACATGAGTTTGTCATGAATCACCCGGAGGAGCGCCTGGCATGACTCAAATGGTGCTCTCCTCACCCATGCCGGCATTTAGTGACCAGGCACTGATTCAGAGGGAGCTAGCGGAAAACTCTGAGGAACAGAGAGACCCCCGCGGCCCACGCTTTGCGGGCCAAAACCTCCCAGGGGAAAGACCTGGTTTGGAAATGTGCTGCTCCCTTTCTTTTCTTTTCGATTTTAAACCTTTTATTGAAATTAAAATGAAGAAGCATATAGAAGTATTATCTATAAAGGAAATAAAATAAAAAATAAAACTTATTACATTACAATATGTTCCTCTTGGATTCCTAACGACTTCCCGTCACCCCACCATGCGTCTACCACTTAATCTATCTAGCGCACTGTTTCTCTCTGTTTCCTTTTGTTAACTTTCATCAATATTATATTTCTCATACTGATCCATCATACGGCAGAAGTCATTCAAAGGCTGCCACAGATGTCATGTTATTACAATAATCCATTAGATTTTTTTTATATACATATCCCATTTCCTAATAAATGTCTGATCAGAGCAACCCCTCAATTTTTGTGTTAATTTAGCCAACTCGGCGTACTCCAACCGTTTAGTTTGCCACTCCAGCTTTGTCAGTGTTTTCTCTCCTTTCCAATTCATAGTGATTAGAATTCTTGCCGCTACCGTAGCATACAATAATATTTCTCTCGCATTTTTAGGAATATCTGGGCCTAATATCCGGCCCCCGAGCCTTAGTTTGCCTGCCCATGGTCTTGACCCAGCAAGAGTTCCCCCGCTAAGCTATATCTAGAGCTGAATCATCGTAAAGCTTGGTCTGCGTATATCTTTTTGAAAAACACACGCACCCACTTCGAAAGAAACTAAAAACCCACAGTGGAATTACTAGCGAGTGAGTCATGGGTTGACAATATAGGGGAAAGTCGCTTTGAAGGCAGAGGGAGGGGAAAAGAGAAAGGAATATGTATATATTTATCGATTTTGCTCCAAGGCCAGTTCTCGAAGAGCGTTCTCATTCCCCTCCGACGCCTTCCAGGCTTCTCAGTGATGAAGGGCTTCGGAATTAAATTCTGCACCTGAGCCCCCTGGATACGAGGCTTCGACTTCCGCGGAAAAGAGTGGGTGGGTGGGGGGAACAGCCTTCAATTATACAGAAGCTCCCGGTCTCTCCGTAACAGCCTTACAGCCTCTATTTGCCGCTGTCCCTCCCGCCAGGCCCCAAACCTTTTCTAGATGGAAAACTGCCAGGCGCAAAGAGGTAGAAACTCTCCCACAACTGGGGGGGGGAGATTCTGAGAGACGGGCGGCTGCACCCGCCACCCGCTTCCCAAGCCATCTGCTGGGACCCCAAAGCAACCTCAATGAGGGCAAGTCTCCTGCCAAGCCATTCGAGGATGGTGCACGTCTGTGGGAAGAAGAAGGGGTCCCAACTAAAGAAGATGAGCAAGTTAAATTAATGGAATATGCTGAAATGGCAAAATTGACAACTAAGAGGAAGAGACGACAACGAAGAGACGTTTATTGCATATATACAGAAACAGTGTACACAGGTTAAGACATTAGCAGGGTTTTAAAAATCACTTGCAATTTTGCGATGAACGGATAAGAAGTAATTTAAACAGGTGTCAAGCTGAACAATGGACATGCGGTATATTGATAAATAAGGGAACCAAGGAAGGGGCTAGAGGGAAGTCAATTTGTTTTGTTTTGGTATTGTTTTCGTTTTTATTTTCTGTTATCTTTTGAAAATCAATAAATCGTTATAAAAAATAGAGAAAGGATGGCGCACACCTGAAGCCCTCATCAGAGAACAGCTTCCAATAAGGCTGGCTGGGGCTCAGAGGAGCAGCTTGGTGATTATGATTCTTTCGCTGTCGTCCCTTCATTGTGGCGGGTCAGACTAGATGACTCTTGGGGGACCCCTTCCCACTCTGCACCTCTACGGTTCCCGAATCCTGCAGCAGTGCAGGACTCAAGGAACAAAAGAGCAGAGGTTCACTGCCTGGCAGCCCAGCCATTCCCCCTGATTTGTGGCCTGGGGATTCAAGAAGCAGAAGAGAAGGAGGAAATGGGTTTTTTCTGTCTGGCGGAGAGTTCGCAGGCAGGTCAGCGAGGATCTCGCAAGGGGAGATGCGGAAACATCGGTCCAGCTTTGAGAAAGCCTGGGCTTAATCACTAGACGCTGATGGAAGAATTCAATGGCACCCGAGGCTCTGGATTACTGATAGCTAGGATGAGGATAGCTGGATAAGGATCCCTAGATGTCTGGGGCTGGGGAGATGCCTCTGGGTCTGACCCCTGGCTTTCCAGACAGCTCTTCCATAAACATGGTCTTAACAAGGAGTCCCTAGGTGACTGTGGAGGCCAGTTCTGGATCCCCACGTCCTTCCACAGTGGGGACATTGATTTCCAGACAGGAGTTGATCCCTGTGAGGGTTTGCCAAGCATGCCTTCCTCTTGGCACGTTTCTCCCTTGCGTCCTGAGTTCGAGTGTCTTCAAAGCCCATGACACCTTTGGGAAAGGCTGTTCTCCAACTGGAGCCCTCGCAGGCCAGAGTTTCCCAATTTTTGGTCTTTATACCACATTTTTAAAGATTTGCCTTGAGAGAGTCTTTGAACCTATTTTGTTGACCACCAGCATTACTCTTTCCATTCGTAAGTTCGGAATAGAGGAGTTGCTTTGGAAGACGATCATCAGGCATCCTCACAACATGACCAGTCCAATGAAGTTGATGTTGAAGAATCATCGCTTTGACACTGGTGATCTTTGCTTCTTCCAGTAAACTGGCATTAGTTCGCCTGTCTTCCCAAGTGATGTGTACAATTTTTCGCTCCCCCCCGCCAGCCTGTCACCTGAGTTACTCACCCACTCTCTCTCTCTCTCTCCCAAAGGTGCTCAAATGCCTTCTCTCTCTCTCTCTCTCTCTCTCTCTCTCTCTCTCTCTCTCTCTCTGAGGCAGGGCAAACTGACCGCAGAGGAACTAGGTGCCATCAAAACAAGGACGACTCACAAATCTTTGCCGGAAGCCACCAATTCAGCAAAGTCATGTTGTTTTTTTAAAAATTCATTCTTTATTAACAGCCTCAAAACTCAGAATCGAAAGCAATCATGTTCAGACTTTCAGAGTGTTGTTGGTCCTGTTGACAGTGTGCCTTTCTTTTTTTAATTCCCCCAGGTGAGAACAGCAGACATGACATAAAAAAATGATGATGGATAAAGAGGATAGAGAGAAGTTTTCTCTCCCTCTTGCAGAACACTGGAACTTAGGGACTTCTGACGGAGCGGAGTGTTGATTCAAGACAGATAAAAGAGAAGACTTCTTTATGCGGCACAGAGTTAATTTATGGTGCTGAGATACCCACAAAACAGACGTTGCCCACAGTTCCAGTCACTACACAGAGGCAACTGAAGGTTCAAAACTGCTGCAGAAGATAAGGCTTCAGTAATACAGGTCAAGGCGTTGCTGTATACATACAGCTCACAAACTTTGCAGATATAGATAAAGATATAAATGCAAGTAGAAAGGATTTTTGTTGCTCCAGCAATTCAAGACTCCAACTCGTGGATTGACCCAGAGGGGGAGGTTCCTCCAGCCAGGAGGACTTCCTGTCTCACCTGGTCTGGAGCATCTTCCCTCTGTGTGTGACCAGGTAGAGGGGCGTGACCCTAGCAGACCCCCATCAAAGGGCCGGTCACGCAGCCATCTTCCCCCTTCTTCTTCAGTTTATTCCATCTTGATGTCTTTTGCTGTCTGCTGGCTCTCAGCCAGCAGCACATGGGCTCAATCCCCACATGGGATAAACCCACTCTCTCTTCTGTAACTACAAGCTAGAGCCTGCCTTCAGGATCAAACTGTGAACTGAATGTAAGTAAACTTCTTGTTTCTTCTAAGAGAAGAGTGTTGTGTCTTTATTCTTTTTTAAAGGGATTAAAGGGGAATTTACCAGGAACAATCCAATGTGGGCAAGCCAGACTGACTTGCTTAACTCAAGAGATTCAAACAAATCTGTCAACTAGCTTCCTGCAATATACTGGGGAATATACTCTGCTACCAGCTCACTAGCATGAGTGAGGAAGGATAATATTTAATCAATATATCCTCTCCTGCTACCCACATTCCCACAATCCCCAGTCTCTGTCCACACCTCTCAGCAAGGGGGAAGAAATTCTCTTGCATTGCCTGTGGCCCTCGACGGCCCCATATTGTTTCTTAAATGGCCCTGGTTTGGCCAGGTGGTTTTGCCTAGGGCCAAGCAAAATTCCTCTGAAGCAAAATTTCTCCCTTCACATCCCAAATTATCCAAATCCTATGCAATTTATTAATTTCTAGGGTTTAGGGGGCCCCCCAAATCTATAACAGCACAAAGCTCTTTGTTGAAGTCTGTTTGCCATCACTTGCCGCCGCCATTCTCACCGCCTCGAGAACCTGCCCCGTTCAACTCTTTTCAAAATGAGCCTTCATTTCCCCTCTGCGAATATATTCAGCGCTAAGCTAGTTGCAAGGTTTGTCCTCGTTGGGGTTTCAGATGGCAGGTGGCACTCTGTTCCGAGACAAAAATTGCTCTGCTGTGATGGTGTGCGAGTGTACATGTGACACACACAAACACAAAAACACAAACCTCTCGCTCTTCTCCTCCCCATCAATCATCTCAGACTTTGGTATTAAAAATAGACAGGCTTCGGTTTGGGAAGGGACTGAGACTGCCATAGAGACCATCTGCTCTGTACTCTGCAGTTTGGCAAAGCATGGATCCATCAACCAGCCTTTTGGGGACGTTGCGCTTTAGGGCAAAGAGAGTCCCAGGGCTTTCAGGGCATCGCAGAATCTCGTTGAGCATGCCGCCCCTCTGTCTTTCCCTGGGAGTTCCTGTTCCACGGGTACCACCTGCTCTGATGGTGTCGGCACAGACAGCATCCTCTCTAGCGGGTGGCTTGCTCTACAGCCGCTCTCAGCAGAAAGAGGTCGCTGGGTTGCACAGAGGCACAACGGGCACCCTCTTTGGCAAGAGAGTGCTGTTGGTGGGAGTGCCCAGTGGTTAAACCCAGTTTATCCAGAAGACACGAGCAGAGGCGTGCTGGATCAGGGCCATCTGATTCCCTTTGTGTGTGTCTGTGTGTCCCTGACATCTGATCCTCAGTGGTTAACAGCCCTGCCCAGGGGAGGCTCCACTGAGCTCAGCTTTAATCCACACAGGAAAAAAAGACAGAGGCCAAAAGAGAGGTTTCGGATGAAAGAAAGAAAGAATTTAACCAGCATGCTAGTCTCTGCCCTTTCCTGAGTGCCACAGGGCAAACTCTTTCCAAAATGACACTTGGAAAAGAAACGCCACACGCTGGGCCTCTCAATCCAGGGCTGAAGGTTTTATTCCCAGAAATAAAACACAGAATGTGCTGCCATCTGTGGCGTCGCCGGCGCCAAAAGGAGACGTTGGGAGTTGGAAAGCCGTTATAAGGATATGCATGGAAATTCAACCAAGGGGAAGCGAGGAAGTCACTTAACAATGTTAATAAGTGTAATTTTAATAAGGTTATGATTTATATTTGTTTGTTTATGTGTTTTGTTCGTTTATAATTTTGTGGAAATTAATAAAAAAATGTGAGGGGGGGGAAGGAGACGTTGGGTGGGGTGAGGGGACTTGGCCTTCTTCTGGGTACGCAGCGAGGAAGCACTCGGGACCCAGCTAAGAGCAGCTGCAAGTCAGGGTTCAACAGAAGCGCCTTGAGGACCGGGTTCTTGGCAGGCAAATGTCGCCGGTGGCACAGATGGCGGCGAACAGGAGGAGGAACGTGGCAATGCGGGGGTGAAAAAATAGCGGCGGGGCAGATTGAGCAGCAAACAGACCAGTTCCTGACAGAACCTCGTAGGGTGTCCATGGCTCTGCATGAGGCCTTCGCCCTGACAAAGCAGCTCGTGAATCCCAGAAGTCTGCACCCATCACCCCCCCCAAAAAGGGACACGTTTTCTGCCCCACTTTAAGAGGACAGCGACTTGCTGCCTTAGCAGACCAGGCGGCTGCAATGTTCCCTTAACTCTGAGCACAAAGCAGGTAGACTGCCCCTGCCTCTGGAGGCTTCTTTTTTCTAAGGCTCCTGAATGAAGGTTCTGGTTGAAAGGGAGGTATGAGAAGCTGCCTTATTCTGAGTCATATAAATGCAGGCATTTCTGAACCATCTCCTGCTTCTCCTACTTCCCCGTCCCTGCACAGACAATTCCATCTGGCAAAAGAAGACGAGGGAGAGAGGCTGGCTTTGTTCTCTTCCGCACAAAAGCCGCTGCAGAAACCAACCTCATTATTCTCTTTTACTTTCTCTCTCCCGGTCGGACTGGAACATCCAGGCTGGCAAATTGCACCTGGAGGACCTGGAGGAAATGAGCGGAAAGAGAATAAAAGGAGGGCAGCTCATCTCGGACTTCCCAGGCCCTCCCTTCGGGGCACGGAGGCGGCAAAGTCACAGGGAGGTGCTGGCAGAAGCAGGCTCAGTGGGCAGAGCACTTCATTTGCACGCAAAAGGTCCCAGGGTTCAATCCTTGGTGTCTTCAGGCAGGACCAGGAAAAGACTCCCTGTCTGAAAAGAGCGGCTGCCGGTCAGAGTAGACAACATGAAGCTAGATGAACAGATGGTCTGACCTTCCGATGCTCCTAACTCTAGGTCACCCCAATGCAGTCGCTGGTCAGGGGCAAAGAGGTGCAGCACCATGAATTTGTCTTATATTCTTATGTTTCTACCCCACCTTTTCCTCCAATGAGCTCGGGGCAGCGTACAGTACATGGTTCTCCTCCCATGCCTCATTTTTTTTTTAAAAAATCCTTTTTATTGGTTTTTATACAAATACAAAAACCATGAAACACTTATCCAGCAATACATCTAGACATCTCCCACTCCTCATTTATTCCCCACACCCCCCCCCCTGCAAGGTAGGTTAGGCTGAGAGGCAGTGGCTGTCCCATGGAGGGTGGAACTATTCTGCACCATGAGGACTAGGATCTTGCTATATCAGCAATGAAACGCCTGTTTTGCACCACCCGAAAGATTTCCAGGCTGAATCTCCAGATAGGGATGAGAACTACCACCCGGACCAATGGTCTGGCTGGGAATGAAGCGGCTTGCTGCTGAAACCAGAATCAGGAGGACTAGAAGATTGCATCGTTTTGAGGGCAAGGACAACAGCTCCGTGGCTCTTAAGATGCTCTGCCATGGAGATCTCCCCCCCCCCCCGCCTAGAGGGGGGAGGATGAAACGAGGACCAGCGAACTTCCTTTACGGGCCGAAAATGCCCATTTGGGTCAGATATCCATAGAGAGGGGTTTGCGACAGAGACCACCCCGCATCCTGGCCAGGCGCCCCCCTGGTCCACGCCCGGACCGCACCCACCACGAAGACCCTTCTCAGACACCCGGTAGAAGCTCTGCTGACCACGCCCCGGTCTCTCCAAAATTAGGGTGGCTTCGGAGCCCTAAAATCTCCATGCCAGCCCCTACCTCCCCTCACTGGACCAGCGCAGAGGGTCGCCAACCAAAGAACCCCCACCCGCAAAAAACCCCCCAACACGCAGCGCGTTTTAGCCGAGAAGGAACGTGACGCTGCCCTCAACTCTTAATTGATTCCTGTTTTTGTGCTCTCCCCAATCCTAAATCCAGGGCGCGCGCGCAGAGACCCTCTCCAATGCGGGATGCGCGCAGCTCCGAAGCTTCTCCTATAGTGCGAGATCCCGCCCCCCCAAAGAAACACACCAAATGTAGGCACCCCCCCCCCATTCCCTACTCAGCGCAAAGGGCAGCTTCAGAGAGGAGAGGCGATGCGTCCGTGGAGCGCCAGAGCGCACACAGGTTCTTAGAGGGGCCCCACGCCTCGCCTTGGGTGAAGGAGACGGACCCCCCCCCTACAAAATAAGCAGCCACGTTTCTCTCCCCCGCCCCTCGCAGGTCGCCCAGCCACCCCGAAGAGCCGTCATCCAGAGAGCCTCAGGGCGCACAGGAAGCTCCTTCGCCGAAACCTCTCCAAGTTCAGGATGCGCTCTGCTTGCCCGTTGCTGCGCCCTGCCCCTCCACAAGGTACTTCCCGCAAATGAGAAGTCCTCTCTCGCCCCTCCAGACCCCCAACGCCCCCTCTCCGCGATCCACCCCGAGGGCGCATCTTTGGAGCCTCAGGTGATACGGAGGTCTCCGGAGGGCGGGAAAGAAAACGGATCGAACGCACGCGACTTCGGCGCCTTCCTCCAGCGCAGGGGCCTCGTGGGCAAATTAACACCCACCTCCCACCCCAAACACGCTAAGCTCCCCTTCCCCCAGGTGTGGTTGCTCAGCAGTCCAGCTGCAAGGCGCGCCTCCACTGCAGGGGGTGGACTAGATGCCTCTGTGGGTCCCTTCCAACTCTACAATTCGGTTTCCTCGGAAGAGACGGATCTCTCCGAAGTCAGACGCGCGGGGCTCGTGCGCCGAGCTAAGGAAGGGTTCCACCGTGAAGGCGCGCCCGGGAGGGGAGGCTCTTACCGGCGGTGGAGCGAGGAGGGCCAGGACATCCTGGGGTTCTGGAGGGCCGGCCGGAGGGAGGCGCGGGCCTGGCGGTCCCGCTCGGTGTCGGAGTGGAAGCGCTGCTTGATGCGGATGTGCGTGCGCGGCTGGCGCCACAGGTGCTTGGGCGGCTTGGCGAGCCCGGCGCCTTGGCGGCTCAGCTCCAGGGCGCGCCGGGAGGTGCTGCTGTCCGCCATGGCGCGGTGCTGAAGGCGAGGGGCCGGAGCCAAGCGGCGCAGAGGCGGGAGACGGAAAGAGCTCGAGGCGGCAAACTTTCTCCGGGCAGCCCGGCTTCTCCCCGCGCGCTCCAGACGCCGCCTCCGCCTCGCCGGCCCGCGCTCTCCGTTATATAGAGCCGGCGCGGACAGCGCGCTCCGGGCGAGATTTATGTGGAGCTCATTAGCCGGGCGAGGGAGGCAGGCAGGCAGCAGGGAGGGAGCCGCGCTGCTGACAGCCCTCTCCTCCCCGCCCCCCTCCCGCCCCCCCAAAAAGCGGCTCACCCAGTGGTCAGACCAGAGGCGCCACTCTGTCCGGGAAAGGAGACGGAGGGCTCAGGCCGGAGGCGACGAGAAGGGGCGCGCTCTGCACATGCTTGTTTCCCAGCAGGCTCTTCTTTTATTCAGGAACATAGAATAATAGAATCGTAGAGCTGGAAGGGATCCTGAAGGACATCTAGACCAACCCCCCGCAATGCAGGAAAAACATGACGCAGCCCTGAGGAATCCGAAGTCAAACCCGGCCCCCTGGCCCCTCAGAAGCAACCTTAGGGCAGCCCCCGTGCTCTGAACCCCCTAAGTGGATTACCTGGCGTTAAACAGAACCCAGGAGTCCTGTGTGCTTTTCGCGTGTGGGTTGTCAAAGTGGTTGGGTGGGTGCAAGGAACAGCGCCAGCTACTTCTGGGGTGCCTCTCCTTCCACTGCAGGGAGCAGGTTGTGATGGGTGTTAGCGGGGTGTCATAGAGTGGCTAGTGAGACTGTGTTGTGTAGTGGTTAGAGTGTCAGATTCAGACCTGGGGGGACTCAGGGATTTGGACGACTTCCAACTCTACAATTCCATGGTGCCCCCTCTGCCTGTCCTGGGCAAGGGGCGGCAAGAGTACCAGCCTTGCCACTCACCCATTTCCCTTCTTGGGGGAGCCCCTGCTGCTGCCAGCTGAGTCACCCTTAGCGGCACCACCAGCCCGTTCTCATTTAAACTGCCACCAAGAAATACCAGGCAAATGCAGACGCGGCTGGTTTATTTCTTTGGGAGCTGTCCCCATTCAAACTGGGGGAGAAATAAATGTTAAAATGCACACAAACACCCCTAAACTCTTTTTGCAACCAGCAGAAATGAAAAAGCAGCAATCAAAACACCCTCCAGCGGCTCCTTCCCTTTGACGGATGGTGCATAAAGGGGAGGTGGGGGAGACACTGTAAAAACACCAACAGAAACTCCCTTGATGCTAAGCCAGGCCTTTGGCCCCTCAAGCCCAATGATGCCTGCACGGGCTGGCAGCAGCTCTCCAGGGTGTGTGAGAGAGGAGTCATTTTTCCCGGCCCCACATAGAGATGCCATCTAGGATTGAACCATACAGGAACTTGGCTATGTTCCTTCCCCTAACAATAAAGCAAGATTCTAGTCTTCAGTGTTCTGATTTTAATAGGGAGCTGTTTCATACAGAATCAGACTTAGCTCAGCACTGGCTACACTGAAGGGAAGCAGCCGCTCTCCAGCGTTTCAGGTGGTGGGGTGTCTGTCCAAGCCCTCCCCGGAGATGCTGCCAGAAAATGAACTTGCAACCAGGCAGGAAACTTTTTACGCAAGCACGTCTTTAAACCAGAATTGAAATTTAATCTGCCCGAAACGATTGCCCACCCCTCCTCCTTCCCACAGAAGCCGGTTTTGTGCCTTGCAGTGGAAAAGCAAAGGAAATTCAATCAATCAGCCAGTCAATTTCTGCAACAGCTTAATTATTACCAAGACGAGCAATAAAGTGGTTTGACTGCTCCAATTCTTCCTCCTGCCTCTGGTGGATCATGCGGGGAAGGGGGACTCGCAGGCAGAAATGTTGCCGTCCAAATCACTTTTATCACCAAGGCAAACGGGGGTGGGGGGTCCCTAGATTTATGCCTGCTACAGAGCTGTGAAAAATGCACAGGAGCCTGAGCAGGGAAAGGAAATTGGCAATCTTCCTCATCTTTTCTTTCCTCTCTTATCTAAGAGGTAAACAGAGCTGCAGGGCCTGTGAGCCCCAGGCTGGGGGAGAGGCCAGATGTGGCCCCCCAGGCTTGCTATCTGGCCCCCGAGGGACTCTACCTGCCACCCCCCTCCACCCCAGAGGATGCTGGCTGTACGAGTTCAATCTCGGCATGGAATGGAGACTCTATCCAAAAAGAGAGAGGCGAGAGGCAGTTCTTAGCTCCTAACTTCTCAGAGGAGGACACTCTGTGCAGGCTCAGAAGCCACCAAAAACCGTGCAGATTTGACAGCCCACGACATGCCCTGGGTCTTTCCTTCTCGACACCATCAGGGGAAAACTCCACCTCTTACCTCATAACGCTGGTGCCTTCGATGCTGGCTGGGGGTGTCTCCTCGATGGTGAAAACAACCCTGCCGTGTTCTGTCTCCGGGGCACGGCTGAGGTCAGTGCCTGCCACATGCCGGGAGATGAGGGGCGGCAGCAACAGCGTCCCTGAGAAACGGCGCTTGACGGCGTTCCCTGGGAGAGCTCCGACGCCGGGCCCCAAGTCCAGCTGCTCTCGGGATCTCTGGGGAGGAGAGAAAAGAGAGGGGGGGGTCAGCAGTGTGCTCAGACCATTTGGGGAGGCGCCCTTTCCTCATCCGGCTGCCACATTGCCCATCTTCCTAAAATAAAGAGAACCCCCAGGTTCAGAGGCAGTCTACCTGTGAACACCAGCTATGAAGGGACGAACCACAAGGGAACGCTGTTGCTTGTGTGCCCTGCTATCGGAAACAGGAAGCTGAGTTGGAATGACACACTAAAGCTCTGAATAAAAGGCATAAGGGACTACAGTAAATTAAAAAAGTAAGATTCTAGTCCTCAGCAAAGGGCTGGATTAAATACGATCGTTGGAAGCTGCAGCAGTGCTGCAGAAACCTGCTAAGGGGTAGGAAACTTCTGGATCAGTGCATGTGGCTGCCTAGAATAACATTTGTGTCCCCCATCCTATATTTGCACATCTGGTTCTTCCTGCCCCAGGAACAGCTGTGGGGCAGGATTCCTGCATTTCAGGGGGTTGGACTAGATGGCTCTCAAGGTCCCTTCCAACTCTACAGTTCTGTGATTCTGTGGTTTCAGTTGTCTCTATACTAATGCACAGAGTATGGGGAATAAGCGAGAAGAATTGGAGCTCTTAAGACAGTATGACAAATACGACTTAACAGGGGTAACTGAAACCTAGTGGGATGAGACTCATGACTGAAATGTAGAAATGGAGGAGTATAAACTATTCAAAAGGCACATATCAAACAAGAAAACAGGAAGGGAGTGGCAATATATGTAAAGGACCTGACAGGCTGGAGGGGAGCGAAAAATTGTACACATCACTTGGGAAGACAGGCGAACTAATGCCAGTTTACTGGAAGAAGCAAAGATCACCAGTGTCAAAGCAATGATTCTTCAACATCAGCTTCGTTGGACTGGCCTGATGAAGTTGTCTTCCAAAGCAACTCCTCTATTCCAAACTTTAAAATGGAAAGTGTAATGCTGGTGGTCAACAAAAGAGGTTTAAAGACTCTCTCAAGGCAAATCTAAAAAAAAAATAGTATAAACACCGACAATTGGGAAACACTGGCCTGTGAGCGCTCCAGTTAGAGAACAGCCTTTCCCAAAGGTGTTGTGGGCTTTGAAGAAACTTGAACTCAGGACGCAAGGGAGAAACGTGCCAAGAGGAAGGCACACTTGGCAAACCCTCACCGTGATCAACTCCCGCCCGGAAACCAATGTCCCCACTGTGGAAGAACATGGGGATCCAGAATTGGCCTCCACAGTCACGGACTCACTGTTAAAACCGTGTTTATGGAAGACAATCACGAGGGAAAGAAGAAGAAGAAGAAGAAGAAGAAGAAGAAGAAGAAGAAGAAGAAGAAGAAGAGGAAGATGGTGGTGGTCTTTGGGTGTCCTTATGACTGGATCACCGTCACCCTGAAAAGACTTTTCGAGGATGACTCTTAGGGAGGGCGGGAGGGAGGGAGGGAGGGAGAGGGCGGGTGGGTTGATTGAAGAGGCGCCGAGTTCGATCCATCTCCTAGCTCCATCTATGGACAGCATCCATTAACTGCAAGCATTAGCCTCCAGCAAAGGCTTAAAAAATTCATCCCCTCGCCTCCATATTTATTATTGCTTCATATGACATCGCTCCAAAGAAAAAGCAACGCGAGCCATTTTAGAAAAAGGAAAGGAAGGGGGAACAAAAGCAGTAAGATCTCGTTCTTCCTCTGAAGGCGAAGCAAGGTGTCAGTCCTCATGATGCCAAATAAAACAGGAAGGGAGGAAGGGCCCCAACAGTCAGTCTGAACAGCTCAGTTGGTTAGAGCATGCTGATAACGCCAAGGTTGCAGGTTCAGTCCCCATAGGGAGCAGTGCTGCAGAGGGTTGGACTAGATGACCCAAAGGGTCCCTTTCCAACTATGATTTTGCTCCTCTAGCTCAGTGTGACAGCAGCAATCCAGGGTTTGGGGACTGGAGATACTGGGGATCGAACCCTGGGAGCTTCTACATGCAAAGCTCTGGACTTCCCCTTCAAAAGAAAACAAGCTCCTAGTCCTTGTGGTTCTTAGTGCTCATTTAAACCGGAAGCTGACCTCTTCTTGTGGGAGTTTATCAGCCAAACTCCCCCTCTGCACCTGGGAAAAGGCTCAGCTAAGGAACAAACACGCACAGAGGGAGCACCTGCTTTTCTGATTCCTTGCCAACAAGCTGCTTTTTCTCTTTCTCTCTCTCTGACGGTTGCCCTGGGGTGCCAATTAGCGCCGCAGGAGGGTTAATTGCCACTTACGGGCAGGCACGGCCACTCTCTCTCTCACGGCTCGGCTGCCAATCATTTCCGCCTGAGAGCACCTGCCAGACCTGGCCTCCAAGATGGGTGGAAGGAAGCTGGAGGAAGCGGGTTGTGGGTTCAAATCCCCCTCCCCAAAATCCAGACACACGTTAAGAGATTTGGGCCAAGCGTCAGCCTGGGGAACGGGAGACATTTTGTTTAACCGCTGCGTCTTTATTTTAGGTGCTTATTCCCCACTTTTCAAGCTTGCTTTCCCAAGCAGCTTGGCTGTTTTGCAGAACCATTGGGCTGGAAGGGAACCCCAGGTACCATCTAGTCCAACCTCCCCCCCACAATGCAGAAGAGCCCCCAACAGGTGGCCATCTGACCTCTGCTAGAAAATGTCCAGTGAAGGAGAGCATCCACACCCTTGAGGGAGTGCGCCCCACGGTCAGACTGTTATTATAATTATTACAATATATTGCTTAAGGCCTGTACCGTCTCTAGGCCAGTGAAGCACCACGGCTAGAAAAAAACAGTTATACTGTATAAAGTAAAATTAAAGCAAATCCCAAACAGGAGAACATTTTAAACCAGCAGAGAGAACAAGAATCAATCAGGGTGTCTTAAAAAAAAAAAAGAGCTTTGCAAAGCCTGCCTAATAATAATAATAATAATAATAATAATTTATTTTTTATACCCCACTTATCTGGCTGGGTTTCCCTAGACATTCTGGGCGGCCCCCAACAGAATATTGAAAAGCAGAAGAAAACCTCCATTAACTCCAAAAACTTCCCTAAACAGGGCTGCCTTCAGATGTCTTCTAAAAGTCAGATAGTTGTTTATTTCCTTAACATCTGATGGGAGGGTGTTCCACAGGGCGGGCACCACACCAAGAAGGCCCTCTGCCTGGTTCCCTGTAACCTCACTTCTTGCACTGAGAAGGCCCTTGGGAGAGGGACCCAGGTGTTCGGGCTGGAGATGCTCCTTCAGGTCAACTGGACCGAGGCTGTTTAGGGCTTTAAAGATCAGCCCCAACCCTTTGAACTGTGTATTCAAAAAAAGCACATTTGGACCCGGAGATGGGCATCATCGCCTGCTTGGCATCGCATGAGCAGAATCTGCAAGCGAAGGACCTGCCAGCCCTGGTGGGCACTGCAGCTGGCACGCTAAGAGGCCAAGAAGAGCCCAGAACGAGGGGGAATTCCGGCTTGTTTTCTTAACCGGTCCTCCGCCGCTAACTGACAAAGAGGCCAAGAAGCGTGACCCGTTGCCAAGGAACCCGGAGAGAAGGGGCACCCATCGCCCAGCACCCGGAGGGCAAGCCAGGGCCTGCCTGCCCTGACCGAGGGCGGGAGGAGGAAGACTCCGCTCAGGATTTGCGGAGCCTTTTCTTCTCCCAGAGATTTACGTTTAGGGTCAGAGTTTCCCTTCTCCCAGATGGGCTCCTTTCCCGGGGGGACGAGCCCCACCTGCCCCTCGCTTCCCCCCACGGCACAGGCAGAAATTGCCTTCTTGACCGCTGGACACCCCCTCTGGCTATCTCCTGCTTGGACTGCTGCAGTGGCCAGATTTGATAAAGTGAAGGCCCGGGGGTTGTTGACCTTTTTAAAGGATCTTTACCCAAAAGTTGTTGAGCTTCTTTTAGGATTGACGCTGTTAAGTTTTTTTTAGGATTTTACCCCAGGAAATAAACTGCCACAGGGGCTGGATCAAACCGACCGGCAGGCCGGATCAGGCCCCCGAAACGGACTTTGAACATGCCTGGGCTACTGCCATGCGCTCTCCATGGGGCTGCCTTGGAAGAAACTGCAACTAATCCAGAATGTAGCAGCCAGACTGGGGACTGGGAGCGGCCGCCAAGACCAATGTACCAGTAACACCGGTCCTGAAAGACCTGCATTGGCTCCCAGGACGTTTCCGAGCACAATTCAAAGTGTTGGTGCTGACCCTGAAAGCCCTAAATGGCCCAGTAGACCTAAAGGAGCGTCTCCACCCCGGACCCCGGGGTCCATCTCTGGGTTCCCCCCAAGAAGTGAGGTCTTCACATGCAAGGTCTGAGCCCCCTCGGCTCCCCTCTCCTGGTTCAGCCGGCCAGTCAAAGCCGTTCCTGGGATTGGGGCCGCTCTCGCCTGGCGGAAAGATGCGCGCAAAGGTTTTTGAAGCCTGGAGCCCCTTCCCCTCTGGCTGCCACAGCTGCTAAATTCAACTGAGCCGCTTATCCTGCCGGGAATTCTTCCAACAGGACTAAAAGCAGAGCCGTAATTCCTTCCCCTTGTTATAAGAATTTAAGGTCTCTGATATATAAATTTGGCGATCATAAATTTACAAGGCAAACACATGCATAACTATATAAGCACCATGTCTGAAACAGTACAGGAAGACAGTCCTGAATCCATTTTGACTCTCCCCAACTGACCAAATGTTTCTCTGCAAGAAGGGAGGGAAGGAAAAAAACCTCTCCATTGTCTCTTTGCTCACAAATCCTGCCTTCAGGGCACATTTAAGATACGAATAAGAAACATTTGAGGTCAATTTGGGAGAGACAAAATGGTTTCAGGACTTTTTCCCTGTACTATTTCAGGCATGCGGCTTATATATTTATGTATGTGTTTGCCTGGTAGATTTACAGTGGTACCTCGGGTTACAAACACTTTGGGTTACAGACTCTGCTAACCCAGAAATAGTACTTCAGGTTAAGAATTTACCTCAGGATGACAACAGAAATTGTGCACCAGTGGCAGCGGGAGACTCCATTAGCTAAAGTGGTACCTCAGGTTAAGAACGGTTTCAGGTGAAGAACGGAGCTCTGGAACGAATTAAGTTCTTAACCCGAGGTACCACTGCATTTTATACCTCAGACCTTACAATTCTCAGAACACCTAGAAGAGTAATGAGGCCAGGAATGAACTGGGAGGCTGAGGCGGAAACAGGAGGAAAGAAGGTGGAAAGAGACGTCTCCTTGGGTCTCCTTCCAGTCCGGAGGGGAGAGATTCTTCCAGAAAGAGAAGCCTCCCAAAGCGGCCATCTCTTGGGTCTGCTACTTGGAAGTCCCTCAGGAGTAACTGACAGAAAGGACCACCTTGTTCAGAGCCAAAGGATTAAGTGCAAAACAACGGAGAAAACCTTGACATGAAATAACATTGTAAGCTGAGGTCTCCCAAGTTTCATCCACCCGGATCATAGACTTCCTTGTTCAAGAAAACCGTTCTTGTTCATTTGAACAAATCCTGCCTGAGACTCCCAATTCTTCAGTTTTACCTCACGCAAGTCCCTTACAAAACAATCTGAGGGAGTTTGAGGGAATTGGTGGAAGTGGGCGCTCTGTTTGGAAGTGAGAGGCCGTTGTGCCCATATTAATTGGTGGCAGCGCCGTGATATGAAGTGAAATCCCACACAGAAACGGACCCAGAGACACAGAAGAACCAGTTTCATAAAGTACTGGAGTTATTTGATTAAAAGGAGGAAAAATTCCTGTCAGAAAATGACCAGCAAGCGCCAAGCCAAAGAGACTGGGGATGACCCAGTGCAGAGCTGCTGCATCTGAGGAAAATCCTCCACTGAATGAGAGATGAGGAGACTAAGATTGGAACTGGCAAAAGTTGAAGCAGAGAAAGAAAAAGATAAAGTTGAACAGAAGTGGTGTTCTGTGAGGTGGGCGCTCCATTTTGAAGTGAGAGAACAGCCCAACGGCGCCAAGGGGAAAAGGGCCGTCGCAATATTCCCAAGCCTTTGCAACTTGACCCATCTCTTCGAACGTTGCTCTCTCCTTTGGAAACGGAGCAAAAGTTTTCTCCGTCTTAGATAGTGTTATTACACTATCTATGTTCCTTTTTTCTTTTGGACATCCTTGAGGAAAATAAAACGTTGGAACTGAGCAGAGACGAGAAAAGCGGATTTTGCTTCTCTGGGCCACAGACTCCTGAAAACCGGCCGGTCTGGGCAGCCAGGCAGCCATTGTGAAAGGGAGGAAGGCGGGAAACTCCAGAATCTGAATTGAGAACTGCTGCCATTTTGCTGAGGCAAAAAGCAGAGAAAGGGAGGGGAAATGCCAGGCGGGAAAGTTCTGCAACCTGCACTAAAAACGAAAGAGAACAAACTCTTTTTGTGCCGGCTGAGCGATGCTGCAACTCAGGTGATGCTCAAGGACTATTAAGCAGAAGTAATGGTATGAGAATTAGAAGGTCTACGGTATTATTAATATTAATTGGTGGCAGCATCGTGATACGAAGTGAAATCCCACACAGAAACGTACCCAGAGACACAGAACAACCGGTTTCATAAAGTACTAGAGTTATTTGATTAAAAGGAGGAAAATTTCCTGTCAGAAAATGACCAGCAAGCGCCAAGCCAGAGACTCAGGATGACCCAGCTGCTGCATCTGAGGAAAATCCTCCAGTGAATGAGAGATGATGAGACTAAGATTGGAACTGGCTAAAGTTGAAGCAGAGAAAGAAAAATATAAAGTTGAACAGAAGTGGTGTTCTCTGAGGTGGGCGCTCCATTTCTAAGTGAGAGAATGGACCCAATGGCGCCAGGGGGAAAAGGGCTGTTGTGCCCATATTAATTGGTGGCAGCGTCGTGATACGAAGTGAAATCCCACACAGAAACGTACCCAGAGACACAGAACAACCGGTTTAATAAAGTACTAGAGTTATTTGATTAAAAGGAGGAAAATTTCCTGTCAGAAAATGACCAGCAAGCGCCAGTCCAAAGTGATGCTGCGACTCAGGTGATGCTCAAGGACTAATTAAGAATCATAACTAATGTTATGAGAATTAGAAGGTCTAAGGTGTAAAATAAATGTTCATAAACGTACCAGGCAGACACATCCATAAGTGTATAAGCCACATGCCTGAAACAGGACAGGAAGACAGTCCTGAAGCCCTTTTGACTCTTTCAGGGACCTCAACTCTTCCTCTGCAGTTTGGATGGAAAGGGGAAAAGCTTCCCCCTTGTCTCCCTGCTCCCAAATCCTGCCTGAAGGGCACCTTTGGGGGTGAAGAGGGGAGCAGGAGACCTGGACTCAGAAATTAAGATTTATCCTCACAAAAGGAGGGCCAGGCTCTCCAGGTAAATCTATTAACAACCAGGTAAACCCATCAACAGGTAACCTGGCAGACAGGATTCTGATGTAGATGCCCCTTCTGTAGATTGCAGGGTGGCAATTAAAAAAGTCTATACCAGGCACCTCCAAATCCATTTCGGGGGCCTAATCCGGCCCGCCGGTCGATTAAATGCAGCCCCCGTGGCAGTATATGTCCTGGGGTAAAATCCCCCCAAAAGCTCAGCATTGTAAAAAAACCAAAAAACCAACAACTTCAGTCCTAAAAAAGCTGAACAGCACAACAGCACTGGGGTTAAATCCTAAAGAAAGCTCAACAACTTTGGGGTACTGGGGTACAATTGTAAAAAAAGCTCAACAACTTCAATCCTAAAAAAAGCTTTGCTCGGCCCTGACGCATGTTCGCTTTGTCAAATCTGGCCCTCTTTGGAAAAAGTTTGGGCATCCCTTGGCAACAAGGGGGGCAATTTCAAGAGTCTATATAAGAGCTTGCACCCCATTATTCTGGGTTCCTCCTCCCTCCTTGTGTGGGGTGAGCTGGGGACCCTGTTGCAACAGATAATAAAGATCAGGCTTATGAGCCGCTTTGCTTCTCAGTATTCTCTGCTTGGCCTCTGTTATTTTCTCCTACCGATAGGGAAGCTACTTGAGAACTATAGACGGGCTCTTGGACACCCCATAAGGGAAGAAGGGCAGATTTTATTTACAAGACCCTCTTGCAAAGAAGAGGGCAGAGCACTGAAGGCGCTTTGGGATTTGAGCAAGACTGGAAGGGGTCCAGAACTTATTAACCTAAGGTTACCAGACGCCCCCGTTTCCCGGGGACAGTCCCCGGATTTACAAATCAGTCCCCTGACAAAATCCATCTATTTAGCAGGAAGTTGAAAAGTGTCCCCGGAATCATTGGAAAAAAATCTGGTAACCTGATATTAACCGCAACCTCACCCCAAATATTGTCCGTCGCCCTCCTGGCTGGGCGCTCACCAACCTGCACCCACAGACACCTAATAATAATCAATAATAATATTAATAATAATGATAATTTATTTATTTATACATACATACATACATGCATGCATACATACCCCGCCCGTCTGGGTGGGTTTCCCCAGCCACTCTGGGCGGCTCCCAACAAAACACTAAAATACAATCACCTATTAAACATTAAAAGCTTCCCTAAACAGGGATCCCCGCACATTATTTTTCCTTACCTCCATACTCAGAAAGGACACCGTCGTCCGGCTTCGGCGCATGATGGCCAAACCTTGGAGTGGGCCGCCACCTGTTCCTGTCCCTGCAAAGAGGGGGAAAGAAAATGAGAAAATCTATCTTCAGGGTTGATCCAGAAAGCTCGCAACTTAAGCTTTCAATCGGAGCTGGGTTAAAAGCACTGACCACCGAACTTCGTTTTCAATAATAATGCCTGTATCAACTATTTGTCTAGAATGAAAATTTCCTTATTGTGGCCAAGTTGTTCTGACGCTCGATATCATTTAGGCGCTGGCAAATTAGTCTGTTTGCTTTACTAAAACCCAAAGTGAGCAGATGTCATGCTGATAAACCACAAGAGTGAAGTTTTTGATGGGCAATTTTAGACCAGGCGCTCTTGTGACCTTGCAGCACTAGGGATATTAAACCGGAGGGGGGGGATTTGAGTTTAGGCAAATCCAAGAGTTAAATGACCTACGCCGGATCCATAATTCTACCGGGGAAGATTAACCTCTAGGCGCAATGATGCATTTGGGACCCAGGGCGGGCAGAGAAAATTTGCCTTAAGAACTTTAATAATAATAATAATAATAATAATTTTTATTTATACCCTGCCCATCTGGATATAAATTTGATTGGACAGCTTCCGTAGCTCCAAGGTGAGCCTGTCGAAATCTGAGCCCCATATAATAACTGTGCTAGAGGTTTAGCTTGGAGCACTTCCAGGACTGATGGTATATCATGTTTGCCACCTTTTTAAAAAAAACAGATGACAAATGAACCTTTAATTATCATTATCACCAGCACAGCCTTCAATGAATACAAAGTAAAGCATTAATATGTACAGAGGGATAAGATGCCCCCAAACTGCTTGCTGGGTGTCCCCACCCTGAACTTTTTAGGCTGGTTACAGAGCTTGTTTGCCACCTTTTGTGTGCTTTCAATATCTGGTGCCCAGAGCCGAAAACACCCCCTCTCTCTTAACAGATTCGGGCATTTCTTGGACTTACAGTTTGCAGGCCTCTCTCGCTCCTTTTGCTTCTCGAACTCGGACCCCTCACCTTGCGGGAAACTTCAACACAAAGGCTCTCCCTCCTTCGCTCGGTGGAGAGGATTGAAAAGGAAGCAAAATAATCCAAGCAGAGGCTGGGTGCCTTTTTCTGAAACGGGGAGGAGCACCCATGGCATGCAGGCACCTTGGAGCACCCTTCCCCACCCCCTGGCCTCCCCCCACTCCTCCCCAGGGAGTCCTGGCAAGCGTCCCAGCCTGGCAGGAGAAGCGGAGGAAGGACACGACTGGTTCAACTGGAAGAACCGAAATGGGGAGGACTCCGGGGTTTGTGCGACTGCCATCCTCATCGTCAACATCACACTGTGATAGGATTGTAGAATTGGGTGGGACCTCCAAGGGGCATCTAGTCCAACCCCTCTTTCTGCCCCACTTTGGGCTGTGACCCACAACCCAGAGATCAAGAGCCTCGTGCTCTACCCACTGAGCCATCCAGCCACTGCTCTTGGGCCCCCTAAGCCTTTCCCAGCAAAAAGGGAGCCCATTGCCCGAGGTCTCTGGCCTCACCCTCCTCCCTGCCAATTGCGTTCCAAGACACATTTTTTAAAAATAAAAGAAATAAATGATTAATTGGGCACGTTGGGAAATTAACCCGGAGCCTTGTGACTCCGGTTACAAATTTGCCAAGTCTGGGCGGGCAGAGGGGGCAGGCTTCCCTGGGTTTAACACCCCACTAGGGATTTCACATGCTATTTCTTATTTCTTCTGAATTCTCAGAGGCCAGGTTTTCCACCATGGCTCTCTGCGCATGCTCCTAGGCAATGGAGGGGCTCCACCGGTTGTTTTAGTACTGTAAGTCACCCTGTGACCCTCAAGCGAAGGGTGATGCACTGATTTAATAAGCAATAATAATGCTAATAATTGCAACTAGCGGCCATCAATAGCCCTCCCTGAATTTGCCCAAAGCCATCCCTGCCTCCTGCAGCTGGGAGTTCCGCAGTTTGTGTTATTTTTGATTTGATTTTCTTTATTCGGTATTTTATGTGAATTACCCCGAGACCTTTGGGTATTGGGTGGTATATAAATGAAAGAAAGAAAGAAAGAAAGAAAGAAGGCTTTCCTTTTGTCTGCTGACCCTCTGAGCAGATTCTCTGTTGATGGGCAACCCTCTCCGGTTTCGAAAGCAGCCTCCCTGCTGCCAAAACCAGCTGGGCAAAACCAGTCTCCTCTTCGCAGGAACACCCAAAATACACCCTTTGGCCTGGCGCCATTTATCTTGTCCAGGTTTATTTATTTTTTGTTCCCCGGGGTTTAGAAGGTGCCAGGAAACTCAGATTTCTGCCTCTGCGAGGCTGGTGGAAAGACACTGTCAGCCACAGGCTGGGAAAACCCAGACAGATGGGAGGGATAAAAATAATGAAATTATTGTTATTATTATTATTATTAGTGCTTTTTTCCTAAAAAAAAATGTTTAGGGGTGCTCTCATTTTGACTCAAGAAAATCACCATTTTATAGTTCAAATCGGGGGAAATAAATATAGTAAATGCACAAAAGTACAAAGATTCGCAAAATGTTTAGAGCTATGCAAGGGTACCCCTGCGTCCCCTCCAGAAAGAAGCACTGATTATTATTATTATTATTATTATTATTATTATTATTATTATTACTATTCTGCCAGTTGAGCTCCTTCTGCCAAGGAGACCTGCAGGCCGAGCAATTAGGGTGACTAATTAACTCTCAGGCCCCGTTACTCATTAGCCCAACTCTGCGGAGGTGTGCAGAGGAGGGTGAGTGGGGCTGGATTTATACTCATTAAAAAATCACAGGAAAACATGGATCAAGCTCTAGCTTAGGGCCCCACTCTCTTGGGGGCCCCAAAAAAATTAAAGGAAAAAAACCTGGATGTATGTTTCCAGAATATAAGATAGAAAACCAATAAAATAAAACCGACATGCAGCAACCATGTTTTATGTTGTGTCGGCTCCTCGGATGTAAGTCATGGGCCCCGTCTGCTTGCCTGCTCCCTCAAATATCCCTGCTTTGCTCCTTTCTATATTTAGGGTGCCGACATTCTGCATGTGCAAATGGCTTTAGATGCCTATTAGGTCCATAAACGACCCTATAGCATATATTCAACCCAAAAAACAGCAACAATTTGCTGTTGACAAAGGACAGCTGGACGTAGAAAGGGCCCCATTACCTTCAGCAGCTGAGGGCCTCATCAAACCTAAATCCGGCCCTGACTGTGTCCAGTTCTGGGCATCGCAATTCAAGAAGGATATTGTTCAGATTTATACTCATTTTAAAAGTTACAGGAAAACACAGATTATGGCTCTACAGCGCCATCTGGTGTCAAATGTCTATAACACAGTCATAACGATATAATTGAATGTAGCCAAGATTATCCAGAGTCTGGAAGCCGAGCCTGATGAGGAACCGTTGAAGGAGCTGGGCATGTTTAGCCTGGGGAAAAGGAAAGCTAGGAGAGCCATCTTCAAATCTCTCAAGGGCTGTCACATGGAAGAGGGAACATGCTTGTTTTCTCCTGCTTCTGGAGGGCAGGACTCGAACCCGTGGCTTCAAGCTATATGGGAAGAGATTCTGACTCAACACCGGGAAGAACTTTCTGGCAGATGGAGCCGTTTGGCCATGGGATGGAAGGTGGCGGACTCTCCTTCCTTGAGGGTTTTGAAGCAGAGGTCGGATGGCCATCTGTCAGGGATGCTTGAGCTGAAATTCCAGCATTGTAGGGGGTCAGACTGAATGACCGCTGGGGTGTCCCTTCTACGATTCTATGGCTATATGATTCTGTGCTCTGAACACACCCAGATTAACCGGCACCCAAGAAAGTCACGGGGACAAATTTGGAAACTTTTATTATTCTTATTATTATTGCACATGCTAAGTGACAGCAGGATGCGGCCCTTCTTTCGGCAGGCCCTCGGGGGGAGTGAGGTGGAAGGGGAGCCAGGCTACTTGGGAGGGAAATGGGCAAACGGAGAACCTTCTGTGACTTTGCCCTGCAGGGAAGAAAGAGAGAAAACAGAGAGGGGAATTAAAGCTGCAATGAGATTCTGTTGAGATGCCAAAGTTTTTCAACCTTCCCAGCCCAGGAGGGAAGCGTAGTTTTAACCGCAGCTCCAGAAGTGGGGGGGACTTTCCCTCCCCACACAGCCACCCCCCCAAATCCCAGGCATCTACCCACCATGGGGACCTCATCCAGCTTCTGGAAGGCCGGCTCCCTCCCCTTGTAACATTTCACCAGGACCACGACAGCGCCAATGAGCAGGATGATCACGAAGATGCAGATGATGGCCACCAGGCCGGGCTTCTGGGAAATGGGCGCGTCCTCGCCGGCTTCAGCTGTCGGGGAGACACACATGGCTTTGAAGCTTGCGATTGTTTGACCTGCAAACAAGCTTTTCGCAGCCCGAGGGCCACATTCCCTTCAGAGGGGCCACGTCGTGGGCTGGGCCAGAGGCAAAAGCGGGCGAGTCAACACTTATTTTAAAAATTACCCTCATATAGTACATTAGTTTCTGCATGCACACAAACACACACCTGTCAGGAGCGAGTCAGCAGCAAATCGCATTGTTAGCTGTTCATGAGCTCAGTTGCTGGAGCATCTTAATCTCAGAGTTGTGGGTTCAAGCCCCACGTTGGGCAAAAGATTCTTGCATTGCAGCGGGTTGGACTGGATGACCCCCGGGATCCCTCCAATTCTGAAATCATCAGTAAGAAAATCCAACAGGAGAGGGGAATTGTGAGGCAACAGTGCCACCTGGTGGTCACCAGTATTGAAGCAATATTCTTCAACATCAACCTCGTTGGACTGGTCATATTGTGTGGATGCCTGATGATCATCTTCCAAAGCAACTCCTCTATTCCGAACTTAAAAATGGAAAGTGTAATGTTGGTGGTCAGCAAAAGAGGTTTAAAGACTCTCTCAAGGCAAATTTTTAAAAATGTAGTATACACACTGACGACTGGGAAACACTGGCCTGCGAGCGCTCCAGCTGGAGAACAGCTTTTACCAAAGATGTCGTGGGCTTTGAAGAAACTCGAACTCAGGACGCGAGGGAGAAATGTGCCAAGAGGAAGGCACACTTGGCAAATGCTCACCGTTATCAACTCCCGCCTGGAAACCAATGTCCCCACTGTGGAAGGACGTGGGGATCCAGAATTGGCCTCCATGGTCACTTACGGACTCATTATTAAGGCCATGTTTATGGGAAACAATCTTACTCGGCTACGAGGGATCACCAAGGAAGACCTGCAATCAGTTCATGTCCCCTTCCTTGCTTCCTGCTCCTTTTCCTGTGCTCTTCCCAGCCATACAGAGCAGGCAGGAATTCAACCGGTGCACCCCTGTCATCGCTTCACCTCCATGCTGGAAAGAAAGTTGTACCTTGTCGAATTTCTGCACCCATCACATAATCTGCAGTGACCGGTGGCTCAGATTCACTCAGTTCCTGCTTGTGGGGCTTCTTTTGGGGGGTCATTTTGAGGAGTCACTGGACTAGATGGGACCCCCTTGGGCCTGATCCAGCTGCAGTCAGACTCCTTGCATCTTCTCACTCTGTGTCTGTTCCAGGTTTTATTTTGTATTCAGAGAAGGAGTTTTGTTTTTTCTCCAAATACACTGTGCGTCACTAAACACACATGCCTTTTTTAGGTGCCTTTAATACTCTGCTTGTAAGGCAGGATAAAAAGTGGCTGCCAAGACCACATAACACTGGTCCTGAAAGACCTACATAGGCTCCCAGGACGTTTCAGAGCACAATTCAAGTTGTTGGTGCTGACCTTGAAAGCCCTAAATGATCCAGAATACCTGAAGGAGCTTCTCCACCCCGGACACTGGGGTCCCTCTCCCGAGGGCCTTCTGGTGGTTCCCTCAATGCAAGAAGTGAGGTGACAGGGAACCAGGCAGAGGGTCTACTCAGTGGTGGCGCCCGCCCTGTGGAATGCCCTCCCAGCAGATGTCAAGGAAATAAACAACTGTCTGACTTTTAGAAGACATCAGGGAAGTTTCTAATGTTTGAAGTTTTATTGTGCTTTTAATATTCTGTTGGGAGCCACCCAAAGTGGCTGGGGAAACCCAGCCAGATGGGTGGGGTATAAATATTATTATTATTATTATTATTATTATTGCAAGCCATCGTGAACGCTCCTCATTCAAAAAAGCCTTCTGCGGAAGATACAGGAGCTGTCTACAGGAAGATCCTAACAGAATCAGAGAACTGTGGAAGGGACCCTGAGGGTCATCCAGTCCAACCCCTTGCAATCCGATTCCCTACAAAAATGATTATTAGCCCCCAATCCTGGACAGGCAAAATATCGCTGCTCGAGACAGCACAGGATGCTGCCAGGATCCAGAGGGCACCCTCACCTGCCTCTCACCTGTGGTGGAGTTGTGGCTGGCGGATGCGGCCTCTCGGCTGGTGAGCAGTGGCTCCCTGGAGCTGGCCAGGGGGGTTGTGAGTGGGGCGGTGGTTGTCGTGTTGCCCCCCTCCCTGGTGGTGCTGTTGGTGGGCCTGGGAGGAGGCGAGGAGCCCGGGTGAGTCGTGTGGTTGGCAGAGGCGGTCTCTTCTGTGGGTGCTTCTGATGCCGTGGGGCTGATCTCGCTGTGGGGTGCATAGGTTTCCTCCGCCCCGGAACTGGGTGTACTTAGGTGTTCAGAGATGGCCGGGGGGCTTGCTGCTGAAGAGCTGTGAGTGGCCTGTGTGCTGGCTGAGACAACTGCAACGGGAGGGGAAGGAAAGTCAGAAAGGAGCAAACCTCCACGGCTCAAGGAATCATCATCATCATCACTTTTAATTTGTATACCATCTTTCTGTCTTACTGTACCCAAGGCAGTTTGCAAGCTGAAGAAACAAAGAATGGATGTCTTATAACCATCAAATGCAATACAAAAACATGAGAATAAAACATAGCTTTAAAATAAGCAACCTGCATCAAATAAAGTAACATTCAGAAATCATTAGAATAGTATAAGAATAATAATATCAGCATATAAAAATTAAACAGAAATACACTCTTAACAATTACAATAAATAATTTCTAAACTACAATCAATAAAACCACTGCAAGCCACAGTGCATAAAATAATACGATACAAATTGAGAAGCAGAGACTGGAGGGTGAATCGTCGCAGTGTACCGTTGGGACCCCAAAGGGTCATCCAGCAGAGCCCCCTGAAATGCTAAAGGTGGCCCGATGGAACCTCCATGGCCCAAGCTAGTCTACCTCTGGTTTTCTGAAGGCTCAGTAGGAGAGCATCTCACCTAGAAGACAAAAGGTCCCATTGTTCAATCCCCAGAGGGATCTACGGGTAGGCGGGGGGAGACTCCTGCCTGGGACTCCGGACAGCCGCTGCCAGTCTGTGCAGACAGTATGGGGCTAGGGGGACCAATGGCCAGACAGCTTTCAGAATCATGAGGACTAGAATCTTGCTTTATTTTTTTTAAGAAGAGATGCAGCTGGACACTCCAACCGAGCCTAAATCTGGCCCTGGTAGACTGCCTCCAAAACTGGGGGTTCTCTTATGTTAGAGAGGCAGGCAGCGTGGCAGTGATACGCCTTGAGTACAGTAAGACAGAAAGAAAGGGAAACGAAAATACACTCTGCCTGGCACGGTGCCCGTGTGGCTCTGACGCCCATCAAGGTGGAACGGGTGCAAATATTGGCCGAGGCTCTCGAGGGCTGCCCGCTACAACCAGCCTTGCCTTTCCCTGCCAGACAAGAGGAGGGCTGTTCCTCCACCTGCATGGCACAAATAATCGACACACCTGGCAGAATCAGATTGTGGCGCTGCCCCACCTTCGTGGGCACAGTCTGTTTGGTTACTTCCCCACATCCTGCTTCTCTGCCAGAGGGACGGGGCAAAGACAGGCAGCGAGGCCGGGAGTTGTGTATCAGACCGCAACAGAAACGGGCTGGGAACTCGATGGGGCAGCCGTTCTCCATTGTCACAAACCGGTTGGACGCAGAGGAATGGGGTGGGGGGAACCAGCTGGGGAACCCCCAAGGGCAGTGCTGGATATACGTAAATTGTAAATTTGTTTGTGTTGAATATATGCTAGATGGTCATTGATGGACCTCAGAGGTATCTCAAGCCATTTGCGCATGTTGCCCTGCAACCAGTCCATGCAGAATGTCGGCACCCCATATATAGAAAGGAGCAAAGCAGGGATATTTGAGGGAGCAGGCGGGGCCCATGACTTACATCCGAGGAGCCAACACAACACAAAACACTGTTGCTGGATGTAGGTTTTGTTTTATTTGGTTTTTATCTTATATTTTGGAAATGTACATCCAGTTTTGTTTCCCTTTAAAAAACGTTGGGGCCCCCAAGAGAGTGGGGCCCTAAGCTAGGGCTTGTTGAGCTTAGATGTGAATCTGGCACTGCCCATGCTGCTGCTGCTGCCCCAGGTCCCAGTCCTTCTGCAGCCCCCCACCAGCCCCCTACCTTGATCTGAGACCACCAGCAGCAGAAGGACCCACACGGCCATGGCAGCCGAACCCGGTTCTCCTGGAGGGGGAAGGCAGGGACAGCAGCTGCTTGAAGGAGTCTCCTCCCGCCTGCGAACAGGACCCAGGCACCTGTCTTGCCACCTCTCCAAGGAGGCGGGCACCTGGGCAGCGGCCAAATCCTGGCTTGTGATGCTTGGCACCTGGAAAGAAGGAAGGAGCGTGGCCTGACAGCTCCCCCTTCTGGACAGGTGAGGGAAAGCAAGCTCAGAACTCACTTTTTTCCCCCTCTGGGCCTCACCCAGAATAAAAATTGGCTCATGCTGAATTTTTAAATATACTGTATTGGCCCGAATATAAGCCACATCTGAATATAAGCCAGACCGCTTATAATATAATATAAGCCAGAGGGAAAAAAGGCAATACCCGAATGTGTGTGTGTGTGTGTGTGTGTGTGTGTGTGTCATTGAATCTTCCTGCCCCTCTTGCTCTCCTGCCCCACCCTTGGAGAACTGCTACAATACGCCATCACCTGGCTTGTGAAGAATCTACACAGAATTGTAGAATTGGAAGGGACCCGAGGGTCATCTAGTCCAACCCCAGGAATCTTTCGCCCAAGTGGGGCTCCGACCTCAACCAAAGTCAGAAGCTACGGACCGGCGATGTTACGGTGGAAAGGCGCCAGGTGGCGCCATCCCTACGGCAGCCATTTCCCTTCCAACGAAAACAACTTTTTAACTCCTGATTTGCTGCTTTTCTTCCTTTTGTTGCCTTTGAAAGGTGTCCGTGCTGCTTTTTGATCTCACGATGGCCGCGTTAAAGCATTTTAATCTGCAGGCAGACAAGGCCTGCCACACTCCAGAAACCCTGGAGAGCATCTCTCAGCCGGCGTAGACACAGAACTGGGCAAAATGGACCAGCGGTCCGACATTGGAACTTGAACATTTTACTCAGCTGCCTTTGGCATCTGCCTGTCTTGGGAGACAATGGAGTTTGCCTCCAGAGGGGAAGTTGAACCGTGGGAGAATCACAGCGCCGGCTGCAAATGCAGAGACCAGGAACTCAGTGTGTCTGCCTCCTGTTTTGTTTTTGCTGCATTAGCAGCACTGAAGTGATCTCCCCAGGGTACAGGCCTGGGCAGTGGGTCTGGGGGTCCTGGGCTGCCCAGATGGCAAGACCCCCTTCTCTGCCCCACTGATAGGGTCCATAGGAAATCAGAGCAAGATGTTTGGCACCAGCTTGGTGGCAGGAGTTGCCGGAAGGAGGCCTACAAGGAGCCGTTTGCTCCCGAGCCTTTTCTTCTCCCAAATATATCCCACAAGGCAGAGGAGGTTTAGGGTCAGAGGCTTCCAGGCAGAGGGCCTTCTCAGTGGTGGCACCCTCTCCCATCAGATGTCAAGGAAATAAGCAACTAACCCGACCTTTAGAAGACATCTGAAGGCAGCCCTGTTTAAGTTTTTCATGTTTGAAGTTTTATTCTGTTTTTAGTGTTCTGTTGGGAGCCACCCAGAGTGGCTGGGGAGGCCCAGCCAGATGGGTGGGGTATAAATAATAAAATGATTATTATTTTTCCTTCTCTTAGATGGGCTCCCTTCCCAGGTGGACAAGCCCCACCTGCCCCTCACTTTCCTGTCCAGCATGGGCAGAAACCTCCTTCTTGCCCGTTGGACCCCCGCTTGGTCTCTTCTTCGCCTGCAGGGGAAGCCCCTAAATCCCTGGGCGTCTCAGCCCCATCGGCTCCCCTCACCTGGTTCAGCTGGCCAGTCAAAGCCATTCCCGGGATCCTGGCAGCTTCATGGAGCCACAGGTGGGAGCTGAGTGGAGGGGGAGGGACCAAAGGTGGGCAAACTGCCCCAGAAGGAGCCCTCCGACAGAGGTACCCCCCCCCAAACCCCATACGCTCAGTGGCAGAGCCCGTGCTTTGCCTGCAGACGGCCCAGCTGCAACCCCCTGGCATCTCCAGGTACCCCGAACCCCCAAAGTGTTGTGAGAATTATAAGGTCTAAGATATAAATGTTCTTATAACAAAAGCAACAGCGGATCTAGATGCCCAAAACTGAACCATCTCACTAGAATCCCCCTTGCCGTGTCCCTCGGTTTTTGTTGATTTAGCTCTTCACTTCTGAAGAGTCTGCCCTGGTATTTGTATTTATTTATGTAAGAGGCTCTTGGGCTTTATCCTAGAAAAAGGGGGGGAAATTGCTCCCGAGTAGGGAGCAATGCTAAGAGGCTAGTGTACTGTTTAAGAAGGGTGGTCAGGTCTTTGGTCCTGGATGAATTTACAGCTGGGGAATTGACAAACTTGCTTGCCTTCTGCCTTTTTCTAATTCCTCTTCTGTCTCCAAGGAGTTTTATACATGCCCGTGTGTGTGTGTGTGTGTGTGTGTGTGTGTGTGTGTGTACACAAAAATATATATACAACGGTACCTCGGTTTTCGAACGTAATCCGTTCCGGAAGACCGTTCCGAGTTCTGAAATGTTCGAAAACCGAAAACTCAATACAGAAGCTGCGTGGCTTGTTCAACTTCTGACGCGAGTTTGAAAACTGAAGCATTTACTTCCAGGTTTACAGTGTTCGAAAACTGATATGCTCATCAACGGAGATGTTTGAAAATCGAGGTACCACTGTGTGCGTATGTATATTTATATTGTTAACGGAAAATCTGAGGGCTCCCTTGGACAAAAACAAAGACACCAACCAGAGCAATTGGAAGCAAATCAGCAGCCAGTAGGCTTGGTCTTTATTGAAGAAAAGACTGTTGCAACAGGGTGTTCCCCTCACTTGCAGGAGAGAGGAAAGACCCAGAAAGATGGTGTGCAAGACCTTATAAAAACTTTTGAAATTCCCCTCCTCTAGGTCAAGCCCACCCCCAGAAACATCATGCATACATTACAGAAAGGAGGGGTTGACATCATGCATACATTACAGAAAGGAGGGGTTGACATCATGCATACATTACAGAAAGGAGGGGTTGAGGGAGGAGTTGTGGTGGTAACCTGAGTGTCCTGTCACCTGGCTGGTTCCTCCTTTCCCCGGCCCATGAGTCACTTCCAGGAGACAAAGGGGAGTTGGCAGTTTCCTGCCCCCAGAGGGAAGATCTGATCATTGTCCTTTGTTTCAGTCCATGCTGAATCCACTCCCATATGCAAGTTCTTTGTGATCTTGATGGTCTTCTGTCTAGGACCATCAGGGTTGGCATAGCAACTGGGCAGGGCTCCTGTGGATGTGCTGGGATGGTGAAGGGATTATGGCTGACCAGAACCAAGCCACCCCCCTTTGATAGTCCTTGTCATATGGAGTAAAATTAAAATGGAACAGTGCAAATCCAATGTATGGTTGATTTTTCTATGAATTTATAACAGAAGTGTGGCATATGTAGTGTGTGAGTGTGAGTGTGTGAAGTTTGTACAAACTGAATGATTGGGGTGGGGGGTTCCTGCTACAGTTCCCCCCTTCGGAGATAAGATTGCAAAGGTGGCTACTTTGCAATCCTTTTCTCCGCACAATTTAAGGTGGTAAATATTAACCTGCTATTCTCCGTCCCAGATGCGTGTGTCCATGTGAACCTGAAAGGGACTTGGATGTCACGCTTCTTAAGGATATTTGCATAGAAATATAACAGTGTAACAGTGCACATAGTTAGACATAGGCTATCACGTAAAATTAATATTTTGTTGCCCAGTTACTTGTGGTATTCTAGCACCTTGGAAGAAATATTTTCTCAATAGTGGTCTATGCTTTACATTTAGCGGGAAGGTCCACCAATGACTGAAAAATGCAGTTTGCTTTGTCCCCCGCCATTTTTGTGTTCTCAGGTGTCAAGGTAGCTCTTCTGTGGTCTCACATCGGCATGGTGTCACAGCAGTGGCAATCCCTGGTGAATCCACTTAGGGCTTTCACATTAACCATGTTGCCTGGCACTCACCACAGCTGGCACAGGTTTAGGACACGTCATGAGAGATATGTCTTTGCCTTGGCCATTCTATGGGATTTTATTATTATAGGCTCTGGTCTTGCAGTCATGGGAAGTTGCTCACTTGCACTTTAAGGACCAAAAGCTAATTGCAGCCTGGATACACTTGCCCAATTCAAACTGAGTCCAATTTGAATTTTTCTTGCCCCATGGTTCTCAACTTTTCTGTTAAAACAGAACCATCCAAATAAGTCAATTTAACTCTATAAGGGATTATTCCTGCTAAACCAAAGCATATACACCTTCCTGAAGCTTCTCCTTGGTAAAGCGAGTTTTAGCACATTTTTAAATGGGTAGGGAAGTTGGCAGAGTGCCAGGTGAAACAACGAAATGTGGTTATAAATTTATCTAATTCTAAACATTTGACTACACAGTAGCCTGACCTATTAGAACGCATAAAATGTATGAGAATCCTCCACTGGGGTGTAAGGAATAAGACATTAAACATAAAAACAATTACACATAAAATAGCCCCCGATTTGTGGAAATAACACACTGTCAGACACATTTCAACATTCCTACGTAATAACACATAATACAAAACAAACTAATTAAATATCAGTTGCATATCTCAAGACAATTGGGATATTTTATGTATGTATCTTTTGAATCCTGGAGCACAGTCTTGAGGTTCAAAAGTGAGAAGATGTCCTTGCAATTCAACTCCACCCCCCTTTGTCAGGCCCACTCCCCCGGCAGTCTATATCCTTTGAAAGAGATAGCTGTGGGCACTTTGAAACTTTGGTGTCTGTTGTTGTTGCAGGTCTTGTGGTGGCGAAGCTTTTCATTGGATCTGTAGTAACACATTTGTAGAAGTGATATCCTGTAAGGGGCAGGGTTTTGAGGACTTAAAAGACAGAGTTAGAAAAGGGAAGGGGCAAAAGGCAAAAGGATGTCCTTCAGTTTCCGTTGGAAGCTGCAAATAATAAAAATCTTAGTGGATTAAGCATTTCATTCATTCCAATATTATTATCACATTTCCATATAATTACTGTTATTATCTGCCAAGTTTGTTTGCTTTCCTTCACTTAGTTTGGCTGTGGAAGAAACGGAGGGACAAAACCTTTGTTAATTTGAACACAATTGGCAAGTTATTAAACATTTTGCTTATGTGGGTCCGAGTTCACGTATCCTGTTTTAAAGGGAAATTTTTATTTCCTTTGAAAATCTCTGTCAGGAATGCTGTTCCTATAATGCACACAAAGCCTGTTATAAAAGTTAAATCCCATTGGGGGTGGGAGAACTAGTCAAGAGTGGAACTCACAGTGGGAGCGCTTTGATATTTACCTGTGAAAAGAATTTGGCATGTTAAGATTTGAAACCTGGAAACCTCTTGACTTTTGATGGGCTAGTACTTGACCCTTTTGTCTTACGTAGCCCCTGGAGCAAAGGACACATTAAGGGTGATTTCTCTCAATGGTTCCAAGTTTTACATAAGGAAATTTGGATAAGTTTCTCCCTGCAGCCCAAGCTCTCGAAACCTCCTCTCCCCCCTTACAGTTCCCCCCTTCCTCTCTCTCTCTCTCTCTCTCTCTTTCCTCCCCCCTTTTTTTTAGCTGATCTAGCCTCTGTGCATGTGCAGAGTTCATGTCTCAGCAAACCTTTTATACTATTGAAAATGTTGAATCTTTGGGCTAAATTACCATTTGAATAAGGGAAGGGAAGGGTAAGGAGTAGATTTTAAAAATAGGGTTAGATTTTAAAACAAAAAAGAGAAACTCAGCGATTCAAGTATTCACCAAAGCTAGCAATTGCAGCCCAAGCAAAGGGACTGCTTCCTTTATGTACAGGAAAGGGCTAATATCCCTCTGGCCATTCGCGGAACAATGCCACGCCCTTATATATGGGGGAAATGGCCAGAGAACTAAAGAGCAAAGCTAGGCTGAATTTCAACTCCATCACCACACCAGAATTTAAGAATTACCCTCCAATGCTTGCAGACACATGTCCTTCCACACAGCCAGAAATTGGGAGAGTTGAAAGGGGACCCTGGGGTCATCTAGTCCAACCCTCCAAAATATAGGGTTCATAGCAAGTTTTCACAGCAAGATTTGTACTACCAAAGAGACATACACATTTAAGTACAGATTTACAACTGGGAAAGGAAACATCTATGCTCCTATCATGTACTAAGGAAGAGGAAAATAAAAGTACCCAACTTCACACAGAACCCTTTTAGCAGATCTTGAGACAGTTTGAGTGAGTTTGTTTCCTTAGACTAAAGAATGCAAGTTCCTATAGAAATGATATTTAAAGGAAGATTGAAGTGAACAGTTTTTTGTTTTTTGTTTCTAAGATAGGGAGAGGATCTTTATTAAGCATAGTTAAAACAGCCATAGATTTGATTTAAAGGGAATACAAAAGTGAACAATTTTTTTCCTGAACTTGCAGAGGAATAGTAAGCCTGATTTAGATTATTATTATTATTATTTTTTTTTTTTTTTTTAATAACTACACATAGGAAAGTGAGATGCAGGGTACCTTAGGAAAGATTGCTTCCCCCTCTTTGCAGTTTCCTTTAAAGGAAGCTTACTCGGGAGTAAATTTACCTGGCACAGAAGTAAGAAGGGGAAAAAACCTGAAAGATACAGAATGAAACAAGGGGGGGCATTTTCTAAGAAAAGAGGCCAGGAAGTCTTATAGAGACTGATATCAGGACTGGACTCAGATAGACAATTTTTGCTGGCCATGGAAACCTCTACATTTAATAACAATTTTTCTCAGAAAGAACACCATACTTTCATAGGCATAGGCTTAATGAAATACATACACTGCATTTTAGCTTGAGAGAGCAGTTGGCTCAACTAGGCTTTTGCAGCAGAAACATTAGTTTCTTCACAGCACATTTCAAAATACTGGAACAAAAAAGACTGGAACTCACAAACTCAAAAGTTGCAGCAAAACATCATCTACCATCAACTTAAAATCATACTCCTCACTTTAGCTACTCGGAGGAAGACTCTTTGGAGCCTCTCTCAAATAACAAACATTTGCACACTTCATTCTTCTTCCTTTTTTTTTTTTTTTTTTTTGTCCTGTTTAAGATTGATAAGGCCCAACATGGCTTTCTTAAATTTAAAATTTTTGAAGCAAGCTTGCAATTTTAAAACTATGTGCATTTAAGAACAGTCTGTGGATGTCGAGGCCAATGTAAATACAAACCCTTGAAATATTTCTAAATCTTTGAATACATCTCTTATTCATTTTTTTTTTTAATTTTATTTATTATTATTATTATTTTTATTTAGAGAAACTAAGATCTCTAATGCGTGGGCTCTCAGGCTGGGCTGTTATTATATCTACTACCTTCTGAGCACCATTAAGTTTACGGTTTCATGTTCTAGCTTTAGGTTATAGTTTAACAACACAAATTTGATGTGTTCAGCTCTCCCTAAGGGTTCACACGCTGATTTTGTTGAAGGATCCCTGAGGTGGCCGCTGTGCCCTGGGTTCCAGGTGCTGGGCCTAAGCCACCCACTAAAAGTTACAACGGTCTCGTACTTTGTACTTGGAAAGACCATTTTGCCCCTTTATTTTATTTTTTCCCAATTGGAGATGACAAGCTGGAGGGGCGTATCAGAATCCTCTCTGGGGCAAAAAGGCTTCATGGAAGCTTTGTTGCCAGGAGGAGTCCAGCTAGGGTGTTTAGAAGAGTGAGCTCCCATTTTCCCTCTAATACCGAGGGGGGGTTGCTCAGTAGATTAGTACAGTTGTCGGGGCTTCTCATCTGCCAGGTAAGACCTAAGTGCTTGCATCTTCACGAGATTAAAGGAACCGTGAGGTGGCCATTGCGAGGCCGGCTCTAGGTGGTGGGTAAAAGCGACCCACGAGATGTTGCAAAGGTCCCTCAGTTTGGACTTTGAGAGTCCCTTCCTCCCTCTCAACTCTTTCCAGTTTAAGAGAACAAATTGAAGAGGGGTATCAGAGTCCTCCCTTGGGCGGAAAGGCTCCGCGGAAGCCTTATCGCCTGGAGGAGTCCAGCCTGAATGCTTGGAAGCATGGGCCCCAATTCTTTTGCAGTACGCTAAAGACAGAAAAAGTGGACACACACGCACAAGCGAAGAAGGGGCAATGGAAAAGGAAAAGAGGGGCAGGGAAAAAAGGGGAAAAAATATCCTTTCAGTACTCGAAGTATCCTTGACTAACCCAATTTCTACCTATCTGTAAGTCACAAATTACTTTCAGGAAAATCTCAGACATGAACCTAAAACAAAAACCACGGGTCTCCTCGCCCGAAACTCAAACCACGGGTCTCCTCGCCCGAAACTCAAACCACGGGTCTCCTCGCCCGAAACTCAAACCACGGGTCTCCTCGCCCGAAACTCAAACCACGGGTCTCCTCGCCCGAAACTCAAACCACGGGTCTCCCTGCCCGAAACTCAAACCACGGGTCTCCTCGCCCGAAACTCAAACCACGGATCCGGAATTCCTTTGCCTCAGCGCTGTTTACAAGACTAACCCTAGTGTGGGGCCCCAATTTGTGAACCTCCCGCTCTGCTCTCCACGACAGCCTCCTGCCTAGCCTTTAGACTAAATTCGGGCTCCCTACTGGACGCCTGCGCAATGCAGTGCCAGATTGAGGTCCGAGAAAACAAAGTTTAGAAAGGAAGCAAATGACCTTGCGTTCTCACGTACCCGGGTCATCCCCAACAAGGGTCGCCGAGCAGGGGGGGCGGCTTCATTTGCGTAAGCAGGGGAGAGAGAGAGAGAGAGAGAGAGCAGGAGAGATTTGGATGGACGCCTCCGGACGACTCCGAGGGAGGACGTCAGAGAAATGGCAAAGTACCGCACTTTTCCCCGGCCACACTCCGAAAGGGAAAAACGGGGAGAAAAGGAGAGAGGGAGGTTTTGGATGGACGCCTCCGGGCGACTCCGAGGGAGGACGTCAGAGAAATGGCAAAGCACCGCGTTTTCCCTGGCCCAGCTCCGAAGGGAAAACGGGGAGAAAAGGAGAGATATTTTTTAGGACGTTCCTGGACGACTCCGAGAGGTAACGTCGGAATGCAGCAAAGATACCACAATATCCCTGTCCCAGCTCCGAAGGTGAAATAGGGGAGAGACAGAGAAAGTTTAGGACGTTCCTGGACGACTCCGAGAGGTAACGTCGGAATACAACAAAGATACCACAATTTCCCTGGCCCAGCTCCGAAGGGGAAATAGGGGAGAGACAGAGAAAGTTTAGGACGTTCCTGGACGACTCCGAGAGGTAACGCCAGAGACAGAAGGAAGAAAAAGTCCAGCTGTCGTGGGGACGTTGCTTTTCACCCCCCTCCCAATGTATTTTCTTCAAACCATACTCACGTTCGTAGATGTCCCTCGTGGATCCCGGGATCCTTTCCCCTTAGCCGGCTTGACCTTGCCTTTGCTTCCCCTGGTTGAGCTTTTGGTGACGATTGATTACCGCCCGCAAAGAGGAGGCAGGGAGAGAAAGAAGGATTCCTGGGCTAAGGTTGCCCAGTGGCGCCTGATCCCCTCTATCTCCCTCCTCACCTTCGCAGGAGAACCAAGTGTCCCTGAGCACGGTCGCCAACTGTTAACGGAAAATCTGAGGGCTCCCTTGGACAAAAACAAAGACACCAACCAGAGCAATTGGAAGCAAATCAGCAGCCAGTAGGCTTGGTCTTTATTGAAGAAAAGACTGTTGCAACAGGGTGTTCCCCTCACTTGCAGGAGAGAGGAAAGACCCAGAAAGATGGTGTGCAAGACCTTATAAAAACTTTTGAAATCCCCTCCTCTAGGTCAAGCCCACCCCCAGAAACATCATGCATACATTACAGAAAGGAGGGGTTGACATCATGCATACATTACAGAAAGGAGGGGTTGAGGGAGGAGTTGTGGTGGTAACCTGAGTGTCCTGTCACCTGGCTGGTTCCTCCTTTCCCCGGCCCATGAGTCACTTCCAGGAGACAAAGGGGAGTTGGCAGTTTCCTGCCCCCAGAGGGAAGATCTGATCATTGTCCTTTGTTTCAGTCCATGCTGAATCCACTCCCATATGCAAGTTCTTTGTGATCTTGATGGTCTTCTGTCTAGGACCATCAGGGTTGGCATAGCAACTGGGCAGGGCTCCTGTGGATGTGCTGGGATGGTGAAGGGATTATGGCTGACCAGAACCAAGCCACCCCCCTTTGATAGTCCTTGTCATATGGAGTAAAATTAAAATGGAACAGTGCAAATCCAATGTATGGTTGATTTTTCTATGAATTTATAACAGAAGTGTGGCATATGTGGTGTGTGAGTGTGAGTGTGTGA